AGTGAAAGTTGTGTAAGTTGTGACGGTAGCATCTCCTGCGGCATTAGTGCATGGCTCGGTGACCACGACAGTAGAGACTAATGAGTGAGGGATGTTGCAGACAACTGTTTTCTTACCATTATCACCAGTTGTTGTTGTAGTTGAAGGCTCCTTACAAGTACATGGCAAGATGATGGTAGTGACATCTTTTTCAGTGACAACAGGTTGAGGAGTTTCAACAACCACGGTTGGCTTACCATCTGGTCCGGTGGTAGTGTAAGTTGAAGTGAATGAGCCAGTCCATGGAGTAGTGATGGTAGGTTCAGGAGTCTCAACAACCACGGTCGGCTTACCATCAGAACCTGTTGTAGTGTAAGTTGAAGTGAATGTTCCGGTCCATGGAGTAGTTATGTGTGCTACTGGAGTTTCGACAACCACAGTTGGCTTACCATCAGAACCTGTTGTTGTATAAGTAGAAATTACAGATCCGGACCATGGAGTAGTGATGATAGGTACCGGGGTATCGACAACGACAGTTGGTTTGCCGTCAGATCCTGTGGTAGTGAAAGTTGAAGTGAACTTTCCTGTCCATGGAATAGTGATGTGTGCTACTGGAGTCTCAACAACAGCAGTTGGCTTACCGTCAGTTCCAGTTGTGGTATAAGTTGAAGTAACAGATCCAGTCCAAGGAGTGGTAATAGTGACAACACTTTCCGAAGGCGGTGGTGTAGATGAAACACTGGAAGATGGTATTGGACTAGGTGGAGATGAAATACTAGAGAATGGTACTGAACTAGATGGAGATGCAACACTGGAAGATGATGCTAGACTAGAAGAAGAAACAACACTGGAGGATGGTACCAGACTAAATGAAGAAATAACACTGGAAGACGCTGCTGAACTAGAAGACGAAATAACACTGGAAGACGCTGCTGAGCTAGAAGACGAAATAACACTGGAAGATGGTACTGTGGATGAAGGAGCACTTGAAGATGATAATGGAGTACTTGAAGATGATAATAGAGTACTTGAAGATGATAATGAAGTACTTGAATTTGACCAGTGGAAAGACAGTAATGATGAAGTAATGGTAGTAGGTGGTGTACTTGAGCTTAATGGTGTACTTGAACTTGATGATGTACTTGAACTTGATGATGTACTTGAACTTGATGATGTACTTGAACTTGATGATGTACTTTCTTGTGGGGTTGTTTCAACAATGACCTTCACTGGGTCACTTGGGTTGGAAGGAGTTATAGTAAAGGTCGTTTCGACTGTTCCGGGAGTAGTAGTGGTTGTAGTGGACTCTGGAGTCTTCTTGATAACCGTAACCGGGTGACTTGGATTAGAAGGGGTTATTGTAGTCTCGTAGGTACCAGTGCCAGTCCATGGTTCAGTAGTGGTGGTGGTCGTTTCTGGTACTTCGACGGTGACATGCACATCCCCATTAGCGGCTGTTTTTGTGATAGTCTCAGTATCAGTTCCTGTCCATATAACGGTGGTTGTTGTGGAATAAGGACAGGATTTGGCATTATTGGTTGAGCTGTACCAATCAATATCAGTTGTATGTTTTTTACCATCAGGATAAGTGACATGCATGGTCATTTGGCCTACCCAGTTTGAATTATAGAAAATCATCTTGACAGGGTAATATTCTCCTTTTTGAAGATACACTTTCTTAGAAACTTTTTTGACTCCGTTATCCCAGTAGGTATAAATTTGCAAATTTCCTTTCAAAGGTTGCAGTCCACAGCAATTCATGGCTACTCCTTTTCCAATTGAGAACGAAACAGCATCATCAGCATAATCCAATCCAAATGTATAGTATCCCGAGGTGGTAGCATAAAAGTATCCAAAAAGTTTCAATCCGAAGTAGTTGACATTAACACTCTTTCCATAAAGGCTAGCTTTGTGAACTTTTTGATCGTTGTATTTTTTTCCAACGTGAAAATTCTGTTTTGTCACTCCTTTCCAGGTGAGCGATGGCAGGGCTTTATCAATGGCCACAAGCCCAGCGTGATCCTTACTACTTGATCCAGTACCATATTCCTGGTATGATATCTTGACATATTCAGCAGTCAAACCTTTAGTAACTGCAGATGGGCTACAACCTCCGACAGAGGCGGCATGAATAGTTTGAAGAAGTCCGAATAATGCAATTAAGTAGTGGATTTTCATTCTTGTTTGATTTCAAACACCTGGATGTTGACAGGTATAAATAATTAACTTTAAAACCGGCATATATCCAGGTACTAGATGGTAATATTATCTAATGTACAATAAAGGGTTCTAACAGACCCATTTAGGGCAGACTCCAAGGGATTCGGTTTGAGTGAAGCATAGGTTCTAGCTTGACGTCTTTAGATAAGCTTTCGAGTCTTTTCAGGCATACTGGACACAAAACCCCCTGTGCATTTCTGGGTTTCCCATTGAGGAGAGTGAGTGATAAAAAAGGGGGTGAGGATATATCAGAATGGAATCCCCATTGAATACATATGCATGTAGTGTAAATATTTTCCTTCTCTAAAAACTGTAATATACTTTTAATTGGTGTACAGGTCAAGAGTTTTGCGAGAAGACCTATTTCGGCAACGTTATCTAGGAATCAGGAATGAAGAGGGCGATCAAAGAAAGTATACGAACATAGGATTTCTAGTGCAGTAGGGCTTGTCTGTAAATGGAATTCCTCGCATACGAAAAACGCATCCGCTTGTTTTGTTGAAAAGTATATATAAATGTAATATGCAAAGTAATTGAGGGCTTTAACAAATATTACCAAAAGGAGCAATTAGTTTTTCCTTCGAGTCAAGATGAGAGCTGTACATGACACTGGAAGGAGTTACTTGCATCACATTGTGAGGAATGTCGACTGCGCCGTTACGGTTTAGTCGCTGAACCATCAGAAATCGGCATAAAACGTACGTTTGCCTATTCAGTTCATTGGTTTGTTTCATGAAGCAAAATGTTTAATACCAGCTTTAACAAAGGCACTAATTTGTTTGGGGAGAATAGGAGGGTGATTTTGCTGCAAAAGGGAGTATCGAAGTCAGTCACAAAAGCCTACAACACTTCCCAATCGGTGCAGGTTCAACTTCCGACCTATTATACTACCAAATCATCAGTCAAATACGGGTAAATGGGCACGGACATCTATCATTGGAAAAACGTCTCATTGTTTCATAACCATAATACATAGTGTCTTAGTTTGGCACATTGGTAAGTTACTTGCTGAAAATCCATGTACATCTCCTATCAAAGTGCATTTATTTTTTAACAAAAGCGTAAATGCAACCAGCGACAGGGGGTGACAATCAATGGTCTGTTTTGAGATAGTCCTTTATTGAACAAAGAGTCGAAAGGCATTTTCATTTCATCTTGACCACAATACCCCATGCGGTTATAGATTTCTGCACGCTGAAAATGTGAGTTTAAACAATAGGATAAATTGATAACTGAGTATTGTTAGTCCAGCTGTCGGGAGGTTGATGTCAGTCAAACAGACGAGCAAAATATAACCATCATATACAGGAGCATTGTATAGCATATAGGGGTAGTACAACGTCTGTCAAAGTTCAAGTTTTGGTGAACAATGTAATTACTGGCTAGCCTGCACATTATTGGGAGGTCATCGCTGGCTTGATAAGGTCATATAAGAGGGGTAAAAAAAGAGATGTTATTCCATTGGAAGATGGCAATATCCTAGTTTAAAGCAATTATGTTCTAAAAAAGCCTTCAGCAAAGTCAAGAAAGCCTCTGGTTATGAACAGTGACTCTACTGGAAAATCTCAGATTGATGTATGTCGAAGTTTAAACAAAATGCGTAATCAAAAATCAGTTTTTAGTGCATACAAGAGCCAAGAAACAGGCAACACTCCTTATTACGAACACGGACAAAACAGTAAGTCACCATATTACAAACACAGACAAAATAAGTCGCCGTGTCATCTACCACAGCGCTAAATATTCGACTGTTCGGGTGAATTTAAGTTGAATGCAGTTTGCGAGGTTGTTGCTGAGCAGATATTCTAAATACGGAATTGCCCAGAACCGTTAGTTTTGCTTGTTGGCCGATCTTATGGCATCAGTCTTAAAATACGCCCGAAAAGGTTTACCATTATACGTTCGAGCTCTGGAAATCGAACGAAAGTTCATCATGTACGCTACAATATTCAAATTCTATTGGATTGATTCAAAGGAGACCCATAAAAGAGCAGAAAATACAGTCAATAATGCATATGGAGTTTTCGAACCTTAACTCAATAAGTGGACACACTCTTAGGTACAACAGCAAATCCAGTACCAGCTGAGGCAACTTCAGATGCGCTACCTTGAACACTCAGTTGAAATAACGACTTCAGTAGGGGTAGTCCAACAAACAGCCTTCGATTTCAAGGTTGGGAAGGTACTATGACGAGAAGGAGCAGTAAGAAGTATTTTATATTTGGTTATACCGGCTGAAATGGTCATTTTCGCTTGCTGAGTGGCTTTGCAATTTGCATTTAGCACCCGTTGGCTGCTTGTTGAGACAGATATATAGGGTATAATGGAGAAGAGAAATAATGTAATATAAGTCTTGTGTAATATAAGTCATGTGAAGAAATATACTGCCTAGGGTCCCCCTGGACACATGATCTCTGTCCGTATCAACAATTAGTTCACGCGGAATTTTCTTCGATGCATAAAAAATCTGTTATCGATAAATCAGCCAAATCCATAATCGATATGGACGATGCCCTATTGACCACCGTCAGCTCGGTATGTGGCTATCTTTCCTTCACCATCTGGCTCTTTGCCCAGCTCCCCCAGATCATTGAAAACCATCTAAATCAATCGGTGGCCGGGGTCAATGTTCTATTCCTATCCAGTTGGGTAGCAGGTGATATCACCAATCTTGTCGGATGCCTCTTGACACGGGCCTTGCCATTCCAGACTCTTATTGCCACCTACTACTGCTTCATCGATGTGGTTTTGTGTTTCCAATTCTACTACTATACCCGCATCTTCCCGTATCATAAAACACCCCATAACCTTTTACAGAGTCCCAACATGCTTCGCCATCCGCTGCACCAAAGGTCCCCCCATGAGGTATCCAATTTGCTTGGAAGCACCGCGAGAAAACCACGCCGTTCCAGCATTTTAAATATCCTTTCAACGGGATTACTTGCTAAACGGGCAAATGCTGCTCCCATATCTCAGTTTGTGGCAGTCAGCTCGGGTTTATGGCTTTCTTCCGACGCCATTGGAAAGATACTGGCGTGGACTTGCACGGCCTTCTACTTATCTGCTCGGCTTCCCCAAATAAGAACCAACTTCAAGAACAAATCGACGTCGGGAATCTCCCCGTACTTATTTATATTTGCCATGGCCGGTAATTCCTTCTACACCGCGTCACTCACCACCGACCTTTTCCTCTTGTACAGAAACCACGACAAGGAGGTGATGCCGACTTTTTGGGACCAGCTTCCATTTTTAATGGGAAGCGGAGGAACGGTTCTATTTGATTGCATGATTCTTTGCCAATGCTGGTACTACAAAGCCAACAACACCAACAGAAGAGCCCCCAAACACCACCGGAGCCAGCCAAGTGTTGCTGGAGGATTCCAGAAGCCCGACTGGTACGTGAATAATTTTGTGTACGAAGACGAAGAACACGAAGAACCGCATTATCAAAAAGTCATTGAATCACTTGCCCCACACCACTACATAGTGGGGCTGGCATCTTCCAATGCCAATAACCTTTCTTCGAGGCCATCATCCATCATCAACTCATTTTCTAAGTCCATGAGATCCAATTCTTCGTCGATTCATTCTCCGGTTCTTCAAACTCATCTCATTCCTTCCATCATCAACAGTTATTCGTCGGTGAGCAAGAAGATGGCCAATGACAAGACGCCGTTTCTGCCGTCAGACTTCTTGAATGACGGGTTCCATGTTCCGATTGAGAACCTGCTGTTCAGTCTAAACAATGCCGGCAGTTACAAGGGATAGAAGAAAGGTCCATAGAATTTCTAGCAAACAGCATATCTAAAGTCGACTACGTAAGTATCTATTCTCTAGATCTTCAACACAAACTTCCACGAAGTGGTTCCAGACTCCAATTCTTTGGCCACTTTGGGGTAGTCTTTCAAGTCATGCACAACCGGTTGCTTGTAAGTGACTTTTCCAGATTTATGGTCACTGACAACCTTGTCAAAGAAATAGTTAAACGTCTTCTTGTCTTGAAGATACCCAAACACCACAGGTCTGGCAACCACATGGTTTTTGGCGCTCAAGGTGCCGAGGTCAATAGGAGGAACCAATCCACTAGCATTTCCGTAACTCACCAAGACTCCACCTACACCCAAAGAACCAAGGGAAGTGTTCCAAGTCGCCTTACCAATTCCATCGTACGCAGCCTGAGCTCCCTTGCCATCGGTGAACTCCAACACCTTGTTGATAACATCTTCCGTCTTGTAGTTGATGGTATATTTTGCACCCAAAGTCTTGGTGAACTTCAATTTGTCATCTGTCGATGCCAACGCAATTACGTTGACCCCGATTTTGCTGAGAATCTGGGTGAAAATCTGTCCCACCCCACCGGCAGCAGCCCACACCAACACGTAATCACCTTTTTGTGGTCTATATGGTCCTTTCTCAATGAAACTGTAGGCAGTCAAAGCCTGGACAGAAAACGAACCATAAAGCTCAAAGTCCTTAGCAGAGGTATCAGCTGGGATCTTGGCAATCTGAGGGTGATCTTCGGGGATTTTGGTGTACTCAGCGAAGGTGGCAGACTGTAAATATACAACCTTGTCACCCACTTTGTAATCCTTGACAGCAGATCCCACAGCAACAACTTCACCAGATGCTTCTCTTCCCAATACATAGGGGAATCCAGGGACTGGGTAGACACCTTTTCTGAAATATCCTTCGATGAAGTTGACTCCAGCGTAGTGGTTTTTGATGATGACATCTTTAGATGATTCGATCTTGGGAGTTGGGAAGTCTTGGTACTTTAAGACATCGTAGTTTTCACTATGTTCGTTGATGAGGACAACTTTTTGGGTTTCTGGGAGAGCTGACATGATTTTTCTTGTTCTTGAGTTGTTCAATTGAGGAAATAGGATTCAATTGGATTCAATAGTGTTTCAAGCACTAGGATAAATTGCTGAGCTTTTATATCGCGAGTCTCCATATCGAAGCTTTTATATCGCATTTGTCAGCCACAGTATTGGTAAGAATTTTGCGACACATACAAAAGGACATAGGCTCCACAACCACATATTTTAAGTGAGCTTATTTGCAGCCATTACAAATCCACAATTCGCCAAGACACAATTAGAGAAACTTTATATTTAGGTTTGCTCGGGTACTTCTCTATGTTTACTAAGCTCAGTGCGAATATTACTAATGTTGCTACTTCTCTCTACTGACTCTCCATGCACTATTGGGCAATGCCTGTAAATGCTCCACCTTTCTCCTAACCCAAAGCCAAATGACAATTCCCAAAGAGATACAAAGAAAATTCGTATAGTAGTAGCCGTCCCTAATAATTTGCACCTCTCCTCCATCTCCTAAACACTTTTGTTTGATGGTCTCCGACACGATTCGGTAGCCCAAAGAACAAGAAGACACCGTCAACTTATCAATCAAGTAGAATATGATCAACCGGGGCCAAGTCCCACCATAGTTGGAAAGGGTGTTTAAAGTAGTCATATATGTTCCCCCAATGGCAGGATCAGCTATTTTGGTGTGGAATGCACACAATGAAACAAACTGAATGGTTGACATAAACGACCCGAGTAAGTGCTGGACAATTATCACCAAGAAATAGGAAGTGGAAACCTTCCCATCACTAGGGAAATTGTACACCACCAACTGGGCCAAAAAAGCTGCAAAAAGTCTTCCGGCAAACCCCAACAACCAGGGTTTCAACGGTTTCTTACCAGTGGACCATCTACCTGAATAGTAACCAAAGACCATCTCGAACGGAAAGTCCACTAGCACCGTAATGGATAAATCCTCTTTCGAAAGACCTTTCTCAAGTAACTTCAAGTTTGTGGCTGCTTCGTTGACCTGAAACCCAAGCTTCGAAATTAACAATATCACCACAAACGTCTGTACATTTGGCAACTTCAATACCTGGTACATTGAATCGTACACATTGCTGGAAGACTTTAGTACTCCCAAGATCTTGCTATTGGACTTGTTCACAAAGCCATCTAACTTGATTCTCTCATTGGCCAATTTAGCCTGGTTCTGCTGAGCCAAATGAGGAGGATCTTCGGGAACAAAACACACCACCACGGTTCCAAGCAAGTACATACACCCCCAGAACCGCAAGTACGATCCCATGGTGAACAAACCCTCATCAAGAGGTTCTGACCTGAGGTACTTATTGGCAAAATCTGGTGAGCTTAGAGCCAAAAAGATAGTGAAGGACGAAAAATACCCGGCATTGATACCGATAGTTTGTGCTGTGGATGCAAAGCTCAACCCTTCGGGAGATAAGCACGTCAATGCCCATCCATCCACTGCAATGTCTTGGGTGGCACAGAAAAACACCAAGATAAAGAAAAACAGAGTGATTTTAGGCAAGTTATCAAGTGGATTCTCAATCAACTGGTTGATTTGGGACCCCAAGTATATCAACGTGAGCCCCGATATGGTTTGGATCGGGATAATCCACGATCTTCTTCTTCCGATCTTGGGAAAGTACATGGCATCGACTATGGGCGACCACAACAATTTCATGGAATATGGATAGGCGGCCAAAGAAAAGATTCCAACCTGTGAATATGTCAACTTTGTCTTGAGGATGAACGGGATTGACCCGAATGCAAGGCCTACTGGTACACCTTGTAATAAATATAATAATACCAATATGGCGAAAGCAGGTCTGTCAATTTTAGGTAACGAATTGGACTTGGAAGAGGATGTTTTCTTGGGTTGAAAAAGCTTCTCATCCTGTTGGGAGATGGGTAGCAACCCGTCGCCTTCTTCGAACTGCGGATCGATGGCGAATGTTCGTCTGTGAATGGTGGTGTCGTCCGCCATGGTGAAGGATGCGCGCAAATGAAAAGATCAGGATGAAATACTGAATCTGCTGCTGAAGCTACAAATGCTGAGGCTACAAACACAAAAGCTACAAACACAAAAGCTACAAATACAAAAGCTACAAATACCGAAGCTAACAAAATACTGTGCACTTTATTATGACATCTATATACCTTACAAGCTCAACACCTTTCTAGCGGCTCTGAAAACCGTTGGAGTATCTGGGAAAGCAAAGTCTTCCAACTCCTTAGCATATGGGGTTGGCACTTCACATCCAGTAACTCTTTCAACTGGAGCGTCCAAGTAGTCAAAAGCTTCGGACTCCATGATTTGAGCCACGATTTCAGATCCCACTCCGAAAGCTGGATATCCAGCTTCAACAGTAACCAAGTGGTTGGTCTTCTTAACCGATTCCACCAAGGTTGGAACATCCAAAGGCTTGATTGATCTCAAGTTAATCACCTCAGCATTCACGCCGTACTCCTTGTGCAATTGCTCAGCAGCCTCAACACAGAACTTGACGTTTCTAGAGTGGGCCACCAAAGTGATGTCAGAACCTTCTCTTTCAATCTTAGCCTTACCGAATGGCAACACAAAATCAGGAGACAAGGCTTCTTCAGACACTTCAAATGATTCCCCGTAGGCAACTTCATTTTCCAAAAACACCACTGGGTTAGGATCTCTAATAGCAGCCTTGATCAACCCTCTGTAATCCTCAGCAGAGTATGGAGAAACAACCTTCAACCCAGGAATCGACCCATACCAGGCAGCATAGTCCTGGGAGTGTTGGGCAGCCACCCCAGCAGCAGCCCCATTGGGACCCCTGAAGGTAATGTTACAAGGTTGCTTACCACCACTCATATATAAGGTTTTGGCAGCCGAGTTGATGATATGATCAATGGCTTGCATGGCAAAGTTAAAGGTCATAAACTCACAAATTGGCTTCAATCCCGCCAATGAAGCACCAACCGCCAACCCGGTGAATCCCATTTCGGTGATGGGGGTATCGATGATTCTTCTTTCACCAAATCTGTCCAATAATCCTCTAGTAACTTTATAAGCACCATTGTATTGGGCGACTTCTTCACCCATTATGAACACGTCGTCGTCTCTGTCCAACTCTTCAGCCAAACCGGAGTTCAATGCGTCTCTGACAGTCATAGTTTTAGGACCGGCTTCGGAAGAAGCAGGGCGGACTTGACCCATCATTCTGAGGGATTGAGCGGCCCCCGCGAGCTTAAGAGCAGCCGAAGGGTTGGTGGATCTGGATGCAACAGGAGACAACACCTTCGAGGCTTGAGCCGCCAAGTGGGCGGTCTGGGCAATTTTAGAAACCATGTTATGAGTAGATAAATCCAATATTTTTCGGGTGAGACTTGACAAGTTTTGAGAAAGCGGAAGGGTGAAGACCGGTGGAGGGACACGACCGGAGTTTAATTTCCCGGGACGGTGCGGTGGGTCCTTTGGCAGACGGCGCGGAGAGTGCGCGCCTCCGGGTCGATGATCTGTCGTGGTGGTCGCTCACTGGGATAATCTTTGTGCAAGCAGCACCTGCCTGATGCACATCTTCCGCTTCCTGTTTTGGCCAAGGGAAGTGTGTGAGACCATGAACGTTGAAAGTTTCTGGCAAGGGCGTGCAGACAACGCTTTGTAGATTATACATTTCTTGTTCAACGTTGTGTTTTACTGCTTTGAGTGCTGGCACTAGACACATAGGCCAGATGACACGTACACTTTGCCATTTCATTTGTCCGATATTCCCCCCTCCATTTCTGATTTCCCTTCCATCTACAGATTCTGCTTTCCTTACTTACTCCGACAACTATTGTGATGGCTGCAAATTCGCACCAAAATAACGGGAATATTTATATTGGCATTACTAACAACAACTGTACCATCCCTGTACCACCACTAACATCACCGGATGGCCACTAACATCACCACACCGCCGTAACATCGCACCGCACCACCAGTCCACTCCCAATCACATATCGCAGCCAAATGTTGTGTTTCATTTCCCAACAGTTCACTCCCCTCCGCGCCCTCCGAGTGGCCCCGGGCGCGCGCCATCACCATTTATAAACTCCAACTCCGCTATCTCACTCTTATCACAATGATTTCTACCACCATTTTAAGGACACATGGACCAACGTCTCGTGGTGTCGCCCGCTTGGCACATAGAGCATCCACATACCAGATGATCAGGTTGAAGTCCAATTTACATCGCCCTGATGCCGCTGGATCTAATGACCCAACAGAAGCCGCCGATGCTGCTGCAACGGTTTTGGCGGATTTAGGAGACCTCCAGAAAATGCCCAACAAGGCCACCTGGATCGAAGCCCTCAGAGAGAGAGAGGCCCAGTTAAAGGAAGGGAAAGTGTTGGACAGCTATTCGTACAAATCGGTCAAAACCACCGAAGTGGGAGAAAAGACTAGAGAAGACTCATTTCTGTATTTGACACTTCCGTTCAAAGACGACAAGTGGTTGTGTGACGCGTATGTCAACGCCCAAGGTCGGTTACGGGCGGGACAGTTGTTTCAGGACTTGGACGCGTTGGCCGGAAGAATCGCCTATAGACACTGTTCTCCAGCCGAGCCCGTGAATGTGACCGCTTCTGTGGACAGAATCTATATGGTGAAGAAAGTAGACGAAATCTACAACTTCAATTTCATATTGGCAGGATCTGTCACGTGGACAGGCCGTTCGTCCATGGAAATCACCGTTAGAGGCTATGCATTTGAGAATGGTACTCCTTCCGAAATCACCATAGATTCGTTACCTCAGGACAACATTTTTTTGAGTGCCAATTTCACTTTTGTGGCCAGAAACCCTCTCACCCATAAGTCTTTCGCCATCAACCGGTTGTTGCCGGTGACAGAGTCTCAGTGGCTTGATTATAGAAGAGCAGAGTCTCGGAACAACTTGAAGAAATTGTCTGCCAAAAACGCCAAAGTTATCGAGCCCACAGCCGAAGAGAACGAATTAGTCCATGAAATGTGGAAGGCATCTAAGGACTTTGAAAAAAAACGTGACAAGCCTAAGAACATCACGTTGATGAAGAACTCGGAAATGACTTCCACTCTTTTCATGCAACCCCAATATAGAAACAGACACTCATACATGATTTTCGGAGGGTACCTTTTGAGGCAATCGTTTGAATTGGCGTACTGTGCCTCGGCTGAGTTCTCTTCTGGAGGTCCCAGATTCGTGTCATTGGACTCCACCACTTTCAAAGCCCCAGTGCCTGTTGGGTCCATTTTGACCATGAAGGCCACCATAGTCTACACCGAGCACATCCATGAAGGTAACGTCGACATCGATGCTGACTCGCCGTTCAACTTCAAGCTACCTGCCAAAAACAAGTTGACTACCAACCCAGAAGCATTTTTGTCAGAGCCTGGTACCTTAATTCAAGTTAAGGTCGATACTAAGATCAAGAGTCTCGATAGTTCCGAGTCCAAAGAGTCTGGGTCGTTTATTTATTCGTTCTTTGTGGCCAAGAACGGTGGAGGTCAAAACGTTCCTGGTTATAGTTCTGTCATTCCTCGGACCTACTCGGAAATGATGGAGTATATAGAAGGCAGAAGAAGAGCTGGTGATACCGCTCACTACGTGGAGATCTTGCCATCTGTCAAGGAAGAGTTGTAGGTGCTTTTTACAATTAATATATTAAGTTATTATCCTAATAGTACAGAACTTTTATCATCAAGGTTCGTTAATAATTACCAATTTCACTCACTATCGTTGCTATGTATCTGAGCAATTTCTCCTTCGTATGTGTGAGTCAAGCTTTGGGCACTTTCCCTAAGACTGCTTCTTCTGGTGAAGTCGACCAACTTGGCCTTTTTTCCAATCGAAGTGCTGGAAATTCGGGGATTGTCTGAAAGATTCGATGCGAGTGAGTTTTGGGATAATTCCATGTCCAAGGACTTACCGTTATTCAAGAACTTGTAACTTTCGTGGTTGGAATCGATCCAGTTGTAGTCCCCTTCGGGGGTCTGTGTGGCATTGTAATCATTGTGTAAACTATTCTTGCTGTGTTCGGTCCTCATACCGAAGTTGGAAGAGGTGCTCAAGTAGTCGGATGGATACTCTCTAGAGTTTTCAAGAGAGTTTTCCACTAATACTCCCAAATTGGAAGATGGTGATCTGGATATATGCCTTCTAGGAGAAGCGTCTGTTTTGTCGACGATGTTTCCGTCACTATCTAATCTCTGAAAATTGCCTGAATCTTCTCGATTTAATAATGCGTTTAACGAATTGTTACTGATGAATTGGCCGGAGCCGAATGACGATTGTTGACTTGCTCTGAGGATCAGTTGATCGTCCACAAGTCGAACTGAAAACAACTTGTCTGTATTGACAGTGCTTAATGAGGCATCGGACTGTCTCACATTACCCAGCTTAGTTAAGCCTGCTCCCACACCTTTGGCAACATCACTTTGATCGTTGGCTCTCCAGGATTTGGTAGGCCTGTCCTCGTCTTCATCATTGGCATCATAGTATTGGGATCCACCGCTGTCAATGTCGACGTGTGTGATCGAAGATGAAGTACTTTCTATATCGTCCTTTTCAAGTTTCTTGACATTTGTCGTAGCAAGAACCTTGGGGCTCTTGTCTATCTGTCCAAACCCTGGACCATTGATCTCGTCTTCTTCCAAAGTAGTATCGCCAGATTTTTCTTCCTCGTCAGTCTTTCTTCTTCTCTTGACACAGCAGCACAAGAGTATTATGGCCGCCACAAGAATCAATAATGATGGCACACCAACACCCAAACCAATGGCTAACTTCTTTCTCAAGTCACTGTTGTCTTTGTGACCTTTTGATTTAACAGCACCGGAGGAAGCACTAGCGGTGCTGGTAGAGGAGCTGGACGATGAAGTGCTCGAGGATGAGGAGGATGATGAGGATGATGAGGATGAGTGTTTGCGCACAGCATCAACACCTTTGACACTGAACAGCTTCGACTCGGTGTCGAAGTCCGAAGAGGCATCGATCTTGACCGACAAGGTGTCCAAGTGGTGAGGAGTCATCCCGTTGAAGGTCTTGTTTCTTGAATGATATTGCAACCAGTCCGCATTATAAGAGGGACTCACATCTGTGGCATTAACATCAGTGAAGTACGAGTCCAACAACTCGTAAGAGAACCATTTTCCCCTAGTAGCATTCACAGAGGGCAAGTTCTTGACGGTGAACACCGAGCCAATTGAGTCAAACGAGTATGGCAATTCCACCTCATTGGAATAGACGTCAGTGATAACAATAGTAAAGTTATCAAAGGTCGAGTCCTCTGGGTAGTTTCCCGTTAACGTGTAGTTACCCTGGTTGAAGGTTATGTAATCTGGCAAGTTCTGGGGAGTCACACTGCTAATGTTTTCCTGGGCAATGATATTTGCATCCAAAAACACATTGGTGAACACCGGAACCGTGAGATCAAATTCAGCCCCATAGGTTCCATTCACCTTGATGGTTTCGTTGATGTTAGTGCTCAACTGGTGGCCTCCAACCACGATCTTGAAGATCCCTTCAGCCCCTGCGTAGCCATAATAGTCGGATCCAATGAAGCTGAAGCCATACTCAAAAGAGGGAGCATTCAGGGATGTGACATGGGGAACGGTGCCGGAAAACGACAAGTTGTCCGAGTTGAAGGAGATCCAGTTGGGCAACGACGACCGATCAGAAGACCGTCCGTAATACCCAATTATGGGTCTATCACTGGTCTCCTTGACCTTGAACACATCTTTATCAAACTGGATATTGATTTTGTCTCCCTCTTGCACCACCAACCCGTCAACCCCGTTGGTCTGGCCGTACTCGCTGATTTGCACAAACATCACGTTGGCAGAGCTCAACTCAATCCCAGAACTATTGGAAACTATCATGGAATATGTCTGAGACAACGAGTCGGTACCAGAGGTTCCTACCAACTCGATGTCAAAGGTGCCCACGTCGCTTTCGCTTGGGGTTCCGGTGAAGGTCCGTGAGCCTGAATCGAACAGAAGCCAGGAGGGTAAGCCGTTGGCTTCGTAACTAACAGAACTTCCGTCGCTGGCTTCATATGTGATATTGGCGATGGTGAAGTCATAAGCTTCGTTTATTCTGGCGACATTGGGCAACTGCTCATCGAACGGGAACCCAACATCCACCGAAGCCCACACCAATGTTATGAGTAGTAAGTACAAAAGTAACATCCTGGTGAAGGATTTGTCTAACATTAGTTTAGGGTAGGAATATTTTTTGGACAAGAGGCTACCTGGATGAGTTTTGATATTTAAAAAAGATTTTAGGTGAATTCTATCTTTAAATCACGTCGCAGGTCCTCATCCCGTGTTCACGTATTTAGGGTAAACAATTCCCCCTTCGTGCCTAGTTCTCCTTGTAATTGTGTTTTGAAACCGCCTCAAAAATGAAAACACAGGAGCATCCCGACGCGTTTTAACGCGTAGGGCCTGCGGGCCGCGTATCGCGTTTTGGTTTGGGCCCGGCAGGAGTAGAGAACAATAGGCTCTAAGTGCCTGTTTCAATAGTAGCGATGAGTTGGTTTTAACGGGGAGCCACGTCTACATTATACTCGAAGCGGATATTTAATTGTGGATGCGGCATCTGTACATGAGTTTGTTTGTTCAGTTTCGTATTCTCGTACTTCCGAAACCTGGTTTTTACACAAGAAATATAGAAGCCTGAGACAATGTGCAACGAAATGTTCTTTTTGTGACAGGGTACACATCTCTTTGTTAGAGGCCTTGAGCATATCATGAGTACATCTCCTTTTGGAGATATGAGTATACATCTCTTTGTTGGAGAGTACACATCTCTTTGTTAGAGACCTTAATCACATCTTGAGTACATTTCCACGTTAATTGCCACCTGTTGTCGCTCGCCGGCGCGGTAAAAGGTATACCAAGCTGATGGCGTACCCAAAGAGCAACCCCACAAGCTTTTCCAAAATTGAATGAAAATACACATTCGTCATCAAGAGCATAAACCACCACAACAAAATCAACATGCCCACGGGAATCCAGGGGTTGTGGAGGAAAAATCGACCAACAGTAATGGTCCTGTTGTCGCTGACACTCAAGTCCTGCTTCAATTTTCCCAAGGTGGTTCTCACATGAGTCCAGTTGCGCCAAAACGGAACCGTTTCAAAAAACATATAAAGAGACGAATGGATCAACAAAAACACATGTCCCGAGGGATCATGTCCACCCTCCCAGTTACCACGAAGTTGGCGACACACCTTGGACCCTACCACCGTCGACTCATACAAATCCTCGACTTTATTGAAAAACTCCAGATGATGAGCTAACCGATCTTCAGCCACACTGACACATCTCCCGCCCGTCCATAGGAAGATCTTGTCCATGATGGGCACACCAAAACACCACTGGGTGAACAAAATCCACCATGCGGTGGCAATTGTATAACTGATGATGGCGTTTTTTGCCACGGGAAACCGGTTGGTACCAAGCTGGGGATGTTTGCCGTAGAAGACACTGCCATAGAAAGCGGCCATCACCACTGTAGTCCAAAACCAGCCACGTTTGACAAAAAGCTGGTTGAAAACGTTGTTTTTATCGTTGTAGTAGTTGTACACCTCTTCCTTTTGTGAGGTGAAGTGGATCAACTTACCCACCACAAAGTTGACGAGAAAAGATGCCAAAAATGTCAATTCCCCAATACTCACCTTGTACTTGTGACGTATCCTATGGGCGAGGCTGGCGAGTTGTTTTTCGTGGTGTTTGTACTTGTCTGCATTCATGTCTGAACAATTGGCGATTCGAATTTGGCTGATGAGTGCGACTTGTGATGTTGCTGAAGATGCCGCAAACAGAAACGGAACCACAAGCACATAGAGAAAGAGTACCATAGCCCTTGAGATACGTCTGTCAGTTATAGAGTACAAGTCATTTGCAGATAGGGTTTTATAATAAATATGTGTCGAAAATATACCAAACTCCCAATTCTAAATGTCCTTGGCAATAAGCTAATGCCCTATATAAATTGCAACCATATCTTTCAAACCTCACTTTACCTTCCTGTACTACCTTAACTACCAGAAGGAAAGTCCAAGCAGGGTTTCTTAATCATCCCTTTGTTCTGACGTAGTATTTCGTTTCTTCATTAATCCCGGTTTTAATAGCAAAGGTCAAAGGTTTTAAGTCGGCCCAAGCCCAAATATCTCATTGGACATATAAATTACCGTGGCCGCTGTTGTTATCGGTGATCTTCCCACAAGACTCAATTCTTTACACCTCCTAGCAAAATACTCGGCTTCACAAAATCCAAGAACTGGAACGGTATTATTGTACAATGGTCATGCGATGCACACAGATTGATACTGAGATATTAAAACCCAGCTGTACCCATCGAGTGACGTGAGGCAATGGTTATCCGTTTTGAAGTATATCCGGTCCTTTCGTGTCTGTCTGTGTGCTTTACACTTCATCCTTTCAGCTACAGTCCATTTTTCAAAGCTTCTCCATTTTCTGTTCGGTCATTCTCTGTTCCGACGTTATCTATCTCCATGGCTCCATTTTCTGTCCCGTTGGCGCTGTTCTCTGGAGCTTCTAGCTTCTCTTCAGCAACATCACTATCTCTCCATCTCTTCACCATATCATTCATCACCGTGTTGATGAAGTCGGGGTTCACGATATTTTTGCGGAACTCCTCGTTCTGTAGAAGCGTTAAAATGTGAAGACAGTTGGGATAAACCAAGTGTTTTGCAAAACCAGGCAGTTTCCAGTAGTTTAAGTATTCGAGATAATTAAGAAATTCCGGGTTGTTCAAGTAATTGTTTTGGGCCAAATAACTCAAGTACTGGATGTTAGCTAAAGACTGGACGAACTCAAGTTCGATTTCCCACCGAGTGGGAAGCTCGTCTCCCGTTATGGCGTTTGCTTCTGACATGCGTTGTGTGAGAATTTCAATATTCGTACAACTTTGCGAATCCCAATTGCAAATCCCAAACTTCACTAATGGTCATATTTTACCATTAATTGGAATACTACTTTACAAAGTATGTTGTTAATCAATTTTCAAAGACAAGAAACACCTCACAACGCTAACTAGAAAACCTTACCCAACCGAATGTTTTCCTTCCAGCTTTTACTGCAAAGTTGTGGTGGTTGCCTGCAGATAATTATTAAGTCTCCCGCACAAATCCAACGCGCGTTGCAAGTCTCCATCAACAACATGAGCAAACAAGTCGCTTTGGAACGAGAATTGGCCCAGTTGACTCAGATCAACCTGGTAGTGGGCAAGTTGGTAAGTACAATCCAAACCGCCAACAGCGATATTCACAAGGTGCACGGATCCATTAATAACACCAACGAACTTCTTTTCAAATGGGTTCAGATCTTAAGTCAAACCACCTATACCAAAGACATTATCAGCAATTCCAACTGGAATGGTGAGGACATAGACTTGGACAAGAAACTCACAGAAGAAGCTGAGTTGAAGAGGCAGTTGAACGAGTTGGAACGAGAGAATGAGCAGTTGGCTGACCGTTTAGAGCAGGATGACACCAAGAGAAGAAGAATATAGAACCAATGCTACTGTACCATATACAACAATTACTATACCACTGTGCCATACACAACAAATATAGTACTACTGTACCATACACAACACTATCTAACTGACTACTGTACCTTATACTCAACATTATATTACTATACTATAATAAATATCCAAAAGTCAAATCAATACACGAGTCATGTACTACTTCAAGATGTTGGTGATCATGTCGGCAGCATCCACACTATCACCTTCTTTAATTAACACTTCACCAATCTTACCAGAAACTGGAGCACTGATAACCATCTCCATTTTCATGGCACTCAACACGGCAACTGGGTCACCCTTCTTGACTTCTTGACCAGTCTTGCATCTGATTTCCACCACAACACCAGCCATTGGTGCACCCACATCGTTTGGTTGAGAGGCCTTTGGTCTGGTTTTGGTTTCAACAGAAGCCGTCTTGTCTTCGATGGTCACGGATCTCATTTCACCGTTCAATTCAAAGAACACTTCCCTGGTACCACTTTGTTGACTGATTTCTCCAACTGCCAACAACTTGATGATCAAAGTCTTACCTTGTTCAATTTCAACTTCAATAGATTCACCAATGACACATGGCTTTAAAAAGTATCTGGTAGGGAGTACAGACAAGTCACCAAACTTCTCGAGTTGTTTCTTGAAGGCTTCAAACACTTTAGGGTACATAATGTAGGAAGCAATATCACTTTCGGTGATGTTGGCACCATACTTGGATGACAATTCTTCTTTAACCTTGGCAAAGTCAATAGGCTTTAAGTACAAACCTGGTCTTCCGTCCAACTTGATTCTTTTGCTACCCAATACATTGGATCTCAAAGGCTCTGGGAATCCTCCGTAAGGGGTACCCATAAGACCTTCCATGAAATCCAACACTGAATCTGGGAAGTCCAACTCACCGGCCAACTTGGTGACATCTTCTTCGGTTAAGTTGTTAGAAACCATGAATTGTGCCAAATCCCCAACCACTTTGGAAGTGGGGGTAACCTTGACAATATCTCCCAATAAGTGGTTTGCCACCTTGTAAGCTTCTTTGGTCTGCAACCATCTAGCACCAAGACCCAATTGACTGGCTTGGAAAATCAAGTTGGTCAATTGACCACCAGGAATTTCATGTTGATACACTTCTGGATCAGGTCCCTTTAAGTCGGCTTCGAAACAAGCGTATAATAATCTCATTTGAGACCAGTAGTGATCTAATTGGGTCACCATTGATGTTTGTAATCCACTTTCAATGTCCCCTTCAAACGAAGCCAAAATGGCGTTTATAGAAGGTTGGGAAGTCATACCAGACATGGAGTTGGAACAAGCATCAACAACATCGGCACCAGCCTTGGCACATGCCACCATGGAAGCCACACCAGTACCAGCAGAATCGTGAGTGTGAACATGAATTGGCAAGTGTGGGTACTTGTTTCTGATGGCACTAATCAAAAGAGTGGCAGCCTTTGGTTTCAAAGTACCGGCCATATCTTTAATACCCAAAATGTGAGTTCCCATCTCCACAATCTTGTCAACCATATCAACATAGTATTCCAAGTTGTACTTCTTACCTATTTGCAACATATCACCACTGTAACAAACAGTGGCTTCAATAACACCTCCAGCTTTCCTGACAGCGTCGATACCGACTTTCAATTGGTCCAAATCGTTCAAAGCGTCAAATACTCTGAAAATATCAACTCCATTTTCCTTGGCCTCCTTGACAAATTGATCAATAGCATTATCTGGTAAAGAGCTGTAAGCTACACCATTGGCTCCTCTTAATAACATTTGGAAGGGGATGTTGGGCACCAACTTTCTCAACTTCCTCAATCTTTGCCATGGGTCTTCGTATAAGAATCTCATGGCCACATCGAAAGTGGCACCACCCCAACATTCCAAGGCAAAGGCACCACTCAAAGCATGTGCAGTGGTTGGAGCAATGTTCAACAAATCAATGGTTCTAACTCTGGTAGCCAACAAAGACTGGTGGGCATCTCTCCAGGTAGTATCCATGATCAAGGTTCCGTCAAAGTTTCTAACCTTCTTGCTGAAGCCTTCGGGACCCTCTTTCAACAACACATCTCTCCATCCCTTTGGAGGAACCACCTGGTTGTGCAAGTCGATGACAACACCCGTAGATGGATCGGTTAAATCGGGAATCAAGGCCTCCGTGTCCAACTTAGGCAAGCCCACTTGACCAGCAATAGAAGAACCGTTCACAGTCAAATCACCCAAGTAGTTCAATAACTTGGTGGCTCTGTTTTGAGAAGTGATCATCTGGAACAACGAAGGAGTATCGTCGATAAACGTAGTCCAACAGTCACCTTTGATAAACACCTCGTTGGTCAACAACGCCAACAAGAAAGGAATGTTGGTTTTAACACCTCTGATTCTGAATTCAATCAAAGCTCTCAACATCTTTCTTCTGGAAATCTCAAAAGTTGAACCAGAACAAGAACATTTCACCAACATCGAATCATAATGAGGAGAGATGATGGATCCGGCAAAACCATTACCACCGTCCAACCTCACTCCGTTACCACCAGCAGATCTGTACACCTCGATTTTTCCGGTATCAGGTTGGAAATTCTTCGTGGGATCTTCGGTAGTGATTCTACACTGAATAGCAAACCCTCTGGTAGTGATTTTGTCCTGTAACAAACCCAATTGCAGCAAAGACGCACCGGCCGCTATCTGGATCTGGGCCGCTACAAGATCGACCCCGGTGATTTCTTCGGTGATGGTGTGTTCAACCTGAATTCTGGGGTTAATTTCAATGAAATAGTGTCTGTTCTGTTCATCTACCAAGAATTCGGCCGTACCAGCGTTTCTGTAGTTGACGGACTTGGCCAACTTGACGGCATCGGTCAAAATGGCGTCTCTAACTTCACGAGGCAAGTTCTTGGCCGGAGCAATTTCCACCACCTTTTGGTGTCTTCTTTGCACCGAGCAATCTCTTTCAAAAAGATGGATCACATTACCATAGTTGTCACCCAACAATTGCACCTCGATATGCTTGGGCTTGTCCAAGAACCGTTCGATAAAACAGGTACCGTTTCCAAAGGCAGTCTTGGCTTCACTGACGGCTCTGTTGAAAGCATCTTCCACACTGTCACCTTCTCTGACCACTCTCATACCTCTACCACCACCTCCAAACGCCGCCTTGATGATGACGGGATACCCGTACTTTTCAACAAACTTGGTGGCATCTTCAACCGACTCAATGGGCCCAGGGGTTCCGGGAACCACAGGCACGTCGTTCTTGATGGCCAAGGTACGGGCACTGACCTTATCTCCGACCTCGTCAATTGTTTTCCACGAAGGTCCGATCCACACAATGCCGGCCTCCTCAACTTTTCTGGCAAACTCACTGTTCTCCGACAAAAAACCGTAACCAGGATGGATCATATTGACGTTGTGGAGCTTGGCGATGTTGATAATTTCATCAATTTGCAAGTACGCTTGTACGGGGGAAAATTGGCCTGGTTTACCAATGGCGTACGACTCATCGGCCTTCAACCGATGCAAACTCAACTTGTCAGCAGGGGAGTAAATGGCAACGGTTTGCAAACTCAATTCGTGGGCGGTTCTAAAGATACGGATGGGGATTTCACCTCTGTTGGCAACCAAGATCTTGGACAACGAGGAGCCCATGACCGAGGAGTTTCTCCTCATCTGGTTGATCTTCTGTTCTTCCGAAACCGATGGCACTAAAGAACTCATATATCAGGGGGAGGTTGATGAGAAAAAAATGTAAAATCTGGAGAACTGAGGGCGGGAAAAGGGATGAATTTATATGTGCGTCTGAAAACTCCGAAGCTTTGAGCGAAAAAACAAAGTCCACCCCATCCCCGATGAAGTTGTAGGCAAAATTGGTATGGATATGAAGCTGAAGTTCGGTCCAATCTCGCTGTTTCTATCCGAACCCCATAACTCTATAATTGCAGGGGCTATATCCATATGGATCTCAAGGTCCGCACTCGCCAGGTGCAGATGATTCAATCAGTCTTGCATAAATGAAAATTTTCACGGATAACCTCAAGGTCGAACCTGAGTCACCGCCAAATTACCGAGGAACCGCCCCAGGCTGTCTGCCGCATGGCGCTAGTGACCCAAGTGTTTGAGTAGACCTGGGACCGTTACAAGACGTTATTCGGACCATTGAATCGCCGATGACCCCCATCTCTCCATTCACCCATCTAGTGGCTTCGGGGACATGGAACACACCTCTGACTCAGGCCTTTTGAATTCCGGGGGTTAGAACTATAAAAGGGCCTGAGGTTCCCACACTCCCAATTTGCCGGTAACGGCACTTTTTTTTAAGTAGGGCAAACTTCGCGATTTAATGCCCGACTGTTATCACTGCGCAATCTGTCGAATCATTGCGTGCCACAGGAACGTTGCAGTCTAGTGATAAAGGAAATGCTAGCAGACCAGATGTCGACACCATAGAAGTGAAGGGTGGTGGGTCTTCGGACTGGTTATGCCTTGACGATAGTCAAGGTATCGAGACGCTGGTGATTTCCAGCACCAGGAATCGCCTTAATTAGGCCTCAATCGCTTCACAATTGTCGCCTGATCTCGCATTTCCTAGATCGCAAATGTGTGGGTCAGAAAAATTTTGCCTTCGGCAACTTAAAAGCACTCCACTCTCCCTGACATTGTAATTTTTTTTGTTCTCTTCCTCTCTAGTACCTATGAATAGAGCATTTGTAAGATCTTTTAACAAGCAGCCTGTCAACTTGATTAAGTCGACCACAACCAACCTCGCCAGAACTCCCTCTAGTGTCAAGTTTAGACCCATGGAGTTTGGCAATAGCTTCAAAACCTTCAAGGAGTATCGTTTGCGGGCAGTGAACCAGTCTCCTTTGTTTAAGAAGAACGCTTCTAAAAACGATCTGTATTAGTTACGATTACGGTGTTATGTTTGGTTTTTGGTGTAGGAATATATGTGGACAATATATGAATTGATTAGCGAGTACGTAGGTTGAAAATTAAGGGAATTGGCTGGTGAAGAGTTGAGCGATTGAAGTTTTCTTTTGAAAATGGGCCGTGTGTGAGCTATAGGTTGACTTTTGTGGATTGGCTGCACATGCTGCTCGATTGGCTGTGGTGGTGCTGTGGTAGGGTCACGTGCGTCTTGTTGATCCGCGGACCATTATCTGCGGACCGTTATCTGCTTATCGGGGTTGATAGTTGCATAGTTTGGGGGTCAGAGGTGGCCAAAAATTCAGAAAAAAATCGTGGTGGCTGCTGGGATATGTAGTGACTTTATTAGTAAGTTTGGTGGTTTTTGGTGTTAAAAGTAATTTAGTAGATTTGCAAGGGCTAATTTCTGCAGAATCCATAAATGCTGCATGATTTGGAACTGGCTGCGAAAAACAGGCACAATAAAACTGATGAAATATATAACGCATTTACCCAATATCCAAGTTGGCCGAAGTTCTGACCATATATATTATGATACATCTCTAGTCAAATCTAGGCTCTAAGATCATTCTTCCCATAGGCTCCGACGAATGACCTTCTCCAAATGCAAACACTGAGTTTCCTCTCACTATCGTCTCCATGACCTTCCCCTTGAACTTCATTCCATGGTAAGCGGTAAGCTTGTTCTTGAAAAAAGTCTTTTGGTTTTCCACTGCGTACGTCATATCTGGATTGAAAAGTACGAAATCAGCATCGTATCCTACGGCGATCTTCCCCTTGACGTGAGACAAACCCACCTGCTTGGCGGTGTTCCAAGAGCACCACTTGGAGATCTCGGCAATGGTGATGGGAGGGTACAACTTCAACCCTTCGGTGTACATGATCGGTAAGCCAAAGCCTACGGAAGCAATACCTCCCCAGGCCTCGAAAAAATCTCCTTTTTCCAAGCCCTTCAAATCTGGCGTACAGGGAGAATGGTCCGACACCACGGTGGTGATGATATCGTTCCGCAAAGCCTTCCACAATAATTTTCTATTATCATCAGTCCTGATGGGAGGACAGCACTTGAAATGGGTGGAACATTTAGGGATGTTCTCGGCGTAAAACAGCAAATAGTGGAAGCATGTTTCGGCTGAAATCGGCAAGTTCTGGGCCTTGGCAGCCCTAATCAAGGGGATGGCCTCGTGGGTGGCCAAATGGACAATGTGCAACGGAACCGTAGGAATCATGGTGGAGCAATTGATGATTTCGGCAATGGCAGTGGTCTCGAACGAGTCGGGACGAGACGCAAGGAACGACGCATACGACGTGGGGTCGATGTTCTCCAAGAGTTTGTCCTCACGCTGGGCCATTAAAAGAGGAGATTTAGGGTCGTCGCCAGGCGCGAGCAGGTCGTGGTGGTGGGCCATACGCGCAAACCGACCGTAGATGGGCTCGGACCCCGCGAGGTACGGGGACTTGGCCAATGCCTTGGCCTGTTCGTCCGTCAAGCCGCTGCGGTCGATGGAGCCGGCGGGGCGGTGGGGGAAGCGGACATTTTCGTACTCACCGCGAGGACCGTGCTGCCGGCTCAACAAGTCCACTACCGGCTTGGGGGCCCTGTGGATGAACGATGCTGACATCCCAAGATCAAAATCTTCAATGTCATTACCCACCCCGTTGATGGAGTCGATGTCGGAGGTGTCGTTGGATGAGTCGTTGAGTAAATCATCGATGTTGCGCTGCTTGTGAGAGTGCTCATCGCTATCGTCGCTTTCGTCCAAATAAAAATTGGGCCTGTTCTCGTTGGGCACCAATTTGGGGGTTTTGTTTTCCACCTGGTGCACCATTATGGCGGGCCCGTCCTGGACATTGGGCTGCATTTCGGCGTGGAACATCAAAAGGGTTTTTAAACCGTCCACTTCTTTCATGGCCCGTAGAATGTGTTTAGGCTTAATGGCTGGGAACTCTTCCACTCCACTCTCGATTAAAAATGATTTAAAACCACGAACACCCATACGAATTAACGGACGTAACGAGTCGATATTATCGGGGACCAAGCCACCCCAGAAGCCCACGTCGACGTAGCACTTACCGGCGGCGGCGGAGATTTTAAGGAGAAAGTTTTCCACGGTGGTGGTGGGCGGGATCGCGTTCAAGGGCATGTCGATGACGGTGGTAACACCGCCCGACGCGGCTGCCTGGGTGCCGGTGGCGAACCCTTCCCACTCGGTACGGCCGGGCTCGTTCAAGTGGACGTGGGCGTCGACCAACCCGGGCATTACGATGAGCGGCGTCACGTCGCGGTAGTTCTCGGGCGCGACGTGGTATAACGCTAGCACTGGGTCCGTGCGGGGGAGAATTTGGTGGTGGATATCAAGGATCTTACCTGTTTGTTGGGAGTAGATGATGGTGGCTGCCACAAGGTGATCATCGAGAAGAACGTTTTTAGACGCCAAAGCAAAGGACATTTGTGGAGTGGACAGCAGGGGTATGGATTGGTAAATAGATTTCGGCGCCGGATCAAGGTGGTTTTATACAAAGGTGGAACGAGAGTCAATTACTAACTGCTAGGCGGAGGGGGCGTGCACCGGCCAATTGATAACGGCATCCCGGTTTGCTCGGCGTCCGCCGAGCGGGCCTGAAGCTTTTGATTTGATTTCTGAGGTGCATACGGGGCCGGTATAGGAGCCGATGTATAGTAGAGTGGGAGAGCCGGGGAGCGGGACGGTGGGAGAGTGGGGACGTAAGACGGGTGACGAGGTTGATGGTGGGTGTATGGGCCAGAGTTAGTGGGTGTATGGGTCAGATGAAGAGTAGTTGTGAGCGTGGGCGGATCGAGAAGTACCACGGGCCGGTGGCCTGTGATGGAAGCTTACCCCGAGTTGCAAATGGCGACCGTTTATTGTATATAGGCGGATGAGACCGCGGAGCGGATGGCGGTAGAACGGACAGCGGTGGTACCCTGGTGGTAACGGACAGCGGTGGTAGAATCACGGTGGTAGAACCGACAGCGGTCGCGGTATTCATCACAAGCACTTCCTGGGTCGCACCATCTCCCGCTCTACTCCACCGCGTTTACCACCACCTGCTTACCACTCTTAGAGTCAGCAATCCTCTCACTATAAAAGCTCGCCAAATCACCCCCAGTGTACTCGCTGGCCGTCGACGCCGCCTCTAAAAGCTCACCGTCCTCGTACCACGAAATAATCTTCTCCAAAATCTCCTTCTTTAACTGCAAATTCTCCTCTACAATCCGCGTACACCAAAACCCAGCACTTGTAATGTTCTTGAAAATATGCAACGACGTGGGCAAAATCACCGGCTGGAACGACATCCCGCCGTATGTCAACATGATCCCATTGTCCTGCAACTTTCGTGCCACGCCGGTCGAAGACTTTCCTCCCACGCAGTTCAAGCCCAATTGCAACAGGCCACCCGACTCAGACAACCACTTCTTGACCACGCCACTGAACTCACGCAGGTTATTCTCCTCCTCGGTGATCACGTGCGTGGCCCCGTAAGTGTCGTGCAACTGCTGTTTAACTTCGTCCAAGTTGGGTCTGTCACGAATGACACTAATGGAGTTCAACCCCAAAAGACGGCCCATCTGCGACGCAAACTTGCCGACCGCCGAATTGCCACCGTTCTGAATGAACCAGTTCCCTGGCTTGGGCTCTACAAAGTGGGTCAACATCAAGTACGCGGAGAGCGGATTGACGGTCAAGGCCGCACCTTGCTGAAGCGTCAACGGGGTTTTCCCCCTGGCAGTAGACTGGGCTGGGCTGGGGATCTTGAACAACACGTCGTCAGAGAACTCGGCGTACGTGCGCCAGGTGCCACTGCACACCCGGAGCGGCAATGCCCAATCTCCTGGAGCAACAGAAGTGACACTGGCACCCACCTTCACCACTTCAAAAAGCCCCTCATTACCACACACAAACGACGGGAAGCTGGTGCCGTACTGGGTGGTTTTCTGCGGCTGGGACGGATATACACCTTGGATCTGGTTGATGTCACTGGGGTTAATGGGAGATGCCAACACTTTGACGATCACGGCATTAGGAGCCAAATGCTCATCATCAATGGTATACGATTGGGTGAACAAGACGTCGGCAGGCTCGCCATGCTGACGGATCATGACGGCGTGGGAGGTGATCATGGAACGAATAGGAGTTCTTAAGGGTACAGACCTGAATAGACGGGTGGACCGGAGACAGATCATGGTAGGGCAAGTTGGAAATTATTGCAGTTGCGACATTTGGCGCGAGGGCGCGAGTGGGCGAGTACATTATCTGACTTCGCGCACTTGTCGCCACTTCTTCACCAGTGGCAACATGAACACCACCATTGCATCAGAATACTCAGCAGAAACACACGCCACGCCCATTGAACATAGATTCAACCCTTACTCGGACAATGGGGGGACGGTCCTTGGAATTGCCGGTAAGGATTTCGCGGTGTTGGCGGGTGATACCAGACATGTTGAAGGGTACTCGATCAATTCTCGGTATGAACCCAAGATTTTCAACGTGGGCGACGACATCGTCATGACCGCCAACGGGTTTGCGGCCGACGGAAAGGCCTTAATCAACAGCTTCAAGACCCAGTTGAAATGGTACAAATTTGACCATAATGACAAGAGATTCTCCATTCAAAGTGCTGCTAGGTATATCCGTCATTTACTTTACGGAAAGAGGTTTTTCCCGTACTACGTCAGCACCTTGATTGCGGGATTGGACGACGAGGGAAAGGGGTGTGTTTACTCGTTTGACCCGGTGGGTTCTTATGAGCGTGAACAGTGTAGGGCAGGAGGTTCAGCTTCGAGTTTGATTATGCCATTCTTGGATAACCAAGTGAATTTCAAGAACCAGTACGAGCCAGATAGTGACGGGAAGGTAAAGAAGCCATTGCGGTACTTGGAGTTGGATGAGGTGTTGGAGTTGGTGAAGGATGCGTTTTCTTCGGCCACCGAAAGACATATTCAAGTGGGTGATGGATTAGAGATCCATATAGTCACGAAGGAGGGGGTACGGGTGGAGTACTTTCCATTGAAGAGAGATTAGGGAGTATTGAAGATTAGGTAGAATAAACGATTAAGAATGCCATAGGCAAAGATAACGAGAGTAAGAATGAGAGCACTGAGAGGGTTATGGAATGAGACCCGATGGTATGAGTATATGGAATGAGACCCAATGGTATGAGTACTATATGGAATGAGACCCAATGGTATGAGTATTATATGGAATGAGACCCAATGGTAAATTACTATATTGAACAAATTGACCAAACGGTTATAATTACTATATAACATATGCAATACCGTACAAGCCACCTACGTTTACCTCCTTCCTTATATTTTCGTGCACTCTATATCTTTGTGCCGTCTTCAATTTCCTACACCGGCAACGAAAACCTCTTGCCGTGCATCACCTTCGTATAGTAAATGTAAAAAAAGTCAGAATAGATCACCGCCTGCACCAACCCCAGTAAAATACTCGTAGTATCAAGACGGTTTTCGGCAAAATACCGATAAAACCAGTTGGGAATATACAATGCTCTGTACAACCCCAAAGCAAAAATGTAATGGGTGGTGATGTTCTCAGCTTCACCTGTTCTTTGTAATATGAACAACTGCGGCAAGATCGCCACGCTCTCCAACCACAACGAGAAGGTCCAGATCATTTCTCCAGCACGATACTTGCGAGGAAACGCCAACGCCATGAAAACCGATCCGAGCACAAGGTACCTGACAGGAAACTGATCAAAGTCTTCCTGGATGGTTTTTCTGTATTTGGTGGCCATGATGTACACGGTGTACAAAGAAGAGCCGATGAAAAACAACTTCATTATTGTGAGGTAAAACGAGCTGAATTTGAAAACATCGAGGTACCTGGTGACGAACACCACGGCATACAATGCCTGAGTTTTGATGGACAAGCCCTTGATGGAGCGGTTTTTTTCGATTGAGAATAAGAGGATGAAGGCGGCGGCCAAATGTGACATATCACCTAGGAATCTAAAGACGTTCATGGTTGTGGTGTCAGAAAGCAAGTGGGCGAGCGTTGAATGCGAGCGACATGGCGAGGGACATGAGAGCGACAAAGACGTGCGACATGGGAGCGACATGGGAGCGACATAAGAATGCGACATAAGAATGCGACATAAGAATGCGACATAAGAATGCGGCAACCCATAGGTGCGACAAGAGGTGGGACAAGACATGGATGCGACAGCCACAGGATCTACATCCCCATCTCTCCTACCATCTTCTCATAGTCCTCTTCATCATCACCCCCTCCATGGGCCCGGACATGCATTCCATACCGCTTGTCCTCCACAAACTCATACTGTTGCCCGTCTGCGTACTCCACAAGCTCGGCTCGACTCGTGAACCATCGACCATACTCATCCAGATCAATGTTCTGCACAAACTCCACCGCCCCCACCTCTCCCAACTTATCTCCGTGGTCATGGTTGACGCTAAGAGTCTTGAAGCTTTTGATATTTTCCGGGGTACGGAAGTAGATCGCCGAGGGGTAATTGCTGATCCTGTAGCGCTCTAGAAAGTCGCCTGTCTCCATTTGATCCACAAATAAAACGTGAAAGTTATACGGGTAATCGTACGACATCTGTTGGAAGAAGTGTGACGGATACTCATATTCATCAAAAGTGGGCATATAACTCATCGAGAGTACCACAAGGTCATTTTGAAGCGGAAGTGACAAATCAAATGGCTTGATATTACTTTCGATGTCACGGTTGATGACAGGTGTGTGGTCGTTGATAAAATTTATGAGCCCCAACTGATTGCGCAGGCCCGTGTATTTGAGTGCCTGTTGGGTGGTAGCACTGTACAAAAACACCGAGGGATAGGACTGAATCCCAAACTGGCGCTTGAGCTGTGAGGTGTCGGAATTTGACCCATCCACCTCAAGAAGTTGGAATTCTCGGGTATTATCATAATATTCCTGGAGCAGATGATAGGTCGGTTCTAATGCCATACAGGCTGAACATCCTGGCTTGTAGAAATAGATCAAAGAGTACTCGCTGGCATTGAGGGCTGCCAGTGAAGCATCAGAAATGCCAATCACAATACCACCCACGTAGACGGTAAGAAGCCCTTGCCACACGAACAATATCCAAAACAAATACGCCCTGGGTGCTAACATTAGACGAGATCTGGGCTAAGAAACTGCACACGATGGAACTAGGAACAGAGAGTGTGCTTGCAAGTCGGCTCGATTGAGAATTTGGGCGCACCGCGCTGGCGGGAAAAAATACTCCAAACGAGAAACTCTCAGATGGCTGGCTGCAAATACATGAAATGAGAACGTGTCAACCTGGCCAGGAACCACATCGGGAAAGTGAGCAGGTTAAACTCGTCAGTATGAAGTACTATATATAACTGATGAGCCTCTATTTCAACCGCCGCTGACCCTATACACACACGCCAGCCATTGTACGTGCTGGATTGGGGACAAATCGGTCGTATTATCTGGCATCGGATGCCATATCTCACCTTACGGTGGGTTCCCTGTGTGAAGCCACCTGGATTTTGTCAGGTATAAAAGGCCAGCTCAATCCGAGTTCAAATATTGTTACTGTTTGTATTTTGAAGTTCTGTTAATATGAAAGGATCGTTGTTGTCGTTGTCGTTGTTGACGATACTTGCACCCGTGTTAGGAGATTCCGTAGTGGATGACAGTCCCACCAGTGCTGGATCCCATAGCTCCACCATTCCTGGTTTCTTTAAGCTCAGCTGTCAGTCAGGAGAGCCATCATGTACCCTTGCTGCAGTGGCACCCTCTCAGTTTGTGTACAGTAACAATACCGCACCTGTCACTACAAGTTCCGCACCTGTCACTACTACCCCAGTGCCTGTTACTACCAGTACCGTACCTGTCACCACCAGTAACGAGTCCAAAGCTCCAGAAACCATCACTCTGATAGAGACCGTTACTGCCACCGACGTATATGAAGTGGTGGAAACGGTGTGCAACCATGACGGTGAGTGTTATGTGACAACCTTCTATGACTTGTTCACCACATATACCACCACCATTGATGGGGTGGAGACCGTCATCACCTCAGCCATCCCTTACACCGGTACCTTGGCCGCTGATACCACCACCACCGAATCCCAGATTCTCACCGAGGGCGGCGACGGAGTTGCTACTGAAACCGACATCAGCACCACTGTGGTGACCATCACCTCATGCTCGGAGGACAAGTGTGACACAACTGTGGCCACCACTGGCTTGACCACCGTCACCGAAAATGAGACTGTCTATACCACCTACTGTCCTTTGTCCAGTGAAGATGCTGCTGCGACTGCGGGAGAAGTGGCTGCAAATTCGGAGGCTGCGAACACCGACGCTGACGCTGACGCTGGAGAAGATGTCACCCAAACCGTAATTGCCACCACCGTGGTGACTATCACCTCGTGCTCCGACGACAAGTGCGAGACCGCCGAGGTTACCACTGGTTTGACTACCGTCACCGAAAATGAAACCATCTACACCACTTACTGCCCATTGTCTGGCGAGGCAGCGGCAGCAGTTGCTGAGCAAATCAAGACTCCTGAAAGCGAGGCAGAAGCCGTTGCTGAGGAAACAAAAGCTCCTGAAAGCGAGGCAGCAGAAGTTGCCGAGGAGACAAAGACCCCCGAAAGCGATGTCACTATCACATCCACCAAAGACAAGACTATTAATGTGATGGCCAGCAATATCCTCACCCAATCCCCTGCGGCCGCCACCACCGTTTCTCAACTGGCTTCGGTGGCAGCCACTTCTGTACCTCCTATTAACACCTACGAAGGTTCTGGTACCGTTCTTAAGACCGGTTTTGTGGTCATCGCTTTATCTTTCGTGCTTGCCTTGATATAGGCCAGTCAGCTTGGCTATTTTCTTTCGTCCGTAACGTTTCTCACGATTTTGTATATTATTCTGTCTTTTAAAATAAAAGGGTTCCATATAAAAGATGTTTAAAACATCATTCTCTTTGCCTCTAAGCTCCTGACTAGGCGACTTTGACCAATAAGTGGTATTAGTTATTTTGTCCAGATCGTTTTACCTCGAAAAATAATCGTTTTCGCCGGAGGGCCAAAACGACGGAGGTTGTTGGATGGGGGACCGAAAAACCCCAATATCTCATACTCGCAGCAACACCCATCCCCGAAACCACCACCAACCCAGGGAAACTGGGGTCGGAAATCACACCTGGCACAACCCCTGGGAGGTTGTTATGATCGTGCTCGGAGTTGGCAGTAGGGGGTAGGGCTAGCTTGGCATATGAAGGGTGTACAAAGCTCTCTTACTGGGAAATAACTCAAGCCTCCACTCTGACCGGAATCATCGAGGTATACGAGGATTGTGTCAGGTCCTGCAGGAGACGTAGAACCTTGCAATCGTCAGTGGAAGGATCCTAAGCGCCCAAACACTGGTAGCCGCTGGCGTAGGAGGTACACGAGAGAAAAGACGGTGCGACATTAGCCGTGTCTGCTGTAGACATCGTGACAGTGCGACATTAATCGGTTGTCCTTTGGATATTGCGACAACCGGGACAGCGCGACATTAGTCATCGTTCGCGACATATACCGACACTCGCCCACTCAACTCTTCGCGACATTCGCACTTTCTTCTCTCACCACACCAATGGAGGCATACAACGAGTTCATCGAACCCACCCGCGTGTCCCACTGCGTGGGCGCTCACTTCATCTCTCCGTCCCGAAAGCATGTGATCGTCGCCAAAACCTCCGTTTTGCAGGTCTTCGAGGTCCTCCGCGTCAAAAAATCCTTTCGTCTCAACTTGGTCGACCAGTACAAGCTCTTTGGTACCATCACCAGTATTAAACCCATTCGTACCATTGAAAATCCCAAACTCGACTACTTACTTGTGGCCACCCAGCTCGCCAAAATCTCCTTGGTTAGATGGGACCATGCCAGTCACTCCATCCGTACGGTGTCTTTACATTACTACGAAAACGTTATTCAAACATCGACGTTTGACAAGTTGAATAGCGCCGAGTTAATTGTTGAGCCTAAAAACGCCTGTCTTTGTGTACGGTACAAGAACTTGTTGACGTTCTTGCCGTTTACTCGCTTGAAAACAGAAGAAGATGAGTACGCTGATGAAGAAGATGGTGCGGTCACAAACAGCTACGACGGCATCTACGATTCGTCTTTTTTAATTAATGGTCAGAACTTGGACTCGCGGATCGGGACCATCGTCGACGCAGATTTCCTTCACAACTACCGCCAGCCGACGGTGGCGCTTTTGTCGCTGAAAGACCAGGTTTGGGCAGGGAATTTATTTTTTAAAAAAGACAATATCAGTTATATCGTCTTGTCGTTAGACCTCAACACCAAGAAGTCGACCACCGTCTTAAAAATCGACGATTTGCCGTACGACATTGACCGGTTGATCTCTTTGCCCAGTCCGTTGAACGGTAGTTTACTTGTGGGGGCCAATCAACTCATTCACATCGACAATGGGGGCATCACCAGGAAAATCTCCGTCAACCCGTTCACAGACTTGACCACCAAGAACAGCAAAAACTATATTAACTACTCGCACATGAACTTGCGGTTGGAGAACTGCTCGGTGGTGCCGTTGCCCAATGAAAACAAAGTGTTGGTGATTTTACTGACTGGAGAATTCTACATGCTCACGTTTGAAATTGACGGGAAAACCATCAAGCGGCTCACATTTGAGGTGGTGGAAACTAGCCGGTATAATGGCATAAACGTGACTTTTCCTGGCCAATTCGCTGCCTTGGACAATAACTTGTTGTTTGTCGGCAATAAGAACGGTAACAGTCCGTTGATCCAGTACAAATATGAAGGAGCGAAAGAAAAGGCCGTGAAGGAGGACGCTAAAGATGAAGAAGACAATGACGGAGATGAGGAGTTGTACGAAGATGATGAAGAGAAGGTGAAGAGCTTCTCGAAGGAAAAGCTTGATTTCACCCTTTGTGACGAGTTGATCAACCATGGGCCAATCTCAGCATTCACATTTGGATTCTACTCTAACGAAAAGTTCAAGTCCAACTTAATAAACCCCAACTACCAAGAAGTGTCGATATTCTCCAACTCCGGATCTCACAAGCAAAGTCACCTTAACATCTTCACTCCCAGTATCCAACCTACCATCAAATCGTCGTTGACGTTTTCCACAATCAACAAGTTGTGGATTTCGAATAACTTTTTGATCACCTCCGACGATAAGAATCGCAAATCGGAAATCTTTCAGGTGAATAACAATTTTGCTAGAGTGAAGTCCAAGGATTTCATCAATAAAAACTTGACTATAGCCATCCACGAGTTGAATAATGGAAAGTTTATTTTGCAGGTGACTCCCAAAAAGATCTTGCTTTACGACAATAAGTTCAAGAAAAAGATGGCGTTAAACAAAGTTTTGGATAAGGAAAAGGAAGAGGAAGTATTCAACAGTTATTGTACGGATGAGATCTTGATGCTTTTCTTGACCAATGGTGATGTTAAGATCATAGCCATCAACACTTATAACGAAACTTTCACTGAAATCTCGATTCCTAAAATTTTGTCGGATACCATCATCACCACTGGGTACGTCACCAACTCCAATATCTTGAATGCTGTCAGCAAAGATGTCAACTTGTTGATCAAAAATAAAAAGAGAAAGTTTTCCAATTTGGCTGGCGACAGTATATCCAAAGAATCGGAAGAGAGCTTGGGCCCCAAACAAAAAGTGTTCATTTTGGTTACTGGTGATAATAGAATCGTTTTATTCAACAGGTCACACAATGAAAGATGCTATCAGCTTAATGATATCGACAAGTTCACAGACCATTTGCATTTGGGATTTTTTGAGAACAAAGACTCTTATCCTGATCCGTTCATCAAACAGGTGATGTTTAACGAGATTGGTAACGAAATATCCAAGTCTCAATACTTAACGGTCTTGACCATTGGTGGTGAAGTGATTCTCTACAAGTTGTTCTTTGATGGAGAAAACTTCCGGTTTTTGAAAGAGGAAAATTTGCTTATAACAGGAGCACCTCATAGCTCGTTCAATGTCACCACCAAAGTGGAAAGACAACTTTTCCATATTGAGAATTTGAGTGGACTAACTGGTATATTCGTCAGTGGAGACGTTCCATACTATATTGTGAAGACCAACCACTCAATTCCTCGAATCTTCAAGTTCGCCAGAATTCCAATCATGTCGTTTGGGAAATTTGCCAATAATCAGTTGATATTTTTGGACGATAAGAAGAACACTCGTATTTGTGAGATCCCCAGCGAGTTCAACTATGAAAATAACTGGCCAGCCCGACAAATCAATATCGGAGAAACCATTAAGGATGTTGCTTATCATGAAACTTCTAACACCTTTGTGATATCCACCTATAAGGAAATCCCTTACAATTGTTTGGACGAAGAAAACGTGCCGATTGTAGGAATAATGGAAGACAAGCCAAGTGCTTTATCATACAAAGGGTCCATCAAATTGGTATCTCCAATTTCCTGGACTGTCATTGATGAGTTTGAACTTGACGATAATGAGGTTGGTACCAAAGTCAGTTCGATGGTTTTAGATGTTGGATCGTCCACCCGAAGGTTCAAGTCCAAAAGAGAGTTTGTGGTGATTGGTACGGGGAAGCTTCGAATGGAGGATTTGGCAGCCAACGGGTCTTTCAAGGTGCTTGAAATCATCGATGTTATTCCCGAGCCGGGACATCCAGAGACCAACCATAAATTCAAGGAATTCTACAAGGAGGAGACTAAAGGAGCCGTGACGGCTGTGAGTGATGTCAGTGGACGGTTTCTTGTTTCTCAAGGCCAAAAGATCATTGTGAGAGACTTACAAGATGATGGGGTTGTTCCGGTTGCCTTTTTAGACTGCTCAGTGTATGTGAGTGAGAGTAAGAGTTACGGGAACTTTGTACTTTTGGGAGATACCTTGAAGTCCGTGTGGCTTGCTGGATTTGATGCTGAGCCGTACCGAATGATTATGTTAGGAAAAGACTTGAAGCTGATAGATGTCAATTGTGCCGATTTTATCGTCAAGGACGAAGAGTTGTACATTATTGTGGGGGACAACAACAACATCTTGCATCTTCTTAAGTATGATCCAGAAGACCCCAATTCGTCCAACGGACAGCGACTTGTGGAAAAAGCAGCCTTCAACCTCAATGCCAAGGTGACGCAATTAAAGCAGTTGCCCAACTTAATGGACAATTCGACCCTGTGTATTGGGTCCACCATCGAAGGGTCTTTTTTCACGGTGTTCCCCATCAACGAATCATCCTACAGAAGAATGTACATTCTTCAGCAGCAGTTGACGGATAAAGCTTATCACCACTGTGGGTTGAATCCTCGGTTGAATCGGTTTGGAGGCTTGAAGCTCACGGCTAACGAAAGTAACAATAAGCCTATTTTGGACTACGATGTGATCAAGTTGTATGCCAAGTTGAACGAAGATAGAAGGAGAAATATTGGGGCCAAGGTTTCGCGGGAGGGTCTGGAGATCTGGCGGGATATGCTTGAGTTTGAAGCAGGAGTGAAGATGTAAACAATACCATGAAATCAGCGTAGAGACCAGTAGTACCAATACATAAATCAACGTATATCCAACCGACTGGGGCCATACAATTAACGTAGATCCCACGGACTTGGGCCATAAAGTCAACTAGATACCGCACAAACTCAAAACTCAAACTCAAACCAACGCGAAAACCAACTATGCCCAAACAAAAGAGAAAGGTCAAGTTCGATCACGACGACACCGAAGACCAAGAAGCTGTGGTGGTGGCCCGAGTGCCCACCATCATCCACAAATGGGCGACAATTCCCTATCATCTCCCACTCATCCTCGTGGGAATGTTCAAATTCGGCCTAACCTCCCACGTCAAACAAACCTTGGTAAAAGGATACATTTCCCTCATCTGCCTCCAGGCTGTCCACTCCTACATTCTCTACATCAACACGGTTGACTTCCCCGACAGTCTGTCTGGCAAAAAACACAGGAAAAAGAACAAGGACAATTTGGTGTTGTTGATTGCCAGCTCGCTTGTGCTCCCGGTTCTCATGTCCCCAGCGGTATTGGCAATTCTCGTGCTTTTGGGAGCACCGGTCTCGAGCCACGTGATCGAGACCTATCTCCTAGCGGCCCACTTATCGACGGTGGTGGCAACGCCATTGTTGGTGACGTTCAAATTGAACTTTGCCAACTTTGTGTCGGTGTTCAAAAGTCCGGACTTATTCTGTGTGGTGTGTCACCACCAAACCTTACTGAGCGGGTTGTTGGCGTTGGTGGGGACTTGGATCGGGGTGCTTCCGATTCCGCTTGACTGGGATCGTCCATGGCAGGCATGGCCGGTAACATTGGTGGTAGGCACCTATATCGGGTTCTTCGGAGGTTCTGTCATTAATCTTGCCCTATAAGTCAGCAATCATGTAAAAAAATACAACGCATTTTGTAAGCGCATAGAAATAGCCAGGCCGGTGCCAATCTAGAGCGATTGGCTCGACTAATTGTCCAGGAGCACGCAGCACTATTATTAATTGCTGCGCAGTTCCCCCACTATAAATTGCCCGCCAGTCCCCGATAATTTTTCGGACTTCATTCTCACCATGTCTTCTGATCCTACTGACTTTAAGTTAAAATACGTGCCAATTGATGGCTCCAACCATGAATTGACCTCTTGTAAACCTCCGGTCGAACTTGACTTGGCCAAGGAGTTTGCCAGTGGTAAGACAGTGGTGGTGACAGGAGCTCCTGGTGCTTTTACTCCTACTTGTACTGAGCAACATATTCCTGATTATTTGAAGCATATCAAGGACTTCAAGGCCAAAGGTGTGGACCGTGTGATTGTTCTCACTGCCAATGATCCGTTTGTGAACGCTGCCTGGGGAAAGGCCCTTGGGTACGTTGACGATGAAAACTACTTTGTGTTTGCGTCTGACCCGGAGGCAAAATTCTCCAGCAAATTGGGTGGTGATACCTATGCGGTGGATATGTCGAAGGCCGGCATGGGAATTAGAACCTCACGGTACACGTCGATCATCAAGGACGGAAGTTTGACGTTCCTCGGGAACGAAGATACCTTAGGGTTCTCTGATATTTCGGCTGCTTCCACCGTGCTCGAGCGGTTGTAAACATGTAATTGTTTGTATTGAATGTATCATTTTGAGTAACAAGCGTTTGTGGATTTTGCATCTGTAATGTATCATTTTGAAGTAGTGTAGATTTTGCATCTGTTTTGGCAGCCACAAACCGCACCGACGCGACTTTTTTATTCTTCATGTCTAGGTTCCCAGGAATTCCCACTGTGGTGGGTGATACCGACGATGACGCCTCCATCCACTTGAACAGCAAGGTGGGTCCAGCCCGTCCATTACCTCAAATCTCCCCCAAAGAACAGGAAATTGCCAACATTTTGAGCAAACCCTCTGCTGCTCCCAGCTCCCAATACAACGAGGTGTTTGAAACTTACTACCGCAATGGCGGGCACGTAGCCCCCGCCCCCGAGGGCGACGATGTCACCGACCATTCGTCTTCAGGTCTGGACTACGAACCCCAGCTCGATGACTCCACCGATGAAGAACTGGATGAAGATGCCACGGAAGTCGAAACCCCCCATGAAAAATCTCTACTAGAAGAACCCCAAGACATCTCCATCGCCCCAGAACCGCCGATACGGCAGATTCTGCCGTGGAAACAAGCGTTTTTGCTGGTGCTTGCCGGGATAACTTTGGCTGTGGTTGTGATTGAAGTGTGCTACATCTCAGTGGTGTACTCTCGGTCGAAGCACACGGGACACACCGTCGAAAACTACTACGAGGTGAACTCCAAGTTCGAGCAGCTCGGCTCACAAGTGTCACACCTTGCAAGTGAGCACAAAAACCACAAAAAGGCGGTGGAGGAGTTGGCCAACAACCAAAAACACTTGCAGCAGAGTTACGAGCAGTTGTCTGACAACGTCATGAACCGGTTCCACGGCATGGAGAGCAGGTTTGAGACTCTTGACACAAACAAGTCCCAGATTAACGGCGTGATACAAGAAGTACGGGCGTTGAAGGTCCAGTTCGAAAGCGTAAATCTCGTTTCCAATCACACCGAGTTCGACCATAGACTCAACCTTTTGACCTCCAAATTGGACAGGTTGGTCGAGCTCAACGACAATATAGAAACTATCAAGGCCGACGTTCTCGCCACGTTATTTCAAGCCCTCCCCAGCCAGGTCCCTGTCTACACCAAAAACAATAAAATCCACTATATCCCCGAGTTCAACAAGTTCTTGTACAACTTCATCGACAGCTACTTTAAAGAGCACGGCCCCACCGACTGGAACGCGTTTGTACGAGAAAACAAGGAGTCGTTGGACAAGTACGTCAAAGACCTCTTGAGCCAGAGTGGAGTTGATGGTATTGACAAAAGCAGGTTGCACCAACTAGTGGCCGAACAGTTGGCCCAGAATAACCAAGTCATCTTCGACAAGTTCAACAACTTGGTCGACAATCTCAATGTTGACACAAACTCAACCGTGAGTGTCAAACACGACAAAATCTTGCTCAGCAGCCTCTTGGAGATGTTTTCTGAAGGGTCCGTCAACACCAACTACGCTGACTATCGGCTCGGGACCAAGATCTTGGGGTTCTTAACGTCTGTGCCGTCCAACGACAAACCACTTCCACGCAAGCTTCTCCTTGGATGGTACGACTACTTGGTGCAATCGAGTCCTCTGTACACCTCGCTCAAGTTCAATGCCAATAATTTGTTGGTGGACGGAGGCAGCTCCTGGAGATGCCAAACTGACAAAAACGGCTTGTGTTCGGTGGGGATCAAGTTGTCCAGTCCCGTGATTATCACCGACGTGGTGGTGGCCACCGACTCCCAAGATTCGTCGCATAAGGCTATTTCAATCTACGTCAAACCTAAATCATCAAGTGATTATGAAACCATTGCCCGATATTTGAGCGATTTCAAGATGGGGTTTAAATTACCGCAAATATCCAACAAGTACCTCAAGAAATTTATTAAGGTAAAAGAAGCCAGCCTTGACAAGCCTATCAACCATATCAAACTCCCCATTAGTCTTGTAAATTTACAAGTACCAGCTCGAGATCTTTATGTGGAATTCCAAAGCAACCAAGAAGTCCTCGAGGTTCGTAATATTAAGGTTTACGGAATCAGCCAGTACCGGTCGCAGAAATACAGTCAAAAGATGGAGCTTTTAATTGACAACCTCAAACAGGCCCCCGAGCCCGTGAGGATTTATGACGACGTCTCAGTGCTTGGGAGTGACGAGACAATCCTGTAGCCATAGACGGTGGTAAAATTGATATGTATTAGACGAGTGAATGTAACAGACGATCTTGAACGAGTCGAGTGGGGACGAGTGGTGCGGAGACCTACAGCGGCGCCGGGCCAGCCCAACAATCGACAAAACCAAATCTCTACTACAAGCGCGACAGCTGATTTTATTTTTTATTGGAATGGATAAACTAAAGTTAAATCAAATAGTGTGACAGAAATGTAAATTTACCCAGAATAAAGATCACCGTATAAACCTTCCGAAACATAAAAAAGACATTGCTTAGTACAAGATAGCAGCGGCAGCCAAGAGAGCACCGAAAGCTGGAACTTGGTTAGCCAAAGCAGCACCTTCGAAAGAAGCAACAGAAGCAGCAGAGCTGGCAGCAACAGATTGAGCAGCAAGAGTGGTTGGAGCAGCAGAACTGGCGGCTTTAGTGGCAGCAGCAGAAGTCAATGGACAGTAGGTGGTGTAAACAGTGTCGTTTTCAGTGACAGTGGTGACACCAGTGGTGGCCACAGAAGTAGCACACTTGTGGTCGGAACAAGAAGTGATGGTGACAACGGTGGTAGAAATGTCAGTTTCAGTGGCAGTCTCAGCGGTCAATGGACAGTAGGTGGTGTAGATGGTGTCGTTTTCAGTGACAGTAGTCAAACCAGTGGTGGCCACAGAAGTAGCACACTTGTTTTCAGAACAAGAAGTGATGGTGACAACGGTGGTAGCGATGTCAGTAACAGTGGAGGTACTGTTGGTGTAGGCACCCAAGGCTGGGACAGCGACGGCAGCAGCGACAATGGCGGAGGAGAACTTCATGATAGTGAGCGAATGTGTAGAACAAAAACGAGTTAAAGATTTTGTAAATGGGGATTTTTACCATTTATATAGACCAGTGCTAACCTTCCACCGACACACGATTTTATTTAAAACGAAAGGAGTTAATGTATACAAACAGAAGAGAGTTTTATGCAGGTAAATGGCCGTCTGTGTGTCAGAATTTATCTGAATGCGGAAATGGTTGCATCTGTGCTACTCGGCCCTGTATACCAGCCCACCTCCACCACCAGCCATCTAGAAAGTTCTGAGTACCACGAAGGTGAAAGGGGTGGTCTTTGGCATCTCCCGAGGCTGCGCTACCCTTGAAGCTGCATTACATGAAAGAGGGAGGCCTGGACGCAGATGGACTGGGACGCAGACGGGCGATTGTTGATCTGTTGGATGGTCAATGTTGCTGGTAGTCTGTACAGGACCCGGCGCATGTAGATTATTGCTGCAGGCGCTGCGGTTGTGATGGTTGGGATGTGGTTGCGGCAGCCAATACCCTAGGGCGAGGCACGGTGGAATTCCCATGGGATTACACTCCTGTTAGGGGCGATGTGGTGAAAAATTTTAAGGTTTTTTCACCTGACGCGACCCGCATGAAAATTTAAAACGTCAATATTTGGCATTCGAACCCGATGGAAATTCTAATTATAGCCAGAAATCAGTCGGGTGATGAGAGAGATCCTACACACAATGCTTTACAGGTTAAGTAATTAGATTCTGCTCCCCTATTAAAATGTCGCTCTACCAATTCTTACCTCTGCCGCCCGGGAAGAATTATACAATTTTGCATCGTTTGTTTTGTTGTTCATCAGTATTGAAAGATTGCGACATTCTATGACCAAGATTATAACTAGTCTTTGGTATGCAGAGCACCAATTACTGCAATTCAAGTAATGGTCCATTAGCAACGGTGTCCAAGCGTTGGATGTTTCTGTTGGAAACAACACGGTTATATCATCTCGACCGCTCAAGGCAAAACTTCACGAGGACGGTGCAAATTAAAGTAGTGAAGCGACATTTTCTTCCACCAAGGTAAGAACGAACTACCCGCATTCCTGTGATAACCTGCAAAAAATGAAACATAGTAATCGTCTGTGAGGGATTTTCTGCTGTAGGGTTATGCGGAATGAGGGTGTCCAGATTCCTGGTAATTGCGTGCGTCTAAAAAGACATGTTATTTTTTCCCTGCCGAATGGGATTAATTGGGGCGAGGGTACGAAATGCGCACTGTCAAAAAAGGTGTCCCTGCTATCCAACCGAACACTTGGCGCTTAGGACACCTATTGGGGCGGAGACGAGTGTTTGTGTTTGGAACGCGACCGTGTTGAAACCCCCTGCAACATCAATGGTTATAACGCATCGCATTGACAGTTTGTCGTCTTCCCGCATACATTGTAATTTAGTAGATGCATTTGACAGCTCATCGTCTTCCCGCATACATTGTAATTTAGTAGATGCATTTGACAGCTCATCGTCTACCCGCATACACTACGATTTATTAGATGCAATTGACAGCTCATCCATCACATTCTCACAGGCATTCGCCTAATATCTACATGTCGAAATCAAACATACTTTAATCAAACTATTCACTTCAATACTACCTTGAACGAAGCAATTTCAAACCCACGCAATTCCACCTTAAACTTGCCATCTTTCAGGTCTACATCCTCCAACTCATCCTCAATCCCGTTCACACGAATCACCTTCTCAACTCCAAACAATGACGGATCAATCACAATTTCTCCACTTGACAGACCTCCCAAGGACTCATACACCCTGACAATAAACGACTTATGGCCCTTGTTCTTGATAGGAATGTTCTTTTCAAGACTCACGTCTTCGTCGTCCTCGGACCTTTTGATGTGGGATAAAATAATTGAGTCATCTCCCACAAACTTTACCGAGTTGGATATAGCACCTTTGTCCTTGTAGAGTTTGTCTAACTTGTAGTTGAAGTTATATGCCAACTTGACAGTCTCAGGACCCAAGCTCCCCTTGTGGGGGAAAATGGCGTATTCAAACTCATGGTGGCCCATGTCGGCAATGTTGTCGGGAGCTTTTGGCGACCTCAACAATGAAAGTCTCATCAAGTTGCCGTGGATAGAGGCACCATATTTGCTGTTGTTGAACACCGAAACCCCATAGTTATACTCGGACAAGTCCATGAACTTGTGGTGACACACCTCAAACTTGGCCACGTCCCACGAGGTGTTGAAGTGGGTGGCTCTCTTGGTGATTCCAAACTGGGTCTCATAGCTTGCTTCCTGGGCCGTATAAATGGTGGTGGGGAACTGCACCTTCAAAAACTTGTAGGTCTCGTGCCATTCGACGTTACACTTGAACTTGATGTAATTATTGGAACTTGAGCTCGAGCTGATCAAGCCTTCGATCGAAATCTCGGTCTCAATATACGACTGGTCGCTGATTTCGTGTCGAACAAACAACGACGACTTCAACGAGTGGTTGACCACTTTGGTCACCTTCCCACCTTTCAAAAACTTGAACTTCTCGAGTGAGTACAACTCTGTGTCCCAGGCGGGATACGTCAAGGGCTCATCGTCAAACAACAAATATTGGTTTCCACCCACCTCTTCTCCACTATCAGTTTGTTTGGTGTTAGTGGTGTCGATGATTTCCCGATTGTTGGCAAGATCGAGAACAGAAGTGAGCACTCCAGATTTGGTAATTTTGGCTTCAATCACCTGGTTGCTCAACACATAAATCTCGTCTTGTTGTTTGACACTGGCCGGGAACTTAATGTCGTCAAGCGTGTTGATCCCGGTGCTGCTGACCGACACCAACCGGTGGTCACCACACGTCTGGTATTCCAGCACCAGCTTGAATAAGTCATGGGTGGGTGCAAGCTCCATCACCTCGGTTCTGGGCCACGGTAAAGTGTTCAAGGGGACATAGTTGTCCCCGTCCAACTCGCCCAAGGCCCTTTTAAGAAGCTTATCGACAGCTTCCAAGTTCCGGGTCAACATGGGCTTCACTTCTTCGTAGTACACCATTCCAATACACGAACCTGGAATCACGTCATGGAACTGGCAAAGACACAAGTCCTCCCACACATCACGGATTTCCCGGCTGGGATACTTGTAAGTTGGAGCGTTCAAGCTGACGAGGGTGGCAATCCACTCCAAGTCGTGGACCTTAACTTCCAACAACCGTACCCATTTCTTGACGTCTGCTTGGGTGGTGTAGGTGCCTCTGTGGAACTCCAAATAAATCTCACCTCTCCAGGTGGGTAACTTCTTTCCTCCATCGGACCTGTCCAACACGTCGTCGTAAAAGTCTTCCACCGTCTTCCCCATCTGCACCACGGGGATGGCCCCAGTGTTGTTGGCAAACCCTCTTTCCCGTCTAATTTTCTCGAGCATTTCCTCCGTAGGCCCACCACCTCCGTCTCCTTTCCCATAAAGCAACAACCCGGTGGGAACGTCTCGTAAGTTCTTGTGCTGGTGCTGGGACCGCACCACGTCGCCAAAGTCGGCGGAAGCGGTGTAGGTATTGGCTGGAGGCATGTGCACCAATACCTGCGACCCGTCGATTCCTGCCCAGTTGAAAGTACTCAACGGGAACTGGTTGATGTTGTTCCACGACAACTTCTGGGTCAAAAACTTCTCGATCCCTGCGTGCTGACAGATCTGAGGAATCTGGGACGAGTACCCAAAGGTGTCGGGCAACCAGTAGATGGAAGCATAGAGTCCAAACTCGTTCAACTGAAACCGTTGTCCCAACAAAAACTGGCGGATCAAACTCTCTCCATTGGGGAGATTGGTGTCATTCTCCACCCACGAGCCACCAATCGGTAAGAACTGGTTGGTGGTGAACTTTTCCTTGACCTTTTTGAAAATCTCCGGATGGTAAATTTGCAACCATTTAAACTGCTGCATCTGAGATGCCACAAATACATACTCAGGATACTGGTCGGCTATCTTGATCTGCGATGTCCACGACCGCACGATCTTCCGCTTGGTCTCGGCGAACGGCCACAACCACGCGGTGTCTATGTGGCAGTTTCCCACCGCATAGACGTCGATGGAGTTATTCAAAGTGCCATACTCTTCAAACACATCGTCACTATTGACCTTGGCTCCCAACAACCGCTCTGCAAGCGCCCGGCACTTGGAGATGGACGACGCGTCCTCGGCGTCGAATGTGTTCATGATGTCATTGCACACCTGGTTAGCCTGATACTTTTGCCAGCCACTGGGCAATTCTCGAGCCGCATCACTCAAAATCCAAAAGTCATAGAACAACGCCCGGGCGTCGACATTGGGGAGAACCAAGTCGGCCTTCAGCAAACCGAAGTATCGGTTGGGGTCGACGTTGCCGTCCTGGCTGATACCAAACATCCCATTACAGGCAATTTCAAGGTAGTAGGTGCGAGGCTCAGACGTTAAGTACAGTTGGGGGAATGAGAACACGATCCGTTCGCCGCCACCGCTGAACGCCTGCAACGGCTCGCCGTGGTCGCTGTAGATCAACCCTTCGCAATTGCAGTCCCATTCGAGGTCCACCTCCTGGTTTTTATCCAACCATTTCTGAGGAATAGCGATATCGAATTTGAACCAGAAGGTTTTCCAGGATGGGCCGAACGAGTCGCCTTTTTTGGCGGGTTTCCAGTCGAGGGAGTCGAAGTCGATGTCGGCAAATAACGGTCTTTCGGTGTGGCCATTGGGGCCATCAGGTACTTTCCATACCTGTAAATTGGCAATGTCATGTCTCTCGATGTCGTAGAACTTGGGCAAATTCAAGCCGGGGTACTGGCCACCTTTGTCGATGAACTGTCTGAGACGCAGTTCGTACAAGTGGTCAATTGGCTTGAAGTTGGGTTGGTAATTGAACTTGTTGTAAGACATAGGAGTTGTAGAGGAATAGAAAATAGAAGCTGCGGGTATTAAGAAGGCTGCGGGTATTAAGAAGGCTGCGGGTGCTGGCCTAAGTGGGTGCTGGCATATGCGGCGGCGGCGGCGGCTGGCGAGGCATGGCGGTAGGTGCGCATGGGCACCAGGGTCATTAAGGAGCTGGGGATGTCGCAGGGGCATGTCGGGCGCCGCAGTACGGGGTACACCACCACTGGGGCCGCACGCTGCCTGGTCTTGCGAATTTCACCTGCCCTCTGATTCAAACTTTTGTCTTTTTCAACCACTCCTACTGGTATCTCGTTTACTGTGTATTCTATCCTATCTACCAATGTCTACTGGGTCTTCACCTCCTGATCTTCCTCAACATTAAACACATGCTCGTGCTTCTTGATCGAGTCAAAGTGGATAACAGGAAGCGAAGCAGTGAACCCCTTGATCAAGCTGAACTCATTCTTGATAGTACCGCCCAACTCTGAAACCTTGCTCTTGACAGATGCGACATCGGCCTCGCTGGCTTGTTCCTTCAATGTAATAATGTAATCTTTAAAACTCATAGTTAGTTAAAATTCCCAATTGCTGCGACAGGGGATTTCCTCTGGCTTTATACCGCCACTCCTCCTCAGTTGCGCATCAGTCTTTTTTACTTGCAAGTAATGACAGTCATAGATCGTTTTTTACACCGGCTCAGGGACAAGGGCACGTTGATGTATACCGCATTGATAATTGTCGCCACCGGGTACGTGTTCTACTTGATCGATACGGTGCCGCCAGTGCCGCCACCGCCCAAGGCTAGCAAGAAAAAGCCTCTCCCAGGTGCTATTCTTCCCAGGGACGATCACGGACCACCTGGTAGCCCTGTGTCACCACCAGCGAGTCAATAACTACAAGTATCACGGAGTCGATAACTACAAGGGTGGTGGCTCACAAGTATATAAGAAAGCAGTTGCCATATTGGTGAAGCTGGGAAATCGGTCGTGCGTGGCCCCCGCTTCTGATTTGATGAAGAATTTGTAAGCCACACCGCCGGCAATTGGGCAACTATATAAGGGGCGTCGGCCTCGATTTATTTTTCTACGTACAACATCAATTAAAAATGGTTAAAGCAGGTATGTGTGAAAATTTTGATGGTGATGCGTTGTGATTGTGGTATTTATGGTGGTATCTGTGCCCGTATCTGTGCCAATGGCATTGCCAGAGGTACTGGCAATTTTAATTGCTCATGTCGTGGAAAGTATGAGTGTTGCGAATTAGAGTAGCAGACAATTGACACATTGACAATCATGGCAGCATCAGTGATAGCTTCATCCGATACTAACTCCCCTAGTTGCTGTATTGAGAGGTGACGCCAAAGTCACCGGAGTGGTTCACTTTGAACAAGCCTCCGAGTCTGAACCTACCACCATTTCCTGGGAAATCACCGGTAACCAACCAAACGCTTTGAGAGGCTTCCACGTCCATGCCTTTGGTGACAACACCAACGGTTGTACCTCTGCCGGTCCTCACTTCAACCCATTCACCAAGACCCATGGTGCCCCCGAAGACGATGAAAGACATGTGGGTGACTTGGGTAACATCACCACCGACTCTGAGGGTGTTGCCAAGGGTACCAAGCAAGATTTGTTGCTTAAGTTGATTGGTAACAACCACATTATCGGAAGGAGTGTTGTTGTTCACGATGGTGTCGATGACTTGGGTAAGGGTGCTCACGAACTCTCCAAGACCACCGGTAACGCAGGGGGCAGAGCTGCTTGTGGAGTTATTGGTTTAGCTAACTAAGTAGTGAATATCTAAGTATGCAGCTGATGTATTGATGACTCAGATCTACACAATGTGTATTGTAATAAATGCTTTTGTGTATCAAAAATACACTCAATTGACTTGTGCTACACTTAATACACCTTTGCTATGATACATATACACCTTTGCTGTGCTACTTGGGAATATAGTACACCTCGTCGGGACACCGGTCACTGCCAATCTTATCCACCGGCTTATAATCCCCCGTCAAAATAGACCCCTTAACGTGGTAATAGTACCAGATCTCGTTTAATGCACCGTCTTTGCACGAAACATAAACATCCTTTCCAAATGCCTCCTGTAATGCACTCTTGATGTCCACCAATTCATAGGTGTTATCGGTGGTAGGCACAATACTTGCCAGCTCTAAAAATTCGTAGGTATTCAACCCGTCCCACACCTTCGTAACTTTCTGCCAGAACTCAACCGCTGCATCATACTGTTTGTAGACTCCCGTGAAGCACTCAGGCCGAACTGTGTTCATACAAGTTCCATGTTTGTTATACTCATGAGCCCACAATTCTTCATCTGAATCGCCTGCTACATTCGAGGACTCGGTGTTAACCCAGTACGTCTTCATCAACTGGTACAAGTCCGGTTTGTTGAACTGGTTGGCAATCAAGTCAGAGAGGTTGACAGAGTCGGGCACCGCCAAATCAGCATCACAGCTCGCAGGATACCCTGCCAGTTTACCCGAACTGGTAGCACAGTAATCAGACCACAACCCGTGGATCGTGAACGACTTGTTAATGGGGTACGAACTGCTTGGAGCTCCGCTGCGTTTCTTGTTTCTGTGTACCGGCAGATATCCCAAGTCCCGTTTTTTAGCACTGCTAAGTTTGTCTGGGTCGTAATCCCAGAACTGGGTATGCAACATGAGACCAGCTCGTTCAAAACAGCAGCTGTTGGAAGTCACCGTCGTGGAATTTTCACAAGAGTAGGTCGATGACGGGTTGGCCATAAATGCTGAACATGATTGAGTATCGCTTCGTTTGGCTGCAAAACCTGGGTTTGGGTATGCGAAAATCGACAAGCTACCGGCCAAAAGTACGAATGGTTTAATGAACATTTTTTTGGTGGCCTGTCACATCAGCAGCTTGTATCCTTTATATTCGGGCAAGTAACAATGGAATTCCTGAAGATGCCGTACCTTGATAAACCTAAACTGTCGCACCCAGGTGCTAATAAGTGCAGGAATTCAGGGTGCTGATAAACGTGTTGCTTATAGAAAAGCCTTGAGGACAAACGGCTCTAAACCTCACTATCGCACACCAACTCACCGGCGAGTCGAACGTCCTTTCCGGCCCCTACAATCTCAACCACAAACATATTTGCATTTGTGGACGCCCGCTTTAAAAGAAGCTCGCACCGCTCGTGGGCGTACACCGGCCCAGCGTTCTTGTAGGAGATCTGCACCGGCCGGAGGTGCGGGAAAACAGTACGGAACCATGCAACTGCGAGCGTCACCATGAACGGGCCCTGAACAATTACGTCTCTAAGCCCTTCTATTTGGCAGTAGTTTTTGTCGTAGTGGATCTTGTGCAAGTTGCTCGTCAAACAACTATATTGCATAATGTCTGTGCTCGAGATTTGCAAATGGTGAGAGTACTCTGGCATAATTCGACTCAGGCTGGGTGTGTGGGGCTTGAATCGTGAATTTGTGTACATCAACGTCCTCGACTCCACAACTGCCGGTTCAGGGGACTGGTGCTTGTGCGAGAACCGCCTCTCGATGGTCACAAACATTTGATCACCAATGTGCCTAGTGTGCGAAACAACTTCTTGTGAATGCAAAAACTGGTTGGGTGCAACAGGACGGTAAAACATCATCAGGCCCTTTACCCACATCCGTCTGCTGAATATCAGGTCTCCCGTGTCGACGTGGACAGGAGCCTGATAGTTATCGTACCCATCGGCCCCCAATTGCAAGTTGGGCTGGTTATTGTAGAGAAGGTGGTAACCACCGTCAATATCAGGGAACGACACGGGAACTTGTAACACTCGCGACAAAAGCTTATTTAGACGCACTGCACTATCATCCGCCGCCATCAGTGTGAAGTCCCAGACCTTTGCCCGCACCTGCTTAGCCCATATTTGAATTGGAGCAGCCATTCGGTTCAGAAACAAAAGTCGCGACATCATCTCATCTCATTATTTTTTCTCCATCACCATGTCAGAAGATACCACCAAGATCTTGAAAGGGATCAGGAACAAACAGCGGCGGCAGAAGTTGTACGCCGACTTGAAGCACGAGAAAAATAAGGCCAAGCATAAGGCCCGGGCAGAGCGTGCCACTGAGGAGCGTAATGATCCCTCTTTGAAAGAGCAGAGACTCGCAGATAATGTCCCTGAAACATTGGATTCCAAACGAGTCTACGATGAAACGATTGTGGAGGATATGGAAGGCGAAGACGAGTTCGACGCCTACTTCGCTAGTGACAAGCCCCCCAAGCTCTTGTTGACCACCAGCAAATATGCCAAAAAACCCGCCTACGAGTTTGCCGACTTGCTCATGGATTTCTTGCCAGACGTCACCTTTGTCAAGAGAAAGCCCCAGTTCAGTATCAACGACATGGTAAAATTTTGTAACAACAGGGAATATACCGACTTGGTGATCTTGAACGAATTCAACAAGAAAGTAACCGGGTTGACCTTCATACATTTACCCGAAGGACCTACTTTCTACTTCTCCATCACCTCCGTTACCGAAGGTAAGAAAATCAGGGGTCATGGCCGGTCCACGGACCACACACCCGAGTTGATTTTAAACAACTTCAACACTCGTCTTGGGAAAACCGTGGGTAGACTCTTTCAGAGTTTGTTCCCCAAGAAGCCCGAATTCGAAGGAAGACAAGTCATTACGTTACACAATCAGCGAGACTACATTTTCTTTAGAAGACATAGGTACTTGTTCAAGAGTGAAGAACGAGTTGGACTCCAGGAAATAGGGCCCCAATTCACTCTCAAGCTTCGAAGACTCCAAAAGGGTATCCGCGACGAGACAGAGTGGGAGTTCCGCCCCGAGATGGAGAAGGACAAACGCAAGTTCTATTTGTGATTGTGGTTCTTATAGCATGTTATGTATCATAGACGTTTTATTTTTGCAGACACCGGAGGCATCTTCTTTTTGTCCGCCGCGCACTTGTTCCGCCTCATAATAAATATCACTCAAATCTGAATAGGTCCAACAGTTGTTAGTGTTTGTGCCACCGCAGATTTATAGTCCCTCGTACCACTCTCCGGTCACCTGTCATTTAATTGAGTGTACGTCATCACCAGTGTAAGAGATTGTGTACGTGTCGAAATTCACATACTGCCTTCCACCTGCCACATCCACCTCAAATAATGACGATGGATACCAATGGTGTCAACCAGATCATCACCGCCTTACAAGTCGTCTACGACGCCAAGTCCAACAACCAGCAGAGACGAGACGCCCAGGCCTTTCTAGAAACCATCAAAAGTAACGAAGAGAGTCCATTTTGGGGATTCCAATTAGCTCTCTATGAGAACAACAAAGACAATTACATAGTGAGACATTATGGATTACTGTTACTACAACACTCTATAAACAAGCAATTCCACACCTTTTCCTCCCAGAAGGCGTTGACCATCCGTCAATGGGTGGTGGAGTTGGCCAACAAGATCGAGGAGTCAGATCCTCATTACATCAAAGAGAAGCTTGCATTTTTATGGGTAGCCATCGCCAAAAAAGTATGGGGCTGCTATTTGGTGAAAACTTTGAGCGGTGACGACGAGAACCCACCCCAAAAGTTGACGGAGTCGGACATACTTGATGGCTGGGCATCTATGGATTCTGACTTGTGGCATTTGTGGAATCTGAACTTTGCAACCAGAGAGTTGTGTTTGATCATCACCAGAACCTTGTTTGAAGATATATACTTGTTGGATGACCCGGTAGCTATGAAGAGAACAGCCATCTTGAACCAATTGAGCGTGTTGATCGTCACCTCCAACGAGGTGTTGGATAAGCTCTATGACACCAACGAAAACTTGCTGATATGCAAACTGTCCAACGAAGGTTGGTTCAGCACTTGGAGCAGATTGTTGTTGGACGTGTTGCAGAACGACTACAACTCCAAGGAGGTCCAGGTGTTTGTACCCAAGATCTTGGCAACATTCAAGACGTGTTTGCATTGGGTACAACCCGAAATCTTGAGGTCTGAGAACATCATGCAGACCTTGATTAATATTTTGACTATACCCGACACCAAGTTGAAGACGTTGGCCATAGACTGTTTGCATATCTTATTCACTCGAAGTTACTCCACTCATGAAGACTTTGACTTTTTCATAGGTAGTATTTTCACCAGAGAAGGAATCGAAAAACTATCTCAATTCTACAACTCATTGAAAATCGATCCTTCTGACATTGATGAACAAGTTTACTCATTGTTGAAGAAAACTGTGGAAATGATTGTATCGTTGAGTGAATACTTGAATATTTCATTGCCGTCCAAGAACAAAATCGATTGGGAAAAAGCTGATATCGACAACTACTTGAGATTGGTGCTAACCACCACCAACAACCCAAGTTTAATTATTTCAGGACTTTCTTTACAGATGTGGGTTACAATACTAAGGTTCGATGAACTCAGTAACAAATTGAACATGGATGCGATTTTGATGGATTTGTTGGAAATAGCTGCTAATAGAACCATCGACTATACTATCATCGACGAAGACGATGTATCAAGACAATTTCTTGATATGGACTTTGATTCCGTGTCTGATTCTAATTCGTTCTTACTGAATTATAGGAAGTACAACGAAGACATTGTCAGAATTACCGTTTGCAAGAAACCTGAAGATGGTCTTAGTTGGTTAGAGAACCGACTCCAGAATTTCTTTAGCACAGAATTGGGCAGATCATGCATCGAGAAGTACAGAATTGATCCAAAATCTGACGAGATAAACTACGGTAACTCCCAATTTAACATCATTGAAAATTGTATTAGAGGCATTTCGAGATGGAGAATCTGGTATGTCGGTGAGGACTTTGAAACCATCAACAATGGATTGAATTACTTGGTTGAAAACTTGGGAGAAAGATTGTTGGCCTTAAACTTGGCATGCCCCTTGTTAATCAGGAAACAAGTCCAAACAATGGTTCAGTTTGCTCCCCTTTTGAAAGATGTTAGTCCTTTGATGTTTCAGGTTTTAGAAAAGATTTTGACTACTGCAACTTTTGACTATCCTGAAGAAGTCAGTGACGAAGAAAAGGAACTCATCAGAGATTTGAGAACCAGCTGTGGTACCGAGTTGAACCGTTTGGCCTACATCATGCCTGAATCATTGAAGAAAATCTTCAGTGAGTTGGAGACCGTAATTTCCAATATTTTGAGCAGCAAAAAAGTAAGCGATCATGAGAACGTTGCATTCAAGTCCTTCTTGTTAGTCATTGCATCTAGGTCTTCTATCGACAACCGTAACGAGCTTTTTGCTAAGATTGTCGACCCAGATTTATCAGCCTGGTTGAGACCTGACACCGAAAAAGGATTGATGGAGTTGCATTGGTTTATGGAAAGAATTGGAATTGTTGAAATTGCTTCTTACTTTCAGAAACGAGGAATCACAGCAAGTACCAACTTATTGGAAGCCCATATGGATGATGAAGGTAGAGAGTTGAGAAATAAGTTGAAGGACCACTGGTCTTCGATTTTCCCTATCAGAGCCACTAGAATCTTTATTCAATACAGTATTGAGAAGTTGGGTCATGATTCTCAAGAGTACTTGAACTTATTGAAGCTATGGAAACCAAGAGTTCAACCCATTATTCCCCATGTTTTGCAGTTGTTAACCCAGATACAGAATTATCACAACCCCAACAATTGGAAAGAGTTACCAGATGAAGTACAATCATTCGTTAAGTACAGCTGTATGGAACGGTTCTGGCAACAAGGAGTATCTATCCAAAGCAAAGAAACGTTTATTGAAGAGAATGTTAAAGCGGCTTTGACCTTGAGAGATTTTGCTGATTCTGTAGGTCACTTGATAAGATATACCAGGGAATACGCTTTCTTGACCATCGGGTCTTTGTCTCAGTTGGAAGAAACTCTTTATGAGATTCCAGATATTGGATCAATGATTTGGAAAGCCGTTACAGGGGAGATGGCCGGTATCACTCTTCACAGCTGGAAACATATGATCAACAGTTGTTTGAGAAGTGTTGTTAGAAACTGCCCTGCGAAGTTTGTTGAGCCATTTATGTCTGATTTATTGCCTCGGTCCTTTGAGGATTTGGACAAGATCTTGGTCTCCAAGTGGGAAAAGGTGTACGTGAACGGATTACAGCTTCAAGGAAACGAAGATGATGAAACCTTGTCGGAAGAGATGATGGAAGAACATATGTTGCGGCAATTGACAGCTACAGTGGTTCGTTACTTAATTGATATAGTCAGCCAGTTCAACTCCAAGGTCGTCTCCGACACCCAGTTTGCAAGTAAGAAGTTGATAGTTGACAACAAGCAGATTCTTGCGCCGTTCCTCCAGCTTTGCTGTCACATCATTATGTTTAAAGATACCAAGTGCTCGTTCAATACGATTTTGGTGATGCGAAATGTGTTGACAGAAATATTACTCAAAGACGATGAGGTGGATAAGTTCCTTTGTGACAACTTGATCAAGGCATTACTAAGAGTATTAACAGATGATTACTTTGTGGAAACACATTCCGAAGCTGCTACAGCCTTGACGACTTTATATTGTGCCTTGAGATCCAAAAACGACTATCCAGCCCGAATTTTGGTGGAAAATCTCCCTAACATTTCCACCGCCCACATTTCAAATTTCGAGAATCTTTTGGTGAACTCCAAGTCCTTGAAGCACCAACGGTCGGCGTTGTTAGAGCTCATCAAGATCCCCAAGGACAAGTTCAGTGGGAACGACCAAGAAGAAATGAAAGAGCGTAAGAAACAGCTTGAAGCCGCGTCCAACGCCCGCACGAAAAAACTCCAACATGTGGACGTCATGAACGACCCATTTGTGGAGAATGCTCCTTTGAACAACCTTTTCGGTGAAGAATAACCTTTCTATGTATACTACTATTTCTTTGTATATATAACCTCAAAGTACCCCTGCGTGCGCGTACCGTATAGGACAACCGTTTTCGCACTTCGCCTGGTGCGTCGTCTGTTGTGCCCATAGATCAACAAGTCACTCTCTGTTCACAAGTGAAATACTGCCAACCCCAAAATTTAGTGTCAAAAATGCCCATCAAATCTTTAGAATCATACTTGTTTGAAAGGAAGTTGGTAAATACCAGCTCAATTGAGATTCTTCAAAACGCCACCATAGGGATAGACGTGGAACACTACTTGAGCAGAATATACACCTTTAAAAAAGAACAGTTTTTATCTGCCATTGGCGGAGTCCCCAGCTCTTTGAGAGACTATATACATTCAGACTTGAAAGTGTTCAAAGAGTTCAACATCAAACCGATTTTTGTCATCAAGGGGATTGATATCCAGTTGCAAGCACACAATTTACAGACAAACGAATTAACTCCAGGTGAACAGCACTTGGAAAACACCTGGACAAAGTTGAACTCGAGAAACGTCAATTACAACTACACCACAAATGACTCCTTCCGCGTGTTCACCGACCCATTGTCGTTGAGACCCATGATTCACGACTTGATCAAGTACTTTGTCGAGATTGGCATTGACTACATTGTGTGTCCATATGACGCTTCTTTTCAATTGTCTTATTTGTACCACAAGAGAGTCATCGACTCGATCTATGGGTCTACCGACTTATTATTGACCAAGGTCAACAAGTTTATCTTGGGAATGGAGTTCCAGTCCAAAGATTTCAGGTTCATTGATAAACCCAAAGTATTATACGAGTTAAAGCTCACTCATAAGCAATTGTTGGACTTGAGTATCATGGTGGGGTGCAATCTCCAACCCAATACCTTCCCCAGTTTGCCTCTGTTACCACAGCCAAATCCGTTGCAGCCATACCCTCAATTGAGTTACTTCAAGATCGCGTTGGACATCTTGTACCAATTGATAGCGTTTAATGGTGATAACCAGACGGACTTATATCTGTATATTTTGAGCTTGAACGACCAGAGGTGCTTGGATTTGTACTTGAAAGGTCACTCGGCCTTCAGGTATATCCCTGTGTTAAACGACGAGGGTTTTGTGACGTTGTATACTCTTGAAATGCAAAATTTGAACCTTCTCAGCGAGGAAGAAGAAGCTTCCTTGGTGATTCCGGTGAACGAAGAAGGAGAAAAAAAGGTTGAAGCTGGAAGCAAAGGCAAGGCCAAGGCAAAGACCATTCAAATACCCAACGATGTCCACGATATCATCTCGCAGAGATTACCAGCCGAGTTCTACTTTTACCAGTCGATTGGGTTGGCCCCAATTGAACTCTTGGAATCCATAACCCAAGGCCAACTCTACATCCGGCCACCATTGGAGAGTGGATTAAGTGAAAGTTATAAAAAGTTAATCAACTCTCGATTTTATATCGACAACTTGGATGGGTTGTTCAACCTTGTTACCCAATTGTTGGCCAGATATTACCAGGTAAAAAAGATCAAGGTCAATTACTGGTATAAATCCGAGGATTTGGAACTCAACAACCGAATGATTCCTCCTGTATCAAGAAGAATCAACCATTTATTCTCGGTGAATCCAGAGGTTGCAGACTTTAGTTTGGTTAATTTTTTCAAGAATACAAAGGAAACCTACCCCAAAGAACAGTTTGGTGGGTCTATTGGCAACTACAATGAGATCATATCCACTGCGTTGTTGAGGTCCTTGTACTTATATGGTATCATCGACGAAAAGACAAACGAGTTCAACAGCTACGGAAAGGCATTGAAGCAGTTTGTCCAGCAAAACGAAACAAAGCTCGACGATACCACGCTACAGGAACTCGTGTTGGTGATGTTGCTTATCCAGACAAAGTGCTTCAAGTTGAATGACTTACAAACCGAGTACAATGGAGTGGCCAAGTACTTCAAGGATCCCAGTGGAAGCAGTTCTGATGTCAAGTTGGACCCGCAAGAATCCAAACACATAACTCTTCTTGCTCGTATTTTCTCGATCCACAGGCTCCAGATTGCCCCCATAAACTACCAGGGACCCATCTCCAGAAGCTTGTTGAACTTTAGGTCTCATTTGAAGTTCATCTCTACAAACTTGATTTATACCATTCAAAGTTGTTTGATTGACTTGATCGTCCGTCAAGAAAACAACAACGTCAAGATCGACTTCGAAGACAAGGCAGACTGGTGCAAGTTGGTGGACCAGTTGCCGTTCTACAAGGACTTGAACAATACGTTGTTGGGAGTGGTGGCCGAGATATACTTCGGATACAGTGCCAAACAGTCGAAGTTGAACCAGGATTTGACCAAGGACCAAATCGCCGAAAACTCCCGTGAGCAGTTGTTGAACAGTGTATACCAGATCACCAATCCCATCTTCAATATCAATGTTCACGGAGTCAATAGCGTTACCTCCACCCAGTTCTTATCTGATTTCAACAAAGGAGTGGAATTCTGGGGACTGTTTGTGGAGCTTGTCAAGGTCACCAACCAAGTAGATAGCGGTATCATTAGTGATGACTACTGCCAGTCAATAGTCGACACCGAATCATGGATGAAGCAATTTATCTAAGAGTTCCGTCTATACGAATATACTCTCCATAAAACGCGACTTGGGAGACCGTAAAAATTCAACTTCGCATACCATGATGAGTAGAGCCAGAGTTTTGAAACGATTTGTTACGACGTCCACCGACATTTCCAGGGCGGTAGCGACCGAAACGCTTCTCACTGGCACCGGTAATGGCCCATTTATTGAATTGCCCGAGTTTGAACCTCTTGGCAATCCTACGAACTTATTGAGCGTCAAAATGCCCCAGTCGTCAAATCTCAGCATTCGGCATGGGTCGCTCATCGCCATGAACGGCGACTTGGCTGGAGTTTCTAGTGTCAGTAGAAAGCTCTCTGACTCGTTCAAGTTCCAGGTTCTTCAGTCGGAGTCGGCCGTATCGTTGATTGTTGGTGGGAAAATGAAGCCCAACCGCATGAATAACTACACACTTTTACACATCTCGGACAAGAGTGAGACCTGGACCGTGTTCAACGATAGTAGTGTCGTGGCATGGACCGGTTACGGCCTCGAGATTGAGCCCACCCATGTCCTCAGTCGCTGGAATAGTGTGAAGACGATTGGCAAAGGACATGTTCTTGTGAGTGACGGCAATAAGATGCTCGAGATTGACATCCCTGAGCACGAGAGTGTGTTTGTGACACCCAACAGTTTAGTGGCCTCCACGGTGGAACCGGTGTTTCGGACGATACAGACGTTCAATGTGCTTCCAAAGATGCCTCAGTTATCACTTCGGTGGAAAACACCCCGGTTTGTCGCCAACGCGTACGCCCGAGCAGTGGAGCGCTTGGGAGCTCAGAACGTGGTAGCAGAGGTGTCCCGGCTGGCCACGCGGTTCAAGTACCACATCAATAATGTGGTCCTTTTCGTAAGACTCTACGTGGTGAACCGAGTGTTTGGAAAACCTATCTGGGCACAGATCTCGGGTCCCAGCAAACTCCTTGTCAGCACCAATGAACAAGTTCGTGGGGAGCGGGTGTTTACCAAACAAGAGATTGAAGACATTTACCGGACATAAATGTTTGTGGATGCAAAATCGGCCATACCAGTTTTGAACGTTGATGTGCCACGCCAGTGCGAAAATAATTTTAACAATCAAATTGTTGCTTTGTATTAACAGTTAATTATTCATGGAGATCTCTAAACTCACGAGTCCTCAGGAGTGGAAGTACTTTGCCAAGGGAAATGCCAATATCCTTTTTGAGTACACCGGAAGCAATGACTACTTGAGGCATAAGCTTTTACGATTGAGACTTCTCAAGGAGGATGATCAGTACATTTCCACCTGTGAATTGTACGACTTCATTGAGCTCCGATGCAAACACCTCTTTCCCGAAATGATCATCGATATTCAATTGGTGGTTTTGACGGGCGAATTTGTCCATAACTTGGATTCCAATGGTCACAAGATGATGATCCAAGAACGCTACGGGTTGTTACTACCGAACATCTTAGAAGGAGAGAATAACAAACAGGCGTTGTCAAAGAACTGCAACTTGTATTTTGACGATCAATTTAATGCCATCACCCTTGAGTTGAAGCCTAAATGGCTTTATGACAATAAGAACAATAACTATTGTCGGACGTGCCTGTTGAATCAACTCAGAGGATTCGAACGACACTTTTGTCCCTTAGACTTTTTGTACCCTGAGGCCTTACAAGAAGGACTCGATGATGTGTTCAAGGCTGTTCCTGACGACTTGGTACAACAAATTCAAAAAAATATTCCTGTTAAGCAGCTTTTCATGCAATATTTGCAGAGTCCCAAAAATGTGTTTCAAAAACTCAAGCAGTACCAGAAAATTAACGACAAAAATGACTTGATAGAGAACTTGACGTCACCGAACGATGTATCAGTGAACCTCTGGCTCGTGATGACGCTTCGAGATGTAGGGTTGTTTCTCAAGTTTGAGAAGTATGATCGAAACAACAACATCCACAACAGCCATAATAACGTTAACAATCTCATCACTATCGATAATGGAAAGTACCTTTTGACAAGCAATATTTACGACTTGGATCTCAAGTCCAAAAGTAAGTACAAGCATTGGTTGAATATCGAGCATCAATTACAACCCATATATAACTCTTCGAACCCTACGTGGAGATATTGCATTAAACGATAAGCCAACCTAATTCATTTAGTTGTATCTGTACATATAAACTTACCCAGCGTTCGACATGCTGTTGGAAAAGTTTTATATTAATATTATACTTCTACCATACATCTTCTTGATATCTGTTTTGAGTCTTGTAGCTTCTAACGAGCTCAGCTGCCTTTTCTTCAGTGATATCTCTGTCCTTGGCCAAGATTTCCACCAAACTGTGTTGGACATCTCTGGCCATTTTGGAAGCATCTCCACAAACGTAGATAAAAGCACCTTCTTTCAACAAAGCAGCGATTTTTGCGCCATTTTCAGTCAACTTGTGCTGTACGTAAACCTTCTTTGTTGGATCTTCTCTCGAAAAGGCAGTATGCATTTCGAAAGTGTCTCCCAACACCTTGGAGTATTGGGGCCATTCTTCTTTGTACAAGAAGTCTTCATTGGAGTTTCTGCATCCAAAGAACACCAAAGTTTTACCGAGTTCAGCATCAGAAGACTTCTTGATGGCAACTCTTTCTCTGACAAATCCTCTGAATGGTGCAATTCCAGTACCGGGACCAATCAAAATAACTGGCGTTTTGGGGTTGGTTGGCAACTTGAAGGTGGATCTTCTGACATGAACTGGTAATCTATATTTGAGAAACTTGTCTCTAGGCCCATTCAAATCATAAGTGACAGCCGGCTTCTCTGTCTTGTTATTCTGTTCGAGTTGAATGTGTCTCAACAAGTTTGTAACCACACCAGTGACATACCTAGACTCGACCTTTTCAGTCTCAACAACGGCAGTCACATGAATACAGGTTTTTTCACTCAATGAACTTGAACTGATGGAATAGTATCTTTGTTGCAAGTGGCCAAGAGTTTCGATAATAAACTCAAATGGAACCTTTTCCCACGCAACCCCATTGGAAATCTTCAACACGGCATCGGCTATGTTGAGCTTGTGAGCAGAAACTTCGCTTGCAAACAAGGCTTTGTCACCACCCAATTTGATGGCATAAGCCTTAACCGCATCACTTGGAGCAAAACCAGCAATAGACGTGAAAAACTGTCTAGAAACAGGCCCTGAGATTTCCAAGTAGTGTCTCAACACGGACCCGATGGTAGTTGGAGTAGGGAAAGGAATTGAAACGGTTGAGTCCAAAGGCTTCAAGCTGAAAACATCATCTAATTTACCTCCCAAGCCAAATGCCTTTACAAAGTTGCTGATGTTGTAGTCCGAGTTCGAAGGCCAGATAGCCAAGTGGTCACCGGTGGTGTATCTCAAGTTCGTATCGGACAAGTCGAATTCGGCATGAATACAGTTTTTGTCGTTGGAGCTGAACAATTCGCGAGAAGCAGTGATTGGGGCCAAGTAAGGATGGGAATGGTCAAAAGGTCCTTTGGTCAAGTCCTTGGTCGAGTCCAAATACGACTTGTTTGGTTCACCCAAAGAAACCTCTTCACTATCAACAGTCAAAGTAAGTTCATCAACCAACTCGTAACTTGGTTGGTATGACACTTCGTGTTCTTCAAAGTTCAACTCGTTTTTCAACGATTCCATAAGCGAGTCCTTCCAACCCAAAAAGTCTTCGTCCAAGCTTCCAACCCCATCATCTCCCAAGCCAAAGAGACCAAAGGGAGTGGCATTTAACTCTTCCAATTTCTTCTGAGCCTTCTTGGCTATCTCATTGTAGAATTCGTAGGTGGAGTTACCCAAACCGAACACACAAAATTTGAGGCTCGACAAGTCGTCGGCCTCGTTCTCCAAGTAGTCAAAGAACTCGACCGCGTCATCGGTGGGTTCACCTTCTCCGTAGGTTGCAAGTACAAAGAACACCAACACCGAGTCGGAAACCTCGTTCAAGTTGTCGTAATCGAAATCGGACAAGTCCCCAACCAATGTTTTCAAGCTGAATCTGCTGCTCAATTCCTTGGCCAACTTGTGGGAATATTCCTCGGCGGTCCCGGTCTGGGATCCGTACAAAATCACACAGTTCTTACTGTTCTTGGTGATGGTCTCAACCAAGTCTCGAGACTTACCACCGATGTTGGCGGTGAAGCCGGCATTGGTGCCATCGTCGCTGGGGAACACGTAGTCTTTGGCGAAGTAAAGCACGGCCATCAACACCAAGGCGCCGATGACGGTGAAATCTATAGTATCTAAAGCCATTTGCGTTTGTGGACTTATACGACAGGTACAAAATAGGGGGAAAAACCTAGGGGATTAGAACGCAAAGGAGGATTGAACTCAAGTCACAAAAAGGAATCAATCTTGACAGGTGGTACAATCAAGTAGAAACTCCAAGCTTTTAGTAGTAAAAGAAGAAGTATAGGTGTCTGTGGTTTTCCGGGTGAGCTCGAAAAAAATCATGTGGGATCATTTCCATCTCGGCAGCCAGACGCGGAATTTCGCAGATGCAAATGAAAAGTTTGGGAGAGAGGAGTAGAGAAGGATATTGGGTGGGGAGCGCGTGTATCAGGTTGGAGGTGGCAAAGATGTGTGATTAAGGTGTGTATTGTGGTAGATGAATGGGAGTGATGAGTGGTGCAGAGGGGGTTGAGACGTGTTTGTGGTATCTTGGTGCTGAGTGGATGATTCCGCGCAGGTGCTGATAAGTGCGATAACGTCTGCGACTGTGAAGAAAGTTAATTACAGAGGTTAGGGTACCACGATTGGTTGTAATATCTGTTTGGTTGGTGCTTGGTAGCACTGCTTGGGCATGCGAGTAGCTGTAAGCTTGAACATATGATTATTGGACCCAATCATCAATGCCTTTGCCAAACTGCGTCATCGTAGACAACACTGTATACCTGGCTTCACTCCAGCCTGTTTCACCTTGGGTTTCTCATTTTGGCTGCACATGGTATTACAGGCTCTGGAGCCGTCCTAAGATAACGGAGCGTCAACTGCAGCCTCTACTTCCAGGGTCGCCTCCACCTCCGGCCCGGAATCCTGCTGGACATCCTCCCCAAGCTCCTCAAACGTCCGTTTGAACGCCTTTTCGAGCGTCGATAAGGTCCTCGACCGCATCGTCTCGTCAAACTCCTCTCCGTAAACTCCCTCCACAAAGTGGAAGAACGACTCCGGGCCAAACTCCACCATCCCCCGCAGTCCCAAGTTGTAGAACACATGCTCGTCGCTCGCCAGAGCACTGTTGGCAGCCATCGACTTGGTTCTGAAGGCCCGCTTCAAATACAGCTGTTTCTCAAGCTCTGCCAACAACGTCACAGCATTATGGTCAATTGAGGTGTTGGAGGCATTGGGGTCATCGGGAACTCCAAACAGTCGGAGGAGCTTGAGTAGTCGGGATCGTTGGAGATGATTATCTTCAAGAACCACAAGAGCTAGCACCACAGAAACAACCCCCATCTTAGCCAAGTCTCCGTTATCAGACGGAAGCTTGTCTCGCGTGTTCCTGGCGAGAAAGTACTCGTCGTCAAAGACACTCCGGCCATTGTGTTTGTGCACCGAGTCAACATCGACCCAAAGCTTATCAAGAACCTGTCTCTCTTTTTTAGTCATACAATTGACAAGTGAATATGCCAAATTGGCGGTTTTTTTGGCACCTGGCTCCTCGTCTATCACCAGGATACGTAGCCCAAAGCTGGTAGCCAAGAGGGAGTTGGCACGTTCCAACGCCCCGGCAAAATCCTTGGTACCACTCCATCCGTCTGTCAAATGAGACTTTCTGATGATCTTATCAGAAGCCGACCGGGCAAACGCCACGCGGATGATAGATTTGGCGAGGTCGTCGGGCGATGACACCGCCACCCGGTCTCCGGCCTGCGACTGGCTAAACAGTCTGTCGCTGGTGTATTGTGATGCAGAAACCTCGATCTGCGACAGGTTCATATCGAGTTCTTCGTAGTCTTGGACTGAGAGCTTGACGTTTTTACGGGCGACGGGAGGCAGCAGCCTGGTGCCTTCATTTTCAACCGCATCTTCATAGGCGTCCTCATAGGCATCTTCGTAGTCATCATCATTATCACTCGATGGAGATGATCTTCGCTTTGGCATCTTCACCTCGTTTTCGGTGTTTGCGTGAGGCGAAAAAAAAATACTTTAAAGCGCGCGCGGTGCCTCTCAAGCATTTTCTCAGAGTTACGTTGCACACAAACAGGTACTTGACGTACTAAAGCTGCTTTAATTGAAATTGCTAGATACCTCGTGACTTGTTTCTGAAGATGAATGGCCTAGGAAACGGACAGCACGGACCTGGAGCCCCCAGTCACCGCCCACGACCTCACCCGCCACATGGTGGTCCTCAAGGAGGGTCGTCCTCAAAATCAGGGACCCCCTCCACCACCGAGTTCCGAGTCATCCAGTCGGAGCCCCAGGGGGCAAAGCGTCCGGCGAAGGTGGTGGAGCTGGGTCGAAAGAAGCGCCAGAGCGCCCAAGTGGCCAGTTTAAAGAACCAAATGATATATTCTCATGGGGTTTTCAAGCTTCAAAATAGCCCGGCATTGAGAGAAATCCCCATTAAACCTCCTGGTGGAGGAGATATCATGGAAATGTTTCAGAACAAAGGAAACCGTGTGTACGAGTTCATAGAGCCGGAGTTGGCGGAACCCAAACCATCCTATTCTGGGTTACCATTGGAGTCGTTCCCCAATGCCAAAATCAAAAAGGAGTCTCTATGGCCAGCCAAGACCAAAAAACTCAAAACCCGCGTGGAGCCTGATCCAGTACGCCAAGAAGGTAAGGAGATCACCTACAAGTTCCATCTACAAACCTCCAATTCGGATAGCCTCACCAATGAGAGCAGAATTCGAAGTGTTCACAGCCCTAAGGGTAATCCCAAACTCGTGCTGCGGTCGCTAAAAAGTTCCAACGGAATGGTGCCAATTGAGAAAGCTCGAGAGATGGAAAAAGAGCGCCAGAGGCGCCAGAAGTTTGCTGACAAGGAGATACATACCTGGCAGGCGGAGAAGGCCAAGCAGCAGACAGAACAGCAGGAGCTCAAGATGGACAGTTTTCAGCCCTTGGAAAATCTTCTGCAGTTGGAGACGCTAAGGGAATGGGAGGAAGAGAAAGAACGAGTGAGAAAAGAACGAGATTTAGAGGCACAACGGGAAAAGGAAAATCAGAAGCTGCATCAGGAATTGATAGAACAGCAAAAACTGAAACCCGACCTGAAGAAACCTGAGCCCAGGAATTTTGAACTAAAGAGATCATTTCAGCCTGACGAGGAAGCCACGAAAACAGAAACGAACCGAAGCGTGCCCCTTACACCCATATCTCAAGCTTCTGGCTCTATTAAAGTCAAGACTCCTAATACCAACAGTCCGCTACGGGCGTCCAAGAGAATAAAGGTGATCACCCCCAAAAAACCAATTGCTACCACACATTTGGCTCCTTCGTTTGTAACAGAACGTGAGAAAAACTCGAGTGATTTGGAAGAACCATCCAATGATGACTTTTGCAGCGCCTGTGGTGGTTCTGGTGTATTCATTTGCTGTGAAGGATGTCCCAAGTCTTTTCATTTTATTTGTTGTGATCCTCCATTGGATGATTTGCCCGAAGATAACTGGATATGTAGAGACTGTGAGGCCAATCAGAACCCCAAAAATGCCCAGCAGTATGACGATATGGGGATTTTTGGCCAGTTGATGAACAATTTGCTGACATTAAATCCGGTCGAGTTTCAGCTTCCGAAGAGCTTGAGGGACGATACCTTTATCAACGTGGAAACTGATGAACACGGCACCTACGAAGATGACAGCTTGAAACCTCAACTTTCCTACGGTAAGCTCAACGGGTCCCAGATCTCGGGGTATAATTATAATCAAGACTTGGAAATCGAGAAGCTTTACCATAAAAATGGAGATCCGTTCTTGTGCCACAAGTGTGGGCTTTCAGGACTATACGGAAAAACCCTAGTCCACTGTGACTATTGTCCACTTGTGTGGCATATGGATTGTTTGAAAGATCCCATATATACCCCGAAGACGGTGGGATTCAAATGGAGGTGTCCTAATCACTACGAGAATCTTTTCCCTGTTAATCTCTTCTCTAAGCGGAACTTTAAAGACACCCCTATCATGGATGTGGCCCTACACAACCATTTCTTGAAAATTGCTCAACTGCAAAATTTCTTGATCAAGTATAGGGACCAACCGTGGTTGAAGAAAGATGGTTCGGTGGCGACTCTTCAGGAGTATCTTCAGTACGAAATGAAGAACTTCAACAAGCTCAATCCTGACTACGACGATAAAGAAATGCTGGCTGGTAACCACAACACATTGGATAATGACGATGACATCCACGAGGACTTTAATGTTCCCAACTTCTTCAACAACTACCCTATCAAAGGTGGGGTGGTGGCCAAGCCATCAGAGAGGTTGAGTAGAATCATTACCATGACAAATGAAGACGAGTCAAATGGTGGTAAAGTCTGCTCATTTGTATATAGAGTTCCGGAAGAACTGATTGTGCTTGATTTTTTCACCAAGGTTAAAACCGAACTGCAAAAGCGCAAAAGAAGAAAGAAGGTCCAACATTTATCGGTCAGAGATAGAATATTCAGAGACTTGGATAAATACGAAGAGAAACGTAAGGATGAGGCGGACTTCCTATCTAATGCCGAATACTTTCACCAAACCCTGAAGAATGATGGCATAGAACATCTTATAAAGGCAGCACTTGGGTCCACTCCCGAGCCCACTACTCCCCTCTCAAGTGACGAGGTTTCAGAGCTTGTTCACATCAAGAAATTGATCCAGGCTAAAGGCAAGGATGCGTTTATGGAGTTCTTGAAATCGTAATAGACGTTGTACTTTATTAATAATATATACAAGAAACCGTTACAACATGATTAGACTCGCTTACTGGTGTGCTACTGTATTAAGGTCCAAACCTTTCAACACTTCAGGATCCACAGGAGTGGCACCAGTGAGTTGTACCACTTTGGCCAATATGTCACTGTGTGAAATGCCTTCGCAGCTGACTTCTTGGTTGCCAGATTCAGTGTGGATCACCACTTTGGTGGGGCACTTGGCCAACTCTTGATCGGAATCGGTTTGTACTTTGAGGACATGGAACTCGGTATCGTAGTTGTGGAATTTCAAGGTTGGGAGATTGTGTTTCCAAAATTGTCTTAAACCTATCGATGGTTTATGAAGTCTATTCTGTGGTAAGATCAAGTCCAAACGGGTGAATTTTGGGTCGAATTTGAAGGCGGTTGCAGTGCTTCCGTGGATGATATTGATACGAGTAGCCTGTTTCAATAAACGTGACTTGGGAAGCCCCGGAAACATCGAGTTGAGGGTCTTTGGCTTTGCCATGCTGCTAGTGCGGAAGAAACGAATAAAAAATTTTCAAATGGTTAGAGGTTTTCGCGATTTCGTTATCTTTAGCTACTCAACAAAACATTAGTCACAAGAGATATGAAGTCAGTAATAGTGGCACAGGTCAGATTCTACTCCGACAAGGCAGCTAGATTCGTACCCAAGACGGGAGTATACCCCAAAGGTTTTGCCGTGGGAGGAATACATTGCGGGGTGAAGAAAAATGGAAAATTGGACTTGGCCCTCTTGCAAAACCAGCACGGAAACGCTGTAGCTTCAGCAGTATTCACCACCAACAAGTTTAAGGCCGCACCCGTACAAGTGTCCCAACGGATAATCAAGGAAACGGGTGGCCACGGCATCAATTCGTTGGTCATCAACAGTGGTAATGCCAATGCGGTGACAGGAGCCAAAGGTATAAAAGATGCTGAATCGATGGTGACGGCGACAGATGCTGCGTTTGGAAACGGCGAAAACTCTACTTTGGTGATGTCCACAGGAGTGATTGGTCAGAAGTTACCGATTTCACCCATTTTGAAGGGAATTGATACGTTGGCAGGAAGCTTGGGGTCGTCGCACCAACACTGGCTCGACTGTGCCAACGCCATTTGCACCACCGATACGTTTCCCAAACTTGTCACCAAGCAATTTGAGTTGAACGGCATCACCTACACGTTAGCTGGGTTGGCCAAGGGCGCAGGGATGATCAGCCCTAACATGGCAACGTTGTTGGGATTTTTTGTCACCGATGCTCCGGTGACCGCACCTGCTTTACGGCTGATCTTGCAATACTCGGTAGACCGGTCGTTCAACAGTATTTCGGTGGATGGGGACATGTCAACCAATGACACGATTGTGGCCATTGCCAACGGGGCTGCAGGAGGAGAAGTAATTGACCAAACCTCCAGTTCGGCTGTTTCTTATAGCAAATTGAGAAGTGAGGTGACAGACTTTGCCCAGCAGTTGGCACAGTTGGTGGTTCGTGATGGAGAAGGTGCCACCAAGTTCATAACAATTACCGTTAAGGACTCGTTGAGTTTCTCCGATGCCAAAACAATTGCGTCCACCATTGCCAACTCTTCCCTCTTCAAGACAGCCATGTATGGGAAAGATGCCAACTGGGGTCGTATATTATGTGCCATCGGCTACTCAGACGTGAGTCTGTCTTCGTCGGTGCTCCCCGACAGAACCTCGGTGACGTTTGTGCCTTCTGATGGAATTGAGCCATTGAAGGTGTTGGTGGACGGAGAGCCTGAAGAAGTTGACGAGGCTCGCGCATCGGAACTTCTTGAGTTGGAGGACATCAACATCGATATCGACCTAGGAACTGGTGGTGGCCAGAGCGCTTCGTTCTGGACCTGTGACTTATCACACGAGTATGTTACCATCAACGGAGACTACCGGTCATAGATAGACTGTATAATCAAATTGATAGATGCAAAAAACACGGGGTGTCACGTGCTGTGCGCGGTGATGAGGTTGAATCGGGATGCCTGAATCGCGTCTTGTCAGTGGATGCTCATGTCATTTGTGCCAGGAGGATTTGATTTCAGACCCGACAATGTGTCCAAAATCCACCAGTTGACGGTACCAGGATACGAAGGAAAGTACTTCCGAACCATATATGCACTTGTTCTCACTATTTCTCCAGGAGCAGGGAATGGGCCATACCTTCTTCAGGTTACTGACTTTACTAGCAATCTGGCTACAGGAATGCAATTCTTTAACCACTTTCAACCTGATCAGGTATTCCGTATCTTTGCATACCGAGAACGGCTTGAGCGTGTAGTAGAAGGATACCACCAATTGATCGGACTGGGTTTCCCGTCAATGGATGATTTTAATACCACTCAAGAAGTGGTTTCGCACATCTGTGTAATCAGAGCGTACATCACCGTCAAAACATATGGCCTGCAGCTAGAGGGCCGCATAACAAAGGTGATGGTGGTTCCACCGGACTCCTCTGAGTGGGAGACAGCTCCACAACTCCAAGATCTTGGAAAGCAAATAAAAGCCCATTTATACGGACCTTATGCAAACGAGGTCAGACGAGCCATACCTGGAAAATTGTTGGAACTGGTGTCCCATTCCATGTCTCGGATGGAGTCAGACAGGATACGAAATCAGCGGTCAAATAACAGCATAAATAGCCAGCACCCAGATGATAGGACGAGGAGCCCAAGGCTCAAACAGACTTCCGCTCGTGTAATCAGTACTAAAGTGGGCCTTGAGCCAAAGAAAGAAACCCTTGTGAAGCTGGAGAATCTTGAAGATGGGATAGTTCCTGGAAACCACTTTGATGATTTGGTAGATGATAACGAGGAAGTAGACGATGAAAGCTACCAACAGGACCCGAGCCAGGTGACGGATTCGCTTGCGTCTCAGAAGAGACCAAGTAGTCCCAGTATCGCATTTAGGGATGATAACACCATGACTATCAAGAACCTTAAGAATATTAGTTTGACTATCGACAACATAATTTACCGAGTGAACGCAAAAGTACTAGGGGTTGTACCAGAAGCAAAACACATATGTGTCAAGTCGTTCGCTGTGAATGCTGATGGGACCCCTGAAGCTCAGGATCCATATGTTAGGCCTTTCAAAGTAATAATCAGTGATGGAGAGACCCTCGATATCCATTTTGACGGAAAACAGCTTTTAGAAATGGTTAAGGTGTCGGTGGAAGAGTTGTATGCCATACCTACCATGCTTGAAGGATTATTGGAAGGAATTTTTGGGAAAGTAAGACATTTCAGACTCTTCAAGAAGCGCATTCCGTTGAATGGCAATGTGTCGATAGTGGTCTGGACATGTAAAGACTTATTGTGAGTCGAGAAAGTCAGCAATCTCAGCGACAGTTTCTTGGAATATTTCTTCGGTTTCAATGAAAACAGAATGGCTTGCCCGGTCCAAACGAACAAACTTCTTATTGCTGATGGGCAACTTGTCAAAGAAGAGCTTCAGCAGCTTAAAACTGGTCATGGGATCATCTGCACAATGTATCACCAATAACCGAAAATTGGGGTTTATGTTCATGTTCTCGGGTGCCATGTCTGCAAGCTTATTACCCCGTTCAAACATGTACTTGATCTGACCCAAAGTGCAGTTACCCTGGGTGAGAAGCTCTAACTGAAGATAACTGACCCACTCCTCAGCAGTGGTGATGACACTTTTCACATTGATATCTCTATTGATAGACCCCCAAGGAAGGTATGGAAACCATGTAGCTACCCAACCCAATACATATTCCACGTACGGAGAAGGAGCCAAGTGTTGAGCGATTTTGATCAATGGACCAGTTGTGATTACCCCTGCCAATTGGCTTCTACTGTTTCCTTCTATCATATAGTTCAATGATATACCTCCGCCTGCCAGATGGCCCAATAAGTACACCGGGAGTTGGGTCTGGCCTTTGGATGTGGCAGTTCCTACCAATGTTTCAAGCATTTTATCGACATCTTTGTATACTGCAGCCTCTGAGCGGCCACATCTTCCTCTGTACTTTCCAGGAGATGTTCTTCCAGCTCCTCGTTGGTCAAACACAAGGCATTCATAACCGAGAGAACTCAAGTATTCCATAATTCGGTAGTACATGGTGGAGTGCTCACACCAGCCATGGAGGATCAAAATCTTTCCTTTTGGAGGCCCCAGTGCCAGGATTCGGACGGTGTGAAAGCTGATATTGTCATGTTTGATGGTATCTACGACAAGAGGAACCAGTCCCTGGGGCTTATAGGGTATGTCTACCCCAAGTTTGGGTTCTAGTAGAACAGTCATTTAGAGTGCGGCGGTGAGACTTTTGGCAACTTTAGCTGCATCGCGATTAGAAGACAATTTGGACGGGCGGTTTTTTGTATAAAATTCCAAGGGGTGAGAAGGTCGACTAGGCCAAAGCCCCTTCCGGTTGGTCCAACGGAGGTGCTGTAGAATGGTCAAGTATTTCAGAAACTGGACCAAAACTCGCCGACCCTGGCTCTAAAACCGCCGAAACCGGTCCCAAGACCGATCCACTTGAGGCAAGGAGCGAAGTAGCAGCACCCCGCAAACTGCTGGCTCCGCTCCGAAATGCTTGCATGCTTCTGTCAATCCCTGATACCTTTCTCACAAGTTCCACCAACGGCCACGGAAAAGCTCTGAAAATTGGAATAAACTTCCCGTATAACGGCAACCGAATCTCGCCTTGCTGACCTAACGATACCGCCGCCACAATCCTATCGGCCACATACCCGACATCCAACTCAGGTGCAAAAAGACGCGAGGGAGTTGCAACACTTTTGAACATTGGGGTTTTCATTTGCCCTGGGCACACAAGAAGGGTTTTGACCCCACGGTGGAACATTGGCAGACCTAACTCGTATGTCAAGGACTCATGTAAGGCCACCAAGCCGGCTTTGGAGGCCCCATAAACGCTCAAACGAGCAGGAGACATGTATCCCAACACAGAGCCAACCGTAACAATATACCCTCGATTCCTCTCGAGCATGGCGGGCAAAAACGCCTTCACGGTATAGAAGCTGGCGAGAAGGTTGACGTTCAAGATGGTTTCGACCTCGTGGCACGTCAAATCAACAAGTTTCTTACCGGCAGTTATTCCCGCGTTGTTGATGAGAATGGAAGCACTGCCATATTTCAGCTGAATCAGGTTCTGAGCCTCCCATACCTGATCAGTATTCAGAACATCACACTCGTAGTAAACTACACCATCAATGCGGTTTTCTGGTGGAGGAATATGTATGTCAAGTGAGATGACGGTAGCTTTGTGGCTGGCAAACCTTTGTGCCAACTGTTCTCCTAAACCGGAAGCACCGCCCGTGATCACTACCACGTCCCTTGTAGGTGTATACAGTGTTCCTACAAGCTTGTCGGTGGCGTAACGAACCAACCTGTTGGCGTGTAGAAACAATCTGAATAGCATTTGCAGCTGTGGTACAAAGATGTTTTTTGCAACATCTACAGGGCGCGCGCAACTGGAAATAGTCTCACTCTTCAAGTAACATGGAACCACCAACTATTCTACGAATCAAGCGGAAACGCGGGCAGGACCCTCTCCAAGCCTTGATCTTGGAGGAAAGACAATCAGTAAAGCGGTCCAAGCCCACTTCACCGGTGTCGTCGGGTGCTATGACCCCAATTGAAGAACCTGCCAATTTCTACTTTAAGCTCACCAGAACTGATAACTCCCATGATTTGGATGATGCGCTGGTCGTGGCGTCCCTTCTCGCAGAAACCAGTGCCAGTCAGACGACACGGAGCTTTGTGATTCCCAAGCGCCAGACCGAAGAGGATATGGTGATTCCGCATGAGTTGAGTGACATGGTGGAAGACTTTATGATTTCTAACAACAGTACCACGCCCCAGCGTCGCAAGCGACACACGAGTGTTGCCCCGGCACCGCACCTGCTGGTACCAGATGAAGATGAATACGTCTACGATGTGTATCAGCTCGCCACCATCACTGATCAGAACCACCCCAAGTCTCAGATTGGGTACATCAAGTTCTTTGAAGACGATGACGAGCTCAACGGGTCGGAGGACAGCGTGGATCAGGCGCTCTACTCGGACCACGAGGACTCGAATGCTGAGGACTACTACCAAAATGACTATCCCGAGGACGAGGATGCAGATATTGGTGATGATATCCACAACGATTATGGCGATACGGCCTTGGATCTCGAGCCGGACCAGGTCAATGAGTTATATGATTATGTCCAGGTTCACAATGCAGACCTTCTTGATGACGGTTATGTCAGTGCGGATGACGAGGATTATGTGTTTTCTGAGGAAGAAGACGATTCTGAATCTGAAGAGTTTAGCAGACAGAAGTTTTTCGATGGGGAGAGTGACGATGAGCTTGCGATTCACAGAGACAAGATCTTCGACCAACTCCAGCGCATGATTAATGAGGAAGAGTGAGCGGTTCTAGTTTAGATTGTAAACAACCGTTGTGTCTACCAAATTGGCAGTTTGAAAAGATTTACTTTATGCATGTTTTGTCTTCAGGAAAAGAAGAACTTACTATGTACAATCTGGTTGATGTCTAGGTCACCACCTTTGGGGGGCTCTATTACGGACGCCTTCACCAAGATGGGCGTGAATTCCCTGAGCCTGAACGCGACACTCTGGCGAGAGATGTCTGAATACTTCAACATCACATTGTTCTTGCGGAAGTAGAGTGTGGGTTTGTAAATGTTCACCAAATTCTCATAGATCTCAATAATATGTGGGTTCTGAATCTCCATCTCGAGGGCTTTATTAAGGTTATTAGATAACATCTTCTTGTTTTGGTGCCTGAGCTCATAGATTTTATGAAGCATTTCCAAATTGTCTTCATCTCTAATCCATACCACATGGTACGAGTCTTTGAGAGTATTGGTCATATCATCATAAAGACACTTTAGGGCGTCCGAAGAGTGCAAGTCGATGAACAGCTGCCTGAGAATAATGGCAAGTTTGTCGGTGTGTTCTGTCGAAGTCCAGAACGAGTCATGAACTGCCACAAACGGGATACCCTGCTCCTCACACTTTGCACATGTAAGTAACAAGTGGAGGGCGTCTAGGGAGTGGATAAAGTTGGGGGATACTGCATTCAATTGTTTTGTTATGTTGATTTTGCCTTCATCATCGAACTTGCTAACTGAGAATGTTTGCAACCTGGTACTAAGAGTTTTTGTGGACTTCTTGTTGTAAAGTTGAATGATGGGGAACCCTGACATGGAAGTCCACATCATTGGCTTAAAGTTTTGGAATTTGACCAAATCCATGTGTTTGTGTTTCACTTCCTCGAGCCTAATTGTGTTCATCACTCGATAGGTGTTCTTGTACAACCAGTCTTCAACAACAATTAAGTTCTTGAATACGTTGCTGAGTGATAGGGCGATCATACGGGCTATCCGTATGACAATTTCCCTTCTATTGGAGTTGTAGAATTCGAGTTCCTGCTTGTTTAGTTTCTTGGATAGGTCGTGCAGAAGAAGTTCCTCTTGAAGTTGCTCAATCACCCCATGGGGGGTAACCCCATACACTTTTGTCATAATTGGCCGCTTAATTACCTTCCGGGTGATTATCTTGCCAATAATACTATCTATTGGGGTATCTTCAACTTTGGTCAAAATGGTTTCCAATACTTCATTATAGATATCCTGCCTGGTTTCTGAAGGAATGAGGTTAACCGCCTTGCCTCCACCCAGATCCTGCGAGAGTGCAGCATAGTGTTGTAATCCATTGCAAGAACCGTCCTGGTGGATGGGAACCCTACTTTTGTACTCGCTGATATCTCCAGAAAACTCGGAAATCTTCAAAAACTCCTTACATAACCGCAATACTTGCCAGGGACTATCAGCTTCCATCCACCACTTGTTCTGCATGGGGTCCCTTGCAGAGCTCAAGACAAAGTTGTAATTGGCATCGACAAACTCGATTCTATCTTCCATGGGAAGCTTGTCTTTCCCATAAAGACCTGCTAACTGATACTTTAACCAGTTTAAACCATTGGAACCAAGAGGATGAGGATCCCAGAACTGCAACAACGAACGGGTGACATCCTCGTCTTGATAACTAAGCACCGAAACCATTGGGTACACTCTGCCTCTGAAATCAACATTATGCGGTAGGTACATGATATTGTCTTTGAAAGCATTGGCTATTTTCATGATCAAGTTATATTTGACCCGCTTGGACTTCTGCCGTTCATACATCAACTTTGAGTAGCGAGATTTGTCAAGTTTGGTGATGAGATCAATCTTGGGAGGAATGCCTAAAATGCCACCTTCCTTCTCCATGGCAGTATTGAAAACTTTCAACATATCTTGGTCTAAGCACCAAGGAACGGAGCCCATGTAACTCAAGTTCCGATAAAGGAAGTCCAATTGACCCGATGTGTTGGCACGCTTCAAGTAAAGAAGGTAGGCAGGTTCGTTCAAATTGCTGATGATTGACTTGATGTTGTTCAAGTATCCTCCCTCATCTGGACTGACCCATTTTTTGGGCGGCACAAGCATCGGAAGAAACAACCGATCGAAGCCAATCTGAAGCTCTGAAGCTTTCATTTCGTAGAAAACATAAGGGTTTAGACTCAACTTTCCGTATTTTGATTTGGGCAACCTTATGATTTGGTGATGAAAGAGGTTTCCTCCAAACCAGTTTGTTTCGCCTTCAAATTCTTGAGGGACCTGCACTTTGCAGTGGCCAACGAGAAGTTTGACGATAATACTGAAGAGCTTGACGAGCTCTGACATTGGCACCGGTACCTCAAGACCATGCTCAACGTACACCAACCGGGTAAACGTTTGAGCAGCTGATGAAATCAACGTGTACAATCGGATCTCCTTGGTTGACAGTGTGTGCAGCAATGCCTTTGAGAGAACCATACTGACAGTGACCTCGGTGGGCAATAGTTTGATGTAGTTTTTATACTTTAACATGGCTTCCTCGTCTTCATCCTGCGGAACGTAGTCATCCAATAGCATTTTATCAACAACATCGGTAAAACTCATCCACTGGTTTACCATATCGGCCTTGGACCGGCTGAATATGGACAATCCTATTAACAGCTTACGGACATTGTTCACTAACGACAAACAGTGTAATTCCACTGCGTCCTGCTTTGTTCTATTGAACTCAAGATACTTTTGCATGAATTGAACCTTTTCTTTTGGGCCCAACGCATCATAGAACTCATAGAGGGGCTGCTCACCATTCTTGAATGGCACAGCAATGTACTTGCACAACCCGTCAAGATCTAGCATTCCTCGGTCCTTATAATGGTTGATACTCAATTCGTTTGAGGTTTGAGCAGGCTGAACCTTCAAATTGAGCTTTGAAGACGCCGAAAGCTCGGCCAAGTATGGGAGGATCTGTTTGTCGACATACTTGTGGATGTCTTCTGACGGTAGGTTCAACTGACGGAGGGTGTGGGACAAAAATGTCGCTAGTGAGAGCTTCTTCGCCTTTGAAGAGGTCTCATTTTGCCAGGAATACACCAAGCAGCTGATGAGACTACGGACGGTTTCTTCATCGTGAAGGTCGACAATGTTGAATTCTGTGACGATCTGTGTCAAGTCGTAGGAGTTGATGAACGCCGGGTGTTTCAAGTAGTTCTGGAGTAGAAGGTTCAAACATGCTATTTTGATTGATGGTTGGGGATGAGCATCGTACAACTTCAAAAGATGGGTTCGCTGGCGTGATAAGCTGTTGATATTTATGGCTCCGAGGAAGTCATCGAGGACTCGAGCGACTTTGGGCGTCTGTCTCGATAGGTTTCGTAGGGGTATGAAATTGCAGCGTTGCAATCGGAGGAGCATGGGGGAAAATGTTAGCGCGATGCGGAAGATGAGATACGACGTGTGATGATACTCAGTCTAATAGTGTTGGAAAGGGACGTTGCTACGGATGGCAGAATGCAATTGAATTAAGTCTATGGATTAGTTGTTGTTGTCTGTCTCAATATTGAAGGTGACCAGCGGAAAGTTGATTTCGTTGGTGATGACACTGTTAATGCCAAAACTCTTCAATGTTCCCTTCATCACGCCATTGACGTACAGCAAGTAGTGGCTTATCATTACCGGGGCGTCGGGGCGAGATACATCGAAATTTTCGATGGGCTTGAAGTTGGAGTCCACCAACACAAATGTCCCTCTATGGTTGGTACGGAGGTTACTGATTTGTTTTTTGAAGAGGATTTTCCAGAAATCCTTGCAGATGAACTTCATGATGTCAAGAACAGTTTCCAAGTCTTCGTTGTTCTTGGAGAACTGATCAGCTAGTTTAAAGAGTAGAAGCTCGTTGAGTTTGATGCCTAGTTTATACCCAAGTAATTCGATTTTAAGGTTGACTTGATCAGTGGAAAGACCATGGGACCTTGATACCTCAATTATGGTGGGGATCATCTCCATGATGAGAAGCTTAAATAGCGTGTTGTTGATCTGTGGAGATTCCATGCTTAGTTAAAGGGACGTGGATATGTGTAGTATCGCGAGTGCGAGAATAATGTTCGATCTCTCAGTGATTTCAACTTGGAGAAAACAGGCTGATTGGAAGAATATGTGTCTGATTCCACCTGTAGGTGGCAATAAATTAAAACCTTAAAGGCAGTAAAATATACTCAATTCTTATTGTACAAACAACGGGGGACTGATGGCAAAAATATGGAAATATGGTACTATCAGGGGGTTTTTATATAACCGTGAGGGATTTGACACAAACAGAAGGCCGACAGGAGTTTGCGGGGAAGGGGGTGTAAGACCTGTTGTTTTGTACGAGAGTGTGATGGGAGATTTAAACGTACGTTCAGGAGAGTTTGATGGTTGGCTTGGAAGGCATAAAAGGGTTTCTGGGTATGTACGGTATACGCACGACTATCATTTTGTCCGGAGGCAGCAGCCCCTTACTGAGTGGTACACACCTGCACTTAAATCGTGCGCCTGGCTACATGGCTAAAAAGGGGGGCCCGCCTCTGAGTCATTTCCGAAACGGGCTGTGATTGGCCAGCGACACAGAAAATGGTCTGAACTTTACGCGTGGATGGCCTGCCAAGTGATGGCCCAAGCACCACTGGCCTCCCAGGAACCTATTGCGTAAATGTAGGACCGGTCACGCGCTAACCAGCGTTATCCCGCCCAAACGGGCTAGGCCCATCTACCCTCCCAGCGGGTCGCAGGCTTCTGTCAAGGCCCCCTCGCCTACCAGGGCCTTGTGATGCAAATTGGTTATACACGTTCTTGGGCAATTACAAAGGAATTTCTCCTGATAGCAGGTCCATCAGTAACAACCATTCACTCCCAGGGACTTGAGGCCCAACTTTCAATGGGGTTAAGGTACCTTTAATCTATGCATTTTCAGGAGCTCCAGAGCGCACCCGACTCTCGTCTGCCAGGCAAAAACGCTGGCTAACGCCAGCGCGAGCATTTTGGGGCAAAAGGCCTGGTGCGCGCACGCAGCGCGCACTTTTTTGAGGTTTTTTTTGTTGTTCCCTTTTTCTTAAAAAAAAACTAATACCAGTTTTAACACACCTTCCAACATCAAGTTATCACCGGTGTTAGCATTGTAACACCTAGTTCAAACTCACACAAACTATTTTCATCTTTCCCGCGGCCCAGAATCCCCCCACAAAACCCCGTTACCAGATTGATTGTGTGCATCGCACCAGCGAGTAGTGTAACCGAGTCCAAAATCCCATGACCATGTCTGACCATTATAATATCCAGTTGGACACAAACGCACCACTGCAGATGATTCACCCCCACCCGCAAACAGTGCTACCACCTACCTCCCAGCACTTGGCGCCACTACTAGTGCCCCCATCCGGAGTCAACACCTTGGGCGATGTGCAAGTGCAAGTACCTCCAACCCTGGTAGGAGGTTCCAGCAGTGGCCCCAACAGTGGTGGTCCTGCGTCAGCGCCGCTGGCACTTCCGTCGGTGGTAGAAGCGCCCACCAGCTCCTCGGCCTTTGTGCTAAAGATCCATAACATTCCGCACGACGTGTCGGTCCGCGAGGCCACCCTTGTGTTTGCCCTTGTGATTGATCATATCGTCAAGATTGACTTGAACGCCAACGAGCATGTGATCAGCGCCTACTTCAACAACTTCAACACGTGCTTGACCACCTACAAGTTACTCCACCAAAAGTGCATTTTTGGAAACGATGTGCCTGTGAGTGTGGAGATGGAAGAAAGTTTAGGGTTAGACTTCAACCAGTTGCTGTTGCGCAACGGTGGCAGCACCGGTGCCAGTGCAAGTGGCACCGTGCGCCTGCGGTTCTCATTCAGCGACCCGTTCGAATTTGACAAGGACCTCGAGTCGCAGACCAGCAGCCAGCCCCAAACTCCCATTAACAACTTAAACTTTGACTGGAGCCAATCCAATTCTGCATCTTTAGCATCCAAAAACACCTCTTCGTCTCGAAGAACGTCGTCAGCATTTTTCCAATCCAACTTTTCCAATAACTTGTTGAACAACTCGTTTTTGTCGCAGCCGCTCGGGCAGCCGATTGTGGGCCAGTCGCTCATGCAGCCGATGGGCCAAATCCCTGCGCCGCAGCTGGTGCTGCAAACGCTGCCGGACGCGCCGTCGGCGAGTGTGAATGTTCAGTCGGGAACTGCTCTTGGTGCCAGTGCGAACTCCGGCCAGGCCCAGCCTCCTCTGCAGAACGGGTCTGTCTCCAGCACCGCGGCCAACACCGCCCCCACCCCTCCTGGTACCACTGCCAGCGCGCCCGCATCGACCCAATCGGCGCCGGCCACCGCCGTGTCGCCCTCGGCCTCGGCCGCCCAGCCGTCTGCCGCCATCACCAGTCCCATTCAACAGGTGGCTGGTGGGGCTCGCAAGGACGTACCAGACTTATCACTCTTGGCCCGTGTCCCTCCCCCTGCCAACCCGGCCGACCAGAACCCTCCCTGCAATACCCTTTACGTGGGAAACTTACCACCAGACGCTACCGAACAGGAATTGCGGGCTTTGTTCTCTCCTCAAAAAGGTTTCAGACGCTTGCTGTTCCGCACAAAAGCAAATGCATCAGGCTCTGGTTCCAACAACCATGGACCCATGTGCTTTGTGGAGTTTGAAGACGTGGCCCATGCCACCAGGGCGTTGGCTGAGCTTTATGGCCGTATCTTACCACGGCCATCTAGTTCCAACGGTAAGGGAGGTATCCGGTTGTCGTTCTCCAAGAACCCATTGGGTGTGCGTGGCTCTCAAAGACGGTCCTCGTCGAATCAAGTCAATAACGGCACCTTCAATTATAACTATCATATGAAACCGTGAACGGGATCACTTATGGATCATTGCATTGTGTATGGTTTATCCATCTTGTACTTTAGTAATCATAATTATGATTTTCATGATTTGGTTGTAATTATATGTAACTACATAGAATGTATTATTCGCTGGGAGGAGAACAACAGGTATACATTAAAAAAATGGGTGTAGAACTGAATATCACAAGATGGAGTAACTTCTACGCGATCGGTGCTGAAGGCCCAAAGTAGAACGTCAAGTTGTCTTCAGACTCGCTTATTGAGCTGATGGACGAGTCGCTCGCTACTCTCATGACCGGGTACTCTGTAGTGGATTCATCTTCTTTCTTGATATCTTCTGCAGTGGTGATATCCAACGAGCCCGTCCGCACAGTGGAACAAGTGTAGTGATCAGAGAAAAGCTGTTCGTCGTCACTCGTCTCACGCTTGACTGAAACCTTCTTCTTCTTCAGTTTGCTAGTGTGGGCCTTAGTTGCAACCTTTTTTTGTTTATGCTTCTTGTGGGTTTGCACATCACCTTTTGATTTAGCAATAGCTCCAGCTTTCTTTGGTTTGGTAATAACTGGAGTTTTCTTTGGTTTTTTTGGTTCCTTTGGCTCTTTCGGTTTCTCCTTTACTTCAAGACTAAAGATATCTTCATTGAGCATGTTCGGCTGGATTTCCCTCAAGGTCACTTTGTCCAAGTTGGATACCCGAATTAAAACCACGTTTTGATGTAAGAGGTACCGTTCTTGGTCCGAGCACTGAGCAAGAAGATCGAGGTTAACTCCATACCGGAAATAAAATCTCTCGTACAAACTCAAATAGAATAATTCGTATATCAATTTTTGCACCTGGTACCTCCAGCCTTCGATGTTTGCCGACAAGGCGTTCAAGTTGCGGACCGACGTCTTCAACTTCACCAAATCGATGTCCTTGTTTCTCAAGATACTGACTAGCAACTCGATCCGATTAAACTTGTCCAAGTGATCGGGCTCGACGTGGGGGACTTGCAGTGGCCACCACGAGGGTGTTTCGGCCATTCTGTATGGAAACAACCCTTGTTTCTGAGGACAAATTACCTTGATCCACTCTTTGGCAATCACCTTGCAGATTACCTGAGACATGGCGCCAAATAGATCTTCGTACTGGGATTTCAAGCGACACCCGCAGAACTGCTTCAATTCAAATACCCGATTATCTTTCAAGCACGGCTTGATGTCTAAGAACACTGAGGATGTGAGGTCATGTTGACCATCCAAGATCTGCCGAATCATCAACGTTTGATTTTTCGACAATGAGTTCCAGACAGGGGTGGCCACCGGAACATTGGTGGGGGAGGTATTTGAAAGTGTCATGCTAATGGCTGGGGATACTAATGCCTTTGAATAACCAAAAAAGTCGAAATCAACCAATGTGGTACTTGGTTTCACGATGCTAAATAATTTCGCAACAACCTGAAACAAATACGAACAGGAGGCTGATGCTGAATGAGGAATGTATGAGCTTAACGAAGCAAAGAGAAGAAAAAGCAGATGATATGAGTCTCCATTCGCAGGGAATGTCGACTCCCTTTATAGTTTTCCCACAAACCGCCTTTGTGAAAAATCCACCACATTTCTCGCTTGATGATAAACTGTATTGCCGTTTTTTGCAACCATTTTTCGTCCGAGCCAGTGGTTTCGAAGGGGTCCACCTAAAACTCTGTCTTATCAAAACCGCTTATTTATGTGGATTTGAGCACCTGGAGGTAGCAAAAGTTTGATTGGAGGAGCCGAGCGGAGCTGTTTCAGTGGTTTTTAGACCGAACGAAAGCGGTTAAATTGGGCTGGTGGATGAACGATATAATCTCCGGGATTTCCAACAAAACTGACAGCCCTAGTTGAATTCTTTTACCAGTGTCACAAATTTGATTCGATAATAGGGTATATGGTGCTTGTCTTGTTTACATTTGAATTCTTTCTTTCCAGGATCATAAACACGTCTTAAGCCGTAAATGCACAGACATGGGAAAAAAAGATCAGCATGAGTTGGGACAATATCACGGAGACTTGGTGCTGTAGTTTTATATAATTGTACCCCATACTCCTCAAATCTAATTGTGATTGTGACCGACAGGTGTTTAGCCATGTCCGGGGCCGACATTTTTGTGGCACTGGCGTACTAATGATATCGGGGAAGGATCGGCGACAGAGGTGACATTTATGCGAGGCCAGGTTAATGTCAGTTGGCTGCCACTAGTACCGATATCCTGGAGGCTATCCCTTGATGATTCGTGGCGAGTGTGGCCGTGTGTTCTAGCATCCCAATGACCTACGAGCGCTCGACACCTACAGGAGCATCAAATACGCGGGGGTCAAGATTCGAGGGTCTAACATTCGAGGGGTCAAGATTCGAGGGATTAACATTCGAGGGGCATCCAGATACACGGAGACACCATACCGACCCCAGTTTGAGATACAGGTCTGTGCGGTGGTTGGTATAATTCCGAAAAGTGGAGCACAATCCCACCAAACTTTCCGTTTACACCCCACCCCTATGATACCCATTATATAAACCAAGGCAAAAGTCCCAGTATTACCCCATACCATGACCGGATTTCTCAAAGTAAGTGGCACCAAGATCGTCGACCAGACAGGAACTCCAGTGGTTCTCACAGGCGCCGCTACCGGCGGTCACTTGAATATGGAAAACTTCATTACCGGGTACCCAGGCCATGAAACCGAACACAAAAAGGTGATTCTTAGCAAAATTGGCCAGGAGAAATTCGACTATTTTTTCGACAAGTTCTACGAGTACTTTTGGACCAAAGAGGATGCCAAGTTCTAAAAGCACTTGGGATTCAATTGCTTGCGAATTCCCTTTAACTACCGCCATTTTTTGGATGACGACGGTGACCTTTTCAGTGTCAATGCCAAAGGATTCGAACGGTTGGACCGCTTGGTCGACACCTGTGCAGCAAATGGAATTTACACAATCTTGGACCTCCACACAGTACCTGGTGGCCAGTGCCAGCAGTGGTTTAGCGATAGCCCCACCCATTTCTCTTGGTTCTGGGACTTCAAGGTGTTCCAGGACGCGATTGTGCACTTATGGCTGCAAATCGCACATTACTATAAGGACAACCAATGGGTGGCCGGATACAACCCGTTGAACGAGCCGGCGTCCAGTGACCACTCCAAGTTAGTCAGATTCTACGAGAGAATCGAAAAGGCCATTCGAGGCGTCGACCCTCATCATGTTTTGTTCTTGGACGGAAACACGTATGCGATGGACTTCAGCCAGTTTCCTGACCAGCCGTTTTCGAACAGCGTATATGCCATTCACGACTACACATTGTACGGATTCCCACGAGGACTTATTGGAACCGGGTTTGTGGAACCTTACCAAGGGACAGAGGCACAAAAGGCTCAGTTGCAGAAACAATACCAGCGCAAAGTCCAGTACATGAAACAGCACGGGATCCCCGTGTGGAACGGAGAGTTTGGCCCCGTATATGCCAGCAGCTTCCGTGGAGACGTTGACCCGGAAGCCACCAACCGCGTGCGGTACCAGGTATTGAAGGACCAGTTGGAAGTGTACAAGCACGGAGACCCATCTGGCGACGGCTCAGCCATCAGCTGGTCAATCTGGCTCTACAAGGACATCGGTCTCCAGGGCCTCACATACGTGTCGGAAGATTCTAAATGGTTTGAGGTATTTGGAAAATGGTTGCAAAAAAAGAAGAAGCTTGGTTTGGACGCTTGGGGCAACGATATCGATCCGGAGTACCAGAAGTTGTACACGCGGTTAGGGGAACATATCAAAGCGAATGTACCTGAAAAGTACCACCGGGTGATGTATCCGCCGATTATGGATATTGATGGGTATGTGAATCGAGTCACGCGGGAGATGTTATTCTCCCAGTACTGTCAGCATGAGTATGCGGATTTGTTTGTGGGGATGGACTTTGACGAGTTGGACGAGTTGGCGGCATCGTTCAAGTTGGAGAATTGTGCTAGGCGGTGGGAGTTGGAGGAAGTGTTACGGGGGTACAGTGAAGAGAGTACGAAATAGAGAAGTATGTAGTGGGTGTATGGGTCAGAGGCGAATGGTGAGGAATCAGAATTAGGATATCTCAAACAGGCTCTGCACACTTCCCACGAATATTCGCCGCAGATTCTCTGCCGTTGAAACACTCCGAATAATATCTAGATACTACGCCAATCAATATATATCCGTCAGGCTGCTGAACCAGCTCCATATGACCTGACTGCCATAACCTCCACCGCGTCCGCCAACGGAAAACTACCCCAAAATCAGATTTCCACTCTTGCACCCCACCGTTGAACATTTCCGAGATGCAATCCGAGAAGAACGCGATATTTCCCCAATGGGGCAACATCGCCGCTTTGTCACCACCTGAACCCCAGTCTGCCAAACCTGGGGCTCGTGCGGATCGATACCCTTAATCCAGATTTTTTCCCCAGATATATATAAACCCCCCAGATTTCCTCATTCCCACCCCAAAACCTCAATCATGGTTAAAACTCTCGACGTGGATAGTTTGATCGACCAATTGACTTTAGAAGAGAAAATCTCTCTTTTGGCCGGGAATGACTCCTGGCATACAGTTCCCATCCCCCGACTCGGAATTCCATCTCTTAGGGTCAGTGATGGCCCCAATGGGGTCAGAGGAATTAAGTTCTTCAACGGGGTGCCTTCCAACTGTTTTGTGTGCGGAACCGGTTTGGCTGCAACTTTCAACAAACTGCTTCTCAAAAATTGTGGGCAGATGATGGGACAAGAAGCCAAAGCTCGGGGTGTCCACTGCATCCTTGGCCCCACCTGTAATACAGCACGGTCGCCGCTCGGCGGTCGTTCGTTCGAGAGTTACGGCGAGGACCCGGTTTTGTCGGGGTACGCGGCCGCCAGCATCGTCGCGGGAATCCAGCTGGAAAAAGTCCTGGCATGCTTGAAACATTTTGTATGCAACGACCAGGAGGATGAGAGAAAAGCGGTTGACACCTACTTGACGGAACGGGCGTTGCGGGAAATCTACATGAAGCCATTCCAGATCGCTCTTCGTGATGCCCACCCCAACGTAATTATGACTGCCTACAACATGATCGACGGCGAGCATGTTTCGCAGTCCAAGCGGTTTTTGCAGCAAATCCTTAGGCATGAATGGAAGTTCAATGGAGCTGTCATGTCCGATTGGTTTGGCACATACTCCACCAAAGAAGCTTTGGATGCCGGACTTACCCTCGAAATGCCCGGTCCTACACGGTTTCGGCAAATCGTACAAACCTCTCACAAAGTGTATTCCAATGAGATCCACACCGATACCATTGATCAGAATGTGCGGGATCTCTTGAACCTTGTCAACGAAAGCATCAAACCCGATATCGGCGAGAACATCGTGGAGCGTGAGAACGATGACCCGGCGGCCGAGGCGTTGTTGCGTCAATCAGGGGCTGAAGCGGTGGTATTGTTGAAGAATACCGGGATCTTGCCATTGGACAAGAAAACCCCCCAGAAAATCGTCATCCTTGGCCCCAACGCCAAGGTGTGCCAGGATTCAGGCGGGGGCTCTGCATCAATGGCGGCCCGGTACAAAATCACCCCTTTTGAAGGTATTGTCAAAAAGGTCAAGGAAGGTGGAAATAAGGCCACCATCGAGTACGCCATTGGGGCACATCTTGACAAGAACCTCCCAGATGTAGCTGATGTGTTGGTATCAAAAGGTGGTAACCTGGGCAGCATTTCGGTGACGTTTTACCAGCACCCATCCGGAGTCGAAGACAGAAATGAGCTCACATCGTTTGAGATGACCACCACCAAAGTGTTTTTGGCCGACTTCAAAGCCCCCAAATTGGACCCTAACGAGCTCCTTTACTATGCTGACCTTGAAGCTCACTACAAGGCCGAAGAGTCGGGCACCTACGAGTTTGGATGTTCCTGCCTTGGAAGTGCGCAGCTTTTCATTGACGGCAAGTTGGTGGTAGACAACAAAACCAAGCAGGTGAGAGGCGAGGCTTTCTTCTTGGGTATGGGTACTCGTGAGGAGAAGTCCGACGTGCAATTGGTGAAAGGCCAAACTTACCACATCAAAGTGGAATTTGGAACTTCGCCCACCGCGTTGGTTGCAAAAGAGTTCAAAGAACCTGGGGGTGTGTACTTCGGATTCAGATTGAAGTCCACCCCCAAAGACGAGTTGGCAAAGGCTGTTCAGATCGCCAAAGATGCCGATACTGTCATTGTAGTTGCAGGGTTGTCAAAGGAATGGGAGTCAGAAGGGTTCGACAGACCAAACATGGATATACCCGGTTACACCAACCAGTTGATTGAAGAGGTCACCAAGGTCAACTCCAACGTGATCATCGTCAACCAGTCAGGCTCCGCCGTGACCATGCCATGGATAGACAAAGTCCAGGCGGTGGTACATGCTTGGTTCGGAGGAAACGAGACTGGAAATACCATCGCAGACGTTGTTTTTGGCGACTACAATCCCAGCGGGAAGTTGTCGATGACGTTCCCCAAGCGGGTGGAGGATAACCCAGCGTTCTTGAACTTCGGGTCTACCAACGGTAAAGTGTGGTACGGTGAAGATGTCTATATTGGATACCGATTCTACGAGAAAACAAAGACAGATGTGTTGTTTCCATTTGGGTTCGGATTATCTTACACTAACTTTGAGTTTTCCAACTTGAAGATCAAACCCGTGAAAAGCGAAATCCACGTATCGGTGACGGTGAAGAACACTGGCAAGATTAAAGGTGCTGAGGTGATTCAGGTGTATGTTTCCCCGGTGGAGTCGAAGATTCCCAGGCCCATCAAGGAGTTGAAAAACTTCGACAAGGTCGAGTTGGCTCCTGGAAAGAGTGTTAGTGTTACTATTCCGATTTCTATCAAAGAGGCCACTTCCTATTGGGATGGGTATAAGAACAAATGGTCTTCTGATAAGGGTACCTACAAGGTTTTGGTAGGTAACAGTTCGGATAACATCTTGGTGGAGGGTGAGTTTGAGACCGACAAGTCGTTTAACTGGCTCGGTCTTTAAAGTAGTGTGTGTGATATAGTTTATGTAGATGCTAATGAACCGCTCGCTTAAGAAATCTGATTCGCTTAAATCCACCAACATAACTGTTAACTCAAACCCGACCCAAACACCCATAGTGAAACCAGATGCCTAGGTGACCAGACACTTTATGGTGGTAGACCAGCCCTATTGGTTTGGTCGTGGAAGGTCGTCACGTGATAATCATCTCACGTGATCATTCTCATCCAAAACACATACACCTCTTTTACAAAACGCCTTCGAGCTCCCCCTCCCCAAAAAAATTCCTTATCCCTAGCACCAGCCCATACCTTCATCTGATCCCAAGCCCTCTGCCTATAGCCTCTCGTCTCCTATCCCATTTCCCATTTGAGCTCTTCACAATACATCGGCCCTGTTTTCGCGCTTCCAAATCGGACACTTTTGTAAACATCCATAATCTTTTCAGATTTTTTTGTACACCTCCAATAAAAAGAATATATATACCACCGCCTCTAGTGGCTCACCCTGCCCCACACACATCACCCTCATGGAATACACTCTCGACAATGCATTTGACATCGATGTCGGCATCGACGTCGACGTCGACATTGATTTGGACCACTTGATCGAGTGCCAAAGTCCCATCAAAAGACCACTGGCTCCATTGCCTCAACCACAAAGACTACTGCCCACCAAAGATTTATTTCAAATCACCAACAACCACAACTACAAAAGCTACAACCTCTTCGGGGTGGAGGACACATTTCCCGATTTGAGCCTCAAAAACAACAAGATCGAGAAGTTGATCCGGGACTTGGAAGCAGAAGACTACGAATTGGATGTCGATACCCAGGCCAGAAGCCGAATTTTCAAGGGTCGTATCAAGGGCTTAGAGGACCTGGATGAGTTCGACGCTCGGGTTGCTAGCTTTATCGACAAGGAAAATATCGACTTTGAACCCACCAAGTCCCCCATCCGCACCAATAAAGTGAAAAAGCCTCTTAAACCACTACGCCAAAACTCCAGCAAAGTCCCGGTGCTCAAGCCGTTGAACTCCCCCATGTACACGCTGTTCACCCCGGTGCTAAAGGCCAAAGATGACCTCCACAAAAGAGTGTGTCGTCCAAGTCACCGACAAGTCGCATGTCCTCCACCGGTACTAGCACAAGGATCCCCCCACCACCCCCAGATTTACCTCGTTGACGCTCTGACTGGCTCGTTGAGCGACGCCACCCAGTTCGGTACCGAGTTGAACGCCTCCAATTGTGAAGGTTTCCCCCTTCCTGAAACCGTTCATGAGGTGGTCCAGATCCCCACCAACGATGAAAGCGGTAGGCATCCACCCAAAATGGCTATTATAAAGACGTTTGAATGCCGAATGAGCACCCCCTCCCAACCCCCACCCGCTATCCGCCCTGGGTTCTACTCCAAGACCGAGTACCTTAATTATATCCAGAACTTGCACGCGACCCAGCAAGAAGAATCTGGGGTAGAGGTGGTGAGTCAAGCCCCGGCCCCCACAAACCGCCCACCCCGTCGTCGTCGCCACGTTGCCTTTGCTGATTCGGACGCTCTCGAGTGGTAGCCCCTCCATGTACATTACCTGTAATATATATCTCTCTATCTAATGATTCGCAACCAAAAATCTCCCACGTCGCGCAGAAACATGTTGACATTTTGCTTCTGTCAACATCTACTATCTTCATACCAACACTCACCATGTCTACATTCTTTGACGAAATGAAAAAGTCCTTTGTCGACGTCCCTGTGGTCGACTCCAAGATTGAAACCACCTCTTTCTTGGATGCCTCTGCCTCACTCGTTAAGTTGTTTGACTTGTTGGGCTCCTCCGCTTTCGTGGTGGTCCAAAAGGACATGACAGGAAACATCGAAAAGATCAGAAAAAAGTTGTTGGCCGACCCAGCAAATGCATCCACTTTGCAAGACTTGATCCTTTCTGAGGCTGGAACCAAAGATAAGACTGCCACCCAAGGTCTCTTGTGGTTGACCAGAGGGTTGGAGTTCACGTGCCAGGCCATGGTGGAAACCGTTAAAAACCCCCAGTCCGAGATGACCAAGACTTTCACCGACGCCTACGGCGTCACCTTATCTAAGTACCACGGAATGTTGGTCAAGCCAGTGTTTAAGTTGGCTATGAAGGCCTGTCCCTACAGAAAAGACTTTTTTGCCAAGTTGGGGCCCGACCAGGAAAAAGTCACCAAGCAGTTGACAGCATGGTTAGACGCTTTAGAGAACATTGTCAAGATCATTGTGGACTTCTTTGCCTCGGGAAACTATGGTAAGGGCTTATAAGTGTAGTTCCAGTGTATAGAGGTATGTATAGCACACTGCCTGGCTGGCACAGCCATAGACTTTTTTTTCTCGCTCTTTTATTTGGGCTCCAACAATACACAAGCAGTTAGTTTGACTGGATGTATTTACTATAGTATTCCAATGTTTGTCACGAGACTATCGCCTCGACGCATGCTAATAGCGTTGATTGTCGTCTTGTTTGTGGTGGGTTCAGCCCGTAATTTGAGGACGTTCAGAACGCCTATTGTTTCTCCACAATCAAAACCGAATCAAACGCTAAAACTCCCACTTTTGGACCCATCCAAGTACTCAAAAGATATATACCGTGGCCGTAACACCAAGCTGTCGTCAGAAAAGAAACTGGGCAAGCAGATCCAGCCTGAAGTGCCCCTTGAGCAAATGGAGGGTTTTAAGGCCTATAACCTCATGCAGAATAATCAAAAGGTTGGGAAAGTCACCCTAGGACGCTCTGGAAACCCACCTCCCCCGGTATACGACTCGTACGTACGTGAAAATGCGACCTTCTTCTCGTTGGTTCGAAATTCAGACTTCCAGGGCATTCTTCTGTCGATTGACTCGGTGGAAGAGCGCTTCAACAAAGTGTATCACTACGATTGGGTGTTTGCCAACGACGAGCCGTTCACGCCGGCGTTCATCGAACACGTCACCGCCCGTGTGAGCGGTAGCGCCCATTTCGTGCATATTCCCGCCCAGTTCTGGGGATATCCCCCGTGGATAGACTTGGATAAGGCAGAAAGAGCCCGTAAAAATATGAAGGAAAACAAAATCAAGTACGGCGCTTCCCAGAGCTACAGGCACATGTGCCGGTTCAACTCCGGCTTCTTCTTTCATTTGCCAGTGATGAAAAACTACAAATATTACTGGAGAGTTGAACCTGATATCGCCTTCAAATGCGATCTTTTCGACACCGACTGGTTCAGGTTCATGAGGATCAACAAAAAGAAGTATGCGTTTGTGCTAGCTCCTCTTGAGTTGCACATGACCGTCAAGAACCTCTGGAGATCTACCAAGATGTTCTTCTCCGAAAATCCTGATTTATTGCATCCTGATAACTCTTTTTCGTTTCTCTCCGATGATAATGGAGACAACTACAACATGTGCCATTTCTGGTCCAACTTCGAGTTAGGTGACATGGACTTTTTCCGACTGTCCGCCTACACCAAGTTCTTTGAATACTTGGACCAGGTTGGAGGTTTCTACTATTCTCGTTGGGGAGACGCCCCCGTCCATACTTTGGCTGTCACTACTCTTCTATCTAAAGACGAAGTGCATTATATTCCTGATACCGGCTACTTCCACAACCCCAACGGCAACTGTCCCCGTGACGATGCCATCAGACGGGCTCGTCGATGCTCGTGCCTGACAAGATTTGAGCACACCTGGTCAAGGGGATCCTGTATTCCCAAATGGTACGAGGTCAATGAGTTGGAGAAACCATCATACGGGATCAAGTTTAAAAACGTCCACAAGTTTGCGGAAAACGAGGATGCTGACGAGTACGACGACTGGTAACGGTAACAGAAGATTTCTATTTGTATGTACATAGATGTATACTAGATTATAATTAACACACCTTTTTCAGTCAGCAGCTACTCATGAACCCGTTTGGCTTCTTGCATCAATTCGTAAAGTTGGCCCACTTGTTCAGGTGACATCTTCTCCAACTCCTGTTGGGTCAACTTGCCGTCCATCCACTTACCTCCATCGATAGTCTTCAAGTAGTCTTGCCATTGGGTTAAAAACCCTACTATGTGTAAAGGATTGTCGATGTCCTTGTGGGCCTTGAACTCGGCCTTGACGTACTCATCTCCCAACGAACGGATTTCGACCGGGAGTTTGTAGGCATGTGCTCGCAATATGGCCTTGTAGAGCCTCAACGGAGGCAAAAGAGGGTCTGTCTTTCTCTCTGGCCGACGGGGTCTTATAAGTGTCACCAATGATGGCCTCATTCTTGATGATGAATTTTCTGGAGACCGCGAATTACATGCCCCCCATGCCACAAAAGCTGGTAGGAGACAGTAAACCACCCGTAGGAGGTAATCATGGGTGATGGATTACATTACCTGATATAAATATCATGGGGGGGTGCACCTACGTTGATCTGGCATTTTTTGGGGCTTTCATTGCTTAGTTACCATTTTCTTCCCTGTATCTCCAACTTCAATTATTGTGAAATTTACAAAAACCTGCGAAATTGCTGTACAAAAGCAAAATTGCAAATAAAACACCAACCCCACCTGATTCTGCGCTCTGGAGCCACAAACACAAAGCCGTTGTTCTCACATGAAAATACAGCTCACTCTTCCAGCATAGTTGTCTATGTCCTGTAGTACAGTGTACGGCACAAAAGTTCCTATATTGAAACTCGCCGAACCCAAATCGGCAGTTTTAGAAACATCTTAACAATAGGCCCCCCGGCAGCAGAAGCAGTGCTTGTGTGCTGGGGTGCCTTAACACTGGTTTCCCGCACCCTAGTGCCCATAGCAGCAGTTCGAAGTCTTTACCTAATGGGGGATTTTAATTAGTTTGATAAACAACCCTCATTAGGAAATGTCATTGAAACCATTTACCGCATTAGGAAATTTCTTGTGGAAGTCTGTTCAGTAATACCCTATATTTATAAAGGCACCCATGGGATCTCCTCAGATATATAACAGCATAAAGTTTTCTTTAAGATCCTCACCTAGATATTACTTCAGATTGGATTGATTATGAGGTTTACTTCACTTTTGACGGCATCTACGCTCGCTACCGGCATTATTGCAGCTCCTGCTCCACCAGGAAAACAGTTTAACCCCGAAAATGTTTTGAGATCTTTGGAAGAATACTCCGCCGACTTAGAAGCTACCGTTGTCAAGCGGTCTGAGTCCAGTTTGGTGTCTTCTTTGCTCTCCAAATTGTCTGGCTCTAACTTGAGTGACTTGGTTGACAGACTCAACTACACCGAAGTTGCATCCGAAGTGTTCAGCTTGGCCAAACACGTCAACATCACTGAGATTGCTTCCTCCTTTGACAAAGAAAGTGCTTCCAGTCTTTTCTCGTCGTTGTTTGAAAATTCTGACACATTATCTGCTGCTCTCTCGCTTGCTAAGAGTTTGTCCACCAGAGGTGAATTGGGAGAAGAAACCACCTACACTGAAACCACAAAGAGGGAACAGGTGATAAAGAGAGACAACAAAGACATGGATATCGTCGCCAGATCATTGGCCGAGTCCGGTCTTGTCAGACCTACTGTCAGATCTATTTTAGACGATAGAGATTTGGAGGATACTGCGAAAGAACTTCTTTCAAAAACTTTTGCCAGTGTCAACTTTACTGAGATCTTCGACTTCTTGAAGGAAGAAATAGAGGACTCTGGAATCATCTCCAAGTTGACCTCTGAGCTCTTGAAGTCAAGAGACTTATCGGAAGAGTTCACCAAGGTGGTGAATGACCAGGTCAAGAGAGGTTTGATCAAAAGAGCAGATCTTTCCGACTTATTGGACGACCTCGTGGCATCCACTTCCTCGGCTGCTGCTACTACTTCTGCTGATGCGCTTTTAGAGGAAATTCAAGGCCTTGCTTCTTCTACCCAAGCTACCGCCACCACTCAAAAGGCTTCTACCTCTACCGGAGATTCTTTGATTGACAAGCTTCTCGGTGATGCCTCTGCTAGCACCACCACTACCAAAGCCGCTACTACGTCGGGGGAATCCTTGCTTGACGAATTGTTCGGTGACGATTCTGCCTCCACCACCACCTCCACCAAATCGTCGTCGACAGCTACTGGCGAATCATTGTTGGATAAGTTGTTTGGAGATGATGATTCTTCTACAACCACCTCCTCCTCAAAGACTTCTACATCCACCGGAGGTTTGGTCAATTTGTTGGAATCGTTGCTTGACGGAGGAAGTTCAAAGTCGAACTCAACCACCACTTCCACTTCTGCTAAGTCAACCTCAACCTCGGAGTTCAGTCTCAGTGGACTTTTGGACGACTTGTTTAACACTTCTGACTCCTCCAGCACTTCTTCATCGTCTAGTTCAAACTTCAGTTTGAGTGACATCTTGGATAAGCTCTTGAACAGTACTGGACTGTCTGATTCTGACTCCAGCAGCTCCAACTTTTCTTTGAGTAGTTTGATCGACGGTTTTATCGATGATATCTTTGATGTGGACAGCTCCAACTCGTCATCTTCAGGTTCCAGCTTTTCTTTCGGAAGCTTAATCAGTGGCTTGATTGACGATCTTTTCGGAGGCTCTTCCTCCAGCAACTCGTCGTCTACATCTACCTTTTCTTTGAAGAGCTTGCTTTCAAGTCTTATCAGCCTGTTGTTTGGTTCATCCGATTCCAGTTCCAGTTCCAGCTCCGGCTCTACTTCACTTTCGAGCGTCCTTTCAAGTCTTATTAGCCTGTTGTTTGGCTCATCCGATTCTAGTTCTGGTACGAGCTTGCTTTCTACTTTGTTGACCTATGGCGAGAGTTTGTTTAAGAAATTCTGGAACTGGTTGTCTGAAAAAGGTGTGAGCATTTCATGGGGTTCATTGTTCAGTGAAGCCCTTGATTGGGTCCTCGATACTCTCTTTGATGATGATGACGGGTCATCTTCGTCAACTTCTACTACCACTTCCAAAAGTTCTTCCGGATCATCTTCTTCGTCTTCTTCATCTTGTTGTTGCAGCAGCAGTTCAAGCATTAAAAAGAGAGCATTGAAGGCCAAATTCAAGAGAAACATCCACAAGAACATCCACAAGAGAGCTTCTGAATTCAAGAAAAGACTGTACATCAAGTACTTATGATCACGTTATACCTCTTTGCAATACCTAATTAAAATATACACTGTACCGATAAAATTATTGTAGTCCCGAAGACGATAGATGAAATAGCAATCAATAGTTCATAAATGCGAATGGTAATGGAAGTATATTAGAGACACCGGTCTAGAGATACGGGTCTAGAGCACTACCCCTTGAAAGATGAAAGAGGATATTTCAGCTAGAGCGTAGTTTCAAATTTCACAGGTATCATGGTACCAACACTAACAATTCAAAGTATATGCACCCTGCACCACCTCGACAAACTTTGACCGCTTCCTTCCCCAGTACTTTTGAAGGGTATTTCTAAACATAGCCCCAACATTGTAACCCGAATAGTAAATAATTTAGCTTTGCCCTTTGCCGTGTTGTCAAGTTTTTTAAGTACAAGTTTTGCTATTGTCCTGTTAAAAGCTATTAACTTACTTCAAGAGGAAATTTCGCAGCATTCTCCATATAAATTTCCGTATTGGGAACTGTCATTAATATACCGGTTTGGGGAATTTTGGTGGGACCCGAATATTTTAATTTCCTCATTAGGCATTTACGTTTCTCCAAATTTTGCATAGATGCAAAAGGCTTCTTTATATATCAATTATATACTGTCCTATGGGTGAATTTCGAATTTTTAAACATATCTGTATCATATTTGATAGAACGGTAAAGCATGAAAGTAGTGACCGTTTCCAACTACATATTGATAACGGCTATCTTGAACCAAGCGGTGGCTAAGGATCCCAAAGGATTGAGTTTCTTCAAGAGATTCAGTTTATCTTCCTTTCTTTCACTGCTTGGGGGTACCGACGATGATGACTCCTCGGCTGCTACTACTGCAGCAGCTACTACTGCAGCTGCCACCACTGCAGCTGCCATCACCGCTGCATCCACATCTTCCACCACTGCTGCTGCGGCAACAACTGCAGCAACCACAGCAGCTGCCAACAATTTATTTGCTGATATTCTTGATTCCAGTTCCAGCTCTAGTTCCAGCTCCTTGTTTAATTCAAGCAGTTCAGAAGTGAGCTCGAGCTCAACCTTCAGCACCCACACCACATCCCTGACTGGCACGACGATCGCCACCACCTCGTCTAACGTTGACGATTTCTTCGCTAAATTGGGCGGGGCTTCTAGCTCTAGTTCCAGCTCTAGTTCCAGCTCCAGTTCCAGCTCTAGTTCCAGTGCTCAAGCTACCAATACCAAGTCTGCTAGCGCTAGTTTCTTCGATTCTTTGTTTGGAATTAGCTCTGACGATGCCACTTCTGATGATTCCAGTTCTTCAAGTGTTGCGGTTTCTTCTACTGAAGAATCTTCTAGCTCTGCTTCAAGCTCCGAATCCAGTGCTTCTGCTTCTGCTAGCGTCAGCTTCTTTGCTTCGTTGTTTGGATTAGATGATGACTCGGAATCCAGTTCAGAATCCAGTTCAGACTCGAGTTCAGCTGTCAGTTCTAGCTCAGAAGCCAGTTCTTCCTCGGCCGAACCTCAAGGGTTCAGAGCTTTTCTTGCAGCTGCTGCAGATAACTCGTCGTCTATATCAGCTTCTTCTTCAGCCTCCGCTTCTTCAGAAGCGGATGACGAAGATGATGAAGACTGTGAAGAAGAGTCGTCTGCGGCTGCGGCTTCGACTACTACCACTGCCGCCGATTCTGATTCACTGAGTGATGCTATCAACCCATTGTCTAATATCGCTAATTCTGCCTCTGCTAACACAGCTGCCTCTGCGGCCGCCACATCCACAGATGATGACGATGATGAGGACTGTGACACAGAATCCGAAGACCCAACTACTACTGCTTCTGCTACTAAAGGTGTTAGCATTACCGCAGATCCAAGTGGTACCGCAAGTGTTTCAGCCGCTGCAAGTGTTTTAGCTGACGCAAGTACAGCTGCAACTTCATCTGATGATGATGATGACGATGATTGTGACACCGAGTCGGAAGACCGAGCTACTACTGCTTCTGCTACTAAAGGCGTTAGCATTACCGCAGATCCAAGTGGTACCGCAAGTGTTTCAGCCGCTGCAAGTGCAGTCGCAACATCATCTGATGATGATGAGGATGATTGTGACACCGAATCAGAAGACCCAACTACTACTGCTTCTGTGACTAAAGGCGTTAGTGTTACCGCGGATCCAAGTAATGCTGCTTCAACTAGTTCAGACGATGATGACGATGAAGACTGCGACACTGACACCCAAACTACCACTGATGCTACCACAACCAAAGGTACCACCAAAGGTACCACCAAAGGTGCAACAGGCACCACGACCCAAGGTACCACCAAGGCAACGACTACCACCGACGATGACGATGATGATGAAGATTGTGAAGAAACCACAGTTGAAACCACGGTTGCCACCACCATTGTCACAAATGGAAAAACTATAACCACCCACGTCACCGTGACACAAGTGACTTCTGACCCAACAGACTTCGATGATGATGATGATGGCGAAGACGACTGTATCACTTTCACCGACTTACAGACTAAGGTTGTTACAGTCACGGACACAGAAAAGGACACCACTTACACCACCACCATCACTGAGCACACTACCGTGACCATCATAGGTGCTGCAACCTTTACTACCACCAAAGCTGCCGGGTCTGCTGCCACCACTACCGTGGAATGCGAAGACGACGACGACGACGACTTCGATGACGAAGACGACACCACCAGTTCTGGCTTATCTTCTGGCTCATCTTCTGGCTCATCTTCTGGCTCAGGATCTTCAGGATCTTCTGGAAGCTCGACCACCGACGTGTATGAAGACGATGAATTTACCAACGACGGAGATTCCGAGTCTTGTGATTGTGACTGCACCAACGTTACCTGCGATGGAGGCGACGATGACGACGATGACTTTGACTTTTTCGACCTCTTGGAGTACTTTTTTGGAGGAGATGACGATGATGACACCGAAACCTGTGACGAAGATTGTGATGAATGTCTGGCGGCCACCACTACCGCGGCTGTGGCTACCACCATCACCACCAGCACCGCCGCCACCAAAGCCGCGGTGGTGGACGATGAAGAAGATGAGTTTGTAAACGATGGGGAAGAAACCAGCTGTGCTACCAGTACCACCAGTACCACCGCCGCTGCCACCGTGACCAATGCCCCCAAGGAAGTAGATATCAGCCAATCATCAGCAACCGCTAGTCCAGAAGTGCAAACACAAACCAACGGTGCCCAGTCTCGAATCTCCAATCCCTTGATACTTGTGATCTCGGTGTTGGTGTCACTTGCATTCATCTAAGGTGACCGATGTAGTTGCCGGGCAATTACACGACCATTATACCTAAAACTGTCCACACAACCAAAAACTGTTCTATATACGCCTTTAATTAGAAAGTCTATAAGGCTCTATTAATATACCTCAAGATAATTTGCAGCTTTTCTACCACATCACCGCGCGAAACTTAAAATCGCAAAACACCAAAACTGTTCTGACTCATTGTGATATAATGGCTGTGGACCGTCAATCGTTGATATTCTTCATTGTGGTCTTCATCTTCTTATCACTTCCTTCAAGGAATGACCAGCCCCACTCGCACCAGGAGCGCGAGACCTTGGATACGTTTCAAAAGTCTCTCAAGCAGTTTCGGCGCGAGCTCAATACCCGTGACTATATTCTGGGGTACGGTAATATCACCGGGTTTCTATTGAGCTACGACGACTACGTGCTGGACAAGCTGCCGGCAGAATGGCCTCTTCACAAATACACCCCGGAGCATCCGTGGTTCGAGGATGAAAAGTACTCGGTGTTGCCTAACGCTGTGAGTGACCAACTCAAGAAGTTCTGGGGGATAGACCCAGTACCAGACGAGGACTCCCTTGGGTACCTCCTCAACGTGTCAGGAGTTGCCACGGGTGAGTTTGTCAAGCCGACCGACCAGGTCAAGGAGGTTCCGTTGCAGTTGCCAGGGTATTTGGAAACATACTTTAAGTCGATTACTGAGGGTGCCCCTTGGGACGGCAACTCAAATGAAGGCAACGGCGGGAACATCCCAACCCCGGATGAAAATCCCAAGAAAGTAGGCGAGGTTAAGAGCTCCTCTGGGAATGTGGTGTTTAAGCTCAACAGTTTGGGATACAATTTCCAGAACAAGCAGTTAAAGAAGAACATCGAGGGCGAGCAAGACAAAATTGACGATGCGGTGGTGGTGAAGCTCCAGGCGGTCGTCAGCGACCACGAAGAAATCGACACCAACGACATCGAGCTTATTGGGGTCTATTTCCAGAAGACCGGCTCGCTCGTGGCTACCACTAACTCCGCCAAGTTCCACGGTGACTTTGCCTTGCCACATTTGACCCTAAGCGAAGACAAGTTTACAAAGAGTCAGAAGCTCATGGGCCAGATGGTGAACACCACCGACATCGACAAAGACATCAGCATGGAGTCGATGAACGTATTCATTTCCAAGTCACTTGAACAATGTGAATTTGTCACATTTATTCAGCTCGAGAAAACCCAGTTTCTGATCAAAGAACTCCGGGAAATCGATGAGGAGTTGGCCAACCCGCGAGGAGTCCCAATTCCCAAGACGCTTCCGAAGCTTCGGGTCAAGCAGTCACTAATGTACTCACCTGATTGTGGCATGGTACTCAACAGCAACCCTAAAACCGCGTTCGAAGGGTACACCCACGATGTGATCACCAGACAGCTGAGAAAGTTGTTAATCGGGTTCCTGGTGTTGGTGGCGTGTCAGCTTTACCTTTTCATGACCCAGATAAAGAGTCTCAACACCCCTGGTCCGTTGTCGAACATTTCGGTGATGACATTGATGTTTTTCCAGTACGAAGATTCGTTGGTGACGTTCACGTTTTTGTTGATTTCTACGCTCTTCGAGGATCTCTATTTGATTTTGACGGGGATCACCATCGTCACTCAGATCATGTACACGGTGTTTGAGACGGGTCTCTTGGTACGGGTGTGCAAAGTGCAAGCGAATGAAAGAGGAACTACGTGGTGGCAGATTTTGAGAGGTAGTATGAGAAGTGAAAGTAATGGTACCCCCAGCACCACTGATGGAGACACCAATGGCACTACTGGAGAGACCTCTCGGGTGGCTACGCCAGATGAACTTCCCCTTCCCGTGACGGAGCCCACCACCACCACTGCCGCGGCCGATCTCGCAGCCCCCGAATCGTCGTGGAACCCCATGTTTGCCCCAGGCTTCGCGGTGGCGATCGTGTCGGTGCTCGTTATTCTCAACGCTACAATGTGGAGAAAACTGTACCGCCGCGCCTTCGAAGTAGCCGGACTCACGGTGCTAAACTCGTTTTGGATTCCCCAGTTTCTACGCAACACCCTCAAAAACCGCCGCATTCCCTTCTCCTGGACATTTGTGGTGGGTACTTCGGTCATCAGGCTCATCCCTATCATCTACGTAAATGTGTTTTCCAATCCGTTTCGTCACGCACAGAACATCTCATTCGTGGTGTTTCTCACGTGTTGGATGGGGTTGCAGCTCGCGTTGATCGCGTTGCAGAGCATCCTTGGGCCTCGGTTTTGGATCAATGATAAATGGCTTCCCCAGGCGTATAATTACCATCCACTTATAAGTCTCAAGGACTTAGAACACGGGTTTGGGTCTGATTTGCTCGCCAACATCGGTATCGATGACCTCTCACAAGAGCCTGAAGCCTCGAAGAAAGACGACCTGGTGGTTCATTGCAAAACTGACTGTGCCATTTGCATGGCTGAGATCGACCTCCCCATCTACAAACATGAGCCCACCAAAAGTGCGAAATTCACCGGTGAAAAAGCGTACATGGTGACACCGTGTTTCCATGTATTCCACACCGAATGCTTAGAAGACTGGATGAAGTACAAGCTTCAATGCCCTGTGTGTAGAAATGGACTCCCTCCAGTGTAGTAGTCCAACGGTTATAAAATAAACCTAAATCATCACTTCCATCATGCCACTTTAGCGCGAGAGTGTGCGCGTGCCAAACCAGAAATCAGACCACTTTTCAATCCTCATAAAAATGCCATACAAGACCAGTTTTTCTTCCATAGTCATCTTTTATACAAATACTAATCAGTTGTACGGTGAGTAAAGAAATACCCCGTACTTTCCATTATCTATCATGAGTGCCTTCGACTACGATGGTTACAACAATGACTTTTTTGACTTTGACAACACCGATTCCCTCTTGACCAGTTTATCGGGACCCGCCTCAAATGACTCCAACTCCAATAACATCCAGTCCCTCAGCCCGGACAGCATGAGCGGCGACGACTGGGCCACAAATAAGTGGTACGCTAACCAGCCGACCAACAACTTCTCCAGCAACAACTCTAGTCATAACTCCACCAATGACTACTCCAGCGACCCCAGTTATAACAACACCAATGCCAACATAATTGCCCAGACGGTCAACCCCAACCTTGGAGAGTTCGACAACTCATACCAACAGACGCTTTTTGACGACTTCAACAACAACTACTCCGATGCCATGCACTCATCGGGGTCATCTCAGAATGACTCTTCAGGATTGACTCCCTTGAGTCAACAGTATTCTTCAGCCCAAACATCGCCCGAAAATATCGCCAAGGCCGAGAGCGATGACGACTTCCCCAAGAAGGGTGCCAGGACCCAGGGTAATGGTGAGCGCAAGACCAGTGGGGTCAAAATAAATGCAAAGTCCAATGGCGGTCGCGTCAAAAGAGACAAGGCTTCCCACAACGTCATTGAAAAAAAGTACAGAACCAATATCAACACCAAGATCTTGATGTTACGGGATGCTGTGCCTTCGTTGAGAATCGCTTCCGGTGTGCCTGGTGTCAGTGTAGCCGATTTGGAAGGGTTGACTCCTGCTGCCAAATTAAATAAGGCCAGTGTGTTGACCAAGGCCACCGAGTACATCCAGCACTTGGAGAAGAAAAACGAGATGTTGAGGCAGCAGAATCTGCATTTACAGCGGTTGATCCAGCAAGCAAACTTGAATGCCAATAGCTTGCAAGTTGCCCCTGTACCGAACCGGATCCAACCAACAGCCCGACCACAACCCATGTCCCAGATGTCGTCTTCCAACGAGTACACTGACAACCTGGTTTACAACAACTCTCAAAACTATTCAATTCCTCCACAGGAGAACAAGCCCAACAAGTACTTTTTGGGCGGAATGGCTGCTGTGATGGGAACATCCTTGCTCGGTGGGCCCGACTCTGATTTCAGAGGCTTGTCGGCAATTCCGTTCATGCCTATGTCTTTTGCTCATCCTCCAGGAGCGGTGGCCCAATTATGGTATTTGTCCAAATTGTTGTTCTTCTTGGGCTGCCTTGCCAGTTGGGTGCTTCCGAACCTCTTTAGCTTGGACTTATCGAGTGCTTCCAAAGAGAAGAAGGTGTCGGGATCGTTGGTTAAGTCCTGGATCTTGGTCAGCCTTGGCCTTCAGTTACCATCAGTAATAGACGAGGGCAAAAAGGCGTCGATAATACAAAAATTATTGGGTCATGCTCAGTATGAATGGACGACGTTGATCGGGGACTACATTTATTTGTCTTCGTGTGAAAGTACGTTTGAAACTTGTTTCTTAAACTTGTTGATTGGCAGTTTGCTTCTTCAGAAGATGCCTGCGTTGACCAAAGTATTAGAGCTTGGAATGAATCTCAGGTTTTCGCTCTTGTTGAATTTGGACTACAAGGGCACGGACAAGTCATTGGTGGGGCTCAATAAGCTTGTCAAGGATTTGGATGGGATCTGCTTGTTCAAGAATGAATCTATGATCACCAGACTTAGTAACTTGAGAGACCATTTGCCTATTAACGCCGGCATTGAAAGGGGTACCAGTTTGTTGAAGTTTGTGGAGGTTTACAAGCAAAACGGAGACAACTTGTACAAGTTGGTTTTGTCGTGGAGAGTATTACAGATTGTGGACGAATTGAACACCTTGTACTTGGAGAATTCATTAATTGAAGACGACGAGGAGCAATTTTGCCAAAATAACAAGCTCTTTAAGGATGTGAATTTGATTGGTGAATTATTGGAAGCCGGATCTACTGATGTCGAATTGAGCAGCTACTTGACGCTTTTCAAGGCATCCTTGTTGCCCAAAGAGAATACCCAGAAGTTGATGACATCCATCAAGAGCAAGGTCAACGGAGCGTTGGACCAATTCAATTTGAGTTTGAATGGACTTGAGTTGACTGACGATGAGGAAATCAGTGACGACGAAGATGAAGAGAGCGAACGTCAAGGTTCTGAAACCAACCAACCCACCGAGGTCAATAGGTTCAAAGACCAGACAAAGCTTATTAATAGCTTAGGTGTGGTAAGTGAAGAAGAGTTGATAATATTGACGTGTGGGCTTATTCAGACCTACTACAGTCACGGCAAAAGGGCTGAAGCAGCGCAATTCTTGAAGCACTTGAAGTTTAAATCTGATAAGGTTCCGCTTTCAGTGTTAGCATTTACGTCCATATACCAGGTAGTTTCATTGCTTGTAAAGGAGGAGACAATTTCACAAGAGCCAGATAATGGCGTGATTTTGGATCAGGCAGTGAGAGTAGCCAGATTATGGTTGAATGATAACGACGTAATGACTAAGGAATTAAGGGCTAAGATAGCAGATGTGATTGTGGCCAAGGGTAAGCTTCTCAATGGGTGTGATGACCAAGTCAGTGATCAATAGTGTGATGGTATTTTTAATGTAAGAAATTTTCCTATAAAAGATTTTGGTAGATAATTTCAGTCCTAAATCTAGTAATGTAATGTTAATTCCAATTTAAATTCACTACCATCTGTATTTCCACTTCTAAATTTTATAGTAACCATCTCTAATACCGCTTTTGGAGTTTCATCCTTCTCGTTCTACGTACTCCTATTTTTTAATATTTTTAATGCAATGCTAAAAATTCTAAAAAATCTAAAAGCTGGGACTAAAAGGTATTTATTTTTAGGGTAAGGTTTGGATTTCAGATTAAAGGCTGAAACTCTGGGAACAATGATGTCAAATTGGCAACACAGGCAAGAGAATTGTAAAACAATCGGAGAGAATTCTTCAACTCAAGCCTAATGCATGCATCTTTAAGACAATAAAGCTGCGCGACGGAATGTGAGCTTTGCGCAGGAGCTTGTGTTTACCTGAAACTCGCACCAGGCCGTTCCCCTCGGTTTAACTAGTTCCCCTGGTCGAAGCCTCAAAACTATGGAATGCAGTCACGATCGGTGGTATATTTTGGCGGGTGCAGTTACGGATCTCCTTAAACTTTACTTCTTCCAGACCCGTGTTGGTGGATGTGAAATTAAACCTGATGCTCATGTGGAACCTAAGAATAACAATGCACGGTGGGGGGTGCGGGGCGAGCCGATACAGGAGACAAGTCGGTAACCCACGAGTAAGAGTCCGGATGATTATCCGAGGGTAGGGGGCTGATGTAGGTTGCACTCGGGCATTGGACTTCACCCGGTACTACATGCCATCCACCATTTGACTCTGCTCGCCGAAAATTTCGTTAATAATTAAAGGTTACATCGGTTATAATCAGATCATTAAGGACAGGGCTGTTGTATTAGATTCAGAGAAACTAGTTAAATGCAACCAAGGGCTATGCACGGCGGCCAGTTTTAGTCGTAAAACTTATAATCGGCCCCCATCAAGATTCGCCGGGAGGCCCGGCGACTTTACCTTTTGGTGGTGGAACTTCACTTGCATAAAACCGCACCACATTTATTTTTCTCATTATTCAACGCATGCAGTGTAAATTTCACAGACCCTGGGATAGGCGCAAGCTAACAGTCGTCAGAGTTGACAGACATCAACACTAGATCCCAACACTAAAACCTGAGGGCCAATTCCGACGCCAACCACCATCCACACAGCAAGTCCCGTTCTAAAAACTTTATCGGTGGCAGCATCATCATCATCAGATCCCTCCTATTTACATTTCATTTAAGCCGGCCTGCACCGCGTTGCACAGCGATAAAAAGAAATGGCCAGCGACAGCTTTTTCTGCACTGTGCGTAAGTCACTAAAGCTACTAAATGGGGAACTGAAAGAACAAAGTTGCAGCCACTTTCTTTGCACAATTCAATTTTAATTCGCTAGCGGCATTATTTACACTGTTATAAATACAACTGACATTTTCCATGTTATGACCAGCAATAATTGGACGCAAACTAGTACCAACAAATTGTCTTGACTAGCTGGCCACCAAATCCAGATATATGGCACATAAAACCGCGGTACTGTCCCTAACTCTCACGTCCATACCACCCCCAAACACCCAAACACCCAAACAATCAAACAGTCAAACTATCGACAATTCCAATCTCATGACCTCCAGTGAAACCAGCACCAGCTCCATCGACGACCATAATATCGATCACTATCACCAGGTAGTCCATACACTCCTTCATGGTACCACCTTCCCAATGGAACCTCATTTGGGGTTTCGAACTCTCACTGACTTGAGCCTAACCCATAATCTCTGTCTTCGCAACACCCAGAAAAGAGACATTAAAGTATCCGACCTTTCAATCTTCCCCCTCAAGCAGCGTAGCCCTACTCCGGCAGTGGCACTAGTTATCCGCAGTGCATCTCCCGACACCAACACATTGTTCTACGGCTGCATCCGTGCTAAAAAAGTCGAAACCTGCCTTCATGCAGCATTGGGGATTTACTTATTCTCCCGGCTTCATATCCCGAATTCCCTGGGAGTTTACGAAATTAGTCCTGACACCCAAACCCGTCATGATACTAATACCTTCAATGACAGCCGTTTGTTGGTGGGACCTACCTCCAAATCTATGAGCTATCGGCAACAACATCTGTCTGCCATGAAAGCTCTTGAAATGGCCCATATAGACGACATGCATCTAAACGTGTCTAAGCTCGCTAGTGTCCACTCCCCCCATCTCACACCGACACAGAGGCCGTGCTCGTCTCAGATCGACAACCATCCAGAGCCGACTCTCTACCAGTACGCGGGATTCGAGAATATTGAGAGCTACAAGATAGACAGAGATATGCTTGAACCACCCGAGGAATTACTTCGGCAAATTTTCCCGTTCATCAACGACGAGCATTTTGACATGTTTGATATCTTCACCATTCGCCTTAAGAACGTATTGGGGATGTTACGGCGGAGTTTGGTACAGGATATGGTGGTGCTTAAGCGGGAATATCCCACCAATGCCATTTGCGAGCACCCGGTGTTCAATTCGGATTTGTTCAACCGGTTTGCATCCGATTTGGAAGCGGCTATGAGTGGTGGTAGTAGTAGTGTACATCTGTCACCGGCAGATGGGTCTGATTTGGACCTGATTCTCAGGCTCCAGCAGAAAAATCTGGTTGAAATCGCCAGGCTTAGGCTGCAGGTCGACACCTTTATTACTCGGCAGGCCGATCTTTATAAAGACCTCCATGCTCTCATCGATCAACAGACACGGATGTCACCTCATGCATATAATGACACCCCTTCCAGTAGTACTACATCACCTGCTAGTGCCATGAGTGCCATTGCTAAACCTGAGCACCAGTTTTTCTCGTTTATCAACAACGCAAATGTCTACAATAATGACTATCAACAACCACCACCGTTGGCAGCACCCACCATGATGGGCCTGCCACATGATTTCCGGGTCCCACCACCTCATCATGGTCTTACTTTACCTATGCAAATGCATACCCCCGTGAGTGCTCATATACATCCCCAGTTTATGAACCCCCTGGGACATGCCATGGTCCACCACCAGAGACCACCACCACCACCTACCATGACCCATACAGGACCGGTGCCAGTTCCAGTGCCAGTCCATGTGGTGCTGGATGATCGCATGTCCCCGCGCTCCCACACCATCAGCAGACGACTCTCCCGCCAGGCAGCCAATATTTATGAGATGTGGGATGACTTCAAAAGCTTGGAAAAAGAGCTTGAGGACAATGACGTGTCTGTCACCGAATGGTTGAAGCTCCATGGCAGCTCGGAACGCCAATTTCGTCATACTCGCCAGAAGATTATTCGGTTTATTGAAGAAGAGGCCAAGCTCACCCATACCCTGGTGGAAACCGTCAAGGATAAACTCCACCGCAAGATGAGGAATCGAGTAAAGCCCTGGACGCTAGATGAAATTCAGCGGATGCTTACGTCGGGAAAACGGATCAATTTGGACGACTGATGATTATACTACACTGGATGTAATATATATAGTAGAAATAGACACCTAAAGAACCAAGACTTTTGGGGCGAATCACCCAGACATTTTATAGTGGAAATATGGAATGAAACTAACCCTTAAATTTCATCTGAATTTGTGGCATTGGCATTACATAAGGCTATCCAATGCAAACGGCTCGTATGCATATCCCTCTCCTTCGAAAAATTTGGACATCGCTTCCACCCAGTGTAACCTCAACGAGTGTAACATGGCTGAGGTTCCTTCCATAAGCACCAAGATACATACCGTCAACACAAACCAGAACCCAAAGAGAAACACCGTCATCACCACCCCTATTCCTCCCGTCATCAGAAAGGCCTTGCTGATGGTCATGGACCACAACACCGACGATAACTGTGCATGTGCCAACGACAACGCCCAGAGTCTCAAGTATGACGCCGTGTGACTCACACAGTTTAAACAAAACTCAATCGTGTGGATCACCTGGTGGATCACGACGTCTCCCAAATCAAAATGCTCGCCGTCGTCTCCGTGAGCCGCAGCATTGTTGTATAACGGCTCAATGTCGTTAGGGAACCGGTAATTGTCGCCAAAGACATCCACGTCCTCGGGGTCATGGTTGAGGTCGTCATCATCGGCATCGAGCTCAAAAGAAAGGGCTGCTGCTTCTTCTTGGAGTTGTATGGTGTGCAATTCTTGCGAATGCAAGTCTTTGTATCCCAATTCCACGGCATTTTTATTCTGGTTTCTCAAAGTAAGAGGCTTGTATAATAACAACCAAGGCACGCACACTAATGCAATCAACACCAACACCACCTGTACAAATGCCTGGCCCGGATAGAGTTGATCTTCGATTTTGCCAGGTGCCAAAAACATATTGATCAACATGTTCAACAACCCTGGAGGAGGCTTGTCGATTTTGATCCAGTCAACACTCCATTTATATATAATGGCCAAACTGAGGTATCCAAAGATACTCTGCATAAAGAGGACTCCTGGTATGAAGTTCCCGATAATGTCGACCTTGGACTTGAAAAACCGGTAGTTAACCAAGCTGAAGAATAGCGAATAGTTCATGTGGATAAATCCCATGAGTACCGAAAGCTTCATTTTATAAGAATTGGTGAATAAAAGATTGTTGTCGGTCCCGTGCCAACTCCAATCCAAGCCAAATGGGTAGACATAACCCGATACTCTCGAAGCTGAAAGAGTGATAGCTCCATCTTTACTGTAATCGTAGTTTTTGGGAAATTCGAATTTCCAACCGGGCTTGAAAAGGGTCATAGACTTGGAGAAGATGTCATTATAAAGAAACCCGGTATACACCGAGAACAATCCCATGAGTAACAACACGTATCTGCCACTGAAGGCCATATCAAATACCTCGTCTTTGTTTCTCATGTCTCCAAACCTCTTCTCGTTCTTCACAAGGTACAACGCTATCAACGCGAGAATGATCCCATGGCCAATATCTCCAAACATAATGGCAAACATGAACGGGAACGTGATGACGGTAGCTAAACTGGGATTTACTTCCTGATAGGTGGCTACCCCATACGCATCGACAATCAGCTGGAACGCCAGGGTGAACTTGTTGGTCTTATGATACGTGGGAGGAGTTCTATTAGTGGCCAACTCGTTCACCACCGCCACCAACTGGTTGTACTGGTCGTCATCGCTATCTAAACTCTGTACATCGTTGACGGTGTCATCAATGGCAAAGAGTGTATTGGCCACCGTTGGCGCCACCGTTTCGCCATTCTCGAGAGAAATCTCTTCCTGCGACCCAAGAATTGCACCCGAACTCTGCATCTTGGATCGGATCAAGCTTCGCAAGGTGGTGCGGACCTTTTGAAACTCAGCTCGAGGAATCCACCCTTCACCCACCAAGCACCTTCGGGTTCCATCCATGTCAAACTTGTTCAAGGTGTTGTAAATATTCCTCTCTCGTCTGATACAGTACACCCAGTCGGTGAAGGATTCCTGTAGAATCATCAACTCGGCAATAAGATGGTTCTTGGTACTGGCCACCACCGTGTCCAAGTCCTGGACTTTTTCATTGAGCTCGTCAAGCGTCGCCAACCGAGCTTCGGTGGTGCCATACACATTATCGTACAAGGTTCCGTCCAACGATTGGACGATCCGCTTGACCTTCTGCTTGAGCATGTCTCCATGGAGGTAAATTAAAAACACATTGACCTCCTCATCAGCATCAATAGGAGCATCGTAAAAGTACAAGTTACCACGCAAGGCTCTCCAAAGAATCTGCCGCAAAAGAGGCACCTTTTCCCGGCTTATAGCACCGGCAATGGCGTTGAATGAGTCGTTAATTTCGGCCGTCTCCAACCCCAACTCAAGCAGAGGCTCACGGTGGTTCAACAATGCCACGTTATCACTGTCGCCATCCAAAGAGCCTCGCAACTGTCCGTCGTTGTCATTCACTATCAACGCCGTGTTCTGGAACTCGTTGACAACGGTTAATACGTGCCGATTTTGCAATAACCGCAGTCTTTGGCTGCTTAAATGGTTATATGCGTCGTCTAGGTGTTTGATCCGCTCGTAGAAGTCGGCGACCTTGGTGGCCAAGTCGTCCATCTCCGAGAGCGACAGGAACGGCGCCGTGTCGGCCTGGAGGTTTTGATATATGTATCCTTTAATGGTGTGATGTTTGGTCATGGTGGTCTCGAGAAACGTCAATTGGGACTCGATGACATCGATACCTCGAAGCTCGTTGAGGAAAGTACGTTGGAACGGCGTGAGCTTGGAGTTCAAGTCCCGAAAATGGACATTTCCAAGTCGCCCCAAAGCATAAACCACATCTCGGGCCAACTCGTTGGTGACGTAGAATTGGACAAGGGACATCGGCGCCGAACGGAAAATCGCCTCTTCATTCATGGGGTCACTTGTGCTACTCAATCGAATCGGCAGCATTGTTCCCTGGGATTTTCTGAATGTTTAAGTGGTGGATTCAGTCGAATCAATCGATTACTTTTCAGGTGTTTAGTACTTGCCCCTAAACATTTGGATCGCGACTTTGCCAGTTTTTCAGTTGCACCGCACCGCACTGGTTTACACGTAACCGAATTAGCATATATGGGTCCCACGATTCTAGCGTGGCTACTATCCCTAGTAATGGCGGCAGGGGTGGTGCTAGGCGGTAGCAACAACGCCCTGGCGCTTTTCGAAGCCGCTGCCCTTCAAATAGCCCTTATTCAACTGTCTGAATTGTCGCCACCAACCAATAGCGAGTACTTTGACACTAAGGTGCAACACATCCCTAACTACGACCCGGCCATCCAAGACTATGAGGACGCGCCAGTGGCACATCCCAAGGCTCGTGCTAGCATGCAGAGGGTGGTGATTCCTCTCCTTGAGCAGGCGGCTGCTTTGAACCACTCGGAAGCCCTTGTGACTCTAGGAGATATTTATACTTTTGGCAATTACTCGGCACCCACCAACTACTCACAAGCATTGGTCTACTATGAGCGAGCAATGGCCATTCAGACCCATGGCCATGCCGCCTTCATGCTTGGTTTTATGTATTCCACCGGCTTATTTGGAGAAATCAACTCGAATCCTGCAAAGGCCCAGCTCTACTACCAATTGGGTATGGAGGCCGGTGACCCCAACGCCTTGATGGCCATGGCGTACCGCCTAAGCACCGGCATGGGGTGTCCCATCAATTGTGAGTTGTCGTTGGTGTATTATTCCCAGTTGGCCAGAATGGGCCATCAGTTTCTTATGAACAACCAGGATCAAATAGAGCCCAACGAAGTGTCTTTTAACGTCAAGATCCCTGACTTTATAGGAGGAATCTATGGGCGTGACGTGAGTGAAACCGGTGACTCGGTGGTGGACTCGAAGAAAAAAATCTTGTACGATTTCGAACAGGAGTATAACATCGACAACCTTGATCGGAAAATTGTCGCCAAGTTCTTCCATGCCTTGGACGAGTACGACGGCCACTATAGTTCTCCCAAGAACTTCACCAGAGCAAAGGAGTTACTAGAAGAATGCACCACCTATGGTGAGACTCTTGTTGGCTATAGAACACCGCTGTCCCTCGACATCAATGATAGGTACAGACTTAGCGGGTGCCATGCTTTACTTGGGCACATGTACTTCAAGGGCCAAGGTATTCAGAAAGACGTGGAACGGGCCTACCACCATCTCCGAGCTCTGACCCGGCTCTACAACACTTCTGATGCCTTGACTGATATTGGGTCTTTGTACGAAGAAGGATTGGTTGAAGAACGAATACCAAACCCACAACAAGCCAAAGAATATTACTCCCAGGCCATGGCCATCGAGGAGACTCATAAGAATCACGGCTCTCGTCACAGTGGTAGATCGTTTTATAAGATGGCCAGAGCCCTTATAAAAGATTCTCCTGCTGGAGATATAATGACTAGCCCTTTCAAAGATTACATCGTGAAGACCATGCAGAAAGCTGCATCTAAGGGTGATACAGCCGCTTTGGTAGAATATGCTGAATTCATTCAATCGGGTTATACCAATGGCATCACCAAACCATATTCATGCTATGGAACCCTGATTTTTATGCGTGTGTTTATGGAACGATTGCATGGGGTTTATTTCCCTCACCTAAGTTACGCATTGGAGCAGTTAAGTGAGTACAACTACAAAAACGCCTTGCTCGGGTTCCTGATAGCTGCCGAACAAGGTTTAGACAGAGCTCAGGTGTCAGCTGGTTGGCTATTATATCAGTTGGACAATTTCCCCGTGAAAAAAACCAAGAAGTTCACTCCCGCACGAGTTTCCAGTGCCATGAAGTACTTCCAAAGAGCTAGTGATCAAGGTGATATCGATTCGACTTTATTCCTTGGAGACCTCTACTTCTACGGAGTCGAATCAGCTGGCATTTTTCCCGATCACGGGAGAGCCTTCAATTTGTACCACGTAGCTGCCGATGCAAGGTCTCCCCATGGATGTTTCAACTTGGCTTACATGTACGAATATGGATATGGTGATGCTAATGGCACCGTGGAGTATCACATGGCCAAAAGATATTACGATCTTAGTTTGAAGTACAGAGACGACATTTATTCTGGTAATGCCAATCAAATCCCTACATACTTGGCTCTCTTGAAACTTCGAGTCAAGTACTATATCTGGGGAAAGAAGAGTAGTTTTGACCTGGAGCAGACTTCTTGGTTAAGCGCATTTAAGAAGTTGGCTGCAAAAGAGAAACAAGAGACTGCAGCCCGGAAAGAATCAGAAATTGCTGATCAACGTGCCAGGCAACAACACGAAGGAACGAATGGCAACCCCGAAGATGAGGAGTTTGGGATTATAGACTACTTCTTATTGGTAGTATCGGCGTTGATCTTTGCATCTGTTATAGTGAAGACTATTGTACAACAGTACAGACTTTTCCGTAATAGAAGACAGGCTAATGCTCCTGGTGATGCAAACAATCAACAAAACGCGAATGACGAACAACCACAGCCAGCCCAACGTGAAGGGTGGAATTTAAATGGTGCTGGTGTTGAATTCCGCAGAGGGAACTTTGAGTTTCAGTTTATGGCACTCTAACAATAAAAGTAGTTTGTATATATTGGAAATGAATACTTAATGATTTATAAATATGCTCTATGTAATTGTTCTAGTTTCGTATGTCGTTAAAGATGTCCCTTATGACGGGACTATTTTGGATAACTTTCGATTGTGAAGTTACCTGGTGTTTATTTGGTGTATTTTTCCGTTTCTGACTGGTTTGTGAGACGGTAGGATCGTATTGAGTATAATGAGAACAGGCATTTGGAGGTAGTTTAAACATCCATTTTTCTTTATGCACCAAGTCAAGGAAACTCTTCATTATTCCACCACCCAGACCCAATGTGCTCTTGGAGCCCAAAATAATAAGCTTAGATTTGGATCTAGTGATTGCTACATTGATTCTTCTCCATTCCTGTAACAAATCACCAATTTTTCTTTCCTTGTTCGATCTCACAAGGGAGATGATAACACAGTCCTTATCTCTACCTTGAAACTGGTCTGCCGTCATCACTTCTATGTTTTCTTTGTCAAACATGTATTTGTTGAGAAGTCTCAATTGAGCTCGGTACAATGACATTACTCCAATACTGGATTCTCCTACTCCACATAATGTCAATGCTTGCACAATTTGCCAGATCAACAATGCTTCTGTGTGGTTTTCCATCTTCTCTCCCATACATCTTTCCCAGCCAGGAACAAGATCATGGTCCAAGAAAATGACTCTATTTTGCTCGTTGAGCACCCATTTCATCCAAAAGTCTTTGTCACCAGTCACCAACAGCTTATAACCAAGGGGATCTGGGATATGTAACACTTGATTGGCTACGCTCTCAGACCCACACTTCAACATGTTGTTGTAGATCAAGACATTGGATAGTTTCATGATGTCTTCGCACATTCTATACTGGTAGGTTAATTCAGTAACACTTTCCGGGAATTTATCGTTGAGAAATTGGAATAAGGACGTTGATAACCCTTTCTTCACGGCCATCTCGGGATGTTGGACTAGTGGTGGTAATTGGTTGTGGTCACCCACCAATATAAATTTATCGCAGAACCGCAATGGGCCTAAACTCACTGGTAACGACACCTGAGAGGCTTCGTCAATAATACAGTAGTCGAAATTGGTTCTCACGTCAAAGGCCACATCATTTATACCCAAACAAGTGACTCCCACTACGGGCGGATCCAGAAAAGTCGTTATGTACTCCTCGTAGGTGTTTATATCTTGGGGACAGTATTGGCGAAGGTCTCTATGAACCCGTGCAGGGTGCCCGATTCTTAAGATTCCCACATCTTCATAGTCCTTTACCTTCAAAAGAATGTTATCCACGGCCGAATGAGTGTATGAAGTCAAAAGGATCGTTTTCTTTTGTTTCACAAGATGGTTGATAATTCCTGCAATCAAGGTTGTCTTTCCTGTTCCTGGCATTCCAAGAATCAAACAATAATCATCAGCAGAAAGGACCTTGTTGAATGCTCTCATTTGGTCGGAGTTATAGTGGGTGTCTTCCTGGAACTCGGAGGAGCAGTTGCTGAAATGTGGGGGTTGAAGATTAACTATCTGTTGTCTTCTCTTTATATCTCCATCCACCAACAATAAGTTGAGCACATTGTATCTGGCAAGACTCATTCCATGGAACATTTCATCTTTATCGATTCTGTAGCATCTCTGTTTGCCTTGGGTCTGGGTGTTAAAGTCTCCAGAATGGAGCACACTTTCGTAGGACTGAAAGTTGGTCTTGTTGAAGTTTTTCATTTTGACGGTAGAATTGAGAATTCTTCGATCAGCAGAAAGTACAATCATATTCGGAAGAATAGATGTCACAACTGCTCCAGCTATAGTGAAATGGCCTTCTTCATCACTCACAATTACTCTGTCATATTTGGCTATTTGAGAGAACTGTAGCGAAGTTTTGGCTAAGGCAGAATCTTTGGACCTTACCAAAGTATAGTTGAACTTGAACGACGACTCCGAGTTCTCGGAAGACTCAACTATCATCATATTTGCCAAGGCCTTGCCACTACTCTCTTCTCGTTCTCTGGCAGTCATTACCCACAAGTCTTTTTTCAACATCTTCAAAAGCAGTTCTTCTTTGGTGATGAGCATGTCCCAGTATTCGTAAAAATCCTTGTAAATTCGGTTCCCATCAAGATGACTGGTGATTTCAAGATACTTCTCAGGACTCAATCCACTGGACTCGCTAGAACCGTTCTCATACAAATGGTGGATTGTCATACACTCTGTCTGAACCTCACACCGATCGCAAATAGACCGTTTAATCACTGGAGGGAAGCTCCTTATACCTTCTCTCATGTACTCCGAGATTCTGTTTCGAAGATTGACTAAAGACCTCAAGTCAGAAGGTCTTATTTCTCCCAATTTCGAGAGCTTTTCCTTGGTGTACACCAATAAGAACGCATTAACATCCATATCATATCTGTCTTTGAAAAGCAACGCATACAAAGATGACTGGGCATGGTGTGCCACGTATTCTCGACCAGTTTTGATTTCCATGGGGATCAAAAACGTCCCTTTAGTGGTTTCAGAGTCAACTTGTGCTTCTAAAGTCACATCGACTTTACCCTTGATACCAAACATCGGAGACCAGATGTTCTCTTCTATATCCAACGCCTTGTTCACAGAAAACAGAATCCTTTCTCGGTTCACCGTATCCAAGGGTCCCTTATTATGATAGTACTTTTTAAACCAATCCTCCAAAAACGGTAAAGCCAAATCTATTTCTGTCTCTACATCCTTCCTAGAACTGTTCAGAGAAAAGATGGATAAAAGGTTCGCTTCAACCAAATGAAATGCCATCTCTTTCATGTACTTTTGACTCCAATTCTGTGCCACAAAGCATGATTGGAATATCTCGTGTAAGAGGTTACCAACCAATAATGGGACACTTGCGGCACCAGGAAGTTTGAGCCGGTCGGTTAGAATTGGCTTTCTTGGACAATTAAGCTGCAGAGACACGGTGGTAGCAGAAACAAGCACATCTGGGTGCCAAATCATGATGTTCACATTGTCATCGACTAAAGTTGGAGTTTGCGGGTGGGTCAAAACAAGGTGAACCAAGTCTCCCTGTTGCAAGTTGAGAGTGGTATATTCACCACGGACTATGAGTTTGGACATGGTATTCAGAGCATCTTTGACACTAAGAATCAACTGCTGGCCTGCCTTGTTACTGGTTTTGAAAGACCCTTGGAGGATATGTACAATTTGCAACCGTCTCAAATCAGACCTAGTATATGATAAACTGGGGTCTTGATCCGAAACAGTATCATCAAGCTGTGACAACTGCTTGATCTTTGCAGTGTACTCGGTATTCTGGAGGTCCACCATGCTGAAGTCAAGGTCGTCAGGAAAATCAACGTCATCGTCATTGTTAATGTCATCAAACCCTAGTGATGTCTTACTTCTAGTGACTTTTTCAGCAGATTCCACCAAGAAAGGAGACTTGGTACGACTGGTATCTTGCACAGCACCGGTGGATTTGGTCTTTGCGGCAAAAGATGCTAGGATTTCTTCGTCATCAGAAAAGAGATCTGAGTCTTCGAGTAGTTGGGACTTGATATTGGGTGTACTTTGCAACGCCCTCGAAGATGAAACTTGTATCGGGGTCCCCTTTTGTACCGCCTCTCTCTTGGGACTCTTATCCCTCTTTGGCAGGTCAAACTTACTGATCCAGCTCTTCAATTTAGAACTACTTTCGAGCGATAAGCTTGGAGTCTTAGAGACATCAGGAAATCCTGTCATCGAGCGGGCCCGCTGGAGACTGGGCTTCAGCTCAAGCACCTCAGATGATAGGTCAGAAACGCTCTTTAAGATCCCAGCTGGCTTTTCGCTTGTTGCCATGTTCACAAACCCAGATCCATATTTCAAAAGCATCAGTTCTGCCTGGTCCGGTACCGCCCCAATGCTGTCATTGCGGTCCAAAATATTTTTAAGTGGCGACGACGAAGGCATTGGCACCTTCACGTTCCCCAGCCGCCCTTTATCGGTGGTAGGACTTAGTCTCCACTTGATTCCTTCAAAGCTCTCATCTGAACTTTGGTTTTGTACAACGAAATTCTCGTAGAGCTCCGGCTCTTTGGCCAGATCCGATGACTGTGTACCAATCACGTTAGGATTGACGGGCTTTAGCACGCTGGTAGATGTGCTTGGTGGTATTGACGTATCATGCCTGTTTGTACTGGAACCCGTGAGGCGATTTTCAGGGCGAAAAAAGTAGGCTGTCTTTTTGATCTTTCGCTTGGACGATGGCGCAGCCAGCAGTCCAGCAAGAGGCCCACGCTTGTGACCACCAGAGGAATTTAATCCTTCTAGTACGTCTTGGGCCATTTGAGAATCTTAAGTTTCTTGATTTGCACGCGTTCTCAAACTAATCGATTTAGCTAGGATGGTTTTGTGTCACTAGCAGAAAATTTTTCTGAGTGCAGAAAACCAAACCCTCACCTCATCGAGAAAAATAAAATCTCTAAAAGTTTTCAAGCTACACATCGCAGGTGATACATATCAAAGGCTTTTAACTAGAAGATGTCGTATATCTTGACCGAAACTGCCGCTGGGTATGCGCTTTTGAAGGCCGCCGACAAAAAGATCCACAAATCATCCTCCTTAATCGCCGACTTGAACTCAGCTGAAAAGGTTGCCCAGCAGTTTAAAGTCCACAGATTCGAAAAGTTTCAATCTGCCGCCAACGCCTTGGAAGAAGCCAATTCTATCATCGAAGGTAAAGTGTCCGACTCCTTGAAGAATTTGTTGGAGCAAGCCAAGTCTGATAAGAAAGTGAACTTAATTGTTTCAGAAACAAAATTGGCCAACTCCATCAACAAATTAGGACTCAACTTTTCTGTCATATCCGATGCCGCTTCTTTAGATTTACACAGAGCCATCAAGGAATTCTTACCTGACTTGTTACCCGGTTTGGATGAGTCTACTTTAAAGCAAATGTCATTAGGTTTGGCCCATTCCATTGGAAGACACAAGTTGAAGTTTTCTGCCGATAAAGTCGATACCATGATAGTACAAGCTATTGCCCTTTTAGACGACTTGGACAAAGAACTTAACACCTACGCCATGAGATGTAAGGAATGGTATGGTTGGCACTTTCCCGAATTGGCCAAGCTCATCACCGACTCAGTTGCTTATGCCAGAATTATCTTGACTATGGGTATTAGATCCAACTGCGCCGATACCGACTTGTCTGAGATCTTGCCAGAAGAAATAGAAGAACAAGTGAAGACTGCTGCAGAGGTTTCCATGGGAACTGAGATCACTGACCTTGACTTACTCAACATCCAGGCTTTGGCTGAACAAATTGTCGAATTTTCCGCCTACAGAGAACAACTTTCCAACTATTTGTCTTCAAGAATGAAGGCCATTGCCCCCAACTTGACTGTTTTGGTGGGTGAGTTGGTGGGTGCCAGATTAATTGCCCATGCCGGTTCAATGACTGCTTTGGCCAAGGCCCCAGCTTCAACTTTGCAAATTTTGGGTGCGGAAAAAGCCTTATTTAGAGCTTTAAAGACTAAGCATGATACACCTAAGTACGGATTATTGTACCATGCTTCGTTGGTGGGACAGGCTTCCGGTAAGAACAAAGGTAAGATTGCCAGAGTGTTGGCTGCCAAGGCTTCAGTGGCATTGAGATACGATTCTTTGTCTGAAGATAGAGACGACTCGGGCGATTTTGGTTTGGAAGTGAGAAGCAAGGTCGAAGCCAGATTGAGTGCTTTGGAAGGTCGTGATTTAAGAACCACGTCCAGAATCGTCACAGAACAACCTAAGGTGGAGATTTCTGAAGCCCGTGCTTATAATGCCGATGCCGATGCTCCTGTTGTTGCAAAGGATGAAGACTCTGATGACGAAGACGAGGTGGTGGAAAAGAAGGAAAAGAAGGAAAAGAAGTCTAAAAAGGAAAAGAAGGACAAGAAGGACAAGAAGAGAAAGAGAGATGATGACGAAGAAGAAGAAACCAAGGAAAAGAAGAGTAAAAAGGAAAAGAAGGATAAAAAGGAAAAGAAGGACAAGAAAGATAAGAAGAAGAAGTCCAAGGATTAGTTAACAGTCCTCACCAGAAGAACGATTTTGCATTTGCTTCGACCAGCCTTAGTCATCTATTGTATATTTAAAGTAGTTTATAGCCAAGTCTCTTGGTCTAATATATCTCGGATAGTTTGTGAACCTTCCCTTCCACTTTGTATTGCAGCCACATTTCTGGTGATTGCGAAAATGAAAAATTTATCCCACGCAGTTCAATCCATCTAAACTCAAGCATGTCTGATCCACAAACGATTGCAAAAAACGACCCATTTCTCGACCTCGATAACCCACAACACCCAGCCAATGTCATCTGCGAGTTGTGTCGCCTCTTTTACGACAATAATTGGGTCACCGGTACCGGTGGGGGAGTCTCCATAAGAGATCTCGATGGAGATAATAAGAACCTTGTTTATATTGCACCTTCGGGAATTCAGAAAGAGAGATTGGAACCTTGGGAAATGTTTGTGGCTGAGTTGCCCGACGAAACGGTTTTGCGGACTCCTAACGAAGGAGGATATAATAAAAACTATAAATACAAGGCTTCAGCCTGTCAGCCATTATTCATGAGCTGCTATAAATTGAGAGACGCCGGTGCTTGTATCCACACCCACTCCCAGAATGCTGTGATGTGTACGTTGTTGTGGGAGGATAAGGTCGAGTTCAAGATCAATCATATCGAGCAAATCAAAGCTTTGCCCAGACTTCAGGTTAATGCAGCCACGGGAAAAGTGGAAAAAGTTGGTAGCTTGGAAAACTTTGACACTTTGGTGATCCCCATCATCGAAAACGTACCTCACGAAGAAGACTTAGTCGACGACTTGGAAGCTGCCATCAATAATTATCCGGGAGCCACTGCTGTGTTGGTGAGAAGACATGGTATTTATGTGTGGGGAGAAAACATCTGGAAAGCCAAGGTGTACAACGAAGCCCTCGACTATCTCTTGGAGTTGGCCATCAAAATGAAGCAGAATGGGATTCCTACCATCAAAAACTAGTGTAGCTTTATAACGGATTTTTCGTATCTTTTAGTTTATCGCCTGTAAGGTTCTCCCAGTCCACCGGAATCGACTCGTCTACCTCGCCTATGCATACAACAGTACCGCCCCGCAACATATATAGACCCATATCGAGTTGTTGATACTTATCGTCTGTTCCCTTCACTCTGGCTATTCGCTCGATGCAGTTGGAGATGACTATGTTGGTGGCGTTATCGATTCCTTCTAGTTTGCCCTCAAACAACCGGGCGTCAGTAGTAATGACCCGCACCTTTTCTAAATATCGTTAGTACATGGGATGTGATGGAGGCAAATGCTTTACTTACTGTATAGAAACTCTTTCCAGCTGGACATCAAAGAATGTTTATGAGATGGTTTTACGCGAATGCGAAATCTGCTGCAAAACCTCTGTAATCTATCTCATGAACGCAATCCCACCAGATACTTTGGTGATCGGCTCTAAGATGCCCAATGGCATTAGTAGTACTTGTATTGATAGCTACAAGACAAAGACCGTCAATTCCGACGGAGAGTGGTATGGTTATGAACAGTGGGATTAGAAAACTGGCACTTCCAATAGCATCGTACAAGAGAAATTGAAGGAATTGCGGACACATTCTGCCACCATCGACTTCCCTGCCTTGGATCTGAAACAGTGATGTCACAAACTCAAACGAGTACTCTCCTTTCCAAGTTGATCTTAATATTGAAGGAGTCAGTGTCCTCCACTAAAGAACCACTGCGACAAAGGTCTTCATAGTACACCTCGTACATGGCCATATACCGGCTGATAAACAGAGCCACCTGTGCGTCCGTCATTCCTGACCCCCTTTTGGCGATAAGATCATGTTCCTGTTGTAACCTCCATTTGTACACATTATTAATATCTTCTGTTTCAAAGTTAATGAAGTAGTCGAAGCGGTACCAAACACTGCCGTACTTCTTGAGGAAGTCGTTGACCTGTAGCATGTGCTGAAGAGTATTCGTTTTCGAGGCACTGTCTGCTGGCAAAGCATTATATCGTTTTGACATTTCCTCATCGGGTATGGCAAGGTATCCGTTGAACCAACCTTCAAATAGAAGCACATCCACCGCTTGTTGTTTCGTGTAAACCGTCCATGTTTCTCGTGGAGCCCGATCACCCTCGCCATTGAAAGCAGACTTATCGTACCTGGGTATGGCAACCTCGTCCCTTATGCGGATTTTGTGAAGAACATCCCCAAGAAGTTCCAAGTCGTGAGTCCCCGGGAGCCCTCTTCCTTGCACAAGCCTGTTGTTATCCATTTGTTCAATGGACTTCTGTGTCAACAACTGTTGTTGCGCATGAGTGAGATAAACGTCATCCATTGACATCTGTGCTACCTTGACGTGGGGAAACTGAGCATAAAGAAAGGCAACTGCTTGATCCACTGCAAAGGACTTACCGCTTCCTTGAGGGCCGCTGACTCCAATGATGATGGGAGATTTTGTTGGAGACAACTGCCAATTGCTGACAATGTCACTGACATAACGATAGAAAGGTTCTGGTCCTGGTGGATATGGGACCATTTTTCACTACTTTAAATTTTCTACTGAAAGTGCGTTTTTCATTGCCTATACCACGCAATCAGGAGCTATACACAGTTCAAATCATTAAATGGCCTTTCTTTCCTTCAACTTGCTGACCAATTCGTCCACAGACCCAACCATGATTCCCTTGGGTCTTTCAGCAGGGGCCTCGACTTTGACGGTTTCTAATCTTTTGACTAGTTCAATACCCAAATCTTGGGGCTTGAGCTTCTCCAATGGCTTTTTCTTAGCCTTCATGATGTTTGGTAAAGATGCGTACCGGGGTTCATTCAATCTCAAGTCAGTGGTGATGATCATTGGTAACTTGGCCTTCAAAGTGTTGGCACCACCATCAACTTCTCTGGTGACAGAAACAAAGTCTCCATCAACCTCAACTTTGGAAGCATTAGTAGCCTGAGGCCAGTTCAATAAGCCAGCCAATATTTGTCCAGTTTGGTTGGAATCATCGTCGATGGCCTGCTTCCCCAAAATTACCAAATTGGCATTTTGTCTCTCGACCATCTGCTTCAACATCTTGGCCACAGTTAATGGTTCTACCTCTTCGTCACCAACATCCACCAAAGTGGTGGAGTCAGCTCCTTTGGCCAACGCCGTTCTCAACACATCCTGCGCTTTCGAAGGCCCGATTGACACCGCATGAATTAGTTCTACCAAGTCCTTATTCTTCTCTTTGAGTCTAATTGATTCTTCCAATGCGATATCACAAAATGGGTTCATACTGAACTTGACACCCTTGGTTTCGACACCGGTTTGGGTCTTGTTTATTATGGGTTTGATAGCAAAGTCAATCACCCTTTTCACTGGTACTAATACCCTTAATTTGGTGCTCATGTCTTGTGGTCACAATGATGGTGGTTGAAAAATTCACGCTTCAACAAGTCAGCCCGATACCGGATGAAAATCGCGGGTGCACAAAATTGGTCAAATTCGCCGTCCACGACCCGATTGCAAATATACTGTTCCTATTACTATACATGAGTGTTCGAAGCTATACTGGTTCTGGCTTTCATCTTTTTGATCCGTTCTTTGAGTTGATTGGTGATATCGGCGGCACTAGTCCAGTCTTTTTCTCTATCTTCAAGGGCAAAACTGCCGCTGAAACTGTCGTACCTCTTTGGGGGGCTAGTCCTGTCTTGTTCGACATTTTCCTTTTGTCCTTCTCCGTCAATAGAAAGCCGGTTGACGCGGGAGCTGAGGTCTCCCGACGTACTTCTTTGGCCAGATTCCTCGTATAGTCTGGATTTGTATGGTGAAATGTTGTACAAACCTGGGTATGCTTCTGACAGTTGAATGGTGGGTTTCTGTTGCAATTTCATCATATCAATCGAGTTCTCCAAGTCTTTCACTTTGAGTTTTAATCCTTCAATGTCGTTGTTCAAGCGAGCTATTTCCATGTCTTTTTGTTTTAAGCTGGTGTTTGCAACATGGTTGTTTCGCTCCGCCAGTTCTAGAAGAGTTTTGAACTCATTTACACTTTCTTTGAGAGAAATGTTTTCCATTCGGAGACCTTCCGTAGTGGCCTTATGACGGTCTCCAGATTGGATCCATTGTTTTTGCTCTTCACGCAAGGCCCTTAATTCATTCATATCCTCGGAGTCAACCTCCATACTATCGTGTCTTGAGATAGAAGGAGAAAGCCTGGGAATGGACGCAGACACGTTGGACGTCAAAGATCTTCCTGTCAACCCTCTGCCATAAGAAGATGCTTTTGGAACTTGATCCACTCGTTTGGCAGGTGATGTTGCAAGTCTCTTGGATGGTACAGTGGATGTTGGTGGAGCGAAATTTGATCTTCTGATACCACTGGGGACAGAGTTGGGTGCTGTTGCCGACCTGGGCTTTGCAGCTTTGTTAGATCCGTTGAAGTTAACCTCCACAGTCTCATATACGTTGAAGATTTTGGTTTTTCTATTTTCGTCAACCTTTTCCAAGAACTGCTTCAACTCCCGTTCGCCGGTAATTTTCATGAGAGTACCAATCATGTTAGTTCCAGCTTGACGAATAGGTTCTTGGGACTCACTCAAGAGCTTTACACCAATTGTCATTATATCTTCCACCTCTCTGGATGTTGGACAGGAATCTACTTGGGACAAGCATTTCTGCAAATAATTGGTGGCAGAGATCTTCACTTGTGGAGTTTTGTGGGTCATGGCTGTGAGTGTACCTTCCAACATGTCACCCAAGGAAGTCGAGTGGAATACAGCTACAAGGGCGTTTGTTAAGGCATCGGCCACTGAAGGCTTCTTCTCTTTGGTTCTTTCAAGCATAGGCACAAGAACAATAGGGTAATACCTGTGGAAGTTTTTCCTTAAACCGTTTGCAACTATTTCAACACAATTGGCTGCCAATTGCACCACTTGGATGTTGGCATCTCTCATACATTTGGAGAATATCCTCATTATCTCCGTATAGTCATCTTTGGGAGTCAACTTCACCACCTTCGATAACACACCATGGACATCTTCCAACACTGCTTTTCTCTCCTTCCAAATAGGATCGTTGATACGGGCTTGGAAATCCTCTGGTAGTTTGCTTAACACTACCATTGGCTGGACTAAATCAAACGGATCCACCTGAGTAGCCACTTGGGTCGCAGCAACGCTTTCTCCAAAGGTGTCATCTTCCACACTCATTTCTTCTGCCACTCGTCCCTGCTCCACCTGGGCTCTCGTAAGAGTCTTCTGTTGCGGTATGTCGTTAGCAACCAGTTCGAACGCGGTAGTTAATTCCTTCTGCTGAACGGGCTTCAAGTCATCAAACAAAATCTTTCGTAAATTGTCTTTCATCCACTTGTATAATTCCACTGTCAAGACCTTGGTTTCCTCTCTGACATTTCTATCGTTATGGGCGAAAAGCTTGGGCAAAGTCTCAATGATTGGTCCTGGTGAAATAATTGTACAACCAAAGGCATCAATGATTTGATACAACGCATTCACGCACCCAGCCACCAACTTCGGAAGCCGGTGCTTTGTGAATGGCAATATGGCCTCTACCACACCATTGGGAGAGTCCAGGATCTCAACACACTTCAACAAGCAGGTAGTTGATTTGGCTTTAGTGCCTGCTCTAGAAGAAGATAACCCTTTTTCACACAACGCCGGGACAATGCCGACGTTCTTCAAGCGATTGAGTGTTTTTGGAGTGGCCCCAAGATCCAAGTACTTGGAGAACATCAATATCCCCGTTTCTTGTGCCACCACGTTCAGATCAGTGACAATGGTTTTGAGAAGCTCGGGTTGGTTATTAAACATCAAAAAGCATTCGTCGTCCTCATTCCGAGAGTTATCAAACTGCTTGGTATAGTCTTCATAAGCAGACTGCCGGGCCTTCCACAGCTTGTGCACAAGCCGTTCCTCTAAGGGAATGGTTCTAATATCTGGTTCTTCAGACATTCTTGTCAAGTATGTTTGTAAACAAACAACACCGCGCACTGGCAGAAAATGTCTAGTAAAGAGGCATCGTTTCTATGCATGTATTTAGTACAAATGAAAAAGCGCTTTGGATGGCGACAGATGAGGGTCAGAACTTCCTGTTATATCCGACGGTCGGAGTCCAAGATCCCAGAGCTTACTCTATGGTCTTAGTGTATTTAGCCTTTATGTCTTCGTATGGCTTCAAATTGGTGAATCCCCACTCTTCTTCACCCGGTCTAGTCTCGTAGTACTTCTGGATGTTCACACCATGGTAAGGGTGGTACACAAAGTTAAACCATGGCAAAATGGCCATAGTAGCAAATGAATACTGGGAGTTTCTGTTGGCAATATCTTTTAATCTGTCATCCAACACTGATTCGTTTTCATGGTATGGCAATTTTTCTTGTGACAAGAGCTTCTTGATCTCGTATCTATCCTTCTTAACCTCTCTGGCGTTTTCTTCCCATCCCAAGAATCTCTTGGAAGATCTGACATACGATAAATAGAATCCACCCACAACTCCCAATAAGGTGGCGGCTCTCAAAGCTCCGCCGGGAACTTTCTGTGGAGCCTTGAACGCACCAGCACTTGGTTCGAATCTTTCCCAAAGTTGTAAAGATATTGGAAAAGCTGCTGCTGTTGCTCCCCAAACAGCATAGTCTGAGGGTCTGAAATATTTGACGACCCGGTTGAAGTGGGGGTCGACATCGATGACTTCATAGTCGGCTTGAGGGGGATCCGCTCTCACGGGTTCGTATTGCTTGTTATACGACATTGTCTGTTGTGCACTTGAAGTAAAGCTTTTTCATAGTAATTTCCATTTCTCACTTTTTGATTGGAGCGACCGGCGCGCGGTCGTGTGTGCATCATTTCGTCCTAATGGTGGGCTGCAAAAAATGTGGTTCCGAGACTGGGGAAGGACCAGATGGTGGGAAGTGATACATGGGTGGAGTCGCTGATGAATGCCACAGTGCTTATGTTTTTATTTGGGTAAAAATCCTTTAAAACACCATTTTTCACCAATCATGTTCCACCGAAGCTAAATAGAGCCACAAAAACACTAACACACTTTCCAGTAGGAATGATTACCTCCGCCACATACGCTACCTAGCACTCTCTGTCTTAATACCTTGATTTTCTTTATAGTCATACTCAAATTCTCATCGCACCCAAATGCTCTCACATTTTCGCACTTTGATAAGAAATCACTACATCATTATCCTCACTAAACTAATGCCAATTCGGCTACAAGACGACCTTGAAGGTCAAATAGCATCTCCGCGTCTCAGTGACGACTCCAAAAGCATATTCACCAAGCTTCTTAACGCCATCCGCATCTACAATGTACCTCTTATAAACTTTGTCATTATGAGTGTGCTAGGATTCTTCCTCCTCAAACTAACTACAAAATATACTGCCTTATACATGAAAAACTCGTTGATTACAATCATCGTGACGAACCTCGTGTTGTTTGGAATCTCAGAAACACTTGCCCAGTCGATATTGGGCTACCGACCTGCTGAGCCGTTGATTTCTTTCAAGGTTGACTATGCACATAATCATATGCTCTCGTTCAACTCGAATGATATACTGGCCGGAACCATTTTTGAGCCTTATACCGACGAAGATGATAATCTCAGCTCAAGTGCCATCACTGAAGATCAGGAAGTGGAGCGGTTCATAGATTATGTCCAACAGGACAACGAATCTGTCATTAGCACCGGAGACGATGGATTTTCGATGCGACCATATTATCCAGACATGAATACGAATGGGAATAGGCCGACATCGATGGAACAATTGACGTACTACCTGTTCAATCGCCTTGCTGGATTTATGGTTTGGGGGTTTGTGATGGCGTTTGCCCAGTGTTGGTGGTACAAATTTCTACAAATCTATGCTAAAGATCCAAAGTTCATCGAGGTGTTGAGAAAAGTCCTTACCGACCAGTTCTGCTATTCGCCGATCTCGTTGTTTTGTTTCTTCACATATGGAACCATGGTTTTAGAGAGTGGGACCTGGGAAGGCACCAAGGAGAAATTGAGCAAAATATACTTAAAGACACTTATGATTAACTATTCTGTCTGGTTCCCCGTGCAATTTGTGAACTTCTTGATAGTACCTCGAAACTTCCAGGTACCGTTCAGTTCTTCGATCTCGGTGCTTTGGAACTGCTTTTTATCCATGAGAAACTCGGCTAATTCCACCTAGTTTTGTTATTTATATGTACATGCCTGAAGTAGAGTAGCTGTTGAATTTTCTGACCGACAAACTCACCCTCTTTATGAACGCATCCCTTTCGAGCCCTATAAGTTCTGCCACCACATGGCTAGCATCGATAATCGAGTCGGGGTCGATTTTCTCGTATCCTGGTTGTCCTTCGGCATTGAGAATTAGTGAAACAAGTCTAACACCTTCAGTCAAAGCCAAAGTCGACGTCACAGAAGCACCAATACCAGTGATGAAATGTGGAGGCTGGACTGTGGGAATCGAATTTACCAACTCACTTTCCGAGCCTATACTGAATTTATTCAAAGTCTGGTTGTTATTCAATTGGCATGGTGCTAAGGTTATCCAATTGGTGATTTTGGAACTGAAAAACTCCACCAATTTGTCCGACAATGCGTTAATCGCAACGGCATTGGTCTGATGTGGTACTACTACAGTCAACAGGTTCTGGTGCACCAAAATAGGGATGGTAAATTCGGTGAACTTATCCTTCAAAGACTTCTCCATAATGGCAGAGTAGAGCTGCTCATCTTCATCATACTCATCTTCCACCGAATCACTCACGATCTTTGGAATCTCGGGGTACTTAATGAAAATCTCTCCACATTTGGTGCCGCCAATGGTTTCAGTAATTACCTTGACGGTTTGTGGACATATAATTAAAGTGGTGGCACTAGTTCCCGCATACTCGATGGACAAGTGAGGAATCAAATTAGGAGTCTCGTTGTCGGCTTCATCCTCTAAAAAGTGGCGAGGCGTCTGTGTATCTGTCCATGGTTTGATCTATACTGTTAGTACGGTCAATGGTGTCGATTCAAGTCATTTACATACAAGCATTGATAAAGGTTAAAGTACTTGCCACTAGAAATAGGTTTTCGCGACTGGCAAAATCAGCTCACCGAACCCACTCTCCATGTTCAGAATGTCCAATAGATTTTGGAGCAGAGGCCTCCAAAGCGTCCGCAGGTACCACGCTTATGACCACCCAGCCTCAAACTTGATTGTGGATCCCACCAAACTCGAAAACAAGCTCTTGACCAAGTCTTTGGAGTACATTCCCCAATTTGGCTTCAGCGACCAATGCATCAGTGAAGCCATAAAACAAATGCAGTACCCGGACTCCATTCGCTCCATCTTGACAGCTAGCTTCAGCGGCCACTCCACAGAACTCCAATTGATGGTCCACTGGTTGAAAACTCAGAGACAAGCGTTGGATAGTGAGGTTAACTCTCCTGACAGCCAGCTCCACTCCATCACCGATGAGTATGAAAGAGCTTCGTTTTTGATCAACAAAAGGTTATCGTACAACATCCCCATTATCGACAAGTTACTGGGCGGCATCTCGCAGTTGTTGGTACCTTACAATATGAGCTTTTCATTGGAAGAATTGTACAATTTGGGAGATGATATAGCGTTCCACGCGGGAGACGCATCGATAGACTTTGCCTGGTACGCCAAAAGGCTTAGTCTTTCAATGGTGTATGTATCATCCGAGCTCTACATGGTGCAGGACAAGAGTGCCGACTTTGTCAACACCAAGAAATTTGTGGAGGATAAGGTGAAGAATATCGACCATTTGGGAGAAGCCTACGAGAACATAGAGCAATGGGCATTTTTCAACGCCATTTCCGCCTTCAACTTGGTCAAGTCCCAGGTGAGTCGGGGATAGATAGACTGTATATATTCGGATTAATGTACATGGTGAAATAGTAATAATTAAGCAGAGGCCATTTTGGTTCTTATGGCAACCAACAGGTTTCTGGCGGTTTCCATGACCGTTTCTTGTTCCTTGATCTTGGATTCGGCTCTTTCGATTTCGCCTTTGATGAATTCGATTCTCTTGTTGACGTTCATCTTTGCTTCCAGGAAATCTTGTGGCATTAACACTGGGCCTGTCAATTTATATATTTTGGAGTCTTCATTCAAATGGTCAAATTCCTGGAGAACAATTTTGTTTTCCTGGAACTGGGTTTCAAGCTGCTGTCTGGCACCAATCAACTCGCTGAGCAGGGTCTGGGCCTGAGTAAATTCCAAAGATATCTTCTCTATTTGATCGTTATCAGCCATTATCCACTGGAAAATTTTGCGAACTTGTAAATGAGAAGTAGATGAACTATATGAAAATGAACTATATGAAAATGAACTAAATGAAAATGAACTATATGTGAATTGAGTATATGAGAATGAACGATATGAGCAGCAACAGAGATAAGCGGGATTGAACCATGGGTATCAACATAAGATCAACACAGCTAGGGCTATTGCCTGACGGGAAAAATGTCGTCACTATCATTCACTACAATCTCTGTCACGTGCACCTTGTACATGCCACCCGTTCCCTCTCCCACAAGCACGTCCACGTCGTCAGCATCCTCAACCGCGAGGCCGTCGATGTCCTCGTCCTGAGTGTCCAATTCGATATCTACCGTGGTGTTTTCAAACTGGTTGAAAGCTTCTCGAACGCTGGAATTGGAGACGTCCTCGTCATCGTCTTCTATGGCGGAGTTGTCGATAATGGCGGTCGCAAACACCGGCTTGTGGCCGTGGTAGGACGTGTGGCGGCGCTGAGTTCCCGTTGGCCCCGACATGGAGTTGGAGCGGGAATGAGAACTCGAGTTGGAGCGGGACTTGTGGAACGAGTGGCTCATGGCTCTGAGCTTGCGCTCGCTTATCAATGTCCGCTGCTGCTGGTACGGAGATGCAAAGAGGTCCTGGTTGAAAATGAACCCCTGGCATTCTTTCAAGGAAATAATGTTATAGGTAGAACTATCGCTGTAATAGTTGGGGCATTCATAAACGGAGATGTTTTCGCTGTGAATCATGGCGGGCGACAAGAAGGAGTTTCGCCTGAACCACGGCGACGATGTGTTGGAGAAGGAAGGAGTTCTTCTCTTATCCGTCTCGGATTTTGAGGGGGTTCTCTTTTTGGGAGAATGGATCTTAGGGTCAGCCATTTTTCTGGATGAAGGGATAGAAGCAGGCGTAGGGATAGTAGTCGGGAGAAGAGTGTATCACTGGCAGGGGTCAGAACTGTAGGAGTAATGCAAATAATGATCTAGGAACCAAGTGGTTTAGGGATTTAGAAATGCGCGGATAGTGAATGCACAGCTAGTAAGCGCATGTATTGCATATTTACAGGTATTCATAAGTCATAATAAATAGAGTGATATGGCATAGAGATGTTATTGATTCAAGAGTCCACCAGTAGAACAACAGGTATTGCCATCTCTACTTCTCGTACCAGTACACCTTCTGCTTCTTCAACTCGTTCATCACAAACGTCAACCCATGACGGGACTTTTCAATGTTTGAAGCAAACCGGTGCTTGCTCCAATCTTCGATTCTCTGCTTAAATCCAATGAGGTTGGACAGAAACTTGACCTTGCTTTTTAATTGGGTGGAATATTCATCGATTTCCGAGTAGTACAAGAACTCTTCCACCTTGATGAATTTCCTGTGATCAATGTTGGCAGAATATGTCATCAACCTCTTGGTCTGAGGGTTGATGATGGTTTTCTCGAGGATCCAGCTGTTCAAATTGGATCCCAAAAACGGCTTGATGAACATGGGCAAAGGACCAGTTTTGACCATCAACTTAGTAATCACCAAATTACCATTGTTATCGACATGGGTGTCCAAGGTGTCGATACTCAACACATGTTTGGCATAAGGGTTTGGATACCGGTTCAAGTACGCCAAGCTGACGGTCTTGAAGTCGTGGGGATAGATGTGTTCGTTCTTGTAGATTTGCACCATACGATTATTTTTGCGAGCAAGCTATTGGGCAAAGAAAGCAACTGGTGAGGAAATGGCACGCGGGGTGGGAGGCAGACGGGGAGTGGGCTTCGGTAAGAACGGGTTCCTAATAGATACCAGGAAGTGTGGGTTAGTTCAGCAGACGTTCAAACCAAGTGACTGCAGATGATAAAACACAGGGAAGAAAAGTGGTGAAGCATGGAGAATTTTCAGGCCACGGCGCGCACTGGGGGACACGAACGGGGCAAACGGGAGACGGAGCTGGTGGTGCGAACAATTGGCCCACCCGGCCGACACCGTTCACGTGAGCGCGAACTTGAAATGCCATCCAAGTTCCCGCCGTCTGTTTCCCCAAGCTTGCGCGCGCAGGCCCTCGCGCTCTGCGGGTGCAGGTCCTGAACCGGCTTGGTCCAGTTTTCCAGCCGTGAGCACTCCCATTACCTGGGTTCCCAACTTCTCAGTAAGCCCACAATTATCTCCAACCAATAGCTCAAGTAGTGGCAGTGCTGTGCACTCAACGGGTAGCGTCCCCTCACCTAGTTGCACAAACGCCGTTTTTTTTCACAGGTGGATTTCTGAACCCTTTACCTAACTACACAACATCCCTACAAGGCATTCACCGTCTTAAACGTACTGCCAATATTATAGGTAAATGACCCAGACACCCACTAAAGTGCCAGGCGCTCCGGCACCTGATGTTCCCCGGCACCGGCACTCGCTAGTAACTTCTCCCTGAGCGATGGCGCCCCTGCACACAACATTGCCGCAAACCAATATATGCAGTTATGTACCCGACTTCCATGACAAAAGCTTTTATATAGAAACATCCACTCCCCCCAGCTTTTTCCACACTTGGCCATCATGGAACCCACCCAAACAAAAGAAAACAAAACGGGACCCACCTACCTTTCCAGTAACGATGATACCCTTGCCGTCAGCTTCGACCTGAAAACAGGCCACTCATCAGCCGATTCTTCGATGAGCCGTTGGCAAAGTTTTAAATACTCGTTCCAGAGAGCTGAGCCGGGTGACGTGCCTCCCCCCAAACCTATCTCCAAAAGGCACCTTAACTTGATGGCCCTAAGTACCGGGTTGGGTACGGGGTTGTTGGTAGCGTCTGGGGAGAAGTTGCGAAATGCGGGCCCGTTGTTCCTATTAGTGGCATACGCCATCGTTGGGTATTTGATGCTCATTCCCACCATCTACTCGGCCGGAGAGTTGTCGGTGGCCTACAGTAACCTCCAGGGGGGATTTCAGAGCTACTACTCGAAGTTCATTGATGACAGTGCTGCGTTCGCGTTGGGCTGGAACTATATGATCCAATGGATGTCGGTGGTATCATTGGAGTTGGTGACGGCGTCGATGACCGTCAAGTACTGGACTGACATCAACTCGGACGTGTTTGTGGCGATCTTTTTGACGGTGGTGATTTTGATCAATTTGGCAGGTGCCAAGGGCTACGCGGAGGCCGAATTCATCATGAACTCAACCAAATTGGTGATGTTGACCGGGTTTATTATCTTTGGGTTGGTGGTAGACTTGGGTGGAACCTCCCACGGATTTGTCGGTGGCAAGTACTGGCGTCACCCCGGTGCTTACACCAATTTCAAGGGTTTATGCTCGGTGTTTGTGGCATCTGCGTTCTCCTTGGGAGGAACCGAGTTTATTTCCTTGAGTATCGCCGACCAGGCCAACCCCCGTAAGGCCATGTCGTCCGCGTGTCGGTTGGTATTCTTCCGTATCACCGTGTTCTTCTTGGGGTCCTTGGTATTTGTGGGGTTGTTGGTACCATACACTTCTGACCAGTTGATGGGCTCGGGTGGAGCTCAAACCAACGCATCGCCATTTGTGATTGCGGCACAAACATACACCCACGTCTTATCGCACGTCATCAACTCGGTTATTCTTGTCAGCGTCACCAGCGTGGCCACTAGTGCCATGTACTCATCACCTCGGTTGTTGTTGTCGTTGGCTAAACAGGGATTGGCCCCAAAATATTTTGACTACGTCGACAAGGCCGGCCGCCCGTTCCGCGGCTGGGTGGTGACTGTCATTGCATCATTCTTCTCATTCATCGCCACCTACTCCGACCAAGACGCCGTGTTCACCTGGTTGTTGTCGATCAGTGCCTTGTCGTTTGTGTTTGTATGGCCGGCTATTTGCGTGTGCCAGATCAGATTCAGAAAGGCCTTGAAGCTCCAGGGCATTTCTCTCAGTTCGTTGGGGTACGTTTCGCCCACCGGTGTGATTGGCTCGTACTCTTCCATTGTCATTAATGCACTTATCTTGGTGGCCCAGTTCTGGGTGGCCTTGTTCCCCATTGGTGGAGATGGCAAGCCCGATGTCAACGCGTTTTTCCAAAACTATTTGGGTGTCGTGTTCATGGTGGTGTTCTACTTTGGCCATAAGATCTGGACTTGGAACTGGCAGTTTTTGATCCCCTTGGACCAAATCGACATCAACGCTGACAGAACCATCTACGACGAAGAGATCATGGAGTTGGAGCGCAACGAAGAAAAGGAACGGTTCCGCCACTCCCCCTGGTACAAGAAGGCGGTGATGTGGATGTTCTCTCTTTAGAAATGACATACGAATACACATACATCAATAAAGGGTGCTCATCGAAGCTTCCGTATTCGGAGTGGTTGCCGCGTTTTCGCAGCCTCTGCAAATCACCGCGTCGCCCGATAACTCCAGGACAAAGTTACACAAAACGCCAAGAAACCCCCGGAAATATCGAGGGGCCCGCTTTATAAAGCGGTCCATCCCTCCCATTTGCTTAATCACAAAAGATACGTCATGCCAGCAAAACTTGGACAACAAGAAATCTTGCCGTTGAAGAACGATGTGGGCGCTCTTGCCAACAGAATCAATACTGAAACTCGAGGATTACATGATAAAATCGACAAACAGGTTACCTTGAAATTGGCCATTGCCTACCGAGACCCCAAGATTTACAGGCAAGGATTACAACTGTTTTATCATGTTTTCCAGTCTATTGAAAGATCCATAAACAGAGAGCTTGCTAAGAGCAATGACGACGACATGACACGCTTATTAAGGTCAGTGTGGAAGCCAGTGATGGCCAGAACTGAAAATGCTGAGAAGGACTTACTCTTCTACTATGACAACACTAGAGAAAAATTTGAAACTCCCATTATGCCCGAACAAATCAAGTTTTCCAACCACATCGAGCAAGCCACCAAACAAAAGCCATACTTGTTATTGGCATACATGCACGTTATGTACTTGGCGTTATTTGCTGGGGGTAGAATTATGAGGTCGTCAATTTCTAAGGCCACCGGGCTTTTTCCTCACGTGCCGGGACACAGTTACGATGAAATCGTCAAAATGGGCACAAATTTTTACACATTCAACGTGGAAGATGAGGACTTCTTGAGGATTATTTTCAAGAGAGACTATGAGCTTTTCACCAGAAACACCTTGACAGAAGAACAAAAGCAGGATATTGTGGAAGAAGCCAAGTACATTTTTGCCCAAAACAGTGTGTGTGTTTCTGAATTAGAAAAGCACAACTTGACAAAAATTCAACAGAAGTGGTCATATATTGCCATCACCAAGGGTTATTATGTACTTATGGGGGTGTTGTGTTTGACGGTGTTGTATTACGTGAGACGTATCTTATTGCACATAGTGTTTTAAATAAATGATTGGGATTGGGTTCTAAATAATATAATACAAGGCTAATTTTCGTCGGAGTCACTGGAGTCACCTGACTCGCCTTCTGATTCTTCGCTACTCTCATCACTCTGGCTGCCCTCAAACTCATTGGTCACTCCGGTGGGGTGGTCTTCCACCCAGCTGCTGATCCACTGGGAAATTCTATCCACATTATCTAATTTCTCCTCCTCCAAGTTCGACGTCAACACAACCACTATTTCGGGGTTGTACGACTCTTGTGCTTCCTGAAGAATCACTTCCATGATCTCCGCATCCAAGTTTTCTTGAATCTTATTATCTTTATAGCCTCTGGCAACCATTCTATCGTACAAATGGGAATTGTCAGTTCTCAATACCACCACCAAGTCAACCAACCGCTCGGGAAATATGTCACACACGTGCCAGTCAATTATCACCGCTCCACTCTCCAACTCGGGCTCCAACGAATCTAATAGCTCATCCTCCTTCACCACTGAAGTGTCGAGGGTCTCATCATAACTTTCAATCAAACCACGCAGTTTGGCCAAATCGCTGATAGAGTAGTGTTTGTAGGGCTTACCAAGACGCGTCTGGAGTGCCTCGGCATGCGAGGTCTTGCCACATCCTGGCGTACCAGTGATTATTATGTTGGGGAGCTGCCTGCGAGACATGAGGATTTGATTTTTTGCGATGAGCGAGGCTGCTAAATGTGTACTAAATAGGTGTAGAAACCGGTAACTGTATGGACCAGGTGTGTGTTGTCAAATTGGTTCTGGTGAGTACTAGCTGTGGTATTATGCCATCTGTGGAGAGTATGAGTTCCTCTATTTGAGGTTCCTTCGCACACACATCCCAGTTCCCTCCACTATCACCGTCACTGGCCCAAGTGCGAAACACATTCAAAATTTGTCCAACACATTTTAAACCACTAATGCTTCCACCAGGACTAACGGCGAATACCCCGCCCTCGTCTAGCGCGATATCTAACGGCAATGGCAACGGCTCAGTGGTCCTAGACAATGACATGGCCAAGTACGGCTTACAAGGCGTGGCTTCATTGGTGAAAATGGATAACCCTGAGAAGACGACCTTTTCCATAGGACAAGATTTGAACCTATTGGGATTGGACTTGGGTTCCAACTCGCAAATCTTGAAGAACTTGGCATCTCCTTGGTCGGAAACCTCGCGGTCTGAGGTCGAACCTTACTTCACATTACCCGAATCCATCCAACCTCAAAATATCATTCCTGCTCCCGGACCTTGTGATTCCAAGATTCAATCGTTTTCTGATGAAACATTATTCTACATTTTCTACATGAAACCAAGAGACACGCTCCAAGAGTACGCTGCCAGGGAATTGGTGGCTCGGAATTGGAGATACCACAAGGAAATTCAGGTGTGGTTAACAAAAGATAGTAATGTGGAGCCGGTGTTGATCAGTCAGGATGTGGAAAAGGGTGTTTACATCTTTTTCGATCCACACAACTGGGAAAAGATTAAAAAGGAGTTTGTATTGCACTATTCATCAGTCCAAGCATAAGGCTCTTTTAGTAATGACTCTATTCTTTATGATATGTAACTTTATCAACTTTGACCTCTTCCCCTAGATAAGTATAAATATATAATGTGCAAGTTGAGGTGTGGGTTTCCAAGAGACAAAAGGATGGGATGTTGGATGTTTGGTGTGCGACCTGGGCAATATCTTCGGCGGTGAAGTCGGGATCACTGTCTTTTTGGATCTGGCCTGATTTTGTTGATGCTGGTTCTTCATATTCCTTTTCTTCTTTTTCTTCCGATTCGTTGGTTTCTTTGGGTTCGTTCGTTTCTGTGGTTTTTCCTTCTTCCGTTTCCTTTTCTTCCTCGACGAGCTTCTCCTCTCCCTTTTCTTCTCCCTCATCCTCCTCATCCTCATCCTCCTCGTCCTCTTCATCATTGGGCCAATCAAACCCAAACGCTCCCGTGGCACTTCCAGGATTTATGAAAAACTTCCCATCAAGAATATACGCTTCCACCTTATGGGTGCCGCCCCAGATCAATATGTCCACATCTAACTCCCTGGCCAATGCCAGCAAACTCAACGGATCATTTTTAGGAATTACCAGGTATCCATTAGTGAACCCAATCCTCAAATTGTCATGTATTGTAATCTTATAGTTGGGGACATCACTGACTTCATCTGACCCAGTAAGCTGGTTCAATTGTTGGGACAAAATATTCGTGTCGTCAAACTCCCCCCTCACAAGGTGGAAAGAAGGCGATAAGTTGTGTAAGAATTGAAGGGTCTCCAACGAACTGGTGACGTTCCCCAAACATAACACCTGTGAAATCTTATTATTGGAAGGAATCGATTGGGGGTTTGGTGCCAATAGTTTACGGAACTTGGCGGGTATTTCGATCGCCCTGTCCGGGATATACAAATCACCAATAGCTAATGTGAGCATCACTATTGCTGATTCAATTGGTGTAACAAGAGTGTTATCGGAAAATGCGAAGTGCTGGAAATCGTCGTTGATAATACAGAGAACACAAAATACCTATACCTAATGGTCCGAGGTGATTTTCTGGAGCACTTGCGGGTAGTTCTGGAAAATCTCATCGAACCTTTGTCTATTGGTCATCTGGAACACCTCAGGGTCCTTGGCCAATGCCACAAAAAATGTAGATACCCCGGACTCGATCACCACCAAGGCCACCCGAGTGATTTGACCTGAAATCAAAAATGAAAACGCCACCACCGGCGCATAGTAGGTGCCACTCGAGTTATACTCCGGCGCCGTATACTTCAAATAGAGATATGATAACAACGCCACCACGTACCCCACGAATAAAGCATATAAATTCAATGAGGTGCCAATGAAACAATCATTGATCAACGCATCCATGCCCTTGAATCTCAATAAGTCAAACGTGTCTTTGGCCGACTTGATGTACGACTTGCCGTACAACGCCACGTAGCAATAGGCATATTGGTTGAAGTACTTGACGGCCCATTCCACAAATCCAATGATAAAGTCCAACACCAAAAACGCACATCCAGCACAGTTGTTTCCACTACCAAAAGCGTCCAGTTTCAAGATCTGGACCCCAGCCCGGATCAACTGGATCACCGAAACAATCAACGATCCAAAGCAAATGGAGCCAAAACAGTAAGTGAGAGCCCTCTTCAACGCACCAAGCGCTGGAAACCGTGGTGCACCTCGGTCTGACCCTGCCAAGTAGTACCATGTTCCGTAAACCCCGGCAATCACCACATGAATGATGTTTCTGATCACTTCGGAAATATAGTATCCTGCGAAAAATACAAACACCAATATCCCTATCAACTTGGCTTGGGAGCAGCTCCCGCCTCCGACAGAACAGCCTTCGTTTTGAGAGTTGGGGTCGAACTTGACATAACATCCCACAATTACCACCGAAAACAACACACTAAATGACGAACTAACTATAATTCCAATAAAAGATGTCACCAACGTAGAAGGGTATCGTTTCATCACATCGATGGTGATGGTCAAGACAGTGGCACTAAAGGGAATCCTACTACGAGCACTCCAGTAACAAAAGGCAGAGATACACGTGAAAACCAAAAACACAATGGCTGCAGAATAGTATTTGACTGCAAAATAGTAGATGGCAGTAGCCAATCCCAACACCACGTTCAAAATAAGTCCACTGATAATGAACACCCTGGGTGCCATTCGTGCGTATACGATGATGAGTGTTGACAACACAAGCGACAACGCTATGATAAATGCAAACAAAATAATTGTGTTCGTGTTCAACGAGAATTTGTTACCAGAGTTGTAGATGGATGTTCCTTGAAAGTCAAACGTTTCCCTTAATGCGTTCAAGGTGATGCCTCCAACTCCAATAAACCCTGCAACCACCAAGAGGAAGAATATGGTAAAGGGCCAGTCATTGAACCGAGGCTTGGTGACTTTGAATGCCTCATCGAAATTCTGGTTACTTTCAGGCTTCTCATCATAGTTGTTTTCGTAGTCGTAGTTATTCTGTGTCTGATCCTGGTTGTATCCCTGTTGCTGAGGATACCCTTGTTGTTGAACAGGAACCGTGGTTGGGTAATTTGGCGGATTATAGTTTTCGTTGTTGTAACTCATCTTTGGGTAAGTATAAGTTGACAGGAACAATTTTAGTGATGTGAAATTTGGTGCGGCTGGATTGCTAATTACATTGTTTTACAAACACAAAGTTATCAGACGGTGCCAAAGATGTTTGTGTGTTAAGCAAGATATGCGCTTGTTAATTGAGTTTTGGAAGACTTAAAGACAGCGGAGTGGGGACTTCTGGGTTGATTTTGGGTGCTTTAGGGTTCTTTGGGATCTGGTGGCTTAGGAGGGTTAAGGCCTAAGCCACCGCAAAATGCTGAAAATGCTGGGAATCTTCTACGCACCTGACGAAGGCTTGGAATGGGCCATATGCATGTGATATACTGTATTAAATGTTTGTACTAACGATTCAATGGTAGTTGGCCATTGGCAGTGCATGAATAGGGCTAGTGTATTAGTAATAGAATTGCAAAAAGAATACTTAGCGTTGAACTGTCAATTGAGACTGATGCTTTATAACCCAATTCCTTTTACAGAAAGACTGGTCGGGATAGCCCAGTCACTGGACCTGTTGTGGTATCTACGCTCTCCTTGTCGGGCGCATCACTATCAACCTTCTTAACCCTTCAATATACTCACTGAAACTAAATCAATTTGCAACCATTTGTAATTTTCGCAAAACGCACCAGCACAAAAACCCGAGGGCCATCAAAACAATTTAATCAGTGCAGACACCTAACACTATCTGCAACCATGCAAGATCTAAAACTGCCAGAAGTTCTGACCCAATAACTTCATCAAATGTACGTCGGTTTCGGTAAACTACCCGGGGAAAACTCTATACTGCTCCGATGTAGTGTAACGGCTAGCACGGTTGTCTTTCACACAGCAGACCCGGGTTCGACTCCCGGCATCGGAATTTTTTTTTTGTGTCAACTCCACTTATTTTTTGCCCTATCATTGCATAACCCCACACTTTGTGCCACCAATGACGAACCCAATTGAGAAATTCCCAAGATAAAGACCCTATGTTCTCCTATTTACAACCACGGAGTTGGGCCCGATTTGAAGCCTGGATCCTGGTTGGTTAATGTAAGGTTACCCCGTATGACAACGGGGTTTCAGATGCCAATTGTGACGCATTTGTGTGGGGATGCTCAAGTTCATACCATGAGGTGTTCTCCACCACTGGCAACCTTTCATCACAATAGAATTGAAAAATTACCTGACAACCGTAAGGGTGGAGTGCATCAAGGATTTTGTGTAGGTTTGTGGGTTGCGCGATGTATAAAAACCTCTGCGAATCCCCTTAGGTAGTCAGCTTTAATTGAACAATGTCATTGAGAAGTTTGGGATTAAACTCGACATTTTCACGGATCTTCAACATGACCAAACCTGCGACGGGGGTCAAGACCGCCGACACTATCTTGGATTTCAAGCATAATCCTCAGCTTCTGTTGGAGAACATCATGACCAGAAGCGATCAAGAGATTGGAGGTTACTCAACTGCTCACTTCGCGTACAATAACCAAATGAAGTGCGGTCACTTCAGTGGCTACTTGAACTTGGACTTACCCAAGGATAGCCCCGACATCACTCGGTCAGGATATGCGATGTTCAGGACCAAGGATCAAAAGGAAAGTTGGCTCAGTGGTAATAGCTACTGGGACTGGAGCCAATATCATGCATTGGTATTGAGAGTCAATGGTGATAAGAGAAAGTACTTGGTAAACATCCAGGCCAACACTCCGCTTGTGACGGACTTGTTTCAGCATCGGTTGTTTTTGAACACTCCAGGTAGCTGGGAAACAGTGGTGATACCTCTCGATGACTTTGTTATGACGAACTGGGGAGTTATCCAGGATGGGTGTGAGATCAATAAGCTGGAGGTCAAAACCATTGGCATTGGTCTTTTGGACAAGCAGTACGGGCCATTTAATTTGAACATTGATTGGGTAAAAGTGATGACCGATGAAGAATTGGTCAACTATTCTAGAGACTCGCTCGCCAACAAAAAGAGAATTGATACCAATGAAAATGATATTAAGGAGTTGAACTCATCAGCTTTGCACTCCAACAAGTTTGAGGATCCCAAGGGAACCGTGTTTTAACTTGGACAGTGGTTTGTTTTTAGTTAATTTAAGGTGTTTGGGGAAAATATATTCAGTAGAGATGATTCGGTGTAGCGTATTGGTGGTTTCCACACTTGAAAAGTCTTGAAAAGTCCGAGTTCCATTTTCAAAGTAATAGTGACCATTTTTCAGACTTTGACGATCGGCGTACTCCACTCTCCTCTCTTGCAGCCATAGATGTTATCTTCTCCACCCAGGGCGCGCGCCCTAGCCCCTAGTGGGGAAGCGCCTGTGACCGCGAGGGAATTTTGGCCATGTCCACACTGGTAGCTGCTTTAAAGATGCGACTAGTGAAAAAAAAACTTCTTCAACTACTACTATAATCAATTAACAAAATGGCAAGAGGCCCGTATGTTTAAATACTATTTAAACTGACGTGAACTATTTCATGAGCACCTTAAACCCAAATGCCCGAGTCGTGATTTCACGGCTTGGTGAGCGTTTGGTACACCAGCATCACTCTGTGGTTGCTTGGACTAGGGAGCCTTGTCATGATTGATTGATTAGAGTAGGAGAGATTCCATCACCAATTTCTTTATTTGGACGCTTCCTTTGTCTCTCTAGTCGAATAAAGAAACGGAGTGTTTCCTACTCTAATTTGGTCAAAGTTCACCCAGTTAACACCAGAGTAAATTACTAACCCTCGTCTAGAAAGAAACACTTGAAAAGATTAGCCGCCCCATCCCACTGGATGTTGGACAAATTGTCTGGAACCTACGCTCCAAGACCATCTGCCGGACCCCACAAGTTGAGAGAATCGTTACCTTTGGTTGTGTTTTTAAGAAACAGATTGAAGTATGCCTTAAATGGTAGAGAAACCAAGGCCATCTTGATGCAACAACACGTCAAGGTCGACGGTAAGGTTAGAACTGACGCCACCTTCCCAGCTGGGTTCATGGATGTCATTTCTTTGGAAGCCACCAACGAAAACTTCAGATTGATCTATGACACCAAGGGTAGATTTGCTGTTCACAGAATCACCAACGAAGAAGCATCTTACAAGTTGGGTAAGGTTAAGAAGGTCCAATTGGGTAAGAGAGGTATTCCATACGCCGTCACCCACGACGGTAGAACCATCAGATACCCAGACCCAGCCATCAAGGCCAACGATACCGTTAAGATCGACTTGGAAACCGGAAAAATCACCGACTTCATCAAGTTTGACACCGGCAGATTGGTCATGGTTACTGGTGGTCGTAACTTGGGTAGAGTGGGTGTAATTGTCCACAGAGAAAGACATGAAGGAGGATTCGACTTGGTTCACATCAAGGATTCTTTGGAAAACACTTTCGTCACCAGATTGTCCAACGTCTTTGTCATTGGTACCGAGGCCGGTAAGCCATACGTATCTTTGCCAAAGGGTAAGGGTATCAAGTTGTCTATTTCTGAAGAAAGAGACAGAAGAAGAGCCCAGAGCGGATTGTAAGTTAATGACTGTATATTTAATATCAATGAAATTCAGAAGCGTGCGAAAAGTCTGTAGTAATTCCATGACAAGCAGATACAGAGTTGAGTATTCATTAAAGAGCCATCGAAGAGATGAGTTCATTGAGTGGATTAAGGCCCTCTTAGCGGTGCCGTTCGTGTTACACTCAGACGTTGAGAACTTTTTCCACGGCAGCTCGTTCGGAGATGTCCAAGATTATGAGGAGTTTATGAAATCCAAAGAGTTTGAGATTTCGAAGGAATGCCAGAAACGGTACTACGAGGTGTTTGAAGACGTGGAGCTGTTGATAACCAATACAATCGAGCTTGGCAATCGGTCTCAAGCCAATGGACCCGTACCCCGTCTACGTAAATTGGTTCCTTCAGTAGGTACTTTCTTCACACCCCTTCCCTTACCTCGAGCGTTTTTGGCTGAAGACAGAAGAAGAGGTATAAGTAGGAGACGATTTGTCAGCCCCAGTTTCAATGATATCAGGAACGTGTTGAACACGGCACAGATAATGGCATTGGCCGATATCTATAAAGACGATACCATCAAACATTTGAAGTTGATCACTTTTGATGGGGATGTTACTTTATACGATGATGGGAAGTCGTTGATGAAAGATGACCCGGTGGTGGCTCGGCTCATCGAACTACTTCATGCGGGCTTCTTCATTGGCGTGGTGACGGCTGCTGGATATCCTGGACAACAGGGATCAAGTCAGTACTATTCGAGACTCAAAGGGTTGGTAGATGCCATGAACGAATCCACCTTGTCGATTCAGCAGCGTCAGAACCTCTTGGTAATGGGAGGAGAATCCAACTACTTGTTTCGATACTCCCATGAGCTTCAAACCTTCAGGTTTATCGATGGTGAAGACTGGTTCTTACCATTGATGCTTAACTGGAACAAAGACCATATTGAGTACATGATGGAGAATATCCATCGACACATGATCAACATCCGGAAAAAGTTTAGTTTGGATGACGAGTCCAAGACCTCGATTGTTCGAAAGGAACGTTCCATTGGTATTATTCCCGTCAATGGGTTCAAAATTTTGAGAGAGCATTTGGAAGAAATCTCTCTTTCGTGCTCTGGAAAGTTAACAGAGCTTTTACTCGAGTTGGCCTCAGACATAAAGGTGTGTGCTTTTAATGGGGGTTCTGATGTCTGGGTAGATATTGGAGATAAAGCATTGGGAGTGGAATCTCTTCAAAGCTATCTCTGTAGAGATGAGTGGTTGGATGTGTGTCCTATTTTGAAGAGTGAGACTTTGCATGTGGGGGACCAGTTTGCCAGTTTAGGGGCCAATGACTTCAAGGCTCGGTTGAGTGCTTGTACAGCTTGGATAGCCAGTCCGCAAGAGACGGTGGATATTTTGGATGACTTGCTCGCGTATTTAAAGAGTTAGCAGTGTTAGTGAAGTGGGTCATACAGAGATGCTGGAATTAGAGTAGTTGGTGAAGTACGTCATACAGACACCTTTGGTGGTGATAATTTAGTAATTATTGTATATTTAATACCTAATACTCTCTCAAGATCTGGTTCAACTCATCTCTCTGCAAACAGTTTTCCAATTTGAAAGAAGCTGCCAATTCGTCTAACTCGTCGAAATCCAACCCCACAAACAATTCGGCAAACTCGTGTTGAGCATACTGAGAAAACAACATATCCTTGCTGACCCGGTAAAGGTAGTCATTGATGGTCCACTGATGAGGGTAAATAGCCTTGTGGTGTTTTTCAGGAATATTCTTCTTCATGTGTGCTTCTAAATCCGCATACAATTTGGCAAACTCGGGGTCAATATTATTTCCCCATCTGTCCAAACCCAACTTCTTCTTCTTCAAGAAGAACTCTCCAAACAATTGATACCACTTGGACTTGGGAGAAACGTATGTAAGGCCCTGATAGCCAATATCCTTATAAACCCAAATGGACCAGCTGATAGGAGACCCATCCCCAGAGGGATCTCCCGTCTTGTAGACAGCCAATTGATCCTTCAAAACATTGTATCTCGCCTTGTTAATGGTGTGAGGGTCTTTATCCCCTCTGACTTCACTGGCGTAGACGGGACCAAATTCTCCATTCCACACAGGGACATTCCGAGACTTCATGAACTCAATCTTACGCTCATATTGCAGCTTGATCTTAGTCTTTTGCTCACTTGTACCTTGATACTCGGTTCCTTCCAAGTTGGGGAATCCGAACGTAGTGTAGTCGTGAATGGCGTAAACAGCATTTTTCAAGGGCTCATCGGGGAATTGTCTAAAGTCCATCGCATAGGTATTTCCATCCAAGAACAAAAGGTGGTTAGGGTCGACAGCCCTGATGGCTTTGTCAACTCTTTCGTAAAATTTGATCAACTTGGAGTGGTCCGACACCGCGGGCTCGTTCAAGGGGTTGTAACCTGCCACCCATTTGTTGTCCTTATAGTATTCTGCGATTTTTCCCCACAAATTGACCATCGCGTCTTGGAACACCTTGAATTCCCAGAACATGGCAAAGTGAATTTTGGAGTCTGCGTGCCAATCCTGGTTCTGTCCACCTGGGGTGGCATGTAAATCCAAAATGGTATAGATTCCGTGTTTGGCACAGGTGTCGACGATCTTGTCCATTCTTTCAAACCCTTTTTGCTTCACTTCAAACAAGTCACCTTCATCATCTAAGAAATGCCGATAGTTAAAAGGAATTCTCAAGCAATTGAAGCCCAAGTTTTTGAAGAGAATGGCATCCGACTCGGTCCAGAAGTAGTCGTAGAATTTGTCGAAGAAAAAGTCAAACTTTTCCTGGCCAATCTTACTTTTGATGACTTGTTTATGTTCCGTCTCATGACCAGGATATCCGGTAATAAAATTCTCCATGTTCATATGACCTCCGGTGGCTGATCCTTTGAGGACAACCGGGTGGTCGTTCTCATCGACGATTTTAGTGCCTTTAACTTTTAAGAATCCTGCCATTTGTGTTTTGCAGCTAAATGCGAGCAGGAGATCTAGGGAATATTTATAGTTTCCCGCAATTTTTATAGGAAAGATAGAATGCCCAGAAACCCCACCATTCGCTTTAAATATCGTGAACTAAACTTGGTTCGAAATCTTAGCAATTATGGAGAAAAGATCGGAATAAAGTAGCTGGGTCAATTGATTTGGCAATTGAAGTGAAGTCGGACAAGATCATAAGCCTTATGACTTGAAAGCTTGAAACTCTAGACCCTGACATGATTCAGGAGGTAAACACGGAAGTGGAGCATTACCCCCAATACAGATGGGGAGCCGAATATTTCAAATGGAGAGATCGTGGGGGCATCGGGTGCAGATCTTTCCGAGGTGGGAACATTCCACGTCGACCCCAGGCACCCCCACAATTTTTAGCCCGCGCCCGCACACCAGGGTGTTAACGGAACTCTTACCTTTTTGGGATGTACCTGAATTTGCCGCCGTCTACACAGGATCACTCTCAGTCGACCACTTGGGGTAGGGTTGGGGCTGATGGACCGTGCTGCAGCAGCTGGTCTCAAGCGGTGCCGAGAGAGACGTATATTTCCCCATACACCCACCGAAGCATGGATCCATCTAGCCAAGTGATTGAATGTGTTCCAGTTATCTCAGATGATCATTATCATCCATGATGGTTTCTTCCACCCAATTGCAATGAACAGCATCGACTGGAAGTACTGTATTGTATACTGCTATGTGAAACTAGTGGAATTGGTGGTGTATTCTTTACGTTCCCTGAAACAGGTGGAAGGTCTTCGGAAGCTACTTGACCAAGATCACAACGTCATTCTCCAACTTTCCCATCACAAGCCAGTCAACCCAGCACGAGGAAAATCCAAGCGTTTAAGCTTTTCTATGTTAATAATGTTTATATTTTAGAATCAAATGATTCCACCGTACACTATGGGTCGCAAGTAGCTTCTATAATTTTAAATGGATATGAATTTAAATGGATATGGTTTTCACTTAGACATTGGCCTCCTTAGAATGGTTCAAGTCTTGCAATTCAATCGAGCTGCCTTCTTCTTGCACCAAAGTGGGCTGAGTTTGTGTGGAGTCTAGCATGTTATCGAAAAATGTGGTACGTAACTCTTTCCATCGGGTAGAGTAGGTAGACAACGTGACCAACACCACGGCACTGAGGATCTGTAAACACCACCACAAGGTGGATGTGGGAAATTTACCGGTGTAAAGCCATACCACTATAAGATTTATTATGTGTACTGTCAACGCAAAGTCCCATGCCAACTTGGATCTGCCCACAATTATGGTAACAAACAAGACACATAACAATGAATCAAACAACCACATGGCAAAGAGAATCAATCCCATGGCATTTTCCAGGGAAATCAACTCCCACAGGAAAATGAAGTCCAATTTGAAATCATAGCCATTAAGTGAACTTATAAGATAGAATATGATGAATGCAGTCAAGTAATAAAATGATTGGAGTAGGACGATTTGGAACAATAGCTTAGTGGGACTAGTTGTATCGGTACTACTGGCAAACAATCTGGTGTATCCGTTCAGAAACATTATCTAATTGACAGATCACTTGTTTATGCTTACAAGAATGACTGTTTGTGAGACTGTTTATTGTCGCGCTAATTATTTATTTGTGCCTATTTTTCATCTTCTCTTCTTATTAGACTTTTTGACATCCTTATTCATACGATCAGCCTTAGTCTTTTTGTAAGGTCTGGATATGTCTTTCCTCTCCTCAATGACCTTTCTTTTATTATGGTTGACCTTCTTGCCGTGTTTAGTCAACTGGTGCATCGCACTGGTGGGATTCTTCTCTTCCAGTGATTGAAACCAGGTTCTTCTAGGTCTGGATTGAATTTCACTCTTGTGCTTTAATATATTGCTGGCTTTATTCAATTCCATTTCAGCCTGTATGATTTCTTTGGCCAGTTTCTCTTCCTCCTTAACTTCTTCGATGATATCCTCCTTACTCTCGATGATCTTGTTTAACTCTTCAACCTGTTTCCAGTCAGCAGATCTGGAAATTGCCTTTCCATTACCAGGATTCTCGGTGATTGCCTTGATCGAGTTCTTGACAATCGACCGATCTTGCGAGCTTTCTCCAACAAACGTTATGGAGATACCATCTCTACCTGCTCTGGCAGTTCTACCAACTCTATGAAGATAAATCTCGTAAGACTTGGGCATGTCAAAGTTTATCACAAGTTCAATCTTAGGAATATCCAACCCTCTGGCTGCCAAATCGGTACAGATTAATATAGGGACCACCAAGTTCTTGAAATTGGAAACATTTTCCAATCTCTGCTCTTGCGTTAACGATCCATGCAATTCTGAAACCTTCAATCCCAACAAACCCAATACAATTCTCAAGTTATGAGCAGTTTCCTTTCTGGCAACAAACACCACAATTCTGCTCATGGAAATCTTACTCAAGTCTCTCAATATTTGATAAAGAAGTGCTGGTTTAAGATGCTCTCTCTTTCTTATTCTTATGAACTCTTGCACCAAGTTATTCGAAGCAGCTTTGGGTGGATCAATCATGATTCTTATGGGTTTCTGCAACGACAATTGGATCAAGTCTTGGATCTTGGTGTTCATGGTGGCAGAGAACAACAAGGTTTGTCTCTTATGTTTTGGAATCAACGATAAAATCTCAGTTAATTCGGCTTGGAAACCCTCTTCCAACATTCTATCGGCTTCGTCAATAACTAAGATTTCCAAAGAATCGATAGAAAAGGATGGTGAGTTTCTGATATGGTCAATTAATCTACCGGGGGTGGCAATGACCACATCGGGTCTCGACTTCAATTGCTGTTCTTGTTGTCTCAAGTTCAAACCACCAACTGCTAACCCAAACGATATACTTGGGATGAAATGGGCAATTTTCTTACCTACATCACCAACTTGAATAGACAATTCTCTGGTAGGAGTTATAACTATGACTCTTGTAGAAGCCACCTTGCTGGGCTTATATAATAATCTTTCTATGATTGGAATCATGTATGCGGCGGTCTTTCCGGACCCCGTCACAGCACCAGCAACAATATCTTTTCCCATTAAAGCAAGAGGAATAGAAGCAGACTGAATAGGAGATGGCTTTACGTATCCCAACTGAGCTAGTCCTTTCAAAACCGGTCTAGACAACTGTAAAGACAGAAACTTATCATGAGTTGGTCCTTTCTCTGTTTTACTTCCGTTCTCGTAGAAAGCGGACATAGCTTCTTCTGTGTCTTTTTCTTCTTCTTCGACATCGGAGCCCGTGTCTTTCATTTCTACCTCTTCGGGTTGTTCTTGGAGTTCTGGACTTTCTTCTTCATCATCTTCGTAATTAGAGTTCTCTTCTTCTTCTTCCTCGGCTCCCATTCCGAACCCATCTAAAGCCAACTCGTCATCTTCTTCCTCCAAAGCACTGTTAGCTTCTTGGGCATCATATCCGACTATGTCATCTTCTTCTTCCTCTTCGTCTTCCTCTTCTTCATCGATTCCAACTAAGTTTGTCAAACCACCTTTCTGCTTTAAGATTTTATCCAAGTCAACATTTTTCTTCACCTCCACGTCGTCGCTCTTCTCCAAATCGAAGTCCCAACCGGTGAACTTAGTACTTGTGTCATCATCGAAGCCAAAGTTAAAGTTTGGGTTCAAATCGTTGTCATCTTCGTTATCTTTAGATTCCTCATCGCTTGATGATTCTTCTAAATCAGGCACATTGTCTTCCAGCTCACTGTCAATGGTACCTACAAAATCGACAGATTTAGCAGGAATGGTTTTGGTAGGTTTAGTGGGTTTGGTTTTGGCCGCTCCCTTACGCTGACTAGTGTTCTTCTGTTTCACCATTTCTCTCAAACCACTTGACCTATAATTTTTTTCTGTTATAGTGCGATGGGATGCTCTTCTCAATTTTTTCTCGCGGATTAAGTAATAAATAATCTATACAGCATAATAGTACTTATCAGTAGCGACGGTTGTTAACTCATTGATGTCGTAATAATCTTCGTCATCTGATGACAGACCACTTGTTTCCCTAAAAGTGACTTGGTTGACCAGTTTGACGTCTTCCAAATTCATTAATTGGGTGTTTCTTCTTATATCCACCAAAGCATCTAACTGCTTTTCAGTGTCACTGGACAATTGTCCGGGCTTGATTATTCCCTTTAACATCTTCAAACCATCTAACCACACATACTTGTTGACTTGTGTATCAGTGTAGAAGCTCAACAATTTCTTGTTGTTGGCCCCTATCAAGGTAATTTTCTCATACGAAATGGTACCTTTGACAGAGATCAACATACTATGTTTCTTCTTATCTTCTTCTCCCACATGATCACCAACTTTCTGAGATCTTAGGTCGGTGATGTCCGTCAACTTGATCAGCTGCTGCTCCATTTCTTCAAAAGAAGGTTTTTGAAGAGACTTTTCAGTGAACTCTTTGTAGTATAAATATTGTCTGTTTGGAGACAAGAGAATGAAATAGTATTTAGCAGCCATAACAGAACCGTTTGCTGCCTTCTTTGGCGAAGATGAATACGAGTTCTTCATCAAACTCTCACCATGCAGGTCGGTGAATACCCAAGAGCCCTTCAATAGCTGAATAACTCTTTGTTCACACACAAATTCCATAACTTCAAAAGCCAACTGCTTATTGAATTCTGTGAATCTTGCATCCCACACATCGGAAAATGAACCCTTTATACGGTCAATCTGGTGTCTTCTAAGTTCGACGTTAGTCTCATTCAAGGTCAAGTCAAGACATTCCTCAATCGTCTTGGTACTCAAATGATTGGTTAAGTTCTCCTCAATGAGATAAACATTGTCCTTTATCAATCCCATAATTCTGCTAACATCCTCGTCGTTGGTCAATTGGGCCTTCGTCTCTTGCCATAAGGTGAGACACGAGTTCATGGTGTAGTACATCATTAATTCCCAACTCAAGATATTATCGTATATCCGGGGGTACTTTTCCTTATGGCTAAACACATCGATCCACAAGTATGTTGCCTTCTCTATAAATAAGTACATTGGAAATGTTCTGTTGTGATCACTCATCATCAATTCCTCATGAAACTTTTTCTTGAAGGTCATATTTGGATCTTTCAAGAAGATTTTCAAGTCCATTGCCAATAAGATTGTAGCATTATCGACGATGAATTTTCGAGGGTTCTCGGTGAAACCAGCCTTGATATACTCTTCTGGTTTAGCAGGCGTCCCAAACTCGTTCAAGCTGATTTCCAAGTAGAGAAATAAATTATTCAACATAATTTGGTGGGACTTTATCGACAAGTCGAACTTGGTGTCATTTAAGTAGTCGTTCAACTTGGCGTAGCTTATCTTCAAGTTGGAGATGGCGTCCAAAATTGACTTGTCGTCGGTATCAATCAAGTTACCAATGGTACTGAATAAAGTGACATGCTTCAATCTTCCTGCTAAAGTAATAATCCCACTATACTGAAACTTCAAAGCTTTGAGAATCAAGTCATTGACCAACTTGATGGTGTTATAGGTTATTTTGCTGTCGTGGAGGTACAACTTCTGGGTCATGATATCTATCACATCGAGGTATTCTATCAACGTCTCGTACAATGGCAAGTACTTATCGATGGAGTCGTCCTTCAGTTGAAAAATCGATCCTGATATCAACACCACTGCTATCTTCAAAATTGCCTTGTATGTCTCGGTGGACATGTTGGAGCTGACGATGGAGAACAAGGTTGTGAAGAGAGTGTGGTCAAGCACTTTAGTAAACTCGTTGGAAGCTTCACCACTCACGATACAATCCATGAGTTTGGCCAACACCACTATCAGGTTGACTTTTTCCTGCTTATCTTTGCCTAAAATATTCGACTTGAGCACATTGGCATAGTTCAAGATGGTGGGGGTATCGAGCTTCGATTTGGAGATATTATTTTTACTCAAGATCTCATTGAGTTTGTGATTGATTGATCTTGAAGATTCTGCCATGGTTGCAGGTTATAAAATAGGCTTTAATGTATGGCTCTATTATCAATTGAATATTTACTTACACGTCCAGACGTATACAATTGCCAGCCTTTGGTTCCAAGCTTTAGGTGAAAACAATGTGGTTGTAGGAAAGAAAAAATAACGTGCACCAAGAATGTTCGTCAAATGGTGAGGTTTCCAAATCAATTTTTACTCAAAATGGGTAATTAGTTCTACTAAATTTTGGTTGGAAACGAGCAATTTGGGTTTATATAACGAAGAATTTTTTAATTTCATCGATAAACTAATTCCACCCAAATGTTAGTACCTTGGCGTCATATTAATATATGCACTCGGTTGCCTTGCACACCGGGACTTGTAATGCAGATCAAGCACAGAAACCTTATTTAACTTCAGTATTTTTTCAGCATCCTCGCTCCTATAATTGAAGAAACTTGTAATTTTCACAATTTTCACAATTTTCACCTTTCCACAATGTTTAAATTAGTTCAACAATGTAGTAACTGAAGGACATCCTATAAGTAGAGACGTTCAGAATTGTAGCCAATGTCACACCCACAGCATACTTCTAAGTACCCTTGAATAACATTTGTAGGCGAGTATAAGCGAGCGGAGGCCGTTGGCAAGCAGCAAGCGCGCACGACCCGCCATAGATCTGAGGATTTTTTCAGAGGGTAATTCGAAGCTAGTTGTACAAATATACTAGGTGAAAAAGACCCAATCACGGCCAATTCAACCTTTTGACACCTTTAAATATTCCAAGACTGCCATCATGAGTCAACCGTTTAGCTTTAATTCCAACTTTGATAGCTTCAAGGATAAATCTAAAGATTCAGGCTCCTACCCCAATACCACTACTAGCAGTGTGAATAATCACGATTATGACTCTTCCAACCACGATTCCAACTACAGCCCGCGGTCATCGGTTGTTTACTTACCAGGGATCCAAGATGAAGAACACTCGCTGCCTCCCGAGCTGCCTCACCGAGGAACTGATCAGGAAGGAGTGGATTCTAATTATAAGGGATTTCACAATAATCGGAAGTCAGGAAATATAATCCCTCCTTTACAGCAGCCAATAAAGCCCCGGTTTCGGAAAAAGGGAAGCTCGTTGCTTGGAAAGCTCATATATTCCACCCGTAAAGACTCGGATACTTCTGCCCATTCCAACCATTCCAACCATTCTTCGGTATCAGCTCCTGTTCCACTTATACCAGTACCAGTACCAGCTCCAGCACCTGCCAGTGAGAACTATAACTACACAGAGCGTACTTCCGACTCTAGAAATCCTTCAGTCAGCTCGAGCAATACTTCTGCAAATGCAAATACAAATGCAAACCCAAACACAAGGAAAAGTGTCAGCTCCACCAACTCTTCCGGCTCAGGTGGAAAATTCAAATTCCGGCTTTCTTCCATAACTTTTGATCATAATACACCTACCAGCACGTTGAGGGCACAAAGAGGATCCACCACTTCATTCTCCAAAACACGGAACAGTAGTGGTGATTCCAACAGCTCTGGCAAGTCTTACACCAAAGAAGATGGTGCTGCGAAAAGACATAATACTGGATTCGACATCGATATAAACTTGAGTGATCTCAATGGAGTGTTGAAGACACCTCCAGCCTCCGGGGAAGGTACGGACTACTTGAAGCCAGTCCATTCCACCACCGCCATTTCTCCACTAAGAAGGTCACAGTCTGCGTTTGCAATGCCCTCGCGGGTTGAAAGTGGAGTAGGAGGTAGTTGGAAAGCACCAGACAGTTGGGATGTCCGGGCATTCACGTTTGATTCCCCCAAAGAGATAAATGAAGAAAACTCAGACTCAGATTCTGACTCAAATTCAAACTCTATAACCATATCTCCCACTACGGCCAAGGTGCAAGAAGACAAAGATCTTTCGAAAACAATTCTGAATGAAAACCAGAACAACGCTGGAAGAGGAACAAATAACTGGAACTCTGCCTTTTCATTACAGAAGTCGAATGGGAAGCTCCATGATGACAAGCCGGTGAAACAGACCCAATTGCCCGTGTTATATGGGTCCAAAAACACTTTACATGTTGTTCCCACCAGTGGAAAAGCTAAATCTAACAACTCTATTATCAGAGTTTTCCGTGAGGATAACACATTTGCAACCATTTTGAACTCGCTCGATACCACGACCACCGAGCTTTTGATGAGTGTCCAGAAGAAGTTTTTTCTTGACTCTACTCAAAATTACCGTTTATCCGTTCATATTGGTAACTATGTGAAGATCTTAGAACCTTTTGAATTACCCTTGAAAATTCAAATGGGTTTACTTCTATTGAGTGGATACACTGAAGCTGATAACCTTCGAATGATTGGAAGTGAAGATCTTTCTTATGTCTGTAAGTTTGTCGTTGATGTGGTGTATTTGAGAAATTTGACTCACGAGGAAGAAGTATCTTTGTCTAAAGACTACGTAAATGTGGATATCTCTGGATTGGACTTGAAAACCATTCCTATCATCTTCCATCAACACACATATGAAATCGAATCTTTGAATGTTGCTGATAATCCAGGTATTCATATACCTTTGGACTTCCTTCAGTCTTGTGGCTATTTAAGCAGTTTGACTTTCTCTCGTAACGGTTGCTCAGACTTCCCTGTTAACATATTTGAAGCCAAGTCATTGAAGTATCTTGACTTGGAAAAGAACTTTTTGGATGAAATCCCTCCTAAAATCAGCCACTTAAGGGCCTTAAAGCATTTGAAATTGAACCTGAATCAATTAAATTCCTTACCAAAGTCCTTTTCGAAATTGGAAAACTTGGAGACTTTGAATTTATCTTCAAACTACTTCAATTCATATCCCACCCCGGTCAGCGATTTGGTGAACTTACGAGACTTGGATTTAAGTTATAATGATTTATCTTATCTCCCCAAGTCACTCAGCAACTTAAAGAAATTGGTTAAGTTGAACCTTTGTACCAATAAATTGAGCAAAGAGCTCCCTGCATTTTTTGGAGAGTTATCTTCTTTGAAGAGATTGGATATCAGGTACAACTATATCTCTAACATTGATGTATTGGGGTCCTTACCAAATTTAGAAGCAGTTTATGCTTCTAAAAACAATATTTCCAGATTCAGTGATAAGATGGAGAGCTTCCGTTTGTTAAACTTTGATAGAAATCCAATTACAAGCTTGAAGTTTAATAATGTGTTATCAAGGTTGACAGTTTTAGACTTGTCCAAAGCTAAGTTGACTATGATTCCTCCTGACTTCTTCAACAAAATTTCAAATATAGAAAAGTTGGTTTTAGATAAGAATCATTTGGTGGAATTGCCAGATAACTTGGGTAATTTGCTCAAGTTGTCCTATTTTTCTGCATTTGGAAATAACATTCAATCTTTACCAGCTACAATTGGAAATTTGCATTCTTTACAATACGTTGACTTGCATTCTAACAACTTACAGACTTTACCAGACGAGATATGGAACTTGAAGGTTTTAACTGCTTTGAACGTGAGCTCAAATCTCTTGAGTTCGTTTCCCAAACCTCCTTTGTCTCTTGCAAAGAGGATCTCGTCTTCTGTAAACTTGCAAGGAATTGAACGGCCAAAGAAGGAGATGAAGACAATCACTGAAGGTGGTACAGATAATTTTACGACTAAGGATCTAAACTCTTCAAGCATGGATAATTCAAGCTCAAGTTCTTCTATTGTCGCCCAGGCTAGTTCTTTGATCGATAGTTTGGTTGTATTGGCGTTGGCCGACAACCGATTGAATGATGACTGTTTCAATTCTTTGAGTTTCTTGACACAATTAAAGAGTTTGAATTTGTCTTATAACGACATTTTGGAGATCCCAGATGGTGCCCTCAGGAGAATGCTGAAGTTAACTGACTTATACCTATCTGGTAACGAGTTATCGGCATTACCGGGTGACGATTTTGAAGGCATAAAGTCTTTAAGATTGCTTTTCTTGAACCACAATAAGTTAGTATCTTTGCCAGCTGAGTTGAGTAAGTTGAAAAACTTGCAATCTTTGGATGTTGGTTCTAATCAGTTGAAGTATAATATCAGCAATTGGCCATACGATTGGAGTTGGCATTGGAATGATAAGTTGAAGTACTTGAACTTCTCCGGAAATAAGAGATTTGAAATCAAGCAAAGTCATGTTAAGAATCCTGAAACTGGTGAATACTTTGATAGTTTGTTGGTGTTGAAAAACTTGAAGGTGTTAGGTTTGATCGATGTCACTTTGACCACAACAGCTGTTCCCGACCAAAATACTGAAATGAGAGTCAGGACCACTGCATCTGAGTTGGATAATGTTGGCTATGGTGTGTCTGATATTATGGGGGCCAGAGATTATGTTTCATCTAGGGATCTTTTTATTCAAAAGTATAGAGGAAACGAAAACGAAGCCTTATTTGCCAGTTTTGATGGAAAGGGAGGGCCGACAAGCCACGGACATCGTATTTCATCTATTTGTAAAAGTTTAATTGGTCGTCACTTATCAGAAGAGTTGGATAAGATTAAGTCAGATGAAGAGATTCCAGATGCTATGAGAAGAACATTTTTATTATTGAACAAAGAGATCAATGGAATTTTGGCGGCCAAAAAATCTGGAAATTCTTTGGCTACAGCTCAGGTCAGGAAAGATTTGGCCGATCTTACCTTGGCTGAAGATGGCTCTGCTGGTTGTAGTGTAACCGTCATATACATCAAAGACAAGAAATTGTATACTGCCAACATTGGTGACACCGAAGCTTTATTGTCCAGAGACAATGGTGACCATGTCATGTTAACCACCAAACACGACCCCACAAATCGTACTGAATTTGAACGGATAAGAGCTTCGGGTGGATATGTTTCAGGTGATGGTACTTTGGATGGTGATTTGTATATTTCCAGAGGAGCTGGTTTTTTCAGCTACTTGCCCCATTTACACTCAGGTCCTGATATTAAGCAGTTGGAGATTGCCAATGGTGATGATATGATTGTTTTGGCCACAAAGGTGTTTTGGGATTACATTTCGTATGAGTTGGCAGTTGATATTATCCGATCTGAAAAGGAAGATCCGATGTTAGCTGCTCAAAAACTTAGAGATTTTGCCCTTTCATACGGAGCTACTGATAAGATGGCCGTTATGGTTATAAGCTTGGGAGATCAAAAACATCTCAAACAGAAGTATGGTTCCAATGGGTTGTACAACAATCTTGGACGGGAAAACGAGCTTTTCTCCAACAAGAAAAGAAGAGATAGAGCACAAGGTCCTGGTGATGCTGCGTTGAGAATGTTAGACGATGAAATTGAACCTCCAGTTGGCGAGTTAGCAATGGTGTTCACTGATATCAAGAATTCAACGTTATTATGGGACACTTACCCTGTTGCGATGAGATCTGCCATCAAAATTCATAACTCCATTATGAGAAGACAATTGAGGATCATAGGAGGTTACGAAGTGAAGACCGAAGGGGATGCTTTCATAGTGTCTTTCCCTTCCCCAACCTCTGCGTTGTTATGGTGTTTTAATGTTCAGCAACAACTATTGACTGCCGATTGGCCTGTTGAAATCTTGGAAACCGATCAATGTTTTGAAGTCACTGACAATTCCGGAAATATTATCTACAGAGGTTTGTCTGTTAGAATGGGGATCCATTGGGGATCTCCAGTGTGTGAACTAGATGTTGTGACCCGAAGAATGGACTACTTTGGCCCTATTGTGAACAGAACCTCTAGAATTAGTGCTTTAGCTGATGGTGGTCAGATTTGTATCAGTTCGGACTTTTTGGATGAGATTAATACCTTGTTCGATTTACATAAAAATATTGTCGATAAGAAGATCACAATTAATGAGGGATACCAAGGAAATATGGTAGCCGGAGAAATTATCGAAAAGGAAATTAAACAATTATATGAGATCGGGTTTGTTTACTATGATATCGGAGAAAGGAAGTTGAAGGGATTGGAAGCTCCTGAGCATATTACTTTGGTGTATCCCAAGAAATTGCAGATTCGGTTTGAAAGTTTCCAGAAACAAACATCTGCTGTTGCTGATACTTCAAGATTATTTGGTGCCATTCCTATCGAAAGCATTTATGGATTGAGAACCATTTCTTTGAGACTCGAGAGAATTATATTGGGTCTCAATGGTACTCATTTCATGAACGAGTTCCAGGAGAATTCGTCTAATCAATTATTTGACAAATCCAGCTCTTTATTTGGAGATAACGAAATGCTTGGATTGTTAAACCATGTGGTTGTAAGAATCGAAAATTGTGTGGGGATATTACATACGAGACAACAATTGAGTGCATTAGATGGCAGTTTCAACTTCAAGAAGTCTGCTACCGCCAACTCAGTGATGTCTGAATTATCCCAAATCATTCTGGAATTCAAGCAATTAACTGGAAAGTAAAATACTATATATGGACTATAAAGCAAAATACTATATATGGACTACAAAATCTTTCTTTTCAACCAAAATCTCCTTAATTCCATAACAACTTAATCGAATCCCACATAATACCGTAGTTTGCGGTGTAGGTGGAGGTAGTGAATTCCAAAAGATTTTCACCTTTCACAAGACAGCTCTTTTTGACCTTCAACTTACTATAGAACCAGTTACCAGCAAAAGATGAAGATCGATAAGTAGACTTATCATTATACAAGTTGGTCTCATATTCATCTTCCAAAACACAGCCATTAAGAACAACTCCCAACCGGGTAGAGTTTCCACCAACAAAGGAATTGTTACCAGTGAAACCAGCAATGGAAACATATAACGCAGCATCAGATTCAATTTTATCCAAATCAAAATGAACGTTCCAAGTTCCAGCTTTACTCTTTGCATAACACCATTCGTAGTCGGAAGTGTTTCCCACATAAAAGTCAAAGTCACTAGGGCATTGCTCGGTTTGGAAGTCTTGATATTTAACGGCCCCGTATTTGAATCCTTTAGTGGTTCTGTCGTAGGTTCCAATTTGCCAAACGAGCTTATCAGTAGGAGTCTTCCATTTGATGGTTCCCAAGTCTGTGTCTTTCTTAAGCAGTATTTGTTTCTTGTAAGTGAAGTTACCGGATATTTGTCCAATATCCGTCAGTTTAGCACTCCATTCAGATGGGAATGCTTGAAGATAGTACTTTTCACCACTTCTAACGTTGTCGATACTGAAGTAACCTTCCTCATCGGTGTATCCATAGTACTGGTAGGCAGCTCCCTGGAGCATAGTATAATTGTTGGTAGCACCTAAGAATACGTTGACGTTTCCAGCAGGAGAACCGTTTTCTAACACAATTCTCCCCGAAACAGAAGATCTTGCTTGGTAGTCCTTGTCATTTAACCACTTATAGGGCCAGTTGAACAGCTCTTTTTTCCATCGCCTATTAGCATCACTCACAGAGCCATCATTGAAGTACCATAAGTAGGGACCCCAAACCTTGTTGTCTACAAAAGTTTCATCATATTCCACTTCAAAGTGGGTACCGTGTAACATGTTAAGCAAAACAACATCACCAGTTGAAGACTCTCTGTGAATGAGTAACTCCTGTTTAATCTGGTCTCCACAGTAGTAGTCTCTACCAGGAGAAATGAGCCAGAATCCATAGGTTCTATTATTGTAAGAGCCATAAACCCCATATACCTCCTCTTCATGAAGACGACTTGACCAGTCATACTTGGTGAGATATTTATTGGTGCCATTGGCGGAGCTGAGTAACCAAGTTTCATCAAAGACCTTAGTTCCTTTATAGTCATCTGGGAACAGTGGCAAAGCTTCATCTTTAATAGAGGTGTGACCATTTTGGTAAACATCAGGGTTAAGTCTGAAAAGAGTACGGAACTCACCCAAAACAGGCAAGTTGTGAGAAACATAGTAGTTGTAGAATCCATCCAATCCTTTGAAAAGTACCAAGTGGTTCTCACCTTCGTAACCGTATAAGGCAATATCAATCTTGGTATCATCATGGGACACCACTGCCACCGATGTGTAGTTCATGTTATTCAAAGCACCTTGGTTAGACGCATAGAAACCAACTGCATCGCCGACCAAATCGACTGGCTCATCTCCTTCATTTTGAGTCCACAATAACTTGGTTCCATACCGAGCACCCATTTCCAAGGTGAACTTGTCATTTCCAAGAATTACTTGAAGATCACTTGAATTTGAGTTTGTGACGTTGGCTATAAATGGCAGATCACCTTTGATCAAACTTCCTACCTTAACAGGCGTTAAGTAGTTATCATAAGTGGTTTTTTTCAGCTTCACAGATGCTCCCAAAACCAATTGAGTCAAACTGACAATCTTGAATATAGACAGAAACTTCATTGGTAGTTCACAGGGAATCCTGCCATTGTAGTGGTATTTAAATACCAATTGCTCCAAAATCTGGGGTCGCGGGTAGGGCTCATAATGAGCGGAGAATGTGGGGGATGCGTATATGCCGCCGTTGAACAATGCTCGGCCAGTGTTACACTGTTGCCGAGGTGGGGGATGAGGTAAGATATGTGTAAGACAATGTTGTTACCTGCCTCAACATGTAGGTGGGTCAATCGACAGCCTGGTCATTGATTGGTTAATGAGAGTGTACTGTATACTAGGGTGTTACCCCTTTAAATATGTGATGATCCCCCGTTTTTTTACCTCTGTTTGTGGAATGTCTAATGTGGTGAAGGAGAAGGTATTTGTTGTGGTTGGTGAACTTTGAAGGTACCCCACATTTGGTTGCCTGGAGGGAATGGTGTTGGTAATAGGGGCTAGAGCCAAGTAACTGAAATTGTACGGTACCTGTTTTCGGAGACAAAGGAATGGGTTTGAAGAGTTTCCCAGATTTTGAAATATATTGATAACACCGATGTCTAAATCGAGTTATTTTAGCACTAATGATGCAATCGAAAACAGTGACTGAAAGGGATTGGGCATATAAGTATCAATAAAAGGCTGGTAATAGAACAAGAGGCGTAACCCTAAGTACCTACAGGACTTTAATGTTGGTTGGTTTAAGAATCCATTGATTTTTTTTTCACATTCCATTTTGATCCACTCCCTTAAGGACGACGCTGATGATACGAGCAACCAGATGAATCAGTCTAACTTTAGCATCGATAGCAACGATACCACCTTTCAGATCTCTGAATTATCGCACAAACCAAGTATGTGGTCTGTTCGACCTCACAAGGAACAAGCATAATAAACCTCCCGAGTCCAAAACTACCCGCAAAAGGCCCACCAGTAAATTGGCCCAAACGGCTGCAAGGAGAAGAAGCTCCACGATTCTTTCGAGAGTAGAGCCTGGTCCTGACACCAATTCGGAGCCTAGATCATCCTGTGACACTTTATAGCTGATGAAAAAGCGTAGGAGCTTCGTCAAGCTCTTCGAAAATAGTGGGATCAAGTTTTCATTGAAGCTTAAATCCAAGAGTGCTTACTGAGTTTGCTATAAGTACCATAAATAAATGACTATGTGAATAGTATTTTTACTGCGTGCTTTGCATCTGACTCGAGAATAAAGACGACGATGAATTAAATCAATTTCTAGATCATGGACTTATCCAAGGTTTATATATCTATTGGGTTTATCGTTCTGAATGAAACCGAAAAGTTTACAATTACCTAGATGGTAATGAAATTAGCTTAGGGAGGATGGGCTTCAAGTCCAATTATTCGTATATTTCTGGTTTAAGGTTTTAAGATACACAAGAATAATCATGTAAAGTCACCATAGAATAACACTGTAGTTACCAGTATGAAAATCAATACAATTGCCAAATCGATAGTTGTGGACAAGTGAAAATCTCTTGTTGTGGACAAATATAATTATCAACCCAATTGTTGAGCCTATACAATAGCTTCTGTGGAAGTAGCAATCATTAAGGAATCGAATGAGGTTCATCAACGTCTATTTTCGCAGATTAAATAATGACACACGATGTGCTCTGCGTGAGAGGTGGATCAAAATTCACATCGACGGTTCCAACATGTTTTGCTATAGTTCAAAGTCTTAATATTTGTGGAGGGAAGTGTGTTAGTACTGGAAAGCGATATTTCAATTCCGGTCAATCATGCTAACAAAATTTCGAGGGGCTAAGAAACGGTTTACCCGTAAAGACCGATTATAGACTAGGGTGCCTTATCTAGCATTCACATGATCGCCATTCTAATCAAGTTTTACACCTTTTGCCATGGTGCCACAATTTTAGAGTGCCAGTCACAAAACCATCCATCACATGGCACATATATTGGTATGCCAATCACATTGCTCCTCACCCATGACTTCTACATCCAACTGTTAGTTGTCATCACCTTGTACTCCACGTGACTTTGAGGACCTCTCATTACCGATCGCATAAAAATAAAGCTTATCTGACTCAGTTATCATCCCTGCCTTATCTACAAACGTAGATAAGCAGGAAAAAATTTGCGCTTGCACACCTCGAGGAATTCCCGCGATTAGTTAATAGTTTATCTGATAAAGCTTTCACCCAATTTTTCTCAAATTATTCTCACTTCCACATCAAATTTACAGGTCACATTGTAAATAATTGTTACTCACATCACATTATATTCCTGTCCCTCGAAACTTAATAGGATTTGGGATACAACGACAAGCCCTGAAAGCTTTTGTCAAACTAACTCTCAACAAGTTCTTTTCCCCCTTAACGCCCACTCATTTATCACAGGCGTTTAGATTTCCTTAGTGTTTCTCCAACTCAACTTGGTGACCTATCCGTACAGTATCGCACAAAACCATCTTCAAACATCGCCCAGGGCTTGAATGTTCTATAAAAAGTTGCAAAAATCGGTATTCTTTGATATATCAAACTATGTCAAGTGGATCTCCAGTTACGGCGATATCAATACCAAAATCTCCAATGCCCAAAGATAAAGAAGCATCTTCCGTTCCCTTGGAAACTCCTCAAGTCCCGCGATCCAGCTTGACAATCGACTCCGATAGCTTGTCCACAACAACCACTCGTTCCATGACTCCAGGTTCTTCATCTTCGGTTTCATCAACTTCAAGTGGTACTAAATCAGATACAAAAGAACCTCTCAATAACATTGCAATGAACTTACACCCGAAACCAGTGAATAAAAGTGGCAGCAAGTTATCGATGTTTATACGAAACAGTAAGAGGTCATCTTCCACTTCAAATGACTCATTGTATGAGCGCGATAGGTTTCGGGCAAGATTACACAATTTCAATGTGACTGTCGAGGAGCCTGATCAGTGTGAGGTGTGTGATACCATTGGCAGTAAAACTGCCCGATTGAACGTACGAAAACATGACCAGGAAGAAGAGGAATTTACTACCAGTTTGTTGTCACCGTTGGATATGAATTCGGCCTTCTACAAAACCTTAGATCTGGTCTGCTACGAAAAATTTCCAGAGAACATGAAGATTATGTCCTTGAAAATTGGAAGTGTGGAGCCAGTATTTAACTGGTATTTCAACAAACCCCTTCCTAATACTCGTCAAATGTTCCCATGGCTTCACGGATTACATCCAAAGAATTTCTCCCAAAGGCGGTACTTCATTAAGCAGGAGAAGAAATACAGTGAAGAATCAGTCGATGAGGAACTTCTATGTTCCAAACCCTATTCTAGGTTCTTAATGACCGTCAATGCAAGCATACGAGACCATGAAGGTCCTATATTGAAAAACAACACTTTGGTCAACGAGGTGCTATGTCCAATAGACATATCAAGAGATGAAGTTTGCGAATTAGTTAAGATCATGGTATTGAAGGTATTTCCAAATGAGGAATCCATAGACACAATTTTAGAGGTATTCTTGAGAGATATATTTGAACTTAATTATTTACCGATGTTCTTAGATTTAGACCCTCTAGAACGAGGTGTGTCTCTAAGAAACTACCATATCCAAGTGGCTAAGCTGGCAATTTGCTCGGACTTCATCATTTATTGTTTTGATGAGAAGAATTTGCAAACATGTCATAGCTTGGCAAGGTTATTCTGGTTAGCTCAGAGATTCGAGGAAGCAAACAACCTGGACATAGATGGTGAACTGAGACCTGTTTACAACACTTTTGTATTAACAGATTTTGATGATATTGGGCTTGCGACAAAGATCCAATCTGTTACTTTGAAGAACAAGTTCCCAAGCAAGAATTTTGACCTTAATGAAATGGTTAAGTTGAGTTTGAAATTTTTACAGAATTGGGATACCGAGTACATTATCAAGGAGAAGATAGAAACCATCAAGATGTCTTCTGCTTCAAGATTGAACGGGTGCTTGTATTCGGGTAACTCATGGGATTATCAAAACTTCTTAAACTTCATTTACTCAGGTAAAAAAGAGTACTTGGCAAACAAGAAACTTGTTGACATAAAAAACTTGTATTGTAACCCATTGAATTCGATAACCACATCTAATATCAATTCAGAGAACTTGATTGAAACCATTTTGCCATTGCCAAATTTGAATTACAAAATGTTCATTAACTGTTTCAATGAGGCCAACTTCCCAGATAAACCTAATCTTGAAAGCTTGCTATCATTGTTCAGTAAGTCAGAAGATTCTTCTTGTAATGATGTCGGCGACTATTTCTGTTTGACATTTCCTTCGTCAGGTTCCATCGGTCTCGGGGATATTACGCAGGACAACATCATTTCCATCTTGAATACTTGTAAGTTGCTTTACTTGATAAGTTGTGTGAAAAATTTGGACTCCCTCATTTATTGTTCTGATGGATATACCGAACTGTCACTTCTCATTTTGATTTACACCATTTATTCCACAAATACTTCATTAAATCGTGCAATAATCACCTTGCATTTGAAATATGGTCGTCCATTTTACATTTTCAACACGGATGTTCAAATTTTACTGAAGTTAGAACCAATACTAAGGAAATATTCACCGGTCGCAAATGATGATGTTGATTGGGAGGATTTTGAAGAGATTCCCAGTAAAGAGGTGAACCAGTTATTGTTGAGTCCTAGAACATTAATGGAAGACTTTAGGAAGGGAATAATCGAGTCTTCAGATTTGATCAATGATGATGAATTCTCCTCTTCTTCGTCAAGTTCTTCGTCCGGGGATGAATCTTTTATTCCTTATGAGACTGATTGGTGTAAGGAAGTGGAAGGGTCTCTTCCTTCAAGAATTTTACCATACCTTTATTTGGGCTCGTTGAAACATGCTAGTTGTCTTCCATTATTAAAAGAACTCGGAATCAAAAAAGTGATCTCGGTAGGTGAACCTTTGTCGTGGCTTAATGGATCTAAATTCCAAAGAGATAATGACATAATTATTGATGAGCTAAACAATGGTGACATCGAGTTGTACAACATTGTCCCCAATGATAAGACAAAGGCTCACTCACCAGTCGACCAGGTCATGAAGGTCAATAACCTTCAAGATGATGGAATTGCTCAACTTGAGTCTTCATTGCCAGTGATTCTTGACTATATCGAAGAGCAATATCAAATATCTCATGGTCAGACCAAGATATTGGTGCACTGCCGTGTAGGGGTATCAAGGTCAGCTACAGTGGTAATTGCTGAAGTCATGAGAAGACTCAAAATCAATTTACCAAAGGCTTATCTTTATGTGAGAGTTAGAAGATTGAATATCATTATTCAACCAAATTTAAAGTTCATGTATGAATTGTTCAAATGGGAAGAACTACATAAGCAAGAACACGATGATTGTCTCCGTGAAATCGATTGGTTTGCCATGTGTCGAGAAATTACCTCATTGAATACCCCGTACCTAACAAACTAATTGACCACTCTGACATCCCGTCCCGTTCCTTTCCCGATTGGTGATAGCATAAAAGTTCACATTTAGTTCTATTTTGCCACATCTTGCACACCTTATAGAGAGATGTGGAGAACCATTATTTGGTCATGTTATTGGTACACTTGATGGACACTACATTAATTGTTTTGTAGCCACCCAAAAGTTATACCGTGTATATTTTCGTAGGTTTGTATTATATCAAAACATTTTTATCAGTTTTTCACACCTCCATGAATCGCAGTCAGTTCAAAAACCCTCACCGATCCTTAGAAAATTTTTCCATCGATCAAGTTGTACAAGTAAACGCTATAGTTTAGCAGGCCTCCAACTTTAGCATCCTCAGACCCCTCCTTACACCGATTGGCCAATTGATATTCTTCCGCAAATGTCTGGTCTACAATCAAATCCCCTCCTTTCGGATCCATCTATCGTCCAAGTGTCCTCTAATGATCAAACATCTATAAATATTGCTGCCCAAAATCAAACAACCTCCTTGGAACCTAGCAATGTATTGTCCCAGTTATTAGACTCTGCTATGTCCAAAGCAGCCAAGGAAACCAGTCCTGAGTTTGAATTAAAGACATCATCCAGTTCTTCAAGCCCCAAATCGGTGAAGTCAAATAGGTATGAGATAAGTGCTACCAAGTCCAACTCTTCCCAAGTTTATTCTATCGACGAGCTTATGTCTCTTATCCCATTAGCAGATGCCACAATAGCAGACCAACTCCCCCCTAAAGAGTTCTGGTGTTTGTTCCACGTCAATAAAAAGCAGCACTTCCAGAAGGAATTTGGAGGCAAACACAATAAGAGAAATAATACTTTCAACAACAACAACAACAACAATAAGAAAGAATTTGAAAACAGAAAGAAGAAGCCCGACTCCAGTGACTTTTTCGGCGATGATGTGGACTCGGTACCTGAATGGAATGAAAGCACCGATATTGACAACAAGATGAAGTTTGAGATGGGTGACACCGTGGAAGATTTCGAAAGATGGAAGCAGTCTCAACGCCGCAAGAATGACGCTTCTGATATAACTGCTGGTAAAGAGCCACCCAAACCCGAACCCCAGCAGCTTTCTAATGATGTGGACAACTTCTTTTCCTTTGTCAAGACCACAAATACCACTGATGATAAGAAGAATGCCCAAGACTCATCTTCTAAAAGCTCCAGGTTTTCTTCCTTCTTCACTCCCCCAGCCCCTGAAACTGCAAGGGAAGAACCCAAACCACAACCTCCTATCGACCTAGGTTCCAGCTCCCGGTTTTTCGGAGGAGCACCTCCAGCTTCTGCTACTGCAAGTCAATCCTCCATTAATACCCCCGTCAACACAGATCCATCTGTGCCTCCAGGAATACAAAGACGAAGCCTCTCCGGTCAAAACCAGTACCCTGGAGGTCCTCCACAATCAAACCCTTCACATTCACCTGAAGAATCTAAAATGAGACAGATGCCAGGCCACCAGCCATTGCAAGGACATCCTCAAATTCCTCAAATTCCCATGGCTGGACCTCATGGCCATGTACCCCCCATGGGATTCCCCCCTGGATTACACCCGGGTTTTCCTATTCCAACCGGTAACCCTCCTAAAGGGCAGAACGACTCTTTTTTCATGTCTCTAATGAGCAAGAATCCAAATGAGGGTGGAAATCACAATTCACAGCCTGAAAATGGCTCCCAGCCCAAAAATATGGCTCAAAACTTACCACCATGGCTCCAACACAATGGTGGCCAGCGTCCACAAGGACCTTTCCCTCCTCATCAACAGCAAAATATGCCTCCTCCAGGTTTGAATCAAAAGTCTGACCAACCACAATCTGAAGGTGGTGAAAGAGGAGCTGGTCCTAACAAAATGATTCCCCCATTTCCATTTCCAGGTGCACAAGGAATGTTTCCACCGGGGTTCATGCCTCCAGGAGTCCAACTTCCTCCGCAATTCAGAAACGACCCCAACATGATGAGAAACATGCCACCTCCCTCACAACAAGGTCCTGTTCCTCAGTTTATGCAATTTCCTCCTGGAATGATGCCTCCTAATGGGGTAAACCAAGGTAATCAGCCCGGAGGTCGGGGTAATAATGGGGTATTACGGGATCAACAGGCCCCACCTAATGGAAAATAAAACTATCAAATGAAGGTGTATATATGATTAAAATTGTGTATTGATGTTATATAGTAGGAAACAATACAAACATGTCCATTTGATATTCAGATTATTTGGGAGACCTTTAAGAACAAATTCAATAGTTGAATGTGTTCATCGGTGCCGCTATTTAGTCTCTTGTCAGTTGTGAAAAGTAGCTGAGAGACGTGATTCTTTACAATTGAGCTTCTTGAATCGTCCATGATCAACTTATCATGCAACTGGTCAATAACTTGTTGGGCACTGTACCCTTGTAGTACCACATTTCTAGTTTCTTCGATAATCTCTTTACTATCTTTTGATTCGATTGTGCTCAAAATCTTGTCAATTATTTCGTCACTAACAACACCACCAACCTCTAAAATGGAGTCTACCGTGATCTTATTGGTGCCAATACTAATATCTTCTTCAAGGAGCTTAAGCGACGAATGTAATCTGGTGGCCGATTGCAAATACGTAATGGCTCTTCTCAAATCACCGTTGCTGATTTTCAACACTTCTTCCAAGGTTCCTTCCTCTGCTTCAATGCCTTCATGACCAGCAATGTATTGTAATCTACCCAAAGCATCGGAGTTATTTAATGGCTTGAATCTGAATTTTGAGCATCTGGAGGCCAATGGATCGATGATTCTAGTGATATAATTACAAACCAAACAGAATCTGGTGACCCCAGAATAGGTTTCCATTGTTCTTCTCAAGGCAGATTGCGCATCGTTGGTCATAGAATCAGCTTCATCCAAAATGATGATCTTATACGGTGGGCATGGGTATTTCTCCAAATCTTCAGGAGACGGATTGGAGATGGTCAATCGGGCAAAGTTCTTGATCTTTTGTCTGACTATGGAAATTCCTCTTTCATCGGAAGCATTAAGCTCAAGAACACGACTCTTGAACAAAATAGGACCGTAAAGCAGCTTGGCCAACGCCAAAATCGTTGATGTTTTACCAGTTCCTGGTGGACCGTAGAATAACATATGCGGTAAGTTGGCGGACACTAATGTTCTCTTCAACACTTTAACAGTATGGTCTTGAGACGCCACATCATCCAAGCTCTTAGGCCTATACTTTTCTACCCATGGCGTATGCTCTATTTTCTCCTGCTCGTAAGCCTTGTTTCTGGTGGATCTTTCTGCTTCAGACACCATTAGTAGATTTGAGAAAATCGACTTCACAAAAAGACGCGTTGATAAATTTTTCAACTACGATTAGTGGAATTACAATTAAAAATGATCTTTTGTAGCTAATTATACAAGGTAGACAGCCTGCCGGAAACAAATAATCAAAAATGTGGTATAGCTCACTGCACACCTACCACCGACAATTCAAGGGTCCATACTCTTCTCATGTGGACCTTAACAGTCATGCTTTTTTCACCATAATTAGGGAATAAGTGGGGTGCGGTGATAGGAATGTCAACAGATTCATGAGACCACCAGCATTTTCTGGCAGGCTTCTTCCAGAAAAGAAGTAATTTGTTATTGTTACTGTGATCGTTTCGCTTTCTCGACAACGATCTTGAAGCAGCTCTGGAGGCACTATTAGCCAAACTGGCTATTCTGGATCTGGATCGAGAAGTCGTAGAAGCATTTGAAGTCACTGGAACAAGATTGGGAGACTCGGGAGGAGTTGGGTCCGGGTGGTTTTTCAATCTCACCAACAGTAATGAAAGTAACAAACATTTGGAGGGTTCCATTGATCTGCTTCCCCATAAACTGGTGGGGTCGAATCCAGAAGAACACAACATCTCGAACAAGTGCTTTTCTGCTGGGCCCAAACTGGCTTCAGACTGAGGCAGGTGAACATCGTATCCCAAACCCGAAAAAACAAACGTGCTTTTCAATAAATGCTTACTGACTTCGATCTTGAGAAATCTCATGGATTCTTCATTCAAGCCTGGAATCGGAGGCACCACGTAGTAGTCAAGGTCTTCTCTCAACACTATGATAGCTGGCTTGGTGTTTAATACGTGCAACGCATCATTCAGATACTTCATACCGGTAGATTGCGGAGATATAGACGAAAGCCTATCCAACTCAAGGTGGGCATCGTTAAATGTATCTGTAATATACTGGAAACACTGTGGATCGAAACCGACATAGACAATATCTTCCTCTGTCAAGTTTGTTATCACCTGGCCCCGGGAATCCAAAAAAACTCCGTTAGGAAATAAGCACAATAATATACTTTCGGGTAAATTCATTAATTCATCTCTTGTTATAGTAAAACTGATGCCACGTATATTCAAGTGGATCTTGGAATTGTAATCGATTGCCAGAGTTTCATCGTAAGGTTGTGGAATGCTATCAAAGTTGTTGTCCTGAGACACTTGTGTGATTATATTATCAGTCATTTTCTCAAGCACCACAGCTATTAACGGGGTCTAATGCAGTAGAATGGGAGTCTGGAAGTATGTATGTGTTCTTGTCGGGCTGTACAATGTAGGACCAAGGTTGCCGGCACCTTCTTGTAGAATTATTGTATGACTACGACAGACCTGTAAGGAAGAAGTGGTTATAATGTACGAGAAATTTTCCTGGCTGGTTTACAGAAACGAGCAATCCGCGCGCAGCCGCTTGACTCGGCTCTCACCAGCTTGTTGTCTATGTCTTGCAATAAGGATGACTGTTGCCAGTCAGACAGTGTATGTGAGCGGAATGAAGTGCCAAATGATGTAGAGGGAATTTATGAACTGGTGGATGCGCTGGACGATGTCTGGGGAGATAGTGATGGAGAAGACGATATAATTACTAAGAACTCTTCATCTACGGCTGAAATAAAGAGGGTTCACACCAAACAGGGGTATTTGGATGGGCTAAGCAACGCCAAAGAGTCGAGCCTACAGCAAGGGTTTGATGACGGGTATCCCAAAGGCGGAGAATTGGGAATAATGGTTGGGAGGATTTTAGCTACTGTTCTCTCATACGATACTGAGTTGTTTCTACAGTGCAAACAGGAACTTATTATATCTAAAGTGCTAAATAAGGGGTACTTCAACTCTAACTTAGATATAGAAGACTTAGAGGCGCACGAGGTGTTACAAAAATGGCTAAAAATATGTAGTGATTTAATTCCCGACTTGTAAATATATGATTATCTACTCAATGGCATGTCATTCTGGATGACTGTATCCATGGTGTCATACAAACTCGACAATTTCCCATGGAACTTAGTTCTACCCCTGCTCCAGTCAATCCACATTTCTGACAAGAGATACTGTGTTTCCTGAAACATCAAGTACTCTTGTAAACACCGTTCCTTTATAAGCCAGTCTTTATTCAATTGTTGGAACATTTCTTGTTTGTCGTTGATTATGCTTTGTTTCATCTTGGCCAAATCGCTGCCTTTAATGTCGGCATCCTCATCACTTAGCCGGTTGAACTTAGCTTCGCCGTCCCGGATTCTGTTTTGCAACTGAGAAATGGTGTTGGTCAGGAGTCGTTTGTGTCTTTCGAAGAGTTCAACCAACGAGTACAAGTAGTCAAGGAAGTTCTTGAACTTCTCAAGAACAGAAGTGTTGATCGCAAATGTTTCATCAACGATGGCCTGACTAGAATTAGTGAAGAATTCGGATACTGTATTCAATGAGTTGTCAATGGCACTGAAATCATCATGGTTATTGGCAGAAATGGCCGAATCCTTTTCTTCTAAATGGGGATACAAGTCGTTATTTAGGTCCTGGAACCTTCCTAACATCTCCACAAACTTGTTGTTATCGTATGCAATTTGTTGTTGTCTCTTCTCATATCTTTCTATCAAAATCACTAGTTTGGTCCATACTTCAATGATCTTTGGGAGAGACTGTTCGGTCTTATGCCATTTCTTCATGAAATCCTCACCTATAGCAGGCCAGATCTTATTCATAAAATGAGGCAGAATCTTGATGCCTTTGAATTCCAAACTGTAATCTATTTGAGCTTGCTTTCTCCAGGAAACTAAATCTGTAGGAACACTCAAAAATGTAATTACCACAGGGTCTTTTCTTAATACAGGATGTTTGATAATTTGATTCAAGAACCGGTATAAGCCTCTACGCCGTCTCTGTAAAAATTGGGAATCAGGGGAGGCTCCTACTGAAAGGTATTAGTAAATGTTCAAAAACAAAAAAGGTGCAAAATCTTTACATACCATTAAACTTTTTCGGGGGTAACCCGGGAATCACTCTAAAAGGATATTTTTTAAGTAAGAATTCCAAGAGCCTGAATGTGTTAGTAGGAGGAGAAGCCAAAAATCAAATAAGAATATACGTACCAAACAAAATCAGAGTATCTTCTAAGAACCTTTTTAAGGCCCGCAGGAGAATTCATTCCCAAATTAATCTGATGGGTGATGGCATAATTGATGTGTTTGAAAATAAGCCCTTCTTTCTCAGGCACTTCTTTGATGAATATTATCTGTTTCCCGTCATACAAAGGTCTGAACATGTCTCTGTAGTCGTTTATATACTTCTTAAGCTCGGTAAATGCAGCCGGTTCTTCGATCGGAGTGTTTGTTGATTGATTCGGGGACACAGTCTCCGCCAATAGGGGCTCTTTCAATTGACCAGGTCCCCACGCAGTGTCGTCATCAATACCAGACTCTGCTAACTGGCTGGTCAATGGGTCGATAAACGTCTTTGCTTCGGAGGAGTCTGTTTCCACGAGAAAGTGCATGATGTCTTTTGGAATGTCCGGTAAATCGGCGATTTTGAACTGCAACGTCACATAGTCCCCGGTACCTGCAAGGTCCAATTCTAACGCGACCATTCCCAAGCTCTGAAAGAAGTTCAGTGGATGGGTGAAGTTGGCTAAGTTTTGATCAAAAATGGTGTTCACAATACGAGTACGCTGATAACCAGAAAAGTTGTGGTGGGCTACCAACTTATCTAAGATCAACCGTTCAAAGTCATTTCCCGAAACCAACTGGTCCTTTAGCTCGGTGTATAATTGCTTGTAGGACGCAGGGATCTTTGCTTCGTCAAACTTGAAGTCGTTTGTCCCGTCACTTTCTTCCTCTGAGTCGTCACCATTGGTTAAAATCTGGGACGGTGTCAAGTACACACTGTTGAAGGGGGTGGTAGTACTTCCATGGTCGGGAGTCTCATCGTTGGTCCACCCATTGGCCCACGGATCCTCTGATCCGTATATATTACTACCGCTCATGGTTACAAAGATTCGTTTATTTCTCCTGCGCGCGGTTTTTTTGATATTTCGAAATCAACAACCATGGAGGCCGTAAAGGGTACATTATTTAGTATTATTAACTACTTCCACAAGGATGACAGGTACAATCGTGTGACTCTAGGCTTGGATAGAAATCCAAGCATGAAGACGCTTATCCGCTGGCGGTTTGCTGATGTGTTTATTTTGGGTTCTATGCTGGTATTGTTCATGTTCACCTATTACATCCCACCGTTCCAAAGACAATTTTTCGTGGATGATTTGACGATATCTCATCCGTTTGCTGAAAACGAGCGGGTATCCAACTCGGGGCTTTTTTTCTACGCCGTGTGGATTCCACTAACGGTGATTATTATCATCGGTCTCATCTTCACCAAACCTGCTAACAAGGTATATGTTACGTATATTTCGGTGATGGGCCTTTTAATTGCCGTGTTCACCGCGAGTATCACCACAGACATCCTCAAGAACTTCATAGGAAGACATAGGCCAGACTTCTTGGCCCGTTGTATACCTCGGGCTGATACCCCTACTGGTGTCATGGTGTTCGCCAAAGATGTTTGTACAACCGATAATACAGACCGATTGATGGATGGGTTTAGAACTACGCCTTCTGGACATTCCAGTATAAGTTTTTCAGGCCTTGGATATCTTTCGTTCTGGCTTGCTGGTCAACTTATTGTCAAACATTATCAGCTGGGAGCATGGAGAAGTATAGTGGCATTCGCACCTAGTTTTGGTGCTTCCTTGATTGCCTTGAGCAGAACCGAAGATTATAGGCACCACTTTATTGATGTGATCATTGGCTCCATACTTGGTTTAGGAATTGGGTACTGGTCGTATTTCAGGTACTTTCCATCATTAACATCTACAAAAGCGTTTGAACCGCTTATAATTAGCAATGAACACTCTGGAAGCAAAATTCATGATGAGGATGAGTCTGTCGAGTATCACACTCTTGATACCACCCAAGAAGATGTATAGAAAGCATATGAAAGTATTATGTAGCTTATTTATTCGTTTCACTTGAAACTATCTTACTATCGCTATTCGCAGTTTCCACACGACAATATATTCATATGCGAACGTTGACAAAGTCACCAGAAAAGTTAGTCTTCGAGCCTCATTTATTCCACAGTTAAATCGGATCCACCTGTCAGCGAAATACACACATATTCGCTCACTTCATGTCTACACCGTCTGTGTACTGCTTTGTGTCAGCTGGAAGTGTTCACTGCATTCCGGTCAATGCTTTCAACGGCTTTTCCAAACACCTTGATGGTTCACCTCAGCCCACAATTCAAATCGACCACCACAACTCAGTGGTAAACACCAAACAGTTAACGCCGGTGGAAGAGAATGATATTCATTTGAAGATCAAGCACAAAAACTTGTTGTACAACTTGAATAACCCCTCCCTTTCAGATATCGAATCTGATTCAAACGATACCAATGATGAGTCGGAATACATATCTGGTGTGATAGATAACTACTTGGCCCATGCCTTATATTTTCCCGACTACTCTATCGAATTGACAGACAACATAAGCGACAATTACGCACAAATCCGAGAGTTTCTTTGCAAGATATTCTCTAAGACCTGGGTCCACAGTGAGAAAATCACTGTCCAAAGGCTCACGGGTGGTATCACCAATATGTTACTACAATGCACTTATACCCCCAACAATGAGATTGTGTTGATGAGAGCATATGGCCCTGGAACCAACTTTATTATCGATAGACACAGAGAATTCATCCTGCAATTGGTATTGCATTCAATCCATTTGGCACCCACAGTCCATGCTCGGTTCAAAAATGGACTCATTTATGGGTTTCTTGAAGGTCGTTCTTTAGAACCACTGGAATTGAAACACGAAAACTTATACCCTTTGATTGCCCAACAGTTGGGAAATTGGCATTCCAAGGTGGAAATTTCAAAAGTTCACCAAGGGGTTGAAAAACTCCGGGAATATACAAGGTCTTCCAAGCGAAGGCTGTTTGATCAGCCTCGGCCAAAAGACTTGCATTTAAGAAAAGAAAAGGAACGGAGGATCAAGAAAAGATACATATCCAACGTTTGGGAACTCATAGAGGACTGGATTAATATTGTTCCCATTATACCTCCATTAATTGAATCTTTCCGTGAAAATTCATCCTCAGAAGTGACTGAAGACAACTTAAGAGAAACCATCATGACCGAGTTCAAATGGCTCAAGAGCACTTTGGAACTGAGGTCCAATTCTCCGGTGGTTTCTGCACACTGTGATCTATTATCTGGAAACATTATTATACCCAACGAAGAGTTGATTTCAACACCACTCACCGAATTACCTCCTTTGAGCGAAAACCCAATACAATTTATTGACTATGAGTACATGCTTCCGGCCCCCAGAGCTTTTGACATTGCCAATCACTTGGCTGAATGGCAAGGATTCAATTGTGATCGTTCTGCCATTCCAGAGCCTTCGAGGAGTAATAAGACCTTAGTAAGGTGGGTTAAAGCTTACCTTAATGATGATGATGCTCTGCCAGAACTCGTCCAAGGTTTGATCGACGAAATCTACTGTTATTATGGCTTCCCTGGATTTTACTGGGGAATTTGGGCTGCTATTCAGAGTGAATTGTCCAACATTGATTTCAGTTATGCTGATTATTCCAAATTAAGATTACAGGAGTACTGGGATTGGAAACAAAGCTTTTTAGTTAATTAGTCGTCATTTATTACTATTTAATACATCACTTAATTATCTGTTAAGATCTACTACCACCGTATTATTTGTTTTACCTGAATGTAATAACACCCATCGAGATCCTTTCATCTTTTCTTTCATCAAAGTATTATAAATGTTCACTGCGAAAGTCCTGGTGATGTTGCTTCCTGAAGCATACATCTTACGAATCCACAAGTCTTGCAGGCTCATGGATGTACTTTGAATAACATCCAATGTATCGTCTGAGACATCGATGCTGATTACAACTGCATTGGCTAATGTTTTCATGAAGTTGGCAGATGCGATAATGGAGTCGTTTTCTTGCTCCCATTTGTTTGTCTTATTCTTCCTTCCACGTGGAGCCTCATTACTGACAACCACTGGCTTTTGGTTGATTTCTACCGAAAACAACGGGCTATCACCCAATATGAACTCATTGGAATCGTTGGGTGCAACATCTTCATTTGGGGATTCTCCATCAGTTTCCTCTTGTCTCCTACTGTCAATGGCTTCTTTAAGGTACTTTACAGCACCTTCAACATCGATATCGGTGTCCTTGTTTCTTTCCATATCTCGGATTCTTAAAGACTTATAATTGGCATTGGATTTCTTGGATTTCTTGTTTGCTGTAGTTGACTGACGGATGATCACAACCCAAGGTATACCCTCAAAATCGGCTTTATCTAGGTAATCTTCCTGTGAAGAAGCCAAGTAGATGTCGGCACTCACCCCACTATTCCAGAAGTCTCCCACAACTTCAAGTCCGCAATCACCAAGAAGGTCTCTGTTTAAGCTAGTCACAAGAACATCACATCTCCCTTTCTTCCACTTTTTATTCTTGTCCACAGTTATTTTCTTTTCAAAGTTCTTTAAAAGCAAAAACAAGTAAGTACTCGACAACAGGAAACCAACTCCAAGGTTTCTTGTTCGTTTAGAAAGTCCTGTGTTTGATAAATCTTTAATGAGATTATCATACCGGCCACCTGTAGCAATTCTTGTATACGTCCTGACCTTGTCAACTTTGAACAACGATTGAAACATAATCCCACCTGTGTAGTACTTACAATTATAATTGCATAACGGGTTAAAGTATATCTTTGTAGTGATTCTCAAATTCTTTGCTAGATTGGTGACATTCATCAAGTATTTGATACTACGTTCAACTCTCAACATCAATGGCGAGTCTTTCAATAACTTCTGAAGCTTGTTGCCAGCCTTTTCGATATCGATGGTGAAGTTGAAAGTATCAATCAAATCGTTCGTCACAGTTTGAGGTACCTTGAACTCGTCTCTCAAATACTTTTTAATTTCTTCTGGTCCTCTATCAACTCCTAACTGAGAGAGACTCTCCATAATTCCAAGTTTTGTTTTGTCATCAATGCCTATATTTCCAAATGCAAAGGATAAAACGGCATCCAATATGTCATAATGGTTTACAAAAATAGCACAATTTGAGCCCTTGATATTAAAGCACTGAAATGAACATATTATTTCATCCATCAATTTGAGACATTCTGCATCATTCATATGGCAATTGATAATGTCATTGCTCACGATATCAAAACTCAAAACACTAAACTTTTCAGGGGCTCCAATGCCTCTTAAGTTTTGTCGAAACACAAAGTTATGCCTGAAAAGCTTAGGAACAGTGATTGTATTTCTGCTCAAAAATCTGGCAAACGGCAAAAGCAAATCGTATGGTAAATGCAACACCCCACCACTTCTGTCTAGAACTTCAAAGACTGCTTCTCTTGAGTATGTTGGGGATTTGGGAATCAACAAATCCGAATTGAACTCCTCAATAGCACCATGCTTTTTGAAGATTGCCGTAATGACTTCTATCATATTATAAAATAGAAGGTAATCACCCATAGTATATTCAATTTGTTGCTTCAGTTTTCTTTGATGTGGATCATCGAACATCAAGTCTCTAGCATGCAGATATGGTTGGTCAAAGAGTGTTTGTCTAACTTGCTGTTGCCATGGGGAAGCAGGATCAGCTAAAGATTTCAACGCTTCCTTGATAACTTGATCTTGATGTTCCACTGGCATCCACCCACTCTGAAGTAATTCGGAGGCACCTGGTCTCTTTTTCGGTTCATGGTCTAGCAAGGTTCTGATGATCTTCTTCTCTAATCTGTATTTGGAATCGGGAAAATCTTTTGGGAATTCAATCGTTACCAATCTTAAATTATTAATCTTTCTGGCTCTCTCCATCCCAGTTCCAAGGTTATAGCACATTTCAAAAAAGATGATTCCTAAGGAATACATATCTACCTTTTCATTGTAATAACCTGTTGCAACCTCTTTTGCATTATAGAAGAGAGTTCCAACAACTGTAGATAAGTCTCTATCACCAGAGGAAGTAACTTGATTGTTAGTCAGTAACACTGAAGAAAACTGGGAATTTTTGGCTAATCCAAAATCACCAACCTTAATATTGTTCGCTTTGTCAATAAAAATGTTCATTGGTTTCAAATCTCGGTGAATGAATCCTTCTCGATGGATATACGAAACAGCTTCAAGGAGCTGTCTGAACAATCTCCAATATTCTGAAGAGTTGTTTGGAAGACCCTGTTCAATCAAATTGAGTAGAGTGTTGTTCTCGCAGAACTCCATTTGGATGTAAAGCATTGACATCGAAGTCAATTTAACGTACGACTGTCTGCGTTTATGGGTTTGAATATTATTGGGCGTCGAAACTTCTTCTTCTTCTTCTAAATCCGATCTGGAGCCGAATTCGAAATTGACATCATCATCGTCGTCATCCGTATCGAGGGTCCCAAATGTGATTTGGGGATCAAATGAGTTCAGAATAAAGTCTACTTGGAAGGAGTTGTCAGTAGTTCCAAGGAATGAAGTAGAACTCTTAATGATGTTATCTTCAAAATCTCCATCCGAAACATCGAGGTCACTATGGTGGGTATCCGACTCAACATTATCATTTTCTTGTAGTTCTTCCACCCAAGTACCATAGTATCTAACGATGTACTGATGGTTCAATCTTGCTAAAGAGAGCACTTCACTTAACAAAGAATCTAATTTATGAGTCTTGTGCTTGATCTTCTTGATGGCATAGAAAGTTCCTTCCATTCTATTACGCACCTTTACTACTTCGCCAAACCCACCCTTTCCAAGCCGACCAATTTCTTCAAAATCTCTTTCGTATCGACCTATTGGACCTTTCTGTAAAGTTTCATTCTCAAGATCGTGTGTAGTTGGCGTATTCTTCAGATCATCTTCTATATCACCATAGGGTACATATGTGCCCTTTCCATCCACAATGAACCGGCCATTTTTGAACCTGATATCGATCTGCAAAACCGGACCATCTCTTAAGAACTTAACAGCATTCACTTCCAAAATACTTGGTCTCTTAGACAACTTTGCTTGGATCATCTTGCTGAGCATCTCGTAAACATCATCAGCATACTCTCTATCATCTTGAATTTCGCTATTATTCACAGCCTGAATGAACTCTTGGGGACCGTGGTACAATTCTTCAATAGTTTTACTTCCTATCATGATTTTCATGAACAAAATGCCCAAGTCCCACACATCAGTTTTCCTTTGGTAACCTTTGGACTGCTTCTGTAGTTCTGGAGCTAGCCATTCAGTTGGCATATCTAAAGTTAAGAATGAGTAGTCAGCTTGAAAAGGGGGCTTAGGGTTGCGGTTAACCATACTCATAAGAGTATAGCCGTACGATGGGTAGACAAGCCGAACCTGCTGGGGATCCCTGGTGTCGGAGTTAGACCCATCCAGATCACATAGAAGAACCGATAACGGGTTAATGAATTTGAAAGTATGGCCCGTGTTGTGCAAAGTTTCTAATGCTGGTAAAAGCTGAATCAACCATGCCCTGGACACAGCAAAATCAATGTTAGATTGTCTTTCAAGTACCTCATCGAGAGATATCGAGGATATCGGATGTTCGACCAACAAGTGAATTTTCCATCCTTGGTTGCTCATTTTCTTGATCTGGTATCCCACTAATGTTAGAATATTCGGGTGTATTTTACCAGTCAACGAGTCCAATTCTCCTTCTAAGTTTTGAATTTCTCGTTTTCCTTCCTCTTTAAGCCAAAACGGACCTCTCAACTCAACCTCCGAAAGCACGTACTCGATCTTTATGCCTTTACTTGTCACTTTTTCTCTAGTACTAGCATTCAAGTGAGGAGTGACAATATGCTGTGATGCAATTGAGGAAAATAGGTCTCTCCCCTTGTATTGAGATTTGGTTTTAACGGCCTTGAACAGAAATTTTAATCTGATCGACTCAACTGTGCCAGTAAGATCGTTATCAAAGACAGTATAATCGGAGATATTGGCCGGCAAGTCCGATCCCATTTCCTCTTCAACTATTTCAAGATTGTCCCGAGACACAGATCTGTATTCACCCTGGATCTTCTGGATTTGAGCATTGAGCTCAGCGGACTGTTTGGCCTGCTCCAATCGTAGTTCTCTTTCTTGAGCTTCTTCATACTCGAGAAGCTTCTCTTGTTTCTGTTTTAGTCTTTGCTCTCGTTCTTCTTCCAAAGATAACACCTTTTGGGTGTTCCTTTGACACTCATCTAAAGCGTCTTTAACCTCACTGATAAGAATATAACAGATTTCCTGCTCTGGGTACTCTTGCAACAATTGATGTATTAATAAGTTGAGTTGCTCCACTTTCGAACCAAGTATGTTCTTAGCATGTATTATTTTCACAATGGGGGACGACGTGGGATACGTCTTGGTGAATTCTATGTCCAATGTGAGTGATAATTCAGGATGATCAGGGTCTTCGTTCGATATTAAGTCTACTTGAAAATGAGGACTGGGTTTGCGATTCCACACCAATTCCTTCCCGGTTAAATTCCGGAAAATATCCCCGTAGATAGACGCTATGCTATCGACTTCATCTTGCTGGCGCTGCTCTAAGTCCAGTGTAAGTGCCATCACTGACAGTAAGTCGTCTCGGATTTTTTCCCATCGCAGTCGCGTTTTGCAAATACCATTCATAGCTGATAGATGGACCAGATAGACAGATCCATTGAACCAGGGGAGGATACAATCCGTATTCTCTTGACCACGGATAATCATGTGGGATACAAGGAGAACGATCCGATTCGAACGGACGACTCGTGGAAGACATTCAATGAGATTGTCGTGACTGCAAAGGAGCAAGATGTGGATATGATTGTGCATGGAGGAGATTTGTTCGATGTGAATAAGCCATCCAAAAAGTCTATGTACAGAGTGATGGAATCCTTGCGTTCCCATTGTTTAGGTGACAGGCCTTGTGAGTTAGAGCTTTTGAGCGATTTCAATTCTTTGTCTGGAGACTTGTTTCCGGTCAACTACGAAGACCCTAATATCAACGTATCGATACCTGTATTTGCCATTAGCGGGAACCACGATGATGCTACTGGCTCGAGCCTTTTGCTGCCAATGGATGTTCTCGCTGTGTCGGGTTTAGTGAACAACTTTGGTAAAGTGACACTGGCTAGTGAAATTAACGTTGCACCCATACTACTACAAAAGGGCACCACCAAGTTTGCATTATATGGAATGAGCCATGTAAAAGACGAACGCTTGTTCAGGTTGTTTAGAGAGGGGAACGTCAAATTCTTGAGGCCCAACATGTACACGGAAGAATGGTTCAACTTACTCTGTGTCCACCAAAATCACCACCCATATACCTCACAGAAATCATATTTACCCGAACTGGTACTACCTGATTTCATTGACTTCATATATTGGGGCCATGAACACGAGTGTCTTCCAGAGCCACAACTTAATCCCATCAAGAACTTCCATACACTTCTCCCGGGCTCTTCAATCGTCACCTCGTTAATTGATGGAGAATCCAACCCTAAACATGTTTTCATATTAAACGTCAAGGGCAAAAAATTCAATCTTGAAGCCATTCCTTTGAAAACAGCCCGTCCATTTTTAATCGAAGCAATATCCTTGGCTGAAGAAGGGTTTGATCCTAGCCCAGTCTTAACCAACGATGTCACCAACTTTTTATGCCACAAAGTTGAAGAATTGATTGAAAAGGCTCTTGAAAAGTATGTTCAAACCAACACAAATCTGTCTATGGATACTGAGGAAGCTGAACAGTTCAAGAAAGATGCACCTTTGCCATTGATACGGTTGAAGGTCGATGTCACAGGGGGATTTCAAGTGGAAAACCTCCAAAGACTCTCACGCAGGTTTGTCGGTAAGGTCGCCAACGTGGATGATATCTTCACCATTCATCAGAAGAACACGTCTGCAAGAGTAAAGAATACAGACGGACCTAAAGCGGATATCACGTTCAACAAATCAAGCACACTAACAATTAACTCTTTGATAAGCAATTTTGTTGAGGAATCCACATTACATCTTCTCCCCGGACAGGGAATCAATAATGCAGTAAAAGAGTTTATCGACAAGGATGACAAGAATGCTATTAATGAATATATCAAGAAAGAAATCAAGCGTGAGACAAAAATTCTTCTCGACTTGGATGTGGCACAAGACCGTTACTTTGACGATGAAGTAGATCCTAGGGCTGCCTTTAAGAGTCTCCTTTCCAAGTTGAGAGTCGAGCAAAAACAAAAGGTTCTAACCACTGGCAACCATGAGTTTAGCTCTGATGAAGATATTTTGCAGCCAAAACAGAGTGCAATCTCACCATCACCTAAAGCAAAACCTACTACAAGACCTCGCAGAGCGACTGCCAAAAAAGCTGTTAGTACTGAAATTGTTGTCAGCAGTGATGATGACAGTGAGGATGCCTACATGCAAGAGTCGGGAGCAAGCGATATCGAAAGCGACAAAGAGGAAATATTCTCTCTGGAGGATGAAGCAGTTCTAGCCAAACCACCAAGGAATGCACAGCAAAAAAGAGCACCTGTCAAAGCAGCACCATCCACCAAAAGGTTGGGTAATAAGTCGAAATTAGCTTCTGACTCTCCAGGTGGATCTAGTCTTCTTGATTCTCTTATGCGTATAGGAAAACAATAATGTGATTTTATGATTGTTAATATAATATTTACAGGGTAAAGCTATTCGAAAGAAGTAGCTTCTTCAATCAACTTCTCCATATCGAACATCTCTTCACCTCGATTGAACGCTTCCAAGAGTTCTAATTTGGCCTTAGAAATACTTTTCATAGCCCCATAGAAACGTTGGATATTCAATATAAGAAATTGGGCATCTGCTAAAGACACATTGGACTCTTTTTCAACGTGACAGTTCATGAGAACAACATCCTTTTCATGTGCCAATTCCTGGTGAAACATAATTGTCAGATGAGGTTTGGCGTACTCATTATGGAGTTTATACTCAGCCAATGTTGTGAGCATACAATGTGTTGTTTCTGGTCCTACGAAAGACCATTGTACAAAATGCATTTCATAGCCTCCGCTCTCTTTAGCCAAAGGTAAGATGAATGTTCTGTTTTTGAACCCCAAAGCGTACATGTTAGAAAATTGAGTAGCACCCAAGATAGCCACCATCGACCTGTCATCTTTCTGAAACCGCGCTCTCCAAATGTACTCAATCTCTTGCTTATTGAGATCTTTCAACTTTGCACTGTCGACAAACGAGTCCAAGGTTTTATATGGCGCAATTGGGGCATCTCTTTTGATTGGGTCCCTGATTTTGATTTGGTGATCGAGAATGTTCTTCTTCATCTTTGATGCTTGCTCTGCTTCGAAGCCCTCCAAATCCTTGAGAGGATCAATGGCATTCAACTGCTTTTTTCTGGCTTCAATATCATCTTTGAGCGACTCGTTCAAGTCTTCAACACTTTGGTATCCCAAGATCTTGGCCTTAGCCTCCAATTTATCTTTGTACTTCTGTAAGAGCTCTGCCTTTGTAGAGTTCAACCGGTAGAATGTGTGAGGTTGACACTGCTTGGTCCATATAATTTGCCTGAACGTCAATGATCTTCGAAGAAACATCTTGAGTGGTTGGGAAAAAACTGATTGCGAAAAATTTCACTACACAAGATCCAAATATTCACATTAACTTAGGGTCTACATATGCCGATATTTACAGGATGTGCTAGATTCATTTATCATTCCCTTTGGGAAGAGCCGTATTTTCTGGTTCGAGTTTCTTTTGGTAATCCTCTGGAGCATCTCTAGCATGGTGACCAATCTTTTCCCTCAAGCTTTCAGGAATGTCATTGAAAACCAAATCTTCAGTGCTGGTGGAAACAGACTCGCCCTTGGCCTTTAAAACTTCTTCCAAACTGAATTTGTCGTCCTTGAAGATCTTGAGGTTATCCGCTATCAAATGACGGTTTTTGCAGCCTGGACACTGGATTGCCACTGTGCCCTTGGTGTATGCTTGTTTGGAGAATGTGTGTGAAGACCTAGTGTCGCATTTCTTGCATGTAAAGGCTATCATAAGCTGAGGATCGTCCACCTTTAAAGAAGCAGTTTTATTGTTTGTGCTTTGGAATCTTGCTGGAACCAACTGAGAGGTCACCAGGTGACCCCCAAGAATTCTAGTTTTATAGACAAGCACTCTGGCACTCTGGAACATCATACGTGCTTTAAGACTACCTGTGGTGGCTCTTGGTATAAATAAAGCCCTTTTCATTATGATGAAGTGACTTGTGTGTTTGTAATATAAAATTACAGACTCACAATTTTTCTGTGCGATGATAACCATTTTTGTATTTATTAAATGCTATAAACAATTAGGTATTTGTTTTCTTCTTTTGTTTCTGTTTTCTTTTGTCTATTATGGGTATTCCCCAATTATCTTCTTCCACTGGTACTTTTTGTAACACTGGCGTTCCCCACAGCAGTGCAGGAGTGACTTGGACTGCGTTCACTCTTGGAAACACTCTTTTAGTAGTCTTTTTTTCAAGGGCTGGGAACTTGGAACTCAGTAATGATACACCGTTAGAAGCAGAAGGAGCTTTAGGGGCAGAATTTGATGCTGAAGATGACAGGTCGAGATACGAGGGTCTATAACTGGTATCGTTATTGAAGGAGTGGATGTTCACCGACTTTGGTAAAGTAGGCTGTTGATGTACGACAGTAGTATATCGTATTGGTTGTTTTGCAGCCAGAATACTTGGTGCCTGGTTCTTCGGTTTGGCCTTGGAAAGAACAGGAAACTTGTCGGTTGACGAGTTTCTACTACCTGAAGGTGAGCCGCCCCAGTTATGAAGGTTCACAGCTGAACCTTGAAGGCTACCACCAAGGATTGGAAAATCATATTGGTTGGAATTCTTTACAATAGTTTCCACCTCTTTCTTCAAAGACGCGAATTTACTACTGGATTCAGGGAATAACTCGGCAAATTCTGATAAAAGAATTCCGATTTCTTCAGGGCTTTGTGTAGCAAACAACTCCTTGTAACTCTTCGCCACTTCATCTGCATCAATGGTTCCAGACTTGAAAGTTTTATTTATGGCTAAGAACTGTTGGATTTTTTGGTTTTGGTATTCCAAGTAATGCTTGGCTCTCTCTTCTAGCCTCATCTTCTTCACATCTTGAGGGTCCGAATTATCTGTTTCACCATTAGATCTTGCTGGGTTTCTTGGATAGGTAGAGAGCTGTGATTGGTATGCTCTCCCAGCACCGATGACAATCCTATCATTTGCACCAGTAATGGCACCATGTTCTTTCAACATATGTGCTGTTAAGTCTAAGTCTTCTCTAAACACCACAAACTTTTTATCCAAACATGATTGTATGCTGCACACATAATGGTTGGATTTGAAGTGATCATATACATCATTGTAGTTCTTGTAGTAAGTGGCAGTGTTGGGATTGTCTTGATCACAAATATGACATCTCTCATGACTGTCTCTAACATGAACATTCAACTCATCTTCAGAGTAAAACCTTTTCTTAAAACAATATTGACAAGCTGGGTGTCCTTTGAACCCCTTCTGGTCTCCAACTTGTTGATGATTATTTAACGCCTTGGAGTGATACAAGGGTAGTTCACTGATGAATGCTTTTTTGTTGTTGTAACAGATCAAGCAAAAAAACTTATTGTGTTCCAGTTTTGTATGATCTTGAAGATCTTTAAAGTTGTCGAATATAAGACCGCAGCCTTTTACCGAACACTTGTATTCTAATAGCTCAGTACAAGCATTTCTGACGGCTTCTGATGTGTAGGACACCTTGCATTTCTCATCATGGATCTGTAGTTTTGTTTGTGGAAAATCGTTGAAATCACCATCTAATTGCTCAGATATTACAACAACATCGTTAGCAGTTCTGCAAACCAAACAGTTCTGTTTTTCGTACAACACTCTTTGTCTCAAGCAGCACCTATGGCAGGTTTTATGTTGACACGGAGTATAGGCGACATACTCAAGAGTCTCAGCACATATTACACATTGGTGAGAAGAGTCATCAAATTCGTCCCCACTAGTGGACTTATCTCCTTGACCCTTAAAACCCTTGTTTTTTGCCCCGTTTGTTGTGCGTTTGCTCGATCTTTGGCCCACTCGAGACTTCACAGGTATATCTGCCATTATGCAAATTTGTGTACTTTGGACTTTGGAAATGAAAATTTATTGCACACTCGCTTCTAACGAACGAGCGCGCTTCTCTATCAGAGAACAAATTTGATTATCAGCAATATGTTTAATGTTAGTGCTACACTCAACGTGTCGAGATTGGCTGCCAATCCTTCACTCTGCCTCCCTCACTTGTCGGTAACGTCATTTGACAAGATCCCAATTCCTTTCCAAATTCCAAACCATGAGAATGCAGTTATAAAAGGCATTGTTCTCGACAAGGACAACTGCTTTGCAAAGGATCACGATGACAAGGTGTGGAAAGATTATGAAGTACGTATTTTGATTCATCCACTTTATATGTCACCATGGTATTAACAATCATCTAGGATACTTGGAAAAAACTTCAGAAAACCTATCCTAAAGAACACATTTTGATAGTTAGCAACTCAGCTGGCACAAACGATGATATAGATCACCAACAAGCCGCAACATTAGAGGTCAACACCGGTGTGACGGTTCTTAGACATCCAACTAAGAAGCCAGGTTGTTTTAATGAAATCTTGGAATATTTTAAAACCCAAGGTATCACTAAACCCAGCGAAATCATCGTTGTAGGGGATAGACTATTTACAGATATGCTTATGGCCAATATGATGGGGGCATGGGGTTTATGGATAAGTGAAGGAGTTGAAGAATCTCAAAAGCTATTCCCAAGACTCGAACGAGGCTTGTTCAATAAACTTGTTACTCAGAGATCGGACAACCCATTTGTACCTCCTACTCCTACTGAGTAAGGAGGACGTTCATAGTTATGGCCACTGATATTTATCCATCAATTTTAATCCGATTATTCTCAAATCTCTACTTACCCAATTTAAGGTCTTTTCAAAGCAGAAGAAAACTATATTGTCTGTGGTATCTATGAGCCACACCCATACGTGTGTTCAGCTTGAGACTTGTGGGAGAAACTACATTAATCCCAGATAAAACCAAAAGGCACTTTTCTTTATTTGCAATTTGTTAACTATCATACTCAATATTCCTTTGGGAGAATCGCAATTTTTGCAGCCGTCTGCTACCGTTGTCACAAACACACCCTGATGTCGAACATACCCACTAACGTACTTTTCGAAAGCAGCTCACCCACAGGGGATATAGAGGCTATGGAGGTCTTGCAATCCCCCCCAGTATTACGGGCTGATGCTGTTATCAACGTCAAGTTGGCCCAATTCCTTACAGCACTGTACTTGGTTACCCTCTTGATTCAATACGCTGGTGTGTACTTTTACCGTCCATTTGAATTTGTCACCAATAGACCAATGATAGTGCTGGCTTTTTCCGCTTTTGATTTAATTAGTGTATGTTTTATCTCCTTGTGTCCCAAGTTCACTAGATGCTTATTAACACCACCAGTTTTCAATTTGTTGTGCGATGTTTCCTATAGGAGGCAGAATTCCTACGTATACCTCGTTCTGGTACTCGATTGGGTCAGCTGCTTGCCAGGGTATTTCTATGATGGAGTGGATAGGAGCTACCGTTATTGTCTTGAACATAGAGTCCATGTTCATGATGGAATCCGATTCAGTAACTTCCTTGACGAAAAAGGTTGATGTAACGGTGTATATGCAGTTTGTTACTTGCTTCATTATGTTTAACCATTGTTTAAGCTTTCTTTTGGTAAGTGTCACTGCCTTCATGTCTCACCGGGCATTATTCTACCTCATGAACGGTATCAGTCGTCAAACTGATGACAAGGGATGTTTTGAAACAGTTGAAGAAGTCTGTCAGCAGTTTTTTCAAACAGAGATAAAACTATACCGTGCCTAATCAATAATATTTACATTAGCTATAAGCTTAAATATACAAAAATTTGCTGAAAATGAAACGAAATAGAGACACACTTAAAAGTATGCCATCCATAAAGTATCAGCAGCAGCCAAATTTCTTGGGTTGACTGCTTGGGAGATTAATTCCAATACATTTTGGGTTGCAACCGTAGGACCTGAAGAGATGTGACCCACAGAGAGAACTCTCTTGATAATAATGTCAACATTCACTCGAACAATTTCTCTTAACTGCTTGTCTTTAGGAACTGGTCGTGGAGGGTCTTGTTGACTGGACCAAGAGATAACCTCATCACGAACAAATAAGGTCAAGTATTGCTCCAAGTCTGATTCTGGTTCGGTTAATGCTCTCGCAATAGCCAAGATATAAACCGAAAGGATACCTTCCAAACCGGTTTCACCAATTAATTTCTGAATATTTGGAGTAAGACGGAATGGAACTAATTCAGCATTATAGAATAATGGGGCTGCTCTTTGACCTTGAGAAGCGTCCAATGAAGCATTCTTGCTGGCAATCTTGCAAGGAAGCATGTCCGAAGTCCAAACATTACCAGACTTTCTATTCACATGAATCTTTTGAGGTTGTCTGGTGTTCACGCACATCATATAAGTGATGAAGATAAATGAAGCATACTGTGATGTGAACTGTTTACGGAATAACCAGAAATCTTCAAAGAGTGGATAGTTATCGACAAAGTAGTTCTTCAAAACATTGGATGGTACCAAAAGAGTTTGAATGGAACTCAAAATCTCCACCCGGATACTCATTATTTCAGGTTTTGGTAAACGAGGATCAAAGGCAGCTCTCAATTTCTCAATAGTGTAAATGAAAGGTTCGTCACGATTCTTACCGTTACGATGACAGTAGTCTTCATAAATCTTTTGAAGAGAAATATCCGCTGGGTCATCATTGATAATACGAATATGTGGAGAGAGTGGTACCGCAATTGGCAATGTGAACAGGATGTTACGACGTCTCGTTTCAACCTTTCTCGATAAAGTATCACCAAAAATACGGAACAACTGGAAAAGTGACTCTTCTCTTCTGCAATGACGAGCAGCAGGAAATTGAATTCCAAAAATATGCTCGCTACCATCATGGCCTCTAATTCTCAAACGCTTATAGCAAGCATTTGTGCCTCTCACCAAATCAATAGTTGACAAAAATCTGTCAATCTTCACGAAATGAGTGTTATTATCCTTGTTCAAAAGGTATTGGCCAGGGACTTCAATGTCTTCGAATTTCTGATGATGGAACTCGCTCAAATGAGGACACAAGTTTTCAAGGTTAACCTCTTGGAATCTTCTGTCAAGCTTGTCTTCCAATCTATCACGCCATTTGCGTAACTTCATGATATAAGTTTCAAGGTTTGGCTTCTCCACAACGAGATCCTTTTCGAATTCGGTTCTGATTTGTTTAGGAAGAACAGTCTCAGCAAATCTAGTTATGTTGGCCTCTGTGACAGGGGGTAACTTGGCATCATCTCTAGGGTTTCCAAGTCTGTTGAGGTATTGAACACCATCGTTAAGCAAAGCAACACTCAATCTATAAGCATCTTCGTCGGCAGTACACTTGAAACGTTGATTGATCTGATCAACAAGCGATTCCAATGAAAGTGCAAGAAGAGGGTAAGCCGTCTTGAGGATTCCCATAATCTCGTCAACATGTTCCCATGACTTTCTAGATCCCATAGGAGTCTGGTTAGCCTTAGCTGCTCCTGAATCATGATTCTTTTCATCGGGTTTTTCTTCACTAGTGGATTTTTCTGCTTCCGCCTCCTTCTTGATATCATCTTCATTCATTGGGTCATCATCCTTTGTACCATTTTCTTGTTGTTGTTGTTCTTCTTCTTCTTCTTCGTCTTCTCCTCCTTCTTCTTCTCCTTCTCCTCCTCCTTCTTGTTCCTCTTCTTCGACCTTTTCTTTTTCTTTGTCAGCTTCCTCCTTTTCTTCTTTTTCTTCCTTATCGCTAGATTCACTAGTTTCTCCATCCTTACTCTCGACCTTTTCATCTGGCTTCTCTTCAGCAGTTTCCTTGTCAGATTTTTCAGATTTCTCATCAGCTGTCTTCAGCTTATTCATCTCCACGTACTGTCTTTGCTTAGCAGCAAAGTCTTCCTTAGTAGTACGTAGATGGAAATGTAAGGCTTGTGGATAACTCTTGGCAATTCTAATAAGAACTTGTCTTGCTAATCCTGCTTCCTTGTGAGACAACGCCGAAAGCAATTGGGGAATAAAGGTGATCCAGTACCAAACTGGAACTTCACCCTTGAAGTTTTCAAACGCTTGAGTCAAAGTGCCCGAATTGTCGTCCAAACTAATAAGCCAAAGAACTCTGGTAAGAAGTTTTCTGGTTTTACCATTCTTGTACAATCCAGCAGCTTGTAAGTAACAGCTGATGGCGTTGTTAGCATACACCATATCGTTTGGATTCTCTTTGAATCTACGATCATTGAAAGCACCCCATTCAGCCCATGCCTTTGGAAGGTTGAGATCAATCTGCACCGACGTAGCAAAAGCCTTATTGGATTCATCCTTCTGATTTAACTTGTTCAAAAACATACCCTTCAATGTGAAGAATTCAGCTTTTTGTTGAGTTGCAAAATATACCAAGTTAGTGTTACTAATGACATCCAAGCCAGTGTTCAACTCATTTGGATTTTGATAGTGGCATTTAACTTGTTCCTTCAACTTCAAAAAGGCTTCTTGAATTTCAATATTTGGAAGTTGGTAAATCTTGGTCAACTGGCTGATACAAACTTCAGCCATTCCATGCTTTCTAGCTACATGGGCAAATCTGTTGATAACCCAAGCAATTTCATGGAAACCTCTATAAGCATACGAATTAGCATTACTTCCAGTATTTGCTTGTTGAAGAACTGGAATAAATGGCATGTATACTTCATTGATTACCAGGAAGGCATGTTGTCTCCAAGTGATCAAATCATTCCAGATATTAATGTCATCCCAAATGTTTGGTAATCTTTCACGCCAGACTTGTAACACTCTCTTCAAGTCTTGTGACTTCACATCCAAGTTTTGGGCATTGGTAGAAACAAGACTAGCATAAACCTGACTTGCCTCCATAAATTCCACGTACTGTTGAAATGTGTGCAAAAGAGGAATATGGGCATTATTGAACTTTGAAGGTAAACCGTGCCATTTCCTGAGAGCCAATTGAATGCCCTCATCACACAATCTGGACAAATCTTGCAAAGTTTGTCTTTGCTGTCCAAAGCCTTGTAAGCAAAGAAAGGTTTCAAACACTTGTCTTCTGGGAGTTGGAACATCCATGACACTTTTGACAGTCTGTTCCAATGTCTCCCTGTCAGCGTTCCAATCAGCTACTCTCCAACCGCATTCTAAAAGAAGATCAGAAAATCCTTCATGTTTAGCAAGTTCAGTGAGAATATCCCAATGTTGAAGCTTTTCGGTACATAAGATCCAATGATCTTCCCAAAGAGCGTATTCGGATTCTCCATAAGGAAGTGCACCACTTCTTGCCTTGATTTGAGCAGCTTCGTACAATTGCTGAGCTTTATCCCAAAGACCAATCTGTTCAAAAGATAGAGCCGAGATGGTTTCTGAGTACTTGGCTCTTCTTCTCCACAATCCATAGAACATATCGTCTTCCTTTAAAGTAGCGAACAACTTGGCCAAGGCATCCTGTGTAACTTCACGAACTTCAGCATTTCCATTGACCGATTGTTCTTCAATGTTTTCCAAAATGTGAATTCCATGAGCCCAGGCATTGAAGTTTGCAGCTAGACATTCAACAGCGAATGGGGGCAATTGAAGTTCTTTGCATTTCGAAATACCTTCCAACAAAGACTGAACAACGTTAGGTCTGCTGTCTATTTGGCGAGTGTGATAATCCTTAGAAAGTAACACAACCAAAAATCTGGTGAAGTCAAGATGTTCGGATCTGGCAATGGATTCAAAAGCAACTGGGAACACAGTGGACCATGCTTTGTGTACAGATTCACTGCTTTGATAGAACATATCAATCAAAGGTTCCAAGACTTCACCAGCTTGCAACTGAGAGATTTCACTCAAAAACTCATTGTGCTTACTCAAAATATCAGTTAAGGCTTCACTCAGATCCACCTCCATTTCATTATCAACAGTGAAGGGGAATGAATCCAAAGGTGCCATCTTATACTCATCGGCAACAACTTCCAATTTCTTCTCGCTATCGAAAGAACCATAAAGCAATTGTAAGGCTTGGTTCAACCACGGGTAGTCGGCCAAATATTCCCAATTCTGTTCACGAATCACGTAGTACAATCTCTTGTTAATATCCTTTTCCAAACTCTTGTTCAACAAGGACATCAACTTACGACGAATAGAGACGTCAGTAGATCTGGTTCCCACCAAGAATGGCTGTTCCATACGCACAGTAAGTTCGGTATTGCTAAATGCATCATCTTCAAAGATATCCACAATTATTTGATAGAACTCTTTCGAAAGGGTTGGTTCACCTCTGATTTCAAACACCATCATCTTCGCCAAGATTGCAGCCTTTTCTTTGGTGGTAGGAAACAAATCTGTATGAGAAAACACCCATCCCTTGACGATTTTGATGATTTTCTCCAAGGTGTCCTTGTCCAAAGACCTTTCAATTAATTGGGCAAGTAAGGAAAGGAAAATACGTCTCTGGTCACCTAAGCTGGATATTCTCATTGACGACAAGTTTAATATTCTTTCCAACAACCTGGTAGTCATTTTTGCTTCAGATTCAGTAGATGAATCGCCGGATGATGATGACTGGGAACCCTGGTGAGTTATGGTGATGTGATCTTTGCACAACTTGCTGAATGTTCTCATTATAAGAGGCAAAAGAGGATCCAAAGTATTGGGCATGTAGTTAGCCAAAGTCCATGATAATGTGACTCCAGCAGCAACCGATGGCATTTCGTTCAAATCCTCAGCAACAGTGGTAGCTAACAAATCCACGAATTCCTTAACCTCGGTGTCCATATCCTCAGATAATTCGACCTTTTGCTCATCATTAATGGCTTGCAAAATGGTTCTCAAAACTCTTTGGAGAGCTTCTTGGATATCGTGATTGTCGGATTTAATACACTTCTCAAGTAACTTGTGGAAGTAAGCAATATTTTTCAATATCCATTCCGAAGTCTTCCATTCTAAAACAACACCCAACACTTCCAAGGCATTTAAGCAATATCCCAACAAGTTAGAAGAATTTAAGTCATTAGAAAGTAAGAACTTTTCGAAGAAGCTCAACTTGACGGAAACTTCATTCCAGTGTTTAGGACTTAAGAGGTCGCTTAAAATACCCAAAGCTCTTTGGCCAAGTTCGCTTTCAGATGCTCTTTGGGGACTGATACAAACATATCTGATCAAGAAAGTTACACAAGCTTCTTTTTGACCCAAAGGCGCTTTATAGTTTGGAGATGTCGTGAAGTCATCTGCACTGACTTGCTTGTCCTCGTCTGACTCATCTGACTCTTCCACGGAAGTGTCTTCTAACCTCGCCTTCTCCTCCCAGTTCAAGATCAACTCGGCCAATTCAATAGCCAACACTTGATTCTCAACAGCAGGGTTAGCTAAAATCGTCAATTTACCCATTGCAGTGATGATGTTGGAAATGAAATGTTCTCTAGCAACAAAAAAGATATCTGGATGTTGAACAATGAACTGGTACACATTGAGCACTTGAGTCACATTGAATCCATCCTCTGATATAACTCTTCGAGGCCACTTCAACCAGCTTAAACTTGTATCTCCTTCGACTCTTTCTGGCATTACTGGAGCAAGGATATCCAATGCTTGTTTGACGAGATGTCTGGAGTCCGTTTGATGCGTACGAAGAAGAGCCACGAAGACCTGGGTAGCAAGCTTACTTGGAGTCTCATAAGCCGAAATAAAATAAGAGGTTGTCACATAGGCAACTTGCTTAGTGATATTATCCTCCAACTTAATGTAATTCCAACTGAACTTGATGATGTCCTTTCTGTATTCACTGATGTGATGCGATCCCCACTTAATCAATATTGCAGTAGCTTCCAAAAGTTGGAATCTATATCTATCGAGTCTTCCGGAAGTATGGCTCGTGATAATATCATTAGTGGATCTCCAGATGTCTTCACAAAAGGATTTCAACCAAACTGGCGATTTCTTACCTTTGAAGAAAGCGTCAAGTCCGCCACTTCTCTTTATTTCAAACAAAATGATAGAGTTGAATACCTTCTTTAAGATGAAGATTTTGGCACCTAAATGAGATTCTGGTTTCAGAATAAATTTGGTACAATTCTCCAAGTATTTTGCTTTGAACACAGTATCTTCTGACGACACAATAGATTGGAAAATAAAATCTTCAACAAGAGTAGGTACTCTTTTATCGGACAAGAAAATTTCATCAATAACCAAGAATAAAAGCTCAACGTTTGCGGGGTTCTGTTTCATGAAACGGACTATTAGGCGTTGAATCTTGCTAATGGCTTGATCGGATTGGAAATATGCAGATGAAGCCAGATTTTCATTGGTATTCAATACATCTTGAGACATTTTGAAAAGTTTCAAGGTCAAATCCTTCTGTTCATTGAACCACTCATTATCATTCTCACTCATAGCCTCCAATAGATCTACCGTATTCGCGTATTTGATAACTTTCACTTCGTAGTCAGTTTCAGATTCCAAGTCGTCAGTGATTTCACTGAACTTCTCCTTCATCAATTCTCTGATATTTGAACACTCACTCAATCCAACAAAGTGAGCAAGCATATTGCCCAACTTTCTATTCTTGTAATTCTTGATGAAATACTCAACGGTGTTTTCTGAGAATCTATTCAAAAACTTCGCAACTGGGGGTCTAAATGGTGAGTTTAGGTGACGGTCCAAATGTCCTTCCAAGTATTGAAGAGTGTTGATGATTTCTTCCATGAAGGTGAATGCTTTAGCCGGTAAAAGGTGGAAAATATTCAAAATGGCAATCACAATCTTAACTGTATGATTACTCTCGAGATCCTGGCTTGAAATATGTCTGAGGGTGTTTATTTGGGCCCATGCCATCAAATGGTCCAACAATTTACGGCCAATTTCGACTCTGAAATAGTAAATCAATAATTCCAAAAGTTTAGCAAGAGCTTCAAGGCCCCATACAGTTAATTTCTTGTGGTCAGACAAGTTCATCAACATTGGACGAAGACCATTCTGAAGTAAATCTTTAGGCAACTTAGCATTTCCTTGGAGACTTGATTTTAACCCTAAGTAGGCAGCATTAATGATCTCAGTAGATTTATTGCAAAGTGCCTTGAAAAAAACACCCAAGATCTTAATTCTTGCTTCTGGAGCAGAACTCAAAGAGAAATCTGGTCTGGTCAATGCAAGAGATAATAATCGGATACAAACCACTCTCAATTCAATTAATTGTTTGGACGTTCTGTGCTCATATAATCGGTGCACATTGGCCAATGATTCATCTTCTGCATCAACCAATACCAAAGCCTCGAAAAGATGTCTATTCAACTCCTCGTTGAAAGTCAAGAAAGATTCATCAAGGCTCAAACAATAAGTAATTGCATCAATGTTACCAATTTGCATTGGGAATGGTAAGGCTCTCAACGGCTTTCCAAAAATAGGTGTTAAGAGTAACTGTTTGCAAGGGCCAATGATTGTAGCAATTGGGACAGAAGTAGTATCAGATAATACTTTCAAAGACTTCTGAGACAACTGTCTTACATGGGGGTTGGCACTAGCAAGATCATACACCAAAGCACCCACAATAGTTTGGAATGGCTTCTCCAACAAAGTCTCTTTCGTCATATCGACATTACAGTCATGGAGAATACTCAACACCAAACCCTCTGCTAATTCTCTGACAATCCGAGGGGCAGTATCGGGAGTGTCTCTTGCGATGAAGAAGATGGATCTAACCAATTCAAATTGACGTTTGGAAAACCAACTAATTGGAATAGTCAACTCTTCTACCATGGTCTTGAGACCAAGAACTCCTCCTAGTTTCGTGTAGTAAAACTCGCTGTAGCAACAATGAGTAAACCTGTAGAAGATGGTTCTGAAAAATGGCGAGAACAAGGCGTCTTCATCGGAACCGAATATTGCGACAGTCGTAGTGTGAATGGTCTTGATGGTCTCAACACCTTTATCTCTAACTTCCTTATCCCAGAAGCTTAAGGCGTAGTTCAATGCGTTGAGGAATGCATTCTCACTAATGTACACTTTCCCTTCTTTGTCCTTCACTGAAAAAGATCTTTCCTTCTTGAGCTTCTCCACAACGGAGACCCTCAAATAAGTTAAAGTGAAGTGCACTGTGATACCATCAATGAGCTTGCCTGCTTCCTCTTTCAATTCAGGGACTGACATAGAGAAGAAGAGAACTTCTAACAATTTGCTGAAGAGCTTTTGTTGGATATCCAATTTTCCAGCATCTTTCACATCAGAGACTTCCAATTCAATTTCGTCCTCAACTTTTTCTTCTTTCAAGATTTGAACACATTTGGAAATATAACTTGGTAAATCTTCAGGTACTGGTGTGGAATCGATGAGTAATTTACAAATGGAAGTCAAGTATTTGAACGCGCTAACCCTGTAGTGAAGCTTGATTCTTTGATCTTCCAACAACTTAATTGCCGATTCAACACCTGGGGTGATTGATACAGGTATTTCACCATCTAACCCATGGATCAGGAACAAAGCTTTGACTTCGTGATTCAAAGCATCTTGGGATTGTAATCGGCTGTAAGGTTTAAAATGCTTATGGTTTCTACCTCCCAATTTACCAAGAATCCTGATAGCAGTATGTGAGTGTTGATGGTGGTAAGGAACTGGCTCCAAGTGTTTCCAGAGAGCGGTCATGATTTCATCAGTGACAGGCTCAATCATTGGGTCAAAGTATTCAGCAGTCAAGTTGTCAACACATAACTCGAAAGTTCTTAAACCTTGACTTACTAACTCCTGCGAACCATTCAAAGCGTGTACCAAAGGTCTTGTCAAGTAATTCAAGTGAGGAACAAGCACTGAAAGTCTTACAGGAACCGTCAAACACAACTCGACGTAAATATCTCTCTCATATGGACGACGGGCATTAGTAATCATTTTGTTCAAGCTCTCAAGTAAAACTGGTAAGATAGGCATGATTTCTTTGTATAAGCTTTCAAATCTTCCTCCACTGATACTTCTGAACAAGATTCTCACCAAGTATGAGTACACTATTGGTTCATCTGCATTGGTAGATAGCTTTAAGGACTCCAAAATAAGGTGGTTCAAGTGAGGTAAAATGACAGATTCATTGGTCGTTGGGAACAAATTCACAGACATGAAACACAATTTAAAGAGTCTTATCAAGATATTTGACTTCACCAAATCCAACTTGCCTAACTCACCCAACTTGGATCTCAAAAACGATATCAATAAACCTGAAAAGTTGGCGGAAGTGATTTCTGAAGCCAAAAAGAATTGGGGCAAATGTAACAAGGCTGCATTGTCCAACATTGAATCGAATAGAAATGGCAACTCGGCTCCAACAATTTCATTGAACGATGCAGGGTCAATGTGAATGAATATCGTGGCAAAGATTTCCATTAAATCTTTTTCTTCTTTTGAAGACGTTATGGGCAAGTTAGGACCTCCACTTGAAAAGTCAAATGCTTTTGTTTGAGGAGCGGCTTTGGGTTTGGAGATGGAGAAGAATCTCAAACAGCTAATCCCACTTCTGAACAATTCTCGTAAGATGTTCACTTCTTCAAAAGAGGTGATTTTCGCTGACTCATTCCATTTATCGTAGTTGACAGTTTGGCCACCATTCTTAGGATCAGAAGCAGTTGGTTGTGGGGGAATAGGTGGATTACAGTTCTTCAAACCAAAGATTACTGACTTCAAAAACGTCATCAAAGTCCTGAAAAGATATCTAGCATCCTTCAACATATCTGAATTAACGGTAGATGAAGCATTGAGTGGAGAGAGTGACTCGAGGTTGAACAAATCGATGATTTCTTCGTGGTCTTCATCCATCTTTGTGTCACCATCGTGCTCTCTCTCATCGTCACCATTCAAGTCTCCGTTGGCATCCCTCATAACAATATCATCGTCGTCGTTGGGTTTTTCAACGGGCGCAGAATCCACATCCTTCAAGAATTTAATGTCCTTTATAGGAGCTTCAAGACCCAAAGACTTCTTGGATGAATATCTAGAAACGGCCTTTTTTGACTCTTGTTCCTTCGTTGCTTTATTCTTTTCAAATTCTTTGTGAACCCTCATAATATAGTCATATTTTCTGTCCAAACTGTGGAATCTTTTGGCATAAGAATCAATTATAATCATGAACAACTGACGACCTTCCCCTTTGTTTGGCATTTTCATGATTCGTTCCACCAAGTTCAAAAGTAACTTGGCACTCATGATTTGAACCGTTAAGGCCAAACTGTCATCCTTCAACAAGTCACAGTAAATCGACACTGTGAGCCAGATTTGCTTAGGAGTCAATTCATTTCTGACGTTGTGAATGAAGTCTGCCACCGTAGAATAAGCCAATGGTCGTAAAGTTTCGTATGCAGTCAAGCCTTCACCGATTAAGATTTTCTCATCGAACAAAAGCTCAATCTTGGGAATGAATTGAGACCTGAAAGGTGTAGACAAAATGTGTCTTGTAGCATGTAAAAGTTCTTTTCTGGCAACAGATAACTCGGCCGGACAGTCTTGCAATAATCTCAAAATCACATCAGGAACAACTTTGGCCTGTTCTGGTGATAAGTGTTGGTTGGCATATCCTCTTATAAACACATAGGCCAAGAAAGAGGCAGCTTTGACTTGTCCCAAAATGAAATCACTGTAGGCCTGTCTGTTCGTGATATCTGGAGAAATCGACGTCACCACCTTGTTTTCGTTCTCTGGGCTTTCTCTATAATTCTTTTGCTCTTCCACTTGCAAGTTTAAAAGGTTCACGATTTTGGGTAAGAAAACACCCAACGAAGTCTGAACCAAATTCTTATAGGATGAGTATAATGAAACCATGGTAATGGGGCATTCCGCCAACGTCTTGAAGGAATGCATAGCGTTATTCAATGTTTTAGAGGTGTTTTCCTCGCCAAATGACGTAGGTGACAGTTCTTTGGTGTCGACATCTTGAGAAGGTGTGCTTGAAGCGTTGGAACTGAACACATTTGACACCGTCTCCGGCATGTTGTCATAGATATTGGAAATCACATCTATGAAGCCTTGGGCTTTTTCTCCCAAGTTTGCTTTGTATGCCTTGTGCAAACTAGTGATAATTTTCATACATAAAACACCATTGTCTTCATTTTCATCAACCAAAATGGTGGTTAACGTGTCTAGGATTTGTTCTGAGTAAGGTTGAAAAGTTTCGTTCATAATTGATCTGTGTATGATCTCGAGAACCGAATTACGAAGCTTCTGCTCTGGTGCTTGGGATGTAAACACTATAGGTACCTCTTTCAAATAATTCAAGAAGATTGGAATCAAGTTTGATAAAAAGTATTCGTATTCTGCAGCACCATTGAAAGTCTCTATCATGTCCAACAACTCTCTTAAGATGGAGTGTTTCTCCTTATAGTCATCGTTGTCGTTGAGCCTCGACACAAACGTGTCTAGCTGTGACTTGTAGGACATTGTAGTTTACTTTCTTGGTAGCGACAAATTTGTTTTTCTGAGGTTGAAAAAAAGGTGGGAATCGGGTCTGCCAAATATTCGAGTTTATCGCGTGAATTCCACGTGATAGTCACGTGTACTGCTTCCATGTAAAGGTCTTACCTTGATCATGCGTCCAATTGAAGTCCCACAAGTACTGCTAGTTGAAAAGTCATGAAAGCCAGATAACAATACCTCTTTTCATAATTTTCTGTTTATTCAGAGTATGAAGATAAAATTTTCTATCTATGGCGATTTTCACCAATTCAATAAAGTTTTGAGGTAGCTTTGAGTTGGTTTCTTAACTCTCTCAACAATAAAACTCCATTTCCAAGAGCAATTACTACTAAAAATGAGAAAGCCGTCCATGTGACAGCTTCAGCCCTGATGCCGGTTTTTACTTGTACCAACTTCATCGACGCAGATGGCACAAGCGCCTGGTTAGCTTTAGTTGCTTGATGCTGCAACATTGACCCAACTCCCCACACCATGGCATCAATACCTGAGACACCCACAATCATCTTCCTAACAAGAAGTTTTCCTGGCAAAAGTGGAACCAGGATCCAAGCGTTAAGTGCCAAACATGCGAGTGCCATTATCATAGCTGACATAAGTACATATGGATAGCATATATTGTTGAATTTTCTTGCTAATTTGACCAAGTCAATTGTGGTGTTTTTATCACCTGTATCAACGCTAATAATTGGATAGGTCTTCAACTTTCCCAAGTTATCAAATGTCGTACACGATACCAGGCCATCATAGGAAACACAGAAACTCAAGTATCCAATTGAAAGGGTGAACAGCGATAAATCCAGTTCGGTGGTTTCAGTTCCGTTGAAAGAAACAATCAGCATCTCCTTTTTGTTGAACTGATATCTGGTCAAGAATAGGCTGGAATAAGCTTCAGTGGAAGTGTAGCAACTCATGAGTAGGAAGCCCAAGAGGAAATTGGTAATGAAAACGCAAATGCACAAGACAACGGCGGGAATCTTGGCTGCAAAGTTTACCATATTTTCAAAAAATAAGAGAAAAGGTTGGGGACCATTGGAACTAAGAGCCTCGTACGCAGTTCTTATATAAACCACCAATATGAGAAGATTGACAAGTTTAGTGTTTCAGATTATGTATGAAAAGCATGCACATCTGGGGTGTTTCAGATTTGTTTCAGAGTTTTCGCAGTCAAATGCATAGGCTCATATATTCATACTAATAAAAAATCTAGAAAAAAAATCTTAATAAACGATATAACCCCACCAAGAGCAAAACGGTGGCTCCAGCAGTGCCAAATACGGGGATAATTTCCAAGACACTTCTCAATTTCACTCCTCCTTCGACAGTATGTTGGGAGACCTTCTCTACCGTATTGTTAGACGAACTATTTGGAGACACAAAAGACCCATGCTTGTAAAAACTATCCATAAGGGCATCTTTTTCATACCAGATTTGGAAGAGCCAGTTCTCAAACTTCTTTAAAGTCTCCTCGTCCACTAGGTCGACATCGGCAACATCATCATCACCCAAAGGTATATCTTCAATTCTAAAGCTTCGGAAATGGTAATTGATTTTTTCAGGTCCCCTACTCAACAAGAACAATCCCTTTAACGTGAAGATATCTTCACCAAATTCACCCGCCTTCAATCCCCCATAAGCAGTGGTTATATCGTACACCACTTCCACGGTTCCTCTTAACTTGCGCAATACCAAGAATAACCCTCTGATTCGGGGAAGCAACACATGTTTTAAAGGGGGCAAGTTGTTAGCATCACAAAACTCTCTTGATTTCTTGGTTGTTCTTAGTGAAGGAACTGTGCCTTCTGGGAACAATAGTATTTGATAAGGAGATATGTCATCACTTACCTTCTCCTTAGGCCACGACTGAACATCGCTAACACTAGTTGTAGCTCGAAACGATGTCACATGTCTAACACCTGAAGCAGGCCCCGAGCCTCGAGCATTAGCATCCACTTCGAGTAGCTGACTGGTGAGCTTGATTTTATCTTCGTCCCATTTTCTGGATAAAAACATGAAGTTGAAGTTGGTCATTCCGTAACCCAAGATGGGCGTTTTTGACATGTCCTTCATAATGATGTACACAAATTCAGAGAGCCTGGACGTATAATTTAAAAACCACAAATAGAACCAATCTGTGTATATTTGGTGGTTGGAGATCATCACCGAGTTGGGTGACAACGAGGTGGAAATCAAATTACCGGGCAATTGGCTGAAAGAATTCTCAAGTGGTAACTTGGAAGGATCGTAGGTGATAGATATCGTGGTAGAATTCAATATTGATATCACAAACGTAAAGAGTTGAAGGAAATGCCTCTTGGTGAGATTGATCATACTATGTCTGTACTTGGGACGGTCTTTCAAAATAAAGAGGAACACTCGCTGTGTCCATACGATGGAAACACATCCAAATAAGAAGAATATCAACAAAATTATGTTTCTGACAACCACAATTGGTGTGGGGAGATACCATTTGCCAGACATGATGATGGATGGAAGTGGCGGCAAATCAAGACAAACAGTTAGATTATGTATCAGATGAGGATTTAGGTAAGGACCGCTATGTATAGTGATGGACCTATGTTTCAACCTGTTCAATGGCGATTATTATCGCAGTCAGGCAGAGTTAAACTTTGTCAAGACGTTAAAAGGGCGTGACGGATCGTACAAATATTAGGTTGGTTGATATGCGAGTGATTCTGACAGATGGGGCGTGCGCGCAACCGGCGGTGAATTGTACATTAGATACTACTAGCATTCAAAATATCATCGAATAGGTAATCGATGTTGATACCCACAGACTTGAGGTCATCAAGCTGAGGCTCCAAGACGTTCAAAAACGATTTGAACAACGGCTTGTCTTTGATGAGGAGTTTGGTGTTATTATCGTCATCGGGGTCTTCCGGAGTTAAGAGAGTACCTAACAACTGCTTCTTTATAGACTTGATCAAATTTATACCCTCTTCAATACACCAGTTGATCAAACCACTTGAGTCAACGTTCCCACCATTGTCCCTTTCCAATATAGGGAAAATGCATTCCTTGTATGAAGAAATGGTTTTCTTCATAATGGATACATAGATGATCACCATATTAGAAATATAGTTACCCACATCTGCTTTGGTGGATCCTTGAACAGTGACCACCAACTTGGAGATGATGTTGGCCAAGTTGGCAGTAGTAGCCCGTAAAAATGCTGAAATACCCTTATCCAATACCCCAAAACTGTAGAAGAATTCGAGGATCTCCCCCAATTCAGATGTTTTGAGTTTAGCTATGTTGTGCTGCAAGTTGAAGGACAAGGAGCGCTGAACTTCTTGTTTTCTATTAGAGAGCTTCAACTTGATTACATCCACCAATAGCTTAATTTCGTCTAGAGATGCCATAGTTTCTTGATCACTTGTTTCAGTCTTGCTCACAATCCTTTCCACATTGAGCACCTTATTCTCGATATAGTTTATCATACCGACCGCTTCAGGGTATTTATCATGGGCAATCTCAACATCCACTTCGTCAAGTCTATCCTCAACTCTCTTTAACTCGTTGAAAAATTGACCCTTATCGTTCTTGGTGAAGTTTGAAAATTTACCATTTGCAGAGAAATCATGCGACCGGTTTCTGGAATGAACTCTAGCAGATATATCTTGTAGTAAGATATCAGCACTGTGTCTATGAGAACCACTTCTTCTCTTATTATTGTTTTCTTCGTCGAAGACTCCAGAGTTTCTTAGAGATTCTCGAAGCTGTCTCTTTTCGTCATCAGTCTCAAAGCCATCTTCATGGGTTGACCCTCTGATGTCATAGAATCTCTCTTTCTGTGAAAGTTCACTCTTCCCTTTATTATAGGCATCATTAATCTTCACGAAATGGTCGTACCGGTCTGTTTGATAAACATATCCTCCTGATCGGGTGGTTAACAGAATAAGATAAGTTTTGTTGGGGTCATCATCTGCTTTCCTTTGGTTGATTACCTGAAGCTGTACATCATGTAACGGCCAGCAATGGACTGCCTGAAGCCTGGACTTATTGCTTGCATTCTTGGAGGAAGACGAGGACTTCTTAGTAGCAATCAATATGAGATCATTTAACACAAATATATGAATGGCTTTTATGGCTTTCCAATTGCCAATGTTAATCTCAAACCACCTTCCACTTTCTGCAAGCACATGTCTGCCTTGCACACTTTGAATAAGTTTCGAGGCACCTTCAACATGTTTAAACAACGACTGTAACTCACTAACCCACATTTTCTCCAACACTATAATCGAGGAACGGTCTTTACGTTTAGGCTTTTTTGTACCATATGGAGAGCGTTCATCTGGCTTTTCTTCCAAGCTCAATCTTCGTTCAGCGGCATCTTTGAACTCATCCAACACTTCCATCAACTCTCTCGAGGAAATTCTTAGTTGCAATAGTTCATCTTGAGTGTCCTTGAGATCAGTCATCAACTCAAGGATGTTTTTCTGATTTTCATTGATGCTATTCTTGATATCTCGTTCCACCACTGCTCTTTGTTTTACCAACACCTTGTAGTAATCGTCGATTTCAGCAGCCGTTCCATTGGCCAAGTCGTCAAGAAGTCTGCTATTAATGTTATCAGACTCTCCACGGGCTGGTTTGGACTCAACAGCTGCCTTTAAAGCATTGAGATCTGGTAGTTGAGGCACAGGTGGAGCCTTGGCTGCATCTATCATGTTCCTCGTATGCGCTGCTGCTGACGCCGATGCATGGATACTCAGTCGCCTGGTCTTCTTGTTTTTGTTAGATCTATTGTTGTATGGGTTTGGTACCAGTAGGTTATCCAGGTCTCTTGATTCTGCTGTTCGAGGAGCAAACGCATTGGCATTGGCATATGGATTGTTCAGTTTCTCACTGCTAGATGGAAGCTTCCAAGGAGCCCTGCTTTTACGATGGGCAGCCTTTGCATCAAAATCCATTATGTGTTATGTAGAAAGCTATGTTGATTTGAATATTTGGATTTCAAAATGCGCACCGTAACTAAATAAACTAGGGAAAATTTTCTTCTAGTTAATATCTACAAGCTCAAATGTCATTATCAAGTACGGAGCTAAATTACTTGGTATGGAGGTATTTGCAGGAGTCAGGCAATGAGCTTGCGGCATATGCATTTGATAAGGAAACTCTGTGCCTGGAGTTCGAAAAAAACAAGGCGACTGAAGTTTTTTCTAAAATTGAACCAGGTTACTTGGTCAACTTGGTACAGAAAGGAATACTTTATTCATTGACCGAAGCTGACGCTAGAGATGAAACCACACGACCTGAGATATTGACTTTCTTTGGTTCCCTCCTAAAGGAAGAAAAGTTCATAGAATTGTCAAAGACTCTTCCTACTACAAACGACGCAGATGTGGAAATGCGACCAGCAGAAGCAAATGGAGGTGTCAAACACGAGATATCTGATGTCTTCCACACTCAGAGAGTATCGCCAACAATACAGTTTGACCAGAGTTCTTTCTCCAAGTGGCATCCTTCCACCAATGTATTGGCTTATGTCAAGGCAGATTCAAGCCTATTGATAAGTGCAATAAGTGGTGATAAAATAGCTGAAAGTGCTTTCCTAAAAGGCCCTGGTCTTGAAAATGTATGTGACTTGACGGCCGTTTCCTGGTCACCATTGGGTAATTTAATTGCAACTGCCAACCTTGTGGGTGATCTTTCCTTATGGTCCCCAGACGGTCGATTAAGGAACATCGCCAAAGGTGCTATTCCCCACGAAGAAGGCACCAAGCCAGAAGTCATATTAGACATCAAGTGGTCCCCAAATGGCCAATATTTCCTCACTGGCGGTTCCAATGGAAAAATATGCTTATGGAATGGCTCCACATTAAAATTGATTCAAACCGTCACTCACTCCAGCAAGGCATCTTCCGAAGGCTGGTCAACATGCTGGCTAGATGACCTAAGGTTTACCGTGTCTTGTAAGAGTAATACTATCAAGGTCAACCTCATTGATAACTCCAACGATTTCACTGACGCTAATACCGTTATCAAAACTATTGGCGAATTAAGGGGACACGAAGGTCCAGCCTCAGCTTTGTCGTTTAACAATGCTCTGAAATTGCTTATATCATATTCGAATAGCGATAACTTGATTAAGTTATGGCTGCTGAACTCCCCTGCATCTGAATCCACTGTCTTAAGAGACGAACACAAGATATTACCAGTTGTCTTACTATCATGGTTCCCTCAGGAACTTAATAGTGATTTGATCAGTGTATCGATAAATGGAACCATACGAACGTGGTCGTTGGACAAAGAGTCGCCCACCGACTCTGTAAATATCTTCAGGGATGATTCATGCTACAACTTTGATGATAAAGAACCGCTCAAAAACAATGGCTCTATCGTATACGCAGCAGAGTTGTCCCCGGATGGGAAATGGCTCGCGTTGGGAGACGACGCCGGAAGGGTTAGTATTTGGGACGTGAGCGTATCACCCAGGTGTAAGGGAATATTTGACCAGCATGATTTTGACGGTTCTATCTTAAATGCCGAGTCTGGTAACGGGATCTCATTCATAAGTTGGAACCAGGGTAGCGACAACTTGAGTGTTTCTTTTCACGGAGCTCCCAGTGTCATCATCAACTGGAACGCATAACAAAACCTACTGTATTATAGTATCATTTCGATGGCACAAAATCTTGTATTATTAGTTATTTTAATTGATTGAATTACATTAGCTTAAGCGGTGGCAGCAGCAGTGGCAGCAGCAGCAGCAGCCTGCGCAGCCCTCAATTGTGGGTTCACCGCTGGGAAAAGAAGGTCTAAGTAGCAAGTACCCAAGGAGAAAATAGCAAGAACAACTCTCAACAAAGGAGGTTGAGTTGCAGCTTCATCGCCCGAGGAAGGCTTGTTCGTTGGTTCATTCAAGTAAGATTGTACTGCCAAAAACACCGCTGCCCAGGATAACATTTTGTTTCTCATGAACATAGCGGCCATAGGCAACGATTGGGAAATCATGGAAGAAGCTTCACCCCGAGGTTTTGCTGGGAAATGGTGGTAACTAGAAGGGTTAGTACAAAAGCATCATCATCCAAGTTTTTATTCGCACATACGGAACCACTTTGTCTTCTCTTACTTTGGACATAATTGTGGAGTGGAGTTTTTTCGTCGATAAGTTTTTCGATAAGTTTTCCGCGATCAGATTTTTCATTGTGTATAGAGCTACTTATTATATGATATCTTTTTGATGATAGTAATGGCATACTAGAAGTACAATGAACTCAAATGTGTACTTGGCTGTAGAGGATACGGCGGCGTCATTTTCAGACTTCTGCAAGAGCTTGACAGCCTTTTTACCGAGTCCGCGTATAATGGCACAGTCAGAATACTCAAGAACACTATCAGTTCTTAAAAGCAAGCAGTAGATCCACTGGGAAAGGTTGTCATTTGTCTTGTTACTGAGCCATGACGTCAAATGAACCAAAAGCCTCATGGCGGTGATGTGGTCAAATTGGTATTGAATCACTTCGAATGCTGGTGGGGGATTGTCTATCACGTATTTACGCCAGAGACTGGCAGATTCGGGCTGTTCCCAAGGAGGGTGTGAGGACCGCTCCAAACTCAAGTCTGAATCAATCTGACTTTTGGTTCTCCGAAAGTCCTTTAAAAACACATTCTTCCATTTCTCTAGGGGCTCTTCGAGCTGGACATTTCCTATATTCGTATTGATGTAGAACTCGGTGCTCGAGTCACTTTGGTAAAGCTTCTCAGAGGTGCTATCACTGGCCACTTCAGTAGGAGTCATGTAGGACACAGTTTCAGCTTCTTGTCGAACAGATGCCAAATACTCATAAACAGCCAGCTTTTGTACGGGTATGCCCTCGATTACCTCTTCGTATTCTACGGGTATCACCTCATTGGCCAGCTTGTCCCTGGAGGAATCCCGTTCCTGTAGCCTTCTTTTCATGAGATGGGTTTCTAATAAATGTATTCTTGTGCCCCGCGAAATATCACTATTAATGAGCAAGAGAAGAAGGTCAGAAGAGCTACTACCAAGTACCACATCTGCTACCGTACCAACAATAGTATGCACACTAGGGTATTGTGTTCAAGCACCACCTGAATTCTCGAGTTACCCCGAATATGAATTGCACGTCCAAACCCACCATACACATATATGTCATGCCTGTAAGAAGAGGTTCCCATCGGCTCCAATACTATCGATGCACATAGAAGAGAAACACGACCCGTTCTTTGTAATAAAAAGAGATCAAGGTCTTAAAGTGTACAAATGTTTCAAGTCCTACAATGAAATTAATCCCTGTCATAAAGTGTGCTCAGATAGAAAGAAGAGAAGACTCCATATGATCGACAAGCATGGGTATCCCAGAGACTATAACTTTAGTATTATTGATCGTGGACTATGATACTACGTAGTAAAAGTTCATGCTTCCGGAGCCGGGGTGGATGATTCGCTGCTACCATTATCGAGCTTCCGTTTCTTCACCACAGGTTTACGTTTGAGCTTAGCGATGAGCTTCTCATCAAAATGCGAGTTGCAAGTGGGGCAGCTCATTCTGTCAGGAATCTCACTCATGATACAGAGGCATACAGAACACACGTATCCAATCTCCACACTCTTTCCGGTGATGAAACAACTGGCTTTGTAATTGACGTTGGAGTTGGTGGGCAATATCATCAATGGTCGTATGGAAGGCTCAATAAAGTATGCCGTACAGAGCACTTGAATAAGCCCAAGTGGTTTTTCGATATGGAGATAGACTCCATTGGTGGCATCTGCTGCCTGTTGTAAATAGGATGAGTCTTTTCGGCCGAGCTTGGCGATATCTATAGCCACCTTCATTTTCTGGGCCCCGAAAATCGCTTTCATTAGTGAAATATACTTGATGTCTTCGTTATCATTTGGAGTCACCACCAAAATTCGGGACTTCATTCGACTGGTTCCATAACTATTGGCGTTGGTACCCGAAGATGCTCCTGCGGTGGATGATTCTTTGTTAGAGATGTTGGCTGCTGACGAAATTGCAGATGCAGTGGTGGTGGAAATCGACTGGTCGAGTTTCATCATCCGATTTGTGTACGATAATGCTAAGCTTAAAGCCCCGGAAAGCCTGGAAGAGCCAGTAACCTTGTCATCTTGTGCGTGGGTTATATCAGACATTGTTTGGCTCAAACCACTTAGCACAGTTTCGTCCACAACCCGAAACTGTCGATACATTCCCTTGGTGACAAAGCTGAGCTCTTCTGACTTGTTAGAGTTTTCGACGGTTTCTTCAGATGTGACGTTTAGTGGTATTTCCTCGTATGTCTTGCTCGTGTCTGGATAAAGGAACTTGGACCCTGCTGGCGAGCTAAGCACAAAGGCTACTTGGTTGGAATTGTTGAGTGACAAATGCCCGTTCAAAAACACCAAAAGTGACTTCACCACATCCATTATAGACGTTTGATCTTTGATGTTGAACCATCCTTCAGGCGATACTTCAAGAACTATTGTTAGGAGAGATGGATCGTCATTCAGTACATCAGATCCATGGACCTCAATAAATGTGTTATCTGAAATCTCATCCATCGCCGTTATATATTTACTTGATTTATCTTGAAGGTGCGCATCCATTATATTACTGGTGCAATATATTGCAGCTACATAAAACCTATAGGGGAGCAAAAAGGTATCAGGCAGTTAATATCGTATGTCTGTTCTGCTGAGATGTCCACGCTCACTCACCAATGTCCTCGTACCAATCGTGTGGTCTTTCTTTAATGAACTTGGCCATCAAATCCTTACACTCTTGGTTATTGAGATTTATAAGCTCTACCCCCTTTTCTTTGATCCAGTCTTCACCTCCCACAAACGTCTCGTTTTCGCCCATCACAATCCGCTTGATTCCATACATTAAGCACGCACCAGTACACATATTACATGGTGATAGCGTGGTGTACATGGTACAGTTCTTGTAAGCAGAACCTGGTAATCTGCCAGCGCTTTCAAGAGTCGACATCTCTCCATGGAGGATGGCCGAGTTCTTTTGGAACCGCATATTGTGGCCACGGCCTAAGATGGTACCATCTTCCAGGATCAAGGCTCCTCCAATGGGAACACCTCCTTCGGCATAACCTGTAAACTTTTAGTAATGTTCAAAATACATTATTGTGTGTCATGTATACGTACCTTTCTTTGCCTCCTCTATGGCAATGGCCATTCCTTTTTGGTCATCAAATGGCATTATTTTCGAATTGAGGATAATATTAATGAGGATTATTCTAGATGTGTGATGGCTTCGCGGAGTACAATCCTCGCAATTGTGCAACGTTTTCACCGAACTATTTTCAATACTCCACCACGGTCTGCTGTCACCACTATCTCATACGGAATGGACACGAAACCTATGTCGTTGATGACATCGAGATTCTTTACAGGATTCTGGTGATCTTTTGTAAGGGTTTTACTAGCTTTCTCATTCGTGAAACCCATTCTCTGGTTCAACATGGTTCTGGTAAATGTGTAACCGGAGTTGGAAATAGACCGCTCAAGCTCATCCAACTTCCAGAATATGAGTCTTCCTGAAGATATGGAGTTCACTATGTACACTCCTGAAATATGTTTGTACATCTTCATGTATCCGAGATTGTCATTTATACGCGCCTGTTCAAGGTCTAAAGGAAGTTCATTTAGAATATCCTTCACAGAATTCGAGCTGTCCTTGATCTCTTCTATCGAGTAGTGTTGGACTGTCGGGTTGGGTTCGTATGGTGATAGAATTTCTCTACACTCTAGTGTAGGTATTTCCCAGATGGTTATCACGGGATCTGATGTTCCTCCGATGGCTGCAAAATACTCGCAGCTCGAATCAATTCTGAAATCTGGAGACAACAATATCAATTGTTTAATCTGTGTACCAACACTCAGGCTCCTAGATATAATCTTACAAGACTTTACAAGAACTGAAAACCTTATATCCCATAGACAGAGTAGTCCCTTGTCGGTTCCAGTCAATAGCCAACCTTTTCTAGAATCCAAGATCACTGAGGTGGGAACTCCATGAACTAAGGGATTCTGTAGCTCAAACTCACGTTTCATAGTGATAACGTTGAAGGATAGGATTCGAGACTTGGACGTAGCTACTATCATGGTGGTTTTGATGTTATCGTAGTTGAACAAGATCAAAGTGGCGTATTCTCCATGGAGATCATACTTTCTTATGAGCACTAGTTTGGAATATTTCAATATCTTTTTATTCTTGCCCCTGCTGACATCAACTCGGAAGAGCCTGATTCTGCCATCTATTGTGCTCACAGCAAATATGTTCCTATTTTTCATGAAGCAAACCTTAATAATTGCTGATTTGAATTGAGCTGTCAAACTGGGAGTCTTGACCATGATGTTCTTCTCGAGTTTCAGCGAATCCCACACCTTTAATATACCTGACTCCGAACCAGTGACAAAAAACTCGGAGCTTGGGTTTACGGCAATGCAGACAAGACTATCAGGGGACCTTGGATCACTGTTGGTATTGATAAGGGAAATGCACTTACCTTCTGGTACCCAATCGGCTGATTTTGGCTCATTGATCTTGACTGGGTCTCCAAATTCACTAAAGGAGTTTATAGACAACTCGAAATCAACATTTTGTAAATAGTGAAGAATATGTGGATTAAGCCCTTGATAACTATGCTTCATGTTAGAGATGATAACCTTCTCGTCATTCGAGCTGATCACCTTATGTGTGATATTTGAGTCGCCGGAAGTTGTCAAGTATTTGTTAGATTGGAGATTGCCATGCCCATGGGAATCGTTATTGAGCTCTAATTCTCCAAACACATTTTCTTGGATAGTTTGTATGGATGCGGTAACTTTCGAGAAATTTGGCAAAACCAATGAATTAGACCCACTCCTTCCCGTCTTTGGAGTCTTAGTGATAGAATCTTGAGGAACATTTGAAGATAATCCGTTTGATGCTGATGTTACAACCTCTGACTTGTAACTGACTTCAAAAAAAATGTTTCTTGGTTTGATTTCAACTGCATTGACGTCCAGAAACGTCCCTACCGAGTTCGCTATATGCAAAGACATCCCACGGCTGACTTGCAAGACGTACGCTCTCAACATAAAAGGTTTCCAGAAGTCTTTTTCCTCTAAGCCCACTGCCTTGAGCTTCAACAACCACTGCTTATCATCGTGAGTTAATGGGATTGACAGATGGGCTAGTGAGGTTCTGTTGGGAATAGAGAACGAGTTACCGTTTGATCGAGAAGGAACGAATACCAGTTTTCCTAAATTCTTGGAAAATGTGGTGAACTTCGATGGACTCGTCATGGTCATGCTCTCTTGCTTCCAAAACAACGACTTTTCTGTACCTGCACTAGCCCAATTCAATAGCATCTGGTACATCACCTTCGTTAATGGTTTAGTAAGACAAGGATACAAACTATCCCAGTTTATATTCGTCACATCGTATGTCAAATATGCCTTTATCTGAGGATACAAGAAACAAAACCTATCAGCATTCAGGAGATTTGCGTTGATCGAAAGAACCAATTGTAAGACAGATTGTCGGATCCATTCATTGGGGTGGAGGAAAAAATGTACCGTATTACTCAAGAGCTCCTTGTAGATATTCAAGGCATTAAACTCAGAAGCAGGGTTTATTAACCTCAGTGAGACGAAATTGACAAATATTTCAATCACTTCTAGGACAACCAACTGTTCTGAGTCACTTAATGTTTGAAGCAATAATGGAAGGAGATACTGCTCGAATGATAAAACCCCGACGTAAGGGCCAATAAACAAGATCGACTTCAAGAAGTGAAGCTTCAATTCAATATCCGGGTCGTTGAGGTAAGTGATCAAATGGGGGAGGATAATATCGTTAGTTTTATCGACCCCAAAGAACCGGCAAAGAGGTTTGATATTGTCAACCAATGCAGCTCTCACCTTCGGATTAGGATCTGTTAAAAGTAAGGAAGAAATCTCCTCGAACACCAAGTAGAGATTCTCTTTGGAAACCGAAGCATTACCCTGATTAGCCCCATTCTGTTCACCTTCATGCACCAGGCCCAAAGGTTTGGTTTTAAATGTTTTAGCCATCATCCAAAACCTATTTGCAACTTCGGCTAAGTGTGGTACACACGAAGCCAACTTGATCTTCACCAATTCGCTTTCTTTGACATCATTGTCTGAACTTATGAGCTTCACTAACTTGGGCAAAAGATACTCGGATGTCATTGAAACATTCAATGGGGAGATGTAGGAACATGAATCGAGAATAGTGGCTATTGCATCTAAAGCGGCTACCACAACTTTCGAGGAATACGACTCTGTTTTCGTATTTTCATCCATACTGATACCTGGCAAACTCATGCCATCGTAACCTTTGAAAGAAAATCTTTCAATGTACTCGTCGATGAGTTTACATAAATACGGTAAGGATCTGTCAAGTTTGCAGGCATCGTTCACTCTTTCACTCAAAGCAGTTATAAGCTCACATGCCTTTATTTTTGAAGCTGGTTGTTTCAAGGTGTTCATCAACGAAAATACAAAGTTCAATATTATGAGTGATGACTGTTGCAGTTCCCCTATATCTTGGAAACTCGATGTTTTTCTGATTTGATAGTTCTTTGGCATGCCCGGAAGATTCAAATTCATCCCCATAGAACCAGTCAAAGCATCAACGGAATAGTCGAATTTCAAATTGTAAGAAATTTTATCGAAGTTCTTGTGTATGTAATCGATTCTGTTATCGCTCGGAGTGACATGTCGGTCATTTTCATTTCCTTTGAACTCGTTATTATCGTTCAATCTTCTAATAAAATCGTACAAAAACGAATAAAACGATTGGGGGAATATCAAATTCTGGTATTCAGAAAGCAACTGTTTAGCAGATTGCCTTTGGTTGGGATTGAACAGAATTAGCTTCAAAATCATGTCTCTAACATGAGCATCTGGAATGCCTGAAAGATCGGGAGTGTACTCTTTTTTGATGTACCTGAATAATCCTGATAAAGTGAACAACGGTTCTCCATCCAAATAAAGTTCTCCGATTATACACCCCAAACTAAACAAGTCCATCTGTTCAGTGATTTGGTTCTTACCAGTGAAATGATCGTTTTCATCAAAATTTTGAAGCTTTTCGGACTCGGACCCAGAATTGTAGAACCGCTCAGGGGCCAAGTTGCACACTCTTCTGTCAGATGTATCAAAGTAGAAGGAAAACTGGTTGGGATTATCCTCAGGAATGTAGACGGGTTTGGAATAACTGGCAAAATCAGCTAGCATTATCCAGTTGGAACTAGACACCATAAAGTTCTCTAGTTTCAAGTCACCATGGCGAATGTGGAGATTGCTGTGGAGATTATCGATGATCTTGAGCATCTGAAACGCAATAAAATTCTTCTCAATGGGTTCAAGAAACGGTCTTATAGAAAGCCTGTCATATAAGTTTGTCTTGACCAACTGACGAATAAGATAAGCAGCTCTGTCAGTTTCGATGAACTTGTTGGTGGGCAAGTAGCAATTGAATTGGTCCAAAAGTGAAGCTTCTTTTACCATAAGTTCTGTGTATTCCTGCAAGTTTATGTTGAACGAATTGACGTTGTTGGAGGGCTTAATTAAGATTTTGATAATGATGGCATCTCCAGTATTGAGGTCAATGGCTTTGATTGTCTTTAGAAACCGGGAATTATTGATGAGTTCGACATACTGGATATTGTCGAAGATATCCACGTACGAAGAGATGGCCACAGTTGGAGCCGATGGCGCTAGTAGCGATAATCGAGCACCCATAATATGCTTGAGGAATTCGTGTGGTTTCGCGATATCGATAAAATCCCTCTCTAGAGCTATTATTATACAATTCATTATAAAAATATACATATTTTTATTAGAAAAAAATGGAGTATAGATTATCTAGTTAACCAAAGTAGAAGCGGTGGCAGATTCGTACTTCCAGTTAGGAGGCAAGACAGCGACGGTTCTGTAGTATCTGGCCAATCTGTGGATTCTAGATTCGATCAAAATCAATCTAAACTTAGAGTCCTTGTCCTTTCTGTTTCTTTCCAAGTGCTTTCTGATGGCAACAGCCTTTCTGATCAAGTAGTACAAGTCTTCTGGGATTTCTGGGGCCAAACCGTTGGACTTCAAAATTCTCAAGATCTTGTTACCAGTGACAACCTTGGAGGCGGTAACACCATGGGCATCTCTTAAAATAACACCAATTTGAGATGGAGTCAAACCCTTTCTGGCGTACTTGAAGATTTGTTCAATAACGTCGTCAGAAGACAATTTGAACCAAGAAGGAGCGTTTCTAGAATATGGGGTAGCTGAGGAAGACATACCCTTACCCTGAATGAAAAGTTAGTATACGGCTAGGAGTGTTAACAACTACCGTCTTTACAATAGAAAGGACGAGCTGATGTGAGGCGGGGCCAGCACAGACCAGCCTAGTGCACTATGGTTTATCACTCCAATATTGCACCAGGCGAGAGAAAAGTTTTCCGGCTGAAAAACTCTTCCTCCTCGTCGCACATCGTCCAAGTCCAATCAACTTGAATAAAAAGTGGTATTGCACAGTGCTTACAAGGGTATCTAGCAAGTGCCAATTAATAAAAGCAAAATCGACATTTTAAAATATCGGAACTTTTATCAAGGCCTTGACGTAGAATATCCTCCACCGAAACAATCCAGAAATGGTCACTGATTAATCAAAGCAAAGGTATTGCAAAGAACAGACAGATGATATTCTTAAGCGTTAGAACATACATTTGAATGCATACGACCCATTTTGACTAATGTTTTATTATTTGGTTATAAGATGAAGAAGAAATTTTTCATTGAAAATTTTTTCTAGTTAAACGTGAGGGTGGTGTGGTGTGCGCACGCACTTTTATGCGATGTTCAAATATGTGATGGGATATACTGTAATCCCGCGTAAATATGAGACCAGTTTCCGTCAGCCGACCAAGCATGTTCAATTGTATTTAAAAAAGTAGAATTTGCTTCAATATTGTGTGAAATCAAGTTATTTATCATGTTGAAGTTGTTGATATTGTTTTCTTTTGGAAAAGAAATAAGTTTTTAAACATCTTTCTCAAATCATTTGCAACATAATTTGCAAAACTTACGAATGGCGAAATTTCCAAACTTTATTGAACATGAACATTTGAATATTCATAGACTCTACCCTTCTAATAACCTTTTATGTATTCGTATTTTTTTACGATTTATAAATCTAAAGTACTTTACTGGATAAGGTCTTGTATCAGGCCAAGCTCCTCCTCATCCTCAATCAGCACTAGTTTGGAAACTCCAGCTTTATCACGGAACAATTCAAGGGCTCCAGCGTACAACATCTTGCTTTGCTGGCCACAAGTAGCTGGCTTCCAGTACAACATCACCAAAGGAGACACAGACCTTCCATCTCTGGTTTTATAAGGATAAGACAAGATAACAAATCTAGGAGCATTAGGAGGCAATTCTTCTTCCAACTCTTCGATACTAGTTATGACTTGGTCTTCGTCTTCCCTCTTGACTTCGTATGAGGACTTATCGATTATGTCTGCAAACTGCCGTTAGTACATGAAAATAAAGTATTCAAGTAGGATTAAATTTCACTTACATATAATGGCTTGCATTCCAGGTGCCCGGGCACTGGAAAACCGGAATTTTTGGATTCCCGATAACGTCGGAGAAGCAAATGTATAAAGGTTTGTGGACTAAAGGGAGTTAGCATTAGATGGAGAGGGGACAGACTTAAATACAATTTCAACGTACCATCCTCTATGGTGAGTTCAGATCTCAGTATATTATATTTCTCACTGAGCCTTCCCAATGCGGCAAAGATATCAGTTAGAGCGTGCCCCACACGTTTTAATAACAAGATGCTCACTTTATAAAACCTAAACAATTGATGCAGCATCATCAGTGTTTACTGAAGTTTGATAGAAACCTGTGAATTCATAAAAGTTAACACTGGGATCTTTTTCAGTAATACGGACTTCCAAGTGTTTTTAATTGCATTTATATCATCTCACTTGTTCCCCTCCTCGTTTGGTTTGACTTTTCTTCCTAGTCCTATCTTTGTGTACTGATCAAATGCCCAAGAACAAGCTGACAATTCCTTTGATCGAGTTTTTAAAAAGTATGTATCACCTTCACCTTTCCGCCACCTGTTGTGCCAATACTAACACAACTTACTTTAGACCGAATCTATCTCGGGGCATACGACCATACTCCTGATGATACTGCTCAGCTTGTGTACTTTACTGTCGAAGAAGCATTGCCTTATAATTCCTTCCACTTGGATTTCGGTCCTTTGAACATCGGTAGTCTCTACCGATTCGCTGTAATTTTGCATAATATCTTAAATGAAGAGGCCAACCAAGGCAAAGCCATTGTGTTCTATAGTACCACCGGTCCTAAAGAAAGAGCTAACGCGGCCTGCTTATTGTCTTGTTACATGGTATTGATCCAATCTTGGTCCCCACACCAGGTGCTCCAGCCCATAGCTCAAATTGACCCGCCCTTACAAGGATTCCGTGATGCAGGTTACTCTTCCGCCGATTTTGAAATCACCATTCAAGACGTGGTTTATGGAATGTGGAGAGCAAAAGAGAGAGGCATGATTGACCTTACTTCCTTCAACTTGGAAGAGTACGAGCAATACGAGAGGGTTGACCAAGGGGATTTCAATATGGTATCGAAGGACTTTGTGGCTTTTGCATCACCTCAGCAAAATCATAGAAAGTCTGGTTCTTTAAATGAACCGTTCAAAAAAGTATTGAATTTCTTCTTGAAAAATGATGTTCAGTTGGCAGTCCGGTTAAACTCACATCTTTACGATGCCAACGAGTTTACCAAGAGAGGTATCCAGCATATTGATATGATCTTCGATGATGGAACCTGTCCAACATTGGAATATGTCCAAAAGTTCATTGGAGCTGCTGAATGCATAATAAACAGAGGTGGGAAAATTGCAGTCCATTGTAAGGCTGGTTTAGGTAGAACTGGATGCTTAATTGGTGCCCATTTAATTTACACCCACGGATTCACTGCAAATGAATGTATCGGATACATGAGAATGATTCGTCCTGGTATGGTTGTTGGTCCCCAGCAGCACTGGCTTTATTTGCATCAAAATGATTTCCGGGACTGGAGACACACCATGTGTTTGGACAACAGACCCGACAGTTTCATTGGTGGATTATTCCCGTTGGTGCCATACGATGAATTCAAGTCTAGAGTTAGACAAGAAGCCAAGCAGAGAAAGTTGCAAAATCAACAAAGTTTGAACTCTTCAGTTGGCCACATAGACTCCTCATTCCAAACCCCAATTAGAAGAAGAAAGATCAGTGGAGCATTAGCGGCCAAAATCCAAACGGCAGTCCCCCAAGAGTCACCTGGTCAACCAAGAAAGATCAATGAGGAAAACTCTGGCGTGGTTGAGATCTTCAATAACTCCGATGATGAAGAGTTTATTGAACATCCCACTGACCACATGCAAGATGTCCAAGTCCCAAATAGGACTGGTACCGAGATCGAATTGTCTGCTAATGATATGAATGATGATATTAGAAGTTCTCCGAATAGAGATGCGTTGAGATCCATATCTGCCAACCAGCATTATCACACAGCCCTGCAAATAACCAAAACCACCACCAAGGCTAGAACCATCAGTGGGTTCTCATCATCACCCCAAAACCAAACCCAAACCCATTCATCTCCCTTGATCAAGAACAAATCAAGATCACCTTCCAGAATTGGATCGGGAATCACCCAGTCAAGGTATGCCAACGCTAGTCCTGTTCGAGTGATTTCGAATGGAGGTGTAAGGAAAGTTAGTGGATCTAGAAAATACTAACCGGTCCTTTGCCTACCGCCATTTCCAATTCTCTATTGTATTACTTATTGTTATGTCACACGAAAAAAAGATCTTATAATTATACTAGCATAGACGTAAATATACTGACTATTCTTCATAAGCAGCTTCCACTACGTTGAAAGGTTCACCGTCTACGGCAAATGCAAGGATATCATAATCGTTGAATTCTATTGTTGACAAAATCGTATCATCCACTGTCACCCAGTCATTTGAATACGGTGAAGTTTTGTCCCTGGGAAGCCCAATAGCCAATTCACCCGCTTTGACTATTCTGGTTTGTGGTGGTGGTGAGTCTTTCATGATCGCGTCTTTAATATCGGTTTCCCCTGTTTCCTCTTCTTCGTCTATAAACTCAGACTTGGGAACTTTGATGTCGTCTTCATCTTCCATCATGGGTTCATCTTCCGAGAGTGTCAACCCACCTGAGTTGTTGATGATATCGAGAAGGCGATTTTGGAGGGTTTGGAATGATTTGGTGGAAAACTCTATAGGAACCACATACGTGCTCTTGCCTCTTTTGAATTTCAATATGGTCACCTGCTTCCGTTTATCAACGAGTTTGGGAGGCTATATGTGTTAGAAATGAATATCAGAGCATTAGATACAATATACTTACCATCTTTAGATGATAATATACGGTCAAACTAAGCGCGAAAATAAATCTACCATTATATGATGAGCTTTCTACAGCACTCAAACCATGGGCCGGGAGTAAGGTCGTTGTATCGAGATCTTCTACGAAGCCACAAGAAAGTACTACAAGTAGTCGTTCCGAGTTCTCATGAGACCACATCCAAGTACATAAAACAACAGTTGGAAATTGCAAATACTAATCCCACGCAGTACTTGGAGAGCCTCTCACAGGAAATCAAGTCTAATATCAAACAAGAGTTTCGACTGGCACAAGCGTATACACGAGGCTCCGCTGTTGAATACAAACTCAAGACGGGCATCAACTTTGCGTCGTTACTCGAAAAGGTTTCCACAGATGATGGGTTTCTTGAGGTTTTACAATTGATTGAACTGCTCAAAGATGAGGAATACGAAAAGTCCGAAATAAAAGCACTGGCTTATCAGAATAGAGGGATCCACGAGTTCGATGGGAAAATCCCCCAACGTATCGAAAAGACTTTTGCATTTCCCTTGAACCCCATACAAACTCTCTTGACCTCAGATAGAGAAAAGCGGATCCAACATGAACTCACAAACAGTAAGGAGCATCGAAATAAGATCATCAGGCGATACTTGAAACATCTACAGATGTCACAAAGACTAGCGATTCCCCATTTGCTCCCCTACACGGCCATTGAACCTTTATCTGATCAAATTAAACTCTCGTCCAAGATCTTCAAGTCCACTTCTATGAAGGCCATCACAGAGGCATATAACACAACACTAATAGAGGCCATACTCGTTCCCGAAATAGAGCACCAAGTCAACTATCACCACAAGGTGAAACCACTTGAAGAAATCGTCAATGAAAAGGGCCCCTTCAGAGTCCGTATAAGGTATACTAATGCTGGAACAATCCTGATTCCCTTTCTCAAGACTCAAACTCCAAGGCTTCAACCCATGAAGGAAGTGGGAATTGCTGTTAAGAACCTGGTCAGAGACGCGGAAATACGAAAGAATTGGGAGTCGACCACCTCCCCTTCTTCCAATGACAAAAAGACCACCGATGGAGCTTTTGAAATCGGATGGTACCGAGTGTACGGGCCCAAAGCGACCATGTTCTCGAAAGAGCACCACGCAGAACTCCACTCACAAGAAGCCTTGTGGGAGTTTTTGCTTGACCAGGAGCTCTTAAAGGGAGTTGATGAGAATGGAGAGCTGGTGACGGTTGAGGAGGTCAGGTCAGATGTTTCTCAGATAAAAAAGTCATACACAGATTCGTGGTTGCAAACTCTAAATGAGGTTTCGGGGTACTTTGCTCTGAGGTGCGATCAGCACTATCAGAAGTACGGTGGTAGGTACATCAACGCATTGTTCGACGAGAAGATCAAATGGCAGAACCGAATGGACGAGACATTCGAGAAGAAGATTCGATCGTACGAGCAGCTTATCAACAGCTTAGAAGTTGACAGAGTGACCATGCACTCTGACCTTGTAAGTCCCAAGTCAAATGGATCATCCTCTGACAAACAATTGGTTACAAACGATAAAAGAGTCAAGAAACGCAGAGTGGGCATGGGACTCCATGAACGCAGAGGGCTCGGTAAGAGACTCGGTGACTACATGGAGGAGAATGGAGTTCCGTGCTACAAAATTGGCATGAAGTTTGACAAAAAGTTCCGGTTCTAATGTAAATTTATCGTTAAATTCGTTTCTGAGACAGTGTCTGAGATAGTCATCAATATACAAATGTATCATACGGTATACCCGTTGTAGTGCTTGTTGGTAGTGATATACCCGTCGATTTTACGAGGATTGTAAGGAAACTCCTCATCCTCATCATCGTCAAGGACAGCAGAGTCATCCTCAGCACCTTCGGGCAACGGAGTGTCCCGCTCCACTATCTCGAAATCTTCAATCAATTTGATCAATTCAGACGTATCATGACCAGGCTCATCATCTTCCATGGTCAAGCCATTCATCATTCTTACTACTTCCAGGAGTGATTTACCCTGGTTCTTCAACTCGTGATGTTTGGCAAGCACCTCCTCTAAGCAGGTAATTCCATTTTCATACCACGACCCGGGGTAGTGGAGTGGGAACGGAGGTGCTACAACGATGTTCTTTCGGGCGAATACCGCTTCCGAAGAAAGTTGGTTTCGGTAGAATAATGATGCTTGGTAATGCTCCTTACAACAATACTGCGACAAGTATGTGTTGGGTAAGATGATGGATGGTTTTCTATTGTAGATCTGGAATTTGGTTTCGCCATTATTGCAGGTGGTGGTTCCATTACTGTTACTCGACAAACGACGAACCTGATGCCTGGGGGTATTCTGGCACGTTATATATCCACATTGGTGTTCGATGTTTCTCTCCTCCACGATTTCATCGTACGACTGCTGGGTAAGAAACCGGCTCAAGAACTTGAGGAGGTCTATATCCACAGGGTGATCAATGAGAAGTTCGGTGATGACTAGCAGTAATTTGGAGGTATCGGCGGGGGTTAATAACTCTCTTCCGCCGAAGGGTTCCAACCGGGGAATGAACTGTGGCAAGGTAAGTAAAGCCATTGATGGACAAAAATAGGTATATTGGCAGGTTTATGAATTTTGAACCCAATCGGTATCGACGTTTAAATGATGAGTGTAGTGCAGATCCCAAAACCAATGTCGTTTCACTATCATTGACACAATAAGGAGCTGAGCCGAACCGAAAATCTAACTTTGCGCACAACCCAAACTGCAATAGATGGTAGGTTCTCCCATGTCGACGGCGACATCTGTCCGACCTGACCATGATATACATACGAATTCTCGACCACATCAACGGGCTCCCAGGTCTCGCTCGCGGTCGGGGTCCACCTCGCGGTCAGCCTCTTCTGCTGCCGCCAGTCGTCAGAGATCAAGGTCTTCAGCCACAGGTTCCTTTATCAATTTTCTTTCCAATGACCCAGCCAGGAATCGCCCCCAGCCCCGGAACGGTGACAACCGCCATTTCTCACTCTATCGGCTTTTGATGTTGGAGTTGAACATTCCAGGTAATTCCAAACAAAAGTCCGGTTACGCCCATCTGGCAGATGTGTCAGATCATGAAGCATATGAACAGATCATCGATATGGTCAAAATTCCATGGGTGCTCGAAAAGTTCATGGGGTTGGGACTTATGATCTGTACCAACTCATTCTTAACGTTGTTTACGTTGGTTCCCATTAGAATAGTGGTGATCACGTTCATGGCTGTTCAATCAACCATAAGCGAAAAACTGTACACTTGGCAATTGATATCACAAAAGTTCAGGTCCGTCCGAAGAGACGTGTTGACGGTGGTACTTATACTCCTTTCATTACTGGTATTGTCGCTTCCTCCAATTGATATTTCCAAAATCTACCACGACGTGAGACGTCAAGCTCAGATCAAGTTGTATGTGACGTTTGGAGTTTTGGAGGTGGCCGATAAGCTTTGCTCTTCAATCGGTCAAAATATCTTGGGGATAACGTTTGACCTTATTGAATCGCCTCCCACTCGTAAGAACTACTTTAGCACCGTGCTTTTCTTCTTGGGCTCCGTCGCTTACTTGTGTTTACATGCCTACGTCTTGCTCTATCAAACGGTTTCTTTGAACGTGGCTGCCAATTCGTATTCGAATGCGTTGCTTACGTTGTTGTTTTCCAACCAGTTCTCCGAGTTAAGAGGTTCTGTGTTCAAGAAATTTGATAGAGAAGGGTTGTTCCAACTCTCGATGGCCGATTTGACAGAGAGATTCCAACTTTCTTTGATGTTGGGAATGATTACCTTGAGAAATATCTTGCAGTTGAACAGCATTGGTCTGGGAATGATTCCAAGTAGTTGGCAAACTTGGAACAAATGGTTTGGTGCATTGTTTGGCCCTAGTATTGTTGTACTAGGAAGTGAGATTCTTGTAGATTGGCTAAAACATTGTTATATCTCCAAATTCAATAGAATCAAACCAAGAGTCTATTACAACTTTATTTATGTGTTGGCGTTGGATTATGTCGAGGTGTTTAGCTCCTCATCTCACAAAACTAGTGGTGAATATGAATTGTCTGACTATACTATTTTGACCAGGAGAATTGGATTACCTCTTTTGGCGACCACCGTTTGCTACTTGCGAATGTCACTTGGAAACTTTGTAACTTTGTTTACAGTGGAAACATCTTCTACCGTATACTCGGTTCTTTCCAGTGTATTGCTTATGTCCGTCACGTTTGTGATTCTCCTTTTGCTTCGCTTAATGCTTGGAATTGCCTTACTTAAAGTTACGAACGCCATTAAGGTGAACCATGAGAACAAACTTGATGAGGTCCATGACTCTATATTGGAGACCTCCGAGTTGATGATCCCCGAACATGTCGATGCCAACAGCACCTTCCCATCTATCCAGTTAAGTCCCACCCCTTCTTTGCTCTTAAGAAGAGAAGGTTTACTTCCAGAGGCTGAGGACTTGAACACAACACCATTATCACCATTATCACCCGTCTCACCTCAATCACCAATTCCGAAGACAGCTGCAGATATCAGCTTCTTACCTGGCCTTCCAAACACTGAGATGTCTACCATCAATCCAGCTACTAGAGAATTCTTGTATGACAACAATGAAAACATTCCTCCCACTCCAGAAGAGAAGAGGAACAAAGATTTCATCGAGAAATTCGAAACCAGCTATGACGAAGGATTAGGCGAAGTTCAGCGATACGAGATGTCCTCCAAGCGTATTTGGTGATAATTCTTCTGTATTCTTAACAACTATTTACATGCATTCTAATTTATATACATCACCATCTTCAAGTGGTGTTTTTCAAAGCTTTTAGGATCTGGTTAGCGGCTTGAGGTCTCACTCTTTTAAGCCTAGCACAAAAGGAAAGGCAACCTGTTAAAAGGGCCAAGGCACCAGCTTGATGCAAAGCTGCCAAAGGTATTGGAACGAGGTAAATCAAGGTAGATATACCCAAAGTAGCTTGTAAGGTTACTAGACCCATCATTCCACCTAGAGCCCTCATTGCCGGTCTGGGAATGATTGTTCTATACTTAAGGGAATAGGTATGGGCTGCTAGCACGGCAAAAAAGGTGGAGGTGGCCATGATTCTGTGGACCAACTGAACGGTGGTGGGGTTTTCAAAAATATTTCTCCAAAACAAGTCAGAATGATCTTCTTTCCGAGCAAATGTATCAGACATCAATTCATTATAGCTGGGAAGGTAATCATCTCCCATATGAGGAAAAGTATTATATATTAAACCAGCGTCCAAACCAGCAACCATTCCTCCTGACATCGCTGTGAAGAAGGTGAGGGTCAACAAAGCCCAAGCCATGGTTCTAATGCCATTCAACTTTGGGGAGCCCAACTTGGAAAGTAAGGTCTTCACATACTCAGGATCAACTTTGGCCTGACTCAACAATTTGTTCTCGGTCAAAATCTCAAACCCGGACCACAATACCCCCAAGTACATGACAAAAGCAGCAGCTAAATGGGTGGTTAATCTGTATTGAGAAACCGTGGGTTTTGATTGTCTTTCCATTAATTGTTGCTCATCCAAACCAGACTTCACCATCCACCACCCGATGGCTCCTTGTAGCCCCAATAATGCTGTCAACCCCACGAGCCTGTATCTCATATGCGGAGAGATTTTCTTGGAGGACCAGAAGTAGATGGCAGGTAAGATGAAAAACATCCCAATACATCTCCCGACAAGTCTATGACTCCACTCCATGTAGAAAATAAATTTGAACTCATCCAAGGTGATGTGTGAATTCAACTGCTTGAACTCGGGCGAATCCTTGTACTTTATGAACTCAGATTCCCAATCAGCTTGGTTCAATGGAGGTATTGCCCCAGTGATTGGTTTCCATTCAGTGATAGATAATCCAGACTCGGTCAATCTGGTCAAACCTCCCAACACCACGATCCCGAACACCAAAGTGGACGTTCCGAAGAGCCAGTAGCTTACACCCTTGTTCGAAATGGCGGGAAATTGTTTGGGGATTTTTGTGGTTAATGGGGTTGAGTTACCAGCGGCTCTGAGAGAGGCAGTCGAGTAACTCTTAAAATTGAAAGCTTGGTTGGCCGAAAAAAAAGTTCTTTGCAGTCGCAAGAGCTTGCTAACCTTAAGTCCATGGAAGATGGAGTTACCGGTGAAGTACAACTTCGACTTGAACATGGTGAAATCAGACCTATATACAAAGTGGTGTGGTATTTTTTTGCTCTGCGAATAAGCAGATTTTCAACATCACCATTGGTCGCACTCGGTTTGCGTTTGTGCTGCTGCAAATTGCACAAACGCACTAGATGGATGCAAATTACACCCAAGTGACTTTGATAGCAAATACCGTGTACATATACATGGTATTGTTGTTTGCATATATTGTGAGCGGTGTCATTATCTACGGGGTGAAAGAGTATCGGATGTCTGCTAAAGATAGAGCTGGATCCATCTCTAGCCAGAAGGCTGCAAGGGCCAATTGGAGTGAAAATCAAGATGCTCGAAAACGGGGAGACAGCTATCCAGAAGATGAAAAAGATTTAGAAGCTTTGGGATCTCTCAACCGGATTGTAGCAGAGCCTATAGTCGCTCCTTCAATGTCTTTAAGCCAGTCTAGCCAGTCCACCACTGAACTGGTTTCCGCATCTGAGTTTGTGGAAGAGATAGAGGAATTCAAGAGAATCAGAATCATATACGACGAAGTCAACTCTAGTGAAACAAAGTCCATTTCCGAATACCTTCACCAGCCTCTCAGGAACAACAAAATTGTCTACAGTATGAAAGACCTCCATGATATTCAAATGGAGATGGAACGGGAGTTCAAGCAGAGTGACAACCTTTCCAAATCGAAGGTAATCAAGTTATCAAAAGTGTTACTGTTCCGTCTGATCATCCCCAAGACAGAAACACCCAGTGTCTTCTTAAACAACAAGCTGATCAACAAAATCAAATATGATTTGGTGGATCTGAAAGGTTTGGACTTGGCCAGTAAAATGCTTCTGCTTTTCCAGTTTGTGTCCATGGGTGTCAATGATAACAATAACAACTACTTCTTGAACTCGTTTAACGAGCTTGTTGAGTACGTCACAGACACGGGGATTTTGTTTGAACTCTTGGAGAAGATCACCAGCCCAAGTCTTAAGGAGTTAATGGTGGACATGATCTTAAACTACTGCTGGAAGCACTGGAATCAGCACGGAGAGGCTAATGGGAAGGTTATCCAAAGCCGTACAATCATTTTCCGGATATTGTGCAATTTGAAAATCGGTGTCAGCTCTATCGAGAGCTGGGGGCCTTCCCGATCAAGAAATCGAATCGAGTTCAAGGTCCAAACCATCATGCGAGAAATCACCAAAAGAGCCAAGTGCAATGATTACTTGGAACTCATACCCATGATCTCGCAGGCGGTGGAGATCATAGAGGCGGTGAGCTTAAAGTTCATTTTCTACGATATGCTTCTTATTATTCTCAAGCTGCACCACAAGTGCTGCATGCACGACTACTTGTTGGACACCCACACCGATTTGAAAGAAGTGGTTCAACATGGGTTTTGGTACAAACATGAGCGCAAGCTCGTTGCAAAGACCCAGGAAATTTTTGATTTTCTCGTGGCTGTCAACGGACAGATTTATAGTTGGTACACTGAAATCTTACAGGGGAGAATCTACGTCTCAAGTGCCTCAGGTGTGGGTCCTTTGATGAGAGATATCCCCAGTGAGTACAAGCCGACACCTCCGGGGGGCTGGAAATTTGTCAGGAAGTAATATGCTCATATGATTTAGGAAAACGATATTGCTCGAGGTATTCAAGTGGGTAAGAATGAGACAAATTTTTTGATGGATTTGTAGATTTTGCAACAATTGAAGGCGGTTTCACCAATGGCACCAAAACACATAAATAGATCATCTTAAGAATTTAACTAGAAAAGACGAGCTAGCAGCCCGTACACAGAAACAACCTGGTGGTATGTAACCTTTCCCCTATCGAATGAGCTAATTCGACAACCTTTTCGAAGGCACGATTGAGGTGAGCAAATTTGCCGCCCAATTGGGAACGGCTCATGGTTCAAACTTTTGCATATATAATGAGGAGCCGCCAGTAAAACCAGTGCGTTTTGTGAGAGCTGCAAAACATGCCTGTAACCTACAAAGGGCTTGACTGCTTAGCAGACATGCTGGCGGAAGAGTACACACACTACTACACTCAGCTGCAGACGGAAATCCCCTGGGCTTCCCAAGCTTACTACGGCTACTACACGATTTATTTTGGCAGTGCAGTTGTGGGCGTGGCCCTTTTCAAGAACTTGTACTACAGATCCAGAGACCATTTTTACAGTAAAAGCCAATCGGCCGGGATATTTACACCTTTGGTCGATACGCTTGTGGCATACAGCCGGTTTTTGGGATACAAACAGACGCCGATGAAATTGACCTACTTCACCTCATTACCTCCATCGGTGGGCTCCAGTTTATTTTTAATGGCATCAAGTTTGTATTTATTTCTCTACTGTTTTGTGCCTCATTTTTGGTACAGAGGTTGCAGAGGGTTCGGATCGCCGCCATTGGCGGTTAGGGCCGGAGTCATGGCCACGGCGTTGACTCCATTCATATATATTTTGGCGGGAAAATCCAACTTTATCACGCTTGTGACTGGTATCAGCTACGAAAAATTGAACTATCTCCACCAGTACGTCGGAGTTGCGGCCTTGGTATTGTCTCTTGTGCACACGATCCCGTTTATCTACCAGGCGATAGTTGAAGGTGGAGCAGCAAACTTGAGGCACACTTGGAACAATGAGGCCATTTATAGAAACGGTGTGCCACCATTGGTGTTGTTGATTCTCTTGTGTTCGTTGTCGAAGGCTGGAGTCAGAAAGTGGTTTTACGAAGGGTTCTTACACTTGCACTGGATGATGGGTATTGCTTACTTTGGAACTTTGGGTTACCATATTTATGGCCTGATGGCCACTGAAAACTATATGTGGGCGGCGTTGGCGTTCTGGTTCACCCAGGTGTTTTACCGGTTGTTTGTCAAGACGTGTTTGAAGCCCAACGCCTTGTTTCTCAGACCCTCCGAAGCCAAATTGTTTAAGTTACAAGGGTCCAATGCTTATCAGGTGAATGTTAAGAATAGAGGCATTTTCTGGAAACCTGGCCAGCACGTCTATCTTAGGTTTGCCTCCAGGGTATTGGACAACCACCCGTTCTCGGTGTGCAACTTGCCCAAGGAATCTGAAAACGAGTTGAAGTTCATTATAATTCCCAAACGAGGCTTAACCAAAAGCCTTTATGACAAGATTGATTCGTGCTTGAGTGAGAAGGTGTACATTGACGGGCCTTACGGAGGTTGTAGTAGAAACCACCACACTTTTGAAAAAGTGTACTTGATTGCTTCCGGTAGTGGTGTAACTGCTACCATGTCGTTTTTGACGGATTTGGCCCAAAAGATCGAATCGGGGGAAAATAAAGTCACTAAGGAAGTCACCTTTGTGTGGGTTGTTCGCAAACTAGAAGACATCGACTGGTTCAGAACCGAGTTGAATAAAGCCCTAGAATGTGACAGAGTCAATGTATTAATCTATGTGTGTGATAGATCTAGTCAAAAGGAAAAATACTTGAACGAAAAAGAGACTTTTACCTCCGAGTCGTTGGAAGCTGCTATTGAAACCAGGAGCAATGAGCTCAATGTGAAGTTTGGACGGCCTAACATGGAAAATCTTGTCAAGTCTTTTGCACCCAGTCTCGGTAGAAGAAACTTTGTATGTTCTTCGGGTAGTGACTCTATGAAGTTCCAAGTTAGCAGTGGTGTTTCAGCCTTACAGCCACTTATATTTAACAAGGACCTTTATGCTTCAGAAGTTGAAGAGATTTTCTTACACACCGAATCTTTTGGCTGGTAATAAATCTATATATATGATATCATGATTATTTATTCAAGAAATATAATATTTATTGAACTAGAAATTTCACATACTTGCATCCAAGGGATCTGGCAATCTAATAGAGAATCTGACTGACAGTATCCACCACAATCTTTTCTAAAGGTGTGAACTCAAACTTCACGATGGCCTTGGTTTTATCGTTGTTAGTTTTCGCCAAAGTAGCAATCTCGGCTGGTCCATTGCCCACCTTACCCTTTGGTAGCTTCAACTCGGGAAAATGCTTGTTGAGAATATCCAAGAGCATTTGCGTACTAAACTTTCCCCCAGTCATGAACAATCTCTTGTTAACCGCCTCTTTTTGGACCATAGCAGCAAGGTGGGCCTTGGCAACATCTCTTACATCCACAAAACCTCCTTTATCAGTGTCGAAGGAATCATCTTTCAAGGATAGAAGTGACCCGATTAACTCGTTTGACGTGTTAAGTTTCCCCTTTGCATCTTGGGGATTGACCTGGGGCCCAAAGACATACACTGGGTTAACCACAGCAAGTTTGAAACTCACAGGCTCGGTCTCGACAAATTTCCACGCTAACTTTTCTGCAAATGATTTGGCTCCATAGTAAGCAGCAATAGGGTTTTTGATAGCTTCTTCGTAGGTAATGTTGTTCCAGCTGGTTTCGTCCATAGACAATGACCCATTTTGCTCATCAACATCGGAATAAATGGCTGCATCTGATGAAGTGACCACCACTCTCTCGATCTGGCTTCCGAAAGTCTGGATTGATTTTAAGATGTTTTCAGTACCTTTGATAGCAGGAATCACCAAATCGTTCTCCGGATCGGTGGTATCATAGAAAAACGGAGAAGCTGTGTGCAATAAATATTTGACATCCTGGTGATTTTTCAAGGCAAGATCAAAAGCTCCTTTGTCAATCATGTTTGGGACTATTTCATAGGTGAACTTCCCACCAAAGAAACTCGACAATTTTTCGCCCTTGTCTTTGCTTCTGACGGTTCCCACCACTTCATAGTCAGAATCGAGCAATTGTTTCACAATGTGTTGTGCAATAAACCCACTGGCTCCAGTGACAAATACTTTCGACATGATCTTTGTGCTTGTAATAATCCAATAACTTTTATATGAGCGCTCTGGGAAATACTTGCCGGATGCGGCAGTGTGCGATATGAACTATTATCATTTGTTTAATGGCTGTAATATGGAGTCAAGCCAGATCTTAACGGGGGTTGGGAATTGTGACCCTAGTGTGCAAATTGTACTTTGGAAGTCTAGTGGAATAGGCTTTTGGAAAGCAATTAGCATGTACTTCTTTCCAATTGTTAGAGTAGTCTGGTGTAGCACAACATTGTGATCTGTGCTCCAATATGGTGAACAGGGTGCAGAGCCTTAATGTTCAAGCCACCGAGAACCCACTCTTGGAATGATGGCTTCGGAGGGCATTATAAGAAGATAATTTGTTATCCCCACATTATCTGGTCTGTTATCACAAGTTCGTCACCTTTTCGCATTCGCATTATTGGCATTCACCATCGCATCTCTCTTACTTCTCATACTCGGCCTTACAGTGCCTGACATTCCCTCATTTGTACTATAACGTGGATATTAATCCTTCACTATCACCTTGAATCCTCCAGAGACCTGGCCATAAGGTCATCGACAAATACCTCCCACACATCCATTGCATGAAGTATCAACAAACAATCATTATCCATCTTAATATCATCCAAGCATCTATCTGGGGAGGGCTTGCTCGGAAAGGGCTCGGGATTCTCACAGACTATGATGGTGCAATCCCTTATAATGCGCTTTGGGCCAATTTTGCTGCGTGTTTAGTACTAGGAACTGTTTCCAAAGTCAAGAAGACTCCGTTCATCATAGGAGTTTCCACTGGATTCTGCGGAACCCTCTCGTCATTTTCGGCCCTTGTACTAGAGTTGTTCTACAGCTCTGCCAATGTGTCCGTGGGTATCAGATACGATCTCCCGACCAAAGGATATGGAGTACTACAGTTTTTGTCAGTTCTTCTAGTGGAAATGGGGGTATCAATTCTAGGATATCACTTCGGGTTGCACTTGTCCCCAATGTACCCGTTAAATGAACAGCACCACGAGCCACTATCGTACATAGGAGCAGTTTTAGGAGCAGCAATGCCAGTTATCACGGTGGTGTTACTCGCTATCAACCCGTTATATGACTCATGGAGAGCATGGGTGTTTTTGATTTTATTTTCCCCCATGGGGGCACTCTTGAGATTCCATCTAGGAAAACTCAACCGTCCCAAGTTTCCATATGGTACATTTACTGCCAACGTGACGGGATCAATACTAATTGCAGTCTTTGCTCTCCTCACAAGAGCTCGCGTTTCCAAGTCTGACCACTCCGGATTAATAACCAGTTATATAGGATGTCAAGCCCTTTCAGGCCTACAAGATGGATTATGTGGAGCCCTTACAACCATTAGTACATTCGTTAGTGAGTTGTTCTCACTTGGACCAAAAGAATCATATCTTTATTCAAGTGTTTCAATAACAGTCAGTTTCGTGCTCCTCCTTCTCATTTTAGGGCCATATACTTGGACAGTGGGTTTAAGCGATCCAATTTGTGGTTACAGCTAGAGAACATCACTTACTTGCCAGCACACAACTGGCACTTAAATTACCAACTTCCATATCCTATCGGAAAGCTTATCGAGAAACAGGAAAGAATTCCCCTGTCGCTTATTACCTTATGCGGAAGGTCCAACAAGCCAATCGCACTACACTTATTAATAATTGTTGTTCCTCTCATCTTAATTTTCACTCCTGGCAATGTATATTCCAGACAAATATGATGCTCCTGAATGGGAACAACAAAAATCCATCATTAAAGAGTACCCATTGGCGGTATTGATAACATCCACAGAAGATGGCATCATCGCAAATCATATCCCTTTTAATTTGGTCGAGCGGGACGGGAAAAAAATCCTTCAAGCCCACTTAGCTAAAGTCAATCACCAATTGCCTTCTTTAAAGGATAACGACAAGGTTTGTGTGGTGTTTCTGTCATCTGATGCGTATGTCACTCCAAGTTACTATAAAACCAAAGAAGAGACTCATAAAGTGGTTCCTACCTGGCTTTTCGCAGCCGTTCATTGCTATGGTAGTTCCACCTTAATTGATGATTTCGATTTTATCAAAAAGCAGCACGAGTCGTTGACCGACCAAGAAGAGGCTGGTAGAGAAAAGCCGTGGGCTATTGATGAAGCCCCGGAAAAGTATTATAAGATTATGCAGAAAGCCATAATTGGCCTCGAGATTGAAATCACCAAGATCGAGGGAAAGTTCAAGTTTGAACAGAAGATGAGAAGAGAGGATATTGATGGGGTGATCACTGGTTTGGCCCAGGACAACATCCCCCGTGTTTCTAAGTTTGTGGAAGACTCCAATAAGGCGTAAATATAGTATGGTATAATATATGTATGTATTAATAGATGCTACACTTCGGGGAGGTTTCTTTTTCTATTTAATGCTTGAGTGCTTTGGGTACCATTAGTATACCTAGGTATTGTTCTTGGTTTGGTGGCCCCATAGTCGGAGGCGTTCAACGAGCCAGCTCTTTGGAACAATTTTTGGGAGTTTTGGGGGATAAGGTGATCTCTTTCATTAAGCATATCATCATCAGTTTCGTATCCTCCATCGTAATTATGACTGGGGTCCTCATCTAAATCGCTTATCCTCATATAGCCACCTTCTTGGTAAGGCTCAAAGGGATTCTTGGGCGTGTCATCTGATTTTCCACTCAAACAGAACATTACCATGAATAGGAGAATTGAGAAAAACATTAATCCTAAGATGATTCCAACACCTACACTGATGAATCCAAGGTGAAGATGAAGGAACCCATCATTTTCAAACCACTTCAAGTTGATGGGCTTATCAATAAGGAAAACGCATGAACTGTATCCTTCAGTTCGGTCATTCGATGTACAACCATGACTTAAAATCTTGAGCTTGTGTCCAGTTTTAGCACCAGATTTGTCATTGACGTCAAACACAAGTTTCCCATGGCTGTCTTGCTTGCATGAGAAGGAAAGAAGCGAGCTGTTTGAGTGTATGTCACTGTCCTCGGTGAACGTCTGATTGTCATGGTTTCCATAAATGCAATTGAAGATTTTTGGTAGCTCTGAGTTTGGTATCAAATGGGCATCGAGAAACTCAAATAAATTGGTCAAGCTAGCAGAAACATTATAAAGTTTCATAGATTCAGAAGAGGGAACCAACATGGAATAGTTCAGGTCTTTGGGATTGTCTGTGACTAATGCGTCGTAAAGTTTTGGAAATTTTTCGATTAAATCCATGAATGATATCCATGAGGTGTCATCCTCTGTAGCTTTGATCAAGCCCACAAAAGGAACTTCGAATGTTGATGGTAGTAATAGTTTACTAACAATATGGATGACTCCCTGATTAAACAAGAGGTCGGAGTTTAAGGGTAAATGGAATAAGGTGCCATTAATTCTTAAAAGATGGTTATAGTCACCATCATAAAACTGGTTGTTGATTATGAGAGAATCTCCCTGCAACGTCGTTGTGTTGATTTGTTGAGTAAGGTTATCAAGACCGAAGTCTGAATAAATAGTACCTTCCACAAAAATACCTCTCAAGATCTTCTTGAAGATCTTGGGGTTCTTCTCCAAGTAGTTCAATCTTAGACCCAAGCTTTCCCATGATCCTCTTCTGTCGAAAGCGGTACTGTCGTCTAATATGGGGATCCCACATGGTAAGAATGCTGTATACCCCAATTTGTTGTCTTTGAAACTTAAAAGATCATGTGCTTTTAAGAACTGGATGGTCTTCAAGCACTCGGCTTGGTTGATTTGAATATGCTGGAGATGGCCTGGTAAATTCCCATTTGAAAGTAAATCTGTAAGGGTGTGCTTGAAAGATTGGGGAGTATCGATATCCCCGTTCACCATATAAGCAAAACTATTATTTCCCATCTCTATAGGACCTTCAATTACATTGGCGTCGTCATTAATAGACGTAATAATCTCATGATTCAGAGCATCGACACTACTGGAAACTTTCATTCGAAAACAACCACCTATTCGGCTCTTAGAGCACAAGTTTGTTTCAGCCAGCCCATAATAAGACTGCTCATTATTATTGAAGACCTTTTCGGTGATATTGATGGACTGCTTGACAAACTGGTACTTGAGTCCATCTTTATTGGAGAAAGAGTCGATGAAAAAGGAATCTTCTTCCATCACATCGTCCCTTTGGCCAGGACTCAAAAACAACGTCTGGTTGGTTGTGGAGCCATTTATCAAATACTGCAAGGATCTGAACTTCAACTCCTTCACAAAGTCAGAATAATGTAAGGCAAAAAGAGCCTTTCTTGGGATCATGTCAGCCACTTTGACTTGTAGAGTTTCGAAGAACAACCCTTCTCCTTCAGCATAGTCAAATAAGTGCATAACTGCATCTGCAAAAACTATGGATGTGTTGAGGTTGCTCCGAAGTTTGTGGTTCAAAATGACGCTATCGTCATCAACAGTAACATTGAATTTGACAGCCTTATTGATACTTTGACATTTGGAGGCAGACACATTAGCAGGCATCAATTTGGAGTCAATTGCCAAACTACCAAGTAAGTTGGTGAGATCATACTTGATTTCCAAGACTGCCTCATCGGTAGTGGTGAACTGACTACTGTGCATAACATGGTACAACGAAGAGTAGTATCTCATTAATGTGGTAGACATCGACCTTCTGACCATTTCGTCGGTAGGGACAAAGAAGGTACCTGCATTCTTCAAGAAAATCTCACAGCTCTGAGGTATCTTCTTGTACCTATCGTCAGTTTTGACTAAAGCATCAACGGTGGAGAACTCGAGTTTGAATAACAGCTGGAAAAGACCCTTCACAAAAGAGATATTGTGCCCATTCAAAATGTTGGTGGAGTTGTCCAAAAACACATCACACAAGCTTGGTTTAAGTGGCAACTGGTGGTCGAGGGCTTGAATGAACGACCACTGGTGTTTGGCATAGATATCGGATTCCACTATGGCCGCGACTCGGTCAACCTCAAACTCCAAAGTCTCCATATTTGGCGACAACAGTACCGTGTAGGTTTTGTTATCCATCTCATACAAGGTATCGAACACAGCAGACTTGGGCTCCATATAACCCACCCGAAACCGCTGGTTAATGATGTATCGCAACAAGTAGTTGTGGTCAATGTGATCAGGACCGTCAACAAACGCCAGGTTCACTGGGGCCAACAACGTGACGTTCTGCAACGAATTTAGCACCGGAATTAAGCCTTCTCGCTGGGCTATGCGTAGAAACGTTGAAAACTGGACGTCTGACGAGAGAATATCGACTATGGTGGAGGGTGTGGGAGATGGCACGAGGGAAATGGTGGTAGGGTTGGCATTGACGGTGGCACAGGTACACACCCCTAGCCACACGGCCATGAGAAAGTACACATGGGTGATGAGGGATAGCAGTAGCATTTGTGTTCCCCTGTTTGGAATTGCACTTATCAGAGTGATGCAGACTGATAACAAAAGTTTGGGAGTGGTTACTCGCGCATTTGAAACATGGATGGGGTGAGTATGCAGGAATAATATTATTCTAATGAGACTAGACAAAGGAGTATGCTACTAAAAGGCGATGACGGCCCAGGTGCCGGTGATGGCAAGGCCCAGGGACACAGCAATGACCAACAACACCATCAGCTTTTCAAGTCCGCCGATACGGACCAATTTTAAGTAGAACAAGCATGGCAATATAATGCACACTAAAAAGCAGATGGAAGCACCAAGAATACCTATGATTTTATCAAATTCAGGAAACACGATGGCCAACCCCACAAACACCGCATTGACACCGACCCGGATCAAGAACCGTCCCACGGTCCGCACCGCGTTGCCTAACTGATTTTCTGAGATGGTGTTGGTATGGAACATAGAATCTAAGGTTGCGATAATGGGCTTCGCGTTCAATGGAGTCTTTGCAATGGGCACCATACAAATGAGTCCAGAGATTAATGGGTAGATGAAGCTGGGATAGCCGGGGGTGAAGAGTAAGTTGTTGGTGACCTCGTCCTTACAGTAGAACCCAAACATCAAGAAGCCCAACACCCCCATGGTGAAATCGGTGATCAAGGTGATCAAGTACGTTACCTTCAAAGTGCCAGTAAACTTGTAAGGATGGCGCATGTCACTCTTAAGGTTGGGGAAAATGGCATGGCCACCGAATGGAGCCATCAAGATTCCAATGGCCAAGAGGAGATCTGACCAGGAGTCAGGCCACAAGTTAGTTGGCATCACCGTAAGCAACGACCCAGGTGATGAAGCCTTGAGCAAGCCGCATACAAACACCAACCCCGTGATGGAAATGGTGGAAATGATCCCCAAGAGCGAGAATATCGACAACACTGGAAGCGGCATGAACGTAAACGGAGTTAACACGAAGAAACTCAAGATTTTGAAGTTGGTCTTTGTCCACACTTCGTCATCGCCGAGCAACGCGTAGAGTGAGTCGCTGAACAACACGATCAATGACACACCGGCACCTACCAAGTCGACGGAGAAAACAAGCGAGATCAACAATTTGGCGGCCGAGCCATACGAAGCGTACCCCAAGTCCGCGTATGTCATCAACGTGGGGTCGGTGTCCATCGACTTCGAGAGCAACGAGGCGGTCCAGAATGTGGCCAACCCACATACCAACAACATTGGAACTCCAATCACCCAACCGGCCTTTAAAAAGCCCACTGGTAATGCCAATAATCCCACGCCTATGAGCACATTGATAGAATTGAAAATCGTCTGGGGTGCCGTCGATTGGCCCGCCAATACTGTCACCACATTGCCGTCCTTGTCCTCGATCTTCTTCAAGTTGACGTGCGATGCTGTGGTAGCCATCGAGAGACTGGACCGAATACTCGAAAATGATGGGGACGGGTACATTCTTCTCTGGGGAATAGGAATGCCCTGAGCCACCACCAGCGAACCTGCTCGAGACCGCGAGTTGTTCAAGGCACTGAGAATATCGTCCTGGTAGAAAACGTCGGTGATGGGGGCAAACGAGTCATAACTGAAGAGGTTGTTGCGAGCGACATTCACGTCGTGAACCACTGTACTCAAACGTTCTCCCCGCTGAGACGGGATCATCAACTCAGGGTCGAACAACTCATCGGGCTCCGCACCATTTTCGTCCTCCCGATGGAAGAATGAACGTTGCCGGTGGATTTCGCTGTCTAATTTCGAAGCAGCGTACGATTGGGCCCTGGTGAACGAACTGGCGAAATTGTGCAAGGAGTTGGGCCCACGAAAGGAGCCAATCGGCGCGTCGAGGAACGATTGTCTTCTAAAGGAGTTCAACGGTGTGAACTCGGTGACGTCCGAATCGTCATCGAACGGAGATGCAGTGGAAGACATCAAGAATATATTTAAGGTCAAACGTTAAAGCTCGCGCCGGAAATGAGATTTCTGATAAGGGAATTCGCAGATGGTGCGATGGCGTGCGACGCCAGAAAGGGATTAAACCTCTCAGGCTTGTACGGCTTCTTTTGAAAATATTAAAACAACTCAAGGTTGACAGTTCTGCCATACCCAACCTCTGCATCACCATCTCCTCGATGTCGTTATCCGAAACGCTATCTCAATGGGTACGACTGTCAGTATTCTTCCAAAAGGAATCCAACTTATCATCTCGGCAAAAATGGATCTTGGGCTTGGTCAATTTGGGTTCAGTAGTGATATTCTGGGTGCTGTCCTCGTTTTTGGTGAGCGACTTGTTTGATAGCGATGTGTATCGCAAGCCGTTCATGATAACTTACCTTAACACGGCGTGTTTCACCCTCTACTTCATCCCATATTTGAAGCTTGAAGGGCTCGGTGTGTCTGAGTTTGTGGCATTAGTCAAAGCAGAATACTCTAACCTGCCGCCAGCATTCAACGATATCGAAACGGTATCGTATGGTTCAGGTTCAGATGTTAACGAGATACCACCCGAGCCGACTCCGGACCTCAAGGTTGGAATTTTAGAGACTATTTCGTTGTCATTGAAGTTCTGCGCCCTTTGGTTTGCCGCCAACTTGGCCACTAACTGCTCATTATCGTACACGTCAGTGGCATCCCAGACCATATTGTCCTCGACATGTTCATTCTTCACCTTGATCATCGGCTTTGTCTACGGGGTGGAAAAAGTCACTCGAAGCAAGATCTATGGTATAGTTCTATGTTTTGTTGGAGTGGTGATAGTCACCAGAGACGATTCTTCTGCCACCAATCCCGCCACCTCCAACTGGCTAGTGTTGATGGGAAATCTCATGGCACTCATTGGAGCTCTTATTTACGGGATTTACACGATCTTGCTAAAGATGAAGACGGTGGTGAAAAACTCGACTTTGGAACGAGAGCTCAATACGCATCTTTTCTTTGCATTTGTGGGAATCTTCACATTGGTGATATTGTTCCCAGTGATGGTGATCCTCCATTTCACGGGTGTGGAGCGGTTTGTGCTCCCCACCAACAAACACGCGTTGACGCTGCTTCTGATCAACATGCTCATTACCCTCATCAGTGACTTTTGCTGGTGCCGAGCTGTGCTTTTAACCAGTCCGCTCACCGTCACCGTGGGACTATCTTTGACCATTCCGTTGGCCATGGTGGGCGACTGGGTGCTCAAGGGGTTCCAATTGAATCTTTTCTACATCTCGGGAGCCGCCATTGTCACTATTGGTTTTCTCATCATCAACCACGACGAAGAGCAAGAGTTCAGTCACAATCATATAGAATAATTACTTACAGTTGATAAATATATTGAACAATTGAGTTGAACACCTGGTCATGAACAGCCAACAGTACTATTGATGAATCCGATGGTAAACACAGAAATCAGGTTTCGCATCAATTTCTCAAACAAACGTTTTGCGTTGCTCACAAAATGGTAATCGTCCACAGTTTGGTATGGGTTCTACTATTGGGGGTGCTCGTGGCAGCCTTGTCATCACAAGAGGCATTGGGCCTCACAGAACTCTCCCAGAAAAGCGAGGACTTCATCATACGCGTCACCGATGGGAAATTGGATCTGTTCACAGGGGTAAGAGACTATTACACGTTGGTGATTCTCACATCTACATCTTCTGAGCACAAATGTACCACTTGCCAGAACCTCATCGACATTGTGCAGATAGTTGCTCGATCCTGGTTTCACGACTATACACGTCTGCACGCATTGTTTTTTGTCGAAATTGACTTGGTTCACGAGCCCAATATGCGGTTAGCAGGCGCTATCCAACTTCAAACAGTTCCACACCTATGGCTTGTACCGCCCAACCCCGAGGAACAGTACGATGAATTTGCATTATTGAAGGAACAGCATTTTATTTACCGATTGCCGGTGGGTAAAGTCGACAGCCAAGCGTTTGACTTAGCTCAGTTCTTGTCGCAGACCCTTCAGAAGTCTATCTATATTCGAGACGGAGACCCCATGGTGAACTTTGTGTTGTACTTTGTGGTGACGTTCTTGGTGATCACTATATGTAAACGAAATGCTCCTCAACTCGTCAAGAACTTGGGTAGAGTGTTTGCCTACAAGGTATTGTCTATTGGGATGATATTGGCTTCCACCACCGGATTCCAGTATTCTCGGATCCAAAAGATCCCCTTTGTGGCCAGGAACGATGAGGGACTTATCATAATCTCGGGAGGTACACACTACCAGTTTGGAGTCGAGTCCCTCATTGTCAGTGGGGTCTATTTACTATTGGCTGTATCGTTCCTTGTGTTGGTGTATCTTGGAAGTTATAAAACCACGGCCAAAAGTACCCTTGATGACCAGTCTAAACATATTCTCATCATCTCCATGACCATCACATTGTACTTGTTGTACAGTGCGCTTACAAGCATTATTCTACGCAAAGACTCCGATTATCCATATGCCTTCACCAAGCTCTTTTAAGTATTAATGCGATTCTCAATTTCTGACGCGTACAATTTTTCAGTAGGCTCTATACTTAATGTCAAATACTGTTGACAGTAAAAGAGTGTCAGAGACTCAGCACCCTGAGCGCAACGTGGTGGTAAAGAGAACAAAGATCACAGACTTTTTCCTGGTCAAGAAGAAGCCTGCACCACCGAAAGACGTAAGCTCTACTGAGTCGAAACAAACAATCAAGACGGTAACAACTACAACGACATTGAAACTAAAACCAACCCAGCCAGCCGAAACAGCTCAACAATGTGACCTGTTGGATGAAGACGCCTTCTCTACAAAGTACAACTTCAATAAAAAAAAGTGGATAGAACTGCTTTCTCCAAAATATCTCGAGCTTTTAGACCTCGAAATCAACTATTTACACATTTCCTGGTTGACTTTTCTTCACAAAGAACTCACGAAACCCTACTTTCTCAAATTGAAACGGTTTCTCAAAGCTCAGGCCCACAAGACGGTATTTCCTCCTAAGCACCAGATCTACTCCTGGTCCCATTTCACACCACTTCCACAATTGAAGTGTCTTATTTTGGGCCAGGATCCATACCATAACTTTAACCAGGCCCACGGGTTGGCATTCTCTGTTTTGGAGCCCACAAAACCGCCTCCTTCTTTGAAGAACATCTACAAAGGTATTCAAAACGACTACCCCAAGTTTGAGCCTCCCAATAGTTCTCAGGGTGGAGGTGGTAATTTGACCAAGTGGGCTAAGAGGGGTGTCCTCATGTTGAACACCTGTCTCACGGTAGAGGCGCACAAAGCCAATAGCCATTCGAAACAAGGATGGGAAACATTTACCCAAGAGGTCATAAATACAGCGATAAACTACCACCAGAACCAGGAGAATTCGGGGTTCGTGGTGATGGCATGGGGAATGCCTGCGCAGAACACCGTGGGTCAATTCCCTAATTTGCAAAAGACAGACAACTTTCTTGTTTTGAAAACGTTCCATCCGTCGCCATTCTCAGCTGCAAAAGGTTTTTTCACTGCCCAGTGTTTCCGGAAATGCAATGAGTGGCTCGAACAACAGGGCAAGCAACGTATTGATTGGGCACTTTTAGACTCGAACCAAATCTTTACTTGAAAGAAGCACGTTAAATAGTTAAATATTCATGTTATTGTCATTGGTTGTACAAACTCTTGCAACATTGGTTTTAGTATATTTTTAATTCGCAGCGCTGGCAACACGTCTATTAACCAGATTCGCATTTTTCTGCGGTTGCAAAGGGGTTACCCGGAGTGGCTGATAAAAAAAAAGAAAACGGAACGATCAACTCTAAGCTAATACCTAACGCCTAAAATATTTTTGTGGAAAAACCTCCTGAATTTTTGTCGCTTTCACAAAAACCTTTTTTTACTGATTTTGCTATACGCATCCATCTGTTTTAGAGCATCATTCAATTGAATCACACGCCCATTTTCACTTCGTGACGTATTTCTTCTATTTTTGATCCAAATTTATCCAATAATAGTTGCAAATTCAACTGAGGCAATAATCTAAACTGACGAGGCATGACAAGAAGCAAAAATTCAAAAACTCCCGCCATCACCAAGTCCATTACCAAACCTCCTGGCAGAAAGAGCGTCAATACTTTGAGCAAATTTCGATCCGAATCCCACGATCAGCGGCTCAAACGGTTCCTTCTCAGTACTGATGCTGCCACCGCCAAAAAAAATGATGTCGATGATTCGACAGTGCGATTTAAACATTTGTTGGCCCTTACTCCGTTGTTTCGGTATTTCATAGATTTGAGTGCCTCCAAAGATGTGCTGTTCAAAAAAGTGATTCGTCAGCTCGACAATGAACACTCCATTCAATTGAAAGATACGAAGAAGAGAAAGAGAAGAAAGACAGAAAAGGAAGAAGATGCTGAGTTGTTAGAAGAGGAAATACATGTGGGAGATGGTGACCAGGAGAAAACTGTGATGGTTGAAACTCCCTCGTACGTGCATGGCAAACTTAGAGACTACCAAATCCAGGGTTTGAATTGGTTGATTTCTTTGTATGAAAACAGACTCAGTGGTATATTGGCTGATGAAATGGGTTTGGGAAAGACCTTACAAACTATCTCTTTTTTGGGGTACTTAAGGTACATAAAGCACATCGACGGTCCTTTCGTTGTGATCGTGCCCAAGTCTACGTTGGACAACTGGAGAAGAGAATTTGCCAAATGGACTCCCGAAGTCAATGTGGTGGTCTTACAGGGTAACAAAGAGCAACGTACAGACATAATGCAAAATCAGCTTTTGACTGCAAAGTTCGATGTGTTAGTTACCTCGTTTGAGATGGTAATCAGAGAGAAGTCTCAACTTAAGAAATTTAAGTGGGAATATATTGTTGTTGACGAGGCCCATAGAATCAAAAACGAAGAGAGTTCGTTATCACAGATAATCAGATTGTTTTATTCCCGAAATAGGTTGTTAATTACTGGAACTCCATTGCAGAATAATTTACACGAATTATGGGCGTTGTTGAACTTCTTGTTGCCGGATGTGTTTGGTGATTCTGAAGTTTTCGACGAATGGTTCGACAACCAGGGTGGTAAGGAGAACCCTGAAAGCCAGGACCAGGATCAGGTAGTACAGCAGCTTCACCAGCTTTTAAGTCCATTTTTGTTGAGAAGAGTGAAAGCCGATGTTGAAAAATCGTTATTACCTAAAATCGAAACTAATGTGTATATTGGTATGACCGATATGCAAAGGAAATGGTATAGACAATTATTGGAAAAGGATATTGATGCTGTCAATGGTGCTGTTGGAAAAAGGGAAGGAAAAACTCGTCTTTTGAACATTGTTATGCAACTCAGAAAGTGTTGTAACCATCCATATTTATTTGACGGGGCTGAACCAGGCCCCCCCTTCACCACAGATGAACATTTGGTTTTCAATGCTGGTAAAATGATAATATTGGATAAAATGTTGCTGAAATTCAAAAGAGAAGGTTCGAGAGTCTTGATCTTCTCTCAGATGTCCAGATTGTTGGATATCTTAGAGGATTATTGTTTCTTGAGAGAGTACAATTATTGCAGAATTGACGGTTCAACGTCCCACGAAGAAAGAATCCAGGCCATTGACGATTACAATGCTCCAGACCTGGAAAAATTCATTTTCTTATTGACCACCAGAGCTGGAGGGTTGGGTATCAATTTGACTACTGCTGACATCGTTATTCTTTACGATTCGGATTGGAATCCTCAGGCTGATCTTCAAGCTATGGATAGGGCTCACAGAATTGGACAGAAGAAGCAAGTGAAGGTTTTTCGATTTGTCAGTGAAAATGCCATAGAGGAGAAGGTGTTAGAAAGAGCTGCTCAGAAATTGAGATTGGATCAGTTAGTCATCCAACAAGGTAGACTGAGTTCAACTGCAGCTATTGGTAGTAATAAGGATGATTTGATAGGCATGATTCAACATGGTGCTCAAGAAGTATTTCAGTCTGACAAGACAGAGATGTTTGATGATGATATTGATGCTATCTTACAAAGAGGTGCCGAAAAAACCAAGACTTTGAACCTGAAGTTCAATAAATTAGGTCTTGATGATATTCAAAACTTTGCCTTCGACAACTCTACTTGGGAATGGAATGGTCAAAACTTTTCCAAAAAGGAGAATGACAAAACTGGAGTTGCGTGGATCAACCCTAGTAAAAGAGAGAGAAAGGAGCAAACTTATTCTATTGATAATTATTATAAAGATGTGCTAAAGGCAACTTTAACAACAAAAGCCACCAACTCTCAGTTGAAAGCAAAAGCTCCCAAGCACTATAACATTCAGGATCATCAGTTCTTCCCCGATGGCCTTGCTGAACTCCTAGAAAGAGAACAATTACAGTACAAGCAAGAAGTTGGGTACAAGTACTCTGTAGATGAGTTTGGAGATAGCGATGAGGAGTTTTTGGCTGATGAATTCAAGAGCGATGTCTCTAGAGAAGAAAGAAGACGGATAGAGCAGAAGAAAGTTGATTCTGTCATACCATTGACTGAAGAAGAAACAAAGGCGAAGGACCAAATGCTACTGGAATCGTTCTATAACTGGACCAGGCGTGACTTCACAAATTTCATTCATGGCTGTGCTAAGCACGGAAGAAACTCTTTCGAGCAGATAGCTAAGTCAGTTGGGACCAAAACTCCTGAGGAAGTTCAACAGTATTCACAAACCTTTTGGAAAAAGTATACTACAATTGAAGGTTACGAAAAGTACATTACTCAAATCGAATCAAGTGAGAAGAAACTGGCTAAATTACAGAAACAACAGGAAATTTTACATTCAAAAATGAGTCAAATCGAAGATCCATTGTCAGATTTAACTATTGCATATCCCCCAAACAATTCCAAAAGAGTTTATTCCAAGCTTGAAGATAGGTTCATCTTGGCTTGCGTTTATAAACATGGAATCTTCAGTGAAAATTTGTCTGAGAAAGTAAGAGAAGAAGTATCATTGAGTGATCTTTTCAGATTTGATTGGTTTATGTTATCCAGAACTGCTCAAGAGCTTGGTAGACGAATTAACACATTACTTCTAGCTCTTACACGAGAAGTGGATACTGCCAACAAAAAGAAATCAAAACTTCCTAACATTGGTAGCTCTGCAAATAGTACTAGACCTGGATCAACTGAACCATCTGCAATACCTAATGGAGCTGGTGCCAAAAGGAACGGGGATGAAAATACGATTGCTCCCATCAAAAGAAAGAAGAAATAACAAATTTTTCATTTACGATAAAAATTGATAGACTATGTAACACTAGAATGTATATTATACACATTTGACGATTCTTTATACATAAAAATATCCTAAAGATACTGATCTCTAATTGTGGGCATCACAGTTGAAATGTAATAAGGAACTTTATTAGCTGTCCAACTGACAGAGAAAAAGTCACTCATTTCATGCTTTTCTACTTCAAGATAATCAAATACGGTGTTGTCGCCAGTAGATTTGTATCTTGGAGTAATGAAGTTCTTCAAACTAATAATTTTGGTACCTGGCCTCAAACCATGAAGTAGCCTACCGACTTCAAAGTTCAATTTCATATCAAATAAATAATTGTTGACAATTAAAACATCGCAATCAAGAACGTCGTTCTTGACCACTGGATTGTTCACAAAACTTTGGGCCAAAGCAAACCGCAAGTTAAGAGGTTTGAGACCAAATATCTTTAAATGTTTATCCAATACCAACTTTTGAATAGCAGTTAATCTTGATGCATGTTCCATCAATTCACATCCGCCACTAAAAGCAGCACCAAATTCGATAGCTGCTTGAAAAGATGTGTTTCCCACACCCGAGCCAAGATCATAGAACTTTTGGTTAGGCTTAAAGTCAACCTTTGTCATAACCTCACTAACAAATGATGGTAATAATTCCCCGTAGACTTCAGCTGTAAACGCTTTATATCTTCTAAGCTCTCTTGATCTTGTTGAAACCACACGAGAGTAAACTCTGATCAAAAGTTGTTGCATGCAATACCTTGAAATAGTGGTTTTTGATTTCAACCCATTGAAGAAGTCTTGAATATATGTTTTAGGTCTTTCAATACCTGCAACCACTTCAGTTGCGCTTTTTAAGGGTTGTTCTTCGAGCATTGTCTCAAATTGGAGCTCTGATTCGATCTCTGGGTCAGCGTCTTCCTCAGTCTCATTTTCCATAGAAGCTGGAGGCTTATTGCAAACCTCGTTGTAAAAGTCTTTTAGGTTCAAATCACCTGCAGTAGGCTTTGTGAAAGAGTCCGTGACAAATTCCCTAATTTCGGGGTTCACGTCAACTGACAACAATTCATTTCCTTTGTAAGTAGGAGATAAATATAGCATCAATAAATTCCACTTCTCAATGATGAACATGAAATTGGTGAAGTTGTTTTCATTGATAGCGTCCTCAACTGCCATACAGTAATCTTCGTACATAATTGATTTCAACTTTTCAGAATGAGAAAAGTATAAACAGTAATGGATTTGAAAAAACTTTTGAATCTCAAAGAGAGGACTGAGCTCATTCTGCTTAGGACTAGCCAAGACAAAAAGCTCACAATGTTCAGGATAGAGTAATGTCCTTAATCTGATTCTGTTTTTGCTATTCAATTGACTGTTTCCGTTTGAGTCGATGATGCGCAAAGGTGGGAAAGAATCCCCCACACTGTTGTAACGGTTAGGGAAGTCCAAGATTATTCTGGCAGATAATACATCCGTTTGGTAAAGATCAGTTTTCATTTCTTCCAAAGTATCGGTTTCCAAGTCCTCTGGTAAGAATTCCAACTTGGGAACGAACGCGTCATCTTGATATATTCCATCCACAAATAACTGTCTGCCCTTGGTATCAAACAGGGTATCAACAGTGACATCATAGGGATCAAAAGGACTGACAACCTCAGCTTCTTCCTCCTCTTCCTCGCTACTTTCTTCTGATTCCTCTTCAGATGATTCCTCCTCTGATTCCTCCCTCTCGGAAGCTCTTCTTGTGGATTTTCTTGGTCCACCTCTCTTTCCCTTCTTGCCTTCCACTTTTTTCTTTAACATCCTTTTCAATATCTGCCTATCCTCAAATTGGGGCACAAAGAAAATGGTCTTCTGCCTCTTTCTCTTTTCATTGTCCTTGATTAATTTCTTATCACCGGTTACCGATTGGAAATAAGCTGCTTCTGTAGCAAGTTGATTTACAATTCTCGGCTGGACATGACGAGATACTTTCTTTGCCTTGGGCCGATTGGCATTTTCCCGTTGTTTCCTAAGTCTTTCTTGACGTAATTCCTCTTCTCGTTGTTTCCTGCGCACTTCATTCAGCTGCTTCTTACGCTTCATCTCACGGTACTCTTCGATAGAGAGATGCTTTTCTTCATGTTCAGCCACCTTCACCTCATTAAGGTCCACCACAGGAAGCATCCCTCTCGTCCGTCGTCCACGGGTGGTTCCAAATTCGTCAGAACAGTACCATTGAGACATATATACAAGTTCTTCAAGGGAGCTTTTAAACTTTCTTTTGCGGTAGGAATTCGTGAGGCTCTTTAACTTATTACTTATACTCGAATAAGTTCTGAAAGGAAGAAGCGATTGAATGTGGAGGATGGACTTCCCTTGGCTCAGACATTCGTTGATTATTTCCAGCTCTTCTTTTGAGTAATTTGGCTTTTTCAATGGGAAACATTCACCGACAATCTCTCTAGTAGGAACGCCTGGGAAGTGAACACGTAAGCTTTCACGGGTGCAACCAGTTGCTAGGACATACTCCACTAATTCTCGGTCAATCTCGAGTGGCCGGGGCTCGACCTCGACCAATTTGGACGTGATTTCATCTTCCAGTCTAAGGAACAATTCGTCAGCCACATCTTCCAAAGATCTATTATTGGCCTTGGAAACCTGTAAAAAGTAGACTTCAATCGGAGTCCAAGTAGGTATAATTTTAAAAAAAGTCTTGATGTCCTCAGTTTGAACATCTGGCAATTCCTCAAATAACCCTCCAGCAGTCAAATCGAACCCCATTTGAAATACCAAAACACCCACGTCTTCTGAACTCCATGACTCGGGAACTTTCAAGGTCAGGAGAAGGTCACTCACCTCCTGTAGTTTTGCAGAAAAATCTGGGTCGCTTCGAAGAGGCAATTCTGACTTGGAAAGTGGTACTCCGCTTTGTTGATGTTGAACCAACTTTACCACTTCAGGTCGTGTCCATTTGGGACTGGGCATCGTCAACGACACATGGTACACAAAGGAATCAAGAGGGATTGCAGGGAGTCGATTTTTGATGGCTTGAAGCGTCAAGTCATAATTCACGAGATATTTAACTTGATTTATCTCGTGTTCATTCCAGGTCCTATCGCACGTATCAGTTTCACTAGATTCCTTAGAATCAGGTGTAAGATAAGCATCTTGATCGGATTTGACGTATGACGCGTCGGTGTTCAACTTAAATAACTGCTGCTTCATCGAGAGCTCAGGTAGTTTACTCTCTGTGTGGATAAACATTTGTTCTAATTGCATAGATAATAATTGGAAATATGTGTGTTTTTCCTGGTTAGGATTTTTTCGGGATTATATACAAAATCTCAACTTTGGTGTTCGTAGGACAAATTATTATTTTCCGACCCTCTGTAACTTGCAACTGAACTATCTATACACAACTATTTATAGGTGTTAAAGCTTGCTGGCCCGTAACCCATTCATTCGAAACTTCAATTCTTTAAGAACTTTACTCTCAGGTTTCCAATCATCAAATAACTCGTACAATTCGTTAATCTCATCATATCCAGTTTTGCCCATTTCGTTACCCTTGTCCACACTGAGTAGTTTGTTATTATTGGGCCAATTCTTTTCTATGTTAAACAACAAGCCCCGTAAGCACCAAGGTAAGATGAAGGGGTTGGTGCCTATCTTGCTGATGTTGAACTCCTTGATGTAAACCTGGTTGGTACTTGGCAACTTGACTATTTCGGTTGCAGACAAATCTGTGGGAAGCGAGCCATAGTTGCCTATTCCGGTAGTGACAACTTCATGTTTGGGTAGGCTATTGACCTCGTAGCTCGGTTCCGTGTTGGATAACTTGGAGCTCGACGTCGGTGGGAGCACAATGTCATCCGTGTCCAACACGAACTTGATTCCCAAATCGTACACTTTCCCGTCATTATAAAGCTTTGAGTGGCCCCCACCTGTTAATGGTCCAGCCAATGCAGTGCTTAGCTCCTTCAAAACATTGTTATCAAAGTATCCCATGTTCTGTAGTTGACAACAAAGGGATACAAGCTTTTGAATAAACAATGGGGTCTGGGAAGAGTGGTCAATATAACACGCACGGTATATGTTGGGATGATAGACGTGCGCCGAAACTGCACTATACAACGGTACCAATTGGTCATTAATGGACCCAATGAAGCAAATTTTGATGTTTGAGTTGATAATCACCTGTATAGACTCTTTGTATACCAACGACTGTTGGCTGTTAAACTTGGTCAACTCAAACAATTCCATTAACGAGTCGTGTTCAAGTGCAGAGTAGGCCTTCATAAAGAAAGATTTGTCGACTCCATAAAATGGGCCGTTATTAATTCCGGCCATTCCCAAGATTCCAATTCGCTTGTTGATGGCATCTTTCAAGATTCCCATACGAATCAACTTGGCCAACAAAATAATCGACACCACACAACCCTGAGAATGGGATGCAACAAATATCAAATCCGCATCATTTAACTCCTGTTGCCATTTGATCAAGATCTCAGTGAAAAATTCTACTCTGTCAAGAATCTTTCCTTCTTTCTCCAAGGCGATCTTCTGGATACTGACTTGCTTAGAATCACTCTCGTCGATCAACCTATTCTCAATACAGTACCTGATCATGGCCTTTTCAGCCTCATTGGCAAACTTCAACGACGTTCCTTTTGGCGCACCAATAAGAGGTCGTATCATCTTTGTAGGGAAAAATCCATGGACTCCGATAATCAAGATCTTCTTGATCTTCGTTAACGAACTGCCCTTATGACGCACGATCTCAGCTTGTCTGATTTGCGGGGGTTTCCCGGATCTGCCGGTGCCCCTGTGGTTTATCAAGAGATTTCCCATCGGATCATTGGTGATGGATATAGAGTTGGGGTCATTGGCATCTTCCTCTATTTGTGTTTCTTGATTATAGGAATAGGTACTGTCACTGGACTTGGTATAGTACTTGTTATAATTGGGTAGACACGCTCTCTTGTGGCTTGGTAGTTTGGCCAATGATCTTCCATAAAGCTTGTACGTCCTCTCGTACAACAAATTAAACTCCTTCTCTAATTTGTCTTTAGAGGCCCCTGAATTGTCCGACATCTCTTCTGGGCCATCAGATTCATCTTCCATGACACTCGTCAAAGTGTGGGAGCTGAATCCCAATTTTGTGGACAATTGGCTCAAAAACGTTCTCCAGTTGGTTAAATCCACCTTATTACTATTGGTATTGTTCTGGTTCGAGGTGGAAGTGCTACCAAACAATGTAGATGTTAGATGACTCCCAGAAATAATTGAGGCTTGGTTAGGCAAACAGGTGTCCCAGTCGGGCACAATTACGTTTTCCTTCAAGTTTTCGTTTTTGTGGGTGTTGATTTTGCTAAATTGTTTAGCATCATCGTGAGGTTTGTACAAAACAGCATCATCTTCCAGATTGGCAGGATTTTCATCATTCACATCTGGTCGTGGAACTAGCTGCTGAGACGATGGTAGAATCGTGTTGGAAACGTTCGTATTGATCTTTTCCTCCTTCTCCTTCTTCTTATTATTATTATCTTTCTTGTTAGCCTTATCTTTTGGCTCCTCATTGTTGTTATCAAGGTTGGAGTCGGAGTTCAAGTCCTCGGCAGAATTTGTCGAGTCTCTCTGTGTGGTCCAGAAATTCCATGAGGATATGCTCTTTTTTCTATCTCCGGGAATGTGGTCATCCACTTCATCATCATTATTGTTATCGTCATCTGGAGAATCATCTTCATCATCTGGAACATTTTCTTCTCCAATGGCGTCTTCATGGTTATCAAAGTACTGTTGGCTGTTGTCGTTCTTTTTCCAGTTCATCCAATTTCCAGATGTTAGCTGTGCTGAGAGAGCTTTCATGGTACTTATATCCGGGGATTTACTCCTCTCACCGTCTGGGGAACTGGTTGGGGGATTCGGGCTTAGAGGGACGGCCAGCGAACTATCGGTCGCTTTGCTGGTGTTCCACAGTTTCAACCAGCTGGAACTCATAGTATAGAATGATGGAGATCCGTGTATGAATGTCTAGCAAAAGATGTGGTGGTTATTAGTCCTAGCAGATTACAATTGACACTTGCTCAAAAGCGGGTGCGAAAGCCCTTTTAATTCATATGATATATTTGTGAGGTGAAACTGGCACTATTATTTTGTAGGGCCCAGTCGGTTTTTTGTAGTAGATCGTGCTGTTGTACTAGGAGCTGTGACTTGTCGGTGCAGTGTCCACCTGTTGTTTTGGGCGCCTGGAAGCTGGGTGGTACCAATTCAATGGCTAACTACCTTTTAACCCATGTAATCTGTACAAATGTAGATGGGATGTAGCTGATCTCAGCTCATACTTAGTTCTGAGTTGAAAGACCTTAACAACTACACTAATATTTTAGTCCATATATTAACAATTTCCCTCCTACGCTTTTGCTGTGCTCCCGCACAACTGTTATTTCTCAATGGCGAAGAGGAGAGGAACAGAGGTATCAACTAAGTTTTTAAGCATCAACCCCCAATATGAAGAAGAAGTGTTGGAAGTCTACGCCATTCTTACAGAGGAAGTAGAAGACTTGCAATTGAAACAACTCCGAACAGTGTTCAAACGCCTTCAAATTCCCAAATGTTTCACCGCCGATATCCTTCAAAGCATAGACCACTTCTATGAAAGCAATGGAACTCTCATCAAGCACCGCACCCCCAAGTCCGATATCGTGCTTCATATGGTCACCACCTTTACGATCTCATCACGGTTGGTAAATGACTCAGATATCATAGACATTGTGGATGTAGATAAGCTCATATCTTACACCAGCAAGTTATTATATTACAGAGATAACTACACCCACATCAAGAACACGTGGCGTTTATTTGTGGAGACAGTCCTTGGGTCTGCCCCAAGTGTGTCTGAGCTCCTCGAGTTCAAGTTGAATTTGGTGGATTTAAAGAAGATCAAGTCGGTTTTGGGACTAGACGGATCAGGCAAAGACACGTTAAGCGACGTGTTACTTATTGATATGCTCAGCTGCTGTTCTTCCGATGAGTCGGGTACTATCTACAACTTCGACTTCTCTAGAGCCACTCATGGCTTGTTCATTAACATTAAAGATTTTGCATGTATTTTAGGTAATTTGGGAGAATACGATTAATGAAAAATCTTGCGCGTATAAATATTCACACTGCAATGGTATATATTGATCCTCAACAACTTAAAGCCCTAGACAACCAAATCCTTGAGTCTTCCATTCCAGTGGTGTCCGAAATACATCTTCGAGGCGATGTAAATTTTTGTAGCATCAGGCAATTGGATTTGGTGGTAGCCCATTTATTTCAACGACTTACCCTAATGCCTCTGGTTAGATCCACACTTGTTCCCAATGCCAATATCATCCGCTTCTTGCTCACTGCCGCCTCGCGAGTGCCAGCCATAAACTATGCGGCTTCAAATGACCTGGACTATGTATCACAAATGGAATCAGAAAAGGAGATTCCACGGAACTACACCAACCTTACTCCTTTAAATACCAAAGCGGCACTATTATTACAGGTATACATCGGGCTTCTCAATACCTCAATCAGTGATCTGGAAAGGGAAGATATATACCACGAGTTTAACTTTGTATTTTCGGAGTTCATTGTGGCCCCATTGCATCAGAGGCCGTTTCAGGAACGAAATGCTAGCAAGCAGGCCAAAAAGGATATTAGCAATCTTTATTCTGTCACCCTGCTTCCAACCAACTCTCCAAAGAGCCGAAATAGACAGCAGAAAGAGGATAGTGCTGATGCCACCATGTATTCTCCTTCGGCCCACTCGGTGGTTGAAGATTCTGAAGATGGGTTCTCACCTATCTCTCGGCCTCGCGTACTAGAAGAAGAGATTGATGTTTTCGAGAAATTTGCACCTACAAAACCCACCTCGCAGAACAAGCGGTCTCTTTTGGACTCAATTGGGCTACTATCTCATATTGCTGCTCCACTGCTGCCTAGAAGTTCACGTAATTCACCCGAAATACCCTCACGAGTCAGAATGTTTGATGAGGAATTGATAACTGCAAAGTTGAACCCCAACACCAACAACCACTATTCCTTATGGAATTTAGTTGAATGGATGTTCTACTGTGCATCATCAGCGTCAGATCCTCAGGATGATTTGACTGGGATCGACTATCACCGTCAGTTGTATTATAACTATAGCACATTTTTTACGCTTGTCCTTGATTTTGTGGAGTTCGATTATTGGAGGTTTGTGGAGAAAAAGGTATGTCTGATTATTGACTGTGACGTGAAAGAATTCATGCAAGTGGTGCCACTGCTTTCTGCATCCGAGGTTAAATTATGTACAAAGGCCTTCCACTCATTTGACTTTCTACTTGCAAAATTGTTCCAGCAGAAAACCCCCAAGTTGATTTATTGGTTTGATAGAGGACTTGAAGCGGTATTTTCTGGTTTAGATGGGGCCCTGAGAGTACAGCAACCAATCCCTTGTTACGAGAAGGAGCTTGAATTGGCCAAAAAGCTCAACAAAAATAAATCAGATTTGATCAACTCATGTGTATTAGACTCCTTTAAAATTAGACATAAATTTGTGTACACCATGTACTCCATGTCTTTGATTTATTCCTACATAGAATCAGGTAATAACCAACCAAAAAAACTTGTGGATGAAGAATCTCCATTGGGACTCTCTAACTTCACAACCCAATTGAGTAAAAAATTAAACCTGTTGGATCCTTCTGCTGTAGAAGAGTTTTTGAAGGCAAGTTTGGTCCACATTGATGACACCAATTATGATAAGGAACTGTTTTTATTCATAGTGCTCATGTTAAGAGGGTTATTGCATCAGACTACGAAGGGTGAGTTTTCCCAGGACTTAGCCCATATCTTTAGAGTCTTTGTCAACTACCCTGAAGAAGAATTTTCCCGTCATCTTGTTGCAGTGTTTGATAATTCTTCTATATTTAGGAGATTTATGGAGACCGAACTTTCGGTGGATTCTTTGGGTCCTTTGATTCAGTCCTGGAATATTTTCCAAGTGACTTGTTGTGCTATTTCCCAGCTCTTACAGATTTGGAATTACAGACAGACCGTATTTACGGTGGAAGCATCATTCCTTTCGAAGTATGAAGTTAACTTGACGAAAATTAATTCTCGATTTTCTTCCTTCCTTGCTCAAACATCTGATTGGACACCAGAGTATAGAACCAAGGCCGTAAAGCTAAAGGACCAGCTAAGGATAGTTGATTTTACGTCTTCATGGAAAAATTCTACCTTACGTTATTGAAGTTTTTATCATTAGCATTGAATTATGTAAGTACTAATACCATTAAAGTATCTATTTTTAGATAATATGCTTGACCTTGAAGTAATGTCTCAAGTATTGGATTTGCCAAGCACCCAAACCAACCAAAGAAATCACCACCAATGTTGAAAAGTACTTGACCCTGGAGTTGGTCGATTCGTTGGTATCTCTCATCCTCTCCTCTCTCTTCTTCAAGTATTGCAACTCACTGGCAATTTCGGCAGTCATTTCTTCAACTCTACGCAATTCCACCTCATTTGGCTTCAACTTTTCAGCCACCTGAATAGCGTTCCAGTCTCTGGCAGCAGCACCACTTTCTATGTCCAATTCGACTTCTCTAGACAAGTGAGAGTATTTCACCTTCGTCTCTAAAACGTTGGTGAAACAAACATCAAATGCAGCACTGTGGAAACTGGTGAAGGTTATCCTGGCACTGGTGCCAATATCATTCTTCTTGCGGAGTTCATTTCCAAGCGAATCGGTTACAACCACGTTAAGCTGTTGGCCATCTCCAATACGTCCATTAGTTTTAATGTTGATGACAACCAATTGGTTTTCCCCCACGAAGTCTCGAATGCACACGGGTTCGGGGTTGGCCTTGGCCAAGATATCCACGTTCAATGCAGTTATAAAGGTAAACAACGTCGCGATGACGAGTAACATACTGGAGCTTTTCATTTTGTTAACGTTGGTGCTAAAAACAACTGTTGATCTGGCGTGAAGTGTCCAAATTTTTCAGTTGCGCGTTCACGCCCTCTTCTACAAGGGTGCGCGAGTTTAGAGACATCTGCTGCTTTAGGCAGTCAACAGTTAATACATCTGAAAATTCGCACCAGCCGGGAAATTTTTCACACACTCGATTCTAGACAACCAACCATGGCTAAGGCCAAAACTACACACACAATGGTCAAGCTTGTGTCAGCGGCCAAAACCGGATACCAGAAGTGGTTCAATATTCCAAGACATACCCAGAGACTCAACTTGATTTTGTATGACCCCGTGGCAAAGAGACACTGTTTGTTCACCGAAGAAAAGAAGAGAAAAGTCCCATTGGTGATCCCAAAAGACTTTACCCGTTCCCACCGAGTGTAAAAAGCCGTCCTTATTTAATCCCATGTCTTGTATATATGAACAATCTCCGTTTAATGAAAGAAAACTGTTTTTATAACTAAATAAAAGCTAACCTATTTACACGATTAATTGTATGATTTGATATTCCAGTCTCCATCTGGGGCAATGTGAAGGTTGCTGTTATCTCCTATGACTGTTACAACTTCCTTTTGGGCCTTCACCAAGTACTTGTCGACGACATTCTTCAAGTCCTCGTTGTCGATATCCAAGAACCGCTCTCTTCTATCTTGTCTCATATCATCCGTGATACCTTCAATAAAGGCTGCTACTCCTTGCAGAGCAACGTGTGAGGGAGCATCAACACTTTGGAAAATCGATAACTTAGCCTCCTGTAAGTCTTTGGCGTCCCAGTTGGACTCTAATTTGTCTAAAGCAATCTGAAATGTCTGTCTATAAGAATCAACTGACTTTAATGGATTGGGGTCTCTGTATGAGTAGAAATTTATAGTACCACCCAAACCATCGTAAGTCATTCCTCCACCGTACGCTCCATTGGCTTCTCTTATAACTGAATGTAAATGTTTGGAAGATAATAATTGTGCCAAAACTTGCAAAACTGCTCCATCCATAGAAGTGTACTCAGCGCCGAGTTTGGCGAGCGAAGAGTACCCGATTTGAAAAGGCAAGTTGATCAAAGTCAGGGTTTTGACTTCAGGGTAGGAAGTAGAAAATCCCTGAGTGAACCCAGAAAGCACATTCTCATTTTCTAAAGACTTCAAAGAGCCCATACGGTCATCAAATGTCTGTATGAGGCTTTCAGCTTCCGACACAGCGCCTGCATCTCCGATCAAGCTGTACTCAAACCCTGGGTTCGATCCTTTTGTAAATCCACCAACAACATAGTCTTGGATTTCATTCAATGTTGGCAACAATTCGGTTGTCAAGAAATCTTTACCTTTTGCTTCTAATTCCCTGTTAAGTTGCATAATAAACTCAACCTGACCAATACCAGAAGTGATATTTCTAATGTTCTTGCTGACTGTCAACTGAGAGTTTGAGAAAGCTGAGGAGTATGAATGGCCTCTTTCAGCAATACTGTTCATCTGGTTTTGACCGAGATTCTTGACTAGAGTGTTCAACTTGTCGACCACTTCAGGCTCGTTCGTGAGCTTGGTCTCAGTCAAAATCTCTTTCCACAACTCAAAAATGTACAGAGAATTCTGTTGCAAGGCCATACCGGTAGCAACGAACTTTAAGTTTGTTTCTGAGATGTTAAAAGGATTGGTTTTGTTGCTCACTGAGAAGGAAACACCACCAGTGTGCTTTTGGATCTTGGTTTCCAAATCAATAATTGAGGTTTGAGAAGTTCCTGCCAAATTGGTGAGACATGAGATGAACAAAGGAATGTAAGGATAATACTTAGTGGGCAAGTAACCAAAATCTTTGGCAGCAGTGGCATACACCAACCCATTAGTATCCACTATTCTCTTCTGAACCTTTTTAGAGTTCACTTCTCCGAATTTCAACCGATAGAACTCACCATTTCTTGGGATATCCTGCAACGTCAAAGTTGGCAAGACAGAAACGTCTTCCTCTTCTTGTTGCTTGGCTGCAAGCTTCAGTGCTCTTTCTAAAATGACCTGTTTGTCTTCTTCCTCTAAGACTTCCACTTTACTTTTTAATCTCTGCTTCTCTTCCTCTGCCAACTTCGTAGTGAAGTCTTCGTCTGGAATCATAGTAAAAGTAAACTTGGGAGTGTTTGGGTTCAACAAGGAGTTCTCCAACAATTGTTCAAACATCTTCAATCCGTTGGTCTCATAGTCATTCTTAAACTGTTGAAGAACAGCCTCTACTTGTAAAGACGTGATGGGATTCAACTCATTGATCCAACTCGACACTATAGAGTGCAATAATCCCAAGCCAAAGTCTGGTTTGTGTTTCTTGAAGTTCAATTCGATTTGATGCAAAATTGCTTCTACTCGTTCTCTGAATACCTTGGAGTCAGACTTGAAGTCTGGAAGTATTTTGTTTTGTAAGATTTGTTTAACCTTTTCTTCAAGACCATCTACTTTCTCCTTGGTCAAATTGTTCAATCCAATAGTGAACGACAACAAGGAGGTGGTGGAGTCCAAGCCCGAGTTGACAGTGAAATCATCACCATACTCCTTCTCAATCAATTCTTGATAGAATGGTGAGCTGTGTCCGTCACACAACAACGAGTTGAGAACCTTCCACTGGAAAATCTCATACTGCTTCTCTTCATCCAAGGGATCTCCCAAATACCAAGTAATAGACGACTTGTACTGTTCAGCCACGGCTTTTCCGCTCATCACGTCTACGGGCCCATTGATAGCAGCCACATTCTTCGAACTATCGGTATTATTTTGAAAGGTAGGTTTCATAATGAGGTTTTTGACACCTCTGGCACCGAAAGGCTCGTAGCATTTAGCCAACTTTTGCAAGTGTTCCATCAATGGCAAGGAGCCATAAGTGAATGTCTTTGCATTGGAAGGATGGTAACACGAAGCATGGAAGTCAACTAAATCCTCATACTGTAAATCGGTGATCTTCTGAGGGTCTCCACCCGAGTTGTTCAAAGAACCGTAGATGGCTTCCTGAAACTTAATCCAATAATAATAAGAAGAGTTGGAGTATTGGCCCTTCATTTCATTATAAACAACTCCCTTGAAAATCAACGGACTGGACTTGTCATCAGACACCTCGTTTTCCAATCTCCAACCTTCTTGGGTGAAATCTTCGTAGGTCAATAATGGTTCAAATACAGATGACAAATATACATCCATTAAGTTTTCAAAATCCCTGGCATTTGTGGTTGCAAACGGGAAGTAGGTGTAGTCGTGGCCCGTCATGGCGTTCATGAAGTTGCTCAAGGATCGGTTGAGCATCTTGAAAAACGGATCCCTGACTGGATACTTGTATGATCCACACAAAGTGGTGTGTTCCAATATATGAGGAACACCGGTGGCGTTGGGAGTATTTGTCTTAAAAGCCACCAGGAACACATTGTTACGGTCATGGGGAGCATCTAGGTGAAGGTGCTGACTGCCTGTTCTCGCATGTTTGAGTTTAACTGCAACTAACGAGAACTCCGGTATGGGCTGCACTTGTTCAATGGTGAATCCATGATAGTTTAATCCAATAGGGTATTTGTTCAAGATCTTGGCCTGGTTATAAGCAGTAGCAAACAGTCTTCTTACCTGCGTACTTAGCGGCGCACTTGGTTGGGCGCCTACTGACAGCAACTTGGTGAACCGTCTGAGCATTCTCAAAGTAAGTGAGTTGAATGATGGAAGTTCGCAGTTTCTGCGATGGCCAGTGTCTGTCTCACCAGATACGGTTGATAGTATTTACAGGGGAAATTGTGATTTCCTGTTACTGTATTCAAGATCATTGAAGTGTGCGTTTGTGGTTGAAGACTATTTAGTTGTTGTAAGTTGGTACTAATCTTTTGTTTCAAAGGGACTTTCAATGTTTCAAATAAGTTCGTACAGGATCGGTTAATTTTTGCAAACGTCTAAAACTGTAAAGTCTGGCGATGAAAAAATGACTAATTGGGTATAAACGGGCACTATCACTATGAACCCACTATATAGAAAGGGCGGGCATCACCAAGTCCGTGCTTTCTCATTTATTTCCATCCTAACAACACCGTCCTTAGGACCAACGGCGTTATCAGTTCTGTTACCGAAACAGGAGCGCTGAGGTGCGACCGGCCTCAAAATCTCACGTTCAACATTTTCTAATCGGTAGATCCCTCCCATGAGTAAACACAAAGAAACCCCCCAAGTGTCAACGGCCGGAGGGTTTGTGGCCGGAGCATTAGCGGCATGTGGTGCCGTGACCTTCACCAATCCTATAGAGCTTATCAAAACCAGAATGCAATTACAAGGAGAATTGACTAAGGTTGACAAAAATGCCGTCAAGATTTACAAAAACCCATTCCAAGCCTTTGGTGTTATATATAAGAACGAAGGGCTTCGGGGCTTACAAAAAGGGCTTGTGGCCGGATACTTCTATCAGATTGGATTGAACGGATGTAGATTTGGCTTCTACGAACCAGCAAGATACAACTTGACCAAATTGTTCAATCCAACTGCACTTAAAGAAGGTGAAAAAGCTCCTCAAAGCTTGGGGATTAACGTGGCGGCCGGGTTCATCTCGGGGACGGCAGGGGCTACTATTGCTAACCCATTGTTTTTGGTGAAAACCAGAATGCAGTCATATAGTGCTGTTAAGAATGCTAGTGGTCAATCGGTGGCCGTTGGTCAACAAACTTTCTACAGATCGCCATTTGAAGGTTTGAAGAAAATCTTCAAGGCCGAAGGTATAAAGGGGTTGTTTAGAGGTGTAGATGCCGCTATTTTGAGAACCGGTGCCGGGTCTTCAACTCAACTTCCATCTTATTTCTATGCGAAAAGCTTGGTGATTGACAATCATATTGTTGCGGAAGACTCGATTTTGGTTCATTTAATTGCTTCCTCGGTGGCTGGTTTGGCAGTAGCTGTGATGATGAACCCATGGGATGTCGTACTTACCCGAGTATACAACCAGAAGGGAGATCTTTATAGTGGAGTAGGTGATTGTATTGTCAAGACCGTGAAAACAGAGGGAATAACAGCATTTTATAAAGGATTCTGGGCACAATTATTCAGAATCGGACCTCATTCGATCTTGTCCTTGATGTTTATGGAGCAGTCGGTCAAGTTAGTGGCTCAATTAGAATCGTACTTGTAGTATTATGATATAGATAATAGAGACTATGCGTGTCGTGGCCATTTCCTCCGGGGTGGGTACTGTGGACCAAACAGTTGAGTCGTGTACACACCACCGATACAGGGGAAAAAAATCCGACCCGCGAACCTGAAAGGCAAAAAGATAGCCTTAGAAGAGTTAGTGTAAGCAAAACTTGAGAACCACAACGCACTTCTATTTGTGATACGCTCAACACTATTGGATAAGCCTTTAGAATATCCTTTCTTCTGGTATTACGCTTTATACGCTTCCTGTATTCAGTGACTTTCGTTGGTCTAAAACATCAGATTAAACTGGGGTACCTTATTTATAATACTCAGGTAAAAACACTGGCTTATTGGTTGATTTCCCATCATAACCCAGCCACCCCACTTTAATTATTATTCCCTTCAACCATCCTTCCCGGTGAATCAACAACGTGCACATACTACCAATAGTGAAGTTTTTTCCAAGTTTACTCTCCTATGCGTGATTCCAACTATAAGTCTATTAGTAACAATAGGGCGGCGGTGACTATCAGTTCCACCGTTTATGATAGAAGAGCTTTGGACGTCACAAGTGACAGACCTTTGGTCAACTCATTGAATCACTTGACCTACCTTGTTTCATCCCTGGCTAAAGTAAGAGAAACCTTATCAACCGATGGAGGTATAGAAAGATTAATTGAAATCCTTCATGAGTGCAACAACTGCAACTTTGGCTCAAGTGACAATATTTTCACCAGTGAAAAGAAGATCTTGACCGCCTGGAAATGGACTTTAGGATTTCAATGTTTGGTGTTGATCGGTACTAGAGGTACCGAGAGCATCAGACAAAGAGTCGTAAGGGCGGGTATGCTACCCATCATAGCCACGGTTTTGGATAATTATATCACCCTCCATGACAGAGCCTTCATCCAGGCCAATAAAGGTATGACTCTTCAATCCAGTGGATTTCTGTCCCAAGTTTTGGGAGGTAGCACTGGCACTCAAGAAGCCTCACAAATACAACAAAACATACCAACCGCAACTGCTCAGCCACAAGGTGACCTTCAAGAAATAAGGCCAGTCGGTGGCATAACTGACAATACGGAAGAGATAGCTACTGATACTGATTTGAGTGGCAACTTGAACTTCTTGGTACAATTTGAAACATTTCAGAATAACTTTAGGATGGACGATTCAACATCCGCTGCAGCAGCGATGGCCGCTTCATCTTCAGTGCAACCACATTCTTTTTTCAGCGGCAGACATCCGGACAGCTTGACTAATGAAGATTATGAAAGCTTGAGTATCGAACAATTATTCAAATTGGTTAGAACTGCTGAGACTTGTGATTTATTGGATAGCCAAAACGTTAATAATATCAGAAGAAGATACTTGATCTTAATAATCATGAAGAAGTTGAAGGCTGAAAAGGAAGGAGAATTACTCGATACCAGATTCTTGAACAACACTGACTATGATATGGACAACAGTCTACAATTTTTGTCAGATATGTATCTTCAAGATGAAAAGTCAGCATACCTTTCTAGCTTGGCCACTTCCAAAGCTTCTCCCCGAAGTTTTACCGAAACCGGGGTAATTATTCCTAGAGAGGACGATATTGGGTGGTCGCTTCAGTTATTGGCATACATTTCAAAATATCCTAACCTTAAAGATAGTTTGCAACACACACATCTTGTCATTGACATAAGTGTCAGAGATAAACAGCTAAAGTTGTTCATCGAAAATCAGTTGAAAACAAAAATGAAGAAGGATTTGGCCATCAAACAAAGGCCTACGATTAAACCAAAGTCAAGACGGTCTAAATCGGTGAGTTTAAGACTGGGGGGTGAAACAACTCCTATCATTAATAGTGGTATTACCCAGAGAGATTCGGCAAATTCTCGGTTGAGTTTTACAGCTTCTGCTTCTAATTCTCCTCAGATGATAAATAGTCTTAACTCCCTTCGGGATGACAACTTCATCCTTGACCAAGACAAACTAGATTTATGTGACGACGATGACACAAATGTTGAAAGTGGATTGAGAGTTGACGATACAAACGTTGAAGGCATTCAAGATGACGGATGTGAATCAGACCCTGAAATTGGTTCGGTTTCTGAATCTGGTTCTGACAATGAGAACTTTGGTAACCTCTTATTCCCTTCATTTGATCAGAACAAGTTAAGTGAGTTGTATGAGTCCATCTTGGATTCAGAATCTATCATGGACACTTTGGATCGGGAGTTTGCATTGCATGAATTGAACGAAAAAATCAGCAAATGCATTGAACGTGCTAGTCAAAACTTGAGCACTTCTATCACGAAAAAGAGATTAGAACAAAAGCAATATTTGAAGCAAAAGTGGAACTACGACACATATGAGAACTTCAATATTGATGATCAAGTGAACAATCAGATCAATGAGCTCCAAAACGATCCCGACTATGACGATTCATTGATCGAGTACAAAAAAGTCAACTTATTTCCTATGGTGGAAAAGTTCACGTTCTTGGCTGGTACTGACATGTATTACTGGTCGGGTGTTGTGATGAGAAACTCTTGTAGAAGAAATGAACACCGCGGTGGAGTAAGGCAGTGTGGAAACTTAGATTGCGGTAAGTGGGAGACGTATCCCAGGGAGTTTCTGAAATGCAGAAGATGTAAGAGAACAAAGTATTGTACCAGAGAATGTCAAAAGAAATCCTGGCATTGTCACAGAAATTGGTGTATTCCAAGCACAAGCTCAACCACCAATAACGCCAATGAAAGCCAGGTGGCCGAAAACGACGAAAACGAAGAGCCAAGAACAGCTCAAGTGCAAAATATCTTAGTTAATCCTAGCGAGGTCGCTAACGATGCTGAAACTACTGGGGATAACATCAATAACAACAACTATGGAAACGATAATGATGATGGGCATCAGGGTACTGTAAATTAGAGTTTATAATATATATTCAGAAGAATGTATAATAGATTTTCATTCTTGTAGAGTCGTAAATTGTCTCTGAGGAAATCAGAATTTTAAAGGTAATCCATAAACTATAGGTGCACTTCCGTTCAAGTATTTTAGGTTACAGTATTTTCTTCCTTCTTTAACACTTTCGGTAACCGTAAGGCTTGATCCTTCGCCACACAAAGAAGTCAACTTGAATACCCCCATAGTGAACTTATCGATGTCCTTGTCCGTAACGTCCCAAAGGTTTGCGAGTACCATAGGGGAACCACATGTTAGCCAATTGAGAACATTTCCGTGCGGTTCAAGCATTCCATTGGTTGTGATATGGCCAGACGAGCAGCCAAATAAGAGACTTGGAGGAAGCTCTTTTCTGGAGTTGGTGAACTTGAATAAGGATGATGCTTTGATGTACTGTTCGCAACCACCATGGCCCACATAAACGAAGAGGTCCTTCTTGAGGATATCCAATAAAAACTTATTGTTATCCAGAGGTGAACGGCCGACGATACCTTCCCAAGAGGACATACTTTCAAATAGCTCAGAAAACCTTGCTTCCGACTTCACCAAGTCTCCACCAGGATTGAGCAAATACATCGTGTTCCAGCTTTTTTCCTTCTGCTTTGTAAAAGTCGGATTTTTTTTAAGCGTTTCTAATAATAAGTCGATGGAAGGCATTCTTGATACTGATTTATCCGAAAGACAACCCAAGGACTCCCATGGGATACTGTGACATGTTGGACCAGGGATAAGGACAATATGTTCGCCTGGATTTGAAGCCTTATCCTCGAATTCGTTCATCAACTCAACGAATTCATGGTGAAACATGTCAACATTCACTTCATCATAAGCGTTTTCTTCCCCCAAGTACATCAATGAATCCATAATGAAATAGATTAGATCTGCGACTATAGCTTTCTCGATTTCGACGGAATCAGCATCAGTCCCAATACTGAGATGTAATTGAGAGATTATACCAACAATCTGGGTGTTCAACTGAGTGTCCCTGGGGAAGGAGGGTAAATACTTGTAAAGGAGTTCATGGAACTTATTACTGAAATTTTGAAATTGAATCGACTCTTCGTCATGATTACCAAAGATGCCTCTGAAAGCGCCTAGCCACTGATATTCAATAAGTTCAAGTACTTCTTTGAGTTTCATGTCTAAAGAAAATCTCAAACGCCACCAATTTGTTCTATCTTCCTTGGTTCTGATCTTGGAAGTGGTTTGAGGTTTAATTGAATCGTCACTTCTCTTAATAATAGCATTAAGCTTATCCAAGGCCCCAGTAAACGAGAGAGATGAGGCTGTACTTCCATGGTCCATCATCCGTTTCAATGGAAGCCGTAAGCATATTGGTTTGTAATCTGACTCTTTACTCAATCTTGCTAGTACAAGCTCATCACTCCCTGAATCAATGTCCAAAGTAATGATTGTCCAATTGGCCGGCAATAAGTTTTTGACATCTTCACTAAACCCAAGAAAGTCATATTTATGTTCAAATTTCAACCCAGACAACGGAAAGATGTCTTCAGGTTCAGCCGCAGACTCTTCCCTCATATGCCTTTCATGTTTAATTGGTAAGGATCTGATAAAGTCATGCAAATAGTAAATTTCATACCTCTGAGTCTCTGAAATTGGAGAAATAGAGTTCACAACACTTGTTATATGGGCCATTTGGTTGCTTATGTTTCGAAGCGCATGCACCGGGAAACTATGATTTGAGATCACCAGAAGTAGTTTTGTGTTCGCTTCCGCTAAAGCGTCGGTGATCTGTCGAATATGCTGAGACTCGTTGACCATATTGTCTACTAAGCATGGTGAAGAAAAGACAGAATTAAGGATACTGGAAAATGCTGGTATGTTGACCAAACTGTTCATGATCTGACCAACATCCACCCTCACGGCATCTAATTCTGATGCTTGGTACGTCGGTTCAATACTGGAGTGAAACATGGAAAGATGAAGCTGTGATTCGTGTATCAATTCTTTAAAAGGTGAAACAGTATTAAACGACTCACCAGGTAAGCTAAGGGTTTGTACAAGCTCTCTTTGGCGAGCACTGAATGCCTTTATGTGTTCGTCACTTTTTTCGACTAGGTAGTAAAGCAAATTGCTACTGACGCTCAACAAGCTGAGTGAGTCGTCTATGTTCAAGGATGTGATCTGATTTCCTTTCTTCAATTCTGAAAGTGCTGTTTCGTTACGTTCTAACAACAAGAAGTTATCTGAAAGATAGAAGTGGTTGATTCCATTAACAAGTGGAAACTTGTTGCATTCGTTCAATTTCTTCAATTCAGCAATGTAGTGGGAAATCTCTCTTGAAATTCCCAATAGTTTCAGCGTTTTGATCATGGAAATACAGAAAGAGGACATCAAAGATGCAGACTGCCATCTAAGTGCCACTCGATCCTTTACCGGAACATCTACCGTGATTTTCTTTATAATGGAGAGGAGCAACTTCGAGCCTGTTTTCAAATTCTGGTAGCTTGCTGTATATCTCCCTTGTCTCAGTCTTAATTCAGAAGCTGTAAAGTTAAGATTTACTACTAAAAGTAAGTTTTTCAACTTTTCGCTGATTCCTAGACTTGCTGAGTGATATGATAGGTTAAACTCAGTCTTTGATTTGACGAATTTCAAAAGCATCTCATATTTGTTGTCAGCTAAAACAAGATCTCGTTGTTCAATATAGGACTGTACTTGTAATAGCTTCCAAGCTGCCAATCCACGAGCAGATAATGCAGAGGACGTCCTTCCTGCAGCAAAAATCTCTTTCAACAACATTCCGGACGAATCCAAAAGACTGTGAGCTTCTTGGTAATTCTCCAAATATATGGAAACAGTCACCAAGTCCAAAAGAAGGTAGAACCTGAAGCACTGGAGTTGAAAGTTTCCTGTTAAATCCCTCGAACATAGATATGGTGAAAGTAATTGGTGTAACTTCTTGTGAAGCTTGTTAAACTTTAAGTAATTCACTAAACAAGATAAAATTTCAATCTCGTATTCATTGGGGTTTGACTCTAGAAAGCAGTATTGATTGAACAATTCAATCGATTGGTCTATTGATTCTTCACTCCACTCAATGTTGATAGTCTTATGCAATTGGATTCCACTGATAATTAAATAGTGGAAGGGTTCACGGGGATTTGCCAATGAAATATCCAAGTAACTGTCTAATTCTTGGATTGTGTAGTAATAATAAAGACAAATTAATCTCAATGTTTCATCATTTAAATGGATACTTGTCATTATATCATTTGCAACAACTTCCTGGTTCACGGATGAACTTTGGATATGTTCAAAGAGATTTATGCACAAAGCAGTAATGAATAGCTCGCTCAATTCACTGCTTTCACCGAAAAGAGAGACAGTAAAGTTGGGAATTAAGTCAACTAGTCCTAAAATCAAGTGGGCTAATGGTCTCGAATTCAAAAGGTTTTTGTCATCAATGGTACGGATAGACCCCTGAATTGTGGAGAGGAAGACAATGACCATACTTCCAGATTCTCCTACTTTTCCGTGTTCCATCAACATCTGGCTTGTTTTCTCTACCTTGCTTTGAAGTATATCCCTATCTTGGGAACCACTGTTCGATTTGTTGTAGATCTCATATTCGTAGTCAATACAAGCTTCAATACAAAGTACTGTCATTGGCAGGAAAGGCATTTTAGCTGCCAAGTTGTACAATAGGTTGGATAAGTTTCTTATTCTCTTGTACTGCTTGAATTTTGAAAACAAGAAATGTAGTTGGGCAATAATGTGGAGTGTGAAAGGTATTGACTCGCTTCTATCACTCAAATTCTTGAGGTGGACTGTAATGGAGTCCAAAAGTTCGAAACACTGGCTTGATAAGCTCTTGAGCAGCTTGTAGTTATTCTTCATGTATGTGACAACGGAAGAAATGAAGTCATTATATTTGTCGTGGTCAATTTGTTCTAAAACCCCTAAGCATGCCAGCAAAAAGGAAGGTTCCGTAAACAAGTCCCTGATCTGACAGCCTATAATCGCTTTATTGAATGTGTCTAAGTCACTCTGGTTATTTGAAATGCCCTGAAGAAGGTTTATAAGTTCTGACTTCGACAATGAAGGAGAGTCATCGCTATTCCAAGTAACATCACTCAAGTTGTGCAACTCAGGAACTGTTTTAGTTAAATCCTCATAGAATGGTTGGAGTCCTGGAATATTGTCGTATTTTAGATTTGAGGAACTTGTGGTAATCTTACCATTCTTTAGGTACTGGAATTCAACAATTTTTAGAGTCAACTTGGCAATGACGGCCTCAGCATTGAACTTCGGAAGTTTGGAAAGTTTTCTAGATAACGTGCTGAGACCGTTCAAAATGGTTATGATGTTTTGGTAGTGCTTAGTGGAGGACTCAGGAGTGGCATGAACGTTTATCCACTTCATGAAGTTACTTGATGTCAAAAACATATCCGGTAGTACCAGAAGTGAATCGATGCCAAAGATGTCATCGGTACCCAGGTGTGATAGGATGTGTATGTTCTGGGAAACGTACTTTAGCACTGTTTGTAGACTGAGAAAGTGGAATGCTATTGTAGACTTAACCGTGTCATGTGAATAATTTTGATCATCGAATTGGATTCCTGTGAGGAGGAGGTGTGCTTGATTTGGGTTCTCTCTTACATATCTAAACGGATGTTTCAGTACTAGAGAAGTCAAAGCCTGGTAGATCACGTTCAAGTGTGCTAACGACTCGCGTAGTAGGTTCATCAGGATGAGTTTAACGATGAATGATTCATGCTTTTTAAGGCAATTGATAAGTCCAGTTGATGACGGAGACAAGTAGTACAAACATATAAAGCCATTTATGGCAACAGGACATATTTTTTCAATGATTTTGACATCCTGATGGCTGAATATGCTTTGAATAAAATGGGTCGCATCTGTCTTTGTGGATTTGGTATCATTACAGGCAACGTTGTGCTTGCAGGACGAGGATAGCACCAGGCCAGCCGGATACTTTGAAGAAAGAAATGACTCGAAACGGTGGTTGGTTTGAGCCAAGTCAATCTCAGGTTGGTCCATAACGGAAATAGGTTATTATAATGAGACTGAGTATTCTCTGTTTACAAGTGCGCGCACAACTGCAGTTAATCCCATATGAAATGAACACCTCTCTTATGCAGATGTCATACTCGTCCGATATTAGTTCAGCGAGGAAAAAGAAAAAAGTCGTTGACTACACAGCGTGGTGAAGTCACTCTATGATGGAGTCGAGCCAATTTTGAAGATGTCGCAACAGATGTGACAATATCTTTTAATTTATAGCGCCAACTTAATTATGGGCATGCTCTTTTGGAACCGCCTTAGTTTGTCATTAAAAACAAACAAGGAGCAACTTTCTAAAGAATAGCCAGCACTTATATCAGAGAAGTGACGCCAAGTAAATGGAAATATCGATCAAATATAGTCAAGGGATCGTAAGAACGAGGAAGAGAAATGGCAGAAAATTGTAACGAGAAAGTAAGATATTTGGGTGTAGACCAGTCATCTAAAAGTGGATCGAATAATTGCTCTGATAGCGCCGCCTTTCCGAAGATAGCCAGCCAAATGAAATAAGGGAACGTCAATTTTTAAAAATCCTTTAGACATTTACTTAAGAGAGGTGTTCATTTTGCGTGGGATTGACTGTACCATTCGCATCAAAAGATTGACAGGAAAACCTGGCCTTGACACGAAAATACTGTTGCATTCTCTGATAGACTAACTGTTGTATTCACGAACCCCTTAATAGGATCATGTTCTCTACCAACTCAAAGGAAGGCGTACTTTAGGCTCTTGGATGGTAAGAGACCAATATAAGTAAGAAGAGCAGCTGGTTTAGTGGACTGCGAAGGTCGAAATTAAAATGTAAGAACTTTGATCAAAAACCATTCAGAGCTAGGGGCCAGTGGTTTGGTTGAAAAGAGAGCTTCGTAGCCTGAAAAACATAACCACCTGGTTTGAAATTCAACTAGCGCAACTGGTTTAGTGGTAAAATCCAACGTTGCCATCGTTGGGCCCCCGGTTCGATTCCGGGGTTGCGCATTTCTTCTTTTTGCTTTCTCTATACTCTTTAGAACTTACATGCAGCAAAAAGTAGTAAGAGAAGTAGTATGGTAGCACTATTTGTTGTAATCATTTTAAGGCCCGATTAAATTTTTATTGCACTCGCGACTCAAAGGTAGACGAGAAGTTGAGTCAGGTGACCTTGAAGGGTTCCAGCACTCCTAAAGGTTCTTTATACAGAACAATTGAATTCAGAGACGTCAATACAATGCTTGAGAGTATAGTGTTGAATTAATGCAAGAAGACTTCACGGACTGGTGGAGGGCTTTATTCTTCCTTTACACTTGTATATGTGCTTCTTTGCAAATACCGTCCTCTAATCGGTCGCAGTCCAGGATTCGATTCCCAAGTTGGGCATTGTTCCTTCTCTTCGAATGAGCTGTGTCTGGGCTATATAGCTTGGGACAATGGACATTACCCTGCAATGACATTTCATGTTGTGTGATACAATTCAATTTCTTCTATTCGTGCACCAATAACATTTTGAAATATCTAATTTTTCCTCATTGTGTGATTTTCACAGAATTAAATGGCTGCAAAAAGAGACAACAAACAACAGCACCGCACAAAAAGAGACTATAAACCAATAAGCTACATCGTAGGAGATCCGGATATTCCCAGTTCCCTAGATTTCAGAGTGGAAAAACATATAGCAACTCCAATATTTGACCAATTTGCTGAAGTATTAAAATCACGGTTCTTACGTCTCCCATACATCTTAGTGGGAAGGACTTCACAATACTTCAGGTTTAGTAACATCCTATGATCACACTGACGTCAGCAGTAACTACATATCAACCTCACTTCATATCTGATCTCCAATCCCCTCAATATCACCAGCATAAGATATTCCCCAAAAATGGCAAACGAGCACATTTAAAGCTCGTCTATCTCCCAACAATAAGAAGCGAGAACACCAAGTAATCTCACGCACTACCCATCTATGCACCCATCACATAACCCAAACATACTACCAACATTTTGGGACACCGGCAACACTCCAGATTCCTATGCTTGCGAATCGGCGGACTTCCTTGCGTGATGGTTCCATCATCGGTATCCCCAAGGTTCCCGGCCGTAAACGAGAAACATCGAAAACGGTTAAAACCTAAACAAGCGCAAAACACAATAAATTCACGCGAGTTTCCCAGGCTGTTTGATACCTCATCAGCATTGTAGAAGAAGGCAGCTGGCAGCGGTTAGCCGCCAGGAACTTTTACACGGTGCAAAGATCGTCTAACTACTACAGCATGTAGGCGCCCGAAGCAAGGTGTGCTGATAAATACACGGGAAGACCAGTTAGCGTACAAATGACCCTCCCATAGCATCATCAGCACCATCAACACCACCAGGGGTTCGGTGTCAATCTCTTAGTTAATGTATAATTATATGGATCGCCCTCAGTTTGCTCAATTGGGAATTAACTTGGAATTGCTTCGATTGCAAAAGTACAAGCTCCGAGTAAAAGCGCGATTTTGTGTCACTTGAAGGGTCCTTGGCCAATACTCGTCTATGCCTTTGAATATTTTATAAATTAACACAACTCCAATCGACTTCTTTTTGTGCGGTTTTGTACACCATGTCGAGGAGAACGAAGGACCTTTTCGACCAACTTGTATTTGATGATTTTGACGAAGAGCTCTTGCTGGAGGCCCAACCGTCCCGGTTCAAAGGCATAGCCCATGGGCTGAGAGCATCCAAAAACTACCCCCAATTACCTCACTACCACGACAAGGAACAAGAGGACACCGGTGCCGATGCTGATGTTGAAGAGGATACGTACGATTACTTTGATTTGTATGAACTGGATCAGCAACTGGATTCCCCGTCCCAATCGGTTTTCTCGGATCACCATGAGCGCTACTCATCCCACCGACGTGGAGATACCAGTACTCCCCGGTCACCAGACACGTCAATGCTGGATATACTAGAACAGCTTGACAATGGTGGAAACAAACACAGAGGTATTCCTGACCTCCCGCCGCGAGACTCGATATTCCACTTAAACCACCGTCAGTATTTGGAGGACTTGAACATTATTGGCTCCGGAGTCACCAGCAACAAGCAGATACTTGAGTGTATGGAACAAATGATACAGGAGGAAAACGACCGAATTTTGGAACAGTTGGAGCTGTTTGTGGATGAGGTTCGAGGCAGCGTAGCACACAATACGTTTAAGATCAGGTTTGGCAGGGGAAAAATATACACCACGCGACGGGGTGGTCCCCTTGTTCAGTCCCGTTGAGATGCTGAGGGCCAGCCTGGAACGACTAATGATATTCATTTCTTGATGTTTTAATAGACCTTATATATTCTTAAATGGCATACTTTTGATACAACCTGGAGGAATTGTGAAGACCAGCAGTCGGTGCCATAAGCCGGCTGTGGTCCGCCATGTATTTGGTGCTCTTCACGTTCCCAAACAAGTACGCATATTTTCACTATGCCCAGTCTCATTTTGCAACTACAAAAGTCACTTCGCACTCCTTATCGCACTCAGTACATCACCATGAGCTTGTTTGCAAAAACACAAACATTAATAAACCAGTTGGAGTCCACCATAGATGAACGCAAACAGCTCTTCAGCCTCAAACTAGAGCCCTCCACCAACGACAACTTTGATCTCATCAATTTGCTCGACAAAATCTCCAAAAATCTTAATTACCTCCAGGATGACTGTAAGGATAGTGGCAACTACCAAAGACTAGAAACCACCGTAGACCGGTTCAACAGCAATATAGACAGTTTAAGCCATGATACATCTATTCAGATTGACGAATACAAGTTCAAAATCAAGACCAGAAGAGAGCCTGTGGTGAAGGAAGCCAAGTCTGTGAGATTCCAAGATGATAATGATGACAATGAAGAAAACCTCCGAAACGAACTCATGGGAACACGAACCTTCCGTCCGTATAGAGATGTTCCTGATGCCGATCTGGAGTTCGACGATGCACTGGAAACGTCGCAGGATTCAAATCTTAACAACCAGCAAATGTTTGCTCAGCATCAACAACAGCTTCTTACGCAAGACGACGACTTGGATGTGTTACATGAGTCGGTGAAAATCCAGAAGCTGATGGGGCTCAACATTAACCAGGAGTTGGATGAACATTTGATCATCTTGAACGACTTGGAAAATGGAGTCGACGTGGCTCACAGACGAGTAAGAAACACCAATAACCGCTTAAATGAGTTCAGAAGCAAAGTGCAAGAGAACGGGTCTCTTGTTACGATAATTGTGCTCACAGTGATTCTTATTCTTCTATTGGTAGTATTAAACTAAATATATTTACATTAGCGTGAATAGACACAGAAGCCAGTGCCATGTCTTAGTCCGTCATTGTAATTGCAAATTTTATGGACGTCACAATTAGAAGTTGAAGTCGTCATTCTCCTCTTCTTCTTCGCTGAAGAACCAAATGAATATGATGATGTCCACGTAAACAATCAACCCTCCAATAATACTCATTAACATCGAGCCCACTTCAATCAAATGACAGTGGTAAAACACAATCGGCAAGCTCACTCCACTAACAATCAAAGTTCCGGTGATGTACTTGCACAACTCCTGCAACTGTGAAGGGTTGCTGCCATGATCATTACTGAAAGTCAAGAAATCGTCTCGGGTGCTCTCGATGGTATTTGCAAGGATGTTGGGTAATGGGGCCACCAAGAAAATGAATATTACCCAAAGGGGCTTATAGTTGTTGAATAATGCACATGACAAGAGGATAAGCAAAAACCCCGAGGCTAGAAATGCCGATAAAAAGATGATTTTATTGAGTGGGTTCATTAGAGGGAGTTATACTGGGTCGCCAAAAAATGAATGCGCACATTCCCGTAGGTAATTATTAGCACAACATGTCATAAAACTATTCACAGATATATCGAATATCAAACATCCCATCCAAACTATTTACAATAACCAAGTTGGGCTTCACTTCCAGAACCAACCTTGGGGCTTTTCATCCCCCTTAACTTCATCAACCAGTTGAGTTTGCCAGTCTTGCCCAAAAGGTTTACTCTTGGTGATGGTGGTGGTTAGGGAAGTACCATCGTCAAAATACTGAATCTTGGTTTCTTTGAACACAGTGTCGTTATTGGTGTTGGTCTCGTAGTTAGTCTCGGTGCTCAGAGAAACTACTCTCCTCGATGAGTCCGAATCTTTACCGACCGGCTGCAACTCACGACTCTTCTCCCTTTCCTTTCTTAACTGTTTCTTCTCTTCTCTAAGCTGGTTTCTCCATTGGCGTCTTTGCTCCTTGATATTTCTATGCATGATAGCCTTCCAGTTCATATAGTCTTCGAATTGGCTGAAAAACATTCCCTGGTCTCCCAAATCGTACTGGCCGGCATCAGGGTTGATTCCACGGGTTACCACTTCTTTCTGAAATTCCTCCTTCGTCAAGAGATATCCAGGAAACCGGCTGTCTCTCAACGCCAACACCTTGTTAGGGATCTCAGCGTTGGGGAACAAACACCGCCAGTGGCCATGGGTGTCGTAGAGTTGTTGTCCCTTCTTGTCAATACACTCATTGTATTTTCTGATGGAAGGGGTCCCAAAGCTGAACAATCCGAGCCCGGAGAAGTTGCCAAAGCCAAACCCACGACGACGGCCGCCTTCACAACCCAGGAGAGATTCCCGGTCTGGTGATGGTTCGCCCAGGCGCTTTTCGTAGATGCTGGGGAATTCCCAAGTGTCTTTGCGTAAAGCCCACTCCTCAAAGTTCTTCCAGGCGGTAGGATCATCCATCACCTGCTTGGCGATATCATTGAACCCATTGAAGGATTCCAGAGTCAAGCTGAGTAAGGATGTGGTGAGAGCTTTGAAGTTGTCCTTCACTTCGTTCAAGTGTTGGTTAAATTCTTTGTCTGAGTCTTTAGACATGATATGGAATGAATAGGGTGAATCAAAAAATGACCAGGGATGTGCGCGAAGTTGCAACCTTTCTGCGCACACCTCAGCGAAATAGGTGGAAGCTTCGATCCATTATGTGATGTGTATTGTTCAAAGACAAACATGCTAAATATGGCATTTTCGTGTTGAAGATAAGGCTATGAACGGAGCCTCATAGTCACGGAGACCAAATGAATATGAATAAAAGTATGAATGGAGCTCAATGATGAACAGTCGGAATGCTAGTTTAGGTTTGCGTCAAGCAATCCATGAAAATTGGCTACCACTGGTTACTGGGCACCAGGGGACTGCCAGAGACGGTGCTGAGCTTGATGGAACCAAAAGTCCCGTTGTTGGGAATGTACGGTAAAAACTCGTTATCGCTCTGGGCGTCAAACGACTTGTGGATATAGAACTTGTTACTTATGAGTGTCATCATCTGTTGTTTTGTAGGCTCATTGGCGTCTCTATAGTAGCTCGTAGACATTTTTGTGCAAGGTAAGGAAAAGCTATGTAAGTGATAGTTGAAAATTTTTATTTCGCAACAACCAACTTGATTCGATAATGAGGTTACTCAGACACTACTCCAAATTCAGTTTGAAACTGGGAACTGGAGCAGTGAATAATGGCATCAAATCGGTCCACCCGCATATACCGGCCGTGACGCGATTTGCCCCGTCACCTACCGGGTATTTGCATTTGGGATCGTTGAGAACCGCTCTCTACAACTACCTATTGGCCAGGAACACCAATGGGAAATTTATCCTACGCCTCGAGGATACCGACCAGACCCGCTTGGTAGCTGGTGCTGAGAAGAACATCTATGACACCTTGAAATGGTGTGGGATTCAGCCTGATGAGGGCCCTGTCCAAGGAGGTATTCACGCTCCGTACCGACAGTCTGAACGGAAACACATCTATAAGGAGTATGCTGATCAATTGGTGGCTCAGGGAAAGGCATACCACTGCTACTGTTCGAAAGAAAGGTTAGGAGACCTCCGGGAATCGGCTATGAAGTTGAAGCCTCCAACCACGGTTACGTACGACAGAAAGTGTTTTCACAGCCATCTGCAAACGTCAGATGAACAACCAGTTATAAGGTTCAAATCCCCTGAAAAGTACGACAAAATCAACGACGTTGTGCATGGAATATTAGATCTCCAACCACAGTATAATAGCGAAGATAGGAGGTACGACGATTTTGTAATTCTCAAGTCTGACGGACTACCCACCTACCATTTTGCCAACATAGTAGATGATCATTTGATGGGCATAACCCACGTTATCCGAGGTGAAGAATGGTTGACGTCGACACCAAAACACCAGGCTTTGTACCAGGCTTTCGGTTGGACCCCTCCTGAGTTTGTTCATATTCCATTACTTACTTCTCTAAAGGACAAGAAGCTTTCCAAGAGAGATGGAATCATGGGCGTTTTGTCCATGTCGGACAAAGTTTTGCCTGAAGCGTTGATAAACTTTGTTGCGTTATTCGGATGGTCACCACCCAGACCTTCTCCGGGCGAACTGGTTTCTGAAGTTATGTCTATGGACGAATTAGTAGAAAAGTTTTCTCTTGATGGATTGACCAGAGGAAATGCCAAAGTCAGCAATGCAAAATTGTATTACTTCAACAAGGAGCATTTACACCGGCTTGCAAAGGTCGATGAAAAGGTCGTTGAACTTGCTGAAACTTACGATTTGACAGATGATACCGAGTATATGGCGAGAGTGTTGAAGAAACTTCTTCCGAGTATGAGCTCCTTGGACGAGATAAATAACTACAAATACCTTTTCACCATCCCCGACTACAACACTTCAAACGCCCCCCCGAACTGTAAGGCAGTACTCATGAGATATGCAGAGTTGGAATATAATGTTGAGGAATTAATCAAGGAGTTTAAAAAAAAAGAAGTTTTTCAGTCCATCAGATTCGCTTTGAGCAACGGGGCTCCAGGGTTGGCTATTCCCGAGATCATCGACTTGCTTACTCTTGAAGAAACCAAAAAAAGAGTCAGTACTTGTATAAAGAAATTGTAAATTAGTTCACTAGATATTATATGTATATATTAATGGAGATCAGTGAAGTCCATGAAATCAACATCATTTTTTCTGAACGGATCGATCAAAGGACCCGTAAAAATACAGTGGATCTTCATACTGGGGTGGTAGTATAAGCCTGTCAAGAGCTTGGGAGTCACCAAAAAGTATTGACTATCGGATGCCTTTGAAGCAGTGTGAACCAAGAATTTGTGGGCTTGTTTCTCATTGGTAGGGTCCATACCTTGGTTGATTTCATCAACAATACGCACGGGGGCTTGTGTCAATCCTTGTAGGGCCATCACAAAAAAAATGGTTGATACTGCTCTCTCTCCTCCCGACTGAGATTGACGATCAAGTATTTTTAATTCGGATTCTTGCCTGAACTTAACGAGAATTTCAAGTCGCCAGTCCTTAAACTTCTCCTGCTTTTTTAATCTTACTTCCCCATCACTAGCAACAGCAACGAACTTCTTTTTGAATGAAAGTGAGATCCTAAAGACCAACTTGGTTAGCTCAGGCTCCCATTCAGACTGAATCTTCTCAATACGAGCGTCCAAGTCAAGTTTGGCCTTCTCGTATCTTGGCAAAGTGTTCTCATATTCTTCGAGTTTGGCTTCAACCTCTTTCAATCGGTTGATGCAATTTCTGTCAGCAGCAGCTGTCAAAACACTCAATTCATCTCTAATTAGCTGGATCTTGTTCTTGACATATATTTGGTTCAAAGAGTTTGTCTCCAAATACTTTTCTGCTAGTTTGGCCAAGTCTCTTTCTTCCTTCTCGGTGTAATGTTTCTTCTGTTCTTTTATCTTCTTGGAAGCATCACTTTCTCTTATATTTCGGTAATTGGCATTAGCCTCCTCATAAAGCTTTACCAATTCTTCCTTATATTGGTCAATTTCTTCTACTAATGCCTTGATTGAAGAGGCCCGAGTTTCGTGTTGAAACCTTTCAAGAACCAAGTTGTTTAGTTCCACCGACTTCAGAGTAATGTCCACCGCAGCAGCTTGCTTGGAGGCTGACCCAGTTGCCAACTCGACATTGAGATTTAGAATTCTCTTCCGATACTTATTTAGCTTGGATGATTCACTTGAGCTCAATTCTCTTGTTTTACGTTTAATGAGATCGTCTGTTCTCTCAATTTTCTCTTTAATTCTACTCTTCCGCTGAATCTGCTCCTTTACCTCCCTGTACTGCTTATCAATATCTGCAAATGCGTTCTTGTTCTGCTGAACTAAGGGCAATAGTTGCTCCTTTTCAGCTTCATGATTCATTTTTGCATCCTGTGCAATTACTTGCTGGCTCTTAAGTGACTCTATTGCTAGCTGTGTTTGCTTTTTAACTTCTCCAGGTACCACGTTCTCCTTTCCAAAGAATTTGGACCTTGTAACCGTTTCGGTAACGCTGACAAATTGTTTAGCTCCATACTTGGATTTATGGACAGTTATGAGTTGATTGCCCACAGCAAACCTCATGAATGGGATTCTTCCATTGCTATCTGGGTTTAAGAGACGAGCAACCTGGTCCTGGGAAAGTTCTGGAGCGTAAGGAATCCAATTCAACTTTGAATTGGAGTTAATCATATTGATGACCTCGGAGGGACCAACAAGGAAGTCAGATAAATAGCATTGAAATCCAAACCCAGATATCTGTGATTTTGCAATTTGAGGTTCGCTAGCTTGTTCCACAATGATTCTTGTAGGCGAGTTGAAGTTTTTGAACAAAATATTTGGTATCTTATTGTATGCGTCTTCTGAGGTGAATGTCAAGGACATTAGTGTACTTGGATTAATGATTTTTTCAATAACTGGAGCTACCAGTTTCTCGGTCACATCACAAGTAACGACGGGAGACTCAAAATAGTACTGTTTCAACTCAGGTCTCTTACGGAGTTCTTGGTGAATGTGGTATGCGTTAGAAAGCAAAGGATTGTTACTTCCATTACTGCTAGGGTTGAGCATAGAAAGTTTGTCTTTCGTATTGAGGACTGCTTCTTGTTCTTTGATTTTAAAACCAAGTCTCGAAACCTCTCTTTCTTGTGATTCAATGTTGTCTCTAATCGCTTCAAGTCTGCCCATAGTTTCAGTAACGGTTGAATTCTTATCTCTTCTTAGTTTGTAGAATTCGTCTCTCTCTTCAGTGAGAGCATCCAACTCTCCCAACTCATTATACTTTGTTCGCAAGTCTTGCACATCCGAGTTAAGAAGTTCAAGCTCCTTCCGAATGGTTTCTTTACCAATCTTGGTTCTTTGCAACTCTTCCTTCATTTCTTGAATACTGGATGTGATTTTTTGTACCGTTGAAGACTCCCTTTTATACTGCTCCTTAGACTGATCTATTTCACTTCGTAGCTCAAATATCTGCGCCTTGAGGTCGTCTACCTTTCTCAAACAAAGGGTCACCTCTTTATGAAGGGGATCAGCATTGTTATCAAATGCATTCAACTTGGCTTTAGCATCATCCCTCTGCTTTTTCAACATCCTCTTCTTTTCCTTGTCATCATTGGATATGGCATAAGGTAATAAGAGTTCATGATACTTCAAATCGGTGGCCTTATCATTGAACTGATTCAACCGCTCAACTTCTTCTTGTAAAATCTCCCGCTCAGATGTCAACTTATCCACATTATCCACGATATTCTTCAAGTCCTCGGCAGCCGCATCTCTATCCTTCTCCAACGCTATAAGGCTTTCGTGCATCACATGGAGGTCCCCGTTTTTCAAGGTTCTTTGAGTTTCCAAAAGTAACTTTTCTGGACTGAGACCGGCAAACTCTGCTACTCTCTCTTGGGGCAAAAAGTGACACAAGTTGTCCAACTGAATATTAAGTTCTTTGACTTTTGTTTGTACAAATCGTTCTGCAACTTTCTTGTTATCGACTTTCCACTCACTCGACTTTGCATCAAAACTCCGCTCAATAACAAAGGAACGGCCACCATTGCCCATCATGGTGATAGTCACCTCTGCCCGATTTTCGCCCGATTTGATCATATCTTTAAGCAGAGGCCGCTTTATGAGTTCGGGTTTTCCTCCAAGCCCAAGGCAAATGGCCGAAACTAAGGTACTCTTTCCCGTACCGTTAGGACCAATGATCATATTTAGGGTTGGAGACAACGAGAACTCGGCATAGGAGTATGTGGTGAAGTTGGTTACGGTTACCTTCATGATATTGCCTGGTTTGAATGGAGGACTATTGGGTTTGTGCCGCTTGTGTGTGCCATTTGATACTGAACGTAGCACACCATCAAGGGTTTGTCCAGGGGATGGTTCATCAAATGACGGTCTGTGAGAATGTTGGGGAATTACCACCATTGTACTGGATCAGAAAGTGTGTAGCAGATGTATAGTATCAGTCGCATCAGTGCGCGTCTGAAAAAACGACGTGTCCGAACCACCTGTCGCAGTGTTTTATTTTGTTTACATTTCGAAACTCCAGATCAGCCACTACTATCAATAAAGACAAGTATCATGGTACGTTTCAGCTAAGTTTAATGATGTACCTTCCCAAGGTGCAATGCAACTTCATACAACCCCAAGTAACCTATTACTAACATCAAAACCAGTCCCAAAACACCAAAACATACAAAGATGCGTTTGCCCTCTTCGACAAAAAGGGCACTGGAAAGATCCCAGTTGAACACTTGGGTGACTTATTAAGAGCCGTGGGCCAGAATCCCACCTTGGCAGAGATCTCCGACTTGCAAAGCGGTATCGGCGGCGGTGAGTTTGATTTTGAAACGTACAAAAAAATCATTGAAAGACCTGATGGATTCAAGCCATTGGGATTACCAGAAGACTACATAAAGGGATTCCAAGTTTTCGATAAGGACCACACCGGCTACATTGGTGTGGGTGAGTTGAGATACATATTGACGTCCATTGGCGAAAAGTTGTCGGATAGTGAAGTTGACGAGTTGTTGAAAGGTGTCAATGTGACGTCTGACGGGAATGTTGACTACGTGGAATTTGTCAAATCGATCTTGGACCAATAGATAATTGGTCCCCGACGCCACAGTACAGTGGTGAATATACAATTGTTACCAGAGCATAGCTGTAGTTTCCGCGAGGATTGTAGACGTGGGTGGTGGGGGAATGGTAATGATATTATCAGCAGCTGGTGAAACCTCCATCGCGAAGTTGGAATTGGATAGCGCGAGATTTTTCTATCAATGAGTACAGACGGCATATCTGTGAACACCATCGATGCTGTTGATATACGGCGTAATGAGCGGTTCCACATGTTCCCCGAAGAGCGAGTGAAGTCTATAGCTGGAATCACGGGCGTGATAGGCTTTTTCAGTGGCTTTTACGATGGTATCAAGTCTTCATCCGTACGGTACCTCACCGAGAATAGCCACAGACTTCCACGAAATGTCGGTGGATGGTACTTTTATCACAAGAAGAAGAACTACATCATGCTAACTAGCGGCTTCAGAACCGGGGTGCGCCATGGACTCAAGTACTCATTGCTTGTGTCGAGTTTTTTTAGTGCTGAAGCGTTGGTGGACCAGGCGAGAGGTGTGCAAGACTTTTTGAATACCACTGTAACGTCTTCTGTGTTCTTCACAACCTTTGCGTATTACAAGAGACTAAGCCGAGTGCAGACGCTCAGCTATGGGAAGAGGGGGTTCCTTTTTGGGTTGTGTATTGGAGTCTGCCAGGATTTAATGATATGGAACAGAGGAGGAAAGGTGTGGTACCTTGAAGAATGGGTCGTGAAAAGGTCTGGAACTCAGCCAGAGAAAATGTAAATAGGAGTTGAGATAGTGAGTCACGATAATGAAAGTGTACAGTACGACTACTTTGTATATATAAATGTCTGTATAGGTGAATAAATTACTTCAGTTACTCTTCTTCTTCCTCGTCCAAATCCGGAACAGGATAGCTTAATAACACCGCTATCCCTGTCAATGCATCAAGCTGCTTACCAGAATCATGTAAGCTCGAGAATATCAACACTTCTCCACTAGAATGCTTCACCTGTTCAGTTAAGTCGATATAGAATTTACGAACCAGAATATCGTCGTTTCTGAACAATGAATCGGTGATCATCAAATATTTGACAGCCCCAAGCTCAATGGCCTGCTCACATTCTTTTCTTCCGTACCAAGCCTTGTCGTTGTCCTCATTCAAGTTCTTTTCAAACTCCTCGAATACCTGCACTTGTTTGGTGAACTTGGTGTCCGACAACTTTTTCTGCAAGTGAGGGTCTTGTAACGCCTCCTGCAATCCCTGGAGGTATCCTGTAGACGAGTGGGCCACCACAAACTTGAACTTGTTCCGAAATAAGTCTTTGTCATCGTTCTTTTGAGCATAGGCATTTATTTGTGCCAATAGACTCGATGCCATAAACCCTGGAGATGTCAATATCACCACTTTCAACTTATCCAAGTCGAAGTTCCGCAACATGGTGGTGATGATCAAGTCATAGAACTTGTTCAAGCCCTTTTCGTAGTTGGAGTTGTCACCTCTGCGTTTCTTGGGAATCGACTTCTCTATCTTGGTCTTCAAAACCGTCATATTGTCAGTGATAAGACATAAGTGGGCAATGCCTTCTTCAAACACGATGGCACCAACTTCAGCCTTGGCCTCGATAGAGCACGACTGGATCACGATATTGTAGTTTATTTGGTCCCATTGATGTTTGTACACGGTTATAGGTTTGGTCAACTGTACTTCTCCAGTATGATAACTTTGAATAGGAACGTATTCGTTGGGCTCGGTGGTTTTGCCTCTAATTCTCATCAGCTCATCTGAGGGATTGTATTCAACATCCTCGACGTTCAATCGGAGTGTTACCATTTTCCGTTCTTGCTTTCCCTTGTCCTTTCCACCAACTGCTGACAACCCCGACTTCTTGCTGACATTTCTGAAGGTCTGGATTTTGACATCATCCTGTTTCTGAATCAAGTTATACAACTGCCACAAGTCCTCCTTGTCTTGAGGAACAAGCGTTGTATAACCACTGGAGTCCTTTTCAAACGATTGTTTTACAAGCTTCATGGATATTGTAATTAAATGCGCACTGCGAAGAGATAACTAATAAATGTTATTAACTACATACACGCTACTGACTCCAGACTAGTGATTCACCCTACTTCACTTCTGCCTTTACAAGAGTTGAGTTCTTACACAACTCACCTCTCTCATTAACCAACTTCTTTGGTTCCTGGCCTTCTTCCGTGTAAGTGACTTCAAAGTTTTCGGTGGTGGAGAAGAGTGGTTGACAGGTTTCAAAAATCTTCTTTTTAGGGTTCAATTGCTTCTCTGGCGTACCGTTGAAGTCCTCAAAGAACAACTTGTCACCAGGCTTGGAACCTTCGGGGGGTTCACAAATTCAACCTCAGTGGGGTTGGAAGCACACAATACCATCCCATTGGATTTAATACCTCTCATGGCCACAGGTTTCAAGTTGGCCACCACAATGACAAACCTTTGTTGCATTTGTTCCAAAGGAATGTACTTGACTAAACCTGAACAGATGGTTCTAGGTTCTTCTTCACCCACGTCAATGGTAGAAACGTAAAGAGAATCAGCGTTGGGGTGCTTGATGGCCTTTTGGATGAATCCCACTCTGAAGTCGATTAAACTTGGGCTTGGAGGCTTTTGGGCGGCTTTTTCAGCAGCAGCCTTTTCGGCGTTGGCCTTGGCTTTAGCAGCCTTAGCAGCCTTTTTGGCATCAGCTTTAGCCTTCTTTTCTTCTTCCGTCACTTCTTTCTTGTTATCCTTCTGGTCGGCATCTTGCTTCTTTGGTGCTTCTGGCTTGGTAGAGGCCACAGGAGCAGCCTTAGGAGCGTCTTCCTTCTTTTTCTTTTCCTTGATTTCTCTGGGAAGCTCCAAGTCCTTGTTGACTTCAAATTTGTCTTTGTGGTCAGTCAAGTTCTGGATCAAGTCTCCCCATCTGACAACGTGTCTGTAGTTGACAAAGTCCTCGGGCTTAAAAGACTTGATGGTGGGCAAAATTGAGTCGAATAACGTCAAGTCTACCTTGTTAAGCTCGTTGCCTAATAAGTAGGTGGAGGATCTCAAGGTGTCGTTGATGGTGACCAACGAATCACTCTCGTTCACCCGCAAGGATAAGGTGGAAAACTGGGATGCTAACGCTTGTTGTTCTTTGGTTAAGTCTTTGGAAGCGTTAATTAAAGTGGACATGTTAAACTTGAGTCTGCTAAAGATTTTGTTCATTGGATTCATCAGTTGAGAATGCGAAAAAATTGGATGGGAGAGTTAGGCAGGGCACGCTTCTTGATAGATGAAGTGAAGAGGAGGAAAGAGTATGAATGAAGATTGTTAATGAGGTGATGAAGAGAATGAAAGGGTATATATCAACGGAGGAATGGCTGTAGAACGTAGTTAGAGTAATTGGTTGGCTGGAGTTGGATCTGTTGAATGGAAAAGGCGGTATAGGCTCACTGCCCCTCTTCACGTCAGCGGTGAACATAAATAGTAGGTTGTTTATTGGTAACAATATATAGGAGTTGGTGGGGAATTTGTGATATGTCAAATATGGTTGATTTCGTTAATAGCCTTCATAATTGATTTGAAGGCAGCAGAAAGGTCCGCCACCGTAAAAGAAAAGTCACAAATCCAGCAGAATCTTTGATTGCGAATAGAACTAGAAACATTGGGTCAAAACGAGAATAGGCAACGGGCCATGTCAAGGAGCGAAAGAACAAACGGTAGGGAACAGAAGGTGAAACACAGGTCTATGTTCAAAAACAACCACCAAGATCAAGAACTAAAGCAAACAAGTCAAACTTGTGATCATATGGACCAAGATTTATAGCAGTTTAGTGGTGCACACGATGTTTTAAACATAGGATACTGTGCAGTCAAACCTAAAAAAGTTAAACCTGTTCTTAAGGCAATAGCTAGCTCTACAAAAGACATTGCCTTTACCGATACAAGCGAGGCGGTTAGGCGGATTTGTCCTTGGAAACCTTAAAAGAATCTAGAAACAGGCCACTGGTAGTGCTATCCACAACATGTCCACCTCAAACGAAGTAGACACCCCCGGAGATGCCGGAGACCAAATATCGGCCATGAATAGTGCATTTTATACTTCACACCCAAGATTGAACTTGTGCAATCTTTAGATCAAGAATCCATAGGCTCTATTGTTTCGGGCGGCTACAAGTCTCCTGGCGGGTAACTTGCATGCCAGGCCCCTTTTCTCCCATTTTTCACAGTCAGAGGACAAGGGAACTTGGGTGATAGGCAGAAGCTCTGGTGGTCTGATTCGCTAACAGACGAACCTCGCCAAGAGGCACTTTACCACCATTCACACGGTAATATAATGGGGAAGATTTGACGAGGGTTGCCGCCAAGGCCGATGTAATAGGAGACAAACTCCAAGCAAGGCAAAGAACTCTCCACTGCGTGTATGACGGACGCGTATCTGTAGAGCGAATGATGTGAGTCTGTGATGCAAGGCAGGCATATATAGCCGGATGTGTACATTGATTAGCGCCGTTTTGAATTGGAAACTGCAGCCGTCACTTGCTCGAATCACAGGCCTTGACTGCATAGATACTTAAAGATTATGCAGGGAATACTAAACCGTTTGAGCAATATGTGTTACCAGTTAAATGGAAAACGGAGAAGTGTTAATCACCGTTTAGAATTATTCTCACTTTTTTTCGGCCTCTCATTTGTGGCTGCAAAATATATAACCTCACATAATAACCACCAACAGCCACACACACTACCATGCTTGGTCTGGCCCAGTCCCAGGTGTCGTTTGTGTCTCCATCCACTATCCCCCGTTCTGCCTCCATCGGCCACCTCATGAACGCTTTCCGCATGTTGGCACAATCACATGCCTCCACCAAACCCAGGTCCTCTGACACCACCAACCAGAGAACACGACCTTTGCAGTCTCCACCCATTCAGGGTGCCACCGCCTCGCCCCAAGCACCCCCATGTGAATCGCAAACATCCGTTACCATCTGCAGCTCGCAGTTCCACAAACGCCTCCGGAGAACAAAACACATCACTCTTAGTGGAACCAATCTCAGGTGCATCAATCTACTGGGCACCATGACCCGGGATTGCCCTGTGCCAGTGGTGGCTCCCGAACATAGAACGGCTGAATTCCCTCTCGCCCACGTAGTGTTCTTTGATAAAATAAAAGATGGTGTGAACTGTGCGCAAGCATCAGGTGATTTCTAAACCACCCATTTCGAGAAGTCTGCAATAGAAGCATTTGCAGGGAAATGTTCGGACAAAAGAAACCATGACCTTGGTGTGAGGTTCACTGATAACGGGTCTGGCAACTATACCAACAGCTGGGTCACGCGTACTGCCAAACACGTGATAGTCCCAATTGGCGGTGAGCACCCCACGTCGCGCGCGATCGGCCAACGGTACCACGAATCAGGCGGTAAACCGCCCATCGCCCCCGCCAGTGCTCGCTGCCCAGGCGGCGGGTCAGCTCCCACGGCTAAGTGTGACACCGAAATCGTACCACTCGATCTAGCACCCAGGATATTTAAGGCACACCAGGACCCTGGTTTAGCCACAAATATGGTTCCTTTAATCCAGTCCGTTATCTCGGCTGAAGACCCACAAAATTCTTCGGACGAGTCCCAATATTCCAAAAACCGTCCAAGAACTCTCCAATCCATTAAAAGCATGCTTCGCGTGTGGCAAATGAATGCGAGAAGATTTCTCGGAGAAAGCGCAGAACTTGAAAATCAGATATTTTCTCCCAACACCCACCGGCCCAGTCAAACAGACGTCCCTGGCATTGATGAAATCGAGAGTGACGAACAGAGTTTAAGTGAGGAGCAGGTTCGGCTAAGATCTTGTCAGAGAAGCAGAAGTCACTCCACGCTTTTGACACATATGGCCACTCCACTGGCATCGGCCGCACCACTGGCGGTGGGCTCGCGCCGTGGGTCGGCCGTGGCCACCCCGCGCCGTGCCAGCAGTCCCGATGAGAGCTTACGTTTCCAGCACCAGGAGTTGAAACTGCAGCTGGACGTGCAACTAGCACTGAAAGTGTCGCGATTGCGTCGACGCTTACACGAGCTCCGGCCCAAGTCACTCTCGCCCTACGCCCACATCCACTCACTGCCAGCGGGCTCCAACATTTAGTCCATCAAGTCGCCCGTCGTTTGACCGGCTGCAAATGTTACACGGATGCCCAGTCCGCAAAATTGTCCCTGGAGGTCTGGTACCACGGGTAGGCTTATTTACGATCACGACTTTCACTACAATAGATGCTAGTGTACTTCTTTCCTCTCTTTGTAAACCCCTAAACATGCACTCTCATGTGGCTGATTCTCACTATGTGGATAATTTGCGGTTTCTTCTCAAAATCTGAATCTTTCATCTTATCGCGACTGAGTCATAATCACCATGGTAGACTTAGACAAGCTCATTAGACCCAATATCTTGACGTTGGAACCCTACAGATGTGCAAGAGATGACTACAAGGTCGGAGTACTCCTTGATGCCAACGAAAACACCCACGGCCCCGCGTTGACAGAGGTGTCGGAGCTTGAAGATTCACTTGAGCTCAATCGGTACCCAGATCCTCACCAACACGAATTGAAGAAGAACATCGTGGACTTCCGAAACTCTCAGCCCAACGTCCACTTGAACCAGTCCTCGCCGAGGTTGGGGGTGGAAAATCTCTGTCTCGGAGTCGGTTCTGATGAGAGTATCGATATGCTCTTGCGATGCGTTTGCACTCCAGGACAAGATAAGTTACTCACATGTCCACCAACTTATGGAATGTATTCCATTTGTGCAGTGATGAACGATGTGCCAGTGGTCAAGGTTCCCCTAACTTTCCCGGAGTTCCAGCTCGATGTCGATGCAGTGGCGAGGACAGTGGAGTCTGATCCACAAATCAAGTTGGTATACTTGACGTCTCCAGGAAATCCTACAGGAAAGTTGATTAAAGTCGATTTGGTTCTTGACCTTTTACGCCGTTTGGCCAACCAGAACGCCTTGGTGATTGTGGATGAGGCCTATGTCGACTTCACGCTTGGTGAAGACGACGAACACAGCCAGTCGATGTCTACGTTGGTCAACCAATACGACAATTTGGTGGTGTTCCAGACGTTATCGAAATCGTTCGGTTTAGCAGGTATTCGGTTGGGAATCACCTACTGTTCCAAACAATTGTCATACTTCTTGAACGCAATGAAGTATCCCTATAACATCTCGAGTTTGACGTCGTCGGTTGCGCTTAGAGCCACAAGCACGGGCTTAAAGGTTATGCGCAAGTATGTTGATAAAATCAAGAAGGAAAGAGCACAGTTAATTGAAAACTTGCTGAACATCGAGGGAGTAGGTAGAAATATTGGAGGGTTAGACTCCAACTTCTTTTTGCTTGAGATCCTCGACAAGAATGGTGTGCCCTCCAATGAATTAGCTCATGAGTTATACACGAAGCTCGCTTCTATTGATCAAGTGGTGGTGAGATTCCGAGGAAAAGAGTTGAACTGTACAGGAGCGTTGCGGATTTCGGTGGGTACTGCTGCCGAAAACACCGTGTTGGTTAGTAAGTTTGCTTCTGCCCTTAAAGAGTTGCGGTAACAAATGCAGTAGTATTTAATATATATAGACTTAAGCTTAAACCTCACTTTTCGCGACCAAAAAAACTTTTCAGTTTTTCACTTCTCAACCTTATAATCCAACCATATGGCCAGACAGAATTTCGTGGGACTTGTGGTGTCGCAGGGAAAGATGCACAAGACCGTCAAGGTAAGGGTGCAGACAAAGATCCATGACGCCAAAATCAACAAGGATGTGTTCAAGAGAAAAGACTATCTTGTGCACGACGAGGGAAACTTGTGCAAAGAAGGAGACATCGTCAGAATCGAGTCTATCCCCAAAATTTCCGCCAGAAAGTTCTTCGCCGTCGCCGAAATCAAGGTCGATAAGGGGCAGCAGTTCGCCTTATATGAGAAGTTGGCCCAAGAAAAAGTGGCTCAAGAAGAATCTCAGTTGGTGAAAGAGTTTGTCAGCCGGAGAGAAAACTTGCAAAGGGTTATCACCAAGATCGAGGACTTGAAGGCCTTGGACAGGATAGTCCACACCGCACAGACAGACCCTGATGCCAGTCGGGAAGCACTTGTAAAGCAGATCAATGAAATCAAGCAAAAGTATAACATCGATTCATGGCCCACGGATAAGCCCGTGTTGGACTTGGAACTTACCAGCGATAAGCTCGAGTTGGCGGAGATGCAAACTAGAGAAACCCATATTCACCGGATTTTAGATGCTTTGATGAGTGACGAAAATGCAGGCGTGAGAAAAGAAATCTTATCGAAGGTGGCCAAAAAGAACGTGGACGAGTTAAAGCCCGGTATCCAGAAAAACATTCTAAGGAAGTACGTGTTAGACGTCCGTAATGAAGTACCTATTAAGTTCTAGTGGTGTATCTCATCGCTTCTCCAGCTTTTGCGATTCGCACCAATGTACATAGAAAAATTAAACATCTAATAAACAAGATACACCCTGCAAAAAAGGTATGCACGGCAGCCATGTCGACGATATCAGACCTACGGACCCGAGATCTGCACACTACTCTGTCTGAACGGCGATATATCAAGATTTCCACCGACTTTTCCAAGTCCCTGCATGTCCTCCCGCTACTTTCCAATGGCTACTCCTACCACAACTCCCAACAACAAGAACATGAACTAGTACCACCGTTATCGTTTGAAAAGCTTCTCGATGCTCCCCTTTCCACTGTTTCCAACATGAATATCCGCCCCGGAGAACGCCATTTTCTTTTCTGGTTCTCCGTATCGTCTATTTTGCCCTTGATCTCTGCGTGCTTAGGGCCCGTAGGCAATATGCTTTCGATCGTGGGTCTTGCCGAGTCATGGCGCCTCGATACCACGACGTTAGAGCCGGTACCAGACCCAACTGCTGTGCAAGTCCTCAACTCGCTTAGTCTTGCGTTCGGGTTGATAGGCAATACTTCGTTGTTGGTGAACTTTTCCAACCCCAAAGCATATATTATTGCCCAGACAGTTTCGATAACATGCTGGGTGGTGGCATCGCTCTTACTCGTGGTGGGTCTTGTGGTTCTCAATGCCGTGTACATGACTCCAGGTCACACGCGGTCGGAGGGCCACTGGTTTTCTGTGTTCACGGTGGCTCTCTACTTGATGTGCACCTTCACGATGTCACTCAACACCATTGGCTATCTCTTGGGAAAGTACCCGGCGCTCTTGAATCTTAACAAGACGGAGAAGGCGTTGATGCGGTACACGGTGGCACTAACGGTGTGGCTTGTCATCGGCACCTGTTCTTGTCGTAGACTTATTGATGGGCTTGAGTATGGAACTGCATTATACTATTGCGTGGTGTCGGTATTAACTATAGGGCTAGGCGACATCATACCATTGTCTTCAGGGGCCAAAGCGTTTATTCTCATATTTTCGTTGGTGGGGGTCATACTTATTGGTTTGGTTATTGCTATGATTCGTCAAGTGCTGCACAACACCAACAATCCAGTTGTGCACTGGCACCATATGGAAGTGGAGCGGAAAAAGTGCTTGGAATTGATTGAAAAGAACCATGTTAAACTCCATGAAGGTGATGGGTTCCGGATAATGCGTCGTATCGAGCACAAGTGTCGGCTGCAACAAGAAGTTTCCAGTGTTATCCTCAACTTGGGAGTTTTTGCTGCGTTATGGCTTCTTGGGGCCGTGGTGTTCCGGTACGTGGAGGGCTGGCTGTACTTCAATGCCGTATACTTCTGTCTTCTTTGTTTGATCACCATTGGCTACGGAGACTTTGTTCCCGTGTCGGCGTTGGGACATGCGTTCTTCGTGTGCTGGGCCATCGCCGCCGTGCCGCTAATGACAATGCTTATCTCAAACTTGGGTGATACTCTCTTTGATGCCTACAGCCTTGCACTGCTTTTTGGAACGATTCGAATGCATGTACGGTATTTATTTTACGGTCCTCCCAACAAGTTCAAGGCCAATTCCCACTCTCTCCACCCTGTCGATTCTATCAACCGAGAACTCGGTGAAGAAGTCCTCTCGACAGATAGTACTACACCGTCTCCAGAACCGGCTCATAGTGTCCATCTACGCCCACATCCACATGGGCTTCGTGAGAAGCTTGAAACAAAGATCAAGACGCAAAAAGAAGACTTGGTGCTGATACTTGACTTTCTCAACCAGTTGAAACCTCTTCTTGAAGACACCCTTGACTCTCCTTCCATTGAGTACAAGTTTGACGAATGGAAGGCTTTGGTGCATCTGTTACAGCGAGGTACTGAAGAAAGTCAACACGATACCTACTACTGGCTTGGGGACGAATCACCTTTGCGTTTACCATTGAAAGAGCCAAATTATTTCATCACCCGGATCTTTTTCCGCATAGAAAGTGAGCTACTTCGTTTGATTCGAGAGCTGGACCAGGAACTCGAGGACTTAACTGCTAAGAAGCAGCAGCTCCCTCAAGGGCCTTTTGAGTAGTTTTTCGCAGCTACTTTTCGTGTGTGGTAAATTCGCGTATGTCGATGTTTTTTATCGACAGTCGATAACATTACTCATTATCTGCCCAAACACAGTCAACTGCGGGTTTGTCATCGTTAGAACTACAAGATATGGCCCAGCACCTCAGCACCGATTCGCTCAGCCTGCTGACCCCTCCTGTGCCGTCCTTTCCCCATGACCCGGTGGTGTTCCGGTTTGCAGCCATCACAATCACTTTATCTCAGCTCCGTTATCTTACATTTTCCCTTATCGGCATCGCTTTATTGTGGCCTTGGAATGCTTTCTTGCTGGCAAGTGCTTACTATGGAGAGAGATTCTCCCATACCTTGTCCCTTATCAAAATCTACTCTTCCACCATGATGACGGTATCTACCTTGACCTCAACCGTCTATACATATTATTTATCACAGGTACAAAAGGGCGTTAACTATCGTGCCCGTATATACATGGGACTTAGCCTTACTGTTGGTGTGTTTGTGGTGATGGCCTTTTCATGCATTTCTTGGTGGTTTATCACCATGGAGGATACGGTGTTTTTTGTGGGTTTGATGGCCATGGTATTTATGGCATCAATAGCAACAGGACTTGCCCAGAACGGCACTATGGCCACTGTCAACGTCTTGGGAAGCATCTACGCCAATGCGGTGATGGTGGGTCAAGCTATTGCCGGGGTGTTGCCTTCTATCGCTCTTATCATCTCCATTTTGGTGGTTGGCGAACACACCACTGAAGCCTCGGGCCCTAGAAAAGACTATGGGGTGTTTGTGTACTATATTACAGCAAGTCTTGTGGCGTTGGTGTCCATGTCTCTTCTTTGGTGGGTGAATGTCTATAAGTCCCACAACCAGTATCGGCTTTTGAACGAAACATTAGAGGGTGAGCAGTCTATTGACTCTAGTGCTAACGACGTCGATGAGCCAGAAATCCAGCAGAACTACGTTTCTTTTGGGGTGTTGTGGTCGAAATTGAAGTTCATTGTGCTGTCTATATTCTTCACGTTTGCTGTCACGCTTATATTCCCGGTGTTTGCGTCTACGGTCGAATCTGTCAACTACGACTCCAACTTCCGTCTCTTCAAGAAGGACATTTTCATCCCATTCCTGTTTTTGGTGTGGAACTTGGGAGATCTTTTGGGGCGTATTTGGTGTGGAGCACCAGGTTCCAGGTTCTTAATTAATAAACCTTCCAAGTTAATCACGTACTCGTTGGCTCGTTTGGTTTTCATTCCTTTGTTTTTGACCTGTAACATCCACCCGTACACTTCGGCATCGCAATCGAGTGCTTTAATTAACTCTGACCTCTGGTACCTTATGCTCCAGATGTTGTTTGGATTATCAAACGGGCAATTGTGCACTTCATGCTTCATGATCGTTGGGAACTTCTGTGATACAGATGATGAGAAAGAAGCTGCTGGTGGGTTCACAGCGGTGTTTTTGAGTGTCGGGTTGGCGTTTGGTAGTGTTTTCAGCTATCTTCTCGTTATTGCAATCAATTAGAGTTTAGATTGCAAAAACCATGATTTATTCCAATGCAGTGGAAAGATAATGTTGATAAACCATCATGAAACATCATGAAGCATCATGAAAGAATAATTGCTCCAAGTTTACGCCAGACATCTACTCATATACTAATACATTTTACAACATGTCTCATAAATACTCCTATTATTTAGGCTATGCCACATCAGGCACCGATCGCGCGCAGTAGATTTGTTAGAACCGAAACACCTTCAATCATACAATGTCATTTTGGGATAAAAATAAGGATAGCTTTAAATCAACTGGAATAGCTGCGGTGAAGGGAATCGGTAAAGGGGGCATGGCTCTCGGGAAGGCGGGTGTTCGGACGTACAAGAACCATCAGGGAACCCCCAATTCTTCTTCAAAAGAAGAAGTGGTGGAAGAACCATTGGGACCAGGACCGCCGCCGTTGTCTAAAGACCAATTGAGCACGCTACCACCTCCTCCAGCACGCAACGTGGAAGGCAGGATATATGTGCCAGGTGCTCCGTCTGCCAATCCGCTTCAGGTGTATGGTAGTGGAAATCAGCCTCAAAATCAGTCTCAAAATCAGTATCAAAATCAGTATCAAAATCAGTATCAACCCTATCAAAACCAGCCTCAACAGTCTCCGTATCAAACTCAGTCACAGACTCAACCACAATACCATCAACCTGAATCACAATATCAACAGCCTCAATCACAATATCAACAGCCTCAATCACAATATCAGCAATCTCAACCATCACAGCAGCAATACCAGCAGCCTCAACAACCGCAGCAACAGCCTCAACAACCGCAGGAGCAGTACCAACAACCTCAACAGCAGTACCAACAACCGCAACAGCAATACCAACAACCGCAACAGCAGTACCAACAACCGCAACCTCAGCAGACTCCACCACAGTACCAACAGCCTCCTCAACAGGTCGCTCAACAGCCTCAGGCTCCTCAGGCTCCTCAGGTTCCTCAGGCCCCTCTGTACCAGCCTGTAACCCAACCAATTCCCTATCAACAGCCACTTCAACAGCCTCAACCCCCAGCCCAGGTTCCACCACCAGCAGCACAACCTCAGCAGCCACAAGCTTTTCTTCAGCAGCTCCAACAACTGATCCAGGCACAACCATCTGCTCCCTCATCAAACCATGGCTCTGCCCAGCCCAACTATTCTCCTCCATTGACTCAGAACTATGGTCCTCAATTACTGGGTGGCCCCTCGGCACCTCCAATCTCTCAAAGAGCAGCTGCTCCACTACCACCCCGGGCTGTTCAACCACCCCAGCAAGCATCACCACAAGCTTATCAACAGACACCTTCTCAAGATGCTCAACCCCAAACATTTAATGCTCAACCCCAGACACTGGCTCCACCAGTTCAACCAACATACCAACCACCAGTTCAACCAACATACCAACCACCAGCTCAGCAAGGATATCAAGCCTCAGCTCAACCAATATACCAACCACCAGTCCAACAAGTCCCTCCTCCAGCTCAACAAACATACCAGCCAGAACAGACATACCAAGCCCAAGAGGACGAAGCCCCGAAGCAGAAAACTCCATTACCGGACCCTTCCTCGTTTGCTCCTCCTCCTGTGCACAAGGCCCGTTCTTCGCTATCTCCACCACCTTCAGCACCGGCAAGAGTCTCAGAAGCTACTTCTTCCGTGTCGGCATCTCCAGCCTCTTCAACTCCAGCACAGTCGCATACCACGTTGGCTACTCACACCTCAGTTTCTTCTCGTGGCAAGGAACCTGTTAAAGTGCCAGTTCCCGCGTTGGCTGCTGGTATCGATGTTACCAAATTTGTTCCCCCTCCTAAACCTTTCCATGGAACCCCCGTGAACACTGGTGGTCTGTCTCATGTGGTGCCCAATACTTCCAGACCAGTGCCACTGCTTCCTCCAAGAGCTCCTTCTGTACCTCTGGTATCTCCTCCTGTTGAGACTAAGAAGGCACCCCCTCCGAAACCTTTGAAGAAGCCAACAATCACAATGCCCAACGATCCTCCTCCTTATAGAGAATCAGAAGGTAACAAGTCTTCTCCTCAACCATCAGAACCGGAGAAAGCAGTTCCTTCAGTGAAGCCAAAACCAAAGGCATTACTGTCGGCTTCAACGGTGTCACAGACTTCCTTGGAAAGCGAACTTGAGGCGACGTTAGCGAAGCGGTTTGCACCGCTATCAGTGAAACTGGAAGCGTCTCTGGTGGCGCTGGAAGAGGTTCTGATGAAGCCTAGTTCGAACCTTGAAAGTCCCACTAAACCTAAACCCCTTCTCAAACCTAAACCTCAATTAACACCTAAACCTCAGTTGGTACCTAAGCCTGATACAGATGGTGCTCTACCCCCTCCTGCTCCACGCAGAAATTATTGAGCCCAACAATAAGCATTAACTTTGTAACCAATATTGATATAGAACCCACAATAATTCATTTTGCAACTTCGCAGTTTCTCGCGATGCTCTAAAAATCAATTCACCACACAGATGACTAACGAAGAAGTTGCAGTAGCACCTTCGCTATCCACTCATCAGGGTGAAGATGCTTTCACCTTTCAGAGGTATGACCATTCTTCTAATAATCGCAAGCATTTGTCCTTACAACCGGTTGAGAACGGCCCTGAGCTCGACCAGTTGATCTACAACTACTACAGCATCGAGGAAACCATTGAGTTTATAAAATCCAAACCACAATGTAAGAGGGTGACGCTACAGTTCCCTGATGAACTTGTGTGTGATTGTAGTGCTGTGGCCCAGGCTATATCTTCAAAACTTGACATTGAGATTATGAAGACACCTTCAACTTGTGGAGGTAACTCCGACTGCTCATGCCCCAACTCCATAGACATTGAAAATGATGAAAAACAAACGGTGTGGATCCTCGCCGACACATCATATTCCCCTTGTTGTGTGGATGAAGTGGCTGCCGAACATGTCAAGGGTGACGTTGTCATTCACTATGGGGACGCATGTTTGAATCCTGTCAGCAAGGTGCAAGTAGCCTATGTGTTTGGAAAGCCTGCTGTAAATATTGATGAAACCGTGAAAGAATTCCAAAAAAAATACGAGGACAGCAGCAGCCGAGTATTACTTATGGCAGATGCTCCTCATTCATACATAATGCATTTGGTGTACGAAAAATTGCATCCAATATACCCAAACATCGCCTTCGCTGATATCCTGCAAGAATCATTTCCACACTCCACAATAATTGGATACAAGCCCATGTCGTCAACAATGGACTTACAACTTCTTAATAGAACCTTTCATCACTTGGTAGATGATGAAGACGAAGAGCTTGAACAGCTATTGATGTCCTATGATTTGTTCCATATCAGCGTTCCTGAAGCACCCAGATTATTGAAACTCACAACCGTTTTCCAATCTGTAACGCTATTTGACCCTGTTGAGGGCACAACATCCCAAGGCCCATTCCCTAACTTGATGCGTCGTTATCGGTATATGCATATGGCTAGGTCAGCTGGTACTATTGGTTTACTTGTGAACACATTATCTTTATCAAACACCAAACTTTTGTTGAACAAACTAAAGGCCAAGATCATTGAAGCCGATAAAAAGCAGTATATGTTTGTAGTTGGAAAGCCGAATGTGGCCAAGTTATCCAACTTTGAGCCTATAGACATCTGGTGTATTTTGGGATGTGATCATCAAGGTATCATAATTGACCAGAACAACGAGTACTTTAAACCTATCATCACGCCCTTCGAGCTTCTTTTAGCTCTCAACCAAGAGTTATCCTGGAACGGGAAGTGGGAAACTGACTTTGGGAAACTCTTGGTCCAACTCAAACAGAATGAGAATGAGAATGAACATGAAGACCATAATTCTGAAGACGATGAACCTCAATTTAACCCGGTAACCGGCAAGTTTGCCAGCTCTTCCACACCCTTGCGTCGTCCCCAGTACTTGCAAGTGGAAACTTCCACAACTACAAATACTGAAAATGCTCAGACAAATGCTCTTGTGAACAGATTTTCCAGCGAGGTGGTTATAAGAGACACTGTTTCCACCGCTGCTGCCCAACTCCAAACCAGACACTGGACAGGCTTGGGCAGTGATTATGTGGACGATGAAGAAAATGCCAAGGGGGCTTTGGTAGAAGACGGAATCAAGGGAATTGCCAGAGGTTACGAATTCGATGTAAATAATAATAGTTAAGAACAATTTATATTCGCAGCCATCGACTTTCGAGCCACCGCAGCGAATTTAACTATATCAACAATGTGCAATGTAGATACAATGGTATTGTTTGCCACGAGACACTGGAATGTGTTGATAGTTGCAAGCCTTACTATATGGTAAGTATCCGAAGTTTTCATGCGATTTGTGTGTTTACTAACTTTCCAGGGTGTATCTGAAGCAACCAGTCTGGAGTGTCATTCTGTTCATTTTGATCGCTATCAAGATATTTACAAATGTTGATATGTGGACACGAACGTATTCCCGACACGTACCATTGAGCAAAGATGATGTGGCCGTGGTGGTAGGAGGCGCCAGAGGACTCGGAATAGAAATGGTAAAACAGCTTACCAACAAATATAAAGTGAAGAAGGTGATTATCATAGACATGAACAAGCCAGAAGTCCGACATCAAGACATAACTTTCATTCCGTGTAATGTGGGAGACAAGAAGAAGTATGCTGAGGTGCTACAGAATGTGATAGACGAATGTGAAGCCAGTGGTGACAAGATTAGGGTGTTTGTCACCAATGCTGGTATAAGACACAGTAAATCGGTACTACAATTGAGCATGGAAGAGATCGATGAGATATACGATGTAAACGTATTTTCCTATATTCAAGGCATCCGGGCATTACTAAAACACCACATGAAACATCCCCAAGACAGCCTATCGATAGTGACAGTGTCTTCGGTGTTGGGGATACTTGCACCTCGAAATTTGACCATATACTCGTCTACCAAAGCTGCCTTGAGCCAAATTCACGAAGGTTTAGCTCAGGAGTTGGTGGACTTCCCCAGTATCAGAATGTTGCTTGTGTTACCTGGACAGCTACTGCGAGGAATGTTTGACGATGTGAGTCCTTCTCGGACTTTTTTTTGCACCTGTGGTGGACCACATCAAATTGGCTAAGGACATTATGGATAGAGTGAACAACGGGCAGTGTGGGGTGTTGAGTGAGCCTATTTATGGAAAATTGTTACCAGTGGTGAAATGTCTACCTTACTCGATTATACAGTTGTGTAGAAGATTTTCACAGATGGACCAGAAGGTCAGGGACAATTCATAGACAAGAACAATACATAGATCATTACGTGTATTAGTGAAGTATTTAGTTTCGCTTTTTTCCAACCTTCTCTATTTCCTTACTAAGCAACTGCTTGAGAAGTTCCGGTTGGAACATGGAGAAGTTGTCAAAAATCTTCATGAATTCAATGTGAGTTTTGACGCTCTGTTGCCTCTCTTCGCCAAACCTCAATTCTATGTTGTAGACTGGTTCGTACTTGGGACTGCTTGTAACTATAGTGATCTGTTCGTTATTATCATTGAACCCCACGTATTTGATGTTCTTGAACCTCTTAGAATTGGTCAAGAAAAATAAAACCCCACTGATTGCAAAGTACACAGCTAGAATTAACACCGTGAGGGTGAAAGATTCGTTGAACGGGATCTTCTTTTCAATGAGGAATAATCCACCACTCAAAAGGACAGTTAAAACGCCAAGTGCTAATTTGATATCGGTGAGTTTAAATGATTCGCTGTACCCAAGGCCTCCAAGAATGTCGGACAAGTTGTCGTCGACGATTGTGCGCAATTGTGCCACATTGCTAAAGGTATGTTAGTTTGGTAGTGGAAAGGTTGCTAAGTATCTTCTACATACTATAAGTTTGGTTTCGTAGTTGACATTGATGGTGGTGGTGGTGGAAAATTACGTGTTGGAAATTGTGTGAGCGCGCTGCCAAAATGTTTTTATGTACATAAAGTTTAGTAGTTTGATGAGAGAAGAACAAGCTTCTTCTTTTTCTTGTTCTTTTTCTTCCCAACAACTTCTTCCTGTCTTTCCATTTCTTCCTTGGCCTTTCTGATCATCTCTTCAGCATCCCAATCGTCTCCACTAGTCGGATCGGTAGAGTTTTCAGACTTCTTCACCTTAGTTCCCCAGACAGTGGTTTCGTATGCTGCTACAGAAGATTCATCCGAGTCAACCGCTTCCTCTTCATTGCCCTCAGAGGAAAGAAGTGGCAACTCTCTATTGTCAATGATAGAAAGACTGCCAAAGTTGGCAGAACCGTAAAATAGTTCCTCATCATAGAGTTCATGGTACTCTTCGAAACGGCTCAGCTTAGAAGGGTCATTTTCCCGTTCATAAAAGAGCATTGCCTTCCTCTCCTCTTCAGTTTCAGCTCTCTTCTTCGCCCGGTCCTCTTTTTCGAACTTTCGCTGTGATTTCTTTGTCCTCTTGACCAAGTCATCTTTGAAAAGTTCCCAAGTATCATTCGATATATACTCGTTGTTGTGCCAATTACACTGTAGGAACCCAATAGAAGTGCCCCAGGGGAGATGTGAAAGGTACTTGTACTTCTTCAAGGAGTTCTCGGGGGTTAGCTCTTCATACTGAATGTTTTCCACCTTTGCAATCACAACAGACGGTAAGTTTCCATACTCGTTGTTATAGTTGGACTTCAATACCTTGATATCCAATGGAGATAACACAAAGGTCGCTCTGGCATTGAAACCAGTTTCGTAATAGAAAAAGCTATTGGACGAGTCGATATTGTCATTTTTCACAATCGACTCGGCCTTGATAGGGTTGGATTCTTCCTGGTTGTACCATTTGACCCACCTATCGATGTCCTTGTTGATCTCATCGATGGCAAGCATGGAGTACTTGCCATCGTCGTTGTATAATTCCTTCTCTTCGGCATATGTCTTTAGTATCTGCTCCTTTTCCTGATTATACATCTTGAAAATGTACACCAAGTCGGCCTTGAAGAGCCTCAGGTACGGAGTCAAATCGGGATCTGTCATGTCCACGGATGGAAAGTTTTTAATCTGATAATGAATTTCTTCGATGGCTCTTGGAACCGCAAATAGCCTACTGTGGGGTCTCGACATAAGACTCATGATCACATCGTCCCCCACCTTTGGTGTTTCAAACCGATCGTCCACATCTAAGATCAAAGCGGGTTTGGTCTCATTTTTCCGAATAATGGAAGAGCACAAAGGACAGTCATTATACTTCTCCACCACCGCCGCCGACTGCTTCTTCTTGTTGGTGGGAATCTCTGTGTCGAGCAACGACAACAAACACTTGAGGCAGAGAATGTGGCCACAAGATGTGATCATTCTGGGAGCTATGGGGGTGTCGGAAAGGCATATTGGACAGGCATTTCCAGTAGGAACCACTATTCGAATGACATTCTCCGGAGATACCGGTACATTGGGGTCAATCTCCTGTGACTTGTAGTCACCTCTATAGTCGACCACAAATTTATAGTTCAAGTTGATAAAACCCATTCCTCTCAAAGGCACTTTGTATCTGTCAGCAGAAGGATCGTTGAAAGAATTTCGAGAAGACCGAAGACGCCTGGATTTTGGCTTAGAATGTCTACTTTTGTACTCATCCAGCTCTTTATACGGCTGGTAGTGGATAAGGTGGTTCAATGAAATCTGGTTCTGTCTATTATTCCCATTTACTTTCTTACCCATCCACAATTGACTGTCAAGGTGCAGAGGAACAGTTCCAGATTTCTTTCTGGATTGAGTAGGCATTGCCTTGGACCTACTTGTGGCGGATACTTGGGAAGCTTGCGTGGATAATGAGGAATCGGAATGCTGACTCATTTTGTATGCATAATTGGGGTAATGGGATATGTAGAAAGGTGGTTTCCAAGGGTCTGGCAACCGGTCAAGAAGGGGTGGGTAACACTGGTGCTATCCACAGAGGTGTTCCGGATGGTGGCCAGTGAATTTAGCAAGTGGCTCCAGCAAACAAACCTTTTGGATGTGTTGCTAGTGGAAATAAGCAGCACTTAGAAAATCCCCATCTGATGGGTTAATAAATAGACAATCGCGCAGTAATTTTTATTGGAAACATACACACCCATTAGCTTAAAACCGACTATGACAAACAATCCATATGAACGGTTACCGGGTTCGGGAGACACGGGCAGTCATGGCGGCACGTACATGCCAGCAATGCCTCCCAGCTACCACGAGTCTGGTGGCGATGATTCTTCCAATCCTATACCCGATACCAGTCATGTGGGCAATGCTGAAGATATGGAGCAGTTTGAAATCGATGATTTTGACTACGACGCTAGTCCTCACAAAGAAGGCTTTTTGAAGCGGGCATCGTTCTTCACCAAGAAGTTCGCCACCGCCTTCAGCAATCGGGTCATTGATCCGGTTACTAATTTAATAGATCCTATCTACGAGGGCTTACTGTTCGTCAACCTGCAATATGAAAGATCCATATTAAAAATTGGTAACCCGTTGGTCGTCAAGCGGTTGGTATACGTTGCGTTCATGGTGGCGGTGTTCTACTTGGTGACACGCCAAACCGTCAATGAAAGCATCAATGGTACAAGCGGTGGTGCCTTTTCTTCAGGGAAATTTTACGATATCGACAAGCTTTCAAATATTATTGAAGACCACATAGACCCAAAGTCCATGAAAGAACACTTGGAGTACTTTTCTTCAATGCCCCATGTGGCTGGTACCTCGGGGGACTTGGCCTTGAGTAAATACATTGAAACTTTCATGAAGAACAACGGTATACAGAAGATTCAGAACGTGGAACTCCGAAGTTACTTGAACTATCCGGCTGCCAGTAAAGCGAAGACCATTGTCAAGGTCTCCGATGGCTCTTTTGAGGCCACTTTAAACGAAATGGATATTATGGAGATGGAGTACATTGGCTTCAATCCCAATGCTTTAAACACTGATACTGAAGTTGAGGGCCATATGGTGTATGCGAACTACGGAACTGAAAAAGATTTCAACGATTTGGCAGATGCTAACGTGGTCTTGAAGGATAGCATATTGTTAATCAAGTATGGTGGTTCCTTACCAGAAGCCAACAAAATTGAGTTGGCCAAAAAGAAGCAAGTGAAAGCGATTTTGTTTATCTCTCACAAGTTTACCACCGGTAAGGATGATGACAAGCAAGACATCGATACAGTCATTGAAAGACACAACGTTGGGAACGGCAGATATAGTACTGGTGACGTTTTGACTCCTGGTTGGGCTTCAGAGGATGGTTATGTTAGTAGATTGTTATGGTTCAAATCTGAGTCCACCCCCAAGCTTCCTACCATTCCATTGTCTTACAAGGATGGACAGGAATTGCTTTCCAGACTAGGAAATACAGGTTTTAAATTTGAACATGATATTTACTCTGGAGACAAAACAGATGACGTTTCTAAGAGAATCAAGGTTAGAATTGGGAATAATCACAAGGATACCCACCAAATATGGAATGTTGTGGGATCTATCTTGGGAAGAGAACAGAATGAGAAAAGTGTGATTATAGGTTCCGCTAGAGACTCCTCGTGTTTCGGTACTATGTCAAGTAATTCCGGTAGTGTGGTGATGCTTGAATTGATTAAGTTATTTACAACCATGCAGAGGAAGTTCAACTGGACTCCGGCAAGAACCATCACCTTTGTATCTTTTGATGCCACCAACTACAATTTAGCAGGCCTGACAGAATGGATAGAAGATCGAAAGAAAACCCTTCAAGAACAAGGATATACTTATATTGATCTTAGTGATGCAGTTGCAGGAGATGATTTGACTATTAAAGCCAATCCTTTTTTGCATGATATTATAAAAGAGTGCCTCAAGAGTGTCGGAAGCTCCACAATTCAAGCTAGAGGCAACAAGAAACTTCAACATAAAGATAAGTCTTTGTCGTTGCACGAACTATTTAAGCTCAAAAATAAGGGCCTGGACAGAATCTCAAATAACATGATTGAAGAAAAAAACTATGTTCCATTTATCAACTTGCTTAATGTGCCATCGGTGGAAATCAAGTTTGAAGGTTACAGTTATCCTAAGCACTCGTGCTATGACAATTTTGAGCATTTTGAAAAATCCAAGATAGATCCATCCATGAAGAAACACAGTCAGCTTGTAGAGTTATTGGCCAAGTTGATTTTGAATTTAGCCGAACAGGCTGTTATCCCTTTTAAATTCGGAGAATTTGTCGACAGGTTAAACGAGTATCAAGGTGATTTGGAGAAGTATATTAATGAAGCTATCAGAACCGATGGTAAGGCCAATGAGCCGGTGATGCATTTTGAGAAGTTGACCAAATCGTTCAATACCTTAAGAGAATCTGCAAATCTCTTTGACGAATGGACTGATAGTTGGAAGAAATTCATTGTGCAGTCTGCTGAGATGGAGCCTTCAATACTTGCGATGAAGAGATGGAGGTGGAATGACTGTTTGGTGGAGTTCAATGAACAGTTTATTAGTAAAGACATGCAACATCCACGTCCTGGGTATTTGAACTTATTGTTTGGTATACCGTACAATGCTCCTCCAACAGATAATGGTCACTACCAGTGGAATACATTCCCAGCCGTCAGAGATTATGTTGATCAGAAGGATTGGGGAAGAGCCCAGTTTGAAATCGATAGGTTGGCAAATATAATGGAACTTGCAGCCACTCAGTTTGCAGCCTACTAGAAAAGTTTAGGTTTATAGGGATTTGGAATATATGGATTTATACAGAGACACTATGAAATTATAAATTATGGGGTTATTGGGGATGTTTACATAATGGTAATCTTGATGGAGTTATAATTGCCTTTAGCAATGACTTTCTCTGGGGTTGTTTGCGGTAGTTCTTAGATTTAAATTCTTTTCTTCCTGGACCAGAATTTCCCATAAGTTGTATTTTGAATTACTAATCTCTTCCCAAAATGTGAAGAGATAATGATGGCTCCTATCAACTCAAGTGTTCCCAGACCATCAACAGTGTTGACATATTGGTGAAGTTATAAACTTTCAAGTCTGTTATAGCTCTGCGGTTAAAATTGACCCAGATCCCTCTTGGTGGCCAAGCTGGCTAAGGCGCGAGACTGTAATGAGTACCTCAAAGTAATCTTGAGATCGGGTGTTCGACTCACCCCCAGGAGATTTTTTTTTTCATTGCTAGCAATACAAATATACCTTGACGTATAATTGTTGGCGAGTGCTTTTGCACATAGTAAAGATCAGTCCAAAAATGTAAGACGTACATAACAAAATGGTATTATAATGAGGCTGCAAATTTCGCAAAATCTGCTATTATTGGGATAGTTGCGTATTTATTGAATAGCCCAATTGAACAGAAACGAGTAAGTTCCTGCAATCCCAAATATGTTTTACCATTCTATACGGGGTCACTATCTATCCGTTATTAATTTCTATACAACGATGCCAACTTATACAACTCCTCCAAATACTGGTCCGCAGCCCCTAATCCTCTAACCGACTCACACAACTTCTGGAGATACTCAAGATTCTCTCCACTAGGACCTCTGCTTTCAACAATTTTTTTCGCTGTCACCTTGACATCCTCTGGACCAATAAAGGACGCATTTTCCACGGTTCCAATGTAGATAGACGAGGTTATATATGAAACTCCATTTTCCTTTGGTATGTGCGATATCACCTCATCTGTAAACTCATTTTCTTCACTAATACTGCTGATCACAAATGGAACTACGTGTGTCGTGTATCCATCCTGTTCTCTCACATCAAGATATTCCTTCACCTTCTCCACGTTCTCGGGGGCAATATAGTAAGCACATCCCCATACTTTCAAGTCTGCTTTCGAAACCAGCGATATAGAAACCAGCGACTGGGCCACACTCGCCCCGACCGAAACAATGGCCTTGTGCTCAAGAAGCTCATAGACATGAATGTCATGGTGAAGTTTGTCGTGAACGAGCAAGTCTTCTAACAGTACCAAGGTGACCACTCTGCCCGGACTTTCTGGAGTTCCTCGATGATCGGACGAGCTCTGCCAAAACCGCCTGATGAATCCTTCTATGTACCCATTAACCCTGAATGAGTAGAACGGTGGAGGCTTGAATATCAACGACCCGTATCCAATGATCCACATCCCATTTTCTGATTGTGCCATGGTTTTCAAAAGGGTGCAAAGAACTTCGCGCAGTACCAAGAAATTTCTTTTGGAGATAAATACAACAAGAGAATCTCAGGTGTAAACTGCATTTTTTTATTTCCACAAACACCTATCACATATGGTGTGGTCACAGCTCGAGGTATGTTATTAGAAAAGTAGTATGAGGCCAGAAATGGCTACTACTACCAAAATATGGAGCAAAGCAGTGGGTCTTGGTATAGTGATTTTTGGTATGCCAAATTTGTACTTCCTCCCTCATCGATAAGAAAGTTTTATTGATACTAACAAAATTATAGTTGGAAGACTCGCATATCGCCTATGCATGTGTAGGGGTCTTTTGTACCCTCTTTTCCCTCGTTTCCTTATTTGTGAAAGAAAAGTTATACATCGGTGAAGCTACCGTTGCTAGTATCGCCGGATTAATTCTAGGTCCACACTGTCTAAACTGGTTCGATCCGCTATCGTGGGGTGAATCCGAGGTTATCACATTGGAGATTAGTCGAATCGTCTTGTGTGTACAAATCGTGGCGGTGGCGGTCGAATTGCCAAAGAAGTATATGAAGAAACATTGGCTTTCAGTTGCAATCCTTCTATTACCAGTGATGACCGCTGGTTGGTTGACAGTGGGTCTTTTTGTGTGGGTATTAATCCCACATTTCTCCTTTTCTGAAGCTTTGCTTGTCAGTGCCTGTGTCACTGCAACCGACCCGGTGTTGGCAGCAGCTGTGGTGGGTAAAGGAAAGTTCGCTGAAAGAGTCCCAGGCCATTTGAGAAATTTACTTTCTGCGGAGTCTGGATGTAACGATGGAATGGCTTTCCCCTTCATTTTCTTGTCGTTGAACTTATTGATTCATCCTGGTAATGCCGGTGAAATTGCCAAGGATTGGATCTTGAACACCATTTTATACCAGTGTGTATTTGGATGCATACTAGGTGGTGTTTTGGGTTACGCCTTGAGAAAATTGGTTGCATTAGCTGAGCGGAGGAATATCATTGATAGAGAGTCGTTCTTGGCGTTTTTTGTGTTTTTGGCCTTCAATTCTGCCGGGTTTGGTTCCATTCTTGGGGTTGATGACTTATTGGTGTCTTTCGCAGCTGGTACCGCTTTTGGTTGGAATGGTGATTTTGCTAAGAAAACTGAAGAGTCTCATGTTTCTACTGTTATAGATTTGATTATCAATTTGGCATTTTTCGTATATTTTGGTGCCATAATCCCTTGGGAAGAATTCAACAATGCTGCCTTGGGCTTGAACGTTTGGCGGTTGGTGGTGTTGGCATTCGTGATTATCTTTTTGAGAAGATTGCCTGCTGTTGTGGCATTAAAACCATTTACACCAGACATAAAGAGTTGGAGAGAGGCCATTTTCTGTGGCCATTTTGGTCCGATTGGAGTGGGTGCAATTTTTGCGGTTATTTTGGCTCGTAAAGACTTGGAAGAACATTACATCCATGAAAGCTCCCTTTTGGATACAGAACTAGGTGAGGAAGTACCGTATCACCAGTTATTGAATACCCTCTGGCCAATAACCAATTTCATTGTTATCACATCTATTGTTGTGCACGGTTCTTCAGTTGCAGTCTTAACCCTTGGTAAACGATTGAATAGAATGGCCATTACGATGACATTTACTAATACCACTGCCAATGAAGAAAGCCCCAATTGGCTATCACGGTTGCAAAAATTGGAAAGAAGCACTACATCTTTCTCCTTGCATAGAGTCGACAGTGACGCTACAACATTGGGTCCTTCTGGTCTTAGTGAGGATGATACCGAACGTCTTAGACATACTGAAACCATTGAGACGAGTGGTATTAAATATAGACCTGCTGGAGGTGCCAGAAGAAAGAAGCAGAGAAGGAAGAGAAAGAGTCGGAAAAGTAATCTTATTAAGACACTTTCAGGACGTTCTCATGACGGCCGTGTGGAAGAAGTCGTATCTCCAGATAGACCAAGACCTCCGAATCAATTCTTACAATTGGGAAAACCTTCTACAACGCTTACAAGTGATCATACCGATAAACTTGATGACGATGAAGATGCTGATGAAGAGTTTCAACCTACTACTTCAGAATCGTCTCCTCAGTCGAAAGAGCACCATAATGTTGAGGCAACTGCCTTCCAAGAAGGATCGAATATTGTCATTGAGGACACGGATGGAGAAGTCATTGAGCTGTTGGCGATTAAACAAGGTAAACAGCATGGGCAGCGCGAAAACGGAACCGATATCACTAGTCTTCATTCTATGGAATCTTTACAACGTCATATGACACAGTTATCTTCTGCAAGCGACGAGTCGTCAAGCCAAGTTTCAAAATCTGAAAATTCGCAGATGCCAGGTATCATGAGAACTATTACTGGTGATAGCAGAAAAGCGTATTACAAGAGAGATGATCCTAGTCATAGGAAAGTTTATGCTCATCAGATTGATGATGTTTTATTGATTGAGAACGAGGATGGTGATATCATAAGAAAGTATAAGGTCAGCAGACATCATGCGAAGTCTGAAAGCAACAGAAGCAGATCCACCTCGTATGTCGATAAGGCCTTGTCGCTCGTTGGTATCAAGAAATCGGCCCCAATATCAGAAGAACCCGACTTGGAGAAGTCTGAGCAGTTCATTACTCCAGAATACGATTCTGGAGCTCCGGAACTTCAAAACAGGAAGGTAGAACAGCAGGTCGAAAATCATCTTCATAAAGTGCTATCAAACAAACGCAAGAACTCTGCGGTCATTCCTATTCCCGAAATACGTGAACCTCCTGTTGAAGAAGAAGAAGAAGAGGAAGAAGAAGAGGACGAGGAAGCTTCTGAAGATTCCGAATTCGATGACTCTGAAGACGATGACGACGATGACTTGGAAGAAACTGAAGTTGAAAGAACAAGACGTCTTGCTGCATTGGGCCAATTATCTGCTAATAGAGATGAAGATGACGAAGAGGAATAGATTAGAATATTAACCAAGCGAAACTGGTCAAGAACTAATTATTTATAGGAATACAAGGGTACGGTATTAAACAAAAAACTTTTATTTACAGTAAACTCTCATTTAATGGTGGGCCTTTGGAGCATTTGGTAACTTAATCAAAGATTGTTTTATGGCCTCAACACCCTTTAATAAATCTTCTTCTGAGATCACCAAAGGAGGAGCCAATCTGATGATATGATCGTGTGTAGGCTTGGCCAAGACTCCGTGGTCTTTCATAACCAAACAAAGGTCCCAGGCGGATCTGCCGTTGGTTTTGGTATCGTCAATTACAATAGCAGACAACAAACCTTTACCTCTGACTTCAGCAATGATTCCACCAAATTCTTTCTTCAACTGCTCCAACTTTTCGAACAACAAGTCACCCAATTGCTGGGATCTTTGTACCAAATTTTCATCTTTCACCACCTGCAAAGCAGCCATGGCCACGGCACAACTCAATGGGTTTCCTCCATAAGTAGATCCATGAGAACCTGGTTCTAAGCACAACATGATATCTTTGGAGGACAACACGGCCGACACGGGAGTGACACCTCCAGAAATGGCTTTTCCTAACAACACTATGTCTGGCTTGACATTCTCAGAGTGTTCGTAACACAACATTTTTCCGGTTCTGGCAATACCAGTTTGGATTTCGTCACAAATCAACAAGACATTATGTTCCTTACACAATTCTTGTACTCGAGTTAAGTAGCCCTTTGGAGGAACTACAATACCAGCTTCACCTTGGATAGGCTCTAACAAAATGGCTGCAATTTTGTCACCCGCATTCTTAAAAGCGGTTTCAACATCTTCAATAACACCGTATCTCAAGAGAGTTCCCTTAGATTCTCCTGGAATCTGTGGACCCACGCCACTCAAGTAAGGACCAAACTTGGTGGTGGCCTCTGGGTCAGTGGACATGGAAATAATTCCCAAGGTTCTTCCGTGGAAGTTGTTTTCAGCAGCCAAGATAATGGCCTCGTTCTCTGGAATTCCCTTCTTGATGTACCCCCATTTTCTGGCCAATTTCAAGCCAGTTTCCACGGCCTCAGCACCGGTGTTCATAGGTAAAACCATTTCGTAGTTGAAAAATTCAGTCACGTACTTGGCATACTGTCCAAAAACATCGGAGGAAAAGGCTCTGGAGCATAACGTCAACTTTGAAGCCTGCTCCACCAACGCAGCAATGATCTTTGGATGACAATGGCCTTGGTTAACAGCAGAATACGCAGATAAAAAGTCAAGGTACTCGTTACCTTCGGGGTCCCAGACGTGTGCGCCTAGGGCCTTGGAGAAAACCACGGGTAAAGGGTGGTAGTTGTGCGCAGAGTACTCTTCTTCGTACTGCTTGGCAGTAACGGATGATATGTGAGATTCAGACATAGTGACAGATATTTTTTTGTGCTGATCAGGCAGGTGGAAGTGTATTTATACAGATGCAATCTCGCGGTGGGTTTCTGTGCGCACGCGGGGGTCAGCAGCCATGAAAGGAGGGATGGCGGCAACTGATCCCGAATGTCGCTCGCCCTTGAGCGCGCATTGAGGAAGGGCATGACGACTGGGAAAAATATTGTAACACCTAGTGCCTAACGGAACACTATGAATGACTATAAGAGAATAATGACACATCCAGCTCCAGCTGGCAAGAGTGAAGAGGAGAACACATTGGCAACCCTCGGGATGCGGATTCGGAAATCGATCGCTGACGGGTACAGTGGACCATCGCATTCCAGTTACTCGTACAAGGGAAATGCCAATGTCAAAAGACAACCATTACCATCGCATGTATCGCAGCCACCGGCGTTGTCCAATAGTCTGTCGACATTTGACTCATCATCGAGTCTTTCTGAGTGGGATAGTTCATTCAGTCTGGTGTTACAGACTATTCCGCAAGTGAGCTCGAATAAGAGACGAATGGAGGATCTGGAAAATCTGTATATCCATCCGGTGTATGGGGTTTTGCGGACTGACGAAGAGTTTTAGGGTTCAGGACGACAAGCCAAACGACGGCTGAGAGTAAAGGGTATGTATTTTATAGGTGAATTTATTTCAGGTTATGAGTCGTAGCTTCATAGAGTGCTTCTGGTTAACTCATTCAACAAGTCAGATCATAAACAAACTTTCTCTTGAAATGTCTTCCTTCTAACTTGTATCAGCAAGTATTCTATTGAACACTATTCTGTGGTTATTTCTCAGTTGTCGCATTTTCCTTCCGCGCTTTAACTCACTCCCCCCCATCAACATGCTTGTCCCAGGAAAGGTGTTCACAGCCTTTCACAACCTCAGCCTCCAGGCCAGGTCCCTTATGGTACTACGGTTTCTGTTGGCCCTTGTGGCATTTTGCATGTACATGGTGTCGTTAATCGGGCCTTTGTTGACAACGAAATTCTACTATGTTAGAATCAATTGTTCTCATTTGGATGTATCAAAAGGCATCTACGAAAGCTTGAGGAACTCGGTTTCCCACTCGACGACGGACCCAAAGTACCAGAATATGGGCTCCAGACTTCCAATAGACACCTCACTTACAAATAGTGAAATCACCATCTTGTCAGAATATGCCGAGGAGAAAGTCGAACACGCTCCACAGTACTTTGTGGGATCTTTGTGGCAGTTCTGTGTGGGTTACTATAATATAACAGAGCTGACAGATTCCAGTGGTGACATCACATACACAACTCATAACGATCGGTTGGTGTGTACTAAAGATTCGTCTCAACGATCAGTTTTCAACTACAGGGCCACCATGGAATCGTATAGTATGGATGGAGTTCTTGCATACTCGCTCCAGTCGTCTCAGTACACGGACGCGAAGTACAACCGGGCGGTAGCTCAGCAGTTGCGCCGGTACAAATCGGTCCCTATCTCGTTGGTTTTGACTTGCATCTTTAGCTTATCGTGCACCGTGTTTACCTACGTGTTGTACAGCAACAGAAAGGGCCTGCGTGACTTGACCAATGTCCCCAAGTTCTTGCTTCATGGAATGGCTGTGGCGTCCGTGACTCCCTTTGTGGCAGGGGCAGTATCCACATGTAGCATCACCCTCTTGCTGCGAAACCTTCGCAGTGATATCAACCTGAGTTTTGGGTCATTTGGAATCACCCTTCAGATGGGGATACTTTGGTATACAATCACCTGCTTCGGTCTTGGGGCCACCATCTTACAGATGTTGAGCTGGATAATTCCCGTGTGGTGTGCCAACCCACCGGAGGAGAATCAGCTGAGTGAGTCTTATTACTACTCCAGGTCGGGTGACATTGGTAAGAGGTTTACCTCGACTGTGCACTTGCACACTATCTCCAGCATCCCATCTACCGATCCTCGTGATACGCTTTTGTACGCCAGTGATTCAGAAGCTTCTGACTTGGATGACCACTCTTCCATCCACGAGACCGTGGCCTCCGGTAAGGAACGAGATGTGTTTTATGATTATAAGGAGGAGAAAGAGAATAATAAGTTAAGGAAATTGGGAGAAAGTCTTTCACGAAATACGTCTGTTCGGCACTTGAACCGTAAAGTTATCAAGAGACCCACCATGACACTGATAGAAGAAATGTCTGCTGCTGATGTGAAGAATGCCATATACAACAGCAACGAATACTCCCCGTTGCCTCACCACTATAGAGTTGAGACCTTTGACGGGTTTGGCGGTGACAACAGCCATTTTAGACATAATCCGGCCAACAACCCATTTTTAACGACGAACGATATCCAAGATATTGCAGACGACGAGTCTGTGGATGACAAATATTAAGAGTTAGACACTGCAGTATCCTAGTTAGACACTTGAATAAACACTAATATTCGTACACCCTGACTTGCATACTAGGTGGAGCTGTGAAACCAAATGCATTTTGCAGCAAATTCCGCGCACCGATGATCACAACTAATGACTGAGGTTCTTAAGATAAGACATAAACTCTGGAACGGCTCAATCAATGTTCGAATCGAGTTCGACGATGGGTCTCCCGAGCCCAAGGAATACTTATTGACGGTACCCAGAGTTTCATATCTCCCGATACATTTCAAAGATATGGTTCTATACTTCCGGAACTTTGGCCCTGTTCAAGAGCCCATCTGGCTAGAATACAACGGTATTCCTTTAAAGTGGAATTTGCCCGTCGGAGTGCTCTACGACTACTATCACCTTCCCAAAATCCTCGACAGGCGCCATCAGCTTCCCATTCTCGAACTAACAGTGAGGTCTGGATCCAAGTGGCCAGGTGACCTAATACCATTTGATTATAAGGGAGAAATAGATTACGAAAAGACCATGTGTGACAATTTTTTCAACCAGCTCAAACAGAGCAGCTTTGTGGCCAACGGTAACTCCAAGTTGGTGATGAATTTGAGCAAAGATAACTCCACCCGGCTCTGGCAGTCTATTGTGAGTCACGACTTAAACGAGTATGAAAACTTAAACAAGAAGATTCTCCCGAAAAGAGTCTCTAAGTTCCCCATCAAGATATACTTGCCAGGCACTCCAATCATACAGCTCCCAATAGCGCTTAATGACGAGTTTGGTCATATCTTGGACCAGTTTCCGGGATTTGATGCGTATATTCATGGAATTCAAGTGAACAATATCCGTCTGCTTGAAATAGCGGAGCTTTGGCGGGTGTTCAGACACCTGGACAACTTTTTGTATATAGTAATGGTGTAACGAAATTAATGATCAACTGTCTATCGTAAACACTGCCTGCAACCAGTTTCTATACATTTTGAGCTGCTTCTTCCGATTGACCAATAACCGTCTATCAGTGGCTATTTGAAGCTCTTTGAACGGGCCGGTTACCGTGAAGATTTCTCTTAATTCTTCTTCAGTGAAGAAATACACCCTGGTGCCATCTCCTCTGATATAGAAATTGTCTTGCAACAACCTGTTTTTCTTGAACCGTACTTGGGCCAAGTCATACCTACCATAATCTCGGAATAAAATCTGTCCACCCGGCTTCAAACACTTCTTCAAATTCGAAATGGCTTGTTCCCACTGATCAGGATGTAAAGCTGAAAAAATGAACACCATGATAATCACATCACACGAGTTCTGCTCGAGGTCTTCGGGAATCTCCCCCTGAACATTGGCCACATCCCACACAGAAGAATAAGCTATTCCCAATTCGCTGTTTTCCTTAAACGCTGAGTTGGACCGTACGAGATCGACTGCAACTTTCGAGTAATCACACCCAAAGATCTTCAAATTTGGGTTCTTGTTCTGCTCCAATATGGGGAAAAACGTGTTTCCAGCACCACACCCGATCTCCAATATCGAAGTCTTTTCCTGATAGTCTTCACTGGTAAACTTGAATAATGAAGGGAATTCAATTTGAAGCCATTTACGGTCCTTGAAGAAGTTTTCACGGTTATGCTTGTAGAATATATCCCAGTACTTGGCGGGGTTTGAGTTGTAGAGCTTCTTGTCGAAGTCTTTGACGGGGTTTTCATATTGTACTTCTATGAGCTTCTGACACTGTTCAATCTGTTCAGGACCCCATTCCACATGGTCCCAGGCGTTGTGGTTAAAAACCTCCTCCTCGTTCTCGAGGAAACGCTGTCCGAATGTGAAGGGCGAATCTTTGCCGATTCTGGTGTCCAAAGGTGGTTTGGTTTCTTTTGGGGTGTTCTCTCCGATCGTCATGACGTTGATTTTTTTTATCGCGATGAGCTCCAAAATTAATGTTGAGGCCATTTGCAGCCATTTAATGGTTTGTTTAAAGGTGGTTGTAATCTTCTAATACACCAGAGAAACTAACGCACTTTACACATTGCTGTAACGTCATACATTTTATACCTGCGAAGCTTAATATCTACAACTCTACAAGCGAAGCACCAGCAGAAGGCTTGGTGATGATCAATGCACTGTCCAAGGTCTCCTGAGTAATTCCTGGGAAGTTCTTTTGATAGTACTGTTCGGTCAAAGCCTTGGTCAACTGGTCGATTTTATCGGTAGTAGTGATGTGGACCACCGAACCTCCAAATCCAGCACCAGTAACTCTAGACCCGTACGACCCGTTCTTCAAAGCAATATCACAGATCTGGTCGATATCAGCAGTCGAGTTTTGCACTCCATGGGCACAAGTGTACTGGGAGTCATTGATGATTTGTCCCAACTCTTGCAAAAAAGTGGGTTTTGGTTCACTCGAAAGCAACTTCAACACTCTGAACACGTTCATTGATTCGGTGAAAACATGCTTGGATCTGATGTACAACTTCATTTTTTCGTACCTGACTGGGTACTTGCTCAAGTACCTTTGGGTGAATTGTTCAGTGGTAAGACCAAGATCAGTTGCAGCTTCTTCGGTGGTGAAGCCGTCTCTTTCTTCTGGAGTGTACAATTCTTCAACCACTTGCAAGATTGCTTCAAACATCTTGAGGGCTTGGTCGATGTTGTGGCCATCCCAATGTGGCCATCCCAACTTCTGTTCACAGTAATTGTCCAAGAATCCTCTGAAGGTTCCGGTTCCTAAACTAGAATCAGCGACGAGCTTCAAGTCTGCGCGCTTTGCCAAAAGCTCCGCAGCCACTGCAAACTCCACCACTCTCAAGTTGTAATTGGTAGGGGCAGTTTCAACCTTATTGGCTTCTACCAATGAGTTGGAGATCAATAACACCATGTCATAGGGCTTGATGACGGGGAAGGCAAAAATCTCTCCATATATTTGGGGTTGGTAGTGAACCAACATGGCCTTGGATTTTTCTCCGTACACAGACGCACATTGATCCATTCCACCAGTATTCATACCCAAGTAGTGTTCCGATACAACCGTGATGGCTGTCAAATCTAACTTGGTGATGCTGGTGTAGCCATTGGCCCGCAAGAACAACAATGCCGAACACACACTAATGGCAGCAGAAGAAGATAATCCACCTCCAGTAGGTACTGTCCCGTCATAGACAATATTCAAGCCCTTAAAGTCGGAGTACTTGTATCCGTGCTTGTCGTGCAAGAATTTGGCTGCCACAAGGAACCCACACTTGACGTAGTTGGTCCAGTGGAATGCTTCTTTGTTGATTGTCAAAAGACTATCTTGAGGCAAATCAAAGGTAGTTGCTTCGTACTTTGTATCAGTGTTGATAACATTGACGGCAAAGTTGTTAGTGGTTGAAACAGCGGCCACGAGATCATTCTCAATGGCCATGGGCAACGAGCTGAAGTACACGTAGTCGATGTGGTCTCCAATCAAGTTAACTCTTCCGGGAGCCCTGGCAAGAAACGCTGGTTTCTCACCCGAAAAATGGTCCGCAAAAGACTTGACAAGGTTGTTGTACCTTGTAGTTTGGGTTTCTACTGTAGGGTAAAAAGATAAATCGTGGAAGGTTGGAACTAAATCAGACATGTTGAAATAGATAAAAACAGATGGAAAACAAAATTGAACGAGATTTGGAAAAATATAAACGGTTTTTTTTGGGGTAGAGGCAGCGCACCACTCTCAAGTGGGAGGACGATGGTGGGCGGAAAATGCAACGTTGCATCGCGACATTTCCGTTTGCGAGCCTCCCATTGGCCTACGCCCGCGCGCTTGGGCTAAACTTTTATGGCCGTTACGTGCCAGGTGCGTCTGCCATGGGGTATAGTTCGGCGTCATTGGTTTTTCCGACAGGTGGATGGTATGGATGACGGTCATTGACAGTCAGTGAGCTGACGTTGGCTAGCCCAAAGCGCTGTCAGTGATTGTTCCAGTGAGCTGATTTGGCGGATGCTCAACACCGGTTTGCCGAGGGACCATGCTATTGTTGCCTTGACAGTTACAATCTCCAGGTTTGGCAAGTATGTTTGGGGTATAACCGGGGTTGATTATGGGGAGGTAAAAAGCAACGTTTCATTTCAGGTGGGTATGGGGACTATTTTCGGTCTTACTTCCCAGAGTCACAGGCTCATAGCAACAATAGCCTTCATCCTGTCCCGGATTAATTGGCAAAGATCGAAAAATAAATGTCGCAATGCTGGGCCCCACTGGGGTTGACCCCCGCGCACGCCCACATTCGTCACCTGCGTGCAGGTGTATTTATATGGGATTATTCCTTGAATCTTTCCATTCTTCCAAATTTATCAACACACCCACCATGAGCTACATCTTAGTTACTGGAGGAGCTGGCTACATCGGCTCACATACCGTCATCGAACTCGTCAACCACGGTTACAAGGTTGTGATTGTGGACAATTTGTGTAACTCGAGCTACGATGCGGTCGCCAGAATCGAGTACATTGTCAAACAACATGTCCCATTTTTCAACGTCGATTTGAGAGACTCTGATGCGTTGGACAAGGTGTTCAAGCAGTACGATATCCAGGGAGTCATCCACTTTGCTGCCTTGAAGGCCGTCGGAGAATCAACCAAAATCCCATTGCAGTACTACGATAATAATATCGGAGGCACCATCTCATTGTTAAATGTGATGAAGGCCAACTCCGTCAAGACCGTGGTATTTTCGTCGTCGGCCACCGTCTACGGCGATGCTACCCGGTTCGAAAACATGATCCCCATTCCCGAGCACTGTCCTAACGATCCTACCAATCCCTACGGGAAAACCAAGTACATGATTGAACAGATCTTGAAAGACATCCACACCGCCGACAACCAGTGGAGATCGGCGATTTTACGGTACTTCAACCCCATTGGTGCCCATCCTTCGGGTCTCCTTGGAGAGGATCCTTTGGGAATCCCAAATAATTTGTTGCCATACTTGGCCCAGGTCGCAATCGGCAGAAGAGACAAGTTGTCTATCTTTGGAAACGACTACGACTCGCACGACGGGACTCCAATCCGGGACTACATTCACGTGGTGGACTTGGCCAAGGGCCACATCTCTGCATTGAACTACTTGAACAAGTTGGAAACTGGAGAAGGGTTATTCAGAGAATGGAACTTGGGAACCGGTAAAGGGTCCACTGTATTCGATGTGTACCACGCCTTTTGCAAGGCCGTGGGCCGGGAGTTACCGTACGAGGTAGCAGGAAGACGGGGCGGTGATGTGTTGAACTTGACCGCCAATGCCACCCGAGCTAACACTGAATTGAAGTGGGAGGCAACTCTTTCGGTGGAAGATGCCTGTAAAGATTTGTGGAAATGGACCACCGAGAATCCATTTGGATTCAACATCGACAACTACAAGTGGCAGGTGTTCAATGACGACAAGTCCGACTACTCCAACCGGTTGCATACGGTTTCCTTTGCCAATGGGTTCAAGGTTTCGTTGGCGAACAGAGGTGCGCTTCTCCAGAGCGTGGTGAAGAACGGGACCTCGGTGGTGTGTGGATTCCAAGACCCCAGCCGGTACATTGAAAAGTCCAACCCATTTTTTGGTACCACTGTTGGAAGAGTTGCCAACCGTATTGGTGGTGCCAAGTTTGAGTTAAACGGAAACACCTACCAATTGGCTGCAAACGAGGGTGCGAACACTTTACACGGAGGTTTCCATGGATATGACAAACAAACGTTTTTTGGTCCCGTGGCCAAGCAGGAAAAGAACGGTGATAAGGTGGTCAACACCTTCTTGTTCAAGTACGAAGACAAGGATGGAAACAACGGATTCCCCGGAGATGTTGAGTGTGTAATCAAGTACACGGTCGATGACGAATCTGTTGGGATTGAGTTTATTGGTTCTCATTTGGAGACTTCTCCTGCTGAAGCCACTGTGATCAACTTGACCAACCACTCGTACTTCAATATTTCGGGAACCGACTCTACTGATGGTACCGTGGTTAAGGCCATCACCAACACTCAGTTGGAAGTGGACGACCTGTTGTTGCCAACCGGTAAGTTTGTACCCACCCATACAGACATCACCAAACCTACCAAGATTGGACCTGATTGTGCTTTTGACTACTGTTTTGTGGTGAACGAGGCTGGAAGTGGTATTGACACCAGATCCGACGAATTGAAGCCAGTTCTTGAAGCCACTCACCCCAATACCAACATCAAGCTTGTTGCTGCTACCACCGACCCGGCCTTCCAGTTGTACACGGGAACTGGTATTGACACTCCTGGGTTCAAGCCTAGAAGTGGTTTTTGTGTTGAAAATTCCAGATTTGTGAATGCCATCAACGTTCCAGAATGGAGAAAACAGGTGATTGTCAAGAGAGGTGAGACTTACGGATCTAAAGCCAAGTACACCTTTGTTGACGCTTAGTATAGTTTATGAATAAAAGTTTTCTTTTACAAAGTCCTTTTAGTCAGAGACGACCCCAAATCATAGCATGTCTTCGTATATTCTATTACTCCAGTTCTATTAACTAATTCATAAAGTGACGAGCCCCATCCAAATCTTGTAATCTAGTAGCAGCTTGCTCGGCCGTGATATCTCTCTGGGCTTCTCCCAACATCTCGAACCCAACACAGAACTTCTTCACAGTCGCAGATCTTAATAAAGGTGGATAGAAATGCATGTGGAACCACGAGTTGTTCTTCTCTTCTTCACTAGCCTTGAAGGGAGCTTGGTGAATTCCCATTGAGTACGGGAAAAATGTGTTGAATAAGTTATCGTACTTTGTGGTCAATGTTTTCAAAACGTCTGCTAAATCAGTCTTGTGCTTTTCAGTGAAGTCCTCCACTGATCTCAAATGCTCTCTGGAAATCACCAAGGTTTCAAAGGGCCACAATGCCCAGTAAGGCACAACAACAATGAACGAGTCGTTCACCGCCACTAGTCTTTCTTTCTCTTTCAACTCCAAGTTGACGTAGTCACCCAACAAGTGAGAATGGTTATCCCGTTGGTATTTGCCCATGTTATCCAATTCGTTCTGGACTTCGGTTGGAACAACATCCAAACACCAGGCCTGTCCGTGGGGATGTGGGTTTGAACATCCCATTGCTGCTCCCTTGTTTTCAAAGATTTGCAAGTACTTGTAGGGAGCGGCTCCTGATAAGCTGTCTTTTTTCAAAGACAAGTACAATTCTTGCCATAAGTCAACGACCTTATGAATAGCAGGCACCGACATTAAGGGTAAACTCAACCCGTGGTTGGGGGAGAAGCAAATAACAAAACATTTTCCCTTGACACCCTGAGTCTTCATTAACTTGGATTTCAAGTTTTTGGGGTCTTGGTCAGATGATTTTTCACTACTATAGTCAGGCTGGTCCAACTTAACCGCTGGATAATCGTTGAGGAAATAGTATGTTCCTTCGTATTTGGGGTTCGAGTCGCCAGTGGCTCTAATGTTACCTGGACATAAGTAGCATTTTTCATCGTATTGGGGTAATCTGGTTTTCTTAGCTTCTTCTCTTGCCCCCTGCCATGGTCTCTTGGATCTATGAGGCGAACACAAGATCCAGGCATTGGTTAAAGGATTGAACCGACGATGGGAATGGTCGGTGAAATCAAAAGGCACATTGGCAACGGCCCTTCCGTTTTCGGTATTAACTGTCATTGTAGGTAATGATGTAGATGTAGGTATACTCAGGTTATGTGAGTCTGTGTTAAGTAAAAGGTTTCTTAGCTCACTCTTCATTTTGTCAAAGGGGGGATATTGGATCTATTTATACTTGAAATTTTATGACGATTGATATATTGCAGTGAGCAGGTGGGATCACGCCGGGTGGCCTATTATGAGTGTTTACAATAATTTTTCCTGCTCAAGAGCGAAGAAAACTTTTTTTCCTCACGCAACCTGCGCGCGGACGACATTTATTTTCGTTTTCCAGACATTAAAATTGGGTCTATTTAGATTGTGTACAGGAATCAACTCCAATTTGAGAAATATTATTTTCTGTTTTCTTCGGGTTCGCCCACATGAGGTGGCTTTGCAATATTGACCGCCATGGGAAACTGCAACGTTGCATTTCACACCCTCCCGCACCACTTCTTAGTGCAATGATCGAATCCAGTTTGTATTTGCTTTTGAAATTATATATTTTAATATCCACCATAAATGACTTATGATAAAACAGTGTTGGTCACGGGAGGAGCAGGATTTATCGGGTCTAATCTTCTCAGATCATTAATCCATAAGTACCCTTCCTACTTTTTCTTGTGCATAGATAAGTTGAACTACGCATCAGTTGACCTCAAAACCATCACTGCTACTAATTTCAAGTTTGTCAAGTTGGACTTAACAAACTTACCAGATGTCAAAAGTCTGCTTGATGTGCATAAAGTGACCGACATTCTCAACCTTGCGGCTGAGTCTTGTGTTGACAGATCATTTGAATCGCCTTTATACTTCACCACCAACAACATCCTCAGTACTCAAAACATATTGGAGTATGTCCGAGTCAATCCCCACATACGTCTAGTTCATGTATCGACAGACGAGGTATACGGAGAACAATTAGACACCAAAAAGGTCGATGAAACCGGTAAACTCAACCCCACCAACCCGTATTCGGCTACAAAAGCATCAATAGACCTTATTATCAGAGCGTACGAATATTCATTCGGCCTAAAATCCACCATCGTGCGGCCCAACAACGTCTACGGCCCCGGCCAGTACCCTGAAAAGATCATCCCGATGGCCCTCCACAACCTTAAACTTGGAAACCCAATCTTGCTACATGGAGATGGACATCATAAACGGAGTTATCTTTACATTAGTGACTTCATCGAGGCGCTCGACCTCATCTGGCACCTGAATCTATACGGCATATACAACGTGGGATCTCCCCATGAGATTTCAAATCTCGAGCTCATCAGATTGATTTTGCAGCTTCTGCAAAGAAAAGAGCCAATAGACACCTACGTCAAGTTCGTCAAGGACAGAAACTACAACGATAGCAGGTACCTCATAGACTATAAGAAGCTTGGGGAGTTGGGGTGGCAGGCTCTGGTGGACTTGGAGACTGGTCTTAGTCAGTTGATTTAGTTAATTAACTGTTTTATCTTGCTGTCAAAATGCGGGTTCTTGATGGGCATATCGATTGAATAAAACGGGTCTTTCATCACGTAGTCGGAGTAGAGAACGTATAGATCTTTGAACAACTGGTTGGCGAGCTCAAGCTGGACGTTCAACTCGCCTCTACCCAAGTTGGTGGTAGGGATGGGGCTGGTCACCACAATAAACTTGATCCCTGTCAACGTTTGAAACACGTACAAGTTGAAGTGGTCGGTCTCAATACTCTGGAGGCCAGACTTGTTGGTGTTGGGGCCGCTCAAGCGACTGGCGGGGATATTGGTGGTGTTGGGATCATGGCTATGGATCATGGACGTGGTGAATCTGGAGGTGATGGCGTGCACCCCGTGCAATGTTCCCGCGAGAACCAAGTAGTCGTTGGCAGTGAGCTTGTTGACGCCTGGATGTCGGTCATTGTCGCTCTGATAGATCAATCCACCTGCTTTATTGAGAATGTAAAGGGAGTACACTGCCATTGAGGAATAGATTTCGCGAGAAACTGCGAGGAACAAGATCAAGTAAATAATGCCATTGGGTTGGAAACGGTTTGTACGATATTTTTTTGGCTAAACTACTTATGTCAAGATACAACTAGACGGAGATAAATTTCAGTGGGGTATGGCCAGAGGCTTTAATATCTACGAAATCTGACTGTAATTTGACTACCTGAAATGAAAGCTGACGGTCTGAATTAAAATCTGGCTGGATCATTGGAAGAGTCCTGACAACTGTACTTGTCGCCATTCAACCTGTCTTTGTACATAAACTGGGCCTACAAAATTCCCACACACCATGACATTAATAGACTTAAAGCAACCAGTGCGTCCGCTACTCTCACAAAACTCAACCAGTTTTTCGCGCAACTCCACTTGTTCTTAGCATTCATCTACTATGGATATATTGACATACGTGCCCCAGGACAAGAAGCTCGTGTTCCAAGACGACGGCCCTGTCGACCCCAAGTTAAAGCTCGACGTCGACCAGCTCAACACCTTGATCGCCGAGATCATTGCCAACGGCTCCGATGTGCCTCCCATTGCCACACCCCAAAACTTCAATACCGATTTAAGCAAGGTCGTCAAGCGCCTCTACGAGGGTGGCGTCAACGCATTTAAGAAGGAGAAATACGATGACTCCGTCAAGCAGTTTTCCATTGGAATTGAGATGATCTGTAGAAGACATAAGTTCGAAGCCTTCCAGATATGTCTACAGGAACTCAGTATGTTCTTGATGTCGCGCTCGGACGCCAACCTCAAGACCAAGGACTACGTGGCTGCTTTCAACGACGTGGATATGTTGATCTCCATGCAAATGGTGACTCCAGACAACTTTTTGCGGAGAGGCGTGGCCAACTTCTTTTTGGGAAATTACGAAGATGCTAGAGCCGATTATCAAAGAGGATTGGCTCTCTCCCCAGGTAACCAGAGGCTTCAGGCCGAGTTGGAGATCTGTTTGGACAAGATTCTTGAAGAGAACGGAGACTATCTCTAGATGTACACAAATATATCGCATTAAAAATAAATAACGCCGCGAACTACATCTAATTACAGCACCACTACTGGCAAATGGAGCTATACGACCATTTCCAACATCGGTTGCATAACCCCAACGGCCCCAAACAGGAGGACGGGTCGCCGCTGCCGGGCCCCAGTCCCAGAGGTCATCCCAGGGTATCGGATGCCTCGTACCCCAAATCTGTTTCCCCCGGTGGGACTCGCAGATTGCAATCACTCCAAGATATCAACAACAATAACCGGCGGGTGCCCGAACCCTGGCACCGCCCGCCCACGGTTTCCGCTCCTCCCAGTGACGATGTGGTCATTGATTTGACGACGCTGGACGAAGACATTCCAAATCCACCACTTCCTCAATCGCTGTCTGAACCCCCCACAGATACTCAAACACCAGTTGCTGTTGTGGATGACGCCGAAACGGATATTTCGGACGATGACTTGATGGAAGTCGATCCCCAAGAGGCGACCAAACTCACGGTTTTCAAACAGAGCAGAGGTTGGCGTCCTCACAACCAACCTGCGCCTGTGCCCCATTTCAGTCCTGAGATCCCACAAACCAACCACCACCTCCAGTTGGTTAGAGCCGAGCACGATACGGCCACCCGGCGGTACATCATGGCCCAAGGGCGTTTGCGGCGGTCGGTGCAGCAGTTGAAGGATAACCAGTCTATTTACGACAGAGATCCTAGTGCAGCAGACAATCCTACGCAGATGGAAGCTGCGGTGGCGGCGGCACGGGCCGGCTTACTGGAAGTGGCCCAAGCCAAGCGACGTCTCAGCCTAGAAATCACCGGTCTCGAGGAGAAGCTCCAGTCTTTGGTGAGGCAAACTGGAAATTACAGTCTACCGGCTGAAGCCTACCAATTGCCACAGGCGGTTCCTCCAGCCGAAGTGTTGGACAGAGCACCGGACCCAGAAGACGTCATCACAATGCAGCAGTACACCGAAATGATACACCCGCCAGAGGCCAGTAATTCGAGTACAGGCTTTCCTACCTATTACTTGGCCCAGGAAGATGAAGGGGCCCATATCCAGAGCTTATTGGAAAACATTCGTCCTGACGAAGAGGAAGAGGAAGGTTTACCGTTGACACCAGACGAGCTCAGAATCAACTTGTTCAAGCACCAGCGAGTTGGACTTGCGTGGCTCATGAGAATGGAATTATCCAAGTCCCAAGGGGGCATTTTGGCCGACGATATGGGTCTTGGAAAGACCATTCAGTCGATCGCTTTGATGATGGCACACAAGTCCAAAGATCCCAACCACAAAACCACTCTTATTGTGGCACCGGTATCTTTGTTAAGACAGTGGGCCAACGAAATTGAGATTCACACTAAGGTGGATGTTTCTGTGGGCGTGTACCACGGGTCGTCCAAGAATAAACTCTTCAAGACCTTCAAAGACTTTCAACGCTACGATGTGATCTTGACGTCTTACTCCACTTTGGCAATTGAGTTCAAGAGGCACTATAAAGAGTTGTTCGAAATGAACCACACTAACATGACCCAAAATATGATACCTCCTCATGGAGCAGGAGGCGGGGTGTACGCTTCACCTTTCTACACTTCAGATGCAGTGTTCTACCGAGTAATCTTGGACGAGGCCCAGAATATCAAAAACAAGCTTACTGTGTCGTCAAAAGCTGTGACGGTATTGAGTGCCACCTATAGATTCTGTTTGACCGGGACACCCATGCAAAACTCCATAGACGAGTTGTATCCTATCATTAGATTCTTGAGAATTAAGCCATACGCCAAAGAAACGGTTTTTAAGCACAGAGTGTCCAACCCCCTCAAGAAGAAGGATAAAGACGAGATCGAAAGCTCGATGCGCTCATTGAGAGCCTTGTTAAGAGCCATATTACTTCGGAGATCCAAGACATCTAAAATCGATGGCAAACCGATTTTGGAGCTCCCACCTAAGACGGTTGAAGATATTGAGGTGAAGATGGACCCGGTGGAGTTCGAAACCTACGAGTCCATTGAAAGTCAATTGAAGACAAGGGCGAAAAGGCTCTTTATGGAAGACAAGAATTTCTCCAATTTCCTTGTATTGTTATTACGATTGCGTCAAGCCAGTTGTCATACATTTCTATGTGAGCTTGGAAGTTCAGGAAAGTTGGAGCAATATCGTTACCGAAATTGGCCCTCTTTGCTCAAAACAGTGGAACAATTAGACTCACTGAACAAACAGTTCATTATTGATGAGCTTGGAACTATCGATAAAGATGATGATTCAAAGAACCAAACACCAAAGCCTGAATCCATGGACAACGAGCTTATCAACTTCAGTCAGTTATCATCCCAAACATCTTCCATCAAAGAAGAAGGTGGAAGTAATCAGGGAGTGCTTTTCGCCAACAACGAAGAAAAGCCACTCATAGACGTAATAGATGGCGGTGAATATGAAACTAACCAGGGTATGGTTTACGTCAGTAACGAAGATAAGCCGTCTATGGACATGATTCTCCAAGATGATGGTGAAAACGACAATGGTGTTTTCACTTGTCCATTGTGCTTCATTTCGTACACCTTCCAATCAGCCATCATGTTCCCCTGCAAACACAAAATATGCGAGGATTGCATTGACAGCTTTATTGAAGACAACAGACAAGATGAACAAAATAAAGTCAAGTGCTCGGAGTGTTCAGTTGCTTTCAAGACTCTGGAGTTTATTGATTATAGAATGTTCTACATGAGATATATTGAGCAGAAATCTCGGTATGACATCCAATGCATTATCGAGGACAGTTTCAAAGGCAAATTGGTTGTTCAAGAAAAGATCAAGAAGTTGATCGTCAAGCACCAGGGATTTACATATTCCACCAAGATGGAAGAGATCTTACGGGTGGTGACCAGCATATTTGAGAACTATCCTGGAGAGAAGATTATAGTGTTTTCCCTGTTCACCACCTTTTTCGATTTATTGAAGATCATGTTCAGTAAAGCTGGAATTCCTTTCCTTCGATACGATGGTACTATGTCTATTGAAAAGAAGGATTTGACCATCAAGGAGTTCTACCAGAACCACAGATACAAGGTTATGTTAACATCTTTAAAGGCTGGTAATGTAGGGTTAACATTGAACTGTGCCTCCCATGTCATCATATCTGATCCGTTCTGGAACCCATATGTTGAAGAACAAGCTATGGATAGAGCTCATAGAATCGGCCAGACAAGAGATGTCCATGTGTATAGAATCTTGATCCAAGGGACTGTTGAAGAGAGGATCATTGCTCTTCAAAACAAAAAGAAAGAACTCATCAATGCTGCATTGGACGAGAATGGTATGAAGTCTGTCAGCAGGTTGAGCAGAAGAGATTTGGGTTTCTTGTTCGGGTTCAACACTTTATCTTAAGAATGTAATTTTAATGTACAACTATAGTATGAAGCTAAGCTTTGAGCTTTTTGACTTTTGAGACGTTGGCAAGCCAGTCGGCTTCGGAGATCAAAGTCTCTTTGGAATTATAGCATAATTCCCAAACAATAATGTTTTCAAAGCTCTGATGATACTTCGCAAGAGACTTGCACAAGTATATGATTTGCAAAATAAGCCCATCTATTTGAGTGCTGAAATCCAGTTTCTTATCAGGGTCATCAGATTGCTTGGATTCAATAGAAAGCTGATGTAAGTGTAGTTTTAGCTCGTTAATTAGGTGGTATGCAAGGTTTTTCACGAATTGGTTTATAAGTAAATTGTCTTCCTTCTCATTTGATTCCAAGTTAAGTGAATGATTAATGATGGTGTAGAACATCGACAACGAGTGGTATACTTCACTTCTGTAAACCTCAATGAAACGTTTTAAGTAAGAGAACCGGTTGAACTTGATCAACGGCATGAGGTTACTGGTCTCGTTGATGATATACTTATACCGTGAATTAAAGTATAAGAGTTTCAAGAACCGGGTTCTTTCCGCCGAGTTGGAGGAGCTGATGATATCAGACTGTCTAAAATTCAACAAGTCTAGTTTGCTCAAGATATTGAAGATTTTAATTAGGTTGTTCTGTCTCAAGTTGGTATTCAACAACTTAATCAAGTTCTTCACCATTAACTTCAATTCCACCTTTATCTGTTCATAAATCTTCGAAAAAATTGGCAACTTGGGGAAACGGATTGTGAGGTTCCTTGACAAGATGGATATTTCCAATGCCTCTTGATAGTTCCCTTGCAAAATACAAATCTTACACAAGGTGGGCAACTCAAGTAAGTCCAAAATGGAGTCTATATTCGACAAAATAGAGCTGTTTGTCTCCATTGCTGCCGTCAACTGGTCATTGGCTGGTACATGTAACCGCTTATCGTCAGCCTTCAACCCCTTGATCATTGATTCAACCTGTGTTTTCATCTCCAGCGTAATCGACTGGTTTATATGTTTCAAGTCCTGGCTCACGCGTATAATCAAGTCCCTATTATCGTTGGATATCTGGGCCAAGCGGCGATTGGCTACCCGCAGTGAGTCGTCCAACTCGGCAATTTCTTCTGTTAATGTCTTGTTGCGGGTGGACTCTGAAGATGTGGTAAACGTGTCTGTCGATAGAAGGTCGTCATTTACGAGCAAGTCATGAAGAAAAGACTCTGATACCTCTCGAAGCTCCGGATTGGCCCCAAGGAACTCGCGAAGAGGTCCCTCGAGATCCTCCACCAAGGTGTCAAGTAATATACTTGTCATGAGTGTTTGCGACTTGGAAGTTTCGCACGCCAAATAATTGTTTCAGTGCGAAAGCTGATAAAAAGGAAACTACCGAAATTAAGGACTAACGCTATGGAAGGATTGTTTTTCAACATCGATTACGGATACGTCGAGGGTGTGGTTCGTGGATACCGTAACGGCTTGCTTGCCACCAACCAGTACTTGAACTTGACGCAGTGTGACAACTTGGAGGACTTGAAATTGCAGTTGTCGTCCACCGACTACGGTAACTTTTTGGCCCAACACTCGGGACCTCTTTCAACATCAATCATCCGAGACAACTTGTCCAAGAAGTTGTACCAGCAATTCCAGTACTTGAAGCAGCAGTCTTCTGGACGCATGGCCAAGTACTTGGACTTCATCAGCTATGGATATATGATAGATAACGTCGCATTGATGATCACGGGTACTGTCCATGAAAGAGACAGACTGGAGATTTTGTCCAAGTGTCACCCCTTGGGATGGTTCGACACGTTGCCTACGTTATCTGTGGCCACCGATATTGAGAGTTTGTACAACATTGTATTGGTGGACACTCCTTTGGCTCCATTTTTCAAGGGATGCTTATCAGCCAACGACTTGGACGACTTGAACATCGAGATTATTCGTAACCGGTTGTTCAAAAACTACTTGGAAGCATTCATCAAGTTTGTGGAGGCTGACTTTGGCAACCCTGACAAGGAAATCATGTTACGGTTGTTGAATTTTGAGAGTGACAAGCGGGTGATTAATATTGCCATGAACTCCATCAACAACTCTGACTTGACGGCCGAAGATAAGTTGAGCATGTTCCCCAGCTACGGCCAATTGTACCCAGTTTACCACCATCAGTTGTCCAATATCGACGATATTGAGCACTTGAAGACGGTGGTGACATCGGTGGGCGAGTACAAAGAGTTGTTCAGTGAACAACAAGATTCGAGTGGTAGCGCTCGCAACTTAGAAGACTGGTTCTACTACTTGGAAATGCAATATTGCAAGAACGCTTTCACCCAGCAGTTCACGTTGCTGAGTATTTGGGCATGGTTACGGTCCAAAGAGCAGGAGATCAGAAACGTCACTTGGATAGCCGAGTGTATTGCGCAGAACCAAAAGAACAGAATCGACAACTATATTTCTGTGTACTAATTAAATAGCGTTTTTAGAACAATTAATCGTTTGTGCGAATCCACTTGATGAGAATATGACCAGCCAGGCGTCTTTTAGTGCTACCACTACCCACTTCACTCATCTTCGGGACGTGGTGCTGGCTGCCAGTTCCATAGATCCCCATGGTCTAGTCATTGTCTCTGACCAAGGATTGGTGTTCTTCTCGGAAAGTAATCACATTTTGAACTTCCAGGCCGTGGTGGATGTATCGCTTTTCAGTTCCTACCAAGTTGTACTACCACCGGGGAACAGTTCTACCCCCACTGATATACGGTTCGGGCTCGACCTAAGTCTCGTGGCCCATGCACTTGACGTGTTGGTGCAAACAGATATTATCTGTTACTTGAGCTATAACGGTGAAGGCTCACCATTTGTGTTGGAGTTTGAAGACAACATTATCAGTGAAACCATTGAGTTTTTGACGATGTACGTGGACATTTCCTGTCCATACGACTCAGAAGACGCGGAACACGAGCTACTTGCCAACTACAGCGATTGGAAGTATGAGCTTATATTGCAAAGTGCCATATTTTCTAATCTTCTACAAGACTTACAACAGATAAACACGCGTCAAGTCCACATCGTGGTGAACAGTACACCAAAGAAGGAGTTGAGTTTCATCTCTGACGGACCGCTCGGGCTTCTGAAAATTATATATCCTAGTGAAAGTTCTGTGCTTGAAAAACTTGAAATCAGCACTGCTGCAAAAGCCATTTCCACCTTTAAGTTTTCTAACTTTTTTAAGATCATGAAGGCAGTGAAGATTTCTGCCAAATCCAAGATCATATGTGACAACAATGATATTCTGTCGGTGCAATTGTTGTGCCGGAGTGGTGGAAACTATAGTGCTACTGTCATCACCATCAATATGTTGGAGCTCGATGAGCAAGTGGACATTGACGACTTGGAGAGGTGTTTTGCCGAAAAGGAGACGACTAAGAGAAGGAGGTTGAACGATCCGGTCAACAATATAGTTGAAGATGTACCGTTGTTCTTGTAAAGTAAGTCAGAATTGTAAATTATGTACTATAATCTAAAGATAAATTATCATGGATTAGTTATTTTTAAAGATAAATTATCATGGATCAGTTATTTCTAAAGATAACTGATCTTAAACGCCATCTTCAACGTCTCTTTCACGTTCTTCACAACATCGATCTTTTTGGCCCTAAGAAATCGGTTGCCAATTATTACCACTATCAACACAAAAAGTATCATCGGCGAGTTATCTTTGAGCCACTTGCGACTGAAGTTGAGATTATACAAAAGCTTATCCTTCAAAGTGTTCAAATCACTTCCTGTCCCCCGTGACGGCTTCAGCACACTGACACCATCTGTAGTGGATTGTTGCTCTCGAATCTGTTTTAAAGAACGATATTTCAAGTCCTTATCAAGTTTCTGTTGATGCTCTCGCTGCAGCTGTTCCCTGACTTGGTTTTGCTTGTTTCTCTCTTTCTGGTCCTTTTCCTTTGCTTTATCTTTCTCCATTTCCGCTACTCGGTTAAGATATATCTCCTTGTCAACAAGAAGAGGGTTTTCTGCTATCAATAGCCGGGCATCCTGATATAATTGCAACTCTGGCAACACCCGCAATGCAATCAACTCGACCAATTTCTTCAAATGCGTATCGGGAGTAGTTGGTGAAAACCTCAACTTGGCGTATAGTTGAGTGATTTTGGTGTTGACGGTGGGCAAGTCAAGACCGATGTAGTAGATCAAATATAAGTTGTACAACACTTCAGATGGGATTTGGTTCACATCATGGTAGATTAGCACCAACTGGGAAAGGATGTAGTCGTCGTTCAACTGAACCAAAATATTCTGTCTCTCTGCCTTCGACACCTTAAACTCGTGTTTGGACTGTAAGACCAAGCCCACTTCAGTCAAATATAAGTTAAGCACTTTGACAAACACCGGTTCGCTGATTACCCCAGATAAAACCCTGGAGAAAAGTTGGGGATATTCCTTACGCAAGATGTCAAACGACTTTGAAAGATCTTTGCTCATGAAGAACTTCAACGCAAGCGTATAGTTGACCTCCATCAAGCTCAGCGAGCTAAGGGAACTGCTCATATACTCTTCACTCATGGTAGCTGGTTGTGCGACTGGAGATTTTAGTTATTTTTCGCATGATTCTGCCGCGGAAGTTGGTGGAGTAGTATATTGTAAAGTCTATAAAGATGAAAGGATGATGGCAATTACAGCTACCACCGTATCCGTTCGGTAAAGAGGTAGTATATAGCCCCAAGAACAAGCAGGCCTGTTCCAAGTACCGGGAAGCACCAATACGGTATTTGCAGGGTATAGTTGGGTGGCTGCAAAAACGGAAAGAGAGCCATGAACAAATTGGCTGCCAAAAATACCAATATAAGTATCACCGGAGTGCTGATACGCCGCGTGGTCTTTGGTGCAAGTAAGTGGTCGAACTCGCTGTGTTCGGCGGACCAAGTAGGGTCGAAGTACCTCAAGTATAAGAGGCCTCCTGTCAATAAGATGTTTATCCATGTGCCTGGGTATATGTACAAGTTGACGATGAACTCATAGATTTCGGCGGACGGTGGGAGCACTAGTACCACAACCGTGACGAGCCAGTGGAGAAGCAAGGCATTGGAAAAGCGAGTGAACGTCTTACTGAAAGGAAGTAAGTTCTCAATTGATAACTCTTTATTAACCACCGAATGGGCGTACGACACTACCAACACGTTACCAAAGTTGGACACGGCTATGAGAAGTGGTAACACACGCGAGGTGATGTTCTGGCCGAATATTTTGTTGAAAAAAATCCCTGCTATAAGTACACCGCTCGACATGATTTCCTGTTTGGGAATCACCACGAGGTAACTTAAAATGACAAGAAAGTATAGCACGGTGGTAATGAGAACCGCCAACGGTGCCAGGCGCGTCAACACCTTGTATGGATCACGGGTCTCGCTGAGCACGTAGTTGACGTTTTCCCAACCTTTGAAGGAATAGATGATTTCAAGCAATGCGACCGAAATCGAGTAGTAGTTGGGAGGCAGGTCCAGCACAAACATGTGTGAAAAGTTGTGGGTTTGTGGCAAGTCAATGGCTCCCACAAACACCAATGCTCCACAAACGATGATCAACAATAGAATCAAGATCTTGGACACTCCCAAGAAAATGAAAAAGATGTTGGACTGGTGATGGTGGAAAATATGCAAATAGGTACAGTAAGATATGCAAAGAACTCCGATTGCTTTGACGTAGAAGTTGTTCAACAGGCTCTCGTTTCCCAAGTCGCCATTTATCGAATATAGAATGTATTTTCCAAAAGCATAGGAGTTTCCAGAGCTGAATCCGAGTAACACAATCTGAAAAGCGTATACAAAGCCGATGAGCCGTTTATCAAATATGCGCTGGAGGTAGTTCTTTTCTCCACCATTCTTGATGGGAAGGTGGAGTGCAAACTCCAAGTAGATGAGAATGCCGCAGGCGATCACCAAACTGCCTATCACCCAAAGCAGGAGATATAGGCCTACATTACCTTGACAGTATTGGAGGATGATTGACGGAGTGAGGAAGATGCCTGTGCCAACCATTTTATTGACGATGAGTGACATCGCCGAGAGCGAGCTTATGTGGGCCATGGGATGGGTGAAGTGTTTTTTGCCGTTGTTTGTGTTTAGTTGTGGAGGGTTTAGGTTTGGGTGTGGTTTGTATGGAGCAGAGACTGGATGGGAGAATTTCACGTGATGATAACGGCTGCGAAATCGCGCGCCGTACAGATAGAGGGACAGGAAACAACAGAGGGAAACAGAGGGAAGAACAGGGAAACAGAGGCATTAACAGGGAAACAGAGTGAATAACAGGGAAACAGAGTGCATAACAGGGAAACAGAAGACATTGAACAAACCTTTAGGATTGTAGATACATAATACGCATAAATCAAATAACATGCTTCCCATTCACATCATGGTCGTACTTCTTCCGAGCAGCAAACCAGAAAATTACCCCCACCACTGCCGTGGACCCCAACACCACGCAGGCATAGTTCATAGTACCAGACTGAACTGGATGAACCGTAGGAAAGTTCAACCAAACCATGATAAAACACACCCAGACCACTGACGCTACGTTCAACACAACCCCAAATTTACCCAAGTGGAAGTATGGCAACGCCGTCTTCGGGTCCACCACCATCATACTCAACACATCAGGACCATCAGCATATCTGGTTCTGATATTTCTCGAAAACCCAGACCGCCAAAGCAACGCACCAATAGGAAAAATGTACGACAAGTTGATACACACCATCGATGATCCAAGCACCGCCGTCAACGCCAGTGACAGGCCAAGAATGATCAACCCGAGAATAAGACACAATGCTGTGACCAACCCCACGGCATTTACAGGCACTTTGAGAGTGGAATTAACGGCTGCAAAAATATCACCAAATGGGAGACCATTTGAACGGGCAAACGACCAGAACAACCGCAGGGTTGTGGTGTAGTACGTGAACGACAGCCCCACAAAGGACATGATAAGCGCCACCACCCCCACCGTAGTCAACGCGTTGGACTCAAACGCATCCATCATGAGTTGCACAATCGGTTGCCCTCCAATGGGCAGACTGAGGGTATCAACATTCTTCGTACAAAACATATAAATGATGGCAGCAACAAGTCCAAGAATCGCCAGCGAAGTGTTGGAAAGCACCATGACCCACGGGATATGGACTTCTGGTTTATCTATCTCATCTGTCATATGACAGGCCCCGTCGTACAAAGTGACCGACGCAATTGACGGGAGAAGCCCGAGAAAAAACACTAGTCCATCGGACGACCAGCCGGTTTCGTTGATGAAGGTGCTGAAAACAAACAGAGCCAGCTGTTTGGGAGAAGATTTTACTAAAAGTGCCACAAGAATAAAGACGGTGGTAGAATTGATAATGCCCACCAACATATGTGTGATGAACGGGAGAGCTGCCACCGCCACTGCGTTGATACAGGAGCCCACCACCACTATTGCAGCATACGTCAAGTACATCTGCCAATTAGTGGGGGCAAAATCAGGGTTGTACACGGCGACTAGGGCGTAGAAGAAGCCGGTTGCGACGTAGGTAGAACTAAAGCACGCGAAGATCCATCCGGCGCAGCTGAGAATTCCCACCGCGAAGCTCATGCCGCGTTTGGTGCCGCGCGGGGCGAGCACGTAGGTCCAGTGGATTTGCGCCAGCAGGTGCGGGTACGCACTAGCGATTTCTGCGAGACTGTAGCAAATAAACAAGTCGAAGGTAACCGCAAGAATATACCCATAGATAAGTCCTGGCAGGCCTCCAACCCCAACAACTGTGCTGAGAAAGGTGCCGATTGCAAGAGCTGAGCAGATGAGTGAGAACTGGAGAGCTGACGTGCTCCACACGTTGAATCGTTTTTCAAGGGGAGATTGGTGATTTGCATCCGATGATGCATCGTTTATAGCCGTGGAGGCCTCAAACGGAGTTTTCTCGGAAACAGTGAAACAGTTCTTGTCGGACATGGCAAGATTTTGTTGGTTAACCGATTAGCGATCGAGCGGAATCAGTTACTTTAATATGGAGAAAGTGATAACGATAAGAACAATAGGTCTTATTCTGAAAAACGTTAGCGGAATATATTGCTGAATCGGGCATGCCACCGGGCCGCGGGTCTGATAGCGGCACGGAGTGTGTGCAGCTTTTTCGTGGTTCTGCGAAGGTTTGGCACGGGTGCAGCGGTAATTGTCGCGCGAGCGGGGCCAGGGGGCTAGTTTTCCGGGGACTGAATCTGCCTATGCCGCATTCAATTACATCTCCCAATTCCGCTGATAACCCAAACAGTAATCTTGGCCTGTGGTTAACCCAACTGGGAATGATAAGACAACAAGTGCGGATTTTCTTTCCTCATCGCCAAACTTAACTACTTATAAAAGCACCCTCAAATCCTGGCTAGGACTGTAAGAATTCTGGATGTTGGACGACAAGAAAGACCAATTTGTGGTCGACATTGAGCATGATGCCGCGGGCAGCTTCAATAATAGCTCCGAGAAAACCGTCTCCGAAGATGTGTTAGAGACCACCCAATTCAAAGATTTCAACGATAAGTTGGATAGTGCCAAGTACGGCCAGACCAAAAGACGGTTGTCTAGTCGTCATGTGGCGTTGATGATCATCGGTCAGAGTATTGGAACTGGGTTATTTGTGGGGTTGCTGTCACCATTAGTGACATCGGGATCGCTTTCACTTTTTACCGGGTTTTTGTTCTACTCATGTTTTGTGATTTGGCCCATGATGCAGGCGGTGGCCGAAATGTGCTCATATTTACCAATCAAGGGATCCTTCTTGCACTACTCGGCCCGGTGGGTCGACCCGGCCTTAGGGTTTGCTTGTACGATTATTTATTTGTACACCTCGATCATGTTCTTGGCATTGGAAGCTACTGCCTTTGCCGGAGTGTGCCTGTTTTGGAGTGACGTAAATGCTGGTGTGTGGATCACCGTGGCTTTGGTGTCGACATTAATATTCAACGTTTTTGGAGTCAATTGGTACGGAGAAATTGAGTTTGTGGCTTCTATCACCAAGGTGTTATTGGTGGTGGGCCTTATGTTTTTCTCCTTGATCTCAATGTGTGGAGGAAACCCCAAAGGTGATGCTTATGGGTTCGGCAACTGGAGCAAGGGTGGCTTGGTGAAGGAATATCTTGTTTCTGGTACCACTGGTCGGTTTTTGGGATGGTGGAACGTGATGGTATACGCTGCTTTTAGTTGTGGAGGCCCTGATTTGCTTGGGATGATTGCCAGTGAAGTTGAGCGTCCACGGAAGACTATCCCAATGGCTGGTAGAAGAGCTTACATCCGTATCTATATTTTCTACTTGGGAGGTTTGTTCTTCATGAACTGCTTATGTGCGTCCACAAACCCAACCTTATTGGATGCCAGGGCCAACGGTAATTCGGGTGCCGCTGCCAGTCCATGGGTTATTGGAATTAAGGAGGTGGGAGTTCACGGGTTGGACTCGTTGGTGAATGTGGTGATTGCGTTGTCTGCCTGGTCCTGTGGAAATGGGTTCACGTACGGAGCCACCAGAACCGCGTACTCGGCCTCGTTGGCGGGATACTTGCCCCGTTTCTTCTCCAAATGTCTCAAGTCTGGATGCCCTATCTACTGTGTAATTGGGTGTATGGCGATTTCGTGTATAGCCTATTTGAGCATCGGAACCTCCACCGCAGTGGTGTTCAACTGGTTTATCAACTTGAGTACCACCGGAATTTTGTCCACCTACGTTTGTATTTGGATATGTTATTTCAAGTTCAAAAGGGCGTTTGTGGCACAAGGTTACGACTATGAAACTGATTCGACCTTTAAGCCTCCACGGTTTGTGCACCCATACATGACATATTTCGGGTTCTTTATGACGTTGGTGATCTTGTTATTCAACGGCTTTTGGATTTTCTTCCCTGGCCAGTGGTCAGCTGCCAATTTTTTCACGTCGTATTTTGCACCCATTCTTTTTGTGGGGTTGTTTGTGTTTTGGAAGGTGTTCAAAAGAACGCACTGGAGAACCGATTTGGAGGCCGATTTAACTACTGGAAAGGCGAGGATAGATAAAGAAGAGGCTATCGAGGAGGAGGAGTACGCAGCTAAACCACGGAAAAGTGGATTTTTGTGGAAATGTTATTATAAGTTTGCAGATATTTGTTACAATTAGGGTAATACACGAGATGAGAAAGGATACTGGTGGTGCGAAGCCAAGCCCCCGGCGACGAATGCAAAGCCTTCGCGCCAGCTGGGACGATCGCTTTAAGCTTCTTCTTTTGCAAAGCGACCACTATTAGTACCATTGTCACTACCATTGTCACTACCATTGTCACCCCTGGAAAAGACTGCCAATACCGGACCCCGCCTGACTTGCCTGCTATCCACTCCTTCCCATCTCATCACTTATCTGCGCACAAATAGTTTTCTTGGCGTCGATAAGCATCCCAACAAAGAAAACAAACCCAGACTCTGCATCTAGTTTCTGCGCCTACGCACAATTGCGCCGTATTGCCCAATCCGAGGAGCTGAATTACCCCCAAATAAATGGGATTCATTTACGGCGTTTTTTATAGCTCAACCTTGGGTGGGGTCCTACCCCAACAGCGGTAGTCAGCCGCAGAACCGGGAAACCTTTCACCTCCCACCGAGACTGGACATCCCCAATTCTGATCATCCAGGGAAATAGCCCTACCACCTCCTCATGGCACCCGTTTCACGTCTCGTTTATCTCAGGCGCTCATCTCTCAAATTTCCTCCGCCAGCCAGCGCCAAGCATGATCGCCGATGCAGCACCCAAATAATCCGTCCCCTCAGAAATTTTCAGGCATAACAAATTGGGCATCGGCTGCATATATAAGCGCACGATTTTCTACTTAGCTCATCGTTTACAAAAAAAACACTCATGAAGGACGACCACGAAAAGAACATCGATTCTAACTCCTTGTTGAGTAGACACACCGAGGACTATAACCTCACGATCTCTCGGTCCAATCCTTCGGGCCAAGTCGCCAGCGGCCACGAATTGAAAAAGGGCTTACACGCTCGGCATGTCAGTATGATTGCTTTGGGTGGAGCCTTGGGAACCGGTTTATTGATTGGAACTGGAAGTGCCTTGAAGGTCGCCGGTCCTGGTGCCATTTTGTTGGCATACGGGGTGGTGGGATTTGTGGTGTTCATGGTGATGTCGGCTCTTGGAGAGGTTGCAACTTTTGTGCCTTTGGCCGATGGGTTCACTGGTTATAGTAACCGATACGTGGACCCTGCGTTGGGTTTTGCTTGTGGATACGTCTATCTTTTCAAATATTTGATCATTCCTGCCAACCAGTTGGTGGCAGGTTCGTTAACGGTCCAATACTGGGTGTCTGCTGACAGGTTAAACCCCGGGGTATGGATTACGATTTTCTTGATTGTCATCTTGGCCATCAACATCTTGGGGGTGAGATTTTTCGGAGAAATCGAGTTCTGGTTATCGGTATTGAAGGTGATCACATGTTTGGGTTTAATCATCTTATTATGGGTCATTGCCCTTGGTGGAGGTCCCTCCCATGACAGAATTGGGTTTAGATTCTGGAAAGAACCTGGTGCATTTTTGATCTACAGAAATTCAGCCCAGAATGTGGTGATTGAAGGTTCTTTGGGTAGATTTGTGTCTTTTGTGTCAGTATTGGTGAATGCTGTGTTTGCCTTTTTGGGTACCGAATTGTGTGGTATTACTTTTGCTGAATGTAGAAGACCTCGTATGGCCATTCCTAAGGCCATCCGGTTGACTTTCTACCGGATTGTGGTGTTCTACTTGTTGTCGATTTTCTTTTTGGGTATGTGTGTGAGTCCAGAAGATCCATTGTTGTTGACTGCTAGTGGTAGTACTGCCAGTGCATCTCCCTTTGTGATTGCCATCAAAAACGCCCATATTTCCGGTCTTGACCATGTCATCAATGGGTGCATCATGTTGTTTGTATTGTCGGCTGCAAATTCCGACATGTACATCTGCTCCAGAACTGTCTACGGATTGGCTGTGGCTGGATATGCCCCCAAATTCTTCTCCAAGACCAACAGGATGGGAGTGCCATACTACGGGGTTGGTTTATCGTTTTTGTTTTGTCTTTTGGCGTACATGACTGTGCAAGATTCGGCTAGTGAGGTGTTCCAATACTTTGTGAATGTGGTGTCGTTGTGTGGTTTGTTGGCCTGGACGTCGCTTTTGATCATTCACATCAGATTCATGTCTGCTTGTAAAGCCCAGGGTGTTGACAGACAGAGAGACTTGAACTATAGGTCGCCTTTGCAGCCATATGGCTCGTGGCTTGCGTTGGTCATGTGTGTTTTGATTATTTTGATCAAGAACTTTACGGTTTTCTTGGGCCATCCATTCCCTTACAAGACGTTTATTACCGGTTACGTGGTGTTGCCAGTGTTTTTGTTATTCTACGGAGGCTTTAAGTTATTCTACAGAACTAAGCTTATCAACTCAGATGAGGTGGACTTGGCCACTTACAAAGACGTGGTGGATGCAGAGGAAGAATCATGGGCCGCTGAGGATGAGGAGGCTGAAGCCCTTAGACAGGCTAACGGAAACCCTAAGAACTGGAGCTGGTTCTATAATAAGATCTTTGGATGGATCTTCTGATTGTATAATATTATAATATTTGAAAGCTCACAATATACAATACCTAGCACAAAGTCTGTGCCACCACTCTGGATAAGCCGAAATAATGTGGAACATAGGGTATAAGAATGGCTGCGAAAGAAGTTGCGAAGAGAAGCTCAAAAGCTAAAAAGCTAAAAAGTCCACCACCACTGGCCGATGGTCAGAAAACCTGTATCCCTCCGGGGTAACATTGTCGATGACATTATAGTCGATGACGGTGGTGTTGGAACCTTGGGTATTGGAATCGATAGGAGCCCAAATAAAATCAATCACCGTCTGGTTATCGGTGGGTTCAAATCCAGTGTAGGTAGGTTCCTGACTATACTTCTGGTAAGCGATCACCCTAGTATCTGCCAAGTCCTTAACTAAGGTGGTGTACGATAAATCCGTGTCGATGGAGTTGAAGTCCCCTGTCAAAATCGTTTGGTAATCGTTGGGGATCTGACTGATCCACCCAGCAATCAACTCCGATGAGTGTTCCCGGGCCTCTTCACTGGTTTGGTCGTAGTGAGTATTAAAGTAGTTGATGTGCTTGCCAGTTTGAATGTGTTTCAATTCCGTCATGGTGACGATTCTGATGTTTGATGCACCCCAGCCTTTGGTGGGAATATCTGGAGTAGGACTCAACCATTTATAGGTTCCGTTGACCAAATCCCACACTCTGTTATCGTAGACAACGGCAGCATATTCCCCTTTCTCAACCCCATCATCTCTGCCCACGCCAAAGTAGGTCCAACCACTGGTAATATTGGTTTGGTTGTTGTTCAACCCTGCGATCACCTCGTCCAACATGTCCTTTTTGATTTCTTGCAACCCGATGAGGGTAGAAGAATTGGCAGATTGTTGTTGCAAAGTTTGGATTTGGCCATACTTTCTCACGTCCCAGGGCTGCTCGTGAGCGAATGGCTTGTTGGTTTTGACTCTCACATTTGAAGTAATTACTCTGAAGTTCAAGGGAGCTTCAATAGGGGCGGCTAAGCTGGTTGCGAATAGTAAGGCGGTGATTGCGAATTGAGGAAGCATTCTTGATGAGGAATAGGGTATACTACCTAGTCTAGTGCCTTTTATAGTTTCTCGAGATACCAACGTGTTAGTGAGGGCAACTACCACTTGTACATTAGGGTTCAGTACCTGGCTACGAATTCAGTGTTTTAGGTTCCCACATGTTTCTGAATCCGGAAAAATGTAAGCGCTTTGATTTGCCTTTACATTGTCAACTTCACGTGGACGGAAAATGCTAGTAGAGTCAAAGGGGCAGGCGGTGGAATGGACTACGAGAAGCAGTTTCGGTGATAGTTGGGTGTTTGCGGTGAATTGCAAGCTCTGGGTTAGAATAAGGAATTCTGACATCAGCAGCTAGTTTTCAAGACTCAGAGTTCCTGGTGACTTAAATGGCATGTGTATTACAACTAAAACACAGTTATATCCGCTGCCATCACGAATCATAAAGCCCTAATGGTCTTTCCATACCCCCGGATCACCCACTAAAATTGCAAATCCAAGTACAATGCAACCACACAGCTTGGCAAGGTGTGAACAATGAAACCTCAAGTACAAAGTTGCCGTTGGCCCCGGAAAAACGTGTAGGTTTGGATTGCAATAAAGTTTATAGTAAATGAATTATCCCCGTGGACCAGTTTGAGGTCGCGTCGCAGCCTATTAAGCTTCCTGATTTGGACTGATAATTAGCATGTGGGAATTAGGGTACAGGAGATGTTGTGCTACGGTTGTGTGCTTTGGGTGTAGCCTCCGGTGTGGGCCCAGTTGTGAGTTCATGTATCCTGTGGATATATTATGTTGCTGATTTGAGTGTTATGTTGTGTTTAGCTAATTGTAGGTAATAATTGTGAATTTTACAAAAAATATGGCTGCGAAAGAAAACGTTAAAGCAACGAAGATGAGAAGATATAATTGACGTATACTAAGAATGGTTGGCAGAATATACATGTAGCAAACAAGAACATAGGAGAATAAAATCCCAGGACGGGACAAAACGCACGGAAACGATCGTTAGTGAATGGCAGCATGCTATAGAGCTCAATGAATTCCTCGAGTGAATGCTAGTTTGATATAGAGCCCCATGACATCTGTCGTACAACGTTCTTCTGACATCCGACAGACCGCTCTCTACACTCACCAACCGGTGGGGCCGGAACTTTGCAGAACAAATCATTAACATAATAAATAAATAAATATCACTTATACTTCTTGCCCTCTAAATCAGGTAATGGGATCGCCTTCACCGTCACATAAGAGTTTTGCTTATTAGCAAGACCAGCATAAGCATTATACCACGCCGCAAACGCAGTGAGTAATCCAAACACACCTCCCGCTTTCTTCACTGGAACAGAATTCTGGAAGTCGGCTATTGCCAACAACAAAAACGTAATGGACAAAAAGAAGAAGATGGAGAAAAATGCCACCGTAGATTTCAACGTCAAAAGCATCAAGAAAAATGTGAATATAAACCACCCCAAAAGGAAAATAGCCACTGCAAAATGGAATTCTCGCTCATCCGTGTAAGCAGCTGAAATGCCAAAACTTTCAACATAGAATGCTGCCCACGCACACCAGAAACCCCCGTATGAAGACAAACCGACACCACCAAAAGTGTTGCCGACAGCAATTTCAAACATCCCAGCCACAAGCTGAGTGGCTCCTCCGTAGAAGAATGCCAACCCCACCACCACATTAGGGATGGTGACACCCCTGGCTTCAAGATTGATCAACGACAATACAAATGTCGTCAATGCAAAGGCACTAAGTCCCAAGGGAGAAGGGTTGGCCAAGTCATGCTTGGGAGGTGGCAGTAAACCTGGGTTAAAGTCACCCCCGAAAGCATCCACTAATTCCGACTTCAAGTATTTTTCATGGCCAAATTGAATATAGTCACCTTCGGTCTTAATTTTAGTGACAGAAGCTGGCACAAAGCTTGAATCGTTGTTGAGAGCAATTTGTTCCTTTACCGGGATTTGGTTTTCAATGTCAGACATGTTGTGAATTTTGTTAGCGATGCAAGAGGTGGGAGAAGAGGTTTTTTTATATAAAAGTCTGCCCCACAGGTCTCAGCAAATGCAGCCCACTTTTCGGAGTTTGAACATCTTACACAAAGTCGGCAGAGCCAACCGGTGATTCGCGGTGACGGTGGTGCAAGCTGCCGCGACCCTCGCCCCACCGCAAAACTCGGGGGTAACTCCGCAACCATATATATCAGCAGATCTCACCCACTGATGACTGCACCACATTTTTGTGGGGGTGGGCTATTGTGGCACTTCCCCAGATTTCGGAACTAATAGCCAAATCCCCGAAACTTGCACTGGCCTTCATCTTGTACTTGAACTTACTTACTGGTGGGCAAATTTTTTGAATACCGACCCTGGGCTTTTAAACACCGGGCTGCAATTGGCCCTAATGTAAAATCCGGCCAATATGCGGTTACGCGAGAACCCAAAAGTGAGGCACCAGAACACCGGGTCGAATGAACAGAAGTTCCCGGGTGATTAAGATACGGGACCCAAGTTCCGAATTGATTGATAAAACCGGACTTAGCAAGTCTGACAACCACCCAACAATTATAATTAGGTTCGGGGTCCAGGGTGCGAGCGACACTACGACATTGTGCGACAATCGGTGCAAGCACCTCTTGCACTCCCAGGTCTAATGTCGCGCAACCACGCCGTGTCGCGCTCCCACGACACTTTCACCACTGCTCCTGCCCAATTCATCCCATTTGTAAACACGCATTTGCATCTATTTAAGTTCTTGATTCCCAAAAGCCAAATTTCATCACCAACCATGGAAGACATCTCCCAAAGCATGGAAAACGTTTCCCTCATGGACGTCGATCCGCTCAACAAAGAGAACATCACGCCCATGCACTCGCCCAACTCCAAACGTCAATCCCCCTACAAATCGCCAGTCTCCAGACCCTCCATCAAGATTTCCACAAAGACCCAGAGACTATCAAATGTTTGCCAACTCTATTTCTTGGACTACTATTGTGACAAATTTGACTACATTATTAACAGAAGAGATAGAAGTGATAAGGTCATGTCATCTCTAAACCACCAAGATGGCCTCACCCCCCAACAGAAAAACTTGGAGTGGAAGAACTACGTGAGTAGAGAAAGAGCGTATTTGAGGAAAAAGCGGTTGAAGCCAAAACACAAAGACTTTGAGATGATCACCCAGGTGGGCCAAGGTGGCTATGGTCAAGTGTTTTTGGCCAGGAAGAAGGATACGAAAGAAATCTGTGCTTTGAAGGTATTGAACAAGGGTTTGTTAATCAAGTTGAATGAGACTAAACATGTTTTGACTGAAAGAGACATTTTGACCAATACTCGTTCCGACTGGCTTGTGAAGTTGTTATATGCGTTCCAGGATGCTGAAAAAGTGTTTTTGGCCATGGAATTTGTTCCAGGTGGTGACTTTAGAACCTTGTTGAACAATACTGGCTACTTGATTCCTCCACACTCCCGTTTCTACATAAGTGAGATGCTCTGTGCCGTGAACGCATTACATGAGCTTGGATACATTCACCGAGACTTAAAGCCTGAAAACTTCTTGATCGACTCTAAGGGTCACATCAAGTTGACGGACTTTGGGTTGGCTTCTGGGTCTATTTCCAAGGAGAGAATCGAAAGTATGAAGTTGAAGTTGCGTGATTTCTCGGACTACAAGACCAACTTCAACTTCGACTTGCCTTCCATTAACATCAACGAACGTCAGAAGATCTTTAAGAATTTCCAGACTTCCACCGCCAATTTCGCCAACTCAATTGTGGGAAGTCCTGATTATATGGCTTTAGACGTGTTGGAAGGTGCCAGTTATGACTTCACGATTGACTACTGGTCCTTGGGGTGCATTCTCTTTGAGAGTCTTTGTGGATATCCTCCGTTTAGTGGGTCTAAACAGGAAGAAACCTACTATAACTTGAAACATTGGGAGAAGACTTTGAGAAGACCTCAGACCAAGGATGGAAGGTACGTGTTCAGTGACCGGACTTGGCAGTTGATTACCAAGCTCATTACCAAACCCAGCTTGAGGTTCAAGAACTTTAGCCAGATTAAGAAAATGCACTACTTCAGTGATATGAACTGGGATACGTTGAGACAAAAAAACTCCTCCCTTCACCCCCCAGTTGGACAACGAGGAGGATGCCGGATACTTTGATGACTTTGAGGATGAGGAATCTATGATGAAATATAAAGATGTGTTTGAAAGGCAAAATTACAATGAGAAGTTGTTAATGGGATCCAAGAAGCTCAAAAACTCCAACTTTATTGGATTCACGTTCAAACACAAACTGAACCCCAACAATAAATTCGCCGAATTGAATACGAATATGAACTCCAATCCGTTGGCAACCTTATACTAATGAATAGATATGTAGAGATTAGCTTGTATTAATGAATTAACTTGAAATGAGAACTTACTTAATTAGCATGCAGTTATTTTTCTAGTGCCCGGAGCCTCACATGCCCCATACAAAATCTGCTCGTATAAGGACTACAAACGTAGTGACCTGATATTTGACTGGTTTTAACAAAAAAATGTGCAATTTGCTATGTCTCACCTGTGGTCCAATTTTGACTCCCATTTTTTTGAGACATTTACCTTGTATATAATTGTGAGACATTCGTTGGACGTGAGAGTTATCATCAGAATTGGATCAGTGTCGCTGGGAGTGAACAGTCCACATATACTGTCAGAGAGCAATGGGTGCAAATACAACATCAGTGAATTTTTCCAAGCCAGAGGCGTTCTAATGGTCTCTGTATCTTAGTTTAATATTTGTATCCAAAAGTACCTTAAATATCCACCAATTTCCCAGCCGGGACCATTCATACCATCACTACTTGAGTGCAGACAGAGATTTATGCCTCTTGCTTCCACACAAAGTCGTCCTCTATCTTCTTCTCCACAAGTTGTCTGAACTCAGTAAAATTGGCACCTGCAATTTTGAACCCGTTATCCATAACTTCAAACAACTCCTGTTTGCTAAACTCACCCTTTGAATCAGCGTAGACGATTTTGCTTGGCTTACTATCAACAATCGAAAACACCAACAAATGGTGGGATTTTGAGTGTATAAGGTCAGAAAGTTCAGGAGTATTTATAATCAGCTTATCCTCCAGAACAGATTGGCTCACGCCGATGAACGACTCATACAAGAAGATATTGGAGTCCAACAATGCAAAGTAACAGCAATTGATGATGTCTGTAAATTCAATGTTAAATACCTTCAAATCGTCCACGGTATTTTCAAAATTGTTGATAACGACGGCGTCAGTCTCGAGGCTCAACACCTGTACGACCACCTGGATGAGTTGCCTGGGATACTTGTGCCTTATAATGAGACTTGATAATATGGATCTCAACTTGTCAGTTAATAGGTTTTCTCTGGTATTGGCGGTGCCAATCGAAGGTCTCAATATAATTTCCAAACTTGCTAAATTTGGGAGTTCCTGCTTGATTTTGGGTTCTATAGGACCACTCACAGACACCAACACCTTGGTACGGCCGTTGGTGAGTTCGGCAGACCCATCCACATTCTCCAAAACAGATGTTCTCAAGAGCATGGTTGAAGAAAGGTTTTTCTGGTCTTTCATCGCGATGCGCGCTGGTTTATCGTTTGCACAAGATGAGCTACGAAGATGACTTGATGAACGATTTCGAAAGCGGGTCAGACGCAGAAGAAGACATCCATCATGAGCAGCAAAATGACGAAGAAGACCTTGATACCAAGCTCACCAGCTTGTTGACTTCTCCTATCTCGTTGGAAAACCAACTCGGTCTGTTGGATATGGACAAGGTGGTAGATCCTACCAAATACCTTCAAATCATGCAATTGACATCGCTCATCCACCTGAAGTTGTCACAATTCGACTCGCAGGAGTCTGACTACCTTAAGTTGATTTCTTACTCAGACTACGAAAACGAAGAGTACAGGTTTTTAATGCAAATCAACAAGTTGATCAATATCATTCAGTATGAACTGGGCTTTTTATTTGGGTTCATCAAGCAGAAGTACCTGGTGGTGTTTCCGGAGCTTGTCAGTATCATCACCAACCCGGAAGATTTCATTAAAGTGGCAGAGTTGATCAAACAGGACTTGGTGAGTATTCGAGACTATGAGCTGCATCTCAAGCAGTTCCTCACCAGCGACAAGATATTGGTGCTTATAATGAGCGGGCTCCAGAGCGTCAAAACCCAGTTCATACTTAACGAGGCCGACTTCAACGCCATTTTGAACGCCTGTACTGAGTACAAGAAGTTGCAACAGTTGCTAGCAGAGTTGTCTAGTTTCATTCGGACTAAGCTCATAAACTTTACCCCGAATCTTTCCAGTTTACTAGGTCCCGTCACGTCAGCACAGTTGCTTATACAGACGGGATCTCTTCAGCAACTCAGCTCAACTCCGGCTTGTAATTTGGCATCTCTCGGTGTGAAAGAGCTCTCTTCCACCACCAAAAGAATCAACTCTTCCGTACAAATGGGTTACTTATACCACAACGAAATCATCAAATATCTTCCTCCCGACACCACCAAACTGGCCCTTCGGATTCTCAGCGCCAAAGTCACCCTAGCTGCCCGAATTGATCTTGCCAAATCGAGCCCCAACGGGGAATTGGGCAAAAAGTATAGGGATGAGGTAGTGGACAAGATTAATAAGCAGCTCCTACCCCCAGAGGCCTCAGGAATCAAGCCCTTGCCCAAGCCCACCGAGTTCAAGTCAAAGAGAAGAGGAGGACGAAAAGTACGTAAATTGAAGCAGAGGCTCCAGATGTCTGAAATGGCGAAGGCCCAGAATATCCTCAAGTTTGGTGAGATGGAAGACAGTTATTTGGATGCGTTCGGCAACGAGGTCGGTATGGGGTTGAGTAAGGACCCTAGTGTGAAAGCCAATGCCAATACCAAGGCCACCATTTCCAAGGGCATGAAGTCCAGGTTGGGTAATGATAATAACGAGAAGAAACGGCATTTGGACTCGGTTCTTGATGAAGACTTTAGCTCCATCTTCCAGATGTCCAAGAAAACGACTGCTGACACCGCCTCTCCACCACTCAACAAGTGGGTAAATGGGAGTATGAAGAAGTAGTCCCTCCAGCGGTTCCTTTTGTATGTACCATATGTAATACTATTCTACGCTTTTAGCATCTTTTGCCAGATTTCAATCGCGACTTGACTCATTGGCAAAATTTTTTTTTCAGCATTATATGATAATAAGCTTATTCAGGAGGAATCTCAAGTATAATTTATTTTCGTATAAGCCCTATAGTTACATCCGAGTAGTCACCCGAACTTATAAGTACACAGCCTGCCGAATGTCTGAGGAACCAAAGCACCTTGAACCGGTGAGTGCTCAAGAGCCTCCCAAGAAAGAAAAGACAGCTAAAGAATTGGAAAAAGAACGGAAAAAAGCCGAAAAATTGGCCAAGTTTAATGCAAAAAAGGCCAAACAAGCTGAAGATTCCGCTTCTAGTAAAGATAAGGTTGAAAAGAAACCCAAAAAAGAAAAGAAGGTGGTGGAACCAGCTCCTGAATTTGATGATAAAACCGTTCCTGGTGAGAAGAAGATATTAGTATCATTGGATGATCCAGCATTCAAGGCCTACAGCCCCAAAAACGTCGAAAGCTCATGGTACCAATGGTGGCTCAAAGAAGGAGTGTTCGACCCCGAATTTGATGCCAATGGAGATATTAAACCTGAAGGTTTATTCTCCATTCCTAGTCCTCCACCAAACGTTACTGGTGCTTTGCACATTGGACATGCTTTGACCGTTTCGTTACAGGACGCTTTGATTAGGTACAACAGAATGTTGGGGAAGACCGTTTTATACGTTCCTGGTTTCGATCATGCTGGTATTGCAACCCAATCAGTTATTGAAAAGAGAATTTGGGCCCAAGAAAAGAAAACCAGACATGATTATGGAAGAGAGCCATTTATCCAAAAGGTGTGGGAGTGGAAAGAAGTGTATCATGCCCGTATCAAGGACCAATTCATGAAGTTAGGTGCTTCGTACGACTGGTCCAAAGAAGCGTTTACCTTGAGTCCCGAATTGACGAAGGCTGTAAATGAAGCTTTTGTCAGATTACACGAAGACGGAACCATCTACAGAGCCAATAGATTGGTCAACTGGTGTGTGAAGTTGAATACTGCCATCTCCAACTTGGAAGTTGACAATAAAACCATCACTGGTAGAACTTTGTTGTCTGTTCCTGGGTACGAAAAGAAGGTTGAGTTTGGTACTTTAACTTACTTCGCGTACCAGGTTGAAGGCAGTGATGAAAAGCTTGTGGTTGCCACCACCAGACCAGAAACCATCTTTGGTGATACTGCCGTGGCTGTGCATCCAGATGATGCTCGTTACAAGCATTTACACGGTAAATACGTTATCCACCCATTTGTTGACAGAAAGCTTCCAATTATCACTGATGGTGAAACTGTCGACATGGAATTTGGTACGGGTGCTGTGAAAATCACTCCTGCCCATGATCAGAATGATTATGACACTGGTAAGAGAAACAACTTGGAGTTCATCAATATCTACACGGATGAAGGTTTGTTGAACGCAAAGTGTGGTCCCGAATGGGAAGGTACCAAGAGATTCGATGCCAGATACAAGGTTATTGAAGAGTTGAAGAGTAAGGGCTTATTTGTCGAACAAAAGGATAACGAAATGGCCATTCCAATCTGCTCCAGGTCCGGAGATGTGATTGAACCATTATTGAAACCTCAGTGGTGGGTCAACCAGCTGGAAATGGCCAAGGCTGCTATTGAAGTGGTCAAGAGTGGTGAATTGAAAATCACACCAAAGGTGTCTGAAGCTGACTACTTCAGATGGTTGGAAAACATTCAGGATTGGTGTATCTCCCGTCAATTGTGGTGGGGTCACAGATGTCCAGTATACTTTGTGAACATCGAAGGTGAAAAGAACGACAGAATGAGCAATGACTTCTGGGTCAGTGGAAGAGACGAACAAGAAGCTCTTGAAAAGGCTACTAAGAAGTTTGCTGGTAAGAAGTTCACTTTAGAACAAGACGAAGATGTATTGGATACCTGGTTTTCGTCTGGATTGTGGCCATTCTCTATTTTGGGATGGCCCAACCAAACTGTTGATATGGAAAAGTTCTTCCCTATGTCGTTGTTGGAAACCGGCTGGGATATCTTGTTCTTCTGGGTCACTAGAATGGTGTTGTTAGGAGTGAAGTTGACTGGAAAGTCTCCATTCTCCGAAGTGTTCTGCCACTCTTTGGTCAGAGATGCTCAAGGTAGGAAGATGTCCAAGTCTTTGGGTAACGTCATCGACCCTAGTGATGTGATCTCTGGTATCAGCTTGCAAGCATTACACGATCAATTGCTCGGTGGTAACTTGGATGCTAAGGAATTGAAGAAGGCCATAGAAGGGCAGAAATTGTCGTATCCAAAGGGTATCCCTGAATGTGGTACGGATGCCTTGAGGTTTGCTTTGTGTTCCTATACCACTGGTGGAAGAGACATTAACTTGGATATTTTGAGAGTTGAAGGTTACAGAAAGTTCTGTAACAAGATCTACCAAGCTACCAAGTTTGTTTTGGGAAGATTGGGTCCTGATTACGTTCCCCCAGCTTCTTCCAAGTTGACTGGTAACGAATCATTGGTGGAACAGTGGATTTTACACAAATTGACCAAGGCTTCTCAGGCCATCAACAAACAATTTGAAGCAAGAGAATTCTTCGAAGCCACAAACTCTGTCTACAACTTCTGGTACGACTTGTGTGATGTTTATATTGAAAACTCCAAGGCCTTGATCCAAGACGGTTCTGATGTACAAAAGAAGTCTGCTCAGGACACATTGTACACTTGTATCGACGGGGCATTGAGAATGATACACCCATTCATGCCATTTGTCACCGAGGAAATGTTCCAAAGATTACCAAGAAGAGAAGGTGAAACCATCAAGTCTATTGTGAAGGCTCCTTACCCTCAATATATTAAGGAGTTTGATAATGAAAAGGCTTTGGATGCTTACAATTTGATCCTTGAAATTGCCAAGGGAGCCAGATCCGTGTTGGCACAATATAACATCTTGAAGAATGCTAAGGTGTACGTTGAATGCCAGGACTCCCAAATTTTGGCTATTGCAGACCTGCAAAAAGAATCGATTGTTTCTTTGATCAAGGGTGTGGAAACCATCAAGGTTGTCTCTTCCGGTGCTGAAGTCGAGTCTGGTTGTGCTTTGCAGTCTATCAACAAGCAATGCACTGTGCATGTATTGGTAAAGGGACAAATCGATTTGGATGCAGAAATTACCAAGGTGGAAAAGAAGTTGACTACTATCAAGGACCTCAACAAGAAGAACGAAGAAGCCATTGCCAAATTTTCTGAAAAGACCAAACCTGCTGCCAAAGAGTTAGCGTTCAAGAAATCTGAAAACTACGCTGCCGAGATCGAAGGCTACGAACAGACCATTGAAATCTTACAGAAGTTGAAGTTGTAAATAATTAGAGAGAATATAATTAAGTGGATTCATTACTCAACTCTTGCTGCTCTTGTCCTCAGCGTCAACAGCCTCAACGATAACATTCTCTTCGTCTTCCCCGTAATGGGCGGTTCCAATTCTCACATCCGTGTGCAACACTCCATCAAACACTTCGTCAATTTCTTCCAAAGATAACCCCTTGGTTTCCACAAAAGAAAAGTAGATGATGACCGCTTGCACAATGTTGTAGCAAGCATTAATGATGTAGAACTTCCATGAAATGGCATCCATAGCAAGTGGAATCACGTACTGGTTAAAGAACCCAAATCCAAATGTCACAATCTGAGAAAAGGCCATACCTTTTGTTCTGATGGAGTAGTTCACTATTTCAACCGGGTAGGAAACACACAACGGAGTGAAGGAGAAAGAATACACGGCAGAGAACAAGTAAACCAAGAAAATCACGGCGTTGGTACCGTTGGTGCTGTGTCCATCTGAATATAATTTGACTAATCCACCCATCAAGAACAAAGTAATAGCCATCAAATTAGTGGACCAGAACAAAATGGGCACTCTTCCCCAGCCGTCAGTAAAATAGGAACCAGCAATAGCAAAGAAGAGGTTCACTACTTGCATTGTCAAGTTTATGACAATCTGCTTTCTGGTGGAGGTGATACCAGCATAATCTAAGAAAAGACCAAGGTAGGTGCTGACTATATTGGTTCCGCAAAGCATAGAAAATACCCCCATCCAGAAGATAATCCACACTCTTTTTCTGTTTCCTGGAGTTCTTAACATATCCAACCAGCCAATGTTGGATTCTTTCTCGTACTGTAATGTCTGACGGATTTCTTCAAATTCAGCTTCGACTAATGGTGTTCTCTCTCCATTTCCGTGGTATCTGATGAGCACTTTCAATGCCTCATCAGGACGATCAGTGTAGACCAAAAACCGAGGGGTTTCAGGAATAAATGCCAAAAGTGGCAACACCAATACAGAAGGAGTGATCTGCCACAAAGAGATTCCTCTCCAGGCCCAGGAGTCTGATCTTGTGTATGTTCCTAACGCAATTCCAGTGGTGATAATGGCTGCAAAATACCAAGAAGACATGTAAATTCCCGAAACAAGGCCTCTATTCTGAGGCTTGGCAAGTTCTGCGACGTAAGTAGGTGCGGCAACTGCATTTACCGTCACTGCTATTCCGATGATAATTCTAGCAATCACAAACATGGCTCTGTTCTGTGCAGCTGTTTGCAAGGCTACACCAACAAAGGTGATCAAACAACTAATAAGAATACCACCTTTTCTCCCAACCAGTTTGAGGTCGATGAGCTGGGAAGCAAAAAAACCTCCAACCACAGACCCGATGTTAATTGCAGCAGAGAACAATCCTTCGTAGTTTGCATCCAAGTCAAAGTATTCTATATACTGGTCGATAATGTTTAAGTTGTTCATCATCGATTGATCCACTCCCATGGTGGCCCCATTGATGGTGGCACATATTATGGGCACAAGATCTAACAAAACAACCATTGGGAGATTTACAAAATTGTCGGTGTCTACCAGTAATATACTAAACACCAGAGATAAGAAACATGATCGGAAAATTAATCTGCACATCGGCTTTTCAAACGCGGATCCCGATCGGAGCTTCCGCCGATTACTCAAACTGATTACTTAAAAGCCACTAAAGCCATTCAAATGAAAAATCCCCAAAATGTCACCGCGCAAAGTCATAATTGACACCGACCCAGGAATTGATGACTCTTCGGCATTGATGTTGGCGTTAGCCCCAGGGAACCTTGATGTCAAGGCTATCACCACTGTTTCTGGAAATTTATTGGCATCCACTTGCACCAAAAATGCCAAAAAAGTATTATCGTTATTGGGAAAAGCGGATATTCCGATGGGTCAAGGTCCAGAAAAACCCATAGCCCGCCCGTTTCCGCGAGACCCATTCTTTCATGGTTCGGATGGATTGGCCGATTTGAATATGCCTGATTTGGAAAAGAGCGGCTGGGAAAATATATCTCCTGAGGTTGCGTACGCACCAGATTTAATTGTAGATACCGTCAACCAACACGAAGGAGATATAACGTTCATTGCCCTTGGACCTTTGACGAATTTGGCGTTAGCATGCTTGAAGGATCCTCAATTGCCGCAAAAAATCTCCAAAGTGATCATTATCGGAGGTTCATTTGGGTTCAATTCGGTTGAGGCATTACATGCTACTGGAGATAATCCAGTGAGTGAATGGAATATTTACGTGGATCCCGAAGCGGCGGATTTCGTCTTTAAAGCCGATTTTAATTTGACGGCGATTGGAATGGATATATTCTGTCAGCCGTGTATTGCCATGAACCAACAGCATAGAATTGCGTTGAAAGGTAGCAAGTCGCCGGCTGCAAAATTTGTCATGGGCGTTTTAGAATTCTTGAGCAGCAGAGGCCAGGGTGATTACTGTGCTTTGATAGACGCTTTAGCGGTGGCATATGCCATCGATGAGAGTATTATGACCACGCAGAAGGTGGATGTGGCGGTGGAGTGTGAGAGTAAATTGTCACTCGGGCAGATTATTGTTGACCGCAGAAAGAACTTCAAGTGGGAAGGGTTGCCAACAATTGACGCGGTGGATACGGTGGATGGAGAGAAGTACCTTGAGATATTGGTGGGGAGTTTTCTTCGTATAGAGTAGAATCGTGCAGTTGTATCTGCTGTTAATAAATGTCTCAGACCTCATTTTGAAACATAACACCGGGAAAGTAGAGGGAGTTGGTGTCTGGGTCCATTGATAGGTTTGGCCGAGAGATCGTGAGTAATCTACATTCGGACACAAAAGATGTTAGTTTTGTGATATCCACATTTGGGCACAAAAGTTCTTTCTGAACACTTTGGTGGTATCTGCAAAAGCTGTCAAATGTGAAAAGGGTCAGTAACCTCAGGCTCGGTGGTTTAATTCGCAGACGATCTACACAGTCGCTCAACTATTAATCGACATAATAGTGTTCAATGAAATAGTGATCCAATAGTCTCCACTGAAGTGTCATTAAGACTCGCAGACATATCTTTTGACCGCCACATTTACTGACTTCTCTTACCAGGAAGACCAAGTCCAATGTTGTAAGATCCAGGAAATTGTCGTTAATGATCAATTCATAATCACAATTACATGTGCATTGCCGAGGAGTGGATCATGGACCAGACACGCTAGGGGGAAGGGTTTCATGCAGGGCCTGGTCCCATGGCGGTGACAGGCACTATGCGCCCTCCCGTTATAGCCATCCGTGGTGAAATTGATTAGCAGTGCGACAGCCGAAAGGGGTGCGAAAGCACCCACTCAATCCTCCCATCTCATTCGACATTGCCCCCTCGGGTCCCAGACCCCTGCTCGTGACCGCACCGGTCTGGGTTTGTTCGTGACCCCTCTGCCCCTTTTTTTGGCAGGTGTTTGTGTTTGTGGGCAAAATAGTAACGGCAAAGGGCTGCCAACAATAGAACAATCCGGCCAATATGCAGGTATTCCAAGTGGTTCATTGAAATTCACCCTGCTGGTGGAACAGGACCAAAGATACGTGTGGAACCATCTATTTGCAGGAGCGCCCCCTCAATTGTCGACATTCCTTATCCGTGATCTATAAAAGGTAGCCGATTCCTCAACTAGATTTTTTCCCCAACATACTTTAAGTTTGCACTACACTTTATAACACAATGGATTTTTTAAACAAGGGAAAGGAATTTTTGAGTTCCGAACAAGGTAAGGAATATACCGAAGACGCTAAGGAAGCTTACTCCACTTTCCAAAAGACTGAAGGTACCAACCAAGAGAAGGCCAAGGCTGCTTACGAGAACTACAAGAAGGACGAAGAAGAAGATAAGAAGAAGGATTAAATGTTTAGTTAGATATTCAATCAATACTTGTGACCGAATGTTCTTATCAACTGTAGAAGTGTTAATTGTCTGTTGTAATTTAGTAGTGCCGAAATATTAGCTCAATCTCGTGAAATTCACAAACGAAATTCAACGCGTCAATGAGCCAACAAGCAGCATTTCTGAGTATAGACCATGTGTCTCTCGAATCCCATCCGTTCATGAAGCGGTATGTCTTCATAGAGATTATAAAATACCACCATGCCATAGATATGATCCTTTCCCTTCACTACTCCAGCCATACGAGCCTTATAACAGCTCATGCGCTCTTCGAGCGAGTAGCACCATTGATTCAGAAAAGAACTAAAATATCAGCACTACAGTCGGTCTTGATGGTGGACCCGAACTGCTACAAGCTCGTGAGTCCCACCAATGTTACCGACTACTCTCCCTGTTATGTGGCCTTATTTGATCCCATCAACCAGTTCAATCAGCTGCTCGAATCACGAAAATTGCGTTTTATCAGCCTGATAAACAATTGGATCACAACCCACCAGGAAATTGGGTACTTGAAAATCCCTTCAATTACCCAGATAATTGAAAAACACAGTGCAAACACCAGCAAATCATCATCTCCTTCAAAAGTTCTCAAACCTAGGCTTACCCTCAAGAATGACTCGTCCAAGTTCCAATTCAAACTGCGAGATGAGAAGACCCAATCGTCTAAAAGCAATGGTTTGTCTCTTCTTGAACGTATAAAGTTAAAGGAACAACAATCGAAGCAGCAGAAGCAACAAGAGACCCCAGAAGCACAAAGAGAGGATTATTTGCAAGGTAAGTTGGAGTCGATTTACAACATCATCTACCAAATCAACGGTGAGCAGAACAAACCTACCAGTTTTACCTTGACAGGACTCACACAAATAGTAAAGGATAGTCTTCATTATCCCACACACGAAGAAGATATTCAGGAGTGTTTGGAGTTGTTAGCCAAAAGACTCAACCATGCCATCATTATCACCACTCGTGGAGGGCTTTCGGTGGTGAAGGTGATGAAGCTTGATAGAGAAGGCGACTTAGAGTCGTTGAAGTCAAACAAAACTGTGCATGCATTCTATACGGCATGTAAATAGACTATATATTAACGAACTTGGCATACTAAGCACTAATGTCCAGCTTTTCCTCTTCTTCGTCTCTAATCGCAATATCGGCAGGTGCTGAGTTCATGTACAAAAACTTCAACAAAATCTCAATACCATATGTAGCACCCAAATCAAGGAGAATGGATCCAGTCAACTTGGTCTTGAACTCTACATCCATCTTGACGAATTGCATAGCTTCGTTCAATTCAGGCATGAATTCGGTGGATCCAGACAATGCCAAACCAGCAACCCCCAATAAACCATAGTACATACCCTTGTTCAGGGAGATGTTTTCCTTGAATGGTTCACCTTGGTAGTTGACAGCAAATGTAGACACTTGTTGGGCCAATTGTAATAAAAACATACCAGTGTTCAACAATGAAGGAGAGAACTCCTTTTCTAAATCCACCTGAGGTTCTCTTGGTTCCAAGATGTAAATTTCACGGGTAATGTAAACCAAGGTGATAATGTGAATAGCAAATTGTCCCAAGATAGACCCCATGATATACTTGTTGAAAATCCCATCTTGTGGTCTTTCCTTTGAAAGCTTTTCCAATGGCTTACCTCTGGAGATGGACAAGAAACAAACAGACAATAAGATACCGGAAATCGTGGCTTGTGCATCACCAAACTTGATACCGGCCAAATACAACACAGACAACGAGTAAGCAGAAATCAAACAGTTCAAAGCCAAAATTTTGTACATTTGAATGGTGGCCACCAATGCACAACGACCTTGACGAATGATGTGGATCACAGCAGAAACATTGGCCAATTTGGACGTAAATGGAGCTGCCACAGATGCATCTCCCAATTTCAAGGTAGGAGCTTCGTCTTCTTCTTCAGCATCGTTCAAAGCAGTCAAGAATGCATCACCAATTCCGCCAGCACCAGCCTGAGCAGCCTTAGATTTATCAACAGTGATAGTTTTTCCTGTTTTCATTGCATATTCAACAGTCTTTTCCATTTGAGAAGTGATTTCAACACCTTTCTTCTTCATAGCTTCCAAATACTTAGGGTTAGAAGGTCCAGGTGGATACAAATGAGCAATAATCAAAGGAGCAGGTGGAGGTGGTTTGCCCCAGTTTTGGAACAAAGCAATCTGCTTTTCATACACCTTGACAGTAGCACCGATTTTTCTGTTTTCAGCAATCTTTTTCAATCCATCTTCAGTACCGTTCAATAAAGCCACACCAATGTGAGCCTGTTTCAAAGCACCAACATCGTTGGTACCATCTCCACACATCAAGGTCTTGTATCCAGCATCTTTTAACGTGTTCAACAAGTATTCCTTTTGAGCAGGTGAAACTCTAGCAAACACCCAGGTGTGCTTGAGCAAATCCAAAATCTGTTCGTGAGAAACCAAGTAGTTTAAAGCATATCCAGTAAGACAAATATCATACTTCTTGAACAAGCTAGTGTCAATCTTGTCGGCAGCCTTCACTGGGATCACAACAGTCTCATCAACGTTTCTCCATACCAAGTTGTGACCTCCAACTTCATGATGCTCTTCAGGAGCATCTAAAATCAAGGTATCTTTGGTAGTGATACGAACTTCTTTAGCAACATGACAAGCAGTTAAAGGATTATCACCAGTAATCATTATACACCGATGGGAAGATTCGTTCAACATCTTGATGGTTTCGATGGCATCGTCCTTTAATGGACAGTGGAAAACAATAAACCCGGCAAAAATTAACTTAGACTCAATGTCTTCTCTAGCAATCTTGGTGGCATTCACAGTAGGAGGTAAATATTTGTAACCCAAGGCCAAGACTCTGGAACCAGCTCTGGTAAAAGACTTGTACGTTTCTTCATATGTGGCAGGCAAATCGACAATCATATTACGCAAAGTCTCTGGAGCACCTTTAACACTAACCAAGTTCTTTCCCTGTAAAGTATTAATGGAAGAAATAGAAGAAGATCTCTTCAAAGCTGAAGAGAATTGGAATCTTCTTAAGATCTTAATCTTTTCCATCTTTCCATTACCTCTACTTCTTTCAACCGAATCCTTATCACCAACAGACCATTTAGCTGCTTTCAAAGTAGCTTGTTCCATAGAATCGCCGACCACTTCACCATCATCCAATTTCACCAAAGCGTGAGCAGATCCCAACACCCAGGAAGTAGTTTCTGGAGCTTCTTCAGCCGAGTACAAGTGGTGGATATCATCTGGATTGAACCCAGCTAACCCTTCAAACACCAAATCTTCAGCGGTCAAAGTACCGGTTTTATCAAAACAACACACGTCAATTCTACCTGCCAAAGGAATTCTGAAAGGTTCAGTACAGTATATGTAGAACTTTTGCAAGGCAGATAACGAACTGTTAACGGCCATGGTCAATTCCATGGGCAATTCTGGTGGAACCACAGAGGTGATGACAATGATACAATCCAAAATCAACTTACTCTGGATTCTTCCCATTCTTGTACCTTCAACCCAAACGTACCACGAGGCAGCCACGGCGAACACCAATAAGAACAAAATGAAGAAGAAAGATTCCTTGTTGCCCACATCGACTCTTTCACTCGAGTACACCATGGTACGCACCAAGGACCCTTGAGAGGTCTCGAACCCAGTCTTGATGACATAGGCCAAAGAACCATTATCAGGAGCCAAAGGAACAATTGGGTCTTCAGGTTGAGTAACTTGCAATGCCATAGTACCACCGTGCAATAACGAATTCTTATCAAACCCTTCAGGCTCAATGGATTGTTCACCGGGTCTCAACTTGATAGACTCTTTCAACAAAGGAGTGGATTCACCCGACAACATGGCCTCATTAACAATGGCAGAACCGTCCACCAATAACAAGTCACAGGGCAAAGCACTATCTTCACTGGTTCTAGTTAAAGAAACCAAGTCGCCTGGTAATAAGCCATCAGTTTGCAACTTTACCCATTTGCCATCACGATGAACATAAATTGGGTATGGTTTGATACCCATACTCTGGAATTCTGCCATGGTGGTTCTTCTTTGGAACACAGTGGTCATCTCGAAGGAGACCAACATAAATAACGAAAACAATGAGTAGTACCATTGTTCATCCATACACCATAACGCCACGCAGAACACCTGGAAAACAAAAAATGGAGCAACAGCATGTTCTTGGAATAATTCCAAAAACGTTGGTAACGGAATGTCGAATCGGTTGGCACCATAGTTTCTGGCCAACTTTTCCAAGTCGCCTTTTAACCCGGTAGAACTTTGAAACACACTTAACTTGGGCAACTGGTCCACCAAATATTGAGGGGGACTGAACTTACCAGTTTCAGAGTGTAACAAATGGCGTCTCTTTTGGTAGGCAAAGCTGATCTGGGTTTCGCCATCAGGGAACTTTTCTCTAGAGATCAAACAGATTTCACCCGTACCTGAATTAGGGGCAGGATCCACCTTAATATATTTTGCCTCGTCAATGGTGTTCACCTTCGAATAGTTGAACTTGGTGTTGATGTCGATGTTCCAAAAGGGCATCAACCAGAACAACATGTTGAAGGAGCCGAGGGCCATAAGGTAGACAAACGTCCATTCCTGGCCCTTGATGTATACATCATACTGGAAGAAATATACCTGGAGGAAAATTGGGTAGATAATGGCAAAAGGCCACACGTAGGGCCGGGCGAGGAATGCCTTGGGAACCAACAACTCGGTGCCCACGACGGCCGCATTATCAACAAAGTTTGTCTGCGACATGATGGCAACAACACAGAGAGTTTTGTGGGGGCTTGTCACTTAGATATCAGCAACTGTAACTTGTGATTGAGTTATAGATAGTGAAAATTTGATATGTTGAGTGTCGAGTCCAATTCGCGAAAACCATCTAAGAAGGTTCTAATCGGGCAATGTATAAGCCAAGCCATGGGGTTATTATGTGTGCACGGGTAATACAAATTACCACCATATTACCAGGTCCAATTCATCGACAGTTAGAGTTCCAGGAGGTAACCCGCATGCCGGTTTCGGCGGTCTTTGGGTTTGTGTCATTAGTCATTTTAGCCATCTCCCGCATTTGGTCCTGCGCGGAGTTGCAACCGCTATCTTTTCCAGACTGTGGCTCCCATGATCACGAATATAAATGAACACAATTTATTTGTCATTCGACTTTCTTTAACCATGTCGTTCAACGAGATCCCCAGCCTTGATCTCAGCCTAGCGCTCGACCCCAGCACTAAGCCTCAATTTCTTCAACAGCTTAGATATGCCTTAATAGATGTCGGATTCCTTCTACTCAAAAACTACGAATCGGTGGGTCCGTCGCCCGATGACTTCCAGTCGATCAAACACCAGACAGAAGCCTTCTTCCGACTTCCGCAGTCCGTGAAAGACGGATGCTCCATGCTCAACAGCCGTCATTTTTTGGGATACAACAAGCTCGCCAACGAAATCACCAGTAAGCACACCGACTGGCGGGAACAGGTGGACTTGGCCAACGAGTTGCCGGCCCCCGGTGCGGACGAACCCATATACCGCAACATTGAGGGCCCTAATGAGTGGCCCGATGCTCTGCACATTCCGGAGTTTAAGCCGGTGGTTTTGAACTATATCTCCAACATGAACAGACTCGCAACTGTTTTCCGAAAATTGGTATGTGAGGCGCTCGAAGTGCCTGCCGACTCAATGGACGGGTACTTTAAGCCCAACCAGCAGACCAAAATGAAGATTGTGGCCTATCCTGATGTGTCGCAGTTGAAACAAGAACTGTCCAAATCCAACGTGTTGGACGATGACTTCTCTACCGGCCAGGGATGTGGCCCTCACCGGGACTCGGATCTCCTCACGTATATTTTCCAGGTGACCAACCACCAAAATTCTCTCCAAGTGCAGAACTTCCAGGGAAAGTGGATCACGGTACCGTTTATTCCCAACACTCTTGTGGTAAATGTGGGGCAAACCTTGGAAGCCATCACCCAGGGAGTGTGTAAGGCCACCATTCACCGGGTGGTGATCCCGGAACCGGGCACCGGCACCAGGATCTCGGTGCCTTTCTTTCAGACCATCGACTTGGACTCTAAGAAGCTGATGTTGGATAACATTCCTGCCAGGGTGTTGCAACTTAAGGAAGAAAGAGATGCCAAAATAAAGGATTGGGCCGTTGACACCGGGTTCCAGTTCACGCCCGAAATCGACAAGTACCCGGTGGGACATTATGTGTTTAGGAATAGAATCAAATCTCATCAGGATGTGGCTGCAAAATGGTATCCTGATATTTTGCAGGATGTTCTTAGTTCGTATTGAACAGTAAAAGGTAATATATATATGGTATGGTATTTATGGGGGTTTAGCCCACATAGTTGGGTTCTGGTGTTTACAACTATAGCGTTCTCTCCTGTTGTGCTCCGCTTGCGTCCCCCCGGAGATACACCCGCGATGCGAAAAATCCCAGTCGATACTCTGCTAATGCCTCACGAGAGAAAGGACCACCTCCAACAAGGAGCCGACGTCTCACCTTACAAGTCGCTTGTGGCGGGATCTATCTCGGGTGCGGTTGCACGGTACGTTGAACTGCCATTGGCTGTTGACCTTTCACTTTTGGTAATATACTAACCCCCTCAGGGCCATCACCGCTCCGTTGGATACGGTGAAAATACGTTTACAGCTCCAGACAGCCCCCCTAAAAGACTATTTGGGGGTCTCCCACACCTTCAAAAACATCGTCCGCAATGAAGGCGTCATTGGTCTTTGGAAAGGAAACGTCCCGGCAGAAATCATGTACATTTTGTATGGAGCCACGCAGTTTACTTCCTACTCCATTCTTAATAAAGCACTTACACAAGCCCAGGATAACGTTCCCATCTTAAGGTTCAGCCGTCCCACACACTCGCTTATAGTGGGCGCCGGTGCGGGCGTTTCCAGCACTCTCATCACATATCCCTTTGACCTACTTCGAACCAGGTTAGCTGCAAACAGCCTGAAAGAGCTCCTTTCAATGGCAAGAAGCATCCGACAAATCGGCCGCCATGACGGCTTCCTGGGATTCTTTCTCGGCATACGACCGGCGTTGTTGTCGGTGGCCTCCAATACCGGACTCATGTTCTGGACCTATGAACTCGCACGGCAGTACTCCAAAACCTACAATACAATTCCGTTTATTGAAGGCATTTGTGGGTTTTTCGCCGGTGCTGCTGCCAAAAGCATCACCTTCCCCCTCGATACCATCCGTAAACGCATGCAGATGAAGCGGTTTAGTGTGGGTGCCAATACTATTAGTCTGATCAGAGATATTTTGTTGAGAGAAGGCATATTCGGACTCTACAAAGGTTTTGGCATAAGCATCTTTAAAACAGCACCCACAAGTGCCCTATCCATATATGTATATGAGTATTCACTCAGTGTTTTGCACTAGAACTTGAATAAATAGTCGTCGTCGTCATCTTCTCCGTTGTGCTCATTATGCTCATCATGCTCATCGCTCTCATCACTGAAACTACCGTCTACATTCACAAAGTCCACCTCATCCTCATCCTCGTCGTTGTCTTCGTAGTACCGCGTCAACAGGTTGGGCAGAACGTACTCCTTATCGTCATCTGACTCCGTGTGGTTGGAGGTGTTGTAGTCAGAGGTTCCGGTGCGAGTATCTGATTTTAAGCTGGAGGAATCTTTATTGTGGACGTAAAGCGACTCGGAGTTGGAAAGAAGGTTCTGGAGTCGAGACTGCTTTTTGTTCAACTGCTTTTTGTTTCCCCCCACAAGCAGAAGCTGGTCTTTAATATAGGTTGGTAGATTTTCCCCCACAAGAGACGCTCTTCGGTTTCGTTTATCCACCGCCGACAACGTGACTTCCGTGTTTGTGGTATTGCTTACCGGTTCCTTGGCCACTCTGCGCTTGGGAATTATCAGCGTCAAGTTGAATTTCCTGGGGTCGTTTACCTTTTGTGGCGGAGGGTTATCTTGCAACTTGCCTATTTCGGCCTTGGTTAGCACATTCACAGTCGAAGTACTTGTTAGGGCCGGCTTACTCAAGCTATTGGTACGTGTATGGATGATAAACGGGTTTGTGGTGGATTGGGGCCTTGTTTGCATCAAGTCCAACGACATTCTTCTCTGGGTTTTTGACAATTTGGGCATTTCGATTTTCTGTTTGAATGGCTCTTGTGTTAATGGAATGGGTGGAGGGCGTGGTGGAGGCTCTTGTGCCACTATGGGAGCAGCCGATGCCGCTTTGGTGGAGGAGGTTTTGGTATTTTTTATAGGTGGTTTGGTTAGGTCCTGGTACGGCAGAAGATTAAAAGAAAGGATGATGTTATCGACCTCGTTCATCAACTTCATCTTGTTGGATTCCCAGTTAAACTCATCCCGTGAGTAGACTGACTTGTTACTGATCAACTCGGCCATGTTGTTCTTGATGCTGGGAATGTCACTGGAAATGTACTTGCTTAGAAACTGTAGCTGAAGGTTATAAAGATACTCGTTGTCAACGTTCAATTGGCCGAACTCCACGAGGTACGTTTCAAGTTTATCCCATTGCTTGTCGTTCCATTGCTGGTGGTGTTAGTATAAGCCGGGTCGAATGGGTGGGTGGGTTACACATACTTTATTGTACTTTGCCTCGTGAGCCATTGGTGAGGAAAGTCGCGGCTGATTGTGGAGACGGTGAGATAAAATATACTCGAGCACCAGACGGTCTCTTTGTGATTCTTATCAGTCATCTCATTCTGCTGTTTGTTTTTATGTCAGTCATGTAATTCTGCTATTTTTGGTCTATGTCAGTCATGCCATTGTGCTATTTACATCTATTTACACGTCAAAATATCCACCACTTACTCTTCTTCTTCTCCACCACCGCACTATCTTCTCTCAACTTGGCTTCTTCTCTTTGCTGCTGGATTCTCTGGGCCTCCAAAACATGTCTTTCAGCCGGTCTATTCAATGCCATGCTCCCTTCCTTGGTTCGTCTGATGTCCTCAGGAATATAATCAGTATCCCTCACCTTCTTCACAACAATATTACTGCCCTTAGGATAGTACAAATCATTATACTCTTCATCCGTGAGTCTCAACATGGTCTCCTTCAACCGTAACCGTGCTCGGTAGAAGTCCAGAGTGACATTCTCATAGCCATCGTTCCACCTATAAAAAAAGAGCCCATATATCACTAGGGTTGAGGTAAGAAATGTCCCAAACCATTTACTACCTATGTTCAACCGATTATACGTATCAATCTTTCGTAACACCTTGTATTGGCCTGGATAAACTTCGCTTAGTGGCCGGGGCGTATAGTTGAGCTTTTTCATGGTTTGGTTGACTTTCTTATACTGGGTGGCCTCTTTGGGAATCGAGGAGAATCCAGATGGCGCATTTCCCGGAATACTGAACTCAGAAGGATACCCTTCTGGAGGGCGCACATCTGTGGGATCATATGGGTTGTATGGAGCCTTGGGCTGGGTCCAACCTTTGGGGTTTGGTCTTCTTTGCGGTTCGGAATCCGTATGGTTTGTCATATTGGTGGGAATAAATTTCTCATCTCCAAAAGGTGCGACTGCGCATCAATTAATTCAGGCAAATATATCACTATAATGAAGGTGTTGGATGATATTCTTTCCTTCTTCGCATTGGAGACGTTGGACACGCGTCTTTTCCCTCCACTGGACTTGGTGAAGCGGGAATCGATCAAAAAAAAGGTCAATCCCAAATCTCGGTGGGGAACTCTTGAATTTAAAATTTACTTATTGGTGTTTGCTGTATTTGTGCCATTGTTGTATAAGACGGCCATGGATGCCTCGAATGAAACCAACCCCAATTATCCCCGGTACGAGCGGCTATTGAGCCCTGGATGGATGTTTGGAAGGAAAGTCGACAATTCTGACCTGCAATATCGGTTTTTCAGAGATAACTTCCCGCTACTTGTGGGGTTGATTGTGATACATGTCACATTGAGACGGGTGGTGAGCCCCTTGTTGGGTTTGACGAAGCGCACGCAGTTTGACTTTGGCTTTGGCTTGGTGTTCTTGTTTGGAGCTCACGGGTTCAATGTATTCAAGGTGTTCATTCATCTTGGTATCAATTATGCTATTGGTAAGTATATCAAATCGCACAAAGTTGCATACTACGCGACGTGGATCTACGGGATCCTGTCGTTGTTCCTCAATGATCGGTATCGGAGCTTCAAGTTTGGTGTGAACTTTGTGGACTATGGGTTCAAGGGAATCATCGAGAGATGGGATGTATTTTACAATTTTACGTTGTTGAGAATGCTTTCGTTCAACTTGGATTACTTGGAGAGGAAACAGGCGTTGTACGACTCAAAGAAGGAGATCAAGGAAGATAAACTAGTAGGTCTTGATGACAGACAACGCTTGAGTGCTCCTTTTGATATCGGAGAATACAGCTTGTTCAACTACGTTGCTTACTTGACATACACTCCCTTGTTTATTGCTGGCCCAATATTGACGTTCAACGATTATTTGTACCAATCGAACTACGAGACTCTTGCGTCTGTTAAGAATCACAAACGGACGTTTGTGTATGGAGTTCGGTTTTTATTCTGTGTGCTTGTGATGGAATTCTTGTTACACTTCATCTACGTTGTGGCAGTTTCCAAGGCTAAGGCGTGGACTGGCGATACTCCGTTCCAAATTTCCATGATTGGGTTATTCAACTTGAACATTATCTGGCTCAAGTTGTTGATTCCTTGGAGGATGTTTAGGCTTTGGGCGTTGATCGATGGGATTGATCCACCAGAGAATATGATCAGGTGTATGGACAACAACTACTCGGCATTGGCATTCTGGAGGGCTTGGCACCGGTCGTTCAACAGGTTTATCGTCAGGTATATCTACGTTCCTATGGGAGGTGGAGGACAGAACCGGATCCTTAACAGCTTACTTGTGTTCAGCTTCGTGGCCATTTGGCACGACATCGAGTTGAAGTTATTGTTATGGGGATGGCTCGTAGTATTATTTTTATTACCTGAAATCACTGCCACCTTATACTTCCAGAAGTACCTGGGAAAATGGTGGTTCAGATACTTGTGTAGTGTGGGTGCGGTTTTAAACATCTGGATGATGATGATAGCTAACTTGTTTGGGTTCTGCTTGGGAAAGGACGGTACCACTTTGTTATTGAGAGAGATCTTTGAGACTTTTGACGGTATCAAGTTTTTTGTGGTGTCCCTGGCCGTGCTTTTTGCAGCCACGCAGGTGATGTTTGAGATGAGAAATAGTGAGAGGCGGAAGGGCATCGATGTGAGGTGCTAAGCATTTGGATACAAGGAAACCGGGTTGACAGAAGAAATGTCTGACACGAGATGAGATAACTAAAAGGAAGATGGTGAGGTGAGATAACTAAAGACATCAACAAGATGGTGAACATAACAGTACCTATCAAAATAATTCATGAGAGTTCTGACCCATACACCCACCCACACGATATGTTTGCAGTAAATATACGTTTATGAATCAACACCAACCTGAATTCCCCACACTCTTATCATCACCAAGTACTTCGGGCGTAGTTCCCCCATTACTTGATATCTCCAAAGTCGCACCAAAATCTTCAATGGCTCCACCCACTCCCGTGTACGACAGGTTTGACATCCTCACCCGATACGGCGAGAAACTTGATAACCCTGACAAGTACCAGTGCCTGTTGAAGTCGCTAGTTCAAAGTGAATGTACCTTCAAACTCTCTAACCCCGGCCTACCCCCCGAAGTCATATGCCTCCCGTTCAAAAGGTTGTTCCAGCGGTGTTTAGTTCCGACAACCATAGTCCAGGATGGTAAAAGAATCAAGGCTGATAAATGGGTCAACATTGAAGTGACTCATGAGCACACAAATCGAGGCCTTTTCCATGATCCGAAGTACGACTCGAACGTCAAGAAATTTTTGCAAGCGGAAAAGGACTTGAGCCGAATGCTACAAGATGAATAAACGAAAGCAAACAAACCAGCAGACTGCTACACGGTGATATACAAGCAATCAACACAAATACCCTGTGGCAATGTAAATAGATGTCATGTATATTAATATGAAAGTATACCAACTCAAAGGATACGAATAAATTACTTGAATGTACTACCTTCAGTCATATGTGGAACCTTCGGGTGGCTGGTGCAACTTCTTGTGGGCAGGCGACGCCATGCTTCTTCTTAACTCCAACAATACGGTTTCCATGGAATAGCTTCTTTTCCAGTTCTGCAATGTATCGAATTTATCTGGGTTTACATACCCGTTGCTATCGACGCACGGCAAGTTGATCTTTGAAACAAATTGCACCTGGGGTGGTTTGTCTGGGTACTTGTCGTCGCAGATGATTGTCAACGAGTATATCCTGTTCTCATGGGTGGAATGTGGGGGGCCCAATATGGTACCGTTCCAGTGGGTCATGGTAATGTCATCTTGATTACTCAACCCATATGAAATCGACTCGGCACTCAACCCCTTTTCGCCCTTCTCCAACTCTTCTAAAAGCTTAAAGTTTCTTGGACTATAGTGTGTGCGTTAGTATAAACACAATTTACTGCCTTTAAGGGTAATACGTACATTTTAGACATAGCTCACCTGTCGTTACTCCTGCTAGAATTCCTGATTATAATATTTATCGATCGTTTTGCGCGACCTCAAATAAATAAATAGCGCTTGATGTCTGAGTTGAGCTCTTCTCCTCTAAGAGATGTGGTTTTACATGCTCCCGGTGGCAACGATGACGAGAACACGGTTGTAAACCTTCGACAGGTGATCTATAACCTTCGACATCAAATATCCAACTTGAAAACCGAAAATAAGCTTTTGCAGCAGAGTAACAAGTCGCTCACTTCAAAGTACGAGGGAATCGTCACAGAAAAGAACGATAGAATCCACAAACTCGAAGACGATTTCGAATACTTGTATTCGGAACGAGAGTCTTTGAAGTCTCTATCCTCAAACACGCAACAGGTCAATGACACCAAGGTTCAGGAGTTGCAGCAGAAGAATAAAGAGCTTATAAAAGACAGGAACAAATTGCAAGAACAGCTTGATGAGGTCGACGAAAGTGTCTTCAAGTTAAATCTGAAGTATCAAAAGACCAAGTCTGATCTTGAGTACACGGTTGAGCTTAACGAGCAGTTTGAGGATAGGCTTGCTTGTTTAGAGAATGATAACAATCAATTGCTTAAGTATAACGATGAATTGATCAAAAAGCTCGAAGAGTTTTCCAAGAACGCTAAGTCTAACGACATGCTGAAGTTCAACGAAAGCTTACACTTGAAGACCATCAGTCTTCAGAGAACCAATAACCAGTTACAATTGAAGTTGGACCGTTTGCTTCAAAACAAAACATCCAATGAGTTGTTACGACAGAAGAACCTAGGTTTGATGAACAAGCTACGTGACTACAACCAGTTGGAAGAAAAATACTCGAAGCTCGAGATCCAAAAAATAGGATTGGAGAACAAGTATGCTGGATTTGTCAAGTTATTGAACAGCTCAGATCAAGACGATGCCTCTTTCACTGAATTTGTCGACTCCTACAACCACTTGAAAAACACTAACTTGATCTTGGAAGAAAAATTAAGTTCTTTGAAGAATGAATTGAATGGGTGCAAGACGAACCTCATGGAGATTGAGTATCAAATAAGCAGCGAATGGCAGCCTAATATTGACAAGTTGAGAGATGAAAATCAGGCTAAAGATGAGGTGATATCCAAATTAGAGACCCAAATCAAACTCAATTCACAGGAAGTTGAGTTCTTGAGATCTCTGTTGACCAAGATGGAAAAAATCAATTTGCAGAATCAAAAGGAAGCTGTCCAGAAATCAACTGATGAGTATTTGACAAATTTGGAGAAGTTGGTTGATGATTATAAAACGGAGATTTCTGGTCTTCAACAAAAAGTCAAATCTCAGAAAGAAATCACATTTGATATCGGCAATAAGAGGCCCAAAATTGATGACGTTTATAGGAGAAGATCAGAGATTGAACTCTCGACCATCCAAAACGAGAATACCAAGCTCAAAACTCAAATCAAAGATTTCGCCAACCAAATTGAGGTCTTAAATACTCAAAATGCCAATCTTACGGTAATCGATTCGAAGGTAAAGCAACTCCATATTTTGCAATTGAAGTCAAACCCGTTCAATAAAGATCAGATCGTCAAGCAGTCTACTCTTGATGCCTTGAAGAAAGAAAACCAAGATCTTATAGATAAGTTCGTTTCAGGTAGCGAAGAGATAACCTCAATTCCAAGGTCTGTTTTTGAAAGACAGGAACTTGACTACTCCCAATTGGAGGCCAAATTTGAGGATTTGTTGAAAAGGAATCAACGTTTGAAACAAAGCTTCACCAAGAAGGCTAGAGATATCTTAACCAACATTTCCAAATTTTTTGGATTCACGATCGAGTTCCTCGAATCCTCAGTCAACTCAAATGATGTGGGGAGTAAAATCAAATTGACAAGCAAGTACACCAATACTCCAGACCTCAATAACTCATATATTATTCTCGATTTATCCAAGAAAAGCTTGAAGGCATACGGGAATCAAGAATTCAAGAATTTTTGTCGGGAATTACTTGAAGAGTGGGCCAATGATAAGGACCAAGTCGCATGTATATTAAGTGCTTTGAACATAAAACTCTATCAAAAATATGTTCTTAATGCCTGAAACTTCGTTCTACAAAGAAACAGTAAATAACTAATGCACATTATATTTTCGTATCACCCTTGAGTTGCAGAGATACAAGCTCTAAGATCTCTATTGGTTCCTTATTGAAGCTTTCAACTGCTTTTGCAACTTTGTTCCACACATAGCCTCTATTAATGGATTCACCACCTTTGGCGAACTGCTTTTGAAACTGTTGCACTTCGTCTGGAGATCCATTTTGTTTGTGAAAATTGTATAACCAGCCCCAGATATCACCATTTTGTGGATCGCTGTCCAAGGCTCTGTCGAACCAGGACTTCGCTTTCTTTAGCTTACCATCCACCCAAAAGAAAATACCGATATTTAATAAGATTATTGGAGAGTTATCAGTGGACTTTAAAGCGTCAAGAAATGCATTTTTCCTTTGGGACATTTTGGGGATTAATGTCAAGTACTCAATCCAAACACGGGGAGAAGAGTTGAAGCTTCTTAATGCTTTGTTACATAGCTGACGAGCAGCTATCAAGTCTTTGTTGCGTCTTTCCAAGCCGATCTTTTCGAGCCAAAGTCTATCATCATTAGGGTTCTGTGTGATCGCAGAGTCTAATATTGATCTTGCCCTGATAATAACATTCAACTTCTCCTCATAGACCTTCGCCAACAGAATCCAGACATCGACATACTCGGGATGTTTGTTGGTAGCCACAAGAAACGCTTCTTTTGCCTGTTCCACCAAATTCAAATCCTCAAGAAGAATTTGGCCGTTTTGTAAATGAAGTTTTTCCTCTTCAGGAAACCACTCGAGGGCCTCATCAACAAGCTTCAATATATAAGTTTGATAATCGGTAATTTCCATGACCTTGTTGATGTATCTTTGGAGATGAATATGCTTATACCATACTCTGGCTGAAGCCTTGGGGATAGTTTGAATCATTGTCTTGGAAATTTTGTTGGCAGTTTCCAAATTGCCAGTTTTGATTTCAAACTTGATTTTAGCGTGCCAGATATCTTCTTTAGTATCCAAACGCTTGAGAGCCTCATCTAAGATGTCTCGAGCACCTGTGATGTCATCACCAAGCTTCCATTTGTCTTTTGCATACATCAAGGGGAATACTTCTTCTTCGTTATTGAACAGAATGGCTCTTTCATAGAACTTGTAGATTCCTTCCACCTTAAAGCTCTCAACCGATTTGTATGCTTCAAAAAACCTTATCCAACACTCTATATCGTTTGGATACTGGGTTGTAATATACTCATAAATATAGTTCCCTGTCTCATGAAATCCGTCCGTGCTGTACTTGCGAGCTTCCGTGAAGTAAATGTTCAACTTATCTGGTTCATCTGCAGATATGCCAAAGCTGATGGTGCTGAAAACTATGGCTTTGCACGTCAACAAAAAGCCTTCTTTCTCTGCCCTTGCAGCCTCATCGAGCCACTGGCTTCTCGTCAACTTCTGATGTTCTTCGGTATGTTCGTTCAGGGTCTTGATACCTTTCTCTAGCATTTTCATGATCTTAACATCCGAAATCGACATACTTTCACGTTCCTCCAACTTTGCGGCCGTAATCCACACCTGATGGTTATTTTTCATGGCCTTTCTTGCTCTGTTGATGAGGTTCTTGGCTTCTTCGTAGGGTGATAAATTTATAAAGGATAACCAGAAATTCCACTCGCTTGGGCAAAGCTCCACTACCTTTGAAAGCATTTTTTTCACATCGGCCTCGTCCTCCTGTAATTCTATCATCTTTTCCCAGAGCTTGACACTACCAGGGATGAACTCTATACCCTTCATGAGCACACGACGCTGTGACACCAAATCAGCTGAGTTCTCACATTCGCAGGCTTTCAACCACAACTTCTCAGAACCGCTGTTGTACTTCAATGCTTCAGTCACAATCACCTTTGAAACCTTGATACCATCAGTGGAATTCTGGTGGATCTTAATGCTCTCAAGCCATACGTCTTCGCTATGAGGAGCTCGTTTGCAACCTTCTGCAATAAATCTTTTGGCAGCCGAAAAGTTCTTAGCTTGAACTTCGAGTCTAGCAGAAGCTATCCATGAACTGGAACGGTTTGGCTCCGACTTCCGCAAAGATGATAAGATCGTTCGGTTCTTCTGGATGTCTGCCATCATGAGATCAGTCTCAATTCCATTTTCCAAGTCGTCTTGTGCTTCAGTCTCCAAACGAGTAAACCGGTTCCCATCGCCAGCCCGCTGAGCAGAAATGATATTATCGGGTGTAGCATAGAACCGCTGTCTCAGCTGCTCCAACAACCGCATTCTCTTGTTCCTCTTGGTGAAGTCCAGGGCCTCGGGCAAGTTTGCCCACTCGTCCTGCGATACGTGTGCTAAATGTCTTTTCAAGTCGGTGAACTGCTGCGCTATTTGGTTCTCTTCATCTTGTTGCACCACCTCCAATTGCAGGGTATTTTTGTGGCGCTTCTGGAGCCGTCGCTCGACCTCATCGTACACACGGTCGGCCTCTTCGTCATCCTTGCTCTGGCCGCCTAAGAGCCCCAAACTGTTGTTGTCACCATTGTCATCCTCACTGTCTGAGGGCTCAAATGGACGTACAGACCTGAGTCCGCCCGCATCGGCACTGGTGACAAACCCAGTGGCACCCCGTCCCACCCCCGCCACGTAGCCGGCGGGTGCTTCCTGGTCAAGGAACGCTTTCCTATCCATTGTGTTTGATAGTTGTGTTGGTACTGGTTAACCTGTATATACAAGCGCGCGATCGAGTTGTGCGAAGAGATGAGAGCGAAAAAATTCTGAAGCACCATTAAGATGTCCAAGAGAAGTGCAAGCGACGAGATTGAAGGAGGCAGCCGTTCTGCAGTCAAGACGTCTGAGGCAGCCGTACCCAGTTCTGGTACTGACGGGCGTATTTCCGAGCTCGCAGACGTAAATGATGTAGAGATGGGTGAATTCGAAGACCCATATGGAGATGAGTTTGAGAGTGATGGGGAAATCATTGAAATCGACTCCGATGGTGACGGTGAAGAAGGTGACGGTGAAGGCGCCGACATCGATGCCCAAAGAAAGCTCGAGGAGCTTGAACAGATGGAAGAAGACGAAGGTCAGGCCTCTTCGTCCATCTACCTTCCTCACAAATCCAAACCTTTAGGACCTGATGAGGTGTTGGAAGCAGATCCAAGTGTCTACGAAATGTTGCACAACGTCAACATGCCATGGCCCTGCTTAACAATCGATATCTTACCAGATAACCTTGGTTCCGAGAGAAGAAAGTACCCTGCCAGTGTGTATGTCACCACTGCTACGCAGGCTGCTAGAGCTAAAGATAACGAGTTAATCACCATGAAGCTACTGGGTTTGGCCAAGACGTTGGTCAAAGATGAAGACGACGAAGACGACGAAGCTGATGACGAAGACGATGAGCATGTAGACCCAGTGATGGACAGTGAGACGATTCCTTTGAAATCCACCACCAATCGTGTCAGGGTGTCTCCCCACGCCCATGAGACCGGTGAATACTTGACGGCCTTGATGAGTGAGACAGGAGAAGTTATGATCTACGACTTGAAGTCTCAGTATAAAGCTTTTGATACACCGGGACTCACCGTTCCTAAGGCATCCAAACGTCCTATCCACACCATTAGAAACCATGGAAATGTTGAGGGATACGGTTTGGACTGGTCGCCTTTGATCAATACTGGTGCCCTTTTGACGGGGGATTGTACCGGACGTATTCATGTCACCTCAAGAACCAGTACCAACTGGAGCACTGATAAAACGCCATTTTTTGCATCTGACGCTTCTATTGAAGACCTCCAGTGGTCAACTGGAGAAAACACCGTCTTTGCATCTGCGGGATGCGATGGTTATGTTCGAATTTGGGACACTAGATCCAAGAAACATAAGCCTGCTCTTTCGGTTGCTGCTTCCACCACCGATGTAAATGTTATTTCCTGGAGCAGTAAGTTGAGTTACTTGTTGGCATCGGGCCACGACGATGGGAGTTGGGGAGTGTGGGATTTGAGAAACTTTGGAGCTGAGGCGCCATCTCCAGTGGCCCACTACGACTTCCACAAATCTGCTATCACCTCCATCTCATTCAATCCTTTGGATGAGTCAATTATAGCTGTGTCTTCCGAGGACAACACCGTGACATTGTGGGACTTGGCGGTGGAGGCTGACGACGAGGAGATTGCCACGCAAAGAAAAGAAACCCAGGAGTTGTATGACATTCCTCCTCAATTGTTGTTTGTACATTGGCAAAGAGACGTGAAGGATGTCAGATGGCACAGACAGATCCCAGGGTGCTTAGTGTCGACTGGGGGTGACGGCTTGAACGTGTGGAAGACCATTTCCGTATAAGCAATTCCGTATTGAAGATGAGATAGACCAATGTTGTATAGTAATGAACGATGAGTGAATTAAAGATCTAATTTCAAAATTCGCAACAATTAGAAATAGATTAGAATTACCGAAATGAACTGGAGAAGTTTGCACCTGGTCAGATACAGAAGTTAGGATCCATACGCCCACTGGAGTCCTGATTTAACTCCCTAACACACTTCAACTCAACTCTCACATTTGTGTATGAAAATTTTATGCCTTCTTCTGTCCCCGGCTGCAAAACACCGCGAAGCCAATCGCCAAAGTCAATTTCGTTCACCAATGGCCAAGAAGGACAAGAAATCAAAAGACGCCAAAAAGGCGCTTGCTGCTGAAAAACAGAAGAAGGCCCAGGCTAAGGCAGAGCTGAAGAACAAAAAGATCGCTAAAAAAACCGGCGACGAAGATGATGACCAAGATATCGACCAGATCTTAGAGCAGTATGCCAAAGAACAAGAAGCGTTCCAAGCCATTAAAATCGAAGTCTGCAAAAGACCGACCAAGAGATTGAATCCGGCCATGGTGGCCAACCCCGCGGCTAAGAGAGAGTTATTTCTTTTCGGAGGTGAACACACAGAAAACGGAGTTTCCCATTTCTACAATGACTTATACACCTACACCATCGACAATGATACCTGGAGAAAAATCACGTCCAAAAATGCCCCGTTGCCTAGATCTTCCCACACTATGTGTGCACATCCTTCAGGAATCGTTCTTATGTTTGGAGGAGAATTTTCGTCTCCAAAACAATCAACATTCTATCATTATGGAGACACTTGGATCTTCGATGGAGATGAGAAAGAATGGACCAAAATCGACCAAAAGAGAGGTCCTTCCGCCAGAAGTGGCCATAGACTTGCGTGCTGGAAGAACTACATCATAATGCACGGCGGATTCAGAGATTTGGGGACCAGCACAACCTATTTAGATGATGTTTGGTTATTCGATATAACTGACTATAAATGGACCCAGGTGGAGTTTCCTCCCAACCACATCATTCCAGACGCCAGGTCGGGTCATTCGCTCATTCCATGTGCTGAAGGAGCCATAGTGTATGGTGGTTATTGCAAGGTTAAGGCCAAAAAGGGCACTCAGAAGGGGAAAGTGTTATCAGATATCTGGACGTTGAAGATGAAAGCAGACCCCAAAGCCGTTAGATTCGAAAGAAGGCGGAAGCAAGGCTTCACTCCATCTCCAAGAGTAGGATGTTCACTTGTTTACCACAAAAACAGAGGTATTATGTTCGGTGGTGTGTACGATTATGATGAGAGCGAGGACCAGATCGAGTCTGAGTTCTACAACAATTTATACTCCTACCACATTGAGACAAACAGATGGTATAACTTGTCGTTGAAACCGAAGAAGAAGCAGAAGACTGTTCAGGTGAAGGAAAAGTCCAGAGATGAAGACTTGGAAGATATCTTGAACTCGATTTTGGCAAAGGCTAATTTGAACGACAACGATGAGGTAGATGATGAGGTTTCTCAAATCGAAAAGTTGAGACAACAAGAAGAAGAAGAGGAAGAAGAAGTAAGTTCAGTGGAGTATCCTATAGTAACACAGTTACCCCATGCCCGATTCAACCCTACCACCTGTGTTGTCGACGATACTTACTATATTTTTGGTGGTATTTTCGAGCAAGATGAGCGGGAGTTCTGCTTAGATTCGTTTTATTCCATCGACTTGGGCAAACTTGAAGGTATAAAGGTGTTTTGGGAGGATCTCACCGAGTTGGAACAAGAATATGTTGGCTCTGACGATGAGGATGATGATGAGGACGACGATGACGAAGATGAGGAACTGGAAGACGAAGAAGAAGACGAAGAAGAAACTCCAGAGGAAGAAGAAGAAGAAGAAGTGAGCGAAGAAGAAGAAGAGTTCCCTGACCCTAGACCGTGGTTACCACACCCCAAGCCGTTTGAAAACTTAAGAGGGTTCTACGTCCGTACTGGTGCATCTTTCTTGGAATGGGCCATTTCAAGTCACAGAGAAGCCAGAGGTAAGTACTTGAAGAAAGCAGCGTTTGACTTGTGTGAAGACCGGTTCTGGGAAAGAAGAGATGTGGTGGCAGTGGCAGAAGATAACTTGGAGGACTTGGGAGGAGTTGGTGAAGTTATTGAAAAAGATACCAGCAAGAACACCAAGAGAAGATAGACGATCAATATATATATAATTCTATTATACAGTAAATGAGTGCTTATGCAAAATGGATACCAACCTGATGGAAGGCATACAACAACTTCAAGAAATCCGTCTGGTCCAATTTGGCAGCTCTCTTGTCGGAGTAACCAGTGTTAGTCAACACCTGCTCGATTTTCGTCTTCACCACATCCAACATGGACATTTTGGAATCCACCATCATCACGTCCTCGGGGTTGCTGATAGCCAAGAAAGTCTTGTAGTTCTTCTCCAAAATGTCCAACACGTTGTTTGACTTGAAACCAGCAGCTATTGTTTTGTTCTTTCTGACAAACACTATACGCAACAACCCGTCCCACTCACCAAAATCGATGTTAGGTCTAGGAGACTTGACTTCGATTCTAACTACCGACGACTCGACCTTGGGAGGAGGCCGGAAGTTGTTCTTTCCTACCTTCATGATATGAGTCACATTGGCCCACATTTGCACGTTGGCAGACAATCTACAGTATAGCTCTTCACCGGGTCGGGCCAATAGTCTCATGGCGAATTCTCTTTGAAACATCAATATTGATACTCTGGGGGGTTTGGGCTGGTTCAACAACTTGAATACCAATGGTGATGAGATCTGATAGGGGGTGTTCGAAATACATACATCGAAGTATGGGAGTTCTGTCTTCATGAAATCTCCCAACATGATTTCCAACTTCTTCTGCTGGGGAGTACCATGGACTCTCTTGGTTAATTCAGCCGCCATACGGGGATCCATTTCCACCGCAATAACATTCTTGGCCTGTTCCAATATCCTTACTGTCAAATTACCTGTACCTGGACCAACTTCTAGAACCGTGTCACTGGGTCTGATGGCAGCCTTATCTACTATACCTTGGGCCACAAGGGGATTTTTCAAGATGTGCTGACCCAAATCCGTGTTAAACTTGAACACCGAGTTAAGGTTCTTGCTGGCAGGCACCCGCTTGCCCGTGGGGTCGGCAGCGGTGGAGAACTTCTTTTTAGCAGCCTTAGCCATGGTGATGTAAGATGGGATGAGCAAAAATTTGAGTGCGACTTGATCGCATCGCGGGTGCAGGAGGGTTTTGAAACAAAAACAAATAGTCACTACACACAAAAAGTGAACCACAAACCCCCACAATTGCAACCCCATATCGTGATAGGCCATAGGTACTGCCCAAAATGACAGACGTCCCACTACTATCGGACATCATCATGTCGGCGCCTAGGTTCTCATTCTTTGAAGAGTTGATCCAAATCCCTTCCCCGGAATCAGAACTTCCCAACCACCAGGTCCACACCATCAACAAAATAGTGGATGACATCGGGTTATATTTGAAAGAGCTTCAGAGCATTTTCAGTCAGATCAAAATGTCCCACGTCGAGGCCACCGTGGGACTCGAGTGGTACTATGAAGGGAAAGACCAGATCCACCAGTTAAGCCATAATTTGACCAACATCGACTCAATGCTCACACGGTTGTTGGTGGTGCTTGAAGCGGCAGAAACCTCCAAACACATCGAGTTCAACCATCTTCTCAATAAGTTTGAAGAGTCCACAGACTTGTTATTGGAAGTCAAGAAATCCATGATTGTGATCAAGCGGAAAACCGAGATCTCTATCAACTACAAGGAACTCGAGGAGACTACGATGTGGACGTTGAACAATGAAATTGAGGAATGCTTGAAGATGTTTTTGAAGCTCAAGGATCTCAGGGCGTTGAGTCCCAGTACCCAGCACAAGCTGTTATCTCTACCGGAGATTCTACAACGAATGCAGACGGACGGGTCGCGGGGCTTGCGGTCGGTGTCGCTCCCCACGTCCAGCGAGGTGGACGAGTCCATCAACACAGAGTTTGGCAATCTTGAAAGTCGACTCGAGCCCTTGAAGGTGTCGATAAACTTTCTCCCGTTGAGAATCGAGGAGTTTGAGCGGATGAGCAGCAGCTGGTTTCCAGAGGCCATTGCAACCATTCACCAAAGCCAGACCAAGTTGATGTCGCGATGGTACTATTTTCTAGGTGATTTGCAGCAATTCAAGAAGGAGACCATCGATGCTAAATGGAATACTATATTTGAGTTTCTTATCTCGAGGGCTCTGGAAATCATTGACGGATTGGTTATTGACTTTGAGCAAAAGGCAAATCGAAAGATTTCAAAGAAAATCGGCGAAAACTATAAGCTCTGCTCTTCCACTATCAGTATTGTCAAGGAGTCGGTAGTAGAGAAACTCCTCAACGACCCAGAAATCATTCATAATTTTAACGACCAACTACTTGACAAGTGGAACTTGCTCAACGACATTCTTATGAGGAATCAAAAGTACGACGATGCGGTGAACTTTGCCTCCAGCGAGTTTACCAGATTGAAGTCGTTGCAAATAGCCAGAACCTCTCACTCTCCCGTGAGAGCGGTGTCTGTGACATCGCCCGTGAAGCTCCATCTTCAAGAGAACGACGTGGTTCCAGGCTTGGGCATTGACCTTGGAATCGACGTGGAGAATCTGCATGTTCCGTTTAGTATTAAGAATTCTACCAAGGTCAGGGACTTTCAACAACGCTACACCATACCCAAGTCCACCAAGCCTAATCTTCTACAGGAGTTCAAGCTCTCGAAGAATACTTCCAAAGAGGATGACGAAGAGACTCTCGTGACAAAGACACCAAAGCTTGGAGCCTTGACGGAGCTCATGGAGAGTGTAAAGCTCTCGGAGCATAGACCGTCGCAACATGAGAAGCTCCCTAGTCGTATTCCTCAAATCGTCAAAAACTACACTCAGCTCGGCCTCCCATTTGTTCCTAAGAAAACCCCTGTAGCGTCTAAGATCCCTACCATAGCACCAAGTCATCTGGTGTTTCAATCGCCTACTCGCAGCATATTTCTCAGTCCAGTTCGCAGCCAAGGGTCCCCAGACTACACACTCCTATTGCATTGTCCCATCCATGTTAACAAAAGAAGGGCCAACAACAGGTCGCCGACCCCCAAGCCACGGGGAAACGACACCACCAATCGGCAGGCGTCGAGGTCGTCTCGTACATCCTCCCTAAACTTCAACCTCATGTCACCAAACTTGAACCTTGGTCTCACCCCCAACCTCAGTTTCCCGGACTCTCCCCAGCATTCGCCTGCCTCCGAACTCAACTCGCCGATATCGTACCGGTCGACGTCACCCGACCGTCCCACGTCGTCCCTCGGCCTGCGTTTTGATGACGAGCACCTTCTTCAACCTCTCAAGCACTTCAAACCCGCGTGGAAGTAGAGTGCTCATATCATACCCATCCTGTATTATTAGCTATATTATATACAATTTCACTTCTTGTCCTTGTGCACTGTTTCCTCCTTCTTCATGGTTTTACTGGTAAAACCGTCAAGGAAAAAATCCCTTCCAAATACCTTATACATGATACTATTCTTCTCGACCTGCCATTTTTCCACCTCATCGTAGCGTCTGATTTCTTTGTTGTCGAGAAGTTCTCCCTGACGAACCTTTTTAGTGGACCCACCTTCTAGCCGCCGTACGAGCTCAGACGTGCTCATGAACAATATCGGAAGAGAAAAGAGAATTAGAAAGATTCCATTGTACCGTTTCTTGACTTCTGGGGGAGCTCTTTTCCAGTTGGCTCTTCCTGTCTCAACAAGCTCCTGGATGAATTCCGATTGGGGTTGGTCCGATAACGGCAGTGCCTTAGGCTTGGGCTTCTGAGGTTGTTTGCCCTCTCTGTGGAACGTGGAATTCTGGAACTTGCTCATCAGACTGACACTTGCGAAACACCAAAATTCTATTTCGCACTGTTTACATCTTCTAAAAGTAGAAACTGATTCAAACTAACTCCTAATGTCAGCTATTGAAGAGACCATTGCCCAGTTCTTGGGGAACCACCCACACCCAGAGAATAGCACCTTCACGTACGGTACCGCCGGGTTCCGTATGGATGCGCTGAAATTGGACTACGTGAACTACACAGTAGGAATCTTGGCCAGTTTGAGATCCAAGTACTTAAATGGCCAAACTGTTGGTGTGATGATTACCGCTTCCCACAACCCGCCTCCTGACAACGGAGTCAAGGTCGTGGATCCCCTTGGAAACATGTTGGAGGCTGCGTGGGAGGAGCATGCCACTGTTTTGGCCAATTCACCTCATGATCTGCTCGTACTGAACATTGAAAAGTTGGTTTCAGATTTGAAAATCGATTTGGCGGTGGGTGCTGACGTGGTGATTGGGCGTGACTCGAGGGAATCCAGCGAGAGGTTGGCAGTGGCCACCATCGATGGCCTTAAATCGGTTGGCGGTACGAGTTTCACCGATTTTGGCTTGTTGACGACGCCCCAATTGCACTACTTGGTGAGAACCAAGAATGATCCCAAGTTTGGCACCCATACTGAGGCCGGCTACTACACCAAGATGGCGGACTCATTCAAGGCCAATTTAAAGCTTCTTGGAAAGTCTGAGAGGATTAATTTGACAGTGGACGGGGCCAATGGAATCGGTTCACCCAAAATTGAAGAGCTTGTATCAAAGTACTTGAGTAATGAGATTGCATTGACTTTAGTCAACAGCAGCTACACAACGCCGGCGACGTTGAACTCTGGGTGTGGTGCAGACTTTGTCAAGATCAACCAAAAGCTTCCTGCTGGAGTTCTGCCACATGCAAGCAAAAATGAGTTATTTGCATCCTTTGATGGAGATGCCGACCGGTTGATCTGTTACTATCTCGACGACACAGCTGGGTTCAAGTTGTTGGACGGAGACAAGATTGCCACCGTGATTGCGTTGTTTTTTCAGAAGGTTTTACAGAGTTTGGACTTGGATTTGAAGATCGGGTTGATTCAAACCGCTTATGCCAACGGATCTTCCACCAAGTACGTGGAGGATGTGTTGAAGATTCCTGTGGTATGTGCCAAGACAGGTGTGAAGAACCTACACCACGATGCAGAGAAGTTTGACGTTGGAATATACTTTGAGGCCAATGGTCATGGAACCGTCATTTTCTCCCCAGAAGCCGAAAAGAAGGTGTGGGACTATAAACCAGCAGACAATGCCAAGGAAGTCGTGTCGATCAAGATCTTACAGGAGTTCACCAAGTTGATCAACCAGGCAGTGGGTGATGCCATTAGTGATTTACTTGTTATATTGATGATCTTGAAGTATTTGGAATTTACTCCAAATGACTGGAACAAATCGTACACAGATTTGCCCAACCGGTTGATCAAGGTGATTGTGGCTGATAGAACTGCTTACAAGACGACCAATGCTGAGCGGACGTTAGTGGAACCGGCTGGGGTCCAAGATAAGATCGATGAGTTGGTAGCAAAATTTACCAATAGTAGGTCGTTTGTGAGGGCATCTGGAACGGAGGATGCGGTCAGGGTGTATGCGGAGGCAGCCGATGGAGTCGACGAATTAGTGAATGCTGTCAGGGAGTTGATCAAGTAAGAGAAGTACGAACAATTATTAATTAAGCCACAGAGAAGCCTCTGTCGTAGTTGGTGAGCTAAGACGAATGTCTAAATAGCTAATAAATATTATTCATTGTGATACCGTTGTCGATATAGTTAACACATTGCTTTGTAGATCCAAGGCCTTGTGTGAAGCCTAACTCTTATAGTACATCTTTTTAAAGGCCCCTGGGGACTGGAATTTGCGCAACCCCCATACACCCTTCTTCAACTTCTTTGCCTTAGCTTCCAACGACCTATACCATCCCTCATATATACCAAACTCGGCTCCAACCTTACTCTCATACACCACGGCCAAGCCTTCCTTGATCATCTGGGCACTCACGTCCTTTCTGCCGGTCCATTGCCAAACCTGGGCCCGAGCCACCACCCGTTTATACTGGTCAATGGAGTACGGCGTGATCACCACGTTCCGGCCGTTAACATAGCTTTTGAGCCACTCCAACGCCTCTTCACTCAATGGCTGGGCCGGTTTCCCCCAGTGCAGCCGCTCTGGAGCGTCTATTCCCAGTAATCTGATCATGAGGGTTTCATCCTTCAAGGCCGATCTGGCCGTAGGAACATGGCGAAGCCAGCCCCAGCCAGCAAGAACACCTCCTGGAGTGTGATAGAATCGGAAGTTGTCACCATCACCAACTCTGGTGACTCTTCCATAAAGTTGTATGTGGTTATCGAGAATGTCTGGGGTGAGATCAAGATATGTTCTGATCCGACGCAAGTACCGTTTGTAAAACCGGTAGCCGAAAATCACCGATGTGGTGATGCCGGCCAGAAGAAGAAGCACCTTGGGGTGTAGTATCGTCACGTCGTCCGACATGTACAGTTCTGTGGACGTGATTTTGTGTGTTGACGTGAAGATGAATGCAAAAAGGTGAGAGTGCGGAAATGAGAATCCTGTTCCCAAACTAGATACTTTCTAAATACATGTCATTACCAGACGGTGAATACGAGGTGGACTTGTCAGTGTTGGCGGACAACTGTGGGGATGTCGATTCGTTTGGCATACGCTACGGGGTGGTTCCCAGCTCGTTGGATTCCCTGAAACCCATGAAATTGTATGATGATTCGAAGAATATTATTTTAGAAGCCACCGATACCAATAACGACCAGATGATTTTTGAGGGCATGAGCCAAGTGCACAACAGCAAGAACCCGGCGATGGCCAATTACTACTTGGCATTCGAGAGCGGCGGGTTCCGGCTCTCGAAGTTGAACCGGACGGTTCGGGTGAACAAGAGTAGAAATAGTATCAAATGGGCCAACTTGATAAGGAAGTGGAATAGTCAGTTGGAGTCCAAGAAGATTATAAGTGAGAGTGATTTCGAGGACTTGGAGCTTCTGGGGTTTGAGTTGGAGTTTGACGAGAAGGAGTTGGAGTTTGACGACGGAGAGAGGGTGAATGACAAAGAGGAGACACAAGCGAAGGAAGCTCAAAAGCAACTAGAGGAGAACAAAAAGCAGCAGGAGAAACAAAGACAACATGAGTTACAAGATCAAAAACTTAGACAGGAACAGCAGGACAAGCTTCGCAAACAGAATCAAGAACAGCTAAAACGTGAACACGAACAGAAGCTTAAACAGCGTCGTGAACACGAACAAAAACTCAAACAGCAGCGTGAGAAGACGCAGGTTGTTAATACAAACACATCTTCTGTGTCCAAAGACGACTTTGACGACCTAGAAAACCAGCTACAAGAAGTTCTTGGAGACAGTGAGAGTGACGGAGATGCTGGGTTTGGGTTTTCTGGAGGACCCATCACTGTAATAGATGGTCCCAGGAAGCCCACCACCAAACCCACTGGAGCCACCAAAGCGTCCAAGAAACCCATGAGTTTACGCCTGTTTGTAGGCGATACGGAAGACGTGGAGTTAAGTGTGAGTGAAGAAGAGTAGCTGCTTTTGCCCCGTACACCCACCAAAATCAGGTGAGAATCGAGCTAAATCGAAAATCAAAAATCAACCACTCGCGACATGGATGGCCTAAATCAACGTATACAACGAATTGAATCGCTAGTCGATACCGAAAACCTTCCTCAAAAAATCCATGATGTCAATGAGCGTATACGACGAGCCTTTTCCCAGTTGCCCGAACTCCAGAAACTTTACGACATCCAAAAATCAATCCCTAGCACCCTGGACACCAGCCAGTTTAACATTGAACTTGTACTACAGAACTACGAGAAATACAAGGATTTTGTGGCCAATGCCATTGAAATAAATGCCATCGATATCCTGAAGTTACGAGTAAGGCCTGCTGAGGTGTCAGGAATATTGAACAATCAGGCACAACTTCTTCAACTATGTGACAAGTACATGTACAACTTGGTACGAAGCTTGGTTCTTGTGGAAAAATACGTGCAGTGTGTGGTAGCCCAAAACCGATTCTACACCGACGTTCATGAGACCCTAGCAGAAGTTAACCGGTTTCTTCATCAATACCACCAAACCCATTACTAGTTCAAATATATAGAAATAAATGCGCACCGAATCGCATCGCTTACTAAACAGCCCACAAATGATACGAGTGGCAGCACGGTATTTGAGCAAGGTGCTGCTCACTCAGCCCGTCCCAAAGCTCACTGACACGGTGGTGATAGCAATGTCGTCGGGCGTGGACTCGTCAGTGGCGGCGTCGCTCTACAAACATTATCCGAACGTAAAAGGTATCTACATGGCCAATTGGCACAAGAATGCCAAATGCAATGAACAAGAGTGGAAAACAGTCCAGGAAGTTTGCCAACAGCTACAGATTCCATGTGAGCGTGTTGGCTTCGAGAAAGAGTACTGGCAAAAGGTTTTTAGTCCTATGATAGATAATTACAGCAATGGCCTCACACCCAATCCAGATTTGGACTGCAATAAGCACATAAAGTTTGGTGAACTTGTGCAATATTTGGACACAAAACACCCAACCGACTATTGGCTTGTGACGGGCCATTACGCTCGGGTCATGAACAATACCGATGGTCCGCAGCTACTTCGAGCGGTGTATGGCCAGAAAGATCAGTCATATTACCTTTCTTCGATCAACCCAAAGGTGCTATCCAAACTTTTATTTCCTATTGGTCACATGACGAAACCCCAAGTCCGAGCCATAGCTGCCGACTTAAACCTTGTAAATAAAGACAAGCCAGACTCCATGGGGTTGTGTTTTGTGAGCCAGGATGAAAAGAAGTTTGATAAGTTTCTTGACGAGTACATTGAGCCTCAACCTGGAAACATTATTACTGAGGACGGCAAGGTATGGGGCCAGCACAACGGCTTGTGGTACGGAACCATAGGTCAGCGGGCAAAGATCTCCATGCCACAGGGAGACCCTCGATACCAAGGAACATGGTTTATCAGTGAGAAACGGTACGATACCAACGAATTGGTGATAGTGAAAGGCAACCAGCACCCGGCCTTGTTCAAGAATAAGGTGCGTGTGGGGAGGTTTCAGTGGCTTCAGGAGCCGGTTGCGTATATGGCCCCACGGTTTTCCCTTCAGTATCGGTCGTTGCAGCTGCCGGTGCAGGTGGAAACCTTGGAGATCAAAGGAGATGAAGTTGAGATGAAGTTGGTGGAATTTCAGAGGGCAATGGCTCCGGGGCAAAGCGTGGTGGTATATGATGGAGACCGAGTATTGGGGAGTGGTGTACTCCTTGAGGCGGTGTGTGAGCCGCAGTGGATGCAAAAGGTGCCTGCCGGTGACTACGCGATGGCTGCAAATCTAATCCATTCCTAAATAACTAATGTACATATAAACAAACACCTTTAAAACGCGGTGATCTGAGGGTATAAGTTGCACGATGTGGCCATCTTCTCGTGTAAATACGACAACACTCCCTTGACCATGGTCTTATGTTTTTCCAAGTCAGACACACTCACCTTTTCAAGATCAATGGCCAAAGCATCAACGTCATCCACCTGGGAATCGGCGTCGACTCTCGACGATTTCTGAAAGTTCGAAACCCCTCCAAAGTCGGACGACACCGGGTAGTTGAACTGGTTGTTTCTTGGGTAGTTGTTGGCCATCAGTGGGTAGGAACCAAACGCACCCTGGGCCGATTGAACCAGGGGAGTGTGGAACTGAGGCTGGGCTTGCGCCTGGTACTGAGGCTGGGTATGGCCCGAGCTGTGGTTGTTGTTAATGGTGTTCTGCGGGTAGCTGAACGTCTGGTGGAACAGGTCCATAGATTGGTTGAGGGTGCTGAAATACTTTTCGGCATCGTACAAGCTATTGACTGACGGAGCCTGTGGGGCCGCAAAAGCTTGACCTTCCACATTGTTCAACCGGTGCATCATTTCGGAGTTATAGGTGGGTTCTTTCTTGAAGAAACTGGCCTTGTCAAAGTTGAATTCGCTCAAAATGTTGTTGATGATGCTAACGTTATTGGATTTGCTCTGCTGTTTCAACTGCTTGTTCAACTTCTTTGCCTGGGTGTGATCCTGAGTGTGGGTTTTGGAGTGTTTCTTCAAATCCTGTGGCCGCTTGAACGATTTGGGACACAACTCGCAGTGGAAGGGCTTCAAGGGCACATGCACACGCAAGTGGCTGGTGATGTGGTCTCGTTTGATGGTTTTGGTCAAGCAGTTGTCCCAGTAGCACGTCAACGACAAGTTGTTGGACGACTTTCTTCCGACGTGGTCGTCACACAAATGGTCGTACAAGATTTCGGGAGTGTCGTACACATTGGTGCACTGGTTCCAAAGACACCGGAAGGGACCTTTGAGGTCTTCGGCCTTAATCTTCTTATAGGTTTTCTTGCGCTTGGCAGGGTTGGCAGCGGTTCCAGGATCGGGGCCGGATGGGGGCGAAATGGAGGTGGAGGCGAACGACTGGCTGGGGGAGTCGTGGACTGATACCGACGAATGGGGTGTGAGCGACAAGCTGTCATAGGTCGACACCGATAACGAGTCCTGGCGTGAGGAGTTGGCCGAGTGGCTAGCAGACTCTGGCTCCTGCTTCAAGGTGATGGGAATAGGGAGCGAGTTGTGGATGTTGAGGTTGTTACTGTTTAAGGAGTTTTCCTGGTTGCGGTACTGGTTGGCATTAGCGTTTAAATAGCTAATGGGATGTAAATTGTAGTTCATCTTCGTGTCGTTGAAATCCAAATCTTCCATGTTAAAGTCCAAGGTATTTATGTTATTGAAGCTCATTGTAGATTTTTCTTGTGTATTTTTCTTGTTCTACTGGTTGCTGTAGGAATGTAGCTGCGGATAGAGGGTTTTTGAGGGGCTTTTCTGGGGCGGGAATGGTTGTGACAGGGGGATACTTGAGGGGGGAGGGTGGGTTAATGTGTCTCTGGCGGATGGAGAGGCTTTATGGGGTGGTAACTTGGAATAAGGATGACTTAAGGGAGGTGACCTCCAAGCATTTTGGAGTTTTCTTGGTTTTTTCTTGGAAGCGCGCATGCAGGATGGCAAATTCTGGTAGCCCTGGGGCACTGGGGGCACTGGGGGCGCGGCTTTGGTTGCAAAATGGCCAAGGAACCAAGGGGTTGACACTTGGACTAAAGCATTAATCTATATAATTGTGTCTAATTATATCAGAGCTCCTTTTTGTCAACAGCCACAAGTTGCTGCTGGTTGAACCAGAGGAAGAAGATCCCTATGTCCTTTGCCACCAGAGAATTTTTTAGCAAACATTTGTGCCAATACTTCCATCCAATAATAACTGCAACTATACCAGTAGGAACAGCTATGAATATTGGAAAACCGAATATCAACCAGAGAGTTTTAATGAAGGGCGATTCAATTTGTGCGGCTCTACCCAGGAACTTTTTGATTTCTCTCAATGTATTGATACCTTGGTATAGACTTATCAACCCCAAAATGATTCCGATTGCCAGCGGAATCAAGAAACTGCCCTCACCACGCTCCACAAATATCATCAGCGCCCATCCAACAACCATCATAAGCAAATATAAACCACAGACGACCTTGGCCATTCTCCTCTTGAACACTGAGGCTCTCTGTGCCATTTTGTCTGCTGGTGAGAGTATACCACTCCAAAGCCCATACAGAACAATAAAGTTAAACAATCTTTCACCATCACAGTAATAAGCTTCACGATTATGACAGTCAAAATAAGGAGCTCACGCACAATTCCCTCCTCACTCATTTTATAACGTGCAAAATACAACATATTCACCACAACATTTGGTATGATGATGTAGAAAAGTACATATTTGGAAACAACGGTGCAGTATTCCGAATTCCGTCGGTCCTCCTTCTGCTTGAACAACCTGTACAACAAAGCCACGATACTCAAACTCAACAAAATCTCATAGATACTTACTGGGTACTCAAATTGAAGGCGTTCGACTGTCACCTTGAATTTGGGCCACCCAGAATCATCAGGTGGATCTACACACACCCAGTAAGCTCCAGATTCTCGCACCTTGAAACGAACGGTTGAATGCTCACTTTTAGGGGCCGGCACCAAATACGAGCTGACATAACTACTCTTGTCCATATTTCCTGTGACATCGAATTTACCGTCACGGGCAACACTTCCGAGTGGTGATTCCACAAACTTCTTGGGAGAAGGGATATTTGTAAAATCCAATAGGTCTGGGTACCTGGCAATCAACGTAGGAATTTTGATAACATTATCAATGTTCCAGTTTTGGAAACCCACTTCAATATATTTGGTTGCCGTAGAGTCGGTTTCGACCACAAAACAACATGCTCTTTGATCGACCGAGATGATGATGCCATCCAGGTTGTCGAACAAGCTGGCCGGGACAAGGAATCCATTGTTATTGCCAACGAACAACATGGACAGGAGGATGAATTTATCGCCTTTCATACTATTGGCAACGGCCGTGCACAACAAGGCCAAGAATATAATCACAGACCTTTTCATGATATAAGCGACTTGACGTTCGCAACCAAAGTGATGGTACTGGGTTGGTACGCACACGCCGAATAGATACCAACGGATGAACCCCCAAATGTCTACACATACACACCATATAATTACAAGTGTTGATTATGTACATAAATACTATATAACGCATTACACCTCCTGCTTTGTGTTCTCATTAGCCTTGGCAGCAGCAGCAGCAGCCTCCTTCTGCTTGGCGGCAATCGCTCTCTTCTTCATGGTCTTGCCAAAAATAGGAATCACCACCGAAAAAGACCCCATGCCAATCACTATCCACGCAAAAATAATCCCCACGTTCCTGCCCATCTGACCCTTGTAGGTGTTGAAAAATACCACCTTGGTCAACTCGTAACTGTTGTGGATGGGCATGGCGTACCCAAATCTATAAAACTCCGGGCACAACGCAATAGGTGAGAACGTGGATGAGATGTTGATCAACACCCAGAACAACAACCAGAACCCGGCCACTGGCGGGAACACCATCAACAATATCATGAACGCCACCTCGTTCATGAAGCCCACTGCCATCATCGTAATGAACGAAAACATCCAATACACCAAGAACCCAGCCTTACCAAACGCAACCGTAAAATCCACCTGAAACGCCAAACTCACCAACGAGTAGCCCAAGCTCAAAATGAAATACGACACCAGCGACGACAAAAGTCGGTAAAAGAGATAGTGGTGGTTTTTCATACCGATGGTGGCCATTTCCTGGTGGATTCCACTAAACATATTCACCTGGAAGAACGTCAAAATAATAAGGTAGATCAACCCCACCTGCGATGGAGCCACCAACGTGGGGTTGGTGAAGGGAATATGGTCCAAGTACTCAAACCGGAACGGAGTGGACAACCGGCTCACTTGTTCCATAGTGAACAGCTCCGACGAGTTGAAAAGACCCGCCAACCGGTTCTGCCGCAGCAACCACTGTTTCTCCACGTACTCTATTTGGGGCGTCACGTACGATTGCATGTTGACAAAGTCTCTGCCGGTTTCGTAGATGGACTGGATTGCAGTACTTATGTTGAACGACGGGTTGGAACCTTCAATAAACTTGAGGTAGTCGGCAGTAGCATCTTTGGTGACGTATATGGACGACCAGTATAATTGGTGGTGGATCTGGCGAAAGATTTCCTCTTGCACCGTGTTGTTGTGTTTTGCAGCCTCAGCTCTGAACTCGGTGATGTTTTGGATGCGCCAGTCGCCGCGCGCCATCACCGCTGGCGTGTGGAGAATACTGGTGATGGTATTACCAATGACCGGTTCCACACCACCCACGGCCTCATCTTCGATCACCACCAACATGCGTAAGTTACGTAACCGACCTTCACGGCCGTACGACGCTCCCCAATAAATAGAAAATACTCCCAAGATGCACACAAGCATCACCGCGTAAAGGGTACCAAACTGCTTTATCAAATTGAAGCGGTGCGACTTGAGCCGCGGGTTGAAGAAAGACACTTGCGACTGTACGCGCTGGAGCAAAGTGGGAGTGCGCTTCAACTCCGGGGTGGTTGGAGCTTCGGTTACTTGCGGCACGTATTGGGCCACCGAAGATGCCAGGGAGTTGGAATTGGATTCGGTGGTAGGTTCCTTCATGATGCCGTCATTGACATTATAGCCACTGAGCTCTATAGGATCAATAGAGTCAGCGTCGTGAATTTGACTCATTGTTGTACGGATAAAAATGTAGATGGCAGCAAATATCTGGCTATTTATGCGAGCGGAGTCCACAGCAGTGCTGACAGCCGCGTCACCGGACAAGCCTAAAAACGGCAGTAACCCCGAAGACTGACGGTGGCGGCGGCACCTCGGCACGGGTAGTGCACGCTCAAGTGCAAACTTTAAGCTTCACAGGTTGCCCGATGGGTCACGGCCGCCACGGGCTCCCATCCATTTGTAAGCATTTGCTAACTATCGGCGGTACTACCGGATTGGTTCATGATCATGGAGACTTGTTTACCTAAGGTTTTTGGGGGAAATTATACTATTAGTAATCTCGGATCAAGTATCCGTGTTGATTCTATGACAGCGATAGAGGCAGCAGGCGTGGACGGCTGATAGCTAATACTTGAAAGAATTTCCACCCCAGCCAAAACAGAAATTATGGTGTGCATGTGCATTACTCGTACCCGGTGCTGTTTGGAGGTGACGGGGTTAACCCCGGTCGTACGATGATTCTCGATGCTAAACCCGAGCTCCCCAAGGTTTTGAGATTAACCCCGATCGCAGTTAACCCCATAGGCAAAATCCCGAATAGGCAACCAGCACCCGATAGTCTGGTAGGGCCACGTATAAGTTTTGGTTGCCGTATCGCGGGTGCATCAGTCGCACTCACTAATCATCATGTCTGCTCCACCAAATCAAGGGTCTACCGCCCAAACTGGTTCTCGTACCCAAATAGAAACACATCCACAGTCACAGCAGGAGCAAGCTCCGGTGCCGATTCTCCATTTGCGCAAGCACACCAAAAAGCCCAAGGTTCTGTGGGCTGATGATACGGTGGATAATGAGCACATGAACAAGAAAAAGACAAAGATCTGTTGCATCTTCCACCCGGCAGACCCTAACCATAGTTGTGAAAGCAGCAGTGAGAGTGAGAGTGATGCGAGTGACGACGATGGGGTGGCGGGAGGCGGTGCTGCCGGTGGGCCTAATGCGTATGAAGTTCAGCCCAAGTACCCGCGAGCGAGTGAGTAGTGGCTATTAACATGTGGTTGTCTTGTCATTCAGGATACATTGCAATTATTCAGCAGGGGTGACAGTGCACCGATGTCCAGGTCAGTCCTTCATAGAGTATATAGCTACGATTAATGCAGTTTCTATTAACGAATGCTAGGCCATTGTCTTCATTGAGCAGAATGTACGTATTGTAATTTATTAGTCTGCGGTTCGTAGGTGCTGTACACGAGTTGTTCGTTGTTAATGTGGAGCGCTGCTCGCATCATTGTGATGTGTTTGTGCGTGAGAGTCATGATAGTCCGTCCAGGAAGTTGTGAGTCCATCAAGTCGTGAGTCCATCGAGTCGTGAGTCCATCAAGTCGTGAGTTCATTGGAGACCATGAGAGCCGTAAGTATCAGGTGACTCTTACCCTGGTAGAAACTTGAAGTGTGAGAGCGTGTAATGACAGCTTCAGCACTTACGACATAAGTCGTCCACCACCTATTCCGGATTACTCACCTTCAACTTCCTCGTATAATCAACATCATCTCCCAACGTCTGTGTCGACAAGTTGTTATTTCTAAACAACGGCTCAAGCCGTGGATCGTACACGTGCGACTCAAACTCGGTGATTGGGAACATCTGGATCTCATTGAACTCCACCTGCTGATCTCGTGGAGAGGTCAACTTCTTCTTCGAAAGGTTCCGTGAAAGGCCTCCCACAGTGTCCTTGCCAAGCATGGTGAAGATGGATTTACTGGAACTATTTCGCTTCAACAGCTGCGCCGCCAGCTCCATCGCCGGAGTTTTGGCCAAGGACTCGTCCGAGGAAAATTGGTTTTCCTCGTCCGTGAAGTCGTGCTCGTCGTCGTCGGCAGCGCCGCCCCGTGCGCAACAGCAGCAGTACAACAAGGCGGCGGCCACCGCCAATACCACCACCCCCACCGCCGCGAATGTCCCCGCCACCTTTCCCTTCGAGTCGAAAAAGGAAGACTTATTAGAACCACTGCTAGCACCACCACTAGCATTGGCGCTGGCACTAGCATCGGCGCTAGCACTCGAAGCCGTCGATAACGTTGCAGACGGCTCGTAAGACCTCGTGACAAATTCCGTCTTCACCACCACCGACTGGTTCCCGCTCACGGTAGTTACAGAGTAGATCGTTGTGGGTTCCATGTGCCCCGATGAGCTGTCACCGGTCTCCAGCGACATCACCGCCCCCGTCGTGGACCTGTCCCACGAGCTGCTACTCTCACTGTCTGGTGCACTAGAGCCGGTGCCCGCACTGGAAATCTCACTCGAGGAGACGGAGGATGTGGTACTGGAACTTTTTGACGTAGAACGACTAGTACGAGACGAGCTGGTGCTGGTGCTGGTGCTGCTCGTACTCATGCTGGTGCTGGTGCTCAGGCTCAGGCTCGCACTTGCACTTACGCTGAACAGCCGGCTGGGGCTTTGCACATCCAAATACCCATAATATCCACTTTGTGCACACATCTCATCGGCATAACTAGGGCATTCCTCATCACAATTGGACATGCTGGTGCTGGAATCTGGAAGCCCATTTGCACACCAACAGCTGGTGAGTTGCACTATCGCATAGTTGTAGCCACCATCGGTACAAGTTGTTCGGCACAAACCAATTGACATCCATTCGTTTGTGTAGGGGTTGGAAGAAGCTCCGGAATTCTGGGACGAACACATACCAAGCGTAAGGCCGGTGGTGACAGGTACAAGAAGAAGTACCATCATCGCCGCCGCCTGCCATGCCTTTGGTGTCGTCTTGGTCATCATGGGTACAAGAACAGCACTATGTGGAAAAAATTAATCAGAAGCCGTCTTGCTAATTTCAGTAGTAGACAATGCGGTGCGTTTGAAACAGCTGTGCTTTGTCAGGACTGATTTAAGCTTGGCCCACACACTTCCGCATTGGGCGGGAAATGAAAATTAGGATAAGGGTTGGCCCGGAGAGACTGTGTGCAGGCGAGATGCCACAAACTCTGCAGGCACCCAACTATCACGAACATGGAAGTGGAAGGGTTACCAAGGGCTACCAGGGGTATTAGAACTACTTAATATGAATTATCCGCTGCCTGGATTTCAAGATTTTAGCTCCCACCCACGGTTTCTCTTCGTTCCTCCGTCAGGTGTTTATCTCGTATGCCCGACGCTCGTAACGCCTGCGATACTTTAGCTTGCCATTTTGATCATGAATTAGCTCAAGTCTACATTAGAGCAAACCTTACTGATATGCTGTTGGTATTATGTGTTATGTATATGACCGGTTTGTACCACCAGAGATAGTCCTGATTTGGAAGTCTCTTGGGGGGAACTGGAAGGGGTGGGTGTGAAAGAATGTGAAAAGGGGAAGGGTATAGGAGGTTGAAAGTCAAGGTCGGTAATTATTGCCTAGTATGTGTGGGTCTGGACCCAGACCCAGCGCTTGGGCCCAGCCGGCTGGCGCGGCAGGCCGGTCGGCTCGTGGGGGGCCCCGCACTAGGCGCGCGGCTGGCGGGCCACCACCTCCCGCTCTCTTAACCGCTCCCCAAGGCTGGTCGCAGCCACAAGCTTACTGCGATTAATGGCCTTGATTACTCCCATGTGCCTCCTCCGTAGATACTTCTCAGGCACCACAAATGTGTTTGTGCCATCCAACTGCACCGGTATTTCCCAGTCCTTCGGTTCAATGCGCCGCTTAAAGTACTGCAATTTGGCCATCACCGCATCGAAACTCAGAATGTGCAGCTTCATGCTGCTGATAACATCACCGGTTTTTTCATACAGACTAAGCTGCTGGAAGTCATAGACGAGCTTGTTAGTAGCTTTGTGCATACCATCGATATCGAATTCTATTCGACTCAACAGATCCACCACATACCGTATCACCGCCGGACTATCTCCTTTGTACACCCAGAGAATAGCATTGATCTTGTCTGGCTCAGACAAGTTTTGATTCTGCCGAAGTCCGCGGATCACGTGTTCATTGGTATGGGAATCGTGGCACCGGCCTGCAGCACCACTGGCAATTTCCCCGGCGCTCGTGGCACACTTTGCAGCCATATAGTTGACCTTATTGAATATCTTCAGATCTTCCTGCCACACCTGTTCAGGCATCCGAAGCTCTCTCTCCACAAACTGTACCAACTCTGTAACTCCCAGGCACCCTACCATGTAGTCATCCATTACACTGTACACCATTTCCCGTGGAATTGGCACCTGTTCCATACTCACGCGGTTTAAAAACATCTCCTTGAGGTACACATTGGTAAGAACCTGGTACACTCGGGTCCATGTCACAAGGTTCGCCTGGAGCTTGTAGTGGCCACAAAGTCGGAGATACTTGTTGACCAACTTGAGGGGCTCAGATACAGATCGTATACGTCCGGTGACTCGAACCATCTTGAGAAGGTTGTTTATGGTGTGAATGTCCGGTTCTATTCCATCTTTTTCCATGGCCACAAGCAACAGCCGAGCAAAGAGACTCTGGTTCTTGTTGTACCCATACCACTTGATCATATGGTTGTAAGTGGTAACACTCCGCTTCAGTTTGAACTCATGGTTATCTAGTTTGTGGGTATACAAGAGTATATCATTGACAACGCCATTGAGCTTGGAAGAACCCCTGTAGAGAACTTGGCTGTGTGTAAGAAAGTATATGTACTGCTCAAACTGATCGCTGGACATACTGGCGTCCACCTTGGGTACCTCACCAAAAAAGTATCGAGGAACCTCGAACTTGAATTTCAGTATTTCCCGTTCATACTCCTCCAAAATCTGGAGGGTCGCCGCATCTGTCTTGGGGCCAAGTACTTGGGGGGGAGTGAGTCGTTTCAACAACCCAAGGGTCTGTTCAAGTAATGCCTGGGAGTCTGTGAACTTCTGGTGCATCACCAAGTTACTGGTGCTTCTTTTCAACTGCCACATGTTGACCGCTTTACGAGCGTCAAACGGTCGCTTGTCGCCAAGAAGCTTAAGCCCCGACATCTCTAACGGTGCAAGAAACTCCTTGAACTTGGCCTTCTCGAAATCCTGGAGAAATGGCTTTGCTTGGGTCAAGAGCTCGTTGGTGACCTTCAATCCAGCCATTTGATTCCGGGACTTGGGCACCGTCGGCGTCCCACCACCGACCGTGCCTACATCGGTCCGACGTGACTGACGCTGTTTCAACTGCTCGAGGGTGCGGACCCGCCGTGCCACTCGTACTATGGCCGTTCGTATGTTATCCATGGGTTTATCAAGTGTTTGCAACTTCGCGAACTTGAGCAGCCAGAAAATTTTTCGCTTTGCACAACATTGTTCCTTGTTTCCAACATGTCATCACCACAGAGAGAAGGCTTCACCGCCCCCTCGTCCATATCACACGCTGCCCAAGGGTATGTTGCCTCCAAGTCCTTGGGGGTTAAGTACTACTGTGCCCAGTGTGGGTCCTCATTTTCCTTGAACAAGAGTGATGCCATCAGATGTAAAGACTGTGGGCACAGAGTTATTTATAAGGCCAGAACCAGAAAAATGGTACAATTTGAGGCGAGATGATTACTGGTGCTCCCTACAAGCACCTCCGGTGTAACTTTGCACCTTTCCATGTATAATAGTAATATATATTAGTGTTACAAATATTAGGCAGATATATATTAGTCAACGTTTAACAATGAATCTAGGAGAAGATTTTCTTTAATCTGGACACAAATCCCCTCTTCTTCTTTGGCTCTTCCTTCTTGACTTCCTTCTTAACTTCCTTCTTGACTTCTTTCTTAGCCACGACGGATTTGTCAGACTTTTGGGAGATGTTGGCTTCTTCAGTCAACTTGGCTCTTTCGCTGTCAGTAGGTTGAATTTCTTCAATGGTTACATCGCCGGTTTCCTGGGCCAAGATTTGGGCCTCGATATCCTTGCCCTTACCTTGGGCAATGACGATCTCTTCGTCTTCATCTTTGACGGGTGCGGCATCGATTTCCTTACCATCGGCAAGAGGGTCTAAGGAGTGGTAGGCGGGATCGGCGGAGCTTGTGGCAGCAACTGGCTCAACAGGAGCTTCGACGGCCTCGGTGGCCTTTTCTTCAACAGGAGCTTCAGCAACTGGTTCGACAGTCTTTTCCTCGACGGCAGCGACAACTGGAGCTTCAACGACTGGCTCAGCAACGACTGGCTCAGCAACGACTGGCTCAGCAACGACTGGCTCAGCAACTTCCTCAGCCGCAACCGGTTCTTCGACAACTGGCTCGGCAGCAGGTTCTTCGGCAGCAACTGGCTCAGCAGCAGGTTCTTCGACTTTAACCTCCTTGGCTTCGGGCTCAGGACTCTCTTCACTCTCTTCAGTAGTACCACTGACACCCTCAGAACCAGCAGCACCAGCACCAGCAGCACCAGCAGTTCCTATGACTTTCGCAGCCTTCTTCTTCTTAGCCTTTTGCTTGGTTCTTTTGACCTTCTTCTTTTGCTTCTTCTTTTCTTCAGCACTCAATTCCGGCTCGTTCAACGCCTTGGCATCAACGTCTCTCACAGTCTCAAACACCTTCAACTGCTCGGCGTCTTGAGGAATCACTATACCTGGTTCTCCCAAAGAGGTCTTTTGTTCCTCCTTGGGCATAACAGTAGCCTTAGCTTCCTTCGACACCACGGCAGCGGTCAAACCACCGGCCAATGGCACGGCGGCTCCGGCACTCTTGACCGAAACCAAGTCTTCACCGCTCAAGTAGTTGTTTTCGTTACCACTAGCGTCCTTCTCAGACTTGTCGTGGGATGATACCACCCAATCTCCATCCACAACGTATTTAAACAACACTTTCTCGCTGTCTGCCGGGAAGGGCACTTCCAACAGGAAAGAGCCGTCGGATTGCTTGACTAAATGTAAGGATTTAGACCAGTTATCGAAAGTCCCAGTAAGAATGACTTCCTGAGGTCCTTTAGGCCTAGGGAAAAGTTAGTATTAAAACTAGAGAAACCTATCAGAATTGTGGCGCCCGCCTCTGGGAGCTTGGTAGTACCAGGAGGGCACTTTATGAGCCATTTGTGTGAACTGCCAACCTGTGGCGTAGTTTGCTGGTAGTTTCTAATGTGCTGCAATTGCAATAGTCTCAACCACGTAAAAACATCGCTAGAAGGGCCACCCCAAGTGGCGCGTGCTGCTGCCAATGCCAATATTCTGATCGGGTCATTCATTCATTCACATACCATTTGAACGTAAAAGTAGACATGTTTCAATCTAAGTATCTCAAGGGTGTGAAACTATTTTTCCAACTATCCTTCACTGATCGTCTAATGGGGCGAGGCAGAAAAACGTCGTGCGCGCGCCGAGGACTGCTAGTCATTATTCTATGTTTGGAGAAATTTCCTCATTAGGACGTATCTTAAATTACGAGGCTATACACACTAACCAAAGTAACTAAGTAAAATCGGCAATAAGCAGAGCGCATGTACCCCAGCCACAAACACGAGTGAAAGCCACATCCGGAAATAGTACACCTCGAAAATCTTGGACCTTGTGAATGCAAGCACACAAATTCCAATGAGCTTTGTTATGGTGATTCCGCCTAACACAGACCCTCCAATATTCACAAGCGTGTGGTAGGTTTTGATGGTTCTGGCATCCTTAAAGATACTTTCTGTACCAATGAAATCACCATCAGCGTCATTGAGTGACTCGTCATTCTCATCGATTGTGTCTTCAGCTTTGGTGAATCCCCGTACAATATGAATACAGAACTCGACCGCAAGCCCTACGCAGATAACGAGATTTACCAAACTCACTGCATTCAATGAGACACCCCACACCGCAAGGATACCACCGATATTCACGAGAACCAGCACCACCGTCGCCGCAAGCACCAGTGCACTGCGCACCGATCCAAGTACTACCGTACCCAACACCCATATAAGCAACAATGCTACAGCAAGCAAGGAAAAGGTCAACTTAATGATGTTCTCGTACTGAACAAAGAAGATGTAGAACGGAGAGAACGCAAACATCTCAGCCTCCTCTCCCTGGTATGACTTGACCTCGTCGACAATCCGCAATGAGTTACGGTAGGCGGTGATAAAGTCCAGCTGCGTCCTCAACGGCCCGTGGCTGGTTCTAAAGTACGACGAGACTATCAGGGTTTCGTTCGATGAGACGGCGGTACCGTAGGGAGCTTTCCCGCCTAAGGGACAAGGATCACTGGGCAGTTGAATCCATTCATTGAAGAAGAACATAAACTCATCTCCTTCAGGTAACCCGTCCATATTAATATTATAAGGGGGATCATGGTTCAAATAACATACTTCACAGAGTCTTTCAGGTGCGGTTGGCAGGCAAAACTCTTGGGTGTTCTTTTTAAGGCGACAGCACTGGTCAAGATTTGGGTTCAACCACGTCAAGAAATCATCTAGCCAGTTGGACAATGGATCCACCACCGTCGATAGGTTTCCACGCTGATACTCCTGCTCCAATACGTTTGAAAGCGAGAATTCCTCACAGGTAGAGAACTTCCCACATACCTTCTGTTGGTTCTCGCGCTTAGAAAGGTCAAAGTTCTTCATCACCATGAAAATCGGAGGACCTACGTTTAGATACTTGGCCACCGAGTCAAAGTAATTCACCAAATATGATTCACTTGGAAGTGCTATCTTCTGATCCAATCCAAGCTCAATGTATGGCAAGAGACTCAAAGAAATTCCAAACCAGAAAATAAAAACCGTGAGAATCTTAGGTTTGGCGGTTTTGGAAAGGATCTTAGGAGCGTAATACTTTCTTAACACTTTGCTGAAGTTATACTCAAAGTTTCCCAGGTATTCGTCTTCTTCGATTGCGATTGTAACTTTGATCCAAGGCATGCAGTCCAAACGGCCATCTTCCAACCGTTTCTGGTCCAATGTCAACAACGACACAAAGCATGTCATCTGCAAAAACACATTCACTATAATGGCTCCCGCCGAGTAAAAGGCAAAATTCTTCACGGCAGGCATATCAACGTTGGTAGCCAACAAAAACATTGACACCTGAAGAATAGCACTTATGAAGCACGAAGGCCCTATTCTTCCTAGGGCCTTTGATACTCTGACTTCTAGCTCTGCATCGACAGTTTCGAAATCTTCATTAACAGCCTTCAATTCATGTACTATCAAGAAAATGTTGTCGATTCCAATAGCCAACACCAAGAACGGGATGACTTCAGCAATGATCAAGGTAGACTTCAAGCCAATTAACGAGAAAAATCCCAATGATGAGGTCACCGAAAGTAAGATGATGATTATTCCAGCTAATCCCAACTCAAATCTCGTGTAAAGTAAGCTCTTCAACTTCAACTTTGTAGGAATTTGGCCTCCCAAGGAGACAGACGCATAGAGAAACATCAACAAGTACGAAATCACCACAATCTTGATATCTGTGTTTGTAGACTGATTCAATTCCTGCGTCAAGGATACCTCAGTGCTAAAGGCAATATTGAAGTGGGGATTCTCGTGACTCAATTTTAATAACCAGTCCTTCAAGTAGTTCTCGTACTTTTCAACTTTTTGAGTATACTCAAGGTCCTTCAGGTTCTTATTGAGCAACAACGTCACTGTGAACGCTTTTGAGTCCAACACATCATCTTGGTTGAACAACAAGTTTTTTTTTAACGGTTGTTGGAATGTGGGTAAGCAGTTTACAGGGGAATTTGTACAATCCTGAAGCAGTTTCTGCCAGTTTTTCTCATCCAAATTGAGGATATTACCGCCAAAATACTGGGTGAAAGACTCGATAGCACAGTAGTCTCCCAACGGTTTGAAACAGAAGTCTTCAAGTGATAAAGTCTCGTTCCCATCTTCAAATTCCTGAAGAGCCAACTCATTGTCAAACCACCACTGTACCGTCTTCCAGTCCAATATCGGACCATCATCCTTTCGACTCACAATAATCTGCTCGATTCTATACCATTCTCCAAACGTTTCTTCAAAATATTGGTAGTTTTTGAGCTGAGGCTCGTTGGGGCTCACCCACAAATTCACAGGATCCGTCTCAAACTCCAACCAAATCATTCCCATCAGCAATAAGGCAATGAGGAAAAGTGAGCATAATATCGTGAAACCAGGGAACTTTGCCAGAAAGTACCCCAAGTTCGTGAATCCGGTTTCGATACTCTCAATGAACCTGCTATCGAGTCTCTTAAAGTACTCCACCACTCCACTCTTCTGTGAAACCAAAACTGCCTCCACAGACGTCTGCTCCACCAATTCCACAAACCCAGCAGCCTCGCGGGCCCTCCGAGCACGAGCAATACGCATATGGAATATACCCATTCCCACTACAAACGCAACCATTCCCATAATCAGAGCAAACGTCAAGTACGGCAATCCTGCCACAGAGCGATGGCCGTCCAAACCTTCAAAAGGCTCCAATACGGGACACGCCTCCTCACAGTCCGAGCAGGCGCATTTGTACGTCGAGTCGTTGCAGTCTCTCATTGATGGTGCTCTCAAGGTCATTGGGGAATTCTTCTCGACACCATAAGCAAAATTGATTTGAAACGGCAGGCCTCCAAGTAATGGCTTTTCGTCACCCAAGAACTTCAAGAACTGAGTGTAGTTAGTAGCTCCACCGCCTATTAAGTCCATGGCATACCCGTTGGTGGCACTAAACTTCAAGTTTTTGCACGAGTCAAAAAACCTTTCAGCAGACCCGGGGGCAACGTACTGGGTCAATTCGGTGACTATCTCCTTCTTAGTGTCGGAGGCAACGGCCGTCTTGGAGATGTTTACAAACATCGATTGGTTGGCCGAACAAGTGAATTCACAGAAGAAGTCGTAGAAGTTCTTGCGGCATGCGGGACAAGAACTGATAAGAGGATCAACTTTCTTCAAATTGGCTTGTAAAGCAGTAATTTGTTCTGGGGAGCAGCATACGTGGTCCACAGGAAAGTCTGCTCCACAAATATCTCTTAGTAAATTTTTGGAATCGGTGTCGGGCTCCACTGCTTTGGTGCTAGACGGACATGGTAACTGAGCACCAAAGAAAGACTTTTTACCACAGTTGCCGTACATTGCACAGTATCCTGGTTGGTGTACCTCGTGGGCTATTACTCTGGTAATAACACTCATCCCAAGCACCACAAGCAGAAAATATATTCTTGTCATGAGCATCCTTAGCATTTAGTTGCGGTAAAACCTTAGGTCTACAAAGCGCGCGATCCATCCGATTATTGCAAAACTCGCAAACCTTCATCTACATAACACAATGTTGATAGGGATTTCAGGAACTACAAGCAGCGGCAAGACCGAGATTGCTCGATACCTTACGTTCCAAGGGTTCACACATATTTCCATCATGGACTATATCGCCTCCAAATCCCCTGAAACCTCCTCAAATGACGTGTACACCTCGTCGATGGAAGCGCATCAGTTTCCAACTTTGGATGCTCTTGTAGACCATGTCACCGCCAATTGGCGCACGAACTTTGTGCTCCGTGATATCACCTCGCTACACGTTCTCCATGCCCTCCAGAAGCGCCCATTTTTCCTTCACATCGCCGTGGACGCTCCTATAAAATTACGGTACCAGCGATATAAATCCAAACACAACTCGAAAGTTACACTCGAAGAGTTTGTGGATGCCGGGGACACGGCCCTGTTTGCAGCCGGCAACCCGTTAGCTGAGATCAACGGGCTTGCTGACATCAACATCATCAACACGTCGAGTTCCATCAAAGACCTCTTCATCAAGCTCTCGGAGCTCAATCTATTCGATCAGTCGCGGTTAAGACCAACATGGGACGCGTACTTTATGAGACTCGCCGACTTGGCGGCGTTGCGGTCCAACTGCATGAAGCGTCGCGTAGGGTGTGTACTTGTGCGAGGCAATAGAGTCATTGCCACTGGATATAATGGCACTCCTCGTCACTTGACCAACTGCAACGAAGGAGGGTGCGAGAGATGTAACAAAGGGCAAGGAAGTGGAGCCGGGCTTTCCACGTGCCTTTGCTTGCATGCCGAAGAAAATGCGTTATTGGAGAGTGGTAGAGATAGGATCAATGAGGGAAGTGTCTTGTACTGTAACACCTGTCCGTGCTTAACATGTGCAATCAAGATTGTGCAGAGTGGCATCACCGAGGTTGTGTACGCACAGAGCTACTCGATGGATCTGGCGACGGAACGGGTCATGGGCGAGGCCCGTATCGTGTTGCGGCAGTACGAGCCCCCAAGAGACGGAGTGATTATTTAGGCACCTCCTCCAGTTCATTACCTTCACAGTCCAGCTCACCTTCACAGCCCAGCTCACCTTCACTACCCTGACTACAGACAATAGCAAACGCCATTCTATTAGACTAAATAAATACCACCTCTCAGTGCCGTCTTAAATCTCCTTGTACTGGTATGGACCTGGCTTCTCTTCAGCAGCCACCTCAATTGTCTCCAACACTTCTCCTCCATAACTCAACTCGGCCTTCATCACACTTCCAGGATTAATAGGACCCACTCCCTTTGGTGTTCCCGTCAAAATCAAGTCTCCTTTTTGCAATGTCATAATCGTTGACATATGCGACAAGATCTTGTGGATCGGGAAAAGCATCAAATCAGTTTTATCATGTTGTTTGGTCACTCCGTCCACTGAAAGCGACAAGGTCACATTGTAGGGATCAGGAATTTTGCTCTTGGGAATGAAGTTCGACATGGGCAAAAAGGTGTCGAATCCTTTTCCAATGGACCATGGTAAACCTTTCTTTTTGGCTTCATCCTGAACATTTCTAGCAGTCATGTCGATGGCCACGGCGTAGCCATCAATGGATTCGAGAGCTTCCTCGGCCGAGAAGTCGGGTGACAAGTTCTTCAAGTCTCGGTTCAACGTAAAGGCAAGTTCTACTTCATAGTGAGCGACAGTTCCTCGAGGGATCAAGAGGGCCCCTTCACCAGGCCGTAAAATTGCCGACAGTGGCTTCAAGAAGAAAAACGGCTGTTGAGGTTTAGCATTGTTGAGCTCCAGAATATGGGCCGCATAGTTTCTGCCGATACACAAGATCTTTCTGGCGTTGTCTAAGTATTTAAGTGACATTTGGTACAGTGAACAAAATGCGAACTTCAGTTCTCCAAATCTCCGCGCACTATTCGCATTTTGCAGTCGGTCGTGCGCGGGACAACCCACCTGAACCGTCTAATTATAACCGACACAACCTAGGTGCCACATACGCCAAAACATTTCGTACTTGGCTAGACGATAGATAAAGGCAACTGCAGTACTATTACCAAGCTTCACCTTCAATCCCCTCCCCATCCGCCCGTAATATCGTACGTGCCTATACCGCTTCCTCCCAATAAAATTTTTCCTATGTTAACCGCACCAGTCCTGGAGTACAAAAGTCTCAAACAGATCACAGATAATAACCAGCTTGGTGGAACACTTGAAAGCATTTAAATTGAGCACCATATTCCCCCAAAATCCTACCCTGCCAATTGAACTCCCTCCCCGTCCTGCTCGTCACCCACCGTGCTCTACCGGTTCTCCCTACACCATATTTAACACGTGAGATCTATCATGGCTCAGCCCATGACTTCAAATAACACTACTTCCATCCCCCTGGAACCGACGGCAAATGCCATCGCTTCCAGCCACAAGAATGGAGAAACCATACACTTTGACTATACCGCCGATGCGGCTCAAGGGGACCTCGTAATACCTTCTGCAAGTCAAAATGCTCCTGCGACCTCCAAAAAGAAGAAGAAGAATAAAAAGAAGAATAAAACCAAGGTGTCCGCATCTGCATCGGTGAATGTCACTTCAGCCACCATAACCAATCCGGAAGATGACTACCCCATCTCACGAGTCATTAAACAGGGTCCTGATGGCAGTGTGGTTGTGGAAAGTCTACCCGATAATGAGTCGGAACCTTCTGTCCGAGTCAACGACTCGACTTGTTTGGGAAACCCTGTCCACAACATGTGGTTCTATAATACGACTCCTGAAGAAATCGAGAAATTGAAGAAGTTCTGGGATTCATTGGACACAGACACACGAGAATCTTTGGCCCATATTGATAAGTCCGAATTTCTTCAAGTGCTACGGTTGGATCCGAAGCCGTCTATCCATGCTCCTGTCAAGGAAAAACAAGATAGAGACCTCCATGCATTCCTGTCACAAAACTGTAATTGTGCCAATTGTGGCAGAAAGAGAGATGTGATAATAGCAGAGGTCGAGCATCTATACGAAGAGAACATGGAAAACATAACAGAATTTCTTGCGAAGATGTCCAGCTTGGATGACTTACCAAACCTCCCTGATATGCTCTTTGAGGGCAAAAACTCAATAAGTGACGTGCCGGTGTTACCAACGGCAAACTCATTCGAAGCGGCGATTCGCAGGCAGTTTGATAATGCTTCCATCGAATCTATATCCAAAGAATTGGAGTCAGACCCCAACGTGGATTTGGAGTCTTCGTACCGAAGCTTTTCTTCGATCTTTCCAGGGCTTGAACCTAGCCTTGCTCTTGAATTCGGAGCTAAACTACAAAGAATGGCCGAGATCTTTGAAAAGGGAAACGTCGACCAACTCACGCCGGACAGAAGAGAAATTGCATTGAAAGAATTCAGTTCATTCCGAGAGTTTGTACGAGAACACAAAATCGCTGGAAATATGGACCTGTTCTTGAAGCTTGCCAGACTCACCAAACTATTCGATGGTATGTCAAGTTTCTTTAAACCCAGTGCCGGTGCTGTCAATACCAAAGCCTCGGACGATCCTGATGCTGTGTTCACTAAGACCTTGCTGAACTTGACGGATGATATATTTCTCAACGAAGGTCAAGGTTTTATCGAGATGATGGATGCTCTTTCCGATTCGAGGGAGACCAGAGAATTTTTATCCCAAAGTGAGCCATCTGCACAAGATTTCGCCGCCATCAAATCTCGAATGCAGAAAGATGCTGAAGATTTCAGGCGTAAAACTCAAAAGCAGCTCGATGATAAGCAACCGGTTGATAAGGGGGTGTCTGTGTCTAAAGAGGTTAAGCATGAATTAGAAGAAGCTTTTCCAGAGGAGGACTTGTATGACGATGAAGACGAAGATTTTGAAGACGAAGATGACCTTGATGACCAATCCAGTCTTGATGGATCAGAGATTTCTGAAGAAGAAAAGCTTCAGGAGTTACGCCATTTGTTCTTGATGCAAATCATTCGACTTTTCCGCAGAGGTGTCATCAAAGCATACAAAGAGAGACAGTCTCAAGACCAAGCCCAGAAGTTGATTGAGGAGTTGGAAGCAGAAGAGAGTGCCAAGAAGGAGAAGGAATTAAAGAAGCTCAAACAAAGAGAGAAGGCTAAGGAAAAGAAGCGCCTTCAGCAACTAGCCAAAGAAGAAGAGAAGAAACGTAAAGAAGAGGAATTGAAAGCTAAGGAAGAAGAGAAAAAACGTCGCGAAGAGCAGTTGAAGTTGGATCAAAGAAGACGTACTGAAGAGCTTTTGCGTAAAAAAGAAGATGAGAAGATGAAACGTATTGAAGAGCAGCAAAAGAAGTTGGAGTTGCAGCGTGTTAAGGAAGAGGCTCAGAAGAGGCTCGAAGAGTTGAAGAGAAAAGAGCAACAGAAGAGAGACGAGGAACTCAAAGAGAAGGCGAAACAAGAACAAGAAAGGCAGACCAAGGAAAGACAACTCTCCAATCAGAGAGAAGCTGAAAGACTTGCCAAACAAAAGGAAATCGAGAGTATTGCTAAACAGAAAGCTGCTGAAGAGCTCAGAATTCAAAGGGAAGCTGAAAGACTAGCCATGGAGATTGAAGAACAGCAAAGACTGCAAGAACTTATGGATCGAAAATTAGCACAAGAAGAACCCAGCCGTGCCGGCAACGACAATCAAGTGTCTAACGGTCAATCATTAGGTGCTACGAATCCATTACTTCAAGACCTATACCCCCAGTCCATGTCCAACACTCCAAAATTGGACGCATGGTTTCCAGGAACTCCTCCAGCACAGCAACCCCAGTTGAACCAAAACTTTATGTTTAATAACGTGGCTCTTGATCCTTTCAATGATCCTTTCACCACTGCTGCCACCCCTCTGTTGAGTAATCTCACTCTCAATAGAAACAACGCAAATGCTTCCACTACGACACAACCTCCAGGGCTTACCGGAGGTTTGGGCTACAGCGGTGTGTGGAACAACCTGGCCACCAAATCCCGTAACAACACCATTTGGAACAATACTGGCTCCATCTGGAATAGCGGCGGTGTAAATGGCACCTCCAGCCCCAACATCTCCAACACCAATCTCAACAACTTGAGTTCTACAAACCTCAACAACTTGAGTGCTACCAACCTCAACAACTTGAGTGCTACCAACCTCAATGGAACCAGTGGACTTCCCGCACCAACCACCACCAACACTGATCCACATATCATCCACAGCGCTGCTGTTCAAGCATTCCAGATGCTCTCGACGTCCAACCTGCTCGAGTTTGGCATGGCCAAAGGATTCACTCTCTTCCAGGCCACCAAAAACATCGTACCTCAAGTATCATTCAACTTCAACCAGTTTCTTGGGGCCTTGACCAACACTCCGTCGGCCTATAAGTTTGAACTCATATACGACGACTTTGGCACCGTCAACTACATCAAAGTGGCGGATGCTACCGTCAACTCGCCGTACCAAAGCTCTTTGAACATCAACTTAAACGGACAAGGGCCATCTCCTACCTTAACCACACCCGAAACCACCCCGTTCCGAGTCCAAAACCAACTTCCCAACTCCCAAGCGTCACAGCCCAACCTCCTGATCTCTCTTGCTGCTTCTGCTGCCCAGTACACACCGCCCCGAGGTTTTTGGAACTAGTTTCCCGTATATATAGTGTAATATATGTATTAGCAGCCGAGTTACCACGAAGCGCGCAATGCGCGACACTCGCATCCGAGTCACAATCTACAAGAACTTCCAGGCTACAAGCCCTTTTCTACTCACATCTTCATATTACCACCCCAACTGCACTCCAACCACAGATATATCGCCTGCCACATTACAGACCACAACTTCCCCCTAGTTTCTAAGCCCCCTCCTCCTCCAAACTTCTTCGTGTTCAAGTAACATCTCTCATGGTCGAAGTGCTAAAGAGAAAGCTTGTGATAGTAGGCGACGGTGCCTGCGGTAAAACTTCACTCTTGTACGTGTTCACTCTCGGAGAGTTCCCAACCGAATACCATCCAACCGTGTTTGAGAACTACGTGACTGACTGCCGAATAGATGGTAAACCGCTCCAGCTCGCACTATGGGACACGGCAGGCCAAGAAGAGTACGAACGGCTCCGACCCTTGAGCTACGCAAACTCGCACGTGATCTTGATCGGCTTTGCCATCGACCAGCCTGACTCGTTGGAAAGCGCCCGCACAAAATGGATGCATGAAATACGGACCTACTGTCCCAACACGCCATATGTGCTTGTGGGACTAAAAAAGGACTTACGACAAAGTGAAACCAGTAAAAAGTATGTGCAGGTGGCTCGGGCTCAGTTTGTAGCAGAGCAAATGCAAGCCAAAACGTATCTTGAAAGTTCTGCCCTCACCGGTGAAGGTGTCGATGATATTTTCGAATTTGCGGCCCGCACCAGTTTATTGAATATCAAGAAGCCTGTCAATTCATGTTGTGTTATACTATAATAGCACTAAATACAGTAAAATATAATAGACGTTTCAGGTGAGGATCAAGATTAGCAGTCTTACACCTTGCGAGCGGGAGCCAACTGAAAAGTTTTGTATACCAGGCTGTCAGCACAATCGCCAAAGCGAAAACAGCCTCTTTGACAACCAAACGGGGTCCGCAAAAGACCACGAAAATCACATGCCTTACTCTGTTGGATTCAACACCTAAGTTGAACGGAAGGGTGTCAAAACGCACACGATCTTAAATAGTTGTTTAAAAGTATTTCTGAATATGGGGCCAATAGTCTCCAAACGTACAAGATAAGTTGTTGCTTAAAAGCAATTATGAATAAGAGACCAACCCTTCAATGCACTCCACTCTCAGACGGGGAGTAAAATATCCCATCATCACCAGGGTCTAGAATACTCCTGATTCGTGCGGAGCCCATTCCGATGCAAATTGCCCTGATAAATGCGGTTATCAGATTCTCGCCTGTGTAAAGTGGTATCTTGAGGGTTGAAGGGGAATTAATTACCACTTTTTCCCAAGACCCCAATTCAAACATACCCTTACTTCATCTCTTGAAAATGGACTCCCCTATTTTAGTTCCAGAAGCAACCCCAAATGATTATGTCTCTATTACTCACAAATCAAGCACAGCTTCCTTGAGTACCATGTCCGACATAACAGATCTATTTCCTAGTCGTGGGTATCCACTTATCGATACCATTATTGCCACACCACTAGGTGAGTTGGAAGCTGCCTCCGCCCAAGCTGAAGATTTTGAAGCTGTTAGAGACCATGCTGAACGGATTGCAAAAAGCCTTGTTCGACGCCTTGAACCTCTCAGAACTCTTGGAACGTTTGACAGACACATTCCCCAGTGGTCTGATGAAATCAATCTGTTCTTTGGGGACCACCCCGATATTCGTGATGCCTATGAAAGTAAGTCATGTGATCCTACCTACTATGTATTCCTCAAAGAAAGCTTCCCGTTTTGGATCAAGTCCTTTGATCAGGAGGTAATTCTTTCCTTACACCAAAAGAATAAATTGAGGCACAATTTCGATCAACGAAGCTTCAAAGAAGTATGGCAATACATAAAAGCAAACGAAGTGAAGATCCATGAATTCAAGATTCAGCGGGTATTGAGGGATTTAATGAAGAAACACCCTGCTGACTGGTTACATTACGAACAAGGTACGTGCTTCAGACGTGAGTATAAAGACTATCTTGAATTTCTTGACAATCATGGATGTTTGCTTATACAGCTATACTGGGGCTTAAGTTTGCAGAATAAGAGAGCCTTAGTGAATATCCTTGCTCAAAACTACCAGAACAACATGGTTCTTCGTTACAAAGACATCTCTAATGTATTGAGTTGTCATGAAGATTTCAAGAAGCCCCGTAACTGGGATTAAGAATAATGATGAAAGGAACGAGCTAGGTTGTCTAGCATGAATTAACCTTGCCTGTGCGCGTTTGCGTGAAATGGTTGCAAAATCACTGCCACAAATTTAAAATACCTTCCGCAGCCTGCTCCCTGCCAAACTCGTAAATGCCATTTGAGTTACTTCTTGGTGCATTTATGTGGCCAGTAATTGTTGCTAGGTCAGTGGTGTACTCTCCATCCAAAAAAATCACTTCTTTTGTGCCAGCTACCGTTGGCTTGTCGGAGTCTTCTAATTTGTCCAGTTATGTGGTATCCAAAAGATTTGGGTCAGGCTCCAGAATATTTGACGTCTACAACACCAACAATGGAGCCATACCAAGAGGACCCGTCGACCCGTCCGAGGTGCTTTTCTGGTTTCTTCGTTCAAGGTTACTGAGAAGTGCCTTCAGAATGTACAGTTCACAAACAGGTTCACCACAAATAGGCACTAAAATGGAACCCATGGCTACTATTCGTGCTGGTTTTCGGTCCAATATCCTTCTCATCAGCGCCTCCAAAGTTCCGGTCACCGACCTAGGCTGGCACGTCGTCCACCACGATGTTGATGGTATTGATGCTTACCGGGTGTTCACACTCGCAGACGGCCTGACGTACCAATGGACCTACAAGCAAAAGTACCTTGAATTAGTTCACAACCGTGGTAACTTTGAGACCGAAGTGAGACAACGTATAGGCCTGGTGGAGATTCACGGCCTCAATGGCTTTACATTGAAGGTGGATGAGTCCAAGATTCCATTGACATTGGCATTAGCCAGCGCGTGGTGCTCCTTTATTGATATGTGGAGCTCCAAGTATAGCTTTGGAGGGGTCTACTGGCCCGACCGGTCCCTGATCTGCTAAAGTGAATAAGTATGATTTAACAGCTACATAGCAATATACGGTAGGTGTGCACGACCCCATCTGACGCTTCTCGCACTTTTTGCACATCATGAAAATTTTCTAATTAACTACGTTTAAAAACATAATATGTCTGACAACGAACAAGAACAACATTCAATCGACGAACAGTCCCCCGTCAACACTCACGATGAACCAATGGGTGAAGAGGCTGCTCCAGCCTTGGAATCCCGTAAGGTTTTCGTGAGACCTTTGGACTATCAAAGTATGTATCCTTTTTCCAGAAATTTTCACCCCAAGTACTTATACTAACTAAACTTTAGCTCCAACTGAAGAAATCGAAGAATTCTTTGCTCCAGCTGGTGCCATCGCCGAAGTGCAAATGATGAGAGGTTATGCTTTCGTCTCTTTCGAAGAAGATGGTGCTGCTCAAAAAGCTGTTGATGAATTCAACAACACCGATTTCCATGGACAACCATTGATTGTTGAATTGGCCCGTGAAAGAAAAGAAGATACCAGAGGAAAATACAGAGTTAAGGTTACCAACTTGCCTGATGGAACTGCTTGGCAAGACTTCAAGGATTTTGTCAGAGACAAGACGGGTACTACCCCAACCTTTGCTAAGGTTTACAGAGACTACGATTCTGGTGAGGTTATTGGTGCCTTAGAATTCGGCGCTAGAGACGAATTGGAAGGTGCTATTCCAGTGTTAAATGGATCTGAATTCCAAGGTGCTACTGTGGATGCTGAAGAAGATACTTCTCCATTTATTCCACCTCCAAGAAGAGGCGGAAGAGGAGGTTTCGGTGGCCGTGGTGGTTTCAGAGGTGACTTTGGCGGTAGAGGCGGTGGCTTCAGAGGTGGCCGTGGTGACTTTGGTGGAAGAGGTGGTTTCAGAGGAAGAGGTGGCTTCAGAGGTGACTTTGGTGGAAGAGGTGGTTTCAGAGGTGGCCGTGGTGACTTCAGAGGTGGCCGTGGTGACTTCAGAGGTGGCCGTGGTGGTTTCAGAGGTGGCCGTGGAGGCTTCGACCGTGACTCCCGTGGTGATGACAGAGACTCTTACGTTTCCAACCGTGAAAGATCTCCAACCCGTTATTAAAGGATCCCTATAATATGATTGTCAGTCCCCAAGTTGAACCATAAAGAATCTAACAGAATTGTTTTATATATTTTTAGTTGTACCAAGAATGATGTGGGTCCCCCAAGTTGTTCGGAAGAATTGTTTCAATAACCATAAAAGAGAAAAGAAAGTAAACTGTTGTGTTCGAAGAGTAGAGGTGGAAATGTGTGATATATGGCTTGAAGACGAATATCTTGTTTCAGTTCAAAAGTTGTTGTAACATTATCCCGTTATTTTTAAATTTTAGCTTTTTTTATATCCTGGCGTCAAAAGCTGGCTTCTTAATAGATGCTTGTATTTCCTGTTTCAGTATTATTGGAGATTTTTGTTATCGCGAAAAAAAAACTTCTATTGAAGAATGGTAGAAGTTTATCTGTATGGTCCTCATGAACTCCAGTCCGTGAAGGTGTTCCAACAGGACCCTCTGACAAAGGATGCCATTGTGTTCATCCATGGTGGAGGTTGGAGAGACCCAAGCAATTCTTTTGACGATTTCAAGCCAATTATGAAGGACTTTTCAAAATGCTCCTTAAACGTAATCTCCATAAACTATAGGTTGTCACCCAGTGCAAACACCGAGGCTGAATTGAAGAAGATGCCTTATTTCAGACACCCATTCCATCTTCTCGATGTTCTAAAGGCACTTGTGTTTCTTGTGAAGGACAGAGGATTGAATATCATCCTGGTTGTTGGACACTCGGTTGGGGCAACTTTATGTTTACAGCTAATGAACTACAAGGAGGTTTTAGAATATGGGTTTAAATATATCCCTGCAAACAACAAGATGCTTCCCACGAAGCAAGAATTAGACGAAATAGACACTACATTGGCAGATTCACACTTTCGTCGGATATACTTGATTGATGGAATTTTCGACGTGGAAAATTTGGTACAAGAATATGGTGATTCGTACCGAACTTTTGTACGGTGTGCATTTGACTCTGATGATCACTTCAAGGACGCAGTCCAGACTTCCAACCACCAGCTTGGTGCTCCACACTTGTTCATTCAAGACACTACTAAGGTATTCCTTATCCATTCATTAGAGGATGAATTACTCTCGCCTAGGCAAACCAAACTACTTGCTACATATTTGACCAGTGTGAACATCAACCATGAAGTTGTGTTGCAACCCTGGGGGCTACACGAGGAAGTTTACCGAAGACTGGAGGTTTCTGCCTTTATTATCAAGAATTTATTTTAAGTCATATAGGAAAAACGCTATCGACTGCAGCTTTCACTCTGCAAAAGAGGTATGATTCTCCTTGACCAGCCCCATCCTACTTTGTGGCCTTCATCTCTTTCTCTAGTGGATTCCAATCCTGTTGGGCCATGTAGTAACCAGCGAACGTGCGCACACCAAGTTCACGCTTCTTCGCACTGAAAGATTTTTCACTCACCAAATAAATCGACTACAGCATGTCTACGCAAGTTATCAACTCTTGGGCCGACGCCGAAGATGACGTGCCAGCCCCCGAAGTGACCACCAACCCAGATGGCACCAAGACGGTTGTCAGCTATAGACAAAACCAGAAGGGCCAGAAGATCAGAGTCACCCAAAAAATAAAGGAAATCAAGGTTCAAGAAAAAGTGCATCCGCTCGTGGCCAAACGCAGAACCTGGGCTAAGTATGGGAAAGAGAAAAACACCCCTCCAGGACCTGACACCAGAACCACGCAGTTGGGAGAAATCGTCGAGTTGAAGTTGGGTACCCAGTGGAAAGAAATGGAAAAGCAAGAAGAAGAAGAAAAGGCTCAACAAAGTGCACAAGTGATTTCTAACCAAAGAATCAAATGTAGACTTTGTGGAGGAGACCATTTCACCTCCAAATGTCCGTTCAAGGGCACCTTGGGAGACGCCGGAAAAGACGAATCATCTCTCAGCACCGCCGATATTGTTATTGATCCATCTTCACCCGGTGCTCCTTCTAAATTCGTTCCTAGACACATGAGAAGAGATGCTGAAGGTAACTTACCCGCCAGAGATAGCTCCGCCAGAGACGATTCCACCACATTAAGAATCTCGCAATTGAATACGCTTGTCGACGAGCACATGGTCAGAAACGAGTTACTTGCAGCATACGGACCATTAGAAAGAGTGGCCCTTGTGAGAAATAGAGACACTGGAATCTCTAGAGGGTTCGCGTATGTGTCTTTTGCTACCGAGCAATTGGCCGAAAGAGCGTTGAACGACTTGAACGGTAAGGGTTACCATTCGTTGATTTTACACATTGAGTGGTCTAAGAAGAAGAAGCAGTAGTTGTGTGTACAGTATAATATATGCTAGTTGTAAACTGGGGGTGTCGCGCGACATTCGGCTTTTCAGGTGCTGAGTGGGCCTGGAAATTTCCTGGTCCTCGTAGCGCCTTCTAACTATCTTTGCTAACTTGTTTATTATCAGCCACAAAGCTTTTAATTCCTCAAGAGACTTAACTTCAGCTGTAACATACGACTAGTTGGTTGAGTTTCTGTTTTTAACTTCACCTTTAGCTTCAAGGCCGTTTGTTTCGGAAATACACATAATCAAACCCTGAGCATGACTGATCATAAACTGACACCTTCAACACCTTCCAGCACCTCGCGTCATTCAATGATTCTGTTGAAAGGATCCTCGCCTCCCGGCAACTCCCGGAACATTTTCAGTAAACTTCTCCATAGAAGAAGTTCTACTAGCCTGCCTATCGGCCCACACTCAAGTTCTTCCACAAGGGCCTCCGCCGACATATCCGTCCAAAGATCTCGCTCCAAGCGTAGCGATAGGTCCGTTTCACGCACCCATAGCGTCCGCAAAGCAGACCGGTCCGTGGTGGACGATAACGATAGTTTACGCTCCGATGAGACGTTTAATGAGAACGACGAATCGGATGTTTCTTCCGTATATTCCAATCTTCATCACACGGGATCCACAACATTCTCGGAGCCATTACCAGGCTCGTCCGAAACCAGCTTCGAGGACGTGGACCGTAAATTGAACGAATTGTTGGTGCTGGGTCCTGCCATCTCGGAGTCGCCCTGGCAAGGTTTCAATCGAGATGCCCTCAATCCTCCCAAATATGTCAAGGTGATGCGACGCAACAAGGGAAGCCCTAAGACGGTGAGGCGGATCTTCTTGGCCCAGGAGTTGAACGACGAATCCGACTCTGACAGTGTTTTGGATGAATCTCCTGCTACTTCCAATATGGACCTTGACGGGGATGCGGCTGCCAACTTGGATAAAGCCGGTGAAAAGCCGGCCGAGGTGGACAGCTCGCTTTCCAAAGAGGTGTTCTCGATGTTGTTCAGCCGTGATGGGAAGTACTTGGCCATCGCTGGTCGGGACTCGGTCATCAAGGTGTACAAAGTGCTATCATCGCCATTAGGCCGTATGGAATACCAAAACCACGAGGAAGCCCATTCCAAGAACAAGAAGAAGTCCAAATCACAAGATGAGGTGTATCCGTATGCTCCCGTCTTCCATCAGAAGCCTGTGCGTGTGTTCAAAGGTCATACGAAGAGTGTTCTTTCCATTGACTGGAGTAAAAACAATTTTTTGCTCTCTGGAAGCATGGACAAAACCGTCAAGTTGTGGCATGTGGATAGGGCAGACTGCTTGGCTACTTTCCAACATGAGGACTTTGTTACGACTGTCAAGTTCCATCCGAATGATGATCGGTTCTTTTTGAGTGGTTCTTTGGACAACTACGCAAGGCTTTGGTCTATTCTCGAAGGGAGTGTTGCTTACGGCAGGAACTTGGGCGACGAAATGTTGATAACCGCCTCCTGTTTCACCCCCGATGGCTTACACTGCTTGTTTGGTGGGTTCAATGGAACCATCGCTATGCTTGAAACAAAGGGTTTACATATAATCCACAGCTTTGATATCAAGCCTGGTATGCCTCTGTTGAAACCCAAAACCGGCAAGAAGGTCACCAGCATCCAGGCCCTCGTAAACGAGGCACACCAAGATGATGATGACTTGAAGTACAAGTGGACTTATTTGATCACCACCAACGACTCACGAATCAGATTGATCAATGCCAATGAAAAGAAGCTTGTAACCCGGTTTAAAGGTGTTACTAATACAACCTCAGTTGAGGCATCTATTTCAGATGATTGTAGATACATTCTTGCAGGTTCGGAGGACCATTGGTGCTATGTGTGGGAAAATAACAACGCCATAATTAACAACAAGTTGAAATCAGCTGTTAGTGAAATGTTAAATGGAAAGAGACATCTTATTACTGACTTGGAATCCAAGCACAAGAAGTACTACGACTTCATTATCAAGAACAAGTTGTTGAAAAAGCTCAATGCTGAACAGTTCTTGAAAGATGATCAGCATTCGGAGTTCATAGCGAATGAGAATAGCAGCTATACTTCTTTCCATGCCCATCATTCGTCCGTAAATGCTGCTATTTTCGCCCCCAGCTTGACCAAAAAGCTCCTTGAGTTGTCTGACGATGTTGTGTTTGACATGATCAAAAGAGGACGTAATTGTGCTTCGGCTGACGAGTTTCCCAAAGTCAACATTCCTGATCAACACGAAATTGATACGGGTATAGCTGGCTTCATAATGGTAACCACTGATGAGACAGGTTTAATCAGAGTTTTCAGACAGGATGTTGCCTATGATCTTCGGAAGGGCATCATTGACTATTACAAGAAACTGACGAGAAAAGAATGTCCAACATTAACCAAGTCTTCCAGAATTGTGACGAAAGTGAAATCACCAGCTCTTTCACCTTCTTCTTCGATGTCTTCTGTGCCAAATCTCGTGAAGCATGAACCGTACCTCTCAACTAAAAGATTTGATAGCAGGCCTCCACTGAAGTCCATCTCAAACGGAATTTTGAACTCCCAGAACGGAACTTTTAAAATCAAGTCAGATGCTGTCATCTTTGAACAGAACTCACAACGGATTGCCTCATCTGGAGTTATCACCCCAGATTATGAACCTGAGGTTCCATTCCCGTCGATCAAAAATTCAGACTCTAGACTGTCTGTTCCACTCTTTGTAAATACTGCAGTTGATAGCCAAACGCCTGAAGTAATGCAATTTCAGACCCCGGTTACTTCTGCTCCCAAAACCACCACGTTCAAGTCTTAATGTTCGACTTCTTGAACAACATATGATATTCAAATGCAATAATTTAACTTCAACTATATAATACCTAACGTAGCTGTAACCTCAAACTGCATTCTGAGACGAATCGGTTTCATACAGCAGTACAATTTTATTGAATAAACCACCTATTTTATTACTGTTGAGACGTATTCTTTTCAGCACTCTTGGTTTGATCAATCCCACGCTTTCTAAAGTAAGTAGCTTGATAGCAAACCCACAGAACCTGTACTCGGCTTGCCAAATCGATTTTTCTTTGGCTCTTTTCAATTCCAACTCTTCCACCTTTCCAACCTGCTCTTGGTCTACATCACTATCCTCTTGTGGGATTGATACTGGTTTAGCAACATAAAACAAACCAGAGAATGTGTCCATTGGAGAAGTAGATCCAAATAAGCTTGCCGTCTCCTCTGACTCTCTGGCTAACTCAATACCAAGGAGGTGTCCTAGTATTTCCTCTTTTTCCACAAACACCTCCATCATTGCAGCTACCGGACTGTCCATATTTTGTACTTGGAATTGGAAATCACTGTAGAAATCTCCTCCTACTGGAAGAGTCTTTTGCTTTTCAAAGAACATCTTGAACCCAATAATTAAATCCGCATAAGCAGTCTTCAAATAAGTCTGGATTTCATTGCATTTGGTGGCCATTATAAAGTAGCTCTCCCAGTCCTCGTTACTGCTCTCTTGATCATACTGTCTACAAGCTTCCTCAAACTCCGAGGCTTTGTATGAGCTTGCCAAACTAGTGATAACCGAATTGAATTCTTCAAACTTCTCGGATTCATACCTTTCAGTTTTCAAACTATGGGATATCTTGGCTGCACTTAAAGCAATAATAAAATCCAATACAGCTTTAAGTGCATTAATCTCTGTATCAAGTGAGCTCACGTTACCTTGTACTTTTGTAGCAAAGCTATGAGCGGATGAAAACCGGTCTAGCATCTTCCTTCTTAGCTCTTCCAATAGAAGATTTTCGTTAAGAAACCTGTCAATATTAATGTAATTGGATATTTTGGTCAATTTCAAAAGATTCATCGAAGCCTGAACCCATTTATTGTCTTCAGGCAAACCACCAAAACCCAGACTCTCTTCAAGTATCTTCAATGAGTCGGTGGAAAGAGATTTAATCACATTATCAATGGAACTCTTGATCTCCGAAGTCATAGACAATTCATAATCAGATAATATGCAACCAAAAAAAATGTCAAAGTTATCAAAGAACTTATCACTGAAAGAATCCACCTCAGCTTCCAGGTACAAATTGATCAAACCACAATTGATATCAAAATAAACCTCACCTTTTTCGCAACTCAAAAATGTGGAGTAAACATTGGTTGTCTTATTATAATCTCCAAGAATCAAACTCCATATCTTGACCAACACATCTACAGTAACAACTTCAGATTGTAGTACTTTGAAGATGGGCTTTGCAAACTCCAGAAAGTTGAGAACTACTTTGTCGGCACTATCAACACTACTCTGTTCTGTTTTGTTCTTGTTGCAAATGGTGGACAAAGCTCCGAGAATAAAGTTACTCAAGTATAAGCAATCTTTTCGCAGAATATCTTGAATTGCTGTGAGCGTATCTTGTATCAACCCTTCGTCATCATCTTCGATTCCAACCTCAATTTCGTTAAAGGATCCTGACAAACACTTCACCCAAAATAGCCACATATTTTGATAATATGGTTGTTGATACATTAATTGCATGACTGTAGAAATTGGATAGTGATCAGATATAGGAGACCCTGTCTCAATACTTTCAGTAACCTCATCGCAATCTCTGAATAGTTGTAACAAGCATCTGGTTTTAATTGATTCATTCAAATTCACTTTATCGAAATCTCCCACCGCTTGCTCCCGTCCATTTATGGTTTCCTTTACCAATGAAAAATGTGACGTATGAATGAATCTCACAATCTCCAGGATCAATTTGTCGTTATGCACCTTACTGAATCCTAACCCCACTTTGATCGATACCATGAAACTCAGGATAATCTGGGTTTGTTCACTGTACTCCAAATAATCCAATTTTATCATTTCCTGTAGTATCAAAGTCAAGTAGCTCCTTACGTGTGGGTCTTGATCTATTTGACACATCTTTATCATCTGGCCTTTAAACTTATCTGAGAACACTCTGAGAGAAGGATACCCTTCACCTCCCAATGATGCTTGCTGCTTGTATAACTTGTGCAAAACCTTTGTGACTTCACTTCTGACACTATTGTTTGGATCTGATAACAACCAGCCATAGAATTTCAAATAAGAGCTCTGCAAAAATACGTCAGATGCAGTCAACATCCATTCTCCAAGAGCAGAAGCACACTCTTGTCTGAGCATGGGATCAATATCATGGTATCTGTTAGCAAACACCACATCGGTAACATCACTAAAATACTCCTTCAAAGTTTCATTTTTATGGTTGAAGTCCTCGACGATATTCTGGACCGTGTCGATTTGAGCCTTCTGCTTTCTTTTCGCCTTTCTGAGATTACTCAATTGACGTTGATGTTTTTCCAAAAGACCATTTACCTCCAGAAATGCCCTACTCAATTGAGTCTGAATAACCAACAATACAGTTGTAGCTACGTACCTTAAAGGTCTGATAGGACAGGTGGTCAACGTAAACAACCACGTGAATACCTGATTCACTAGTGGTGATGCTAAGGACTCACCTTCCTCACTGGTGCCTCTTTCAATGTATAATAAACCTTTCTTGTGGCTCAAAGCCACAATCTCTTCGAAGAATTCCACAACATTGGCTTTGAAAAACTTCAAGTTCTTGTTATTTGAAATGAACGGGTATTCATGGCTCTTCTGGCTCCTGAATGCAATTTCAAGCTCGCCTATTGTCTCTTTGGCCGAACTCAAATTCGATAAATCGTGAGGTTGCAATAAATGAATACATCCACAGCATCTAAGAATCAAATTCACCAAAGTGGTCACACACTCTATTGAGCCATTCTGGCCTCCTATGGAGTACTCTTCAATCCAGTCCAACGCCAACCGTTCAATAGAAGCGTCGGGATCGCTTAATGCTCTGTACAATTTGTTTTCCTCAAAATCATCACCTAACTCTTCTGCTGTTTGGGGTATTCTTCTCTGGATCTTGGTCTTTTTCGACAGTTTGTTCGAGCCCGCCGTTCTTCTCTTCTTTCTTCCTGGAGAAATGTACTCGTCGTCATCTTCAGATTCTGCTTGCAGTTCACTCAACCGTGCCTGTTCATCTTCGCTGCCGCTATCATTTTCTTCAATATCAGACTCCTCGTCGACGCCAGCGTTAGCCGAGATAAGCTCGTCGACGTTATAGCGCTTTCCCTTCCTGACCTGCCTCTGGGGATGCCTGGTTCTCGTCGCCGCTACCATAATTTATATTCCTTTTATTATATCAACAGATACAGATCTCTCGAACGCGTCTGAAAAGTCGCATTTGGTGCAGCCGAGCCAAAAGCGTGTGCCGCCCGTATCGCACTTTTTTCACCAGAATCCAATTTCAACCGCTCAGAAAAACAACCTTCACTGACTTGGTCGAACCGAAAACTGAGTAACTTATTTTTGTTTTGAAACTTCCCAATTAATCCATCTGGCCATATTATTAGAAGGATGTCTATGAGTGCAAGTGAAAGTGCCGGTGCCTCTGTCAAGCCGGAAGCTGCCACCCCCGTCACCAACGGCGTCAAGCCTGAGGAAGCTGCTAGCACATCTTCTGTGGACTTGGAAAAAGCCAGAAAATCGTTCCAAGACAAGGCCCAAACTTATTTGGCTGAGCAAGGAAGACCAGTGGTTGTGCCATCGTTCGCCAAATGGTTTGATATGAATGAAATTCACGAGCTTGAAAAACAACTGTTTCCAGACTTTTTCCCCCAAGATTCTTCCAATGCTTCAATTTATAGAAACGCTGATGCTTACAAACACCTGAGGGACTTCATGATCAACTGCTACAGATTGAATCCGATGGAATACTTGACCGTCACGGCGGTCAGAAGAAACTTGGCTGGAGATGTGACTAATATCATCAGAGTCCACCAATTCTTGGAAAAATGGGGTTTAATCAATTACCAGATAGATCCTAGAACCAAGCCCACTGTGGTTGGGCCCCAGTACACTGGTCATTTCCAGATCACTTTGGACACCCCGAAAGGATTGGTGCCTTTCATCCATGAAAACTTAACTATCAGTAATAGTCTGACCTCTGAAGATGTGGAAATGAAACCCGAAGCAGAAGACCCTCAATCCCCTCCCTCGTCTGTGGACTCTGAACCGATTGATCTCAAAACCATTCCTTTGAACTTGGAAGTGAGACCTAATGTTTATAATGACACAAAAGATAACTTCAAAGATAACACCAACCAATACGTCTGCAGTGTGACTGGAAAGGATATCAACGAAGTTAGATATTATAACTTGAAGAGTAAAGGGCTTCCAAACAACCAAAGTTCAACCACAAACAATGCTACAACCATTTCCGAAGAATGTTTTGAACAGGGATTATTCCCATCCAACTTCCAGTCTTCCAACTTCGTGAAACTCACAAAGGAAAGGGACTCGGAAAACTGGAGTGAGCAGGAAGTGTTATTGTTGCTTGAAGGTATTGAAATGCACGGTTCTTATGATCTTATCAACAATGCCAGTGCCAACCAAATTAACACCAACTCCAACGGACAATGGATCAAAATCAGTGATCACGTGGGAACCAAGACCAAAGAACAGTGTATCTTAAAGTTCATACAGTTACCAATTGAGGATACATATTTGAACAAGTTAATTGACAAGAAAGCTGATGTCAAGGTGGACAAAGAATACTTAATACAAGAGATTGCCAATAAAGTAATTGAAGCGAATGAGGGATCTTCAATCTTGCAAAGGAACTCTAAGGCTAAGATCAATGACATTAACAGCGATGAATCAAACTTGATCAAACAAGTATCAGAATTGACTTTAGAGAAGGTATCCATCAAGTTGGCCAACTTACAAGCTTTGGAAAATAACTTGATTAAAATCGAAAGCAAGTTGAACTTGGAAAGAAAACAAGTGGCTATTGAAAGATGGTTGCAGTATGAAAAGATTCTTAAATTCAAGCAATCCAATACTAATACCGAATTGTCAGCTTTGTTGGATGATTTGTTATCCCCCGTTAGTTTACACGAAATCGATTCTACCACTAATAAGAAGACTGATGAAACTGACAGTGCTCTTGAAGCTGCCAATAAGTCTGCCGATAAAGACTTGCCAATAAGTGTGGTGAATCCAAAAACATACCAATTCTGGTCCGGTTAAAGCAAAGTATCAAGTATATTTATGTAATTGTATAGTATAGAGAAACAGATATACGCATTAAGTGTTCTAATTACTTGTTGGATGACTTTTTAGCGGATGAAGATGAAGCTTTTGTGGTCTTGCTACTCAAAGACTGTACTTCTTCTTCGGCTTCTTTCTTAACAGTTGGTTCGTCTTTCACCAAAGCTACCTTCAATAATTCATTCTCCTTCAAAACAGCTTTAACCAACGTCTGCAATTCGGACAATTGGTTATAGATTTCATAATACTCCCATTTGATACCTAATCTGTTAGCATCGAGAACAGGCTTAGACACTTCATCGATATCCTTAGAAAATTTGGTCATATCAATATTGAACTCAGGATCCTCAGCCTCTGCACTTCTCTGCTTAGCTAAGGATTCGTACACTTGAGCATTGCTATTTTGAAGACTTTCCCATTCACTTCCATCAGTGTCAGTGTACCCATCAGTCAAATCCCATTCAGTGTCTATTTCATTTGCATCGTCAGGTAACCCTTTGAATCTGTTGTAGTGAACTCTTCTGGCATTGGCCAATTCGTCGACGGTGATATAGGTCAAAATTGGAGAGTAGATCACCAATTGGATAAAGTAGTGGATTGTTTGCATGTACTTGGTAGGTACAACCCATGAAAGTGGAGTTAACACGATTTCAATCAAGTTCAACGGAGGAACGTACAACTCTTGATCGGGAGCACGAATGTATCTCAAAGTCTTTTGGGCTACCAAGGCAAAGTATTCATCGGTGGCATTCTCCACAATGTTACTGTATGCGGTGGAGTATAAAGCAATAAGAATGTTCATCAAAATAACCGTTAACACGAATGTGTATGCGTAATACAAGATAGATGCATATGGGGGGACAAGCTTTGCCACATCGTCGAAACTAGAACCTCCAATAACCGCTTTGATCAAAAATAAAAAGATTGCTTTGGTGGCTTCACTTTTACCGTCTGAAGCGTCCAACCCCAAGAATCCCTGCAAGAACCCAAGAATAATGATGATCAACAAAACAAAGAAAATAAGCGATTCCTTCATCATCGTCTTGATAACCACAATCATGGCCCCCACAAACTTCTGAGCATCCAAGTATAACAATAATCTCGACCACATCAAAGGAGACACCAACGACAAAACTCTGAAAGAGATTTCATCATACTGCTCCTTCAAAGGACTCTTGTTAGCCAAACTAGCAAACCGGAACCCAACTGCGATGACCACCATCGAATACATCAGGTCGTTGAACACGTTCCAGAATCCCAAGTAGTAATACCCCACATGATAGAATTTGATGCACTCATCGACAATTGAACCCAACGTAAACAAGTAGAAAAACACTTCACAAGTATCGAGCTTGGAAGTCGACACTTGATGGGTGTTCAACACAATAGTGAAGAAGAGAAGGTAGAGCAACGAAAACAGGATTTCCAAAATATTCTGGTACAATGGGGTCTTCACTCTCGAAGGCTTGAAGTGACAAGCGATCTTCTGAGAAGCAGTTTCCCGATACAATTCATAAGAATAAGGATCCTTTTCAGATTGCACAATCCAGCCTCTCCACAACCATTTGATGCATCTCTGATACCCAGCTGACCCAATGATGGTGGTGGAATGCATGTCAACTGCCAATTCCATCACATTGAAAGGAGGGGAATCCTCGTCATTCAAGCAAATGGTGTAACGGTGACATAACATTGCCAAAAACAAGTACTCATCATTCTCAGTTCTTTCAATGATATCAGCAGCCAACCTTTGGGCAGCCACGGCTCTTAAGTTGTACAAATTAGTGTCATATAATTCGTACTCAGCCTGCTGCCAGTACCAATCACAAACCTTCAACAAACAAAACACCAAAGAAGATTGGTACCTGTAAGACGATGTACCTTCCTTGCCATTTCCTTTTCCTCCAGCAGCCTTGTAGACCAACCCAATGACATTTTCGTTCAAAATTGGAGATCCGGCATCGGTGATGTCGCTTTCAGCAAACTCGACCGATACTACCTTATCGATAAGATGCTTCAAGTTACTACAAATTCTCCATACTTGCCTGGAATTCGGGAAGAAAGTTTTGGTATAAGGACTCGACAGTTCCGAAGCCTCGATATCCGTACTCATAATATGTAACAAGCTCTAACAATGTGGAGGTGAGCAACTTTTTAAGGATTAGGAACAGAATTTCAGTTAAGCCCCATTTGAGATTTTTCCACGCGTTAGGACCACTTCGTCAACTATTATTTATTGCCGATGAATACTGCTGAAATTTGCAATAGATTTCGAAAGTTATATAGTACTGAATGGGTATAAGGAGAACTGAAGCTTACAGCGATGACTGTTCGAGCCATAAACAATATGTTTCTCGTCCACAGTAGTACGGCAAAGCTCTCAGTTGTGAGGTGAACGGCTGAAACAATAGACTAGTTGCATAGCGAGTTGAAACTAATTTTCTAAGATCAACGTTAGAAAATTCCTTCTCCAAATCTCTAGAGGCGATGAGTTTCGGTGAAACCACCTGTCCCCAACTTTTGTAGTGTTATTTAGATTTGGTTGCAAAAAAGCAAAATGTCAATTAAGCATATATATCGTACACTAAACACCGCCATATATAGTACATTTCATGATTCGTAAGGAAAGTATAGAGTTAGTTATCAGAAGTGCTCGAAAGTCAAACAGGACTGGAGGGATTGTAATTAGTGTAGTTGAAACCAGGAGAGTCGAAGTCTCTCATGGATTGAGATGTGGAAGGAGTCAAGTTGGAATCAGCATTGGTTACATGGGTGACAATGTCCACCTTTTCCTTGTTCCAGAAGGAGAACCTTCTCTTAGGAACCTTTTCTGCCCCTCTCTTCAATGATTTCAACTCTGTCAATGGGTACAAATCATAAGTCCAGAAAGCCATCAAAAAGCCATACCAAAGATGGAATGCCCATTCAAACACATCGGCAATGTCCTTTCTGCCTCTGACGTAGAACCCACAGCAAATTGCTGCCAACATGATTGTCACCACCAACCAAATAATCTTAACAATGAAGGATATGGTAAATTTGTTCCATCTTTCACCGTTGACATACTTCCTATAATACTGGCCCATAATATAGTAATTGGTGAAATTCAACGCCAACGAGATCATCACCAAGATGGCAAAAGTGGCTAGCAACTCGGCGTAGTGGTTGAGCATACGTTTGCCTTGGGTCACAAACACGTACCCACACACCGACTGTGCAATAAAAAAAATCTGTGCCATGATCCCCACAACGATGGAAGCTAAACCTAATCTTTTCTGCAAATCAGGCTTGATAAACTTTATCAATTTTCCGATTTTTCTGTGGTAAAACTCTAAATAGATCGAGCAACAGAACACAATTGAATGTATCACCACAAATGTCAAAAAGAATCCGGGACACAAGATAACCCCAATTCTTTGGAGTGGTAAAGGAGAGGCATTCTCATCGAATTGAGGATACACCTTAGAACCTTCTCCCACGTACATACCTATCAAGGTAAAACACCATATGTACCAGCAAATTAAACCAAACAAAGGAATGAAGTAGAAATGGTTAAACTTCGAAGTCACGAAGACAAATTGATTTCTGATAGCCGTGAACATTGGTATTCTGAACACAGAAAGCAGGGAAGATTTATCGGGTTGTAAGGTCACGAACGAGAATGTATATGAGACCAATATTCGGAATACAAAAATGTTTGACAGCGAGAGGGCAGCTAACGTGTTATTTATAATACGCCTGTCAGTGCTAGAATTATACTCGTACCAAACGAGTTAAATTGTATGGGTCGGGTTGATTTTAACAATGAATCATCTTTCTATTCAAAAATCATTTGCAACAATAGAAGTTGAACTTTCGCAACAAAGAATTTTTCCTATTTTGGCCGTCGGAGGAAAGTCTTGCCATCTCTTGGCCCTGCTGAAAAATAGCACCCTTGGCTCGTTAAGGGTTCAGACGCCTTTTATTCTTTGTTGAATCACACATCGTACGCCAAACCAAGGAATAATGACCTTTCTCTATGCGTCTATAGAATTGTACCCGTTGGTGCTAATCCAATATCTGCATGCACTCGCGGGTCCAAGCTTGATTCTCTTCGTGATGATCATTTAGGTTAAATGATATTTTACCCAAAAGTAATGGTCTCCTACATACACCTTGAACCCTAAATTCCGAACAGGGAAATTGACCATAGGGTAGGGTAATAACTAATGCAGCCTAAGATACAGACGAGTGCCACCCAGTTTTCGCAGTTGACCAATGAGTCTCGTGGATTTCGGGACAAATTTTGGTCTGTGACACCAGCTGTTTAGGTGTAGTTTCACCAGAGACTTCATTCCCCAGTCGTCGGCAGGATTAACCTGGTACAATCCTTGTAGCCCCAAACTGGTTCAATGAAAGTGGATTCCCGACGTTTACGCGTCGGTAGCTAATTCAAGTGAAATTACCTGCAGCCTGCGATCAATTATGTTTCCTAAACCGGATTATTAAATCTAAACCCTCAGTAATAAATTTCAAAACTCAGGCTGCACTTGCTTAAGACTATGCAAGACAACTATATACGACTATGTTAACTGCATATGGAGCCATCTAGATTCCGATGAAGGTGGCCATGATGGTTTGCTTCTTAACTTCTCACATTCCGTACATTTTTTATCCGTATATATACCTTTTCCTCCCACTCAGTTCCTGTTACCTACTCAAATTACTATGGTACCCAACAGCCAAAGTTAGTCCCACAACCAAATCAAACATACCCCGCTCTTGCAAAAGCCGGTCCTCATAGATTGTGAGCCATCCCAACTTGTTCTCATCGGGCAAGTCATCCTCAGGACTCTTGTTGTAGTAGAGTCCATCTCCTGCAATATAGTAGTTTCTGAGTTGTCCTTCTGAAATGTCATTATCGACCATCTTTGTGTTGAGCTTCTCGGACTTGAATTCAGGAGCATCTCCCTTCTTCTTGTTAAGCTTCTTATTAAGGTTTCTCACTCTGCTAGAGAAATTCTGCTTGTGGGGTCTGAACATCGACAACACCGGTGGGAAGTTGTTGTTTTCCAGGTTTTGCAAGTAGATGTCCTGGGGGTTGCTGGTTTTAAACGGTAATGACTGTTCACCTCCCTCGATATAGTTTTGGTGGAAGTAAATGTTCCTCTTCCCAACAAACTTCCATTGTTCTGGCTGCAGCTCGTTCAAGCGAGTTTTGATTTTGTTCATTTTACTGATCCGAACTCGGGGAATAGACCCGATATTCCACCGCATATTGGTGAAGTCCCTTACTTCGTAGTTCATAAAGTTGGTTTCCCTGTTGACCAAGCTCTTCAAATTAGAGATTCTGTCATAAGGGATGTACTTTTCAGGGATCGCTTGAGGAAGCGATAATCCGTTATACCGGCTATTACCATTGGGTTTACCGTTACTAGGACAGTACTTGATCATATTCTTCTTTAATGTCGACGACCGGGTCAAGGTGGCGGTGAAGTATCCTCCGTCCTGTTTAGGCTTCTTCTGTACCACCATGATAGGAGGCCGGGATTTATCAGACTGGGTTTCTGCATCCTTGAAGGTCATGGTGAACCCGTCCACAGAGTCATTGGTGATTTCCACATAGAAACCTGGCCCGTTCCGACAGTACATGTGTTTCAAGCCAGGATTGGTCGTCAAGTATAAATCCTTACCGAACTTCAACACGTGATACTTCCAGTACGGCGTGGAAATTCTCCCATCATTACAGTCGGCCACCGAGCCTGAAACAATGTTAGAACTGGTCAAAGAGTTGGACGAGTTTTTTGTGTTCAAGGTGGGAATGTACACCGAATTACGGGAGAACACGGAGTCCCGTGATCCAGCACCTGGTGAGACGCTTATTACCGAGTGACGGGGGTTGGAGTGGTCTTCGTGTGAAAATGAACCCTCAAGAGGACCTGAGATACTCATTCTGTTCAACGACGACTGGATGCTATTGACCTTTCTGTGACCATGGATCAATGATTTAGTCTTAGACAAGTCGATTCGGGAAAGCCGTTTAAACCTATCCACTCGAGACACTTTCCGTTTGAGCACAGACCCGAACTGGTTGTTGCTGGCTTCAGGAGCCAATGGCGATGTCATAAAGGCTCCAGCACCTCCAATACTAGAGGTGGAACTGGCCATCGATACCTGGTGGATGTGACGCTTGGTGGACTCAGAAGGCGGTTGCAGAGCCACATTGGCACTGCTAGATGACATAGGAGGACTTGGCGGTGTGACGATGGACGGATCCAACGAGTTGTAATTATGTGAAACACCGTCATCGACAGAATCATTAGAAATCGTGGGTTGTAGGTTGGGGTTGTCTTCTCTGAATCTAGAGGTTATGGGTGATTTATTCATATACTCCTCAATGTCAAAGGAGAAATCTCCAAACAGCACTTCTTCCATGACTGGCGGAGGTTTTCTCGTCAAATTGCTCATACTTTACAAGAATTCGAGGATTTGATATCTTGATAACAATTATTTGATCCTGTAGCTTGAGTTGTGAATGATTCCTAGCCTGAAATATCTGGCCGCTGCAAACTTTAAATTGGGTGCTTGTTGGATTTAAAGTTTGACCTGAAACATTTTTTCTCCTTTGGCTACAGCTACATCGCCAAAAATAGCCGCGCGACTTTCAAGGCACAGTTTCAAGGCACACTGACAGGAAATGTAAGAAGACCCGGTTGCGAGGCTGTCCATTCAGTGGCGACGGGCTGTAGTACACTGGCCCTAGGCCTAGGTCATCGGCCTAACCCAGGCACGTGATGCGTGAAGACGCTCAATTTCCATAAATGCCTCTTTCATAAAACTACTTACCCCATATTAAATTACTTACTCGTCCTCATCTTCAATGTCGGTTTCCAAGTCACACATTGACCGGCAATTGGGACAATAAAACTGTGGATAACTCTTGATGATGATTGGCCGGATACACTTGTAGTGCCATGAATGCAGACAAGGACTTATAAATAACGCCTGACACGGCTCCAACTTCAACAAGCAGATTGCACACTCAGAGAGCTCATCGGATTTGAGTGCATTACTTAGTGGGTTATCATCAGCCTCTGGTTGACCTTGTTGCAATGATAAGTTCTTCAACTTCTGGTGGATCTCAAGGTTAAACTGGTTGACCTTCCGTTGCCAACTCTTGTTAAACTCACATCGCATCTTCACACATCTGTAGACTTCTTCGGTACCACCTCTGTAGTCCATCCCAAGCTGGATGATATCACCATCAATCAATGGCATCAACAGCGACTCTTGTGATGCAGGGCTTAGTCTGATGTGATTCAAAAATGTTCCGGACGATGATTTACAATCCTTAACAAACCACTGACCGTCTTCGTTACATTGGAACAACGCGTGGGTTCTTGATACCACTTTGGATTTGAATACAATAGGAGCATCAGATCCTTGTGGAGCATGGGCTGCTGCTTTGTTCTTTTCGGTGTATCGGCCAATTCGTATGACTTGGCTTGACCTAGTTCTTCTGATGATGGGAGCGAAATAGAGTCCCGAACTGGATGATGAATGATCAATGAGAGGTGTTAGTCTCAAAGAGTAGAATCCGTCCTTGTCCTTAGCACTGGCACCGACCTCTTCTTGTGTGGTGGTAACAGCATCTGTTGATGGTTCACCGCTGGCCCCTCCAACCGCTTCGGTAGCAGGTTCAGGTTCTCTTGGCTGAACCATTGTCACATCCATGTCGGTAGTTTCGTGGTCAGTACGGTTATCATCTGCTTGCGCCACAGGCAGACTCGGCGATTCTAACTCGTCCTCGGCAGTGTCGGCCGAGGTTCCAACTGGGGTGGTGGGTTCATCGTTGTTGTTGGTATTGTAAGTTCCAAAGTTAGCGATAGTGGGACTATTGGCCATAAACGCCCGAGACTCGAGCGGCTCAACTATCGCCTGTTCATGCTGGGAATGTGAACGAATAGTGTTGGTGAAGTTGACCAAAAAATTTAATCCGAGTGATGGCCGCCTCGTGTTAGCAGGTGGAGTGTCTCTCGCCTCACCACCACTAGACGAAGAGGTCTGTTGTTCTTCACCTTGAGCGGTGTTTCTAACACTGTTGCTGCTAACGGAGCTGTTTCTGAGGCCACTCAGTCCCGAGCCGGCTCTGGAGAGGGTTCCACTTGTAGGGAGGTTGGCCACGGGAGATGCTGACACGCTGCTAGAAGTACTACTAAGTTGGGACGACAGTTTGTTGGATATATTGGAGCGAGAATCGCTACGGATCTGTGATTGGGCCGAGAAATCCCGGAGTGGGACTCCACTGCTTGTCATCGCCATTGTTTGATGTATTTGTGGATAATTAGGAGATGTGTCTCGTTTTTTATTGAGAAAAAATGATTCAGGGATCTTTGATAGGGCAACCTTAAACTGAAAAGAATCACGAGTGGGTGGAGAATCAAGGCCTTTTGTAGTCGATGCTTATGTATGAAGTAAGGATTGATACAGTTACCCTCTTGTGAAGCCGTGTAATCTGAAATATCTCCGTTTGTGGTTTGAAGATTAAAACGCTGAGAAATTACAAATTCGAGTAATCTCAGCCAGCATCAACAACTTGCAATTTTCGCGAAATTGACTGAAAGTGGGCCAAAAGTCAAGCTAGCAAGAAAGCAATAATTAGGCAATTGATGCTGGTGCACAAGAGATAGACGAAAAAGCCAAAAAAATTCTTTTGCTTGGTTTATTTATACGTGTTGCTTGAACCAACTTTTCCACACGAAATACCTAATTACCCTCTTACATACTATACATATCATCCTAAATGGCTGCAAACCTAAGCCCCTAACATTCGAAGTAACGCTTCCTGAAGCGCAGATTTGCCGGACTTGGACTCCCACATGAAGTGGTTGGTTTTCTCTACCACCGTCCATTCTTCAGTATCAGTGGACAATTTTGCCAACTGTCTCTGCCAATTTCCCCAATTTTTCGACCGCTTGATCATATAGTCTGAGGAAACCACGTATAACGGGATATCTTGGAGATGAGAACCGGCCACCTCATTGTATGAAAGAATCAGGGCAGTTATCTGTTCTTGTAGTCTAGCACGAATATATTGCAGTTGGTGGACCATATCTGGACCGTATATTCTGGCTTTTGAGGAGTATTTCTTCGGATGTGTGAACCAGTGTAAATTGGTCACTACTCCCAAAGGAGACACGATTCCTTGGAACCATAACTTGAACCCTACACCAGTGGTCATCAACGATAACTCTGGAAACAGGTATGTTTCTTTCTTTGGGAATGGTTTCAACTTGAGCATGTCTTCGTGCCAGCTATCAACAAGCATTATAGACTTGGTGATGGTAGGGTTTTTAGATGCAAATGCTCGAGAGTAGAGTCCTCCCACGTCGAAACCCACCAAAGCAAATGGGCCTGGTACCCCACTCTGTTTAAGTGCTTCTTCAAGATAGTCAACTATAATGCTCACTGACACTGGCGAGGCTGCACTGTCGCTGAACCCATACCCTGGGCGGTCGTAGAAGCAATACCGTTCGAGTTTGTTCAAGTCATACAATTCCTCGATCCATTCCTGGAATTCTTCACTGGACGTTGTTTGTCCTCCTTCCACGAGCACAATGGGCTGTGACCCATTTGTCATATCACCATAGCAGCTGAGGTGGAGTTTGAACTGGTCATTGTTCACAGCAACCATTTTCCCCGGCGGTTTTTCGTGGGTATCAAATGCCATAAGCCACAAGTTCAAACTGATATTCCATATAATGACAAAAAGCACCAACTTGATAAGAAATTTGAAGGAAATGACAATGGCCTCGAAAAACGTCTTTCTGTTTTCAGGACGACCCGTATACCGAATCTCTTGATAAACCTTTGCTCTCTCAACTGTATAGTCGGCATAGCAGTTGAAGAGGACAGTTGCAAGAGTCCATAACATCAAAAAATTTCCGATAAACCCAAACTGGTGACGCAAGTAAGTCACCGAAAACATCACCAAAAAATCGACTCCCAAAAGCCCAGCAGTCACATATCCCAATACTCTCTCATAGTATGCCGGCACCGTAAAGCACCAGTACGTAAGCAAGTTGGTCAATCCACTCAAGATAACCAAGTCAATTTCTAGGAATGAACGTCCTCTGTTGTTCAAACCAGGGATAGCAACAAAGTCAGAAAGAAGTAGAATGAAGAAAAGAACGACATTTGTGATCCACATGACTCTGATGATGAATTTCACAGTTCTAACCCAGTAAAGGTTCAAGGGACTAACAATTGGGTCATCTGGTGATACAAATTGGCCTTGTACAAGCGGTTGCCGTTCAAGTTCTTCGGAAGTGAGCGAGTCAGTGCTCCCACCGGGATGGTCTGTATCACCATCTGTTCCCTGTTTGGGAACTGATACTGCGGGAGAGGTGGCATTGGAGTGATCAGTTTCGTGATTGTTATCTAAGATCTCTGCCAGGGGCCCGTCCTCTGTTGAATTGTAACTCATAACTAACGAAATCTAAGCAATACAGTTTAGCAACAATGCGAAATTGCCTGACTGCGAATTGCAGCCAGAACCTAGCAACACCATAGGATAATATTATGAATATATACTGCTGGAAATCAAGATATCACCTTCTTCATACTGTATCCGTAGTCAGAAGATATACTTTATGGGTATAGTGGGTTATCACCCCTGGCTTCATACACCCATATGTAGTCACATCCACCCGGTTGGCCTGTGAAGCACATTTTTATCGCCAAAAACACATCGCGCTTTAGACGATAACAGTCATGTCTAAAGTTATAACCATCAATTCCACCTCGGTTTCCAACAACACCACCTACTACCGCATAGACATCAAGATCCCTCTCCGGTCCCTTACGGTTCTGAGGAGATACTCTGAGTTTGACGACCTTTTAAAGACCTTATCCCAACTGCTTGGAATAGACTCCAAGGACTTCCCATATAAACTCCCAGCCAAATCTTCCATATTTACCAAGAACAGTGCATCCACCATCTCAGAAAGGAAGCAGGGGCTTGAAGATTTTCTTAATGCGTTGGTAGCAGACAGGGAACTTCAAAACATTCCTCTGCTCCATGAGTTTCTTCACCTACCAGTCATGTTCAAGTTTTCTCCATCCATGTTTAAAAGCAAGGACAGCAGCATCGGCAACTTGGTTATTTCTGATCCACAAAGTATTGATTCTACAAGATGGTTGGAGTTTTTGAGGTTATTCAAATCCAACGTGAACAAGTTGATGGAAACATACAATGAAGATCCCAGCATCAACAATAAAATAAATATAAGGAGCAAAATCCAGCTGATAGTGAAGCCCAACATGGTGATATTGGCACAAAGACTAGATGAATTGTATTCCCTGGGTACAATAGAAGAGCAAGAGTATCAAAGAAGAAAGCTTATTTCCAAGGAATTGACTCACGAGATAGAAGGCTTGTACGATGTTATCGAAGGAGGGTCGAAACCATCCACAAATGTTTCTGATTTCTCGAAACGGTCCCTTTTGGATTCCAGAAGAGTTATTGGTGCTCGTCCGGTGGAAACGAAGAAGACAATACCTTTGAACAACCGAGAACTATTACAACATCAGATTCAAATCCACAGAACTCAGGATCAGGAACTCGAGGGGTTGCGCAAGATAATAGCCCGCCAAAAGGAAATTGGTCTTACCATCAACCAGGAAGTAGAAGAACAAAATGAAATGTTGGACCTGTTGAATGATCAAGTTGAACTAACTACAGACAAGTTGAGACATGCGAGAAATAAGGCAAAGAATATATTGTGACAGCTTTTTATTCATACATGTTGAAGAGGAGTGCTCAGACTTTGGCTTTGGTTGAAGTTGGACGGGATGCGTTTTCTCAAGGAATTGAAAAAGTCGATGTTCCTCGACATATCCACTGTGTCATCCCTATTAATAGTTCCCAACTGACTCACCAGTGGAAATACCTTGGGGTCGTTTAAAATCCGTTCGTTGTATGCTCCCGGTAACTCATCTCCTATTTTCCAAAAACCACCAACATTGTTAAAGAACTTGGCCACCCCTAGTCTTCTTGGTGGATATGCTCTGCCTCCATTTTCTAGATTGAAGATGCTGGGGAAATACTGAAGGTAAAACCACGTACCAATACATGACCCGATGATAGAGCCCCCGATGATATCTCTAAGAAAATGCCTGTTATCACTGATTCTGGAGCATGAAACAAAACACGCCACCATCAACGGTAATATTGCAAGAACCACTTTGATTGAAAGGCCTCTCTTGTCAAACACTTGCAACTTTGCAGCAATATTGAGGCTCGAGATAACCATACCGCAGAATACTGTCGACAGATGCCCGCTAGGAAACGATCTGAAACCTTCCCACAATAATTCTGTACTATCTGTTGTGCAATCATTAACATTGGCCAACGTGAAGGGTTCTAAAACAGCGTTTGCGGCAGGCTCACATCGAGACAATAGATCCGGTCTTGGCAAGCCACATATATTTTTAAGAATACATGTCACCATGAGTTGACAGGCAAGACTTCCAGTAAGCACAAGCATTCCACTGTGGATATCCCATAATCTTCTTGTTAACGTGAACGTATGTCTTCCCAAAATTGAACAAAAAATGAACTGTAATAGGGGCAAACCAAAGCCGATGATCACCAAGAGCCAAAGTGGAACTGCACTTTCTGCTTCGGTTTTGTAAGTGTTCATCAAGGTAATATCTTGAAACAGAAACTCGTGAAACCGAGGAGGTGCAAATCGTCCATAGATGACGGAAGTGCTGAGGATCAACAAGTAGAATAACCAGTCAAATACGTAGGAATAGAACGATAACGACGAAATGGTATAGCTGTAGACTGTGTATGTGGAATCATTCCAATCAATATGCATTTATTCTATTTGCACTTTGCTATTTAATTCCCTTTGTACAAATCGCAACCAAGTTGTTTTTGCACCCAACTCAGTTTGTTTCATCTTCTTTTAAAAGGCTGCCAAAAGTCTTGATACCATACTCAATTTCTGGTGGTGTTAAGAAACTGAAGCACAAACGAACACTGTCTCCCAATCCTCGGTGGTTTTCAGCCACCTCGAAATTGGTTCCGGAAGCCAATATAATATTGTGTTCTTTGGCCAAAGTGCTAACTACCTTCACCAAATTATACTTGGGGTCAAGCGTGACCCAAATGAAGTATCCCCCATCCCCTCCATAGAATTTTGTTGAAGGTGGAAGATATTTCTTAATGGAATCCTTCAACACTTTGGATCTCTCTCTATAGTGAGAGATGAAATTGTTGATGATATCATCGATTGTCCCAGTAATCAACAACTCATGGATAACATAAGAATTCAACTGTGATGGTGTTCCTCCAGACTTGGTGTTTCCTTCTTGTGAGAACTGAAAGGCTAGTTTGGGTGTTGCAGTTTCATGCCAGCCAAATCTCAATCCAGGGGAGATCAATTTAGACGTTGAAGCATTGGAGACAACATGACCCCATCCATCCGTGCATGTTTCTCTATCCAAGTGAACCAATCTTGGTAATGGAGAATCATCTGTATAATTCAAGAGATCATACACATCGTCACAAATAATAAGCATATTGTGCCTCCGTGCCAACTCTATCATCTTCAATCTGGTCTTTAAAGAGTATGTCAAGCCTCCAGGATTTGAGTACGTAGGTACAATATAAATCACTGATCTATAAACTCGGTTATCATCTCTTCCAAGCGGATCAGGAAAGATTCCTCCCGTTTTGTCTTCACCGTTTTCCTTATCTATATTTTGCAACTGCATCTCGAGGGCTTCGATATCGATCTCGTACTCGGCTCCTGGGGTTTCGTTTATAGAGGCAATTCTCCCAGAAAATCCAGCGTCCACAAACGAATGGTTAATTAAAAAGTAACATGGAGATACAACGAAAACTTTCTTAGTATATTCTAGGTTGGTAGCCATCTTCAAAGCCATACCAATCCCAAAAGAAGCACCATTGGTGAGATTGAAACAGTCGGGGTCTGCTTCAGGTACATTGAACTTTCTTGCCATAAACTTACTGAGTTGTTGTCGAATGTCGAAATTTCCCGGATCAGTGCCATAGTTTAAAGGATGTTGGTTATCAGGGTCGGTGTCGTATTTATCGAAGTCCGTCTCAAGCAAAACCTTGCTGAAAGCGGCCTCGAGTTCTTTTCTTGGGTGTAGCGAGTTGGAGGCATACCCTTTGAAGAAGTTGATCACCCTGTTTGACATTGATATAGTTGTCTTAAGGAGAGTTCCACAGTTTTTGAATTGATAGTCTCGAGCGGAATTTCGCACCTAATAAGGAATAATTCCGGTACTCTATTGACCAAATTCTGAAGCTTTCAGACCATTCTAGAAACCTCCTACGAGATTTAAACGCATCTAACTACCCCCAGTCAATTCTAATCCTTGCATAACCCTATCTTTGTATCACCAAGGGCGTTGAAAAGTCGTGGCTTTACCGTCCTCAATTTCTCTAGAGCTCTTGTTTGTTCGCACAGAAAAAATTCTCAACCAATAAAAGGCTGCTTAAATACAATGGTAACGTTGAGTGGATTCATATTAAGTGGCGGATTAGGCTTGGTTGCCAGAAGATTACAACTCAGTATCATCGGTAGAGTCCCTACAGGTGGATACAAACAAATCACCGGATACGCTGCCAGTGGTGCTATTTTCATGGGATCCTATTACTTCTTCAATGGAGTAGTAGACAATAATAGACAGTTATTGAATAGAAGATTGGACGTTTTAAGAGAACAAAGAGCCAAGCAAGAATTGTTCAACGAGTTTACCCAAGCAGAAGATCACAGAATAACTGCCGATAAAAGACAAGGTAGATTTTTCTCATTGTTTGATAAATACGGGGCCAAGTATAAGTGAAGAGGACTTTACCCAACATCAACCATTCACAGCCCTTCACCATTTGCATGACTTACTTATTAGAAAACTAGCAATAGTTCTACATATTTCTGCTTTACTAATATATACGAGTATTAATCAATGATTTCAATAGCGTCGTTGTCTACGTCTTCTTCTTGTCCTTGTTGTAGAATTCCATCTTCGTCTCCTTGTTCATTTTGACTGTCTTCACCCTCTGAACCTTCGGCATTGCTATCGTACTCTTCGGCGACATCTTCGTCATCGTCTTCCTCCTCTCCCCCCTGGTAATTACCATCTTCTTCCTCGTCTTCATCATCATCGGCAGCAGAAACTGCAGCAGTCACATCTGTGGCTTGGTCTGGGGCATCTCCCGGCTTCCCATCTGGCTTCAATGGTTGTTCTTTCAAGCTTTCATCGAAGGAGTTGTTGCTGATGTTTTGCATCTTCAAGAATTCATCAATGGCTGTATAGTATAGCTGATCAATCATACTAAATTCCACAACATCTGGCTTATCTTTCTTGTCATTCTTGACCTCAAATCTCACGCTAAAGGTGTACTTAGTCACATCAGAGAACGAAAAGGACACAACATCGTTGAGCAGGAAAAGCATGATGGGTTTCTTGAAACCAAACCCAATATACGAAGGGTTAAACTCGTTTTGGTTCACCATGATCAATGATCCGTCCTTAGATCCTTTGTACGCTTCTATCAAAAGCATGTCATTGACGTTGTTGGCTCTGTGGCTGATCACTACACCAGTATCTTTGCTCATTCTCAATTTGTTTCTGTTGATGTCACAGGACGGAAGATAGTTAATCAAGTTGATGCCACAAAGTTTGAACTGTCTGGTTAAAAACTGAATGATGGCTTCATTAATGGGCTTTATACCTTCCAACTGGGTAGGCTCCAACATTTGACTTTCAGCAGTGGCAGGAATTTTTCCTGTTTTCACCAAGTGCTTTTTGACCAAGTCCAAGTTGATTTGGCACACTATAGGATCGGTCTTGGTTGGATCTGGAATGGCTTCGTCGCTCAACCAAAAACATAAAGAGCCAATGTTTTTCTTAGACTCCACTGTTGACATCCCTAATATAGGTAATAGCACACAAAGCTTGATGGCCTTGTCCAACTGAATGTATGATAATTCTGGTTCAGATGTCGTTGGATTAACTATCAGTAATATTGGATTTGCTCCGTTCTCTGGTAACAAGTGCAAAAGAAGATTCATTTTCTTTCTCAATGGCGATTGAAAGGAGATTTGGGGCAACTCAAAGATGGTTTCTTCCTCTAAGATTTTTCTATTGACTTGGATGCTGTAATCTGAAAGCATTTTGATGGAAGACGTAGGTTCCAGGTCCGCTTTCGGGCTGATTTTTCTCTTTTTGTTTTCAAACTCCTCCGTGAGGTAAGTGTATAAGCTGTCCAATACACTGACATTGCTTGTATCTTGTTTGATGAGGGTAATGATGTTGGATTTAAGTTCCTGGGGTAATGAATCAACCCATCCCAACTTCGTTACTGACATGTTTGAGTGGATAAAAATCTGAGACGCGCATTAAAATTAGCAGACAGACCAAAGGATGCTGATGTTTCTGTTGGTGACAAAGGGACTACAACCACAGCATTGATATGTAGTTGCTCGTTGTATTCATCATATAACAGACACCCCAGACAGAGGACTCCAGTTTCTAGTCTCTCAACTCCTCTGTTCCTAAGCTTCTGTATGTTAGCTTGGGAGACTAACAGGTTCCGGGACCGTACTAGCCAATCCAGTGAAAAATATATAATATGGTAGAATCTTTGGCATGGCAGTACGAAAAATGGAGGGCACTACGCAAGCTAAGCTGCTTGAGATCAAGGAATGGTGTCTAGTAAACAGGGCCTTAGTCTCCATTTGTTTCCAAAAAGAGACCAGGTTTATGCTGAGATTAGGCCGAGATATGGAACACTGGGAACACTGTACGGTGGTTCTAGTTCTGGTCTCTGGGCCATCCAGGAAGTGTGGGTTTGACTACTACCGGTGTGTGGGTTTGACTACTACCTGTGTGTGGGCGTATGGTGTCATTCCCTACGTTCGTAAATGAAAATTCACTACGTGTTATCCGATAGCACCGACTGTCCTCAACAACAGAGCTTCTGATTGGCAGCCACTAGAATGCATGTTTATCGGGGTATCTTTTAGTTTAGGGGCTCTACGATAGCTAAAAGCCTCTCCTCATTTGGGCTATTGTCGCATGGTTTGGGCGACGTTGCGAGCCAGCGGAAACCATAACTTTTCTCGAGATATCTCCGGCGAAGAATGGCAACAAAGGACGGGAAAAGAGTGGTAAACAGTTTAAACGTTGGACGGATGAGCAAGCACAAGTATAAATAACTCACTCTACCAGATAGCACCCAGACCAAGAAAATCCCCCCTTGTGAATAAAGGTGCTAAAAATAACATTCACTCCTTTGTTTCACGCCTATAAAATACTACTAGAAATCTCATCGGCTGCAACTGCTCGCCTTCATCCAAAACATGCTCCGTCATAACTTGCGGCAAGCCCTTGCCGATTAGGCGCTCGATTGGTTGAAACACAATCAGTTGTGGCACTTCCTATTAGTGCAGGTACGAACAATGGAGCGACTATTGAAAATTTCTATTGGGTTACCCTCCTCATTTCCACTTTGAGCTGCTCATCTCATTCTTTTCACACTCCTATCAATTTCTCACCCAGGCACATGTCTATTCCTTGGCATGGCGTGAGTAGTATTTCGTAAGTTAATCCCAGGGGAAACCTGGCACAAACCGGTCCGACCTCAGTGGACCCATTTTTTATCAAATACCCACCCATTCACACTAGCGAAATTTCAGCTTCAAGCACCTACCTACAACCACCTTGACTCATACACCGCTCCCCTGGCGGCTAGATAGAATGGTCCCTTTACTACCGGGGTTTACTATTGAAGGTTGCAGATAAGCCGCAACATACCAGATATTTCCTGTAGATGGTGCCAGAAACCTGAAAATGCCGTCAGCCCCGTAGTCTATATTTAGATGATTAATTAGCAGTACCCCCGAAAGACCGGCACCCTGAATAAGGCTCCAAAAGAAATATCTCCTTATCATCCGCCCTCACAATATACCTTGTAGATAAACTGTCTACTTTCATTACTCGTCAATGTCGACAATATCATTAGTGTAATCATAACAAGTGGTAATTATCCTAAAATAAACAAATGACAAACACCGGCTGGCCGCACTAACCGGAGGAGGTTTTCGTAAGCAACAGATGGCTCGTTGACGGACAGGGCCGCCTGGGTTTAGGGGCCTCACGCAGTACTCCTGTGTGGGTATCCCTCCTGTATAGATACTAAAGGGAATAATTGCTAATTTCAGTTAACAACTTACCGCATTTAGTGGTTACCATGCAGGCCCAGCGGCAAGCTTCTTTGCCCATCAGATTAGTGGCGCCCCCGAAAACTATAAAAGCTTAGGTTTTCCCTCCTCAAAAATTTTCCTTTTTTTCTTCTTTACCTAAAGAAATCTTTTTACATTCGCTATGCAATTCAAGACCGTCGTTGGTGCCGCCGCTTTGGCCACTTTAGCTTCCGCCAGTAACGTTACCGTTACCACTGACATTGTTGTCACTGACTTCACTACTTACTGCCCAGCTTCTACTGAGTTTGTTGTCAACAACGCCACTATCACTGTGACTGAGGCCACTACTATCACCATCTCTGGTGCTTGTACCATCCCAACCACCTACGTTACCTCCGCTCCAGCTTCTTCTACCGTTGCTCCAGCTGTTGAAACAGCTACCGGTGCCGCTAACAAGGTTGTCGTTGGTGCTGCTGCTGGTTTGGCCGCTGTTGCTGCTTTGTTGTAAGTTAGCATTATAGAATGTTTTTAATTTATAATATTGTAATAGTATAGGTAATATACCACTTCAACAAATAATTGTAATAGTAACTTTGTTTCTATGTAGTAGGTGGGGCATTTGAGGTTTTAGAGATAAAGGTTAGGAGTTAAAAACATCTGTCAAGAATGGGAAAATAATCTCATACCAGTACAATTTTACAAAAATATTAGTCAAAATAGGGGGGTTTACTGTTGTTTTCGTTTTTTAACTCTTTTTTGGTTTTCGTCAAAAAATGGTGTGGCACACACCGCCTGCTGGCTCATTAACAGGGCATTTACTTAGAATAATAGCAGTGGGTTAGATAATTAAATGCCATGGGTATACTGATAATGTTGTATGGAGTGTGGGCTTTCTAATGATGTAGATTGAAGGTTTTTATCATTGATATTCGTAGACTTAAATGGTTAATATAGTCTTATGCTGGTTAATTTGAAAAATTGTCCTACAAGAAAAAACAAATTTGGCAGAAATTACTAGAGTTTTAAAGCTTTTCAATACTTGAACTATTATCATTATTGTACATATTTACAACTTTTGATAGAATAACAAGTATGCGTTCTTGGTATCGTCATCATTACTTAAGACATCGTCCTCATCAATGTTGTTGATCGAGGTGTCATCTATCCTTATCCACCTACTTGAATCTGATACCGTCATTGGTCTCAATACATCACAAGTGTAATGACCTCCTTCTGCTATTATCCCGTGATGGTACACCACTCCTGTCAATTTGTAGTCTCTGTTGACACTCTTTCTCCAGTTGGAAAACAACTCGAGAGGAATGCTAAGCTTGTGAGTGTACTCAATCTTCTTCCTTAACTTTTCAATGTTTCCGTTGTTTACGTTTTCAAAACTGAATCTCTTCAAATGAATGACTAGCACATCCGGTAAGCTGTCTATGAAAGTTTGCTTTTTGGCAAGAACCTCTTTATTATCGTTCAACTTGAAGGGGATTTGTTCCGGTTCATTTAGTTGCTTGAATGCATCTTCGATATTATTAATTTGATCGGCTTTTATGTCAAGTTGGATGCATTGGAAAGGATCCAAAGTGATGCTTTGGTCCTTTTTGTTTGGAATTTGTAACACACTTCTGAACTGGCCTCCAAAAATGGTTTTTATTGGTGATGGTTCAATTTCAACCGTTCTCTTGGAACTGACTTTTTTATGACCTCCCCCGATTTCATTCCATCCTTCATTGTCATCATCATCGTTAGAATTGTCATTATCATTACCACCATTGCTTGAGTTATTCAACTTCTTAATGATTTTGATGGCATTTTTGATTTGTAATTTCGTCTCATTGTCTGCAACTGTTTCCAATAATAAGCTAATTTGCTCATTATTAACTTCCCTGATAGAATGAACCAACTCTTCATGTAATCCGTCCAACAAATATCCGAGAAATTCTTCGGCATCTTCTTGTTGTCCCCATTTCAAATGTTGAAACTTGCGGTGGCCACTTAATTTCATGTAGAAGCCTTCGGGAGATAAAGACTTGGTACCGGACGTACTAAAGTCCCTGAAAATAGAAATGATGGCATCGATTAATGGGGTTTTGGACTCATTCAATGAGCCAGTAGACTTCTGCTCGAGGATTCGGAAGAGCTTATTGAATGGCTCACAGTAGATAAGTACCTGAAGGATACTGTTCATGTAACAAATGTTCCCACTGTTTGTCAAACCTCTTGAATAAATATGGAAATAGTCACTTGAATCTGAATCTTCCAAGAGGTTGAACATACACTTGAGACTCAATAAGCCAACAGAATCAATTTCTTGGGTGGCTTTGGTAACAGGTACCAAGGGTACCATTTCAGTAGCAGCATCCTTTTGTTGAGATACTTGTGGAGTTTTAGATTTAGGCTTCTTAGACGAAACAGAAACAATGGAGGCCCAGTCTTTCTTTATGCTATGGTACTTTTCATCACCTTCCTCTTTTTTGTTGTAGTCGATGATACTAGTGCTTGGCTTGCTTATTATAAGATCTTTTACTTGAAGGATTGATTTAGCCTTGAAAGATTCTCTTCTTTTTACCAAAAATTGTCTGTCTTGATGGAATTCACTCGAGCTGGTATTTATGTACAATGGTAAGTGTCTTAGTATCTCCGGTTGTTCTGGCTCTTCGGTTTCCGAAGTAACTGGCTCCGAAGACTCCACAGACGTCTCTTTATCTGATACCGCCGTTACGGGTCTGGGGAGTTCTTCTTCCTTTTGCTCTTCCTCCACAATTGGGTCAGTAGCGTCAGTAGAAGCGGGTGAGGTCTCACTACTCTTTGTGGTGAATGACCTTGGGGTGGCCGATTGGCTCTTGTTGTAGGGTTTCCGTTTGTTTCTGACATTAGCGTCAGGAGGCATATTCATCATGTTGGGCATTTGCCCGTACATAGGACTAGTAGGCATGTACTTATAGGAAGTAGGAGGCACAAACGGCATGGCGGCATACGGGTTATACTCATACTGAGGATATACCATATATGGGTTATAGGCAGCGGTATAACCGCCATAGATATCCCCGTTCATTGAGGGAGGAGCACCATTGAATTGCGAATTGACAAGATTCATGTTGACATTCATCATATTCATTCCCATAGGGTTCATGGGAGTCATACCCATTGGTGGGTTCATGGGGCCTGGTGGCTGCATATAACTATTGGCAGCACCCGGGTGAACATAGTTCTTTGGAGAGAAAATGGCAGCATCTTTACGAAACTTGCTGGGGCCGGTACCATTTGAAGTACTGGAGGTGTTGGATTTTGTGGCGGACATGAAGAGATTCACACGATAATGAACATGAAATAAATCGAACAAATGACAAGGTTATAATAAATTAAGTAAGGATTCGGGGTGACTTTATATCAACAGCAAGAACCACACCGGATGGATTATTTGAAGTGCAAAACAAGGGGTTATGAATGACGAATGGGTGGCAAGTCTCCGGAGGGGGAATATATATCCAATGCTTACAAGGTCTGGAGGATATGCAAAAAAAAATCCGTCTGTTTATCTGTCTTAAAAGACACTGATCTATTACAGTTGGATTTCTATCTTTGAGAATTGTTCCCTATGAGTGGTTCTGAAAAATTTTCAACTACGGAAAACAATTTGACGGGGTCGTGCGAGACTCACGGTGTCTTAATCTATGATACTACTAAAGTTTGCAAGCAGCACCTGTTTGCAGAGATTGGCATTGGGATTGACTCGTATGATGAGAGCAGCAAGAATATGAGGACAAATGGCCGGAGGATCGAGCAGGTCAAAATTTATCCCTTGAAATACCTCGTGTGTTTCGGTGGTCTGCTGGTAAGTGAATTTTGGCTGCGACTGAGAAAGCCAGTCCTTGGTGTAGCATGACTGAAGTTTGTCACACGAGCAGTACCAATTGGGCAAATCAACATAGAAACGGGTCGTTTGAGCCTTGGGATTGGCTTTCAATTTTTCCACTGCATCTTTTTTTTCCTCTGTGATTTGTGGGGCAACTGGGGTATCTAAGAGCCGGCTGGAACTGAATTTAAGGCCGAGCTCACCTAAAAGATCTGTTATTTCAAGCTCAATTACCTTTGAAATAAGCTCAATTCGAGCATGCTTCGAGAGACTGCTGTTGAGTTTAGGCCCTTTAGTTTCGTATACGACAACCATACTTTGGGGGTTGCCAAATTCCTCATTATCTAAGTGGGTTGGTTGGTGAGCAGTGTAAAAATGGATATTTTCCCGATTAGACAATATTTCCATGGCATCGGTGAAGATGTCTCCAAAGACAAGTGAAAGTGTCAAGCTCCTATCTTCGTCGATGCGCGTAGTTTGTTGGGGATTGGGGATTGTCCCTGAAGACTGTAGGGAGGTGAGATCTTCTTTGATGGTTTGAAGTTGCGCTTTGGTAGACAGAAACTCATCATTGAGTACTTGAAGTTGGTTATCGATGTAGCTGAGAACACTGTCCGCAAGAGGTGTTGGCACATACAAGTGAGTAATCAAGTCAGGCAATAGTCTAAGAAAGCCATTTCCGTCATTGAAAAGTTGTTCCATAGTTTTAAAGCGCGTATGGACTGAGAGACTATAAAATCAACAGTTTAGCAGGAAGGAGAGAGAACTTATCACAGTAAATAACCGAACACTACCAGCAAACAACCACATCAACAGAGTAGGCCATCACCAACCTGGCGGTTGGAACATAATTTAGCACCGTTCACAACTACAATCCACCAGAACAATGAAGTAGTTGTGATACACAATTGTAGACCCTAACAAACTCCACTTATCACTACCCACCTGCCACAATCATTACTTTTCAAACATTCAAATCTCCTAACTCGAGTGCCTGAAAAATTAATGATTATTAAAATAATAAACCATTAAAGGTTGAAATCAAAAATTGTAAGACCCACACTAAAAAGTTGGTATTAAACTCTTTGTGACTAATGTGCAATGTCGCCAAAGATTAATAGTTATAGGACTTCTTGATCTCCTATAACGCCTCTAGGTAAGTATGAAGAAATCAAAATGGATGCGCCTTCTGCTCGTCTTTATAGTTTTTTCCCACATCCGGGTTACTCATGCTTGTGGACGAAAAAATAACTACGCTTGAATTATTTGCACCCAGTTTATTTGAAGTCTATATAAGTTTGATTTTATGCTCTTTGGACGTTCCGATGTTCCTGATGACAAGATTGGTACCTTCTGGAATGTGTGCCAGAATATATCCGATCCCGGCCATCTTCCCCCTGTTCAAGTTGTATCCTCCAGTGGTGACAAAGCCAACTAAGTTCTGGATATGACTAGCATTTTCGACATATATTCTGGCATGGTCATTTAAGGTTCCGTTTGGAAGTTCAAATCTAACTATTCTGATAGGAAGTTTAGGCAATTTCGACAAGTCAACCTTGTAATCGCCTCTCGTAAAAGATTGGTGGAACGAATTGTTTGGATCAAACAACTCGATACACAACTTGAAATTTCGTGAAGAATCCACATGATCCACCAAGTCATCCACAGATCGGATTTGCTTGACCATGTTCTCATCAAATTGGCCAAACTCAAACTTGTCCTCCAATTTTCCCACTTTCTTGGTGATAAAAATGAGCTTCGTGAGGAACTCCCAATCGTTTCCAAACAGGAGTAATCCTTTTTCAAACTTTTCTCTTTGCCTCTTGGAAAGAGGAAGCTTGTTGTACTTCTGCTGGCTCAACTTGATCTGAAGCTCGTTGTCTATCCAGCTTTCTGGCAAATATGGATAGTCTTCTAAGTAGCTTAACCGACCATTTTCAAAGTCGAGCTGCTTTAATTGGTTCATGCCTCCAAGATGAATATGACTGATCTGGTTCAACTTCAACCAGATGGGCAACACCCAAAACCATGGGACGATTAAACACCATGAGCTTGAAGTCTTAGTCAACAAAATAGGAATGGACTCATTGATACCAGCAGGATCGGGGTGCTTGTTGAGTTCTTTTGTGGTGTGCTGGTTAAGGTACGAGTGGTTTCTGCCCTCGGGGTCAAAGAGCTGTAGAATGCTTTCCTGGTCTATCAAGCCACTGCTCAATTTGATTATCAAATCGTTGTAGCTCATCTCTTGCAGAACAGGTGGATTGACTGGCTTGGACCATAATCTGGGATCCTTGATGTTGAAGCTCATTGTCGTCCCCGGTTGGAAATCATCATTATAATTGCAGAGGTTTTTGAACTCAGGGATCTCTTTGGTGATGTGGAATATTTTGTTGAGACTCCTCAAGCTGGTAGGCCCCACCAATTCTATGCTCCCCAAGGAGTATCGACAATCCTGCAAGTTAACACCGTATGTTTCTCTTATATGATTAAAAAGCTCTTCGTAAATAGAAGGATGAATTCTCAATAGCGTCTTTCCTGCTGCTGGGCTACAGTACATCAAACATATACCAACAGGTTTAGAATCAATATAAAGCCAGCCATTGTAGCTTTTATGGCCCTTGAGTACAGATATAGATGGTTTTATGAGGTTCAGAATGACAGTTTCATCGTAGTCCATAATCAAACTGTCAAAATAAGAAGTGTCAAAAATGATGGTGTTTGATTTTGCAGCCCGATTGGTAGACTTAAAACACTTCTGCGTGGGGCTCAAGGGAATTTGATACCCCCATCGTTTCACCAAATGAAACCTTTTGGCATGCCAAACGTGCGTGGTGAGCCAAACGTGTTCCCTTTGTCGTTTACTGTATTTCAAGTTTCCTTTGGGCCTGACGGCTAGCTCGTTCACACCGGTATTGTCGTACGAACCCATGATATTATTCAATACTGGTTTATTGTGGGATTTGCTAGATCTCAAGTCAGCCAACTGCTCATTCAACTGCTTGATTCTCAGCTTCATATGGGTTTGGCTATCAATTGGCACTGATTTGAGGAGTTTTACTCTTGATGCCAATTTCAAGAGCTTCTTGGACATTCTCAACTGATAAATCTGTTTACTAGTGGGCTTTTTCTTGGTGATATTGGTATCTTGCATTTCTCTGATGGCCCTATTTCTCAAGCGCTTGGGGACTCTTTTGACGTTGTGACTGGCAGTTCTCCGTCTCAATATTCTTGGTAGACTTTGAAATACTCTATTGGCAGCAGAGGCCCGAGTCTTCAACTGGCTAATTTCAAAGGAGCGGATTTCAAAGCTTCGGGCACCTAGGAATTCAGGAACAGAAAGAAGCCCATCCTTGTAAGCGGGGTCCGCCAACTCTGTTCTGATGGTCCTGGTATTGAATATCTTCTTTCTCTTGTCCATTGTTAAACTTGGATTCAAACAGAAGTCGCGATGCTCATTTTAACTGAGGCCGATTCTCATTTTTATAAGATTGAAATGCTGTTATATACGGTATATACATCTTCGGCTTCTAGTAGTACGCACACGTGTAAATAGTTTGTAGATGGGCATGATCCTTCTGCCACTCGGCCAAAATTCCCATCATCTGGTCCTCCAAAATCGCATCACTCACATCATCAATCGTACCTTCGGCCAATTTCTTCTTCTCTTGTCTCTTGAAGTTGTGGACCATTCCCACGAGTTTTACGATCCCGTTTCCACCTATCACGGCATTCTCATTGTCATCCTTGATATCGATATTTATGATATGTACCACTTGTTTGACCTCATTGTCATTGTAGTCATTGTTGTGTAAACGGAACATCAAATCATCCACCACCGAATCAAAACATCTCTCTTCACATGTTATTACCAAGTCAAATTTCCCGGCGTATGAGTTTGCATGCCACCGTTCAGGTGCTCTCTTAACTTGCTTATTTCTGGTTAACATGTGGATCAAGCCATTTGACTCATATAACTTGCGGCAGTCCTGTGACATTAAGTCGTTGTATATATCTTCATAAGGAGTACCAAACTGATACACATTGGGTTTGTCTATGGTAGGTCCTGGTAATCTGACAGCTGAACCAGTTCCAAATGACTTGATGTTGTAGCCAGCATCTTTCAATTGTTTGTGGGCTTCCATGGATCTATTATTGTTTGCAGCACACACAGTACATACTCGGAGACTATCCGGGACCGCTTGAGTGATTGTTGCCGACATGCAGTGATGATTCGTTATATGTGTATGTAGTAGCTTATTATATATAAGTTTAGAGTTGAGTGCGACAAAAACTGCCTAGACCTGGGTCGCACACGACGCTGCCATTAGCTGACCCTATCAAGGTCTTCGTCTTCGACTATGTCGTCTTCGTCGAAGTCATCGACAAAATCGACGAAATCGGCATTTACTTCGGAAGCAGGAGCTTGAATTTCATTGATGGCCGATTTAGCCGCAAAATGCACAATTTTGTTGTTCTTCTCCAAACACTCAGCTTTGAAGGTATTATAGTCTTGTAAATCATCAACTAAAATTCCAATCATCATGGACGGATCAAGCTGACTTATAGTCAACCTCTGATATCTTGGAGTGTGGTACGAATTGTATCCGGCATTAGTACCTTGAGGGTAATGAGGATCCAAATAGAGCAACTCATCGTTATCATATCCGAAAAAGTAGAAGCTAGAGGATGGTTTCCCGCCTGCAATACCGACCGATTGTTTGCAGTTCAATAACTGGAGAATGCTACTGTAGTAGAACTCGTTGGTCTTATCAATACCCAACCTAATTGGCAATAATATCAAAAGAGACTGTTTTTTCTTATCCAAAAACTCTTGCACCTTATCATCATACAAGTCCGAGTTTTCACTGATCAAGACCAGCAACCCTGGCAAACCAAAATTTTCTTTAGAGTTCACCAAGTTGCACAATCTTTGAATTGACAACGACGCAGCATTGGGACCAAACCATTGACCAGGCTTCACCTGCAAGGGCAGTTCATTGGCAACTCGGATGAAGTTATGCAAGGAGAAAGGCGCTGCTTCCAGGTCTTTAAACTGGTCAAGAAGCTGAATTTCCTGTTGGGCGTCTTCACTGATCATTCGCTTATATGTGTTTGCAAGCAAGGATTGAGATGTTCTGATCATACATCCCCAGCCCACGTCGGTGGTAAAGTTTTCATTGTCAATGAAGCTGTGGACATTTGTAGACAATGGATTCTTGTTGAACACCATCGATTGTACAAATGCCAATGGGTGAGGGCCATTCGGGTTCTTAGGTATTGGTTCAAAGCCTGTGCGATACGTCAACCACACAAGAGCTTCAACTTGCAATAAAAACTCATCTTCAACTTTGTACGATTGGCCCATTATTATCTTGGGCGGCTTCTCTACTATGACTTCTGTTTCATTTCCCGGGTTACTCGTTGGCCGGGGTATATGTTGCCATAGTTCTGAGAAGCTAAAGCTTAAGCCTGATCTTTCAGGGGGGGCGTCTTCAAGGGGGGTTTCAAGAGAATGTTGTTCTGGTATATCTTTTGTACTCATCGAAGCCATTATATGATCAATAGTCGGGTGTTTGGAAGGTTGGGGACAGTTTGACGCTGTTATTGACGTGAAGACGATAACAGATCCCACGGATTTTTGATAACAGTTATCTGTCGCGATATTTGTGATCACAAATAATGCGTCTCACAAATCTGAGACTTCTAATGGCGTGAGCCAGACCTTGTCAGTAATAGGATGAAACTGATGGATTGGTCAAGATTACTACAAAATTGAGTATATATGTGTTTGGGAATATGGGGCCTGTTTAAGAGTTGGGTCAAGTAACCTATTCATGGGAGCACAATTGGCTGCAAAACTAGATATGAAAATCAAATCAGTACATTTTCAAAAAACTAAACAACAGAAAAAGAACTAAACAAATAGCTAGAGAACCAGTCTCCTTAAGAAATAACAGTGATATTCTCATCGCTCGTGAACTTGGCTTGAGCCAAAGAAATAGTTCTTGCGTCAAGATCGTAGACCACATAAGCATTTCTCAAAAATACATCTCCTAAGATGTGGTAATTGGTTTGTGGCAAAAACAAAAATCCAGTCTCAGTAAGAGCATTTCCATCACCGTCATAGAATGCACCAACGGTATAGGAAGCTGGGATGGTGACAGAAACACCATCAAAGTTGACGCTGATATCTTTAGCATCAGAAGCGGAATCAAAGTAATAGAATCCTGAACTGGAGTATTTAGCTCCAAGAGCCGAAGCAAGGTTAGCAAGAACAGTTGGGTCAAGGTAGTTGATAGTTGTACCGGAGTCAAGCACGTAGTTGGAACCGATGTCGATAGTCTGTCCATTGGTGGTAACAGAATTGACATTGAGGTCCAAGTCATTTTGGGACACAACTGGGTTGGACACCAAAGAGCCACTGTACTTGGCGTGATCGATACCACCGAAAAGAACACTTCCCTGAGCAGCATCGGACGAGTCCAAGTAAAGCGAATAAGCATTTTTGTGGATGTATCCTTGACTGACTAAAGACTGTGGAACATTTTGGTACTTGTCCGCGGTAGCTTCGTTAATTGGGAAACCAATTCCCAAAATACCAAAATTGATGGTGGAGGTGGTAGCATCACCAAACTCCTGGTTCTTGAGTGATGGACCCCCGGTTCCTCCGAGTTGAATGGTGTCAGAAACCCAATCACCTTCTGCGTGGGATTGATCTGCATACGCGACTGCGAATCCAGAAGCAATTCTCAGGAAGGTAGAAGACGTTGTGTGGTCATAAACCCCGTAGGTACCAGAAATACCTGAAGAGGTATCAACCACCCACAAGTCGGATGAGCCAGTATCGACATCAACCTTGACCGCCTGTTGGTTGGAACCAACAAGAATCTCAGCCACATAGTACAGGCCTTCGTTGATCAAAGCGTAGTTGTAATCATCGGCTCTTTTGGTGAAGTTACCGTTGAGAATGAGCTTGTCAGGTCTTTCGATATTGAAGTCTAACTTGATGGCTCCATTTTCTCTCTTCTGGAAACCAGGAACAGCGGCAGCGTTAGAGGTTGCAAAAGATAATGCCAATGCAATGGCATATAAAACCTTGAAATTAGCGAACATGGTAGATAAATTTGGTTTGTTTGTTTGTTTTACAGTAGAAACTGATGATAGACTGAAAAGATGGGAGGATACATGGGTTTATATACCTTTTGAAGGAAACCCGCGTGGTTGTGTGGGTGTGGATTTGAATCACCTAAACCTTGTTTGATCCGTACGGTGGCTGCTAGAACCACCACAAGTGTTGAAACAACTGAAACGGCTCTGCCGGATTAGTAAACCAATTGACAGTTAGATGTGGCAGAAAGCCTATTTTGCTGCTTCAAATTCCATTTGGGCTTGAGTGGTTTAATTCGGTTGCAAAACAATAGGGTGTTGCGTGCTGCAAACCGCACCTGTCTCCACTTTATCAACTGAGGTGATACAATTAATCCTGAAAATAATTTGCACTCTGTTAACAGGAATGTCGGTTGTGAAGAGATACGATCAGCCACAGGGAAATAGAGGCGAAAATAAATTCGGTTGATTCAAGATTTACACGGAAGGCAGATGGGGTTAATTCGTTGATTATTTTAGCATATACATTTTGGTGAACAAAAGTTCGCCCTAACCGTTACACCCAATCGAAAAGATGGTGTAAAAATTGCCACTCTGGAACACCTAAAGGAGGAAAACTCTGTTCTTGTGGTTGCAAAATATGATTCACTTGCCAAGAAAATGAGTCAGGGGATGAAGTTTGTACAATTAGTAAAAATATGATAAAAAATGGTTTCTAGTCTGAAAGAGAGGAGACACCAGATTACTGAATAAAAGTCTTTTTCAAGAGAAATAGAATTTGCAGGATCATTCTATTCCAATTTCTCTTCAACCCTTTAGCTCAACAGGATATATACACCATGCTCTTTTCAAGATCAAGCGACATATTTCTCTGATTGGAATGGTAATACTATTGTACCGTATCCTTCACTGATGTAGTCGTGAAAGGGTTTCAAGGTTGGGCGCTTTTAAAGGAATTCACTTTGGTCAAAACTCTGTCAACAAGAGCATATAATATAACCTTTTGAGGCTATTAAGCCTCCAGTTATAGTGTCAATCAGTCATTTATATTTGGTTGTCTACGAATCTAGTTTTTGATGTAGCAAGTTCTATATACCCAATTAACGACATTCCGGTTAACGGAGTGTGAATCGGGATTTAACTGTAATCAAATATACCCCGGCAACTTTAAACTGTTATCCGAACAACTGGAAACAGGGCCAACTCTAGGGATGGCATCTTCATGAGCGGCATCTTCTACAGCAGTGTTACAGGAGAGTCGGTGCAGTTTTCCATCCACACTAAAGTTAAATGGTGGCTTGCAAGGTTTAGTTCTGCAGCAGCTGTAGGCTTACTTGGTTGTGACACAAAGTGATTTTGGAGCAAGAAGTTAAAAATACAAGCTCAAGACCTAGAATTTCATCCTGGGGTTTAGAATGGTGACCCGATGCAACACAAAGTACAGTTAACGGCGATATCGGCTCTTATGCCTATGGTAGAATGGTTAAAGTTGCTCCTGGATGGCTGAACCTTAATTTATTATTTCACATATCGGTTATCAATGGAAGAGAATCAACATGGCAAGGCCACGGGGTTTGGCAATCGGCAAATCTGCAAATCTGGGATACCGTCCCTCTGTATCAGGATACGATCATAAACACCTCACTATTGTTCAAACTTTGATTCCGGGTTTGTTTAGAAGCTCTGGTGCTTACTGCATACTTGCTCATATACAAGCACAACAATTAAATAACGTCTGGGCTTTGCTGAAACTATGGAGTTAAGAGACCATGATCTATATAAACGACTCAGGGGCTCGGTTTTCGAGTAGCCCTGTAGTTTAGGTTGGGTTCAATACAGGTGTTCCCCTATTATTTGTAATTACCTCCGAAGCCACACAACTACCCTGGTACAGTCTTTCAAAGTTTTGACATTCCGAAACCACAGTATCCTCAAAACTAAGTGAGAAGCTCTGATGCCGTGTCTGGGGTAGGTCCACCACGATTTTTGTCATTGGTGTTGTCAGGCATACCAAGCGCAATGTTCTTTCTATTGTTCAACTTTAAATGGTTGCTAAAAATAAACAGCAGTAATGTCCAACAGCGAAGAATGCAATTGAGAAATGATCCCGTTATTTCCTTGAGTGTGCCAGTGGTGGGTGTATTCTGAAAACAACATGATCTCTAGAACCAAGAGGTACTACCTTAGGAAGGCACACATCATCAATTCCTTCACCTTTGGAAATAAAAGCATATGATCCTGTAAAGAATTTTGTTGCGCTTCCGAGGCTGACTCCAAGGGCCTTTTAAAGGGAGAATATCAGTATCCACTCAGTCATTCTTAATAAAATCGCCATAAACCCTGTTTGGTGGTAGGGGTTTAAGAGGTTACCCTTGGAGGAAGCATCATTTGGAAGGGTTGTTTCACATGGAACAAAGATGAAGTGTTGAAGTTGAGCTCGAGAGCCTAACTTTGCAGCTACGTTTTTGGATTCTTCATTGGTCTTGTTTTCAGACAATTGTAGACATTTATGAAATAGTTCTTTGGCATTTTAAGTAGTAGATGTTTGACTTGGTTTTTATTGGGATGTTAGATTGTGTTCTGAACCTGTAATATGGATTAGAACCTGGTCATGTTGTACAGTGTTTTTAGTACTAAACCTAACAGATACAATTGACCGTGGTTCTCCTCCATCAATCACTTGTTTTTCTTCTAGAATGTATACCTTAAGGCTGTGGCAGCTGTTCTTATAGCGTGTCCCCCTCTTCGTGGATGCACCTACGGAAGAAGTTGAGATGATATTTGACTTGCTCAGCATTGACTTGAACCTTGATTTGAACCCTTAAAGTCAGTCAGTCATTTATGGGATTGATCCCAAATAGTTGTTCCTACATGCTATTTTATTTCACATTATTCCATTAATATGTGATTTCATCATTGCTATTTATTATGAAGTAGCATTTAGGTGTATCTAGTACTGGTTGCAAATTTCCCATGTGTTCATTCGATGCGGTGGTTTTGATGGGCTGGGGAAACATCGAGATGATACTTAGAGTAGAGTAACTGGAAACTTGTGGCCATGATGAAACAAACACATCAGCCTATTAACCTTACACTTGTTTTCTATCATTATCTGTACAGTTTTTCTCTGACCGACAAAGATGTGTGCAGCCAACATTCCAGTTGATAGCATCGTGCGTTTCGCACCGCATTGATTTTTAATCAAAGGCTGCTAACAAGAGTCATAAACCAAATCAACTATTACAAATGCCTGCAAGAGGACGAGGAAGACGTGGTGGTGGCCGTGGTGGCCGTGGAAGGGGAAATGCAAAGGCCTCTGGAAGGTTTAGAAACAATAACTCCAAAAAGCAGAAAAGTAAAGGTACTTCTAACAACCACAGAAAACCTCCTTCAGATGCTCCTGAATTGATGGATCTCTCCCAAGGTGTATATATACCCGAGGTTGGGGGTCCTAAGTCCAGCATGAGGTTTCTTTCAAGAAGACCTGAACGATCGATGATGGCTGAAGCACTTTACACCGGTGCCCATATGGATGAAACCATGCGTTTGCCGTTGAGAAAGCGACCCATTGAATTTGTCAAGGCAAAAGAAGTATATGATCCAAATAACGAGTTGCAGCGTAAGTTTAAGGAAGTGACTTTAGAAGAGACTGAGGAGAACAAGATAGAGGAACCGGAAGGTATTATGGATGGAAATGTGTCTAGTGAAGAGAATGCTACAGACGAAGAGGGAGAAGTTTCTGTTCAAGAAGATGTTATAAGAGAAAAGGAAACTTCCAAGCAAATTTCCAGTGATGACGATGAAATATCCGAATACTCATCTCAAGAGTCTTCCGATACAAAAGGAACAACGCCCAAAGAAGTGGAGTTTGTGATTGACGAGGAAGGAGATGCCCTGATAGATGTCTCAGGTATACCCAAGCCAAAAGTGTCGTTGTTGATGCCAACAGTACCAAAACATACCGAGGCTTCCAGTGCTCTTGAACATGACAGCACGTTAACCATTGGTAAAGTGACTCTTCAAACAATGATAAACGAACATGGCGAAATGGAAACTGAATTAATGGCCATCAACCTGTTGAACAAAGTTGCTAAACTGGGATTTTTCGATGAAACCCTATTACGTTTCGAAAGTGATTCAGACGAGGAAGAAGAAGTGGATTACGATAGTGATCCTATGGGTTATAGAGACTACATCAATCAAATCATGAAGCAGATGAAGGATGAAGACGACTATGACAGCAGTGAGTACGAGAGTGATACAAACTTTGATATCATGGCATCTTCAGGGGAAGAAGAAGAACCAGAAGAAATACAGGAACAAGAAGACCATCAAACCGAAGAGAATCCAGAATACGGGTTTCTTGAAGAGGACTATAACTTTGATGTTTCCAAGATTTCGATTTCCAACGTGCGGTTGGGTCTTCAAAACCAGTACTACACCTGTTGCCCTGATATCAATGGGACATCAGATTCAGTTTGGTTGGATGAAGAGGAAATCACAAGCTACGTTTCGGAAAATGGAGTTAAAGCACATAGGCTCAAGAGTTTTTTCAAATTTCTTACCAAGGATCTTATAACAGATGAAAAAGATCAACCATATTACTCAGATGTGTACATATCTGAGAGTTCAGAGGATGAAGAAGATGTCCCTGGTGAAGAAGATGACAACTTGGACGATTTGGTTTGGTTTACAAAGACAATGTCGCAAAATCCCCATGAGTTGGACCTTGAACCAACAAAGTCCATCCAGACAAAAGGCAAAGGAAAGAAAAAGCGATTTGATTTGGATACTTTTGAGATGGACAGCGACTTGAGGCAGACATTACAAGAACAGTACTTATCCCAAAGAGAGGCCAAGAGACTTCGAAAACAAGCTAAAGATGACAAAAGAATAGAAGAAGGTATTGCCAACAATGACTTATTCCTCAAATACCCATACACTTTACACATTAAAGACATCAGAGACGAAATGGAAGAATTCCTTCACGATGGTACCAGAAACAGATTGAAGTTTCCTCCTTTGGATCCCCATGGAAATAAAACTATCAGCAAGATGGGTGAGTGTTTCAACTTCAAAAGTAAAAGATGCGGAGGAAACGGTTTACATCAGTTCATGGAAGTAGTGAAGTCCAAAAGGACATTCCAATATATTCCTGATTACAACAAGGTCTATGGGATCTTGAAACAGAGACCGGTTTTCAATCGAATCGACCAAAAAAGACCAAAGGATGAGATTATAGAAAGAGATGGTAACAAGTTGAAAGATAGAAAAAGAGCAAGGGACAAGGGTTCGAATGCCAACGTCAGGGAAGGTGATATTGTTGGTGAAAAAGCTCCTGAAATTGATTCCAATAATGTTGGTAGAAGATTGTTAGAGATGATGGGTTGGTCTAAAGGACAAGGATTGGGTGCGGTCGGTAACCAAGGTATCAATGAACCTGTTCTAGCCAAGGTGAAAATGAGCAAATTGGGTCTTAAATAGACCAGGTTATATTTATTATTAGATCTATAAATGCAAATGCGTTTCACCGTCTTTTCTTCTTGACTTTATTAACTGGTGCAGCATGCCCAGTTTCCTTGACATGTTGGAATAGTTTGTTACGAGAACTGAAACTGTTGTTGCAAGTAGCACATGATTCCAGTCCTTTTGCAGTAGATTGTGAAGGTGATGGCGATGGAGAAGAGGCCCCTGGTAGAGAAGGAGTATATGTTCCCTTTTTCTCTGCCTTTTTCGTCCTTTTCTTGGGTTTTTTACCGGAATTACTCCAGTCATCTTCGTCGCTGTCAAGATTGATTCCAGAAGCCAAACCAGTGATCTTCGATAGCTCGTCCTCTAGATTCAAGATTGAAGAAGACTTCTTATTTTTACCTTTAACCTTGGTTTTCTGGGGTTGAGATGAGGATAAATCTTCACTGTAATCATCACTTTCAATCGAGTCATCAACCTCAAATACCAAAGGATCAACAGACTGATTTTCTAAATTGGTCTCTGAAGTATCAGAAACAACAGGAAATTCCTCGTGGCTTGCTTCTTCGTCTTCAGACTCAGAATTATGTTCACTGGCAGTTTCAAACTGCTCATCAATTCCTAGTTCCACACCCTCTTTTCTCATCTCGTATTTCAACTTATTCACTGCCTTGCGGTGGTTTTTGGAGTCTTCGTGAATCTGGTACTGTTTCTCGTTCTTGAATACCTTGTCACAGACAATGCACTCAAAAACTTCTATATCATCCACTTGTTCAAATTCGTCGAATTCACTGTCTGAGCTTGATTTATACTCTTCATTTAACATTCCTTCAAGTTCATCAAGTTCTTCTACGGAAAACTTTTGCCAATCTTGAACCTCAAAGTTGTTGGACTGTGATAGTGCTTTCAATCTTTGTTGCTTGTTGAGCTTTATCTGATTGTCAATTTCTTCCTTCTTTTTCCGTTTCTTCTCCTTCTCCAACTCCTGTATCCCCTTTTTGACTCTAGGGTCTCTCTTCTTGATGAACTGGACGAAGTTTCTTATAGTCTCATTATACTCTTTTCTAGCAGCTTCTCTGAACTTTTTGTTCTCCTTCTCCATTAACCTTCTTGTCTTTCTATCGGGAGCAGAACTGAGCCGGTATTCGTCTTTCCAACTGAAAGTCTTTACCGTTTGGAACAGCGACCACACGTTATAGAACAGTCTGATGTTGGTGGCATAATCGGTACCACTATTACCAAACTTTGGGTACATCAACACAGAGTCGTCTAGAGCACTCACGTTGGGAGAGTTATCTTGATACCTCTCATATTCTGGAAATTTCTGGTGTCTTCCATGGTTTATTTCTTCTGAGGCAAGTCGTCCAAATAAACTAGCTACCACGTAAAAGAACCCGTTCTGACTGTCGTTAATTTGAGAATAAAAGGAAGGATTGAAATAACGATACAACTCTTCTACAGAGATCGATGGGATAACCAACTCGTCATTTTCTGTTTCGACGACTTTATCGTCGTTCAAGATCAGGCCTTTATGAGAGTCATACCATGATCTTTCCTGTGGATCAGATAACACCTCGTAGGCAGCACGTACTAAGGCAAATCGGGCAGTAGCACCCTCAATATCATCAGGATTTTTGTCAGGATGAAGTTGTAGAGCCTTTCTTCTATATGCCTTCTTTAACTCGGTATCCGAAGCATCTATGGCTACGTCCAACAACTCATAGTAGTCTGTTTTCATGAGTGATGAGAATAATTTTTTTTAACTTGACTGCGAAAAATATCGAATACAAAAACACCTACTTTTTTATTTAAAATATACAGTATTATACATGAATCATTAATGGAAATTACCAGCCCTTGGAATGATAGTCATCGGGTGAGAAGTCATCATGAATGTCACCAAAACCTCCATCGGCAGTTATCACAGTTCTTTGTGGCAATGGGACCTTTCCTAAATGGTGGTCAATAGAAATCGAGTCCTTTAGGGACTTGCTTAATTCAGTGTCTAGCATGGTTTTTCTAGTGGTTCCGGGAGACATTTTGATTTTGAACTCTCCCGAATTCCTTTCTGGAGTCTCCTGGGGTACCTCAACCTCTGGCTCGATATTAAAAGAATTAATTGGTTTAGGAGTCAAAGGTACTATTTCTTGTGACGATTTGATATCCTGAGAAGAGTGCAGATTTTGCAGGGATTTATTTTGGGGCAACTTAAGTTCCTGTGAGTTGGTGATATCTGAAGAAGACTTAACAGATGCGATCGAGGGGATTGAATCGGTGGTGGATTGCTTGAACTTCTCATTGCTGGCATTGTTTTTAAAGTACTTTTTATGGGTGAATAAGTTAGTCAAGTTTAATGAGGATTTCGAGAGCATATTCTTGAACGATTGATTACGGGGAAGGGAATACTTGGTCAAGCTGGACGAGAGTACAGACAGCTGGTTTGGTGAAAGGCTATTCGGATGAAAGTATGAGTCTGGGTGTTGTAAGTTGTCAGAAGTGACATTGAAATCACTGACACCCACAATCGATGTTTGTTTGGCCAATGTTTTATAGTCCTCCTCCTCCAATTTTTCTTCTACCAATCCTTCTTCAAAGGGGGTTGATTCTTTCCTTGAAATAAGGATGCTTTCAGAAGACTCTGTTACTTCGGGGGTAGTTGCCAATTTGGTTCTCAACTGTGAAGAGTAGGGTTTGGAAACATCAGTGGCCGAAGTGAACCTTTTCTGGAATAGAATCGACGGTCTCAGGATCTTGATCTTCGAGTCGGGGGTATTATTTGACTGGCCTATAGTGATGATCCCGGTGGTAGAGGATCGTTTGAGAATGGGCTTTGTGTGTAAACCACCGCCGTTTTCAGGCCATGCGTTCAACATGGACTGGTTTCTTCTCAATTTCACAGACTCTTCGTGCTGCTTGGCCAACTCGTTCAAGAACAACCCCGACAAGAGAGAGCGAGGTCTCATGGGAGGAGATGGATCAGAGGTGGTGTTACCCAAAGTGATGGTATCCGACAGAAACTGGCGGGAACTGGGGATTCTTTTATTGAAATCAATGGGCTTCAAAGCCGGTTCCGGGTCGTCTTCAGACGTTACAGACAACCATTCACTATCACTGCTGCGACTGCTCTTGAGTCTTTCGTCGTCGGCACTGGCATTTGCATTCACACTGGGTTTGCGCAGACGCTGGACTTCTTGAGGCATAGGCTCCACCTCGTCGTGGATAGACTCATCTGAATCCGAAATGTCTGACAGGTCTTCGTCGTACTCATCTTCTTCTTCGATCCCATCGTCCGACATATCTGATGAAGAGTAGTGGTGGAGATGAGAATGGGAGTGGTTCTGGAAAAGTGAATCCTGGCGTACGAGCTCTCCCGGCCGTGATGAAGGGTCTGCCGACGTCTCGACGGCGAAGTCGGGGACCTGAGGGTCATGAGTTTTGGGAGGAGACGGAGAATTGGCGATGAAAAAAATGTTTTTGGAGGCATCACGGTTGGGAGGCAGAAGCTCCGACACCTCCTCGATGTGGCTCATGGACGAGCTCAGCGACTGGACCTGGTTTTCCAAGCTGAGATTCGAGGTGTGGGACACAAAGGTGTTTTGGGTGTCTTGCAGGGAGAGCGGAGGTTTGTGAAACGACTTTTGATCCATCAATTCCTGGGGTAGATGGGACTGTGAGAGGCCCAGGAAACCATTGACCGGACTGGAGTGGCAGTTTAGAAGGCGCCAGGACCGATAGTTCAAGCGGTTTGTGGATGTTATTGAAGGAGTCACAAGCGCTTTCAGAGTAAGTTTCCACAAGCGGATTACGTCTTGAGGGTCATCGACTCGAAGGTCCAACTGGAAGGATAATATGTTGGGGTCTTTCATTCCATAAAGTAAAGGCAACGGTGGTTAGAGCTAGTCATAAATTTGCAAATAGGTTTTGAAAAGGATTTTGAAATGGCTGAAAAATATAGATAAGTGCTTTCAGAACCTTGACAGATGCCCACAAAAGGAGAAACAAACAGGGGGAAATTTAAGACGCAGAAGTGAGGAAGTAGAACAAGTCGGGGCGAGGTCCTAAAATGTCGTTTGATGGTGGTGATACCTTTACAAACAGAAACAGCTGGTGTCAAGGCGTGTGGACTCTCGTTTTTTTTTGTGCTGCGAGATTAATGATTAAAAAATGACCATCGAGGTCGTGACTCGGTAAATCTGGTGCGATTTGAAGGGTGCAAAAAGGGGAGCAAGGGGAGCAGGTAAATGATGGATAGTTATGGGACAACCAGGGGAGGCCAAGCAGAGTCAGCATAGGAGGTTGTTGATAGAACTTGATACATGGCAATAGGTCTCGATGTAATGAACAATGTCTCTCAGTTTGGTCATTTCCCCCGGGTCCCCTATGCCCTATGGGCTCCCCACACCGTATTCCACGTGAGTTGCCTACCACCTCGTAAGCAGTTCCGCACTTTCGCCTACCGCGCTTCCCCCTAAGGTGAGCCCCGTACCGCGCAGCCAATTGCACAATGACCGACAAACAAGGAAAATGAGGAGCAATATAAAGGAATTTTGTGACAGCAATAAATTGCAGCAACTGTGTTCACTAGTATATAAACCTTATTTGATCCCCGAATTTTTTCTCACTCTAAAACTAGTTTATTGTAATCATCAATCACAACATGAAAAAAGCCATCCCTTTTATTGTCGCCGCCGGTGCCCTCTACTACTACGACCAGAACGTCGACCCCATCATCTCCAGAAACTTCCACAGAAGTGTCCCTGCAAAGTCTGCCTCCAACCCAATAGAGGTGTTCAAAAAGTCTGAACCAGAAAAGGCCACTGATTCCGTCAAAGCTGCCACCTCCCAATTCTCCAAGGACATCGAATCCAAGTACAACCAATTTGAATCCAAGACTAGCGAGTTGGCCAATCGGTTGTCTTCCACTTTTGTGGAGAAGAAGGACGACGTATCACGGTACGTCAATGAGCCCAAATTCACTGAACGTCCTGCTGGGTTCTTCCAGTCCAAAGTGGCTGCGTATTTGGACGCGGTCAATGCGGCCGGCGACAAGTTATCTGGGAAGTCTAAGCTGGTGGAAGCAAAGGCCCAACAGCAGAAAGCCAGCTGGTTCACGTTTGGAAGCAACCAGCAAGAGAAGTTGCAACAAACCTACGACGTGGAAAGAGCCAGGGCTGCCAAGCAGTACGAGTTGGCCAAGGCCAAGTTGGACGAGTTGAAGAACAGCTTTGACAAGCAGAAGTCACCTGACGTGGCCCGCCAGTTGGAAGCGGCCCAAAAGGATTTCAACAGCTCTTTGAATAACTTGAAGGCGTACGGCCGGGACTTCATTGACCAGACCAACAAGGATCTTGAAAGTGCTAAAAACTCGTGGTGGAAATGGGGTCAGAGTAAGCTGGACCAATTGCAGAAGGAGTACGACTCCAATAAGGCAGCAGCAAACCTGAAGTATGAGGCAGCAAAGAAAAGGCTTGATGATTTGACCAGACAGGTGCAACTGTCGAATCCATTCAAGACTAAACAAGAAGAGCTTGATCATTTGCAGGCCGCTAAAGACGATTTATCCAGCTCATACGACAACCTCAAGAAGTTTGGTTCGAGTTTGATTGACAAAGTCACCAAGTAGGTAGTGCAATTTATGTGTAGATGAATAAAATGCAAATATGTGGCAGTTGTAGTACAGCAGTTTTTGCAGCCTCTGTTGGTGGGGGTTTGTCAGTTTTCGCAGTATTTAGCATTTTGCTGTTTTCGCAGTTTTCACCGCATTCCTAGTTCCCATGAGTGCTTCTAAGCTACCGTATGTGGTAGCACGAAAAACCGTTCCCAAGCTCTACCTTAACAACTTCAACGAAAGGCTTACAGACAAATCCCCAACTAATGAGCTCTTCTCCAAGTTCGGCTTCCTCAACAACCCCAGAGCTGGACTTGTTCACTGGCTACCCATAGGCCTCGCGATGGTAAATAAGCTACGAGCCGTTGTCAACAACCGACTCCAGCAAATTGACGCCCAGGAAACAAGCTTGTCGATATTATCACATTCTAGTCTCTGGGAAAAGACTGGCAGATGGAACAACCCCGAGCTCTTCAAGTTACAAGACTCTGGCAATCAGAATTATTGTTTGACGGCTACCAGCGAAGAAGAAATCACCAATTTGGTCAAAAATAATATCACCAGCTATAAGGAGTTGCCGCTCATTTACTACCAGATCCACGAGAAGTTTAGAGACGAAAAGAGACCACGGATGGGGCTTCTTCGTTCCAGAGAATTCTTGATGAAGGATGCTTACTCTTTTGACGTTAACGAGCACGAAGCCATGAAATCGTACCACAAGATGGTTGGGGTCTACCATGATATCTTCAGCGATTTGAGGATCCCGTACGTCAAAGCAGTGGCCGATTCGGGTGATATTGGGGGCTCTTTGAGCCATGAATGGCATTATTTGCATGCTTCTGGAGAAGATACGGTTTTCACCTGTTCACACTCGGAGTGTGGCAACGTCTCCAACATCGAGAAGACTCTCTCTGTCCCGGAAACTATAGTTGAATGTGAGACCGAGCTGCGTTTCTTACAGGTGGGTGAAGTTGAGTATATCAAGGTGGTTTATCCTAAAGATCGACACTTTGATATTAACTTGTTGAAACACAAATACCCCAAAATCCAAGAAATCCGCCACACCCCAGAGTCTTATACGGTTGTAGAGGATTCAAGAGTGTCTCCACACGGATTGCCAATGGTGTTGAGTGAAGAAGGAGAAGTGTGTTTTGAGTGCAAATCCGGCAAGCTCTTCAAGAAAAGAGCAATTGAAGTGGGCCACACCTTCTATTTGGGAACCAAGTACTCCAATCCTTTAGGGCTCACAGCAAAGGTTCCGGAAGGCGATAAACTCGTAGAAAGAGACGTGGTGATGGGATGTTACGGTATTGGTCTCAGCAGAATCATAGCCAGTATTGCTGAAATCACCAGAGACAGCCAAGGGTTTGTTTGGCCGCGCATCATTAGTCCTTGGAATGTGACAGTGGTGGAGTCCAATACGCTTTCTGAAGATCCCAGTGAGATATACGATCTGTTGAATAAAGCCCAAGTTGATTACCGACAAGATAACCGTACAAATGTGAATATGGGCCGGAAAATTAGCCATAGTAACATGATCGGAATCCCCTTGTCGATAATTTTGGGCAAGAAGTTTCCTCTTATAGAGATTGAGATTAGAGGCAAAAGATATGGAGAAGATCTCGCGTGGAAACAGCTTTACCACACAAAATCATTTGAATGGCATGTACTGACCCACGGAGGCGTGGAAAAACACCTTGTAGATAAAGATGGGCTCATTGCCGTACTCCAAGCATTGTTGATAGACATGTAAATAGTGAAGTTGAAATATACATTTTCCATTAAACGATTTTAAGATGTAAACTTACCGGTGATCTTGGCAAAAACATGCAAGATGATGACAGAGAAGATGAACCCAACCGCCAAGAACAACACCACCAAAGGATCAACCCTCAAACCTTGAGCTTCATCGGTGAACAACTTCAACATAGTAGCAGATGAACCACCAGCACCTGCGGATCTAGTTGAGACTGGGTTGGCGTTGGTAGCTTGGGCTTTCTTTTCGGCGGTGGTTTTTCTCTTAGCAGCGCTTCTCAAGCCCCCTGGGGCCACAGATGACGAAGATGCAGACTTTAGGTGTTAGTACCAGGTGTGGAAAATTAATCACGGTGTAGTCACAAGCGGGTGGCCACAAAACGGGACAGCCAGGTAAATTGATAACAAGGTCTTTTAGATCGGTTTGACCCTATTATCAGAGCAACCAGTACCCGATCGGCATTAGATATTAATATTCACGTACCATTTGATTGATGTAAACTTGTCAGATATTTGGACAATTAATACGTTCGCACTTTTTTGTCGCCCGCTGGTTTTGTGACACCAACCATTTTTTCTTCGGGATCCGCACATTTATCCTCAAACACTGCTCAGAAAAATTTTCTCCAGTATACTCAACGTTAGGGTTTTAATCTATATATCAAACGGTTGATATTAACGTGGTTAACTTTCTACAATTTCGATTACATAGCTTGTTTGAATTGTCTAGTATTACCTGGCCAATACATCAATCTGCAGTGTCCCCCAGAATCTCGTTTGGAAGAATAACTTGTTTGTACTCACAGGCGCTTGTCTCATCCAGTTTTTTTGATTCGTTTGTGAAACTTTGTATCAATTTTCCCATAGCTAAAGTCTTTTGAATTCTTTGGTACTTTGAGAAAACTGAACTTTAACCTTGTTCATCAAGCCTTGAAGATTTTAACACCATATTTTTTATTATAAAGCTGCTAATTAGCCTATCAACGAGCGTGCATTATCATTCTCATTCATTATAATGGATTTAAGAAACTTTACTTCAAATCCCAATCAGTTGGATATACAACGCAGACCTTCCTTGAGTTCGTTGTCCACCACCTCAGGATACGGCTCCTCCACGTATGGTGCCAATGGTCATTCTAACGGTGCTACACCGCAGTTGAATGGTCATAACTCTCGGACAAATGCCAAAAACTTGAGCTTTGGAGACATCAACTCTTCTACCGCTACTCCTAATGCCTGGTCCAGTGGCGAAAACAGCTTGAATGATGTTGCCCCTTGGGTTGAACAGCAGAAACAGCACCAGTCGAAGGTTGGTTCTTTGGATATTGAAAAAGATAAGAAAGATAAAAAGTCGGAAAAGTCCAAGGACAGAAACGGAGATGATGGTCCGAAAGCGATCAAGGACGACGATTCTTTTGATGATGACCATGACGATGATCTTATTCCTACTGCCATTGTGATTAAAAACATTCCTTTTGCTATAAAGAAGGAACAGTTATTGGATGTTATGACCAAATTAAGCTTGCCTTTACCTTATGCTTTTAACTACCACTTCGACAACGGGGTGTTTAGAGGTTTAGCATTTGCTAACTTTACTTCCACTGATGAAACTTCGTTAGTGGTCAACCAATTGAATGGCCGTGAAATCGGTGGCAGAAAGTTGAGGGTTGAATATAAAAAGATGCTCCCAGCGCAAGAAAGAGAAAGAATTGAAAGAGAAAAAAGAGAAAAGAGAGGTCAATTGGAAGAACAACATAGATCAAACTCCAATGCCTCTTTAGCTTCTTTAATGTCTACCACTTCTACCACTGCTGCCACCAAAAACTTGAGTGTTAATGGTAGTAATGCTTCGCAGCCAGAAAGATTGTTTATGAGCTTACCTTCGCAAACTCTTACCGCTCCAATTCCAAATGATGTGAACTTCAATGACATTGAAACTTTAGAATTATACACACAATTGGTGGTGTTCAAAGATGATAATACCAAGACCATCATGGAATTAGCGTACCCTCCAAATTTGGGCATTGCCCAAAGAAAGCTCTTGTCGAGCTTATGTTCTTGGTTGAACTTGTTGGAATTATATGATAACGGGTTGATTATTATTAGAAGAAAACCTGGCCAACTGTTCCAGGTCTTGGATATTGGACCTGTCACCGCTGAAGCCCCTGTCGCTCCCACCGCCGCTGCTTCATCAAACCCAACAGGCTCGATGCTCAACTTGAACCATTTGGGTCAGACCAACGGAATGGGATCCATTAATGTTCCAGGATCCATTCCCCCTCAAGGCCATGGACATCCCGAGTTATTGAGGTCCCATTCGCAGTCAGCTCTTCCCTTGCCACGGTTGAGACAACAGAACTCGACCCCCATTCAAGGTCAGTTTCCTCAGTACTCAGCAAATTCTTCGAGTGGGTCCAAGTCGTTGTACCAAAGCATTCAACCATTTGGGTTCATTCCAGCCAACCAACCAAATTTGTTACCAACTCAGTTGAGCTCGAACTCTAACTTTAGTCCCTCCACCAGTGCTGCTGCGATTTTGAGAAACGGTACCACCACCTCAAGACCTCCATACGGAGATATTCGTTCCACTCCTCCTTTGAACTCTTTTGGTACCGAATCTCCTACTCCAACTCCTCAGCAGACTCACTCCAGCTTATTCAATCCTGGTTCAAACGGTACTGCTGGTTCTACTCCAACTCCACCAGTGCCTGCTTCAAGTGGTCAAGGAAACGGGTCGTCTTCAGGACCTTCTGGTACTAATGGACCTTCTGTTCTTGCCCCAACATCTACTGGAGGCAGCAACAGTGGTAGCAATAGTGGCACCTCACCCGCCAATCCAAGCTCGAGTCAACCTTCAACTCCGTTGCAATCGCACGACATTAATTCGAGATTCGCTCCGTTTGGCCAACACCCTCAGGCCGGCGGAAGTTTGAGCTCTTTACCTCGTCATGGCGACGAATTTAATGATTTATCCGGGAAATTTAACACGATCAGTCTTAACTACGATGCCTCAACTGCCAGTAATTCTGGATCAGGGATTTGGGGTCCCAAGTAATCACCACTCCCAGTTGTTCTTTCCTCCCAAAAAACCCCCTCCAATGATATTCAACCAATAATGTATAATGATTATGTGTGATGATTACGATAATTATGATATGTATACAACACGAATCCCCATGAATATTTATCCTATGAAAATAATGAAATAATGTGCTTTTATAGATCGTTATATATCTAACCTGTTTATGTATTTATTCAACTCCATCTGCTTAATGGGAATAAAAACAATTGTCTACCCTTTCACCTAAATAGCATTTACATTACCTCACGTCATCCCACAATAACATCGTGTCACGTGATCCAATGCCCCACTAATGACTCTGTTTATCAGCCTTCGCGAAGCCAATTTATCTCATCTGTTTATCACTGCGCAGATTTGATTGGCACCCTGGGGCATACTCGGAAAAGAAATTCATGGGCGATATCTTCGCGCGGTGGGAAAAATTTTAATGCATCAAAAGGCAAAAACTTCAAAAACTGATACATTTCTTCTGCTTACCGCTGTTGAAGTTGCTATTAAACACTTAGTTATCACTTTGGCTTCTAAATACAGTTTTCAAAAAGCATCATAGAACCCATTGACATCTCAACAACTGGCTTTGTTTATATCTTTTAGAGAGTTTATCCTTGTTCTGAATCCATCGTTTTTTGGTGTATCGTGTTTCTTAATCTTAGAAACAACCCATTGTTCGAATTTTCCAAATCTAAACTATCCGAACACACTGCTTACGTGGTTCTAGTGATCGTTGACTTCCAACAATTTTCCACAGCTTCCGCTTGATCAATAATATAAACTCCACAGTATGGGACAAATACTTTCTCAACCAGTAACCGAAAAACATTCGGAGAATTCGGAGGATTCCCATGTATCTTATGGTCTCTCTTGCATGCAAGGTTGGAGAATCAATATGGAAGATGCACACGCCACCATTTTAGATATGCATGATGTTAAGAAATTCGAAGTCGATCAAGACGACGCAGAGGATAAAGAACACGAAGTACCTAAGTCTAACGGAGTTACGAATGATGATTCCGACCAAGAGCATGTAAGCTTCTTTGGAGTGTATGATGGGCATGGAGGTGAAAAGGCTGCCATCTTTGCTGGTGAATATTTGCACCGTATCATCAAGGCTACCGCTGCTTACAGCAAAAAGGACTATGTTAACGCGTTGAAAGACGGGTTTTTAAGTTGTGACCAGGCAATTTTGAACGACTACAATATGAGAGATGACGACAGTGGGTGTGCTACGACTACGGCCATTATTACCACCTCTGCCATCTACTGTGGTAACGCAGGTGACTCCAGAACCGTGATGTCCATTGATGGATTTGCGAAAGCGTTGTCGTACGATCATAAACCTTCCAATGAAGGTGAAAAGACCAGAATCTGTTCTGCTGGAGGTTATGTCGACATGGGAAGAGTTAATGGTAACTTGGCGTTGTCCAGAGGTATTGGAGATTTTGAATTTAAAAAGAATATCGATTTACCTGCTGAAGAGCAAATTGTCACTTGTTATCCTGATGTGATCCAACACAACATCGACTTTTCCAAAGACGAGTTTGTCATTTTAGCTTGTGATGGTATCTGGGATTGTTTGACCTCTCAAAATGCTGTTGAATGTGTTAGAAGAGGTATCTTTGAAAGAAAAGACTTTACCACTATCTGTGAAGAAATGATGGAATTATGTTGTGCACCAACCAGCGATGGTTCTGGTATTGGGTGTGACAACATGTCCATTGTTATTGTGGCATTATTAGATTATACCAAGAAAGAAACTTTAGAGCAATGGTACGATAGAGTGATTGAAAAGATCAACATTTCTCAATCTGATGAAGTTGATGAGAAAACCAAGGCCAAATATGGACCTGTTTCCAGTCCATACGGACAAATCTACAAGGAAATCTACGGTCAGTATTATGAAATCGGCCAACAGGCTCAATCTGCTGGTTCAAGAGGTGCCCCAAGTGCACAAAGTGGACTTGGGGGTTACTCAATGTTTGGTGGATTACAAGGATTACGTGGTAACAACACGGGATTCACCGGCGACGAAGATAATGACGACGAAGAAAATAACGACATCAAGATTGCTAATGAAGGTGATGAAATCACTGCCAATGGTGCTATATCATTGCAAAAATTATTGGCATCCAACGCTATCACCAATGAGAATGGAGTGATTTACTTGGATACCAGCTCTGCTCAATCGTTATTAGCTCATTTCGGGGTGCCTGGTGCTGCTGAAGATGTCAATTTCGAAGACGTAGAGGACCTAGAAGATGGTGAAGATGTTCATGATAAACATATAGAAGAAGATATCGATGATGATGAAGAATGAATTAATTAAATTCACCTTCTAGTTAACCTGAAGCTAATGATTAACGTTGATGACCTTTCAATTAATTTGTTAATTTGCATAAAGATTCTTTTACCTCCTTTTTTTATCCAATCATTTATTCGGTCACAACGATTAATAATGTTTCCTGCTCTTTTTTGTATATGAATATATTTTTCTATTGTATTATTTAGCGCAAGCAGATTTAGTGTACGTGTAATTAGTCAAATACGCGACTCTGCAGAAGAACATTTTCAAACTCTGTAACCTGTTTACATTGGAAAATAATGGCACCACGTAAACGAGATCCTTTGGAACAGCTACGCATTCCCGACAACCGGGTCTACGAAAGTATAGGCCATGAGATAAACCTAAGCCGGGCCGATCGAAGAAAAAGTGCACAGCCGGTCACCTATTCACTAAAGGATCTTATACCACCAATTTCGCTACATTCAACTCGATCTAATCACAGAACAACAAAACCCAATACAAGGGCCAGCCAGCCCCCACAAATATTACTGTCAGAACCTACGGAAGAAGTATCTGCTTCCAAAAGCAGTCAATTAAGAAAGACAGCCGTACTACTTGATAAGAAATTCATGATTACAGTTAAATACCCTGATAAATACAAGTGTGTGTTTGATAAACATAAACCAAGTGCCAAACCTGACCCCAAACCAAGTGCAAAACCTGACCCGAAACCCGTGATAAGAAAACTTGATCCCAAACCCGTCACCAGGAAACTGGATCCCAAACCTAATTCCAAACTGGAGATGGAAAAACCTGATCCTGAGCTTGATAACAAAGACCTTCCATATAGAGGGATTCTACCATATCCTGATTGTATTATAAATGATACGGATCCCACTAGACAAGATCGAGAGCTTTTCCAAAAGCTCCAGGAACAAATTGAAAAGAAGAAAATACCAGAAAACCCCATGACAGACGAATACGAATCAAGTTATCTCAAGTCTCAGATCAAAGCGATCCGATTCCGCCAGTATGAGATCGATACCTGGTACACCTCACCTTACCCGGAAGAATACTCTCAGTGTTCCACCTTGTACATTTGTGAACATTGCTTGAAATACATGAAGTCTTCATTTTCCTATGAACGTCATCAATTGAAAAATTGCAACATGTCCAACAAACACCCACCGGGCGTCGAGATATACAGAGATGCCCGAAATAGGGTTGCAGTGTGGGAGGTAGATGGCAGGAAGAACATCAATTACTGTCAGAGTTTGTGTCTTTTGGCCAAATTGTTTCTCAACTCCAAAACCTTGTACTATGACGTTGAGCCGTTTATTTTTTACGTCTTGACAGAAATAGATCCACTAGATCCATCGGTGTATCATTTTGTTGGCTACTTCTCCAAGGAGAAGTTGAATAGCTCTGACTATAATGTTTCCTGTATTCTCACCTTACCGATTTATCAGCGTAAAGGCTATGGTCACTTGTTGATTGATTTCAGTTACTTATTATCGAGGAATGAATTCAAGTTCGGAACCCCTGAGAAGCCTTTAAGTGACTTGGGACTACTCAGTTATCGAAATTACTGGAAAATATCTATGGCTTATAGGTTGAGAACCTTGTATACCAAGTACTTGGGCAACATTGAAAGTGGACGTGCTAGTGATGTCATGATATCAATTGAAAATCTTTCCAAGCTCAGTGGGATGACCCCATCAGACGTGGTGGTAGGTTTAGAACAACTCGATGCTTTGGTTAAGAACTCAAAGACCAATACGTTTGGGATTGTCATAAATTTAGAAAAAATCGACTCAGTAATAAGCCGATTTGAGGCTAAGGGCTATGTCACTTTGGACTACAGCATGCTATTGTGGAAGCCAATGTTGTATGGGCCTTCAGGAGGTATCAACTCGACTCCAGCAGTTGTGCCATCTCAAAATCCCACAGATAATGCTCCAAACTCCCAACCTCTCCACAACAGTATAGGGTTATTGACCAGCTTCATGAAAGATGATATTGATAATCCTTACACTTTTGAAGAAGAGGCGTTCAAAGAGGTGGAGATTTCCCGAGAAGCTCCCAAAGAGTTCGTTCCCGAAGAGTTGACCTTGGGTAATTATGTGATCTGCTATCCAGGAATGAAGATGAATAAGGGTCGCAGAGAGTCATCTGTTCCGCATTCGTTGAAGTTTAAATCTATGAATAATGACATGGACGAATCAGAGGATATGGTGGACGACTCATCCCCCGAAGAGATTGACAGAGAGGTTGAGTTGGAAGACAAGTCAGAGTCAGATTTTGAAGCGTACTTAGACATGGATGAAGACGAAGAAGAGGACGTAGAAAGAGAAGAGAGACCACATGCGCTAGGTGAAGTAGAGGATGACGATGACGAGGACGATGATGAAGATGACGACGATGAGGAAGATGATGAAGATGAAGTAAACGAGGATGACGAAGAAAACGAAGAAAACGATGAAAACGGAGAAGATGAAGAAGACGAAGATGAAGAAGAAGATGATGATGAAGATGACGAAGATGAAGAAGACCAAGTAGTTGAAATAGAAAACGGCATGGAAGCGGTTATGGATGGACTACCACTAGAAGCACAAGACCACCATATACACCAAGAAATTGAACCTCACCACCGTGGAGTTGATGAACCTCTCAATGCCTATGGGCTCATCTCACAGACAGACGATACCGAGTATGAAGATGCCATAACCGATACCAACATATTTTTTGACGAAGACGACTTGCACTCGGAGTTTCCCCAGTTTGAGTCGGTGAGCTTTGATACTCCTCAACCCAAAAGGAGCCAACTGCTGCCGTCAAGTGAAAATGGCACAAAGTCTGGAAGGTTCATCATGCTGAACTCTCCTCCAGCAACACCCACCAGACGACTTAGAAACAGATTCTGACCTTCTAGTTATTGTACAATATTCTACCTGTATAAATAATGTAAAATATACACTGATAAATTACACCTTGAATAGTTTACACGAGTTTTGGTAAACCGAGTCTATAAACGTTTCGATCTCTTCATCTGTGGTATACCCATGTAACTTACAAAGAATTTCTGCCACCAAGCCCACAAACACCGGTTCATTTCTAGATTTGAAAAGCGGACTAGCAAGTTGGCCTATTCTATCAGAACCATTGTGTCCGTGCGGTTGTAATGCAGCAGCAGCAGCTTGGTATTTTTCGAAATTCTCCTTTTTGATTGAAGGAAATGGGAGAAAGTCGTCCATCTTGATGGGCTGCTGCTTCTTGGTCGGCTGCTGCTTTGTTTTGCCCACCACAGGCTCAGGGTTAGGTTCTAGTGGTTCTGTGTGAGTTTCAAGTGGTCGCGTTTGAGTCTCGGGAAAGAACTTGTTGGGGTACGGAGTTAGATACTTGTATCCGGCGTGGCTCTTTCGGATTTCACACCATGGAGCATCTGTTTCTATCATCAACTTGTGTTTTGGAATCAACCGAGCCACCTGCAAGTTTTCCTCTGATTTCAAAGAACAACCATTTATGCCAATATAAAATCCCAACTGCAACAACTTTTCAAGTTCTTGCTCTGTACCCGTGAACGAGTGAACCACCCCGTTTCCTCGTTCAATACTTCCATCGTCTATGAATGGTCTCAACACTTCGATGAAGTCTTCACACGCATTTCTCATGTGGAGGAACAATGGAAGTTCCAAGTGCTTTAATGACGCAATCACCTCCAATTGTTTTCTGAACATGGTGATCTGCTGTTCCTTCGAGGAGTAATGAAGTCTATCGTAGTCAAGCCCGATCTCGCCGAATGCTTTTACCGTACCTCTTTGTACACCGGTTTCCACCAAATTCTTAATTTGAGCCAATTTCTCGTCGCTCTGCGGTGACAACTGGTCGCCAATATAGAATTCCTCCGCTACAGTACAGGGATGGACACCAACTGTTGAGTAGAAGTCGTTGGGAAACTGGTCGCACAATTCAAAGTGCTCTTGGCTCTCCTTGATGGTAGAGGCGGTTACTAGCATCTTCGAAACGTTAAAGAGATGAGCTCTTTGGATCACCTGGGGAAGATCGGGTGGATGTTTTGGAGTGGTGGAGTGGTTATAAAGGCCCTGGAACATCGGATCCGAGAAGTTGACACCTATGTCAAAGTATTGTGGTTTCCACCTTTTGACAGCACTCATAGTTAAGCTTCTTGTGGATAATCTTAAATGACCCTTTCCAGGCAAGTACATCTACCAACAAATTCTTGGGTGCGATTTTCTCTTGAGATAGCCATGGCAGAGGATATAGATAAGTATCTTTCATCCACCGAACGGGAGTCTGTTCGAGACAGAGAGATCGCCCGGATCATCTCGTGTCATATCCAAGATCTGTTTCATGTTCTTGACCTCGACCCGGCCGATACACTGGATTTGCAAACCCAGGTCAAAAAAGCGTTTCGCAAGAAGTCACTTCTCGTACATCCAGACAAAACAGACCACAAGGACGCCCCCACAGCTTTCGATAGACTTAAACGAGCACAAGCTTTTCTCTCTGATGATGGGGAGCAGCCAACGGCAATCAGACAGAAACTTGTGGATATTTATGCACATATTCGCCAGAATCATTCTGGGGATATAAGCGTTGTACGGAAAAAAGTGGCAGAGATACTCGAGGAAGATAAACGACTAGACAACATTGAGCAGGAACAGCAGGATGCACGTGACGCCCAGTTGCGAGAAGAGCAGGAGAACCGTAAGCAGGAGATACTTTTGAAACGGGAAATGGCCTCCAAGTGGGAAGACCTGCGAGATTCCCGGGTGGCCAACTGGAGGCTGTTTGTGAACAAGGTCGACAAGAAGAAGAAGAAAAAGAAGAAGGTTTTGGCATAATGTATAATATACGTTCTCTTAATTAGTATATGTGGAGTCCGCGGTTTTAACAAATTCAGAAGATAACTATGAATGATAGTAATAAGCAGCAAGAATTGTTGAATACCTTATTACAGTTAGCAGAAAAAGAGAAGAAAAACGGTAACACTTCCATCACCCAAGACAAGCTCAACAACCTTTCCAGTTATATTATCAATCACAACAAGCAGAACCAGTTTAACAAGTTCAACACTTATTATCCAGTGCCTGAACCTGAGCCCCTCCCACTAGATAAAACTCCTACACAAAACCCCATCAACAAATACAGTCCGTTGTTCAAGAAGTTCACTCTTCCCGCCAAGAAGACCACCACAACCGTACGGAAGTTCAACAAGAAGTCTACCTTCAAAAAAACTGAAAATTTGATCATAGGCATACTCGAAACCTTAGCCAATATATTGGATAACCTCCACCTATTCTCCAAATTCCCCATGTTTCCACAGAAGCTTTTAGGCTTGTTGAAGCAAACCAACAAACTATGGATCTTAATACTTATATTTCTTATTCGAAAGACCGTGAGTCAGTTGTTGAATTTGATTAAGAAGGAAAATAAGATCAAAGTGGAGTTAAAGATAGTCAAGGAATCCTCCAATAAGATGTTTGACAACACGATCTTGAAAAAGTATGAGAAGGTGTTGAAGGACTTGAAATTCGACAAAACCATGTTGATTTTAGAGTTGTTTGGTAACTTTCTCGACTTGGGATTCAACTTCATTGAGTCCTACGGGGTACCGGTACCAGATTGGTTCATGAACATCTTGAACTTTTCCAGCATGTTCATGACGATCTACAGAATGAACAAGGACGACGAATACATTGACGACGACGTGACGGAAGAGTTAATATAGCTGATGAAATATCTAATACCACTATTTATTGTAATGTGCGGCTTCTGTTTATCGTAGAAAATCCAACTCTCATGAACGATCCTTTATTACCTATCAATTCCCAACCAAAGCGAACCAAGAAGCTTCTTCCTAAAGTGCTTGCAGTCGCTGCCATAGTGGTGCTTTGTGGATACAAGTTTTTGAAATTAACCCCCACAGTCCAATTGTCTGACGGCTTGTGCCCTATCAGTGATAAGATTGACCCAGCTCCCTACGTTTATGATGTATCAAAAATTGGCCAGATTTTGAAAGATAAGGAGTATATCGATGAGGTAGTGGAAAGGTGGTCTGGGGCCATTCAAATTCCTTCAGTTTCCAACGATGTGATGGTTAACCCCAACACCACTGATGATTTAGAGGAATTATACCGGTTAGAACCCGCTTGGAAGCAATTCACAAAATTGCACGAATACCTCGAGAAACAGTATCCTTTGATCCACAAACATTTGAAGGTTGAGAAGGTCAACAAGTTCTCCATATTGATCACCTGGCAAGGTTCTAATACCAAGCAGAAACCCATCTTGTTAACTGCTCACCAAGATGTTGTTCCAGTTCCTGATGAGACTCTTGATCAATGGAAGTATCCACCATTTTCAGGGGCTGTTGATGGTGACAGAATCTATGGAAGAGGATCAGGAGACTGCAAGGACTTGCTTATGGCGTTGTTTGAAACGGCCGAGTTGTTATTGAAGGAAGGTAAGTTTCAACCTCAAAGAACCATTTTATTTGGATTTGGCTACGATGAAGAAAGTCAAGGTACTGGTGCCGTTGAGTTGAGCAAGTTCATATTTGAGCGGTACGGGCCAGAGTCTTTATATGCTTTGATTGACGAAGGTGACCAGGGGTATGTTCAGCAGTTTGGTAGGTATGTTATACCAATTCCAACCGGAGAGAAGGGCCATTTGAATTCTGAAATCGAGTTGTTTACTCCTGGTGGTCACTCGTCGGTACCACCAAAGCACACTAGTATTGGTATCATGGCCAAGTTGATTGACCGGATTGAAAGTGTCGATTTCTCGCCTGCCATAACCAATGCAAACCCTTTAATGAACGCATTACAGTGTATGGCAGAGCATGGACAAATTGAAAAGTCTTTAAAAAGCGATATTATAAAGGCTGTTTTTGATGCCAATGCCAACAAGAAGTTGGTGGAATACTTATCAAAAGACCCATCTACCGAGTTTCTTATCAAGACCAGCCAGGCAGTAGACATAATCCAAGGTGGAGTCAAATCCAATGCTTTACCAGAATATGTGTCTGTGGTGGTCAACCATAGAATCTCTGCAGAAGAATCTGTCGAGTCCACTAGCAAGAAGATTCTTGATGATATCAAGTCAATTGCCACCAAGTTCGACTTGGGAATTGTATTTGAAAACAAAACCATTGTGGAAAAGACTAAAAATGGCTACTTCAACTACGTCTTGAACGAACTGTTGGAGCCATCTCCAATTTCACCCATTGACACTGCTGCTTGGAATACCTTCACCGGTGCCTTACGATACTTGTATGAAGATGTGATGAACCCAGGACTCAATGAGACATTTGTGGCGATTCCTGCTTACGCTGCTGGAAACACTGACACCAAGGCTTACTGGGACTTGACTGCAAATATTTACAGATATCTGCCATATATTGGAATTGTTGAAGGCGAAGACGAAGTTGCACGAGGAATACACTCCCTCAATGAGTGGTCTTCCATCTCTGGGCATATGGCCACCATTAGTTTCTATTATTACTACTTACAGATCGTGGATCAGATTGCTGATGATACATTAATTTCTCAATAGAATATACTACTTTCTTATCCGAAAGTAGCGTTGTTTCAATATTAAAGATGAGTGCATTAGGGGTAAATTAATTACCCTATTCATGTGGTTAGACTGTTTTACAAACTGTCAAGTTAGGGGCTAATCATCTGATGATAACGAACCTATGACAGTACCTATTAAATAGTCTATATCGTATGTGAAAGTTTAGGTTAATCAATAATGTTGCCATTTGATCGCTGAGAGGGCAGTGGAACACTTTCAAGGAGGAAGTACAAGATACAATAACGTTGAAATTTAGTCTTCCACCTCATGAAGAATTGGTTAAAAGGCAATGAGAATACCTTGTAAAATGATAGTCTGTAACTCTGACTCGTTTTCCCATTGTGACTTGTGATTTGAATCATCTCGAACACCAAGGAAGACAGGGTATTCGTATTGCAACCTTCACGAGGATGTTGTGACTGTTGTTGCAAGGCAAACAGTTTTCGACTTGGCAACTAATCTGAGCGGGTTCGTTTTCGAATTGTGATTGCAAGAGTCGTTCAGCCATAGGTTTAGAACCCTTCTTAACGATGAAATGATTAATGTAGGGGGAAATACTTCAGCAACTTAGAATTTAAAAATACAATACTAGCCCAGAAATGTATCCTCCCATTTCTTTAATGGTTGCGAAAATTGCTGAAATTCAAAGAATGCAACTAGAAGATTACATAGAAGAGATTTAACCAATGTCATTGACGAAAATTGACACTCTTCCAGGGTTCAATGTAAGGTTTTATTTTTTCTGGTTTTGTTCTTTCTGGAGAGATGAATCAAGACCAAAAGATTCAATCAACTATATAAATGTTGCATAATTTGCATTTGTTTCATCACGTCAAAATCAATATTAATGAATAACAATACAAGCTTAAGAAGCAGAAATTGGAGAAAAAAAGACTCACTCTTCATATTCTTAGAATTGAAACACTGCTTACTAAGTCATATAGTTTAACTTTCATGTCAATTTGGACGACCTTCTGACCCAGAAAATACTGATCTGGATTTATTATCGCGCCAAACACATTTTTGCAATTAGTGCACCTCTGTCATGATTCGAGGTCTAAGACAGCAATATGATGAACGGCTCAATCACATCAACAAGAAATTACTCGATTATCAAAAAGGTATCGACTCGTTTGCTATAATCAATGATTCCAACTTCCAACGACCGAACGACTCTAAATCGACTCTTTCTGAGTTGGATGAATCGCTCACTGTGTTGAACCAGAATTTGTCCCACTTGAATGAATTGTGGGTAATAAAGAACTTGATCAAGGAGATCGAAGCATACATGGCTGACATCAATGAAGTTGTCTTGTCGTTAGAATCCTTGTACATTAATTTCGAAAATTTGCTTGGGAAGTTGTCCAAGTTAGACTCCAATCTTGTTGTAAAGTCTGAGGTGTCTACAAAGACAGCCGAATTAATGGATGATTTGTGGGTTTATTTGCAAGAAATATTTCAGAAGTATATGCCGTCAAGCGACAAACTCAAGCCAACTATCGATGGTGTAGATGTGGGTGAGTTTTTATCGCTTGTAGAGAAGTTTAGCAGTATCAGCGAGAAGATCGACGTGAATGAACTTCTTGCTGAGAATAAAGTAATTTGGGAGTCGTATTTGCTTGGTTTAGCATTCAAGAAGTTGACATTGATCGACACCGACTTGCACATAGAAGACACTGATGGTTCTGTATTGAGTGTGCTAGGCTCTATTTTGAGTTTCATTAGGTTTATCAATGCCATAAATGTTCAGTCGTTAAAGAACTTGTACCAGCCCAAGCTCAGCAACAAACTTATCAATTTGATTTCTGAGAATATCAATATACTCGTCGACTCAAGTACGAACGAGTACATTACATTGGTGGAAATCATTAAGGTTGTCGAAGGAACCCACTGGAGGCTTTCATTAAACTTAACGTTGGAGAACTATGATAGCAAGATGAAGACGATTTACAACAACTGGATTATGGATAATTATATTGACAAGATCAGACAGGTATTCAAGAGTGCTGATTTCACGAAAGTATCCGAAATCAAGTGGGAAATCGATGGTAGCCGGTTTGACAACATGAGAGATCAAATCACCACCATGGATAAACGGCTTGATGTAACCATGTCAAACGAGAGCAAAGTCGAGTCTAAAGCAGATGAACAAGAAGGTGGGTGGAATAGCTGGAACGATGAATGGGATGATAACGAAGAGGACCCAATCCAGCCTACACAAGAACCGCAAGAACATAAGGGAGAGGGCTGGGACGACTGGAACGAGTGGGATGAGGATAAGGATTCACAGAGTATCCAAGCACCATCTACTCAAAAGGTATCTTTAAGTGCCCTTCAAGAACAACCAAACCCGGTGTTAAACACCATAAGAACTACGATCAAAGTGTCGCTGACTGCTAACAAATTGGTGGAGGTCTTGAACGATTTCCTCATTGAATCCCAAGCAAACCTTGATCCATTGATTTCAACAATACTTTCGGTTTCTACTATCACGTATCCCAGCTCATCCACCTCATTTTTGTTGTACAATGACTTACAGTATTTGGCAAAGAATATGGACAATGAACGTATTAATGGCTTTGCTGAGAGCTTAATAAACCGGAGAATGAATGAAGTTGCGAAAACGCTTGTGCAAATCTTGGTCAAGATCAAGCAGGAAGAAAACAACCATATCATATTGACACAGCTCGCCAGCTGGTTTGATAGCATTTTCCAAACCGAGCTCTTGAACTCCAATTTTTTCAAATTCAAAGACATAGTCTACTACGCAATTGACTTTGTTTGCAATTGGGTACTGAACCTCATCATATCAATAGACGAAGTCACGGAATACAAATCCCAAAATTTGACGAAACTAATCGATGAGCTCAATGGATTCTTCAATCAGAAGCTATTGCTTCTTAACGAAACCAAGAGCTTGGAGTCAATGGAAAGGCTCAGCAACGTGCGTTTCCTTATCAACAATCATTTGGTGGACATCATTGAACGGTTCTACCATGGTGATTTTTACAACATTTCTACGGGTGAACTCATCTCAGTAATTGAAAGTTGTTTCATTAAAAGTGAATTAAGGGACAACTATATAAATGAAATCGTAGAATTCCGAAATATCAGTTAATATACAATCGAGCCTTTCTTTATCGATTTACCGGTCTTCGCAATGGTCTGGTAAACGGTATCAAAGTCAACCGAATCTTTAGTTTCCACATCTACCGTTTGGGCTTCCAAAGACACATCAAATTTATCCACGCCGTCTAACCGTTTCAAAACTCTTTCGACGGCCCCTGAGCATCCGGAGCAAGACATGGCGACCTCGAAATGGAACTTGTGTCCTGACATTGTGTATTTGGATGTTGATGAATAGTTGAGTTACAGTTCCCTGTCACGATTCTTAGTAATGTTCCCGGAGATCGCACTCAGGGCCGACGTGTCGATACCGCTGCCACAATTGAGGGTTTTTTGCGGCCATTCGCCAGCCAATAGGCGTGAGGCATGCGCTAGAGGAACAAGAGCAAAGCATACAATGCATGTGCCGAAGTACAAAATGAAAACCAGAAACCAGTGGGGATGTTCTTTTTAACTGTTTTAGTAACTTAGAAAACCAGGGTTTCGAGTACGTAGATGCAGCCGCTTGCAGAGCAAAGAATACTTTGAAACACAAGCACACAAACAGAAACATACAAACACAATCACACAAGCACAAGTACACAAACAGAAACATACAAACACAAACTATCCAATGTACAAACCCTCTAACACACCCTATGACCGACCCGCAAGGCAACTCGACACAAACAAACTCCTATTAAAGTGGCGTAGAATGGTTGCAGTGTTCTCCGTTATGCTCTCCTCAGTACACTATTTCTCTAACAGTGTTCCTTATAGTACTCATTCCTATGTCCTCTTCATGTCCACTTTCAGTATCCTATGCTTAATGTCTGCAAACCCCCGAACTGTGACTGCTCGAAGAAATCCTCATTCGCGCGACACGCGACATTTACGCATCTTACCGACATCGTGATAATCAGCTCTAAAAATCATTTACATACCATCAACTAACTAATTCCAGATATACCCACCAGCACCAAAAATATTCACTGGCTAGATAACCACCTTCTTTGTTACCCGTACATCATCTCCATCTTGTCTGTGGTTCCTTGTACATCGTTCCGAAGGTCAGTGGTTTCTAACAAGATTATTTACTAAAACACCTAGATAACGCCTGCCAAATCATCAATACTACTCAACTGTAATACTTCCAATTTCATGACCGTGCAACTCACCCAAGAGAACTTCGAAGTCACAACAGACACTGTAAGAGGGTCTGACACTCTTGTATCATTTTCCAATCATCATCATCAAGATACTGAGTATGAGCTAGACCAATCAGAGTCTTTGACGTTCCTATACAACTTATTGTATGACGAACAATCCCAGCTTACCAAATCCGATATCTTGAACATTTTGCACTCTTTGAAGCAGAGAGAAGATAGCTTGCCCTTTTCCTACATGGGTGCCAACACAAATGACATTCAAGGAGTTGATTGGCCTCCAGGATTGAAGGAGAAATTCTATTCGGATAGAAGACGAATCGGCTCCGACAAATGGTTCCACAACATCCCTGGTTCTTTGGATCGTGCCGTAAACGTATGTTTAAACTGTTTTTGTACCATTTGGTTTATTTACTAACTGTTGATAGAAAGTGAGTATCTTAAGCTCCCGGTCTCATACGGAGTTTTTTAAGTACCACAAGTTTTACAGCAAACTCAAGTTACACATCACCCATTTCCAGTTGCGAAACTTGGTGTGTAGCAATAACATAACTGGTGGTATTTTCTATCCTCTGAGCCATTTTCATGACAATCATCTTCAGACAACCAATAACTTTGAGCTGACTGACAGCATCCACTCATACTTCAAAATCAACCGATTACTGCCCGACGAACAATCAAATGTCAGAAATTCTATGCAGCTCGATTGTGTCATGGATTCCCGAAGTTTGCTTCGAAACTCCAACAGCCGAATCTCTACTTTGGCATGCTCTGATAAATACTTGGTTTCAGGAACCTTTGAAGGGGATTATATCTTAACCGATATTTCGGATCCCCAGCACTTTCTTCATTTGGGAGAACACAACTTGACCCGTAACTACGACGGAATTACCAATAGCATCGTGATCAACGATAACAAACAATTAATTGCATCTTCGAATGATAAGTCCATCAGGCTTGTGGACTTGTCCACCAACCACAAAACAGAAATAGTCCTTCCTTTTGCTGGTAACTGTCTTGCCATGAACAGGTTCAACCCCAATGAGATCTTTGTGTCGGGTGACTACTTGAGTTCGTTTATACTTGATAAGAGAATCCCCCTCACCAAGTTTGAGCAGGTTGTTCAGTATAAGGGCCAAGAGGATTATAGTTTTAGTTGTGACTGGTCTCCAACGAATGAAAACCTTTTGTTATCCGGTAACCAAGATGGGAACGTACGGATCTGGGATAAACGATTTAACGAAGAGCCCTTATTTAGTTGGAAAGGAAGTCTTGGACTCTCCAGTGGAGATGTCGTTCCTGGTCCCGTGAGAAACACCAAGTTCAGTCACAAGGGCCAGTTTGTCTGCTGGGGTGAAAGTCTTGATCATGTGGGGATTGTAAATATCGACGATTTGCATTCAAACACCCAGCAAATGGACCGAATACAGTCTATTGACTTTATTGGCAAATGTACCGGGTTAAGTTTCTGCGAGACGGAGAATGGGTACGGAGAACAGTTGATAATAGGTGTAAATGACTGCCCCCTCGGCGGAATACTATCGTACTCCTTGGAAAGCAGTGAGAAGTGTCTTGATTTCGACCTTCGCTTTTAGTTGTCATGTCATTGTATATATATATAAGTGTGTTAATATTATTTTAGTCGTTAATGCTCATTGCTATAGGCTACCACATTTCATCAGCATCGCCACTGACTTGCATTTCACCTCCAACCTCCTTTATGATTTGATCAATGTTGCTGACTTTCTTCTGTTCTTTACAAAGCGATGCTATTATCCTCACCTTGTTGCGAGCTTTATTAACTACCTTTTCGTACTCCCCCACATCGGCATCTTTATTACTTAATGGCACCTTCTCCATAATAGCCCTGATTTGAGTGATATGGGTTTTGATAGACTTGGACGCATCATAGGTTTCAACTTGGTTTTCCCAAAAGTCTACCAATCCTCTAATGTACCCGATAACAAGAAATCTCTGAAACCCGGTCTGAAACCCATATTCTTTACCCTCGAGGTATTGTGCTTTTGTGGATTCTTCTTGACCTTCTCGGTACCCTTCTTTGTAGTATTGCTCTTCTAGATTCAAGAGCAGGTCCAAGTTTTCGTCGAGATCAAACTCTTGCTGCCCATCTTTTAGCTTTCTCCGTTTGGAGTCAGCTAGAGTGTGGTTCATTAGTGCAATTTGAAAGATGAGCATCGCGACCTTTTGTTATTGTCTATGAGTGAAGAAGAATTGGAGGAGACCGTATTAGGGGGTAGCAGGCGAAGAAGGGATAAGCTCAAGAAGTCTATTCGTGATGAGTATTCGTCTGACTCGAGTGATCTGGACCAGGAGCCGTCAAAATCACCCCCAACACAAGACCAACAGGATTCAGATTCTGACATGTTTGCCAGTGAAAATGACGAGAAAGATTCTGAAAATCCGCCAACAAAGAAGCCCAAGTCCCCAAAGAAGATGGATATGTCCAAATTTGAGCTAGAGGTAGGCATTGATGGCATACATGAAGAGGAGGGTCTGGAGGCCGATATAGAAATAGAAGCATTTGACTTGAGACAAGAGGAGGAAGAAGGATATTTTGATGACGATGGAAATTTTGTCCGGCACCAGGAGCTTGAGGATGCACAAGACATTGATGACTGGGTAAATGCCGACAAAGAACAAATTCGAAAGGCCAAACAAGCTCAGGAAAAGCATTTGGCGACCAAAACATTAACATCTATAACCCAAACAACAGCTGAGTTATTGGAGAACCTAATAGGGGTCCTCGAGCCTGACGAGACGCCGATGGAAGCATTGGTTCGGTTAGCCCCGGCCAAAAGGCGCAGAGGTAAAAAGAACCATAATGAAACAAATGAAGACAAACACAAGAAACAACTAATCCTAAAAAATCAGCGATGTGTGTGACAAGTTGATGATACACAAAGGAATACAAGAAGCGTACGAGAAGGCCAGAGAGGAGCTCATGAGGCTCTACCGAAGAGAAACTGGTGAAGATTTCAAGTTCAACAGAGGAATTAAACGGCCCATTGATGAGGTGGAGCAAGAAGATGACTTTGGTGATAAAATATGGGAGTTCAAGTGGGACGACCTGGACGAGATAAACGGGCCTTACTCGGAGTATGAAATGGGGTTCTGGAAAAACACCTATTTTGAAAATAAGGTGGTGGTTCGAAGAGTGGGAGATATGGACTTTGTCCATGTTAGTGAGGTCGACTTCAGTGTTTAGTTGTACAGTGGAATTGTTCTATCTATGGAAATATAATGCTAATGTTATTTTAGGTAGTTATGTATAGGGAAGCCGATATCCTTCGAGATGCTCAGGATTTCTTCCCAGCTGAGATTCGACTTCCATCTGGTTTTTGGTTGCAAAATGTCTCTGCTAAACTGTCTCACAATGAGCCCTCGCGATAAAAGAGATGCCATTTGACTGGGCAAGTCGATGTTGGAAACCAACGAGAACTTGGCTATTTCGTGCAGTCTTTCGGATATATAGACTTCTGTTTTATCTGCAAATTCAGGAGAATTCTCATCCTTGTTGAAGGATGCAGACTCGTTTCGGTATATTACCGTCAAGATCCCATATAACCTCTCCAAATCAAAGAAATTGGGCTGGAGAAGCTTCACGTCGATATCCCTCTTTGTGATCTCATTGCCCTTCTTTGACAGGTATACAAATTTCGAGTACTTGGCACTGGTGAAATAGTACATATCTAGTCTGGGGTCGATATGCGATGCCAAATATGAAGCAATCAAGATGAACTTAGCAAGGTAAGTGAAATCTGAAAGCGAGACTTTTGTTCCTGCTTGCTCTAATTCATCGGTTCTATAGTCTATCACCGCCGCGTTAAGTATCGAATCATCCTGAAATATAGTCCTTTGTTCCCGATACACCTTCATGAACTCACTGGGTGATATCTGACGGGTTTTCACGGTTCTGATAAAACTTTCCCATTTTTTGTAAACATAACTCAATCAACATGCTTATGCTTGTCCCACAATATTCATGATACAGATCCACTATAACTTGGACATATGAGTGCCAAAATTGAGTTCCTACGACACTATTATCAAGCTCTTCATCACCAAAAAAACAGAATTGGTTCTTTTGCAATATACTCACCAATTGCTGGTCAGTGTATGGTTTGAAGTAAACCTGGGGTATGGCACTAGTGACAGCCGGGTTGGGAATCTCAGTTCTCGATATGAAGATCACAATGATGTTTTTGATGTTGGTACAATCTCTCATTCTGATGAAGGAATTGACTATATTTATGGGCTCGTCGATGAACAGATCTATTCTGTCCAACACTAAGAAATGGGGGTCATTGTATCCTGTTTGGTCTATGAACATTTGTAAGTTGAATGCAAAACTTGAAAACGAATCGCAGCCAGTGAGTTTCGCTGAATAGCCTCCTCTATCGTAAAAAGTGTTGGACTTCCGAAGATCTTGGCCACTATCGGTACGGATGAGCTTGAGACACTTTTGAAGGAGGAGCCTGTTGTTTACCACCTCGTCACACTGAATTACTGTCTTTTTCACACCTATGGTATCGAGAAACGAAAACACTGAAAGTGTTTTTCCCACCGAATTGTACCCATGCACAAACACAACAGGCGCACATTCTTCATGATTGGGTGATAAGAAGGCATTAAGCAAATCAAACTCCTGGTCCCGAAATTGAATACGCTTCTTTAACTCTAGTATTTTCTGAGTGCTCATGGCTAGTGAATTTTCATTTAGTCGCATACCAGTTTTAATGTACTTGTGTGCGAGGACGTGTTTTCTCTGTTCCAATAAAATAAATTATGTATTATAGTTTTACAATCTTATATACTATTATGCTAATGTAAGCTCTTCAACCACTCCTCTAAGGAGTTGAAGATTATATGTGGCAGCCACGTTCTGGAAGACGTGGATCCTCTTTTCTAACTCCAAGTAACTTACTGTCTCTTCCCATTTACCAGAACATTGACAGTATTCACTCAAGTTATTACTCTTGATTTGGTTACACTTGGAACATTTCATGTCCTGTCTTAAGAACTTTGTGAAGTAGCGACTGAATTGAGTTACAAGCTCTTCCTCAATGGCTACCCGGTTGTATGATTTGTTGCACATAGTACAACTCCAGATAGCCTTCTCAGGATCTCTGCAAACATCGATATCTCTGGTATAACTACAGTGATCACAAATCACTTGAGGAATAACCAACGATGAACTTGGGTTGTGAAAGGCAGCTTCATTACTGAACTCTCTGATTTCGAAAATCGATAAAAGCTCCTGCCTCAAAACTCTGACTTCAATAGATCTCTTGGTTGATAATCCCATGATGGCACAGAAAAACTTGACGAGTTGCAAACAAGGGTTTCTTAGGTGTAAATGAGATCCTGGGAGTTTGGGGAACTCGTATTCTTTTTGCAACTCTGGGTTGATAATCGAGTCTGTTTGCTTCTTGAACAACAGTTTTACTCTCTTGAACAATTGCTTTCTGAACATCTCTGTTACACCGTCATGGAAATCATCATCAGCCTCTTCATTATCATCTTGAGAATCAAGTTTTCTTTGTCCTTTTAATATATGAGCAATTTGAGTGACTCTAGGAGTATTCGCTTGAGTTGGGCCCTTCAACGTATCAGATTTGAACTTTGTGAGAGCATCCAAAAAGATAATCAACCAATCTTCAAACTCATTTTGGAAGATCACCGGCAAAAATTGTTGTAACTGCCAGTTGTTGACTGGACGTAAATCTTGAATCTCGTCATTTGTTATCTGGGTGCAGTAGCGACCACCAAAATTGTACTCGTCCATCCAGAGCAAAATATCCCAGTACTTGACGATTTCCATTTCAAGGAAACTAAATAAAGGCTTAGCCCTGGCAGCCTTGACAATGTAATGTCCATATGCGTACGAGTTTTCGACTGACACCTTACTGGTTTGGATGAATATTTTGTTTCGGTTTGCAAAAACAACATTGGCATTCATTCTCTTGAATTCTCCGATTAATTGGTAGAGAGCTTTCGTTGTCAAGTTATGGATATGATAATGTAAGGCAAAGTCATAAAGGTAAGAACTATTTCTTTGAATCCAAGACACCAAATGATTCATCATTGAATCTGCATTTATATCGTTATTCAAAGCATCATCCCACCAATTCTTAACCATACTTCTCAAGACATTTAATTGGGCATTACCAAAAGAGTCTTCCATTAATGTTGAAGCTCCGTTATTGTTGTCAAACACAGTACCTTCGTCCACCAAGTCCGCTCCTTCAGCTTCATTGATAATGGAGCTTGTCAATATAGTGTTGATTGACAAGGTTCCTATATCAATTTCCAAACAGGCTGTTTCATAGATCTCTGGATTATTGATGACAGGGAAATCAAGGTTTTCATAATCCGGAGCTTTATCCATCTCAAATCCACCATGGTCGGCTAAAGGAGTATCAGACCACCAAAGAACCATGTTACTGTTCGACAATCGTCTGGCATATTCAATATCAATCAAATAGCTTATGTTCTCTGCTTGGAGATTACAGATGGGAATATTACCATACTTGGATAATGAGATCAAATTCTTCATCCATGAAGCCAAGACGAAGAAGTGGTTAACTACTCTCTTAGTGACAAGTGAATGCCATCCGACAGCCGGCAATGAAAGGGAATTGACGTTCATCTTCACAGTAGGAAAGTTGGCAGTTGAACCCAAAATACTCAACAACCTGTCAGTATAAGGAGATTGAATAGTCAAAAGAGCTTTGTTACTCTTGCTTTCATTGATCTTTGCAATGGTCTTATCCAATTTCTTGAACAACTTGGAGTTATCGTTGAAGTACGTGACATTGAATTTCATTTCGTTAGGATATTCAATAATATTGTACATCTTACCAAGTTTATCCTCCTTAGCAAGGAACAAGTCACGATATATTTTGTCCATGTTACCTGTAAGCTCTTGGGCACCTGCTGAAGGTTTCAATACAAACATAGTAGCTTCATTCTCCCATGATTTGAAGATAGTGAAGAATTCATAACTATTGGTGGTAAGATGAAGGATATACAAAATATCCATGCCGAATCTCTTGAGATAATTGGCATTGTTGACCTGCATCATATCCTTAACATTGAAACCATTCTTCAACCCTTTACCTAAAGTACCAACCCTTGTGTCATCAAATTTGACACTGTTCCCCAAGTCGATAATTGCACGTTCAATTGGTTTCATCTTCGATTCATATAGTCCCAACAATTTAGAACTGTTCAAAATACTGTCAACATTTGAAATTTCTTGTTGGTAAACAGATTGGGGCATTGTGAACTTGTACAAGTTGGTTCCGTCATGACCATTTGGTAAAATGGCATTCGATTTCTCGACATCACCTTGCACAATTACCTTTGAAAGATCTAATTCAGTCTTGAAAGATGCATATAATCTCTTTGGAATATGGAAGTTGAACAGGTGAACTTTGCCACTAGCAATTATGAACACTTTCAAGTCACCTGGCTTATTAGGATCTTCTTTATATTCTAAGATTTGCCAATCAGAACCAGCAACATTTTCAGCTTGACGGCGGATTAAACCACCAACTGAAGACCGCTGTGAAGATTCAGAAGATTGACCAAATAATTTCTTTCTTCTTTCTCTGCTCTTTTCTTGGACTTTCCATTTGGCCTTCTGGTAAATTAAGAACGCTTCATAGTCCACCAACATGTCTGGACACGGACCATTTAATATAGCATTGTCTCTTTCTTCGTCTTCTTCTGTATCTACCAATTTTTTGTTTCGTGTCAACTTTCTCTTCCTAGAAGTAACCTTACCTACCTTGGCCTTTCCAACTTCGGATGCAATATTACCAAAATCTTCCATATCTTTGATTTTTCTAGCTTTGGCAGTATCAGAAGGCTTTTGAAAGAAGGCGGTAAGTGACAGCTGTTGCTTTTTGTCTTCTTTAGTGCTGATTCGTCTTTGTAACCATTCAGGATGAGGAACTCTAGGAACGGGATTCTTCACGTCCTGTAAAGCAGCAGGGATAGTAATAATCTTTTGGACCACAGATGCTAACCGTTCATAATAGTAATCCCAATCAATAACACTTCTGGGGTCAAAATTGGTCAAAGAGGGATCTTTCAACCATTTCTTCAAAAAGTATTCCTTCTTATCAGAAGAGAAAATTGAAACTGGGACTGCTCTTTCGGTCACTGGACTCCCAATTGGTTTGGCACTGATAATGTACTTGGTAGCAAGACCAGCATCCTTTACCATTTCTTCACCCAAAAATTCACCCAATCTTTTGGCAGTGGTAATAGAGGTGGATTTTTGATCTCCATATTCCGCAAGACTCTTAGACATACTTCTATTTTCACAAATAAGTTCGATCAAGTCTTCATCTTCCAACATACCACCTTTGGTATCCAATACATCCAACCAGTTATTAGCTACACTAGCGACGGCTGCATAACAGGAATCTAATGTATCACCTTCCAAAAACAACTTAAAGATATCAGATTGGAAATTCTTAATCAATTGTAACTCACCTCTTCTCTTCAACTCGAAACCTTTCAATTCGGCCAAAGAACCATCATCATTGAAGACAGCATACCTTTTCTTTAAACCCTTACCTTCTTCCTTAGACGTTGGCAAGATCATCGCTTTGTAAGGACCATCAACTTCGAAGAAAATGGAATTCTCTGAATGGGTTTCGTATTTAAAGGTATCAGGATCCACCAAATCTTGATATTGGTGATTAGTGAACTTCTCATGAACAATATAATTCAACATAGTACATGGATACTCCACGACAAGTTTCTTACCATCTTTACAATTCAATGGAAAGTTCTCTGGAAAGGACTTTGGAAGAATACACCAAATACCATCAGTGTCCAATTCCAATGGTCTTCCCAATCGTTCCACCAACCCTCTTGCCATTTGAATAATCGTGGAACCAGTGAGGCAAGTGATACCTGCCATTTCCATTGAGTACCAACGAGATCCTTTTCTCATCACATACCCATAGAAGGAGTTCAAAATAACCTTATGGGCTAACTGAAGAGAATCATAGAGAACCACCATTTTCTTAGCCTCATCTTTACCAATCGTATCAGACTTATCTATCTTGGAAGCTTTTCCTTTCCAAACTTTAGCTAAGCCTTTAAATTCATAACGACGATCTCTAAAGTCTCTCACGGTATTAACGTAAAATGGATTCTCTCTTTGACAAACAATGGATTCTCTGGTGATAGTCTCAGTCTGCTTGACCTTGTGATAAACTTTTCTGGAGTAGTCTGATAATCTCTTCTTGATTCTCGTTGCTTGTTCTGAGTAAGACAATTCTTCAAAGCTTCTTGGTGGTAACCAAGGCTTGGCGGCTGGGAACGTTTCATTTTGAAGGGATCTTTTAATCATGCCATATTCATTCATCTCAGCAGGCAAGTATTCTCCTCTCCATGACCATTGTAATCTTCTATCACATGACTTACCTGGTCTATTGAAGTCACAAGAGGCACAGTCTTCCTCAGATTTCATTGAGTCAGGTTGCAATCTATTAGACGTCATGATATTGGGATACATAGAAGCAACATCCACATGGTATATTAGAGGCACTTCGTGTCTCACTGGGTTGTTCTTAAGTTCCATCAACTCTGCTTTAATAGACTCCAATACTTCGTCGAAATTTTCGATATCGTCCATCTTCTTCTTACTTTCAACTTCAACAAAGAATCTTAACGCTTTGGGAAGATCATTGATTAACTCGTCAATTGCTGTAGTATCCATTTTGAATTGGGTTGGAATATCGCTTCGAAAGACACCAGCTTCCAAAGATTCGACGTGTCCACCCACATAAGTTTCTGATTCCAACAAGTGACCATTATAAAATCTTTCAACAGGATCAGAATACTTATTAGGTAAAACGATACCATGATGATAAGCTTGAACCATCAATAACATTTCACATAAGGTACCAGTACCTTTTCTTAAAACTTCATCTGGATTCAAAGGAATAATTGTACACAAGGAGAAGATAAAAGGATGCACATACTTGTAGTACAAATAGTAGGTTGCAACAGCATCAGATACAGAATACTCTGATAGGTACTGAGGTCTTTCGTAAGCGTAAGGAGTCATTAGCTCAGGATCCAATTCTGTGGGGTTATAGCCAAGTTTTGCAGTGGTAACCGCTTTTAAACCCTGCGAACCTTGGGGTAAGTAAGAATCTCTCTTCACCCATCGATAACAATCCATATGCACACAGTATTTGGATTTGTATTCTCCATCGTTGTCCTTAGCGAACCCAATTTCATCAAACATGTCCAAATCATGAAACCTTGACCTGGTTTCAACAAATGGCCAATCGAAAAAATCTCCGTTGAAGGTAGCTATAACTGTTGGTCTAGCATCTCTAATATGCTCAAAGAACCTTAATAAGAGCAGTTTTTCATCAGGTTCATTGAAAATAGTGAAAACACCAGGATACTCTGGTTTAGGAGTATATTCGAAATCTTCGATGTCTTCCGAGATGATTTCTCGGTTGGTAATTAAAAAACCTTCTCCGTCAATCATATATGAGATCATCATTACTTGATCAATTCTGGAGTCTGGAAACTTCAAAGGAGCTTTGGTGGTTTCTATATCAAATGCTAAGATGACTGGATCTGGAAATGCAATGGTTTCTTTGTCTTCTTCGAAAGTTACAATAGAGTGTTTCACCCACACATTGTACCATTTACCAACTCGAAGATCTTTATCGATGGATACTCTAACATGGTAAGGAACGTCATATTCTCTAATATCTTCCAAGAGGATCAAGGGATCATTGGCCTGATCCTTGCCATCCTTTGACGAAGAAAACTCGTTATAATTGGCATTGGCCAAGTTCATTCCATGATAAATATCCCTCGAATCTTTCTTCATGAGGTTGTCTTTGATTATTGGTGCCAATAATCTTCTGGCCGTCAACAAATCCGTGACGTTGTGAAAAGTTAATTTCAATAAGCACTTTTTAAGTCCAACCAAGTGGTTGGGTAAAGCCAAATCTTCTTTGTAAAGTCTTCCGACTGTCTTCAAATTGGACGTTTCCAAGAACCGCTTGAGCATCTCTTCCACCTCCGACTCACTGCCCACTCTCACTGACAAGAAGAAGTAAGGGTCGAATTGATACGTCACTTTGAATGAACCACCTTCCTGGTCCAAGAAGTAGTAGTCTACACCAGAATAACCAGCAAGATAGTCATCACTCGGTATGGTAGTGGAATGCATGTTGATGAGCCAACCCTTTCTGGGCTTGTTGCCATCCTGCTCACCGTGTTGTAGCCGATCGAAACCCATTAAAGAATCTAGGCGATCTATTCTGTCGACGAGTTCTCTCTTTTGTAGAGAATCGTTTAGCATGGGATTATTAGCCACATAGGGATCTGCTTCTTGGGCGCCACTTCTGTTGGCGAAGTTGCTTCGTATGGTGTGGGGTTTTGAGTTCTTGACGAAACGGGCAGAGGTAGAACCTTTAAAATTGTTATTCCGTTTGGCTGACATGACTGATATTACTTGTTATTATTCATTAAACGAGAAAATATGCAATGGAAAGAACAAGGAAACAATAAAAACAGGAGTGAAGTATGGTCCAAGTGTGTTATTGTGCAATTATGTCAGATACTATCAATGGGAAGCCTGTTCTAAGCAGCTTTAGTAATGCAAAAGTAAATGTACACAGTTGGTAGGTTTTACAAGGTGTGAGATGCGGGTAGCTTGGAAAAAAAGACGCGTACGCGACTTCAACTTTTCACCTAAGCTGCAGCACTACACTGAAATTGGAAATATGATTATATTATGGTGTACGCAATAAGGAGAGGTTCAGTGTTCTATGTCAAGAACCTGTCATTGTGTAGGTTTTCCTCTACTCTATCACTGGGACTTATGAATCCTATAAGTTCATAAAGATAAACACAAGAAGTTGGACCACAAAGGAATATACAAACAAAAACTGGAGTCTGAGTCTTCTCTGAGAAGCAGGGATACTGTTGGTGGCCGTAGACCCCACCACGGAGTTAGAAGGGGGTAATACCAAAAACCTTAACGATCTCATCAAGAACAAGGCAAAAGATCCAGCCAACAGACAGATACTACCGTAGAACACAAACCCCACACCAATGAACTGCTTCAAGATCAACAACACGATGATTGGCACATACTTGTATCCACTGAAACTCACAATATCCCAAAATGAACCACTACTAACACAGTTCAATAAATAGAGTCCGACTCTGAAGATGAAAATGTCGAAAATGAGGCACGCCAACGCTTGAGAAGCCAAGTACCCAAACAACTGAGGATGGAAGTCTCCCTTTAAGCCTTGGAACAACGCCCACAACAACACATACGTGATGTAAGACATGAATGGAATATACAAGTCTGGAGCATTTATATCCTGACTAGGAGGGGCATAGCTTATACTAGACTGAGTTCCGTCACCGGCTCCTTGAGTGCTAGCCAATCTCGCCCAGTTCTTGTTTCTGAACGGGAACAAGATCAATCTCAACTTTCTTAGAACATATGAATTACTGATTTGAAAGTAGTAGTTAAGATTGGAAGTAGGAGGGATGAATGCTCCGAAATTTTGTTGAATATAATCATTAGATTGTCCTAAGCTGTTCTTGGCGAACTGTGCAGCCATGGAGCTGGCGGGATCTTGAAAGAAATTGTTATAAAATTCGTTACCACCTTGAGGTTGCTGATGGGTATTAGGGGCATTTTGTGGCTGATGCTGGAATGGGGCGTGCTGGGGCTGAGGGTGCTGGATGTTCCCATAAACACTGGGATCCTGGTACTGGCCCTGTTGCGGGTAATTCCCACCGGTATTACCGTAAGGAGAATACATGTATATTTGGCTTGGGGGCTGTAGAAATCAAACTTGTTATTGTCAGTTGGAAGTGCGCGAGTGAGACTTGTCTGGCCACGACGCGAAAGTTTGGCCCCCATTGATTTTTGGTTTAACCAAAAAAAGGCTCTAGTAACTAGTATGGTGTTGCTGGGTGTGTTAATGTAACAATTTCTAGCAAGATATTATGGACTGATATTTACGCTGACAAGAAAAATGCCGTTTCCAATTGCTTTAGTTGCTGTAGCAATTTCGCAGCCATCAGCTCACCTGGACATACATCTACCACAGATTAATATCTACGAATCTCGGAGCCAGTTAGAGGGCCCATTCTGATCTTTCCGTGTTTTGCACTACGGCCTCCTTCTACTCCACATGATATCCGTTTGCTACTTATATTGTCACTAGATGGTCTAAAATTGCTGAGCCTTTCTCAGCGCGCGGAAGTTTTCTCTGGAGTTCCACGCAACTGCAGTTCCAATTCCTAGAACCTAATAGCAATATATATAACCCCAAACAGTTTTTTTTACTTCAATTGAATTTGCTAAAGTGAAATGATCCAAGGCAAAGTATTAGTGGTATCTAATCGATTACCTGTGACTATCAAACGATCTTCTAAAGGTGACTATGATTATACCATGTCATCAGGAGGACTTGTTACTGCTTTGCAAGGATTGAAAAAATCCACCGAGTTCCAGTGGTTGGGATGGCCTGGGTTGGAAATCCCCCAGGGAGAGCAGCAGAGAGTCAATGATGACCTTATGAACAAGTTTAAGTGCACAGCTATCTATTTGAGTGATGCTATTGCTGACCTTCACTATAACGGATTCTCCAACAGCATTTTATGGCCATTATTTCACTACCATCCAGGGGAGATGAGCTTCGACGAGAATGCGTGGGCAGCTTATATTGAAGCCAACCGTTTGTTTGCAAAGACCGTTGCTCTGCAAGTGGACCACAACGATATGGTGTGGGTTCACGATTATCACTTGATGCTTTTACCGCAAATGTTGAGGGAAGAAATTGGCAATACCAAACGTAATGTCAAGATCGGTTTCTTTCTTCATACTCCGTTCCCATCTTCTGAGATCTATCGAATCTTACCGGTGAGAAAGGAAATCTTGGAAGGAGTATTGAGTTGTGACTTGATTGGATTTCACACTTATGACTATGCCAGACACTTTTTGTCGTCGGTGTCTCGAATTGTGTCGAATGTGTCGACATTGCCCAATGGAATTGAATACCAGGGAAGGTCTATTGGAATCGGTGCCTTCCCTATCGGGATTGACGTAGACAAGTTTCTTCAAGGGTTGCAAAAAGACTCTGTTGTGAAGAGAATTGAGCAATTGAAACAGAAATTTGATGGAGTAAAGGTGATAGTGGGAGTTGACAGATTGGACTACATAAAGGGAGTCCCCCAAAAGCTCCATGCATTTGAAATCTTTTTGGATGAGCATCCGGAATGGATAGGTAAGGTGGTTTTGGTGCAAGTGGCTGTTCCTTCTCGAGGAGACGTGGAAGAATACCAGAGTTTAAGAGCCACTGTTAACGAATTAGTGGGAAGAATCAACGGGAAGTTTGGCACGGTGGAGTTTGTGCCTATACATTTCATGCACAAGTCGATTCCGTTTGACGAATTGATCAGTTTATATCGCGTATCAGACGTTTGTTTGGTGAGCTCAACCAGAGACGGAATGAATTTGGTGAGTTACGAGTACATTGCCTGTCAAAAGGAGAACAACGGGGTATTGATTTTGTCTGAATTTGCAGGTGCTGCCCAGTCGCTAAACGGGGCATTGATCATTAACCCATGGAATACAGAGGAATTGAGTGTAGCTATCCATGAGAGTTTGACGATTCCTCCCGAAAAGAGAGCCTTTAACTTCAATAAGCTATTTGAGTATATTTCCAAATACACTTCGGCTTATTGGGGTGAAAGTTTTGTAAAAGAACTCTTCAAATGTTCAAAGAGTGACTAATTTTTTGTATATTTTTGTATATTCTTGTGTCTAAGGTTGAATGAAAGATAAATAAATAAGGGATTGTTCCTCTTATTCTACATGGTCGTTAAAATCGTTAATGACGTTCAAGTTGGAGTAGGTGTGTGTTTCAAGGTTTCTTTGCGTAAGGGGTTTGATCATACTATTTTCTTTATCGTATTTTGTTTCATCACCTTCATCCGCCTTGTCCTTTATTACGTGTAGGTGTTTTCCATGCTGATGTCCAATGTTGGAAGTGGTATTAGGACCGAGTTCCTTCTGTGGTTGAGGTGGCAAGTCGGTAGTAATCACCTGAGGCCTTATCCCAAGTCTTGATAAAAGGGAATTGTTCGAGTACAAATATGAAAATGGCACTGTCTTTGGTGGTTCCTGCAAGATCACACTTTCAGACGTCAAAAGCGTCTCACGTATTTTGGTTTTGTGGTTGGGATACCTCACATGGTGTGCATCTTCAGTGCTAGGTACAGAAGTGGGAGAAAGTGTTCTTTTCCGGTCCTTTTGATTGTCCTGATCTTCTTCTTGCTTGAATGTCCTGATGTCTTCTTCAACATTTCTTGCCAGATTGAACGCAGACATCAAATATGGCATCTCTTCTGAAAGAGTTGTTTTATGCAAAATCCCCGAGCTGCCAAGTGCTGGGGATTTTTCGATATCCCTGCTATTCTTAAGATTTGTGGATGTGGTGGCCGGGGACTTGGTAATAGAATGAATCATTGGGGACGTGTACATGGAACCGTACATGCTGTAGCCCATTTCCGAGTCGTACACCGAGTCAGAATCATCTTCACTTTGAACATGAGGACTAGAAAAGGTGTCGGGACTCTTGAAGTGGTGATGAGGAGATTGAAGCTGAAGACGCCTTTCCTGCTGTTCATCCTCTTGTTGTTGTCTTACTTCTTGGGCCTTCTCCAACTTGAACGCATCAAACATCTTCTCCATGTCACTGATAACTGCCAAACACTCATGCTTTTCAGTCATATCTTCGTCCTCTATAGCGGAGTTCAACTGCAGTAGCAAACTTGCAACAAATGTTTTGTATGTTTCAACGGTAGTGTTGGAATCGTCGTCAGTTATCATGGATTCAAGCTCAGTGCCAATAGTGATGAGCTTTGCTTTCAGGTAAGCAACTGTCACTTTGTCAGTCAATTCATGTTTTAATTTAATGTTTCTCAAAGTCAAACTGGTGAGCAAGGTTCCCGAATCCAGAATATATTCAATGGGAGTCAACGTCCTCAGAGCCTTGGTGATGTAGTCCAAGTCAATAGAAATCTTCAAGAGCTTTTTGTTGATATCGTGGCAGTCTGTGAGCACCTTCACGGAAATGCTATTATTGAAATCTTTGATATTTGAGTTTTCGTTGTTGAAATGATCGTTGGAGTTGATGTCCAACGAAAGAAACGCCCAGTTCTTCAAGTTCAACCCAATTTTCTCCAATGTTTGGAGAATCGTCAATGACAACTGACAAAGCTTGGAAACCTTCCTTTCCGCCAACGAAAAGCCCGAAATCAAACTAATGAGCTTGTTTGTTTTGTCGATTTGTTTATTCAAATCTGGGTCGTTTGCTAAACGTATGATTGGATCTTCATATGTTTCGATTTCAGTAGCCATGGCGATGATTGTTTCTTGGGATGCTGTTTGAATGAAATATCAACTCTAGGTGCCCGTTCTAGGGATATAAGCTATGAATATGTAAATAAGATGCAACTTTCAATGGAAAAATGCTATTGGCTGACGCGAGACCAGGACTAGTTGTAGTATTTGGGGGGTCAGAAATGCACAAGGAATAGAAATGCTTGGTGAGAGTATATGCTGTTATGTAGAAACACTCAATGACTCGGAATAAAAGTGGGTGAATGAAACCTTGTTGAAAGGATCCAGATGGTTCAAGATTCAAAAATCATAAGTTTTTCAAGCGCATTTGTTTTGGTATCATCAGATCGCATCTGCGGATTTTAGAACCATAGTACCATAAATAAATTAGATTGGCCTAAGCTAATGTGTGTATCAAACCTATTCTATCTTCTTCTCTTTCAAGATCCTTGTTTTCATCATTTCATACCATTCGTCAATACTGGTATTTTCATCATGAATTGCAATTATTATTAACGTCATATTATCGAACCCGATCCCGGTTATATTGGAGGCCATGGAAATACAGTCATTCAACACAAACTCGATGATATGCTGTAAGGACCAGTCCAAAGCCAACTTGTCTCGTATGACTTTGATGAGTTTCTCATTTCTGTAACAGTCCCAAATTCCATCGCATGCTAACACAATGAATTCAGGCTGCCGGAGTTGTTTTATATCGTATATCAACAAGTCAGGCTCACAGCTCACTTGAAGTAGTTCTGGAGGCAAATGAATCAAATCGTGCTTGAAGTACTTTTTGTTTCTAGCAGCATACTTATTGTGGCAGCTATCGAGTTCAACAAACGGAACTTTGAATTTGAAATCCCCAAGTGCTCTCGAAAGGGATAAGATCTCGTTGACCCGACCATTGATAACGTATCCACCGCTGTTCTCGATTCTGACCCGCTCCCCCATGTTGGAAGGTTTATGGTCAAAAGACAAGGTTTTGCAAGCCCCACCCCTTAATGACAAAATGGCTCTGGAGTCACCTGTGTTAGCCACGATGATATACTTCTTCTCGATGATCATGACGACGATGGCCGTGGTTCCACAGTTGGCGGACAGTTCCGGTGGTAAGTCCAGATCGACCTTGAAAAAACTGTCTTTGATGAAACGCATATACTCCTTCAACTCTGCTCCTCGTTTTACCATCTGGTTAAGCTTCGTGAAGAGCATCTTTGGGAGCGTCTCACTGATGATGTCTGCCACTTCCCTTCCTCCGTGGCCGTCAAACACAGCAAATAGCCCCAAACTTTCATCCTCATTTACCTTGACCGAATGAGCATCCTCCATGGACGCTCGGTATCCTTGCATGGAGCCAATACAGTAGGTCAATGATGTATGACTCCGAATATCGATGGTCTTTTCCTCGATTGGATGTGATAGTAACTGACCCATGATTAAAAATTTAATGTATCACTCTTGTGACCACCCAGCAAATATAGAAAATCTAGTTAACCGACACTAAAAATAGATCGCACAAAATACCGGCAGTATTCGTGAGGCTATAGCTTGATTTATAAATGGGTTCAGTGGATCTAGAATTGGAGGTGACGCCTATTTTCTCGTGTTCTCAGAACAATCCCTTTGTTAATGTAGATGATTTAATATCGCAGGTTTTTTGTGCGCGGTTTCGTAAAAGCCATTGCTATGGTTTGAAGTGTGCTGGCTAACCAATTTTTTTTTTTGAACAGGAGGAATCTTAAGTTTAAACTTTAAACCAGAGCTGGGATACGGGATTCGTGGGAGGTAATTTTGGTGCCATGATGCGAACTTTATTGGGTAAATAGAGAGAGGCGTACGAGGGAGATTTACAGAAGCTAAATGAGGTGATTAAGGAGGGAGTGGACTTTGCCTTTGACACTAGCTCCCACACTAGGTGCACCGCGCACGGCAGAGCTCACACGAGTACCACCTGGCACAGCGCGGGCTAGTGCGCAGTGCGTGGCCCCACTAGCCCGCGCTGTCATTAGTGGGGTAAGGCACAAAGTCCAGCCGAAATTCGCAGCAATCGCGCCCGAACAATTCTATTTAACTGTCGACAGCCCGGCTTCCAACAACATAATCATGTCGGAGAAACACCCAGGAAAAAGAATTTGCCAAATCGTCAAATTAAAGCCAGAGTACTTGGAAGAGTATAAGGAATGCCACAAACATGTTTGGGAACCGGTTGCTGCTAACTTGAAAAAATACCACATCGAAGACTACTCCATCCACTATGCCCCAGAATTTGACTTGTTGATTGCAACTTTCAAATACACCGGAGATGACTGGGCCAAAGACGGTGAGGCTAGCCGACTCGACGAGGGAAACTTCAAGTGGTGGGAGATGACCGACAAGATGCAGGAAACGTTGGTACCCGGATCCACTGGGTCCAGAGATAAATCCGGTTGGTGGGTCAATTTAGAAGAAGTGTTCAGATACGACCATTAGCCAGCGATGTATACGGTTACAATAGAACACGTATTGTTGTCTAATCAGGAATGTTTGGTTCCGACTCGGGCCGTATTCCGTATGTAGAACACCATTTTTTAATTGTCCAATGGTCTACAGTGCCAAAGCTTATTTTTTCTAATCCTTGCAATTATCAGAAATATCACTCTAATTCAAATGGTCAAGAACACCAAAGAGGGCGACATTTTCGTTCGCAATTGACCGGCAATTCATTGGATACGAGCACAATCCTCTTCTGAAGCCTCTGAATCTTGAGAATGCCAACCAAACTTTTTGGGATAGAAATTGTTAACCACAGTTCTTCGGTAGGACCTCAACCCCCATGGCTTAAATTCAGGCTCAAGCACTTGGCTTTCTTCAGGTGTGGATCCTACACAAAATGATATTAGATATGCAAGGACTTCGCAAGAATTACAAATAACGGCTTTTTAAATTATGCACGAGGTTTCCACAGACGGCCTTCATACCCTGGGAATAGCCGGTTACAGTGGTCGATCAGAACTTTGTTCCCTGATCTCTTGTGAGCTCTCACCTTCATACAAAAAAGCCAATAATATCTGATAAAAGTCTTACCCTCCTATTCAATTCAACCCAAGTTAAGAGGTGTTCCAAAGGCAATAGGTATTTAGTCCTTTCGAAGTGTGAAGTTAGGTTTAATGGATATTTCGAAATTTGCAGCATCAATCGCGCCTCAGCGATCAGCGCGACTAGTGAAGTCTAAAAGTGTGGTGGATGGTGTGCTGCTTTTCTTGAAAACCATCATAACTTGGAGCTAATAATGCCACAGTTATGGCTTTATTGATATATCCCCAGTATTGTAAAGTGCTATTCCGAAGTATTTAAGGTACTCCCTTCCCAACCAAATACACCTCAGAAATGAGTTCTAACACAGAAAGTGCAAAAGCTGCGACAAAAGAGGCCATACTTAAATGGAAAAATGAAAACCCTACCACCACTGAGGCGTGGATCTCACGTGCCCAAGAGGTTGCAAAAATCCTTTCGATCGATGCTGCTGAGAGGGATGAGAAGTCTGAATCTCCCTTCACGGAAGTTGCTCTCTTGAAAGCAGCTGGTCTCGTCAACCTCTTGAGTCCAGAAAAGTATGGAGGTAAAGGACAAACTTGGGAATTGGCTTACAAGATCATCTTGGAGGTGGCCAAAGCTGACAGTAGTATAGGACATTTGCTTGGTATTCACTATTTATGGTTCTGGTCGGCAGTTTTCTTTGGTACTCCTGACCAAAAAGACAAATGGTTAAAGATTTTCACACAAGAAAAATCTTTCATCGGCGGAGCCGTCAACGCAAGAAATAAAGATCTTGTGGCAACACCTGAAGGTGATGAAATTGTGTTCAATGGAAAGAAGTTCTTCTCCACTGGTTCAGTCATTTCGGACTATTTGATTTTAGAAGGCTCATTACCCAGTGGTGAACATGTTTTTGCATATGTTCCTGCAAATAGTCCTGGAATCAAGTACTTACATGATTGGAACGCAATAGGCCAACGGTTAACAGAATCTGGTGGTGTGGTTATTGATAATGTTAGGATTAAAAAGGAAGATGCTTTGGGGTTCACCTCATCTTTAGACAAAGTCGTTAATGATGTCTACTCCTCGTTTGTTTTACCAACCGTTCAGTTGGTGTTCACCAGTGTTCATATTGGTGTTGGAGTTGGGGCTCTTGAAAGTGCAGCAGAATATACCCGAGAAAACACTAGGGCTTGGCCTTATGGAGGTGATAACAAGGAGAAAGCCGTTGATGAATGGTATATTAGGGAAGGATATGGGGTTTTGGCTGCAAAAACTTATGCGGCGCAAGCTCTTCATCGTGAAGCAGCCAAACTGGTTTCTGAGGTTCTTCATGCCGATAGAAAATCTATTACAGAAAGGAGAAGAGGTGAAATCGCCGTCAAGGTTGCCGCAACCAAAATTGTTGGGGTTGAAACCTCTTTGGAGGTTGTGACTAAGATCTTTGAGTTGACAGGAGCCAGGTCAGGTTTAAGGAAATATGCGTTTGATAGGTTTTGGAGAAATATTAGGTTACACAGTCTCCATGATCCTTTACCTTACAAGAAGCGTGAAGTTGGTTCGTTTTTCTTGCTTGACGAAATCCCCACTCCTTCGTGGTATACTTAGATAGCCAGACAGCAGTTTGAAAATGCTTGAACTGCTGTTGGCTTTTTCAATTCGTATGCGGTCTGGAGATGACAAGGATCAGCATGGCATGTTTACCGGGTATGAAGCCAGTCTTCAATCCCGAGTCCATGTCCTTTTATGTAGTCTGAGTTTTGATCAATATTTCAATTGAATAAGAAAGTGGACCATGGCTCGGATAATCCTTTTCGCAGCCTTAAACCGTAAAGCGCGACCGTTTTTTTCGTATCACATAACCTTCTTGATAAGTAGACTGAAAAATCTTTACTGCAACTGCTCCCCATTTACCATAATGCAATCAAAAGCCCAAGAATTCAGACTACAATGCCGAAGAGGTGATTTCAATAGTCACACTTCTGGAAGCTGTGCGGGTTTTGCACAAGCTAATTTGATTATATTGCCTAATGTGCTCGCCAAAGACTTTGAAGACTTATGCTTTCGAAACCCCGTTCCTTGTCCCTTATTGAGTAAGATTCCCAAGCCAACCGTAGTTGAAGACAAGAGAATCATCAACGGAGAGGATTTTGATATTCGTACAGATCTTCCAAAATATAATATCTACAAAGACGGGAAGTTCGTGGGTGAAAAGTCAGACGTCACACAAGAATGGACTGAAGATCATGTGGGATTCTTAATTGGATGCTCCTTTTCTTTCGAAAATGAACTATCTGCACAAGGATTCACCCCAAAACATCAAAAGGAAGGGAAAAATGTACTGATGTACATCACCACCAAATATTTGAATGCCGCTGGTGTATTTGTTAAATGTCCATATGTTGTGAGTATGAGACCGTACAAAGTTGATGATCTTGAAAACGTGAGAGATATTAGCCGACAATTCAGAAAAACCCATGGTGAACCAATTGACTGGGGTTACGAAGCTGTCAAAAGATTAGGTATATCAGATATTAAAAAGCCAGAGTTTGGTGATGCAATTGAAATAGCCGATAATGAGATTCCAGTCTTTTGGGCCTGTGGTGTTACTCCCCAAGCAGCTATTCGAGCTCTTGGTGATAAAGCAAAGGGTATAGTAATGGGTCACAGCCCTGGACACATGTTGATTTTAGATTTGACAGATTCTAAGGCTAAGAACTTGTAAAGCAGCTAATCACGGAAGTTCCACCGTCGTAGGAAGACCAGATTCACTTTAATTTTCAGCCAGCTAAGTAATAAGATATCTACCTACCGGATCTTTGATCAGAGGTAATGTTATTTGAAAAATATAGAATGAAGTTCAAATATTATAGTTTTGTTTGACAGCTAAATACTACACTTGCAAATATAAAATAGATGTTATAGTTGCCGTTCCAATCCGATAAATAATGTCTAGAACCAACTGGTCACTTTCTATCACTTTCACAAACGCTAACTGTGGTATAACCTTCATAGTTTTCTCTACAAATTAATTTTTTTTCAGGTCGATATTACCACCACCGTACGAAGTAATTAAAGAGATCACCAACCCATAGGATTGCATAAGGTTGTTCTCGCATTAGGAATCTGCTCATCAGTCACGAATTCGACTAACAGATGAACGTACTCTCTGCGCCTCAATATACTTACACCTGTTTGGGTTAGTATATATCACAAGTATCTGAACAAACATGAGGTATGCATCACTCGATTGGATATTTGGGATGCGCACGTCGTTGCATTACACGCATCGTCTGGAGCAAAAGGGTCGGAAATATTTTAGGAGCACCCGAACCGGCGGACCTTTCGCAATTTTCACATCCGTTTTATTGTACAACCTCTACTATCACTCTCATCAAATGGTACATTTATTACGTGAATTGGGATCTAGCACTTGTGGTTTCAAAAGGGTTGAAGGCTATGTATGTCTGTCACTGTTATCAAGGCGAACAAGTACTAGGTATTTCGGGGTCAGTTTGTTGCCGCGACGGTGTCCATCTTACCTGTCATATTGGGGTTTGGTGCACGGTTCCGAGGCTGACTTCAAATGAAAATTACTATAAAGGTAGGCCAGAATCTTCTTTATTCGGCAGCTAGAAAATTATTATGTCTAACAGTAAAACCGTGGTCGTCACCGGAGCCTCTTCAGGTATTGGGTATGACGTTGCTCTAGAATTTGCTTCAAAAGGTTACAAGGTCATTGCTGGTGCCAGAAGACTTTCGACTATGGAAGACTTGAAGAAACACGGTATTAGAACTGTGGAATTGGACGTGACATCTTCGGAATCGGTTGCGAACTTAAAGGCTTTGATTCAAACCGAATACAATGGCGCTATCAAATATCTCTACAACAATGCTGGTCAGCCTTGCATGGTCGCGGCTGTCGAGGTATCAGATGATCAAGTTTCCAAGTGCTTTGAAGTGAATGTTTTTGGACAAATAAGAGTAACTAGAGAGTTAGCTCCATTTGTTATCAAAACAAAAGGTACAATCGGATTTACTGGTTCCATCCAAGGTATCCGGGGTTCTGTGTTTCTTGGTATTTATGCAAGCTCAAAGGCAGCCCTTCATTCGTATGCAGCAATCTTGGCTACTGAATTGGCCCCATTTGGCGTGAAGGTTGTTAACTTTATTACTGGAGGTGTTAAAACTGGAATTAGTGCAGAACTCGACACGGTTCTTTACGATGAAAAGGGATTGGGAGAAATTAAGGATGCTTTCACAAAGCTTGGAGATACTGGAATGGACTCCAAAGTATATGCTAAGAAGATTGTCAAAGACTTTGAAAGCTCCAAGATTGGTCTGGACGTCTCGTACAGGGGGGCCGGGGCCAGTTTTATTAGGATTGCTGACATTTTCCCTTCGTTCGTTTTGAAGGGCTTGTACCTGCTGATGTTCAAGGTGAAAACTCTCTACAGAGAAATCAGCAATAAGTACAATTGATCCCTCTAATATTTGCTGCGCGCTTGAACTTCTCGGAAGAAACTTTGGAAGGCAATATAACAGCAAGGAACTTCTAGGCGTGAAATCTCACTAGGCAGAAGATCAGGTTATTCTAAGATTCTTAATCTGACTATATATATATATATATCAATATGAACAACTGAATTAGATAATCAGGTTGCACTTGGAAACTGCAGCAGAAATTTTCTATCTCAGATTTTTGCAGCAACTAACGCAAGCAATTCTCATAACGTTCATTCATAATTTTGCATTCCATATATATTGTTTAAATAATTGTTCATATTTCAAATCATCTGAAGGATATCCTTTAATGTAAGGGGGTCAAAATGTTGTCTAACCTTCTAAAAATGGGATAGCTTTGGAATAGTACCTACCACCACTAACAGAGTGTTCCTTGAGGATCTTATGAAGAGCTTCAAGATCTTCTCTTGACAACTTCACCGAACTACCAAAGTTCTTGTCAATCTTTTCCTTAGTAGACCCAGATGGAATAGGAATGATCGTGGTAACCTTTGGAATTCCTTCAAAGTTTTCGATTCCAGAGAGACTTTCAATATAACTCAATGCTAAGGCTTCTAAGCTTAAGTTCTTTGTTTTAGCAAATTGGTACAAAGCATGCAAACGGCCTTTATTCTTTTCATAGTTTTCAGGTTGGAACCTGTCGAAGTGATTCTTCATATCTTGTGGAGGAATGGATTTCAAGAAATCGGGATGCTCAGCAGCATAGTCGGTTAAAATTCCTCTACTTAAAGGCGAATATGCAATGATAGCAATTTGATGTTTGGAGGCTTCTTCTAAAACGCCGTTGGTGAAAATATCTTCTGAGAATAACGAAAATTCTACCTCAATACCAGAAATTGGTGCAGTAGCTGCAGCTTTCTTCACGGATGCAGCACTGACCTCCGTAATGCAGATACCAGCAAGATCACCACTTTTGACTCTTTCATAAATATAGCTTACAGAATCTTCGATTGGAACATTAGGATCAACTCGTCCACATTCAAAGAGGATTTTTGGCTTGACCTCTAAGTCCTTGAAGTAAGAAAGACTATTATCAATTGATTTATTGATAAATTCCTTACTACCGTCAGGAGCAAACTTCGTAAGGTCAAAGGCTCCTTTGATAGAAATGATGATATCTTCATCCTTCTCTTGTTCACAAAATTGGCTAATCAACTTCAAGTTCGCAGTTTCAGGAGCAGTTTGGTAGAATTCCCCACAGTTGAAGAATTTAACTCCGTAAGTGTTTTTGACGTATTTCAAATTGTCAAGGGATTTGGAAAATGGTGGTGGGCTTGGACACCAAGTCATGGACATGGTGCCGAAGCCTTTAGTGGAGATTTTACAAGGAGTGGACATGTCCAATGTTTTGAGGTGTGGTGGGTAAGAACAATCGAACCTATTTGTATAGGCAACACGGACACGGAAGCCGAATTAATCTCAGGATGAATCTCCGACGGACGCGGGCCTATTTTGTGCGCGCTACCATCGGCTTTAGCATCGATCACGACCTCTCTGAGCTTGATAATTCAACCTTGATCGTATCATTGACAGTGAACAAGATAGGTACCATTAGCTGAGACTTAAATACCCATTTCTTATGTACAGGAAGTTAGATCACATTATAGTTGAGTACAACTAAAGTAACTCACAAATATGACAATCCTTCAAACCAACAAAGAAAACGCTGCGAGGATTCCAAGATGTGCATATTCATAATGCATGAATGTGTCAAAGATGCATCCTGGAGTGAAAATGCTGGTGGGTCACAAAACATAAGGTCTCGTTCCAGGCAGAATTGGTGGGTGTCCGTAAAACCAGGGGAGATATTGTTAGGTAATTGATGGTTACCATTTTTCAATAGCCAACTAGTGATTGTAAAAACCCTAACTTCTCTCAAAGCCAAAGTCAATTAATAATCCAGGACTAGATAATTGGAAACTCACTCCACTTGTCGGTAATTCCACTGTTTCTTATCGGAGGGAAACCGCTTCGCGGAATCTGGTAGATAAGACGGAACTAGCCGCAAATCCTTTATATACTACGCGGTGCTCCTACTATCATTTTTCAACAGACAATGTTTGATACAACAAGTGTTGGAGTGCTTCCAAAGGAAGTCAATGTGGATAAGAACCAAGGAACTAAGTACGATTTCAAAAGAGATTTGATCGGATACGGAAGGCAAGGATTAGATTGTCAGTGGCCTGAAAATCGCAAGGTAGCTGTATCTTTTGTGCTTAACTATGAAGAAGGAGCTGAAAGATCTTTATCATTAGGAGACGAAACAGCAGAGTTTTCATTGAGTACACCATCAAAAACTGGGCCCTTGCCAAACAGAGCCTATGATATTGAAACTGAATATGACTATGGATCCAGAGCCGGTGTATGGAGAATTTTAAGACTTTTCTCCAAGCATGAGAATAAAATTACTGCTTATGCTGTGGGTAAAGCATTTGAGAGAAACCCTGATGTTGCAAACGCTTTCGTCAGAGATGGTCATGAGATTGCCAGTCATGCCTATCGTTGGATTCCCTATGCAGATGTGGCACCTGAAGTTGAAAAAGCTTACATTTTGAAAGAGTTGGAAGCTTTGAAAGAAACAACTGGAGAAGATGCTCCTGGGTGGTATATGGGGAGACTTTCACCACAAAGTTGGGCATTGATCTGTGAGGTTTATCGGGAAATGGGAAAGGAGTTACCCTACATCAGTGACTACTATGGTGATGATGTCCCTTACTGGGCAGATATCCCAGCTGAACAGGATCTTCCTGACAATGAGAAGAAAGGTTTGTTGTTGGTACCATACTCTTTCGATTGCAATGACTACCGGTTTTTGAATGCCAATGGGTTCAGGTCAATCCAAGGATTCTACGACCACTTAAAGAATGCTTTTGATACGCTTTATGCAGAGGGTGGTAAGATGATGACTGTTGGATTACATTGTAGAATAATCGGTAGACCGGGTTATTTTCAGGCATTGAAGAAGTTTGTGGAATATGTCAACAGCCATGAAGACGTTTGGGTCTGTTCCAGATCTGATATCGCTTCTCACTTTAAGAGTAAATATCCATATAAGCCATAGATTACAATTGACATGTCGTACTGAATCTGCGTATAAGAATAGTTATCAAATGAATATCGTAGGATAATATTCCGTAGGATAATTACATAAGGATCGGATGTTTGCCGACCATATCGGCTATGGAATATTGCTATTGGAAGAATCCAATAAAGATAAGAAAGATCAATTGCGGAAAAACTCCCCGAGGGCGCACCGCTGTCAAAACCGCTTATCTGTCAAAACCGCTTATCATCCCAAAAAATGTGCGGATGCTTCCGCAGAGATCAGAAAAGATATAAGGCCATTGGTATCCAATAGTGAGTCCTGTGAGGAGCATCATCTACAATGTACGATATCACCACTGCTACTAGCATCCCAGAGGAAGTTAACATCGACAAGTTGGCTGGAACTAAATATGATCTTAAAAGAGATTTAATTGGTTATGGAGAAGAAGGCTTGAAGGTTCAATGGCCAAAAGGAAAGAAGGTTGCAATTTCTTTCGTTTTAAATTATGAAGAGGGTGGAGAAAGATCTTTGGCTCTCGGTGATGATACTAGTGAATTCTACTTATACACTAGCTCCAAGCCAGGTCCCTTTCCCAATAGAGCTTACGATGCTGAGACTGAATATGATTACGGTTCGAGAGTTGGTGTCTGGAGAATCTTGAACCTTTTCAAGAAGTTCGGCAACAGAATCACTGCTTATGCTGTTGGTAAAGCTTTCGAAAACAATGTTGCCGTTGCCAAGGCTTTTGTTAACGATGGGCACGAAATTGCAAGTCATGCTTACAGATGGATTCCATATGATGATGTTTCTGAAGAGGTTGAAAAGGCTTACATTATCAAACAAATAGAAATCTTGAAGGAAACAACTGGAGAAGAGGCACCTGGCTGGTACATGGGAAGACTCTCTCCTCACAGCATTGGATTAATTACCGAGGTTTATCGTGAACAAGGTAAGAAGCTTCCATATATTAGTGATTTCTATGGGGACGATGTTCCATATTGGGTTGATGTTCCAGCTGAAGCTGATCTCCCCGATGAAGAGAAGAAAGGTCTTTTGTTGGTTCCATACTCGTACGATTGTAACGATTTTAGATTCTTGAATGTCAATGGATTCAGATCTACTCAAGCGTTTTATGATCATTTGAAGGGTGCTTTCGACACTCTTTACGAAGAAGGCGGTAAGATGATGACAGTTGGATTACATTGTAGGATTATCGGTAGACCTGGATACTTCCAAGCCTTGAAAAAGTTTGTTGAGTATGTGAACAGTCATGAAGATGTTTGGGTTTGCTCAAGATCTGACATTGCAAACACTTTTAAAGAGCAATATCCTTACAAGCCAAAGAAGTAATCATTTATACAGCTTCTATAGAAATACAAATTATGTGAGTGTGAATACTTTGAGACGTTAACCTTGGTTGTGGTGCTTGATATTCTCTAGAATCTGGTCCCAGAAATCTTCACTGAGATTATTGGGTGTTTGGAAAGTATCAAGGATTGGATTTGTCGTATCTGCTTTATCCACGATGTTGGATTCTTTGGGACTATTTTTGATTTTATCTATGTCCTCCAAAAGACTATCAAATAAGTCACTGTAGGTTTTAGCTTCCACCCATCTTTCTGAAAATACAAACAACAAACTGGAACCTGCCCTGAGATCATTTTGAATGTTTATAAATGTTGGCTCGCCCTTGTTTTTCAAGTAATAAACCATTGTGATACCTGCTAAGAAAACTGTATGTAATGCCACAATACTGAATTCTAAGATTGAATCACGGTAAAGCTTCTTGTAACAAGAACAAATCTTTCCAGCAGCAAGACAAGCTTGGTCCAAGAGCAGATCTCTCTCGGAATTATGACTTCTCATTAATAATGGTAAAAGCAAAATCAACCTGGCCCTATAGTACAGTAAATCAAGAAAGTCATAGCTTTCTCTCTTATTCATCACCATCTCAAATTCATCACGTGAAGGTAGACTGTGATACCAATTGTCAATATCTGCTTTGAGTGTTTCAATTGTATCAGCTATTGGAAAATTATTGTTCACTGAATATAATAACAAGTGAATTCTAGTTTCGATGATTCTGATATTTGTTGTGGCTATGAAGGAGGTAAAACCCGAGATAGATTGCTTGAAGTTTGGTTCCCACTGTTGTTGCAATTGTAATTGGTATAACTTTTGATAGTCGGCCTCAACTGGGCGTGTAGGAAAATCTATACTTATTGGATAAGGTAAATCAACGAAATTATCAACAATGGAGCATGGTCTTCCGAGAGACAAAGACAAAAGCTTATCATAGTTATAAGCTGACCAGAACATCCTCTTTATGAACTCATAATTCCAACAGTTCTGAAGGGTCAGAGGCTGCTTTCTGAAATATCCAAATTGCACAAGCTTTCTAATGGCACATCCAGTTAGTTCCCAGGCAGACACATAAAAGGATAAGTGATAACTTCTGCTAATAAACACGGCAATCAACAAACATGCCTGCAGCTGTCTCAAAGGGTTCATGTTGGCATTAACCAATTCCTTCAAAGCTCTTCTTAAATACACTTCAGGCTGTGGATATGTGGTGACGTGCAACAATTCTACTAATCGACATCCTATAGCCAATGCCATATGCCAGCAAAACTTCTCCCAAGAATTTCTTTCGCCAACAGGCTTACCCATCATTTTAAAGAACTCAACATGATCAATAAAGTATCCTCTATTATGGGCTAAACTGAAGAATTTGTCAAGAAAATTGGTTTCCATTCTATCGGGAACGAAGTCCTCCTCTCCTATAACATTATCCAAGATGATCGGTAAATATTCCGGCTCTTGTTCTTGTCCTAGAAGAAGGGTCTTTATACTTTTTACAATGGTGATCACTGCAAAACTTCCAATGTATTCATTTTCTTCTCCAGAAGTTTTGAAAAGCACTTTGGACAATATTTCTGTGAATATTGTTTCAGCAAGTTTGTTACTCCCTCTGACCATATCATGAGGGTTAAACGGTTGTAGCTGTTTCTGTTGCAGTTCCAAAGACTGTACCATGCTCCGTAAGCGTCGGTTTTCTTCTACCAAATCCAAATTTTCTTGTTTAACAGTAGCCAATTCTTTAGTATACGCTTCGCTACCACCATTTTGAACAAGTAGTGATTTCAAAGAATACTCGCATTCGGCGTTAGACCGGGCACACAGCTGGCATGGCTGACTCCCATCACACCTCCGTTTCCTTTTCTTGCAGCGATCACAAGCAATGGGGACTCTGCTTCGTTTTCTACTGGGCAAACTCATTTGTAGAACAAATATTTCTTATCTCAACTTTTTTATCTGAGATCCTAGCCTAGTCTACGCACGAATCCTTCTAGACTCTTTGTTAAAAACTAAAATTATATTGATTCTATCTAGCAAGCCTTCCAATCATTGGCCAGTTCCCAGCCATATGCAGCACGATATATGGAAAGTTCGTCAAAATGTTTACCAATAATCTGTAATCCAACTGGAAGCTTGATATCAGGATTATCAATGGCTGCAAGAAATCCTACAGGTAAAGTGAGAGCTGGATGGCCAGTCATATTGAATATTCCGGTATTGGCATTCAAACCGATAGTGTTTTTGATCAATTCCAAAGGAGTTCCGTCTCTAATTCCGTGTGGAGGTGCTACCACGGGAACAGTGGGGGTAATCAAAACATCCACTTGCTCTAAAGCTTTGTTGTACTCATCTCTGGCCTTAAAACTCAAATTGATAGACTTGACGTACAAACTAGGATAATGCTCAGAAAGATATAATCCGTTAACAATACCGTTCTTGACTGGCACCGGAGTTTTGTCGAACAGCTCCTGGGTCCACGGTAAAATATGGCTTGCGTATTCTGTGGATTTAAGAATTCTCCTTCCTGTTTGTAATCCAAGTTTCCTCACACATCCACTTATTCTTTGGCCAATCATCCAGATTTCTGGAGCAACTAAGTGATAAGGAATTGAAATTTCTACAACTTCGGCTCCCAAGGCCTTGAATTTCTCTGCTGCTTCCAAGAACTTGGCTTTCATAGCGGGTGTCATAGTAGGAACTTCCAAACTTTCCTTCAAAATACCAATTTTCATACCTTTCAAACTGGATTTTTCAGTAATCTCTTTATACTTTGGAACATGTTCAATAGTAGGGGAACCATTTTGACGATCATCAAATCCATCCTGGCCAGCCATAACTTCTAACATAGTACAGTTTTCCAAAACGGTTCTAGTCATAGGACCACAATGATCAATATTAGTTTCCAAACTACCGATTCCAGTATATGGAACCAAGCCAAATGTAGGCTTAAATCCAACAAGCCCACAGTGAGCTGATGGAACTCTAATAGAACCACCTTGATCAGCACCTACACCGATATCAATTTCTCCAGAGCCGACCAAGTACCCGGTTCCCGAACTAGATCCTCCAGCTGAATATCCATCATGGTAAGGGTTTTCCACATTTCCAGTGGATGCTGTATTGGAAGAGGTGCTTGAACTTTGGTTTTCGCAGGTAGCCAACCCTTTAATAATTCCACCAGCTTCTAAAAGACGAGTTACAACCGTAGCATCAGCTTTAGGGACCCAAGGTTTGAAAGCATCGGTCCCAAAAATTTGAGGAACCCCAGCAATTTCAACACAATCCTTGATACAGATAGTCTTTCCAGCCAATGGCCTGTTTTTGGATAATTGTGGTTTGGTGTCTTCAATAGTAACTTTATAGGCCCAAGCACCTTTCAAATTATCGGCTTTTTCTGGATAATGTATGTCCTTTCTTGGAAACCTGTCGAGAAAGGTAGGTTGATAATAATCTTCCATGGCGACAAGTTTCTTTGCCGATCTGTCTAAAGCACAAAGAATCTTATAGTAATCTTCAACCTCATCGCTTCTCAATTGCAATCCAAGTTTGGCGGGTTGAGCATGAAGGTCTTCAAGAGTAACCTTGCAGTTAGGATCTGCTTCTAAGGAGGTGATAGACATATTAACTGCGCTTTCAGGAGTGCTGAACACTGTTAGTATGAAGCCACTTCTTTTTATAAAATCTCAGCATCCGGTCAACGGAATGGTTTCCGCTTTCCACTTATCAGGAGAAAATCTTATCTCGATTTCGCGGAATGTAGAGCTGGCGGAACCTATTCCGCAAGTCTTCTTATCAAAGTTAGATGCGAGACATTGGCGGGTGTTTCCGTCCCAAGAGCCTTCCGCTATATTCTTGGTCTTTAATGGGTATACTAGTTTAAATGATCTATAATGATCAATTTTGGTAACTGAGTGGCAAGAGTTCTGCAAAATAGACAAAAAGGCAAAACATGTCTTCATCACATCCCCTCCAGGACCAGTCTCAAAGACTACCTAGGCGAACATTGTTTGTAACATTGGGATGTTTGACGGCCTCTTTATTTGTTTCATTCTTTGACCAAACTGCGGTAACAACGGCAATACCTTCAATAGCAAAAGATTTGAGTGATTCCAGCACCATCAGCAGTTGGGTTGGTACGTCTTATTTGATTGCAAATACCAATTTCCAGCTACTCTATGGACGGCTTTCTGATATCTTTGGAAGGAAACAAGTGTTTCTCTTCTCATTACTATGTTTATTGGTTGGTAACCTTGTAAGTGGGTTTTCCAACAACCCGATCATGCTTTTCGTTTTCAGAGGAATAAGTGGTTTGGGAGGAGGAGGAATCAATTGCTTGGTGATGATAACATTTTCAGACTTGTTGACCACGAGAGAAAGAGGTAAATACTTTGGCTTTGTGGCACTTTCTACTACTTTGGGTAATGGAATAGGTCCTTTAATTGGTGGAGTATTGAGTGAGAAAGCCAGTTGGAGATGGACATTTTGGATTAGTTGCCCAATTTCAGTTGTTTGTGGATTATTGGTTATCTGTTTTGTACCCTTAAAGCCTGTTACTGGTTCGTTCAAGGAAAAGCTTAAGCAACTTGACTATCTCGGATTTTTTCTTTCATTAGTTGGAACAATATTTGTACTTGTGGCCATATCAGGAGGTGGGGATAATTGGCCTTGGAAGGGTGCTATATTCATAACTCTTATTGTCATTGGATCGCTAGCTTGTATTGGGTTTTTGTTACTGGAACATTATTTAGCTAAAATTCCCATCATTCCGTTGCATTTATTTAATCATTTCCAAAGGCTGTATCTTTTTTTAATGTGCTTCCTAATGGGATGGGCATACTTTGTGGATATCTATTACTATCCCTTGTATCTACAAAACGTTAGGGGATGGTCACCAATTATGTCAGGTGTACTTCAATTACCATCAACCAGCAGTAGCAGTGTGTTTGGTATAATAGCTGGATTCATAAATTCTAAGACTGGTCATTATGTCAGATGTTTATACTTTGGTGGAGCAATGTGGTGTCTTGGGACTGGATTAAAGATACTCTTTGGTTTACACACAAGCCCTGGTTTATTAGTTGGAGCGAACCTAATTCAGGGTTTGGGTATAGGTTTTACCTTTCAACCAACATTATTAGCCTTATTATCTCACTCAAACAATCATGATAGGGCTATTGTCACTGGCTTGAGAAACTTCTTCAGATGCTTCGGAGGGTCTGTGGGCCTTATTATTAGTGGAATAGTGTTCAACACTATTTTCAAAAGCAGGTTAAGACACTTGAACCTCTCTGACACTGAGATTGAACATATAATCTCCAACCCAGACTTCTCACTGATATCCAACAAAATATTACTGCACGAGGTAAAGAAAGCTTATCTTCACTGTTTCAAAACTATCATGATCATATTAACTGCGATGTCTGCAGCTATGCTCGTGTTATCCCTCATGACAAAAGACGGCAAAGAGCCAGAAACAGAAAAAGAAGCTGTCATTGAATCCTCCAGCGATGACAAAACAAATACTTCTAAATAACATTTACAAAAGTTCACTTATATATATTCTAACTAAAAAGCATCTATTCAAGGTTGTCTTGCTTTAAGCTCTATAAATATAACAAGATCAAATATATAACGATAGAATTAATAGAAAATATTTCAATATACAAACCCATCTCCAGACTTGATACTTGTAAATATGCTATTCCGGCGAGATAAAATACAAAACAATAAAAGAATTAATTGAAAATATTTCACATCTTTTTACATATACAAGCCCACCTCCAGATTTAATATTTGTAAATATACAATTCCAGCAAGATAAAAAGAACAACTATAAAGAATTAAAAGAAAATGTTTTTCTCACATATATAAACCACCACCAGACTTGATACTTGTAATGATCTTTAATTTCTCGTCTTGAGCACTGTCTTCTTCACTACCTTCAATATAGATCTTTCCAGGATAACCCACACCATTGATTGAAGCATCTTCTTCGAAAAATCCATCAGTGGATGTCATGTATTCCCAAGTTTTGGGAGTATCTTCATGTCCATCTGGGAACACCCTGGGTTTGAATATGAGACCCAAAACAGTGTAAAGTACAAAACCAGAAATGAAAGTGTACAACCACCCACTATCGTAGATTTCTGTTGCGACATCATTCAAGGTTCCTGGATTATAGGCAGAGTATAACCCTGGGATACCAAGAACTGTAGACAATGCCCAAGCGAAGAATCCCCAGATGTTCACACCTTTATAATAGTGATAAACTCCGGAGGATTTCTTTGTGTACAAAGAAGGAACATGAATGTTACCTCTTCTAATGATGTAATAGTCACTTAAAAGACATCCAATCAAAGGAGCCACAAAGATGGAGTAAGAACCCAAAAAGGTAAGAAATTGAGTGGCATTGGCCAAGAACTTCCATGGAACAATGGCCCAACATAAGAATCCACAGACAATTTGACCTCTAATAATGTTGAAGTATCTTGGCAATAAACCAGTTATGTCGGTTGCAAAAGGAATCGAGTTAGCAAAAATATTAGTACCAGCTGTTCCGGCAGCATAGAGAAGGGAAAGGAAGAAGACTGCTGTTCTGGATCCAGCAGACCATTCATTGTCAAGAATAGCGTGAAGCAAGTCCCACATGTTCCAATAGACTTCACCGTAAGCCCTCTTTAAAGAAACCACGCCAACCATAGCAAATACAATCACACAAATTTTAGGTGGAATAAATCCAATGGCTTGTGGGACCACGGTATCTTCCTTTCTCTTGGCATAACGAGCAATATCAGGCTGATTGATAATCATTGGAGACAAAGTACCAAATATAGTGTTAAAAACCGCCATCCATTGATTTCCCCTACTGGAAGTCAGCACAACAGTAACCCCTGTAGACCAGTCACCTGGACCATGACCTCTGACCACACAAAAGATAAAAAGACCCAAGGTTGCAAAAGGTAAAGTGATGGCTTTAAAAGTGAAGAAATACCGGATATGTTTTGGGTGGCACCACATCAATGGCATTTGAATCAACCAATACAAGAAGAAAGCTAAAATTCCTCCAGTAGTAATATCAGCACTTGCTGGTAAGTGGTTTGGTAAATCAGTCCATTTGTAACCAAAAATACACCTCAAGACAAGGTTAAACATCTGGGACCCATAATAACTTTGCACCCCAAACCAAATCAAAGCGATGAAAAATCTCACAAACACCATAAAGTATCCTAAATAGATACCAAAAGTTGATCTCACCAACACATTGTATCCAAGATGATAAGATGAACCCACTCTAGCGTTAGATACCGTAAAGATACATGTGAGAAAAATCCCAACAATAGCAGCACCGATCACCTGTCCGTGAGGTAAATTAGTTTCCTTCATTAGCGAGGCCCCAGTATTCCATTCATTAACATTGAAAGTAGATTGAAACCAAATAAGTACGTAATTATACACCTTCCAGGTTCTGTCTTGTGGTGGTGTTGGTTTGAGATCCAAGTTAGATCTCATTGCCGTTTCGTCTTCCTCAGTGTCATCTTTGAGTTTGATAAAGTTATCGAATCTCTTCAAGTAGTTCATTTCGATTATAGTTTAGCCGTTGATGTACTAAAGAAAATATAACTCTTTATGTAGTATTACAAACGGACTTAATCATGTTATGCTTTTTCTGTATTCGTATGATTTTTCTTATCGAGAAAGCCCGATAGGATGAATTCCGCCGAGGTGGAACTTCCCGCGCGCGGGAGATAGGGATTTCCGTCGACGCGCAGACGTCAAACGGCTATCGTGAGCTGTATATCTAAAACTTCAAGTAAGCGAAGATTTCGTATTATACACCATGTCTTTATTCACGCCGATTGACATTGGGGATTTAAAGCTTTCTCATAGAGTGATTCTAGCTCCATTGACAAGGTACAGAGCTGTGGGAAACATTCCCAATAAGATGATGGCAGAATACTACGAACAGAGATCATCGAAAGGTGGGCTATTGATTACTGAGACTACTTGTATTTCAGTTAGAGGAGGAATTAATAGAAATATGCCCCGTATTGACACGGAAGAAGCGGTGGAAGGGTGGAAAAATATCGTGGAAGCTGTTCATGCCAAAGGTGGGCTTATATTCTGTCAATTAAACCATTTTGGAAGAACGTTTAAACCACAGGCTTCAGAGTATAATGCCCCAGTTGTATCAAGCTCCTCGGTTCCTATTGACGGTGAAATGTACCATATTCCTAAACCAATGGATGAAACAGACATGAAACAAACCATTGAAGATTTTGTAAATGCCGCTGACAACGCTATCAATAAGGCTGGTTTTGATGGTATCGAACTACATGGAGCAAATGGGTATTTGTTGGATCAGTTCATAGAAGATAACATTAATACTCGGACCGATGAATTTGGCGGATCCATAGAAAATCGGTGCAAATTTCCGTTAATGGTGTTGGATGCGGTCATTGAAAAAGTCGGTTCAGGTAAGGTTGGGTATAGAATCAGCCCTTGGGACGTATTTCAGCAAGCTAATGATTCAAACCCAATAAAGAACTTTTCTTATTTATGTGAACAGTTGGAGAAGAGAAACATTGCATATGTTCATGCTGTTGAAGCCAGATCCGATGCTAATGGAGGACGTGAAAATGATGGGAATAAACTGGCCAGTTTAGACAAATCATTACTCAAAAGTAGTGTTGCGAAGCTTAAACCGTGTCTTCCCACAACCCTGCTTATCTCTGCCGGTGGGTGGAATAAAGACAATGCTTCCCTTGAAGGAATTGAAGTGGATGCTTTGGCATTTGGCAGATATTTCATCAGCAATCCTGATCTTCCTAATAAGTTGAAGTTGGGATCCCCATTGACACCTTATAACAGAGATACTTTCTATACTCCAGGAACAGCTAAAGGGTATACAGACTATTCAAGCCTTGCTTAGAGTTTAATATAGAATTCCTTGATCAATTATTTACGTTTCAATAAATCTAAAAGTTGTCTGTAAATCTTTACTCCCAAAACAGCAAATGGCCGTAATGATGAACGGGTTTATTGAAAGTCGTGTATTTACAAGCTCTCGGTAGCACAATAATTCCACGCTCCAGAGTTCACGTTATATATTCATATCTATTCTTTCTTGACAGCCAACTTCCCTGGGACATATGGGAACTTTTCTCTGAAATGGGAAGCAATGTCTCTTCTGTTACAAACCCAAACGCCTTCCTTCTCACTGATATACTTGATGAAGTTTCTAAGGGCATTGATTCTACCTGGCTTTCCAACCATTCTTGAATGCATTGGAATGTTCATTACCTTTCCGCCTTCACGGTATAACTGATCAAACTCTTGTTTCAAATAGTCTTCGTACACAAAAGCACCAGGGAAACCAGGGCCTGGGTCGGAAGCAACAAACTTGTAGTCATTAGTCACGTAACAATACGGAATCATTAACATACCCTTTTTTTCGGAGTCAGGTAAGTCTTTCTCCTGGGGAAGATCAACCCAATATGGAACATCATCATTATAGCAGTCAGATTGCCATAAAAATGGCTTTCCAAGCTCAGCATGTGCTCTGGCAGTCAAGGCAGGTGTCTTAATATTTCCTCTTCCAATATACGCACCAACCGGTGCTTCTCCAGAAGCCTCTTCCAATAACAAAATAGCCTTCTTGATCATTTCAACCTGTTCATCATCGGAACACTTTTCCCAGCTGATCCAACGCAACCCGTGGTTGGAAACCTCATGTCCGTCTCTGACACAGGCTTTTGCAAAAGCTCTGTTTTTTGAGAAGGCTTGTGCAACAGCATAGATGGTCATCGGGAATCCGAATTCTTTCATTAATCTCAAGACTCTCCAGGCTCCAACTCTGGACCCATACTCAAATTCGCTTTCACTCATCAAGTGTCTACCATTGATTCTTTCTGTTGCAACACCACCTTTTTCCCAAAGGTAAGCCTCAGATCTGTCGTCTCCATGAAGAATATTGTGTTCTCCACCTTCTTCGTAGTTCAAGATAAAGGAAACAGCAATTCTGGCACCATTGGGCCATTCAGGATCAAGTGAATCCTCTCCGAAACCAAGAAGATCTCTGGGTAATTCAAAATCAGGTAAAGCTTCAGGCACAAAATCTAACGTGTCCATGGTTGGCGATTTGCATTTTGGTACTTTCCCTCCTATATATAGTGGGTAGCAGGAGTTCGCGGCTCCCTATCTATGTCGGAGATTACTGGCAGGTGATAACGACTAATGCACCCCATTTGTGGTCCTATTAAAAAGCTTATCGATAGGTAATCTGTCGGAGATGAGCCGATATGCAGGAAAACTTTCCTTGAGGTTGTGGCGGTATAACCCCGAAAAGACGCACGGAATTGGACCATATCGCACTTGACACTTGCTTATCGAGCACTATCTGATCTCGTCCCGCATTTTCGGAAACATCCCGGTTATGATCTCTTCAGGATTGTGCTGACAATCATTTAAAGAAAACCACCTCGAACCTATTTTGTGACACCAACCACAAACACAAATGTCAGTATTTACCTTCGATGCTAAGGCTGGAAACCCAGTTACTACTGATACCATTGTATCACTTGCGAACGAATTGGGAGTCAAGGAACACACCCAAATAGAATTGGAACAGTATAAGACTTTATTGGCGGTTTTCCACGATGCCTGTGAAGAGCTTGATGAGATGGATGACTACCTTCCTGAAGTTGACTACGAAAGATTCCCTAGAAAAGACCCCTACTTCCCTCAACCAGAGGATAACAAGTTAGGTGCCTGGGGTTACAAATGTGAAGTCAAGGACTTGAAGTACACGGGAGGTGGCTTGCTCGACGGTAGTAACATTGCTGTCAAAGACTGCATTGCCATTGCAGGCGTACCAATGCTTTTGGGAACAAACTTTGTCAAAGATTATGTTCCAAAAACAGATGCGGTCGTCATCACCAGGCTCATGGAAGCAGGTGCTACTATCCAGGGTAAAGCTGTGTGTGAAAACTTGTGTCATTCGGCCACTTCTCATTCAGCTGGAACAGGTCCTGTTCACAATCCTTTGGCTATTGGCTATTCCACTGGAGGAAGTTCTTCCGGAAGTGCTGCTTTGGTGATGGATCCGGAAGAAGACATTGATATCACCATTGGGGCGGATCAAGGTGGTTCAGTTAGAATTCCAGCAGGTTGGTGTGGAGCTGTTGGACTTAAGCCTACATTCGGTCTTATTCCTTTTACTGGGTGCGCTGGTAACGAGGCAACCAATGATCATTTGGGAGTTTTGACAAGAGATGTATTGACCAATGCCAAGGGTCTTCAGGCGATTGCTGGAAGCGATGGTATAGATGATAGAAGTTTTGGTGCTCAAACCTCTGATTACTATTATGATTTGCTTGATCTTTCCGACCCAAAATGCTTGAAAGGCTTGAAAATTGCCATTTTGAAAGAAGGGTTTGAAAACAGAGCTGTTGAACAAAGAGTCAAGGATACTTGCTTAGCTGCGATTAAGAAATTCAAAGAGTTGGGTGCAACTGTAGAAGAAGTCAGCATTCCTCTTCATTCCAAGGGTGCTTTAATCTGGACTGGTGTCTCAAAGATTGGTGGTTATTTGACGAAGATGGGTAATAACATTGGTAGAAGAGGAGTGTCATTGAACGACCTTACGCAGAAGTTTCTTGAGGCGGCCCATACCCAAGAAAACTGGGACCAAGCTTATCCATCATCTAAGAACATCTACTACAATGGCATGTATGCTGAAAAGAAGTTTCCTGGATTATACGGGAAATGTACCAACTTATCAAGAAAGTTAAGAGATCTGTACAATAAGGTATTGGAGGAATATGACTTGATTGTTTTACCAAACTTGCCATACATTGCACGTTCTCATGCTGAGATTGGACCAAATGCAACCCCATTAGAGTTAATTGGGAAGCAAGTCGGTTTGAGTTCAAATACTGCTCCTTTTGATCAAAGTGGACACCCTGCATTAGCTCTTCCCGTTGGAATGTTACCTATCTTAGAGGGGCCTTTGGCAGATAGTGGTACCAAACTTCCAGTATCACTTCAAATTGTAGGTCAGTGGTTTGATGAAAAAACGGTTTATAGAGCTGCCTATGCTTTTGAAAAGAGCTACAATTGGAAAGACCTTTAGTTACTACTTTTTGTTCATATGCTTTTAATATAGCCATGAATACGACCTAGTTTTTAATTTCTTGTAATAATATAATTATTCAGTTTTTAGTTAATTTTGTAAATTTTACTTCTCGTATTGATGCGAGCAGTTTGTTTGCAACCACAAAAGTTCCTCTATGATAACTCTTGGATTAACAAGTGAAGGAAGTTCCCTTACACGAATTTTCGAATCTTTGTATGGCCAATTTGTCTGGTGGGTCCCTTCATTGACAACCTGGTCATCGAATATCTATTTTTTATTCTATAATCTTATAAAACTCAACATCTTTGACCTCCCCCGAGGTCTGTGCTGCCCAACATAATGCATGGTAGGAGCTGATCAAACATTTGTTATTTGCCACTTACGAAAACCACTTCAACGATGAACTGGGCATATGATCATATTTATAGTGTTTTGTGTTCTGCTGACTGTTCGTCCAACGGTTCTAATCCTCTATCCCTAACAACAACATTGGAAACCAAGCAAAGAGAAATTGACCCCATCCAGAAGTAAAATACATTCTTCAAAGAAGACATGTATGCCTCTATCAAAAATTCACTTTGATCTTTCGAGTAACTGTCCAAAGACAAAGATGAATACACCTGGGACTTTAACCCTATGATCTCGGAGGATGTGAAAAGATCACCCCCCAATGATAAATGTTTAGAAAAACTGTTAGCTATGATAGTCGAAGCAACTGCCAAACCAACGGCACCCCCAAATGATCTTAAAACATTTCTGGCAGATATCACAGTAGCTCTATCTCTCTTGAATGACTGTGCTTGGGCAGCCACTAAAGTTGGCTGGAAGATAGCACCTACTCCAGACCCGTTAAGAATCAAGGGTATAATAATTTTTGCCTGGTTAGCATCTGGTCCCCAAAGACACAATAGGCATACACCCAAGGTCCATGCTATATATCCATACCAAACCACATAAATATAATGACCAGTACGAGATATTACCTGCCCACAAATAACAGAAGTTGTCGACTGTGGTAGCACCAATGCCAATAGATGTACACTTGCTTTTATTGCACTGTACCTTCTCACTATTTGAAAGAAATACGGATAATAGTATACATGCCCAAAGTAGCACATTCCGAAGAAAAAGTTCTGCAATAACAAACATGTTAAAGACATCCTAGTGGAGAATAAGTTCAATGGGATCATGGGTAAAAAGGCGATTTTCTTCTCGACAAAGAAAAACATCATTCCAGATACTCCACCTATGACCAAGAAAGAAATCACCAAAGGACTTGACCAAGAGTAGTATGTCCCCCCACCACTGACTGGAATAAGAATGAATATGATAGCAACTGAACTGAAGAAAAACCCAAGATAGTCTATTTTTGCAAGCTTCTCCTTCAATGTCATCTGTGGTCTGGTGAATGGCACTAGCCAGAAAATAATTGCAGCCGCTAAAATTCCTATAGGGAACATCATGTAGTAGAACTTTCTCCAAGAAAGATGACTAATGAAGGCAGATGCCAAAATTGGACCAAGTGCGTTTCCCAATCCTACAAAACTTCCCAATATACCTTGGTACTTCCCCCTTTCTTTCAAAGTGACTATATCCGAAACAATCACCATAGTCAAAGAAGTGACACCTCCATTTCCAATGCCACAAAACCCCCTGAATATGAACAATTGATAAGGTGTTTGTGCAAATCCACAAGCAAGATCAAATACTGCAAGTACCAATAGACATCCTATCAAGACATATTTCCTGGAGAAAATGTCACTGAATCTACCAAAAAGAACCATGAACATAGTGGTGCTGATCAAGGAGGCAGTCCCGGCCCACGATATTGTATTCTCTGCATCAAGTTCCTCCGCTATGTATGGAAGAGCCACTGTTATAGCTGTTTGGTCAACAAAACTTAGGAATAAAGATACGGACATGGCAGAAAACACCACAAGAAGCTTCTGTTTAGACAAGGTATTTTCATGGGAATTGGCGAGGGTGTCAGCTACCTGTATACCCTCATCCTTAAGCTTTTTATTGTCGCTGGAGACGGATACAGCAACTTCCACCTTCTCATCCATTTTGTTTAAACAGTAAAAAAGTCCATTGGCTCATGTCTTAAAAGATCGACTGCGAAATAAAACGGCGGAAGTGCAGCACCTAACGGAATTGTCATTTACGGGCACCACACGATAAGAGTCTCGGAGGATCGCCGAAACTGTTGTGTGCGAAATAATACGATCAACCAAAATGAAAATCCAATCTCCGATAAGAAGCTCGCCTGGCAGATTCTGTTACGTTATAAATACCACGATACCAACGAATAACTCATGCTCATAATCATATCCCTTAAGTTTTTAAATCTCAAATGAAAGTTTTCAGCAAATTAAGAATAAAGACCGTGCCTAAAGGTCCGCATGCCTGGTACAACAGAGATCTTTTACCAACTCCTACCGACGAAAGAACTTGGGGTATTTACCACTTTTTGTTTTTCTATTTTACTACCTCGTTGACGCCTTCTTCTTATACGTTGGGTTCCACGTTGGTCAGTAATGGTTTACTCTGGTGGCATGGATTGATATGTGCTGTCATTGGAAGTTTTTTTCTTTCCATCGTACTCGTGTTTAATTCTAGAGCCCCTTCAGTGTATCACTTGGGGTTCCCTACCATTGTCAGAGCGGCTGCTGGGATGTACGGCTCGTACTTTTTCATCTTTGTCAGAATATCGGTGGCTACGATTTACTTTGCAGTGCAAACATATTTCGCGGGCCTGTTGATGGACGTGCTTATGAGATGCATTTTTGGGTATAAATGGGTGAACATCGAGAACAAGTTGTCTTCGGACTCAGGGATCACTTCTCGGGGGTTGCTTTCATTTTTCCTCATATGGTTTTTCCAGTTGCCACTTATGTTTATGCATCCAAGACACCAAAGACATCTTTATTCGGTTAAAATGATCACTACTACCACCTCGTTATTCGCTGTATTTGGCTACTGTGTCAGAAAGGCTGGTGGTACTCTTGGTACTCCAGAATCATTGGCAACGGACAGGGTATATGGTTCTGACTTGGTGTGGGGAGTCATTTCGGGTATTAATTCCATTATGGGAGCGTTATGTCCAATTTTGATCAATACTGGTGATGTGGTCAGATACGCCAAAAGACCCAGTGACGCTGCTTGGATCCAGTCCTTTGCTGTGTTGTGCTCTAAAGTCTTGATCACTTTCCTCGGGTGTGGTACTACTTCTGCTGCCAAGGTGTTTTTGGGAGAAACCTATTGGAACCCATGGGATCTTTATAATGGCTTATTGGACCACAACTGGTCGGCTGGCATGAGAACTGGTATTTTCTTTGCGTCCCTTGGTATGATTATAGCTTTGGTAATCGTCAACGTCGGTACCAACTGTTTGCCTGTTGGTGCTGATGCCACGGGTATGTTCCCCAAATATGTGAATATCACCAGAGGTCAATTCTTGTGCTGGTTGGTGTGTCCACTCTTGTTCCCATGGAAGATACTGAGTAGTGGAGCGAGTTTTTTGGCGTTCTTGGGAAGTTATTCGGTGATGTTATGTCCTATTGCTGCTACTATGATCTACGACTACTTTATCATCAGAAGAGGAAACTACCATATTCCTTCTTTCTACAACCCTGACGGAACTGGGGTTTTCTGGTATAATAAGCTTGGTGTGAACTGGAGAGCAATGGCTGCGTGGGTTATTGGATGTGGTTTTACTATTTCTGGGGTGGCTAACTCAGTGACCCCAGGGTCCATTGGTATTGCTGCTGTCAGAATCTACCAACTTGGGTTCTTGTTGTCTTTTATCGTGGCTTTTGTAGCTTACGGTACTCTCTGTTTTGCTTTCCCCGTCAAGAACATCTTACCTGATGATAAGGACATCAAATCGATAGGTTTTGAAGAGTTGGCCCAAAGTGATGGATTTCTTCCAGGAGAGTCATTGGACAGTATTATAGAGCCAACCGTGGAGATCATTGATAGTGAGACTATCCCAGAATCCAATTCGATTGGAAATGAAAAAGGTAATTTTGTAACTTCCTCTAAAGAGCTTTAGAGGTATAATTGTGATTTAAATAGTAATATAAGGGTGAAATAAATTGACTAAACAGCTAAAGATCAATCCCGAGACCGGAATGATTGTTGTTCAAGTTTCCTAGTCGCCTGAAGATCGTGTCGACGTCAGAGAAATCGAATAGCACATCGAAGTTTTCTTCTTGAATGTACTCCAGGTTGGCCAAAGTGTTAAACGTCTTCATATTGTCAATAAAGTGTCTTTTATTGGCCTCTTTGATAAACTGGTCCTGTCCAAACATGTCAGAGGAGTCAGTCAAACTCAGTAGTCCCCCTATTGGTCTTTCGTAATCGGATGTCAACAGTCCTTGCTGTAAGCTCCTTGCATGACTAACTTGCTCGAACAACTTTTCAAACGCGTCTCGGTACTGTGAGCAACTCGGACATCTTTCAGCCAATAGCACCAACGTCGAAGAGCAGCTCCGGAGACCTTCACTTACATCAAAGTCCCATATTACTTTCCTGGAAAACAACCCATATATGATCGTTACTCCACTCAAAAATATGGTCTGAAGAGATACAATTGAAAGCCTGTGCCGAGAGCTACGGCTATCGTGGATTCTTCTGTTCAACTTGCAGATATTGATGGAACTCTTGATACACTCAATGAAAAGCGGGTCGTTCGCCTCAAGCCTATTCATGAACGGAACAATCAAGGACCTGATTTGTTTGTTATACAAATAAAGGCAGTAGTCACACTCACGCTTGGTCAAATATGAAGGTAGGCTATCAAGCCAATGCTTCATCTTCCCTTGGATCTCCGCTATTATCTGTCTGGGGATATCTTCAAATGGAATATCCACTCTATAGATTTTGTTGTGAATCTTGCTGTCGATCTGTCGGAGCTTGAAGTAGATTATGGCCACAGAAATAGAGGTTCTTGTGTTAGTTGCCCCTTCGTCTTCTTCAACAGGAAAGTTTTCTAAGTTCAAATGGGGATATGTCTGGTAGAACTTGTTCTTGATAGACATATCATCGGTTACCGACTCATCAATATCTATGGGCAAGTCAATATCGATATCCCTGTCATTTATAGAAAATGGTCTTCCGAAAAAGTTGCTGATAACTTTCTCTAGAGCGTAAACTGACCAAAAGGTCCGACATTGGATCAAGTACGCAAATGGGTTACTCACAAAGAACTCTAGGTTCCTTCTGTGGAGTCCAAACTCAATACACAACCTCAAAGCTGTCCCCACCAAATACCATATTGTCAGTCCGTTAGGAAATCTCAACTTGTATATCACCAATAGAAGGATGGCATGGACATTAGATATGGTTTCAGCCTGAAGCACCGACTTCAAATCCTTGCTCAAAGCATGTTTATATAGACTGAAATGAGCCACTGTGTTTTGATCGGGCGAGTTGGCATCCTGCTTCAAATACGCCCCAATGGCATACACCATCAATAAAATAAATCTATCCATCACCAGACCAGATTTAGGCTTTAATATAAGACGATATGCATTGTTGTGAAGGGACTCCACATATGTCCTGCTCAAAAACGGAAATCGGGTATGTATTATGGTGAGGTAGTTTTCCATATAATATGAGGTCAACTTCTCGTCTTTTATGATATCCTCTATCTTCGGTAGATTGATTTGGGCTCCCATATTGGAACCAGAATCTGCATCTGGATAATCCGCAACTGCTTCATCCTCTAGGAGGTAGCCTTCAATCATATGAGCGACGCTGAAGCCAGAACCTCCCACATAAACAGACGTTTTGTCATCATTTTTTAAGGGTATAAACGCAGCACATTCAATAATGCTCTTTTTTAACCCGCTTCCTGGTGAACTGCTATCTATACTTGACGACTTATCTAATCCGGGGCTTGAAATGTCTTTTTTCAAGGCAGACTCTTCCAAATCCTTGATTTTGGACTCTAAAAAGTCTACTCTTTGTTGCAACATCTTTACGTAATTTGGCTTCATTTGTTCATTGAAGACACAGGCTTCATTAACCTTGGTACAGCTAGTGCAAGACGCCCCACTAATAAAGTCTCCGTCACACTTAGTTTTTCTGGCCTTGCACCGCTGGCATGCCAAAGATACCACGCCTTTCCTTCTGTTTTTCACTGCCTTATCCATTATCGCTTGAGAAGAAAAAGATACGAGTTTCGCGATAACGAAGGTACATGAAAAGTACATTTATCATTATCCATTACTCGAACATATTGCTACAAAAAATACTGCTAGAACCCAAGCTTCGGTTGATGCAGTTCTCCAAGAGACGCGAATGCTCACGTACTATCTCCGACGAGTCACTCAAGTACTCTGTTTTGAAAATGCGAAACAATCCTACCATATTCCCTCTTCCAGAAACTGAATCCAACACTCCTGCAAAAAGTTCTACGTCTTCATATATGTTTTCTGTGGTGAAGGGCTTGCCTGCAAGCATGGTTAACTCGGCTTTCACTCGCTGAAGGTGAGCGTGGCCATCTTCTTTGCTGGGTATATGGTCTGGGTTTTCCGAGTTCCACCTGAAGTCATGAGATTCGGGCCCACAGCTATGGAAATTGTAGCACCAGAGAATGGAAAGCATATGACTTATCATTTGTTTTCTGTAAAAACATCTGTCCTCTTTGGGGTCGTAGTTGTGTGGTTCTTGGTTTTCTCCGGCGAATAACAAGTTACAGAAATACGAATAGATAAGCACAACCGCCCTCTTACCTTGGATGCTATTCGTCCAGTCCACTATCCGAGACGTGACTAGTTCGACTTCCTTCTCATTGAACTCGACATTCATTCTTCCTGGTGCTCCAGCGTACACCATGAAGTCATAGTGTTTCATTTGAGTGTAGCTTTCATATAGCTCTCGTAACGGAATCGAGTATGTTTCGGACCAAATCCTGGGGCTAACATTCTTCTGGGCTGACAAAGAACAGTTTAAGTCCCAAAACTTGAAGGCTTCATCAATATTACTCTGCCAGAGCTGTTTGACGGACTTTAGCTCTGAAATGGAAAACTCGAATTCTCGGTCCTTGACTTCAAACGACAATGCAATAAGACCGGAAAGAATGATTCTTTTGCCAAAACCTCGAGTCTTGACGGGCTTCTTGTGTAAGATACTTTTTATGGCTGCCAACAACGTCAATGGCTTCTGCAAGCAATTTTCTGAGTATCTCCCGGTTCTCCAAAAATGCTCATTACAAGGTAAAGTGGGTTTAACGTCGTGTAAGTCGATGACCATATCATGTCCAAACACCACTGCATGTAAGGTTTCCAAGTAAAAGGTGGCCAAAGCACACCTCTTCATGGACTCATCTTCAATCCATTTGTCCCAGTGTTCCTGGCTTGAATATGGTGGGATGGTGGCATCTTTTTGGTAGTTTTCTCCAGAGTTTACAGAAGGCTTCACCCATGGGTTACCCCCAAACATAGGGCTTCTTTTCAACATCTGAATGGATAAGCCCCTGTGTAAGTTAGCTCTCTCATGTAAATCTCTAGATGAGCAGCAGATTTCATTTGTCTGCAATAGCACCAACGATTGGACCACCCAAAGTTTTGGAGGAGGTTTAAATTCCTTAGACTTGTAGATGGCCCACCGAAGAGGAACTGCTATGCTTTCAGAGAAAAATCGGCCCTTTCGTGAAGAATCTGACTTCAAGGTGCTGGAAAGATACGCACCAATGGTAATCATCGACAAGATCAATATGGGGTGGCTTTTTCTGGTGGAAAAAGACGGTTTGTTCAATATAGGAAACTGCGGGTGGTAGTATTTCCAGTATATCTCCAAATAGTATTGTAGAGATTCGCCCTTGAAGTCTTCCTGAAATTTTATCGATGGCAAAGCATCTTCCAACCCCTCCATTATAGACTGGTCTATCACAGTCTGTTCGTTGCTAAAGGGAAAATGTGGGATTTCGGGCTCGTTCGCCTCTTTTGGCCGGTTACAAAGATTATCAACCGCAAGCTTCTGTTGTCCACCAACTATTGAATGAGATCCAAACGGATACTCAAATTCTTCAAGCTCAGGAAAATTCTCCAAGCTTTCGTTGGGGGAAATGGTGACAGTAACAGAAGAGGAGTCTGAATTATTTTCGATACCTCCAAATAGCCATCTTATTAGCTCGTCCGAAGACACAAGCTCATTAATAGAAAGGTTTGCAGGGTCGATATTTTGGTTCATATCTTCTTGGGAGTCAACGGGTGTAAATGGCAGCAATGTAGGGGTTTCTATTTGGGTATAACTCGAATTGTTCAATAATGGTGAAATAGAGTTTGTTTCTTCAGGCTCCATCTTAGGAAGCTTAGACTCATCCATAAACACAAACCTAATAGGCTTGCTACTTGGTTTTGAGATCTTTTCCGTCTTCTCCAGTTTGTGCTCATGCTGTTCACGATAATGCTTTTTGTATACATCGTTTCTGACAAATGTTTTTCCACAATTGGGCCACTCACATCTATGCCTAGATCCCGACTCGTGATTGAGACGGTGCCGAGCAAGATGGTCGGCCCTAGTGAACGACTTTTTGCAGTTTACAATGTCACACACGTAACGCGTCATGTCCTGGGTGTTCGCTAGACTTCTGTGTCCAACCTTAGACATTTTTTGAGCGTAGTCAGTGAAGCCAGTCATGGCAAGTCCGCTCAAAATCGCACTCTGATTTTTGCGGGGGATTTTGGTGGTGTGGCATGTGGGGGATTCTTGCCTGTTTGGGAATGCATCAAGTGGGTGGGGGTCGCGGTCGATATAAAGTGTTTGCAGCATCCACTTTTGCATACGTCAAACAAGTTTTTATCATGGTGGTATCAGATTATAGGTATGTGGTGTGATGAAACGTGGATTTATGGAGTGCAATTGTACTGACAGGTTATATAGAAAAGTTTTAGTCACGGGTGGGACCGGTTTTATTGGAGCTCATATTGTCGATAATCTTCTTTCATTAGGAATAAGAGTGAGACTTGCTTCACGGTCGCTTAAGAAGGCCCAACAATTCATCGATGCTCGTCCTGAAACCAGAGACTTGATTGAGGCGTTTGAAATTAAGGATTTCACCAGTTTAAAAGGAAATGAGAACCCTTTTCTCGACGCAGTTGAGGGGGTTGACGGAATTATTCATGCTGCAAGTCCCTTGGACTACTCGGTTGCCAACGTAGAGGAAGACTTGATAAAACCCGCCATTAACGGAGTCAAGGTGGTTTTTGAGGCGGCGTTGACAGAACCAAATATCAAGAGAGTAGTCTTGACATCTTCATTTGCATCTGTCATGGATGTTTCCAAAGGTCCTGGGCCTGGGTTCACCTACACTGGAGATGACTGGAACCCACTCACCTATGAGGAATCCATTAAGGCCGACCCAGTGATTGCTTATAGAGGGTCTAAGAAATTTGCTGAACTTGAAGCTTGGAACTTCATTAAAGAGAGACACCCTTCTTTTGATTTGGTGACTTTCTGTCCTCCTATGACATTTGGACCCATTGTGCACCCAGTTGATGTGGTGGAAGATTTGAACTTGTCAAATGCCACTCTTTGGGACATTTACAAGGGGGTATCACCTTTGCCCGTTTCAAGAGTCCCAGTTTGGGTTGATGTCAGGGACTTAGCTCTTGCCCACGTCAAAGCATTGGTTGTGGAGAAGGCCAGTAACAAGAGGTATGTTCCTAGTTCACCCGAGAAGTTCTCGTACAATTTGGCTGCAAAGCTCATGAAAGATAATGGTTTAGGTAGTAACATCACTATAGAGCTTCCAACTGAAGGGCTAGTTCCCGAAGGGTATGATTTAGATTACGCTACTGTTGAGAGGGACTTGGGAATCAAATTTCATTCTTTTGAAGATTGTATTTTGGACTCAATGAAGCAGTTCCAGTCTTTACCATCAAAGAAGTAAATATATATCACCTGTTTTTAATTGCATTTTTCTCTACAAATTTCGCCCATTAAAAGTTAACAAAAATCTTCTTTTGGATGTCACCAAGAGAAAGGCGGTCACTCGAATTTTTTGATGTGACCAAGCTCTTTTTCTCTAGTGCTCCGTACGCCCATCCCCAACTTTCATCGACCCACTTGACTTACTCTACCGAAACTTCCAATTTGAGAATGGTCCCCCATATGGTTTTAGGAAAAGTCTGGGGAAAGGATCGGAGGATGTTTCCCTTTAGGGCGGGTCTCCCCCATTTCCGTTTCCGTTTGACGCACCCCACACTTTGGGGCAGGAAGATAAGATCTTTTTGTGCAGCCAAGTGCTCCTATACCTCTCTTAAATGAAAACTTAGTAATACAATTCCAAAGCGGGTGCAACTTTCATTATTGACCTAAACATAAACAAAGGACACGTAGGTAGCAAGTCAGCTTTTAACTACATACAAATTCTGAATGATTACTACTCTTGCAACACCACTGCTGAAAAAATTCAATCATACCAACACTAACTATACCCACAAAATACACTGTCTTAATTCTTGTAGCCCCTATTACAACCGAACTTTATTCAAACCTAGTTAGTAAATGTAAATGTCGTGTCGCGACATCCTATTTTAAGAGGTGAAGGTTCTGGAGATCAATTGTATTCATTGCACAAATAATTATACAGATTCGTTTTCAGAAACAGCTTCCTGCTTGGTGTCACTCTGAATGGATTCAGCAAGGTTATTTCTGAAAGCATGTTCAGTTGGAACAAATCCAGCAGAGTTCCAAGCATTAGGAACTGCTTCATACAATTCATCAACTTGCTCTAACGTCAATCCCTTTGTTTCGTAAACCATCAAATAGGTGAATGCCATACCTATCAAATTGAACCCACCCCAGATGAAGAACACCTTGGAACCTAAGTTAGCGTTACCTGGACCAGAATCAACCATGTACGGAGTAGCATACGCAATAGCCCAATTCCATAACCAATTTGAAGCAGTAGAAATAGCTACAGATTTAGCTCTGGTGGTCAATGGGAACATTTCACCGATGAGAGCCCAACAAGTTGGACCCCAAGAAGAAGCAAACGCACCAATGAAAATACAGGTGAAAGCAACCAACACATTGTTAGAAGACTTAGTCTGCGAAGTGACACCAACAATGGCAATAATCAATTGAGAAACACTCATAACAACCGAGCCACCCAATAACAACTTTCTTCTACCAATGACTTCGATCAAAATAACACCTGGAATAGTCATACCAACGTTAACGATGTTTGTGGCCAAGGAAATCAAAAATTCATTACCAATACCTGAACTCTTGAAGAAAGTGGTACCAAAGTAGAATATGAAATTAACACCCGTCAATTGCTGGAATGCTTGGATAGAAGTACCAGTGATCAATCTCTTCAACTGCTTGTTCTTATTGCTGAAGACATCTAACCAACCACCACCCCCAAGAGTTCTTTCAAACTCAAAGGCAGCTTTCATATCTTCAAATTCCTCAACCAAGTCTGGGTGGTCAATTGGCAACTTTCTTAATATCTTCAATGATTCCTTAGCTTCATCATCTCTGGATTTAGAAATAAAAAATCTAGGAGTTTCAGGAAGGAAGAACATACCAATACCCAAAATTAAAGCCCATAAGAATTGGATGGCAATAGGAATTCTATAAGAACCCGAGTCATTTCTATTGTGGGTGCCTTGAATCACACAACCAGCCAAAAGTAAACCTATAGTAATAGCCCATTGGTATAAAGAAACGACGGCACCTCTAATCCATTTTGGAAGAGTTTCGGACTGGTATAATGGAATTACAGCAGAAATTAAACCAACTCCTAAACCAGCAATAGCTCTACCAGCACACAATAATGGAATATCAGTGGCAGCTGTCTGTAACACAATACCCAAGTTAAAGACCACTAAAGTACCAATGATCAAAGTCCATCTTCTACCCAAAGTGTCAGACAAAAATGGAGCACCTAAAGCACCGAAGAAAGTTCCCACAGACAAAATGGAAACAATCAAAGACTTTTCGCTGGAACTAAATTCATTTGGTATGTCTTGGGGGAATCTTTCTGTGACATACTTCATGGCCATAATTCCACTGATAGTACCAGTGTCATACCCAAATAAAATACCACCAAAGGCGGCAAATAACCCGACAAAAATCCCCATGGACGTGGATCCTGCCTTTCTTTCTCCGAAATTGAGATATTTCTGTAATAATTTAGAGTCTTCGAGTCCCATTGTAATGTGTTTCGATTATGAGAGGTAGATTTGAAGGATTTGGGTCCCCATTTTATACCCGTTCATCTAGTGACACGCTTGGTTTGAAGCTTTACAATTCAGCCCTCCCACCAGGAAAAAAAGCCGTACGAAGAAAATATGCTTGTGGGGTAGCTGAAGAATTCGCCAATATTTTTGTATTTTTCCGCAGAACAATTCTTTTATGAGAGGCTGAAACTTAATGATGATCAAGACTTAGGATTGTGGATCTACGTTAGAGTTCCAAGCAGTCGCTCAGCACAATGAATGTAATATCTTCACCCTTTCTTTCAGTTGAGGTAGCGTCTCAAACAATGTGGACCCAAAAAAAAAATGGAACAACCATTAGGATTATCCTTTCGGATAAAACTTGGCGCATATACCGGACGAGGGTAAACCTTTTCTCATCCCCACAAAAATGACCAAACTTAATAGCCTTAGAAGTTCTGACACATTGAAAATTAAGGGCTTGGTCGTTCTACGCATTGTCTAGCATTCGAAGTATTCTGTTCGGGGTTCGAGTAATCACAGTTATCTCAAGGGGTGTTCACTCACAAATCTTACTTTGTTTGTGGGGTATATATTACTGTGATCTTCCCTTGTGGTGTACACCATCTTGTTATTGATATGGGCTCGTAATAGAAACTGGGGAAAAACTGGTAAAGGAGAAATTGGGCAAGGAAAAGAGAAGAAATCCTTGGCACTCAAAAAAAACACGTCTCAGGCTGCCATTCGAGGAAGATTTGCAAAAAAATATCGTCTGCAGAGGTTGGGAAATAATCCTTCCAGCCTATGATTATATTGTTAATTACCAACAGTATCAAGCTGCAGCCTCACCAAATGTCCCGGTAACCCGCTGGTCACTGCTTGTAAATTTCATCTTGAGATTTCCCCTGTCCACCAAATATATTTTATGGTACTGCAATAATAATTCAGAATCCAGGTTGTCTCGGATTCCTTTCCACGATATTTTATTATTCGGAATAGAATTATGACCTTATTTTGTGCTGAATCAATTCGGATACCGAATAAAGTTCCGAAGCCTGGGTGTTGATCGATCAAAGATGTCCTCCTTTAGCCTCGGATAAATTTTTGAAATTATGAGGTGAATCACGGACCTGAATGAATTCTCGAGTGCCGTCCATCTCCTCGGGTAGATACTGAATAGCAGGAATGAGTTGATTGAATATCCATTTTCGAGGCAACATTGTTGGTAAATCGTGTTGCTGGTGTCAATGCTAAGGGCGATCGATAGAGTGAGGCAGAACCTGATTTCCCAAATCTGCCAATTGAAGAGCCATAGAGAATTACAAGCTCGATGAATGTGCAAGTAACAAATTTTCTATCTCGACCCCTTTATATCCTAAGGTCATTATGAGTGATGAGATATTCTCCGCCTGTCCATCCAAGTTACCAACGCTGATAGTATAGTCGGCACGTCAACAGTTGATGCATAGGACATTTCGGTGTAGAACTCTCCAAGAATTTCGAAGCTGACGCTGATAAGGGAAGCAAGTATGCAGTAATCGTGAGATTGGGCATCGATTAGGTGCTCTGGTGAATGGGATTGTTCAACCGCCAATGATAGTTTACCTAGCACCGTTTAGAGCTCGGAAAATTATCTATTCTGCCCACCGCCCTTGAACCTGCCCTCAAAGACTATTAATATTTGCAGTGCATCAGAAGTAGATGGGAGTCACACCACAGGGGTGGTTCAAGAGCCGTGTCCTACCTGAGCTTGTCGCATGTAACAGTGAAGGGCTTTCCTTTCGTGTCTGCTAAACACCATATCAATACCCAACATTCTCAACATTCTTTTTAAATCCTTTGTCAGTGTGCTGGCTAGCCAGAACAAGTCGAATATGGTGTAGGCGTGTATGGAAAAGGGGGAACCACTCTGTACCAGCTCTTTCTCATTTTTATTGAATGAGGAGATTGACATTCAGAACCAACAAAAGGACTTTTGCTGTAACAAGTCGTCCTCAAAGAGGTAATGGATCGGTTGCCGCAAAAGGATGCGAATATTTCGTATGTGAGATTATCTTTTGACCAAAATTATCTTAGTCCAGCACTGTCTTTATCTGGGCATGACGCTTTGGGACAGCAAGCCAATTGCCTGAATGGTCTAACCACCTGGTTCCCGGTTAACCAGTACAAACCCCTTTGAGCTGCTACCACATCCTGTGTGTGATAATTTTGGGAGTTTTTAGGTAACCAAGAGCTGTGTATTGATGGAACACACAACAGTGCTGACCAACCCGACAATCTAAGGCGTCTTCAACCCTTTTCATGCGGCACTCATCTTCTTCTACGCATTTCTATTTATATTATCTTTCGATGGTTGGATGTCCCTATTGTTAGACTGCCTATACCAAGAGTTCGTGTATTTTGAGGAGTCTGTTCCGAATCTTGTAACTTCTAAGTTGCCATAGTATAGGAAGTTGCTTGTAATGAACTGTTATACTGTTCATCGCATCTAATGAAAATCTTATAGCCGCTGGACATCCGAGATTTTTTCCTGAGTGATACTACCTGCAAGAGTAATCGTACTGGTCACAAACTGAATTTGTTTAGGACAATGGATGGTGTTTGAAGTGTACATAATAATGCATAAAACCCTTATTCTGTATACAATATTCTCTTACTTCTTTATGGCTGGACTATTCAACACCAAGCCAATCAATTTTCAAAAATAGCAGTCTTCTTTTAGCAGCTCAACGTGCGTTTACGATAATCAAATAGTTCTGAAAGAAAATTCATCAGATTAGGTAGAAGTTAAAATCACATACTGCATTTGACTATTACAAATTCTAAGACAAAACTGGCAATTCTGCTGAGCTGATGAAACCTTATTTTGTAAATTATCCTATTTAGTGATTGACTAGGGCACTATTGTCGCTTTAAATGTTTTGAACCACACAATAGGTATCAACTAGCACATATGCCATTTTTATGAAATATCTTTAATTTTTCTAGATACCGCCAAACCATTTTTGTCATCATTTTGGGCCATTCTTGGGCCATATTTGGCTAAGGAGTTGAATGGTCGTCATTTAAATCGAGTGAGAAGTGGGGTAGTCACCACTCAAATCTCCTAACTTGGTAGCTCAAGTGTTGAAGAATTGTTTACAATACTATTAACTTCATCTTATTAGGGAATACTGGCAGAGTTAGTCTCTTTATGTTGGTCTCGATGCAGTAACTTGAATCATTGATGTAGGTAAGAAGGGATTTTGGTAGAATCACATACATATGTTCTCAGGAAGCACTCCTGTTATGGATCCACTGCACATCTTTGTGGAAATTGCCAATGTAAGTGTTTAAAAAGTAAAGATTTAGTACTTAACTATATAAACGAACTCCTGAACTAAAATTCATTATTAACAGCAATGAAATTTAGTAATATCTTGGTATTGAGTGCAATAGCTAAGTACAGTACAGCATTAAGTGGGTGTGTTCCCCTGAGTGTTACCACAGGACTTACGGTTGATTACATCAATACCACCTACGAGGAAGCAAAGCAAAATGATAGAACATCATACGAAGAGCTTGTAGCAATCGATTCTGACTCCGCTGAATACACATGGAGTGGAGTGACCAAGCAAAATTTCCAATTATCACTTCCATCGTCAGATGAGGGGGTCGACAGTGTGTTTAATGGAAGCCTCTATGGACATACTGTGAATGTGAATTATTTTAGCTTGAGAATGTATGGTTACTTCTATGCCCCCACCAGTGGTGATTATACTTTCGGGATTACCAAGGTCGATGATGCAGCCGTTTTTACTCTTGGGGCAGGTACAGCAATGGATTGTTGTTCATCTAGTCCCATTGTAGGAAATGTTAGTCTTGAAGCTTACAATAGCTTAAATGAAGGATCAAAATCTGAAACAGTTTCTCTTACCGGAGGAATATATTATCCGATCAAAATTTTATTTTACAATAAAGCGTATATTTCAAATTTTCAAATGTATGTTACATATCCAGATGGCGTCAAGCATACGACTGATATTGATTGGTATAGCTCAACTGAAAATAGCACATCATGTCCTTATGCCACAACCACAACAGTTATATGGACTGGAACAGATACTGAGACAGTCACTGTAACAGCTTCGGATGGTGAAGCTATTGTTACTGTTGAAGTTCCAGAATCTACCACCACCACCACAGAACCATGGACAGGCACAGGAACTACCACTGTTACCATCTACCCATCCAATCCAAGTGATCCGGTAACTGTCGACATCAAGACTCCAGAATCTACCACCACCACCACTAAGTCCGGAACTATTGACACAACCTTTACTTTAACTCCTTCAAATCCAAGCGACCCAGTGACTATTATT